TCCATAGCAGGGTACTGTTTGCACCCTTGACTTCATCTCTCGCTCATCTCATCTCTCCTCATCTCGTCTCCTACCCGGCAAGGTTGCCCTGTGCTCGCGGATATCCTTCCCCTTCCCCGGCAGCTCCAGGCACGATATGTGTGTACTGTACATACCTACCTACCTGCCTGCACACATCGCACTGCATCCATCACCTTCCACACTCGGCTCGATGCTCTGCTCTGTTCCTGTCTCACTCAGGGCTCGATATCTCATCTCCCTCGTCCTGGGCCCACAGCGCCTTGCCCGCTCGCATCTGCCCACACAATTATGAGATGGGGAATTCTCACACACGGCCGTGCCATGGCCGTGCCATGGCCATGGCCGTCTCCCCTCTGCTCCCCATACCCACAGCTCCACGATCCAGCCATGTCTTGGAGATGGCCACGTTATTGCCATGCTCGCTAAAGCCTCGGGTGTGCCTTGGTTCTGGCCCCGTCCCTGTACTTCCTGCTCCATCGTTACGATAGGTAACATTTTCCATCCCTTGCTACTGCCATGCACACAGACCACGTCAGTCTTGCCTGTCGTGCGACCTATGGCACAGAATCTCTCACATTCGTGATCTAGTTCAAATAGTGGCGTTGGCCTGTTCGTGGCCGCTACACTCGCTGTGGCTGGTTGCCCAGCGTCAAAGAACCTGGCGTGTTCCCTGGGCCAACCAAGTCGAATTTGCGATATACCGACCGAGGCTCACTACAACAACAACATAGCTGGGTGCCAAATTGCCATACGTCCTGTCCACCTGAGCGACCGGGGCCGCAGCCAACTGTGACGGGGCACTTCGCATCGTTTGCGCCCTCATACTTGATTTGCCTCATTCGCTGGGACGGTCTGCGTAAACTGCCAAATGCATCGATCGCATGGAGCTGGTCCTCGGTCTTCTGAGGGAGCAGGCACGCCCTGACACGGCAAACACATGACCACTATCGCACCCAGTGCCTAGCCTCGATGCGAAGCAGTCCTCGCGCCCATTTCGTCTCGGGCAGTATTGAAAATATCTCGATTGTTTATGGCGATGGAAAAGGGTGATGGCCATCAAGCCCGGGAAGCCAACACCTCAACTATCCATCATCCATCTTCTCAGTGTTGCAGGGCATTGATCAATGGGCACCGTCGCGTACTTGTTGCGCAATTGGTTCGCCATTGACATGCCAACCTCCGTCAAAGGGAACATGCGAGCAAACACCCGCATCTCAAGGGTCCTCCCCGTTTGAGGGCTCTTGTGTCCGCGAGCTTTGCGGAAGATACTCACGCATCAGGCGCGTGTCCCGACCCGGACTCTTGTACATCGGAAATAGCAGTGTTGGTAGAGCGTAGATACCTCCGAAGTGAGCCCAAGGAGGAAGTTCTACGCGTTCGTTGTGTGCTCATGTTATGAGTTGCACGAGGGACGGCTTCAGGCCAGCAGCAACAGGCGGCTAAGATGAGGTTGGCACCGTTGGGCCAACCAACCGCGTCTCCGGAAGCTGCAGCAGATCGTCCGTTCAATGCAACATTGCCATTGCGTGCGTCGCCACGCCCTCAAGCAGCATGAGCGTCTGGCGTCAGAGAACCGCTGACGTGACCAACGTGCGGGAAGCGCAGCAAGGCGCTTTCGAGCCAATCACAACAGCTTTGCCTTGGCACCTCATGTCAAGTTACCATAATCAAGCCCTGCAAGGGCATCGTCTGCCGTGTTGGTATCCTGAGCAGGCCCCACAGGCTCATCAGGCAAGTTACCCAGGGTCCGCCCACACGCGCAACACGCGCGCGTCTCCGGAGCCTTGGGATCGCCGTTCCTCGTAACAACCGACTATAGTGCTTCTGCTGCGCTGAGAAGCTGGGGTTGGGAGTGCGCTTCATATCAAGCTACGAAGCAGCAGGTGAGCAAGAAATTAGAGGAAGACACAAATTTCTCCCTCGACCTCGGGCCGTTTGGAAGCAAGGGCTACTCATTTGCTTGCCATGTATGCTGCGTGGATTGGATGTGTGCCCATCCTGCCCCTCGGCCCCTATCTGTTACAGCCACAACGGCCTGACGAGGAACTCTGCGCCTTTCCTTCAATGTGATTTCACCGCGCCTGCGGACCAACCATCTTGAGGTTACATACATGCCGGACTGGGGTTCGCGGGCACATGCTAGTCAGCTCCATCACGCCGGCTTGCGGGAAGAAATATTGGCTGGCTTCGTGACCAGGCACACCCTCTCTTGAGGATCAAGCATGTCCCCAGCTCACCGTTCATTCCTACTCGGCCAGAAGTACGTCTTCCAACCCAAGCCTGAAGTGATATGTCTCGGCGGTCGTAGTGTTGGCTCTATCGTGATCTTCAGATGGCTTCTTGTTCTTGTCCAACGTGCCAACAGCTAAGGAATTTGTGTGCACAAGTCCAATTCGTTTAGGTTGCAGCATGCCTTCCATGGTCGCATCATGCGGCCCAAACCTGCAGACAAGTCCATTAGACTGCTGCTTAAGCATGACCAGCCGCGGGTGGTTCTCCGGGCATCCACCACGGTCAAGGACGAGGCATAATAGCATGTCGACTGTTGAACTGCCCGAAACGGCGAGCGCTTCCCCCCTCGTGCGTCACGATGTGACGTGATATTGGAATGGGACGCCTTGACGACCAATCCACTTTCTACGCGTGCTCCTTCGTTGGCTCCTCCTTCCAGCATGATGGTGCTCTCGATCACGGAGCACAAACATCAGCAGACCACTGCCAGTGGGCCTGCATTTCTCAGTCACCCTGCAGCTGCAAAGCATGTGAATCTTCACCTTCAGGTCACAGCCGCAGCTGGGCTGACGAGGTATTTCTCCTTCTCGGTGAGTTGTGGGTCTGTCCCTCCAACGCGAGTTGTCAAGCTGCGGGCAGTGCCAGCTTATCACGGCACGGTACTTGTCGAGCTGCAACGTCGGTCGCCAACAAGACTGCCGTGGCATACCAGCTCGAATGGCAGTCAAGACTGAAGCTGAGAAAAATTGCCCCTGGGCTGGAACTCTAAGAAGCAGAGCCGAGCTACTTTGGTCGTTGCTTGGACAGATGGGTTGACTTCAGAGAACCTGTGAAGTACAAGTCAGTACATGGTACTTTTCAGACGCACCGACATGATGGCCCGGTGTGAACCATATTGCAGCCCAGCAGCTTCTAGAAGTATATTGGCCATTCAACTGTCGTTGTCCAGCCGGCGCTTCAGCCCATGCACTCCCCAGAAAAGACCAGCCTGATCCGTGGCACTGCCGATTCGACCGAGGAGGGAAGTGTCCTCTAGGCAGCTCACGTCAGAGGGAGGGCAAAGGACAGAGGTTTTACAAGCAAGGCAGGCCGTCACGATCCGTGTGTCAGGTACTAGGCAGCACGCAGTGGAAGGATCCAAAAACGTGGCCGTACGTCTGTTTCCGTAGCCGTGCTGCCAACGTGCTGGCGCAAGACACTACACATTGTGTTCAGGCGCTGCCGACTAGCGAGAAGGCGCAAGTAAGGAGTGTACCTGACAGCGCTTACAGTGTTGCTGTCGAGCAGGGGACCAGGAGGAACGGAAGGATGAGGGGAGAGCAGACCGAGCCCCCAAGCCTCGAACGAGAGGAGCCGTGACGAGTACTCAGGACAGGCGGTCGGTCGGTGGGAAGCCGGGCAGGACTGGGCTCCGCTCTCCATCAGCCCTACCCGCGGCTGCTGGTGCAGTTAGCTGCCTTTGGCCCGAGTGTGGTAGTCCGTGGCCGCGTCGTTGTCGTTGTCGCGGCGTGGGGTACTGCTGTGGTGCGTGAGCGCAGGACCACATCCCGCAGCCGTCTTCCGGGAAATCCTCTTGCAGCGGCCAGGCGGACCAATGGCGAGAGCGCTGGGCCCGGCTACCCGACCCCAGGATCTGGCCCAAGGGACGGAATTGACTGTCCTCGCGGAGCCGCAACGTCTTCTCCACACATGTGATTGTTTAATTGCCTTATTTGGCATTAGACGATGCTCCCGCTGGTCTGTTTTTGATACCAGACACGCATCCATCGACAACCTCGCCCTCATGGCTCCCGAGACTTTTGCTCCCCCCTTGGCTGTGGCGCAAATCCTACGCCGCTTCTGATAGGGGATAGGCACAAGGACCACATTGCCCCGCTCGGAGCTCGGATATCGAAGGCCCATCCACCTACCTGCCTGTCTTTGTGCTCCATTGCCCCCAGGACCAATGCCCGACCCCACGTGTGGGCTCGGCAGCACAAAGCCAGATTGGCCCAAGTACAGGCCAAACAGCTCGCACAGGACATGACACGACAGGAGCCACGCAGCGAGGGAGCGAGGCAGGGAGAGGGGGGAGCGAAGGAGGCGTGAGGCAGAAGGCGGGACGGGCGAGGAGGGGTCACAAAGCCCCGAGAGTTCGAGGCGACGGGAGATGGGTGCAGGCCCGACCCAGGAAGGATCCCATGACCATTGCTTGCTCGAATGGCCCTCTGGTGCCAGTGCCCATATACCTGTAGGTGTTTCTGGAGGGCGACATGTCGGGCAAGGGCTCTTGGCGGAGAAGCAGAAGGGGCTGAGATGCAGCGTCCATGTCCATGTCCACACCTCACCCACTCCCTCCCTCTCCCGTCCGTGTCACAAGAGATAAACAGACTCGGACACAGATGCAGACACACACACACACACCTCTGCACATGCATGAGGGCAGATACAGCATTGGGGCCAGCGCATTGGGCAAGCAGATCCGCACCCACCGTCTGTAGATATAAAGTCCCCCCCTTCGAGCTCCTTTGTCTTCCTCTCCCCTCTTGTCTTTTGTTCGCCATCACATAAAACTCTCAGCACTCGGTCAGCCAGGTCAGCAAGCGTCAGCCAGTCTATTACTGCCTCTTTAGCATCCATCCCACAGCCGGACCGTCTCGATATCTCATACCATTCCTTCCCAACCTCGACGCAGCCCGACTTGACCCCCCACCCCCCACACACGACAAATCCTGTCTTCTGTCATCATTATTTTACAACCATTCACAATGTCTGACCCTCGCCGCTCTATGCCCCTGACCTTCCTGCCCCTGGGACCCGTCACCTCCGAGTCCTTCCCAAAGTCGCAGCAAGCCAAGCAGGCCGGGGAGATGCACAAGAGGCGAAGCTCCTCGCTCAGCAGCGACGGCAAGGGCTCCGCTCCCGGGTTCAAGGTCCTCAAGGTCGCACCCGTCCACTACGGTGAACATGCGGGAGACCACCAGGACGACTGGCACAATGCGGCTGCTCTCGTCGAGTGAGGCAGCAGCTAGCTAGCCACTCTACACCTCGACTCCTTGATGTCTTACCACCAGGCACGCCACACGTCGCCTACAGCCAAGTCATCTTTTGTGGCTCTATTCTGTCATGCGCGGTTCTCTTCGCCTTGAGATTTGAAAAGAAAAAAATAGCAACTATTGAGGAAACAGCGGGGCGGCTGGCCTTTTATCTGGGTTTTCATTTGGTCTTTTGTTTGGTCTTTGACTTGAGCTTGTTTGGTAGCGCAGTGTTTAGGCTATGTACGGCGTTTTTCTATGAAGGCTCAGATGCAATCAAGTCAGCTATGCTGGCGGGTGTGGATATCGGTCAGATTTTTACGAAAAGGACGGCACATTGGACGACCATGTCAGTCAAAGAGGATTAACAGAACCATCAGTAACAGCAAGTGTGGATGAATATTTGCCAAGCAAAGACCTTGTGCTAAGAATATATACTGTTTCCTCCATCCATGTTTCGAACCGCACTATACGTATGAACTATAGGGACAACTACTGAGTGATTTATGAAGAACCCTCTCATAACCCCTTGCTCTCCGTGGTCGAGACATGTCCCCTGGCCAATGGCGGCTGTCGTGGAGGAAACCATCAACCTTTGTCCCGTCAAGAGCAAACAAGGCCAAGACTCTTGGGATGCTCGCCCTCCCGCAGGGTAGCACAAGCACAAGGTTGTCAGCTGTAACGCTTGTGCCCCCCGCCTCAATCGCGCACCCCCCTTGTTACTGTGAACTCGTCGCCAGGAGCACGAGAACGAGATCTCAATGGCCCTGTGTGTTAGCGTACCTTCCATGGGCTGTCAGCCGGGTCAGCCGGGAAGGTGTCTGTCCTCCCCGAGGACGAGGCCAGCAGGGACCGCAAGCGCGTGTTGTCGAACCGTCGCCCGAGTCGAGTGGGACAAGGCGTCGAAACAAGCACGCAAGCCGCCGTGAGTCAAGCTTATCAGATCGGCGTGGGCCCCGGGGGCGGTGAGGCACTTGGGGAAACGCTTGAAACTGTCGAGTCCCGTTCGTCCCTTTGGGTTGGTGCATGGCGCATGTTGCATGGCGTGCATGGTGTGCATGGCATGGTAAATATAGCGAGCCCGGCAAACTATTTCTCCATCCCCGTGCGCCGAGACGATCAATATTTCTCGGCGCTCGACTTGGGCGACCAGGTGGCTTCGTCCCCCCGAGCCTGTGCCTGTGCCTGTGCCTGTGCCTGTGCCTGTGCCCTGCCGCCTGCGCGCCCGCCGACGAATGCCCAGGTGCCAAGGCCCCGAAGCACTGACGATCAATGTCTCGGACCGCTCCGCTACACCACGACAGCTACATAGTCTAGTATCTAGTCTAGGCGGCTTTCGGTCCCTGCCTGTTTGCCACACGCTGGGTGGGCTGGACGCATCCTCAACTGGCCCGCTCACCTTGAAACCCGTCTTGGCGGCGTCGTTTTCGCTTCCGCGCCATATCACACACCTACCCTTTGGGTTGCACTGCTCCTGTGACGTGCGTGTGATGCTGGGCCCGAGTAGAAACACCGCCGCTGCCAAGATCCGGCCAAGGAAGCAAGCCGTCGTACCTGGGTGGACCAGGCGTCTCACCGAGAGTGTACAGTCCAGACAGTCAATAGAGACATCTGCGAGCAAGGGGCTAGAATTGACCTGTGGGGTCAGATGCGAGATTGCTGGCCAGACTCTACATGGCAGCAAGCATTACAGAGTTAATCGCACCTCAGCGGTAGAAGCATGACAAATGCTGCCCATGGAAGTGCTGTCTCGAGGCACTATTCTTGGGACATGGCCTGCCCGATACCCAAGAGACAAACCTCGAGAGACGTCCCATGAGCACGAGTGTGCCCCCCCCCCCCGCCCACCGGCCTTCCCTCTTCTCCCTCGTTCTGCAAGGTAAAGGGTGAGAACGCTGCGACAGACAACGGGATTGTGCATGAATGGATCCTTGCGCATTAGAGCAAAATGGCGGATGGTCTACGCAAGGGTACGTTGACGGATATCCCTCGTGTTTTACGGGAATAAATTGATTATTTACATGTACATCCAATCTCTTGACCTGCATGGGAGGCGTCGGGGAACGTCGCCGGACTGCAGCGAGGCGCTTGATTGGGGAGGCTCTTCACCGAACTCGAGCCTGCCCGTTTGGACCTTCAATGTCCGCGCCCGTCAGACTTTGCACCCAGGAAACCGCAGAAGGATGCACGGCAGGGAGCACATCCAGCCGTGCAAAAGCGTGCATTTGAGTGAAGGTGGCGTTGTTTGCTCAATCCAACATCCAGAGACGGCGCTCCCTACTGCCCATTGGTTGCTTATCTGCGGCAGCAGCTGCGGCACGCTGCTCTGAAACCCTGCCATGTTGGTGAGTGGCAGTAAGAAGTGCGAGCTGCTTCGGACCGCACGCTGCCCGATATCTCAGCGAGCGAGGTTGCAGCGCCCAGAAGTAGTACGTAGAAGCGAGGATGAGGTCCGCTACGGAGCCAAGACCATCTCATCTAGAATCCATATTTGGCCCCAGACTGCTTCTGTGTCGCCCGGTTCTTGGCGAAGCTCTCCTCCAACGCATCCCGCTGGCTCTGCACCTGGTTTACCAGCTGCTGCAGGCTGTGCTTGCCCGGCTTGATCGCACGCAGGGGATTGTGTTGTTGCTGGTCCAGCGCGCCGGACTGCCGCAGCTCCTCGTTATGCCGATATTCCTGGTCCAGGTTGAAGTTGATGACGGACTTGGCTGTTGCTTTGGTGGGCGCGCCACCGCGGCCGAAGAGTTCCCGCCGTGCTGCTGGGCCGAGATTTAGGTCGTCCGCTATCGAGTCGAGAGAGGTGGGGTCTGGGTGGCCAGCTGGCCGTGCCGGTGATTCGGAGTAGCTCGCGTACTGCTGCTGATGGTGCTGCTGGGTGGCGTAATCATACAATGCAGCGCCATCAGCGAATGTGCCAACGTCATGGCCAGACGACTCAGTCTCGTAGGATGTGCTCTCTTCCAGCGCCGCCCCCGCGCTGGGTGTATCTTCTGCTACTGAAAACAGCGAGATCTTTTTCTTCTTGATCGGTGGCGCCGCCTGTGGTTCTTCTTTCGCCGGTGGCGCCGAGGCACCTACATTTGATGGTTGCTTCAGCGCGCCGCCCTGTGATGCTGTCGTTGAAGCAGCAGCCACGGTGGTCTTGGGTCCTCCGAGCTTCTTGCCGGGCTTTCTGGCGACAGAGAGCGGCTTGAACATTAGGGGCTTCCCCACAAGCTTGACTTCATCCTCGGACACCTGCCCATGTGGTACAGACGGTTGTGCTGGCGGCGTGGCTTTGGGTGGCGGCAGGTTTAAGCTCGAGCCGGATCCGGAGCCGGAGCCCACGTCGGCCGATCTGTCCGTGTTCGCGATGCCATCGTCGCTTTCATCAACAAAGTCTCTGCTGAAGGCAGCCTCGGAGCTCGTCCTCAAGTTGACGCCAACTCTCGGCGCAGCTCTGCCGGTGTTTCCTGCTCGGGGTTGCGAATTCGAGGCCTTGGGCGGCGGTAGGAATGAGCTGAAGCCGCTGAACCTGCTGGCACCGGTCTTGAGCCGCTTTGCGGCCGGAGCTTCGCTGGCGGCGGCGTCGTCTGACGAAGTGGGCGCGGAGGGAAGGTTGACGAGGATCTTGCCCGGGTTGGACTTGTCGACGAGCTTCTGGAAGGTCTGCTTCTTGGCGGGTTGGGATGCGACAGCGACGGCTGCAGCTGCGGGCGGCGAGGTCTGAGGGGAATCGCTGTCGGATTCCGAGTCCGAGTACTCAACGAGGCCCATATCTGGTTGCTGAGTTGAGGGGAGGAGGGTTGCGGGCTCTGCCTTGCAACGCAGGGTCGTGAGTCGGGAAGAGGTTGGCTCGTTGGATTCGTTGGAGATGACGGCCGAGGCTACAGTCGGGGCTGCTGCGTCCTCTTTGGGGTTTGGAGGGGGGGGGAGGCTGGCCGGGGGGGGGGGGTGGTGTGCTTCCCCGAACATGGAGTTACACAGAGTCCTAGTTGACTATTGCCATGTCGCCGTGCAGCCTTTTCGAACCATCCTGACTGACTGCCTGCCTGCCTGCCCCAATTGTGTCGAGTGTCTTCATTTCAATTTGTCGGGCTCTTATCGAGCCAGCTACTTCATAGAAGGTAGAGCCGCGAATTTCTATGGCTGATCGACCACGGAAGGGGGCACAACACCGCCCGACGGCAAAGTTGGGCGTGTCCTGGGGATTGTTCTTTAATGTTCATGAATCAATGTTCAAAGGCTATGCAAAGCCTCCGTCTACCTGCCTAATGTGCCCATGTCTGCGTGTCTAAGGCTTTTGAGGTGTCCTCACCTGCCAGGCCCCTCACCCCGTCCCGGCCCCGTGCCCGTCCCGTTTGTGTCAGTCTGTCTGCCCTGCGCCTCTTGCTTGCCCGTGCTGCCCGACTATGGAAAAAGCCACGCACGCATACCTACCCCTGGGCTTGTCTCGTGTTGTTACAATTAGTTTTTTTTTCTTGACTTTTATCTCTCTTCTTCCCTCCTTGTTTCGGTCGTTCGCTTTGCTTTTGCCGGTCGGTCTCGAGTGTGTCCTGAGCTCGCTTCTCATCTGAATGGAACCCCCCCCCCCACCGAATCTAGATACATTTGCGTAGGCCTCTATTATGCGCAGCTCTCATCAAATCAGGTTGCCCTAGCACCGGCGCATACACAAGGTGCCAACCGTACATTCTTCACTCCTCTTCGCTCATCCAGTCACGCTAATCATTGGTAGGAGAGGTGGGTGAGCTGACAATCAGGTTAGCACCATGTTCTGGGCTCTCAAATAAGCTGGCAGGCCCATCGTGGTTGACTTACTATTGATCCTGACCGCCAGCATGTCGTCCAGGCGTCGGAGGCGCGTACTGAGGCGAGGATGGCGAGTAGTTCGGGCTGGTCGGAGACACGTTCTGCCCTGGTGACCGTTGGTAGGTCGGACTCGTGGGCGAGTATGCATCGGGAGAAGTTGGAGACCACGTCGGAGACGCGGGAGAGTATCGAGGAGATGTGGCATGGACGTTGGGCGAGGTCGGACTGTAGTTCGGACTCGCTGGCGACCACGACGGGGAGGTCGGTGAGGCCCCAAAGTTTCCAGCCGGCGACGTAGGCGAGTACTTGGGTGCCGTCGGGGATGACGGAGAGTAGCTCGGCGAGGTCGGGCTGTAGTTTGGACTGGCTGGGCTGGTAGGCCGCATCAACGGCGACGTCGACGAGTACGAGGGCGACCCCGGGCTGAAAGTTGGAGACGAACTACCAAGATGAGCGCCGGCATCAATCATCGGTGACGTCGGCGAGTAGGCGCCCATGGGAGATGTTGGAGACCACCCTGCGCCGTGGTTTCCGAAAGGAGATGACGGCGAAGTCGGAGCGAAGGGGCTCGTAGCACGCGGACTGGTCGCTGAATAACCAGCCCCGCCCATACCGAAACCTCCACCGTACTCCGTGGCAAACCCGGCCGGTGTCTCAGAACCCGCGCCGATAATGGGCGAGAAGTTGCCTGGCGCCGGGGACATGATACCCAAGAAGCCACCCGTATCTGCCATAGGAGAGCCCGTGTCGTAAGGCGTTGCCGCACCTTCCATCGGGCTGCCCTTGACCGTCATACCTGGCATGAGACCCATGCGCGAGTTGTCCGAAATGACAGTCTCCAACATCTTCGGGTCAAGCTGCACTTCAAAGTGGCCTGTTCCCATGGGTGCCAACTGCCCAAGCATGACGTTTTCGGAGATACCGCGGCAGTCATCCAGCTCACCTGTAGCTGCGGCTTCGAGAAGAATCTCGACCGTCTCCTCGAAGGAACAGCGCATGAGCGCACCCGTGTCCGCGCGGTTGATTCCGTGACGAGTGACAGCAGCAATGCTGCCGCGGTACGTCATGACGTCGACCAGGAGGGCCAGATGCCTGTGGTTGACGTAGGAACCATCAAATGCCAGAACATTCGTCAGCTCAGAAAGCAGAGCCGATCGTGCCGCCTCAATGCCAAACACATCAATGATCTGATGGAGCTGGTTGGTGGTGGTCCGCTTCGTGTCGACGCCATCAACAGCAAGAACTTGACGCAGCGCTGTACCAGTTGTGTCAAGATAGGACTCCTCACAGTCGGTATCGCCCTGCTTAGCCTTGAGTGAGCCATCAGGCATCTCTACGAGGCGAGCATTCTTGTTGATGAACGCCCGTTCGATGCCGGGCACGCCGCGAATGGTAAGCTTGTCCAGCAAGTGAGTTTCGAGTCGCTTGAGCATGACGTCTTCTTCCATATCATCTTCGTCGCCCTCGGCTTTATCGCGGATCGAACGGACACGGATGACTTGCTCATCGGCATTGTTGTCACTGAAGATAATGGCCAGATCATCCGAATACTCTTCTTTGAGACGCTGAGCAACGTCTTCGACCCGCAGTTCCTTGTCAAGCATCTTTTGCCGGTCCAGCGTGATTCGAAGCACCCAACGAGTCTGGCGATCAACGTCCTCGGATTCATCAGAGTCAACAAGGAAGTACGCCTCGACCATGTCCTCATCCTCTGAGATGAGGGTCGCTCGAACGTCCGGATCGTAGAAAATTTCAGTCATTGCCGTGACCGACCGCAAGTTTGTGTGCTCAGTAAGACTTCGAAGTGTCTTCGCCGCGTCCTGTGACGAATCATCGCCTTCGAGGAAAACTTGCATCGATGGAGTCTTGATGTCACTGGCGACATTGAGAATCTCCTTGAGCCGAGGCACACCCAGAGTGACGTTCTTGGAGGCAACACCAGTGAAGTGGAACGTGTTGAGTGTCATCTGTGTGGCAGGCTCTCCAATGGACTGCGCCGCGAGTACACCCACCATTTCTCCGGGGTTGACCATTGACCTGGACCAGCGGTTCTCCAGCTCCCCAAGAATATGGTCGAATGCTATGCGAGGAAGTCGAAGCTGGACTGCGAGACGCCTGAAGGCCAGCCGCGAGCGCAGGTGGGCCTTGAAGAGGATCGTCGCGCTCTCATCAGCCTCCTTGGAAATCGGATCTTGACCCGGGACAACCACCATGCGCCTCATGAACGCATCAACAGCTGGGATCACGTCGGAGGGCTTCATATCACTCCGCTTGGTGGGGTCTACCTTGAAGAAGGAGATTGTGCTGTCGATCAACCGTATGATGTTCAGAGGTAGCTGCATCATGGTCTCGTCCTTGCCACGTGACAACATGATGTGGCGGACTGTCTTGCGAGCCGTGTAGAGGCGATCGTACTCCTCGTCAAGCAGCTGTTGCTCTTGGATATTGCTCGCCAAGTGACTGCCGTATTCGAGAGCGTTGGTCAACGTCTCGGAGTCCTCGACGAGATCAAGCTTGTAGCGTTTCTCAAATTCCTTGTTGGAGATGGTGAGGAAGTCAACCTTCTGTTTCTCAATGTGCATGCCATCGAGGCCATCTTCACCATAGATAAACTGTATGATGTCGTTCAGGGAGTTTCGAACAGTGCCGTCGTATTTCGCGGTGACATCCTCGAGCGCCTTGACCAGTCGGCGCTGGATGTAACCGGTTTCTGCCGTCTTGACAGCAGTATCAATCAAACCCTCACGACCAGCCATGGCGTGGAAGAAGAATTCCGTGGGCGTCAGGCCACGCAAGTAAGAGTTCTCGACGAAGCCACGCGCCTCTGGCGAGTAATCATCCTTGGTAAAGTGCGGCAGCGTTCGATACTTGAATCCAAAGGGGATTCTCTTTCCCTCAACAACCTGTTGACCAACAAGAGCAGTCATTTGGGAAATGTTGATGGAGGAACCCTTGGAACCGGACCGAGACATGGTCACAGCGTTGTTCAAATCCTTCAAACTCTTCTCCGTCGTCGTACCGGCCTTGTCACGAGCAGCGTTCAACTCCTTTGATACCTTGCTCTCGAATGTCTCTCGAATACTCATTCCAGGGAGCGGCTCGAGCTTGTTTTCGGTGGCCTCCGTCACGATCTCGGCAACAATCTTCTTCTGGCCGTCAATGTCCTGCTGGATCTTGATTATAGTATCCTTGTCAGGGATAGTGTCACCGATTCCGATGCTATGGCCGTTGTGCAGAAGCCAGTAGTTCACAACACGCTGACAGGCGTTGAGAAAGCCCATTGCTGCGTGTGCCCCAAGCTCGTTGTAAGTAATATGAATGATGCCGCCGGCCGCGGCTCCAACGATCTTCTTGGTGAGGAGACCGTACACAAGATCGCCATTGTGAATCCTGATCCCGCCGTCGTCGAGAGGGAGCTCACTGCTTCCTTGCTGTAGACTAACTTCTTTGGGAATGACCATGCTGATGATCTGCTTACCAGTCCAGCGCGGAGATGGGTGGAGTATGGCCGGGGTGGGAATGACTCCATCCCAGTCTTCAACCCAGAGCATGACATTCATGACTTCCTCCTTGGTCAGGAATACATCACGACGGCATAGCTTGTAGGCACCTGCCAAAGTATCCTGGACAATGCCCATCAATGGAGAATTCCGCTGTGGCGAGACGATGTTCAGGGGCACCAAGCACAGATTCTGCACCTCGGCGCGAGTCTCCTCAGTCTGAGGTACGTGAAGGTTCATCTCGTCGCCGTCGAAGTCGGCGTTGTACGGAGACGTGACGGACAGGTTCAACCGGAAGGTAGAGTACGGCATAACTTTGACACGGTGACCCATCATAGACTCCTTGTGCAGCGAGGGCTGACGGTTGAAGATAATATAGTCCCCATCGATTAGATGTCGTTCAACCTTCCAACCGTACTCCAAAGTGATCTGGCTGGCACGCTTGTGATGGCGAAGGTCGATCCTAGTGCCGTCGGAGCGGATAACATACTTGGCGCCTGGGTGTTCGTTCGGGCCATTCTCAACCAGCTGATGCAGGCGGTGGATGTTGTATGGAGTGACAGTTTCCGGATAGGTCAGAGTTCTCGCAATGCTTCGAGGTACGCCGACTTGGTCCAAAGAAATGTTGGCGTCACCCGTGATGACAGTACGTGCAGAAAAATCAACACGTTTTCCCATCAGGTTGCCTCGAAGACGACCCTCCTTGCCCTTGAGACGAGCGCGGATTGCCTTGACAGGTCGGCCGCTCTTCTGCAATGCGCGCGGCGTGCCGGCAATGTCGTTGTCCATGTATGTGGCAACGTGGTATTGCAAGAGCTGCTCGAAGTCGTTCAGAATGTGTGCTGGGGAACCCTCGGACAATGCCTGCTTGACGTTGCCGTTGGCACGGATGATGTCACCAAGCTTGTAAGTCAAATCATCCTCATTGCGGAGACCCTGGCCGGTACCATCCATACTGATAGACGGTCGGACCGGCGGAGGCGGCACCGGAAGTACAGTGACGATCAGCCATTCGGGGCGCGCGTAGTCCTTGTTCAAGCCCATGTCCTCCAGGTCGGCATCAGAGATGCGCCGGAAAATGTCATGCACGACCTTTGGCGGCAGAACCTTCTTTTCGATTGCCTTACCACCGCCCTCCTCATTCTCAAGCTCGAACCTTTGCTGGAGTTGCAATGCTTGCTGACGGACCGCGGGCTGGGCATTGCCACATCCGCCATGACTAGGAGGCGGGGGCTTGTTCTTGTTCTCCGGATCAAACTCGTCGTCCTTCTTGGAGACCTCGTTCTCACAGCGCTTCTTCTTCTTGCAGACCTCCCAGACCCGAGCGAACCGAGCTTTTGGGTCTCTTGTTGAGACGGCGGCCGCAAATTCGGGGTCGTTCTATTGTCGGTGCAATCAGCATTAGCAGACCTTCACACGCTTACAACAGTCGAGCTAAACCAACCCTATCGGCCAGCACCTTGCTGCAGCTATGACAGACGATCTCAAGGATCTTCTTGGTCTTCTTCAGAAAACCAGGGTGGAAGACAGGTGTGGCCAGCTCGATGTGGCCGAAGTGGCCAGGGCATTCGGACATGCTCTCGGTGCATGTCTTGCACTTGAACTGTCTGTCGACAGATCCAAGACGAGGGTCGTTGAGACCCTCTTGCCGTGGCTTAGTCCTGGTTTCGTCCATAGTCTCGGGATACTGAATATGCGCCACACTCATGTTCTTGATCTCCTCAGGGGACATGACGCCGAACTGTATCTCCTGGATCGTCTTGAGGGGCGCACTAGAGTGCGCGAAGTAGAGGTTCGCCATCCTGAATTACGTCTCGAGGGATAGGCCGGGGGACCGTATCGGGCGCGAGGGTGGACGCGGCTGGTTAAGGATCGGGGTCGAAGGTGACGTCGAAGTGAAGGCCAAGTGCAGTCGCCACCGTCCCCGCGCAGGCAGACAGAACGATCCGAATCGGACAACGAGTTGAAAGGCGGTAAACGAGTCGAAAGGCAGAGTTTGCGAAAGACTTTTGACGATAGAAAGGCTGGCGCAAACGATGGTTCGATGGATGGGTTGGGGTTGGTCCTCCGCGCTCTCAAACCAGGCCGCCCAAGGCCCCGAAGGAGCGACTCGTCGGTTTAGCCACCTCAGCCGTCGTCGCTATCGCTCAAAAAGTGCACAAAATCAATCACGGCAGTCTTTTATTATGGGCGCGGTATGGGAAGGGCCGCGAGATGGTGATGCGTGGGCTCCGACGCGTGCTGACAAGAGGTTGTGGTGAGGTTGTAGGGAGCAGGCAGTTGAGGCGACTCTGGAAAATCCAGAGAGGAGTGATCTAGCCGGCGCGCTGGACCTGGGAGGGCCTGTGCACGGCACTAGCTGCACGCGGCGGCAAAAGTGGGTCCATGCGGTACTTCAATGTTGGGGGCTGTCGTCGGGTAAGGCAGGTACTTGGGGAGGACTCGCAGAGGAGCTGTGAGCCCCAAATCTGCCCACCCGGGTCCCTAGTCAGTGCATGCAGGCACAGGTACTGATGAAGTCCCTTCTGCTGGAAGAATTCCGTCCACCTCATTCTGTGGCTTTGTTGACCAACAATTTCACACTGCCTAATTCTCACTGTGGGGATCAAAAGCGGCAAGTCATAAATGTCTGGGCAATTCACTGTAGCCCTGTCAGGACAGCTTGCGCATCACAGTGGTGGCCCTCTACTGGTTTGGCCACCGCCGTCCTGGGATATCATGCAACTAAATCATCTCTTCCTGGTCCGTCCTCTGTTTCCCGTCTTCCTGCCCGATTTTTCCTCCGCTCCAGTGGCCTCACCGTCGGCGTCTGCTCCATCTCCGGGGCTTCTTCGCCTCACCGTCCCTGTCGAAACAGCAACAAACTCTTCCTCGCTATCCGAGTCTCCTAGGTTGAAAAGAATCGGCATCTCAAACCCGCTTGGATGCTCTCCGACGCCTGCCAGCCCAATGGTTGTGACGTCGACCTCCTCGTCCTCTTGATCCAACTTGCGCTTCTTGATCTCTTCCTGCGGGTGAATGTCGAACTCGTCCTCCCTCTCCATGTACTCGACATTCTCCTCCACCTCTACAAAGTCTGGCGCCAGGGCAGACCAGCGCTGCGGGCTCGTCACACTCCAGATGTTGATGCGCCCTGTTTCCAGCCCACATGCCGCCAGTAAGGCCTTGGAGGGGTGCCATTCTATAACGCCCTGCTCTTCTTTCGGCCCCTCCAGCATTCGCACCAAACTGCCGTGTCCGCGCTCCCAAATGTAAAGCTCGTGATTGTTGTAAGTGGAAGCTACCACGTACTCGCCTGTGCAGCTGAACGTGACGTGGTTCCACGAGCAGCGGTTCACCACGTCTTCGAACTTGTGCTCGATAGGCAGCTGTATCGTATCGGAGTCAAGGTCCTCTGCCGAGAGGTCGGGTAGGTGGAATGTCTTGATAACCTTGTCTTGGCCGTTGACAAGCAGCTCTCGCCCTGATCGCGTAAGCTTAAGCGTTGTGACCACCCCGCTGCACACCTTGGGTTGTGTGTATATTATCTCGTGTGTCTGCGCGTCGATGATGTTCAGATTGCCCTTGTTTGTACCGGCCAAGATGTGGTCGCCTGACTTGGTGTAGATTGTGACAGTCGTCATGTGCCTTGCGTCGTCCTTCTTTTGGCGCGCCCTCTTCTCTGCGTCTCCTTCGACCTTGACACGCCTCGGAGCTGTTGATAGTACGTGCTTCTGTGCGACTGACTCGGTCATATCGACGAGGAGGGGCTGTTCTTCGTAAAGGGACACGACAAACTGGAGGCTGCGGCGCGTCAGTACTGCCTACCCGCAGATTTGGACCTCGGGTGAGAATGTAAGTACTGACTGGTTCCAGGGATGGAGCTCTGCGATGTACACAGGCGCCTTGAAACGGACCTGACGGAAGGGCTTCCCATCCTTGAGGTCCCACAGAACCGCTTTCCAGCCCTGACATGCGGACAGTAAATATCTCCCGCACCGGGACCAACTCAGCGAGGAAATACTCTTAGAATGCCCCCGTAGCTTTCGAGCTACACCCATAGTGTCGAGATCCCATATGACGACGGTGCCGTCAACACGGCCTGAGGCGAGGTAGTCACCTTTGCGGTTGAAGCGCAGGCATGTGGCATGGCCGGATCGGATCGTATTTGTGATGTTTTCGGGGTAGTCTTGGAGTAGGTAGTCGTCTGAGAGCAGCAGATTCATCTTGGCAGATGGAGTGCCCTGAGTGGAGAATTGAAAGCAGGAGTGGAGGTTCCCGTGGCTTTAGGACGAGGGCGAGGCATGGACGTGGTGGTGTTTGAGGTGATGAAGGTGAGTTCCCAAGCGGCTCTGGCTGATCTGCAGGGCTGAAAAAGCTCGGTCGGGGAGGGTACCTTGAAGTTGAGAATGACGCTAATTGCTGCAAGGTCAGTCCCCAGAAACGCGGGAGCGTGGGGACGTTGCAAGGATGCAGCTGCCGCTTGCCGTGAATGGTCCCGCCTCACCCCAAAAAACCTGGAGCCGCTCCCACCCTGGCCTGGGAAAGCTCAAGATTTGCCATCCAAGCCGAGCTTGATCATACCTAGGGGCCACATCACACCTCGGGTAAGGACATCTTGCTCGCCGAACACCCCGCTACGGCCTTAAAGGGTCCCTGTATATGCACAACTGCCAACGAAATGGCAAATTCAAAGTGCGCTTCATCTCGTCCAAGCCCGGGTGCGATACACATGACTCACCCGCATGTAGATGGGAGTATGTCAAGCTTTTTGAACGGCCAGACCAACTGCTGCCGAACACGTGGGTTGTGGTGAGGATAGACGGTCGTGGCTTTACCAAGTGAGTGAGCAGCTACCAGGCCAGGGCGCACGGAATCCGCAGAGGCACACAGCGACTGACGTGACCACTGCCAGATTTGCAAACAAGTACTCCTGGGAGAAGCCCAATGACAGGAGGGCTTTGGATCTCATGAACGCTGCTGCGAAGGCGGTCGTGACTGAGATGCCTGATCTGGTCATCGCATATGGTATCAGCGACGAGTACAGCTTCGTCTTTCACAAGACTTGCAAGCTGTTCGAAAGGCGAGAGAGGTGAGCGGCAGCTACACCTGCACATGCACGTGCAGAGAGGCCCCATGGTGAGCCAGCTTCTCACTGACAGTTACAAGCAAACTGGTGACTACCATCGTATCGACCTTCACGTCTTACTATATCTACCTTTGGTCTCAGTACTTCCCCGACCGGCCCCTTTCACCTCCTCTTCCTAGCTTCGATGGCAGAGCAGTCTGCTACCCCTCCGTCTCCAACATGCGGGACTATATGAGCTGGAGACAGGCTGACTGCCACATCAACAACCTTTACAACACAACGTTCTGGTGTCTGATCCTGAGGGGAGGCATGAACAGCCAGGAGGCGGAGAGGGCGCTGGCTGGGACTGTCTCCGGCGACAAGAACGAGCTATTGTTCACAAAGTTCGGGATCAACTACAATAACGAGCCAGAAATTTACAAGAAGGGCAGCGTGATATTCAGAGATTACGAGTTGGCCGAACCCGGTAGCCACAACGCTGCTGCGGAAGCAGACAGCACTGCCGAGCCAGTCCAGTTGTCCAAAAGCCAGTCGGAGAGAGAGAAGAAGAAGCGCACCAAGGCGAAGGTTGTGATCGAACACCTGGACATCATCAAGGACGACTTCTGGGATAGGCGCCCCTGGATCTTGTCAAACAAGCCGGGGAAAGCGCGGGCACAGACGACGAGGGAAACATCACCGTGTCTCGCAAGTGAGTAGCCGGGCCTGACACTAGAGTATTGTTCCGCCGATGAAGGTTTTAGTGCGGCACGGCCAGGATACCGGGTGCCGTTGGTTAGGTGGCTTCTGTAACCACACTCACGCGAAGGCAAGACGATTACTATGTGGGAAAGCAGGGTTTAGGGCCTTGGGATCAGGCGACCCAGGTGGGTAGACAATTGGCCAGAACAATGAGAATGCTCGTGACCCGGGGCCGCCCGTGGGGCAAGGACCTAGCCAACTTGAGTTGAGACGTGGCTACTTCGAATTCGAGTGGCCGGTCCAGCCGGGATAGACTCGTGAAGAGAAGAATAGATATTAGATAGAACATGGTGGACGGCGAACGAACAAGCAGCGGGCCACAGAAGGCCAGCCGATTGGATTGCGGCCGGTTTGGCCAAATCGGTCTTGGAATGTGAAAAGCGCATTTCCACACCAAAATTCCCGCCGCAACCCGATCCCTATGGGTCTGGTCCTATCCAAAAAGGCTGGGCTTCCGAGCTCTGTGATGTGAAAGTTTGCCCCCCCCCCCCGAGCCCCCCCGGCGGCGACCCCGCCCGCCAACTAACTGCCCGGCTATCTACCTAGCTAGGTACCTAGGTAGTATAGGTAGGTAGGTCTGTACCCAGGGACTTGGTCTGCTTGCTAAGTGCTGCCCAGCTCGGAGGAGTCTTCCTGCCAGCCCTCCCTCACATACGTTGCCTACTTGAACATCATCACTTCACCTCCCTCACACCTTGAATCTCTCTCCAAGCTCGCTGCGAACTTCATTGCGCCTGCAACTACCCTTTCCTGCCTATCATACATACTTTGTTATTTTTCTGCCGGCAACGTCGATCTACCACCTGCACCAAGACTGCTACCCCGCCGACAACCGAGCTTGCGACGTCACGACAGCCTTCCCATCTGCAACGACAACATCGCAAAACCCTCGACTTCTTCCAAGGCGCCATACGCACTGCCACAGACGAAATGTCTGACAAGGCGGAGGACTCCACTTCCGCCGAGGCTCAGATCACCTTCAAGGTGAAGGCCTCGGGCGACAAGAACCACCAGATTACCATGGCCGAGACTGCTACCGTTGGCGAGCTGAAGACCAAGCTTGCCACCGAGCAGTACGAGAACATCCCCGTTGAGCGACAGCGCCTCATCTACTCAGGACGCGTCATGAAGAACGAGGACACCTTGGCCTCCTACAAGGTCAAGCCCGGCAACACCATCCACCTTGTCAAGAGCGCTGCCAGCAATCCCGCCCCGGCCCCGAGTGCCTCTTCCTCGTCTCCCATTCCCCAGGCTGTACCAAGCAACATGGCAGCCGGCACCTCTGCCAACAACCTACTGGCCGGCCTGACCGGAGCTCGCTTTGCCGGCCATGCCAATCTGCCCAGCGCCAACATGTTTGGTGCCGATGGAGGTGTAAGACCCTTACCCACTCGCTCAAGCCCAAGCCCACCTTATCAACAACCTGCTGACCATTCGCTCCTTGTAGATGGGCGCACCGCCTAGCGAGGATCAGATGGCAGACATGCTGTCCAATCCCAACGTCGCCCAAGCCATGAACGAGGCCCTGAACAACCCTCAGCTCGTCGACGTCATGATTCAGAGCAACCCCATGCTGAGAGACAATCCCAACGCCCGCGAGATCATCCAGTCGCCCTTCTTCCGCAACATGCTCACCAACCCAGACATGCTACGAACAGTTGCCCAGATGCGTCGGTCCATGGGCGGAGGCGCCGGCGGCGAAGCCTTCCCAGCTCCCGGCGCGACAGACACGACGCCCGCTGATGCCGCCGCTGCCGGTAGTGGCGGAGCAAACAACGCACAAACCCCGCAGTTCCCTTTCATGATGCCAGGCATGTTTGGCGGTCCTGGTGCTGGTGCAGGCGGTGGTGTTGATGGCACAGCAGGCCAAGGCGCCAACCCATTCGCTGCGCTTTTCAACCCCTTTGGAGCAGCAGCCCCGGCTACTCCTCAGACCGGCGCCGGTGCCGCTACTGGTGCTGCTGGTGTCACCCAAACCCCTTCCGGAGACGGCGCTGCCCAGCGGGACGCGTCTGGAGCGGCCGGCTCGGCGCCCTCTGGCCAGCCCGCCAGCAATTCTCCCTCCCAGCCCCCCAATCCATTTGCGGGACTGCTCGGTACGCCACCAGGAGGCGCTGCGAACCCTTTCGGGATTACGCCCGAGATGATGCAGAACTTCACCCAGATGATGCGAGGTGCGCCACAAGGAGGCGCTGCGAACCCTTTCGGGATGACGCCTGAGATGATGCAGAACTTCATGCAAAACTTCATGGGCGGTGCGCCCGAGCCTGCCGCACCCGCTGACACCCGACCCCCCGAAGAGCGCTATGCTGAGCAGCTGAGCCAGCTGAACGAGATGGGATTTTATGACTTCGATCAGAACGTGGCAGCGCTGCGCCGCAGCGGTGGTAATGTGCAGGGGGCGGTTAACTTCCTCCTAGGCGGATAAGCTCGCTCTAGAGGGAGTTCATTCAGTCGGTTTGTTCTTGGTTGTGAGTGCGTCTCCGCGAAGCATTGCTGCTGGTGGTGGTGGGAGTTCAGGAGTCTTGAATTGCAGGTGGTCGAGCATATGATATCAGGACATAGAGCCTCGGAATTGTTGAGAATCCGGGCACAGATTTCCCAAGCCGTGAGCACAGTACTCTTCGAACTCTGTCACAATGTGTACAGCGCCAGTGTGGTGATGATAGCAGACGGACAATGAGGTGAGTGTGGGCTCAGTTACTTCGGGTCGAGACCACAACAGTAGATATGCAGGGATGTATCTGCCGAAGCAGTATATGCAACCGCCCGCTCCGAACCACTCAAGCACACAGATGTGCCGACCAGCAATTATGCTCGCAATGCCGTTCTGGAGTACCAAAGCCCCCGTGTTGTCGACGGGAGCTCGCGGTCATTCAAACAGCTCTAGGGTCTAACCCTGTGTTTGTTCGAGCCCGGTGATCTCGTTCTGGTCAGACCCAGGCCTTCATCCCTCACACATAGACTCGAACGATTCAGCCTTGTTAGAGACAAGTAGTTGTCCGTCACGTCCCCCACGCAATCAAGTAACACTATTTGAGGGATAAGATTCCTGCCAACTCACATCAAAACTTTCCTCGTCAAACATCCACGGACGTCAATTTATGTGAAGTGAGACACAAAAATGAGGCTTCCAGGTCATTGCCCATCATAACCTCGGAATGCACAAGAGCAAGGGCAAGCAAGCAAGATGATCCAGGGCATCTTCTACGCACGGTTCTTCCCCCAGGAAGGTCAGTAATGAGCTGACTATGATCCACAAATTAAACATTCTATTTCCCGTGGGACCACGAGATCTTCCTCGGGCTGAATAGTACTCCAGGGACCAAGATCGTTGCTCAGTCGCCGCCGGGGTGCATCGTGCCTGAGGGCGCCGGTCCTCAAAGGAAGCCCTGCCTCTTCGACTTTGATGTAATGCAGGAGTACATCATCCCACGAAAAGCCTTCTTCAACCGCTTTGTCGCGGTCAACGAGCCGGAGGGCAAGTACACAGTGCTGGGCCTGCCTGTGGCCATTGCCCACCCGAAGTACCAACGAAATGAGTTCATCTTCAACTTTGGCCTCGTGGTTGTACGTCTGCTTGCCTAATCCCCAGTCCCTGATACCGCCCTGCCTAGCAACCACAAGGCACAATATGTAGACGAGGATAAGGCCATACGGCTTGATGGAGTCTCAGCTCTGCATATTTCTGACCAAGACAAACATGCTGTAGGAGAGCGATGTCGACCAGATCCCCTACGAGAGGGTCGTGCGGCGGTTGGCGGTCACGTTCGCCGAGATGGAGAAGCAGAACGAGTATCTGAGCCGCGACCAGAGTGGGAGCAACGATGGGGGAAGAAGACCAATCGGCAGCCTCTTGGAGATAATCAAGGAAGACCTCAACAACTACGGCGAGTGTATGATCCCAGTGGGTATGTTCCCCCCCCCCCCCCGAAAGGCGCCCCCGGGACCGTTCCTCGCACACTGTCCTCTCTACTGACACACCTGTTGGGCATAGACGACGCAAACACAATCAACATGAAACTATTCCCACACCACCGGACCCCTCCGGAGGTCAGAGGCTGGCACGTCCCAGTGGCTAAGATGAAATTCAGCGAGGTCGTCGACCCAACCTGGGACTTGACGCTGCAGAAAGTGATCACGCACATAGACGGCGTGAGCGATGTCCGGCGCATTGCCTTCAACGCCGACGTCAGCCTGGAGCTCACCAAGATCGCTCTTCGCCATCTCCTGTACTATGACACCATCCTTCTGCTAGATATGTTCTTCTTCAGCTCCTGTTATGCGCCGAGGCCGGGAATCCACGACTTCGTGACAGACGTGAGCGCCAACGACGGGTACTATACCACCACTGCAGACTCGACCACTATAGATGGTCCCAGCGGCGCGGACGGCACGACGGCGGCCGGCGGGCCTGGCATGGGTGGCGCAGCGGGCGGAGGCATCGTGGACGAATGTGCCAACTACGTCTGCATCATGTCCTCGGGCCAGCGCGTCACCGACTACCAGCTCATCAAGCTCATGACGACCTTTTGTGTCGGGCGGACGGTGGGCGAGTGGTTGCGCCTGCACATGGACGCCGGGTTTGACGTCCTGCGCCACGTTGACGTGCGTCGTCTGGTCCAGTTCGGGGTCATCAAGGGCTTGCTGTACCGGGTGCACAAGTATGTAGTCTCAAAGCAGTATCTTGCGGCGCTTGCGACAGGGCAGAGCCGACCTCTGATGGGTCGGGATGGGAAGGCCGCTGGGGATCCGTTGCAGAGATACATGGACGGATGCCACAACTTCGACCAAGTCATCACGGAGCAGAACGTGACGGATGGAGAGATAATGGAGAGATTGAAGAGCTTTCCCGGTCCAACAGGGGATTTGACCGTGCTCTACCGTTGATGAGGCAGTGAGTGGGTATATATTGGGCTTTTATGCCTAGTCTAGTCTCTAATATTGTACATACCGGCCGAAGGCAAGGTGACATGCAAAACAGTGTCATACGATGGTGTGCCGGAGCGCATGGCTGTAGCCAAGTCCTCCGCTGCGAAGGTGGAGACGTGTGCTGCCATCTTTTCCCCCAATATAGGGCGTCGCAGTTTCCCAGATTACCACTCAAACTCATCGCTCGACCCTCTGTCCCTTGCCTGCGACTCAACCTGACCGCTCCTCCGTCCGTCTGACATCTTCTTCATCTTCCGTTCAAGTATCTGGAGCTGGGGTCGTGAAGTTGGTATGAAAACTCGTGGCCTGCTCGAAGGATTTGTCTGGTGTGGCTCACCTGCAGCAGCATCGCTGTTCACGGGCTCGGCGCCTTGCTTCGACTTGGCCATCTTGTTGAGTCGTTGCATAGCTTTACGGAACTCGCCCGTCTTGGGCTGCCCAGGATATTCCAGTCCCGATTTGTCCCACTCCTCGTCCGATACAAATTCGATGCAACGGATGTTGTGTTTGCCCTTGCGTAGCAGAAGGACCTTATCGTCGATGAGGAACCTCTTATTGGTCTCAAGGTCCCACGTCTTGGCGGGAGTGAATTGCAATTGGCCTTGACTCATGCCCACGTTGCTGTGACCCTTCTGCCCTGGAGAGCCGCCGATATACATGCCCCCATTCTTGATGATCCTGTCAGCGTCGGATATACTCAGGGCAAAACTCGCTGCGTAGACGATGCGCGGAAGCGTGAGGCTCAGGACGCGCCTGGGCAACTTCACGTCTATCCGTGGCCTGTTGCTATGGTTTGTCTGTACGGGATCAGCCATGTACTGTGTGGAATCCTGAGGCACCCCCGAGGAATGTGGCGATGATGCTCTGCCGCCGTAAACAGCTTGATGTTGCGCCTGTGTCTCCGCGGCGACTTTGTGTCCATGAACCAGCCAGAGGACCTCGTAAGCCAACAGATGTTGGGCGACTCGCTTGGGTGGGTCGAGTTGGTGCTCCTCCATAACCTCCGAAATTCTGCTGAGAGGGTGGAATGTAAAAAGCTTCAGAAGCATTTCCACCTCGTCGTCTCGGCGCCTCACCAAGTAGCCATAGAGGTCGTATGGTGTGGTCTTGAACGGGTCGAGCCAGAGAGCATTGCCAGCGCTTTTGCCAAATTTGGCTCCTGAGGAATCAGTCAGGAGGGGTACTGTGAATCCAACGGGCTGATCGAATTCGCCGTTGGGAAGCTTTTCAACCGGGTTGGGCTCGTTCTCAACGCATGCTTTGACGCAAGTGGCACCTGTGAGGATGTTGCCGTACTGGTCTGAGCCTCCGATCTGCATCTGGACACGGTGCTGCTTAAGCAGCTCGTACCAGTCCCACGCTTGCATCATTGGGTAGCAGAATTCGGCGAAGGACATGCCTGAGCCGTCTTGTAGCCGATTCTTGACGTTATCGCGCGACAGCAAAGGTCCCATCCTCATCTGGGTTCCTAAGCGTCTCACTACGTCTAGCATCGGGAGCTTGCCCCACCAGGCACTGTTGTTGACAATGCCACGCTTCCAAGCCCACTCTTTCTCGAATCCAAACCTCTGGGAGGCCATTTCAACATGCTTCCAGATCGTGACAAGTTGGTAGTGGATGACGGTAAGGTTCTGGACCAGGTCTTTTCTCTCCAATTGCGGACGGCTGTCAGTCCTGCCGGTGGGATCTCCTATTCGGGCGGTCGAGCCTCCGACGAGAGTGAAGGCGCCATATCCGTGCATGTACATCCAGAACAATGGCATGAACGGTAAGAGATGGCCGAGATGGAGTGAGCTGGCTGTAGGGTCCACTCCCGCGTATGCAGCGACTCGTTTTTGCGTCATCGTCTCGCGTATAAGCTCCTTGGTGCTGATTTTGTCAGATGCGCGTGAGAGCAACGTGCAGGACCGAGTAAGGCGAGCCGTGGACGGTGCTTACCTACCCTACAACGTCTTTGACGAAACCCCTATCCTGCAGCTCGTCAAAAAGGTGCTTTACCGTCCCGGCCTCTATTTTCTTGGCCTGGGCCGCCCAGGCCTCCTCGGCATCTTGTTGCTTCTTGAGATATTTGTCGCCAATCCATCTTGTTTGGGAATGTAGCGGCGACGAGGGTCTTGACCTCGATCTTGAAATCGCCTTAAGACCCAGGCTCAGACTCAAACAATCACGGCACAGTACGGCTCGAGCTGGGAGAATCGTTGGCAGGGAGGCCATAGGAGCCATAATTGGCTCCAGCCAGTGCAATATAAAAGGTTGAGCAGCGGGACTGAGCCAGATCCGACCCAGGAGGGACAGTCGGGGTTGTTCAGTCCATGAGGAAGAGCACCAGCTGTGGCGCCAGACTTCGAGCACAGCGCGCGATGTTGCGATGCTCCAGAAATTTCTCGCAGGGAAGGCTTATCGACAAGCCCTGGCTGGGTCGGCAGGCAAGCGGGATGGGTCTGGATTGCTCATACAGTCTGCGTTCACGGTGTTTGCTCATGCAGCCCCCAAGCTCCAATGGCCAGTTTAGGCTCAAGTGGCAGGGTGTTTGCACCAAGGGGTCGGGAGTCAGTGCTTGTGGGAGCCCAGGGAAGCGGGTCGGGGCTACCACAGCACGCTACCTTCGGACCAATCGCAGAGCTGCCGATTGTAAAAGATACCTGGGTACCTGCGGAACACCGCAGACCAAGTCGGCTTCGCCTCGGCTACTCGATAATGACATCCTCCAAACTCCATCCAGTCTGGACAGACCAAACGCCGCCCGCGATCTCAACATCGATCTTGCCCCCGTCGCAACACCCAGCCAATCTCGCCACCTACAACGATTGTGACGCGCCGACAAGCCCGAAGAAACATGGCATCTCTTGCTCGTCCAGCTCTGCTGCGGCAGACCGCTGCCGCCTCACGATCCATGGCACCTTCGACCCGGGCTGGCCCGTCGATGCTCTCCAAAACCTTGTTGAGGCCAAGCACCCAGCCCTCGTCGAAGCCCAGCATCGTCCAGGTCACAGCCTTCCATGCGAGCAGCCGCAGAAATCTGCTACCTCCTGGGCCTCGTATGTCTGCTCGCGCTATCTGCGCCGACCTATCTCCGCCATTCCTCCAAGTTGCCTACTAATCCTTCTCTGTAGAGGTCATCCACGGCAGCGTCAATGAGCCCGCGCCAGTCCCTTCACCGTCTCCATCCCATGGTCACTACCACTGGACCTTCGAGCGTGGCATGGCCGCCGCCCTAGTGCCTCTCTCCATCGCACCCTTTGCCGCCGGCTCGTTAAACCCCACCATGGACGCCCTCCTCGCAACCACTCTGCTTGTCCACGCCCACATGGGCGTCCAGGCCATCATCATTGACTACGTTCCCAAGAAGCGATATCCCAACTTGCGCAAATCTAGTCACTGGCTTCTGAATGCGGCGACCATTCTGGCGGGCATAGGATTATACGAGTTTGAGACGACCGACGTCGGCTTGGTCGAGGCCACCAAGAGGCTATGGCGAGCATAAGAAAGGCCCCAGGGTCGAACAATGGGGATGCTATAGACTGTATGGTTAGTGGGATGAAGGCGGCTTCCTGGAAGCTCTTGGCGCGAATACACATTGTACCAATGCAATCGCAGTCCGGTCCCAACATTGACCCAAGGTGCTTGTCTTGAATCGTGCATCTCCTATGTCTTAGCGCTGATGAGCACATGCCCAGCCCATGGCACAGTTCTCTCACACCATTCTACAGCAGTGTCCAGCATTCCTCAAGTTCATCCCCTTTTTATGTTGGTCTCTTCGCGAACTCTAGCTATATGAGTGCGTTCTGGTGTCTTGATAAATCTGGGTAAAGTCCATTACTTTTTCACACATCCTGGACGTCGGCAAAATGGAACGAAAGAACAAGCATCTCATGATCATATACAACTTCTCCCAGCCAATTATATGACTCCTGTTGTCCCCATCGCCGTCCGGGAAAACACCCAGGCATTTGTTGTTGACACATGCGGTTTTCATAGCCCAGGTGATCAAAACGTTGTATGGAATTGATATTATGGGACATCGCAGAAATCAGCGTACAAATATGCATATGTCGAGATACACGTGATTTGAGCAAGAGGTAACACTTGATCTCAGAAAAGATTTGTTCGAAATCGCAAATCTTGGTCTGAACTCTAGGTAGCTACGTTCTTGTCCCGGTATCAACACATGTCTGTCCTCCCTCTGCGAAGGGCATGTTTCGAGCCGTCGGACTATCGAGACCGCAGCCTACTGCTCAAGGATACGAGGACCCTGGAACACTATATCTTAGTCAGGGATAAGACTCTGCGCTGTTGCATGTGCCTCTAGATCTGGCCGACCGTCTCGTCAGACGTAACATCCTGGATCTAGGGTTTGATCTCGTTCCAGGGTTGGTAATTGGAATTTCTGAAGAGAATCAGCCCTTTTCAGATGGAATAACATGATTCACCCTCATCTGTGCCTTGGAATTTTGTCATGGAAAATTTCTTGATACCCAAGTCCATCTGGCCTTCATACTACTCGTCATAGAATTACTAGACTTGATCAATAAATACATTCGACACCCTCTCTCTGCCAGACATGAGGGAAAGAAGGTGTTTATGAAAGGCAAAGGACGAAATGATTAGGAAAAGGAGTCCGAGCGACAACAAGTCCGAGGCGAAATTTTCAAATTTGGCCCTTGATACACGTTTAGGGAGTTAAAATCTTCCCCTCTAAGGACCCCCTTCACCACCGAGATTGGTCTTCCATAAGATTCCTCAGTTGCAAAGACCATGATAAACAAGCAATCAACATCATTGCTATTCACGTGGACTGATATCTTGGATGGATTTGAGCCTAGGTGTCGGGAATTCAGCTTCACTGTGGAGTGGGTATGCTACAGGTAGGACGCCTCTATGAGGAACCCGACTGTAAACTTGGTATGGCGCTCGATTGCATCCCACATTATTGTATCGTATGACTGATGTAGATAACAAGTTAGGTTTACTCGTCTGTACCCGTTTCAACCGCTTGCTGCCCAAAGGAAGACTCACATCTGAAGACGAGTGGATGTAGGGGCTAGAAGTTGATATTACTTCATCGCATGCATAGGCCGCAGCTTGATGCCAGTCGAGATCAGTAAAATGGACATTCTAACCTCTCTCAAGTGGTCTTTTGGGAGCTGAAGCCCGGGACTTACGGAAACCGTTGGCGTAAGCCGACTGGTGATCTGAACAACCATAACCACAAGCATCAGTTGAGGTCTTCAGCCCCGTGTACCCCTCGGCCACCTTCCTCACGTATGAAGTCAAGCTGGAGTCCACATAGTCCGTATATATACTGATGACGCCACTCGGGCTATACCCTGCCATGTCCTGATTCATCATCGCCAGGACCTGCTTATTAGCCGTCTTGTAAGAACTAAATATGTCCTTACTTCCAAGGAGTCCGCCCTCCTCGCCAGCATAGAAGTGGAACTCCAGCGTATCCTGAGGCTGAAAACCCGCCTCTGCGAGGATCCGCAGCGCCTCGAAGATGACGACTACTCCGGATCCATTGTCATCTGCTCCTGGACCACGCGCGGTACTGCTGCCGCCTGTGGAGTCAAAGTGCGCTCCTACAATGACCAGAGCATCGGATGAAGAACCGGGGATCTTGGCGATCACTGAGGGCTGATTGAAGGAGTGAGAGAACTTGGAAACGCTGATGCTTGGATTGGCGGCGGCAGCTGATACGACTTTACAATGCGGAGTTAGCGACTGAAACAAGCTGGGAGACGCTTCAGAGGGGGCAAGATATGCTAAGCATATCCTGCCCATAGCTAGTGCTTCCTGAAGCGATGCTTTATCAGGTTTTGAGAGAAAGCAGGAATCCCAGATGAGCTGCACAGGGCCAAACTCCTCCTGTGTGTCCGGGGAGACCAACCTTGATTGTAGAGCCAAGTCGAGGCCTCGGTGCCGTAAGTCGATCTATAGTAGCGATTGTAGAAACTGGAGAATTGTATGAGCATGTGTGTAAAGCAATCTGAAATTAAATGGGATGAAATATGTTCAAAACGGAGGGCGAGGTTGAGTTGATGGGAATTGCTTACTCGGTCAACGTCTTGAGGAAAGTCTTCTGGCCACTGGCAGATATTTCGGATATTAGAGTATTGGCCTCTGTCTGGTGGCTCAGTGTCGAGGGATATGAGACTGCCGCGGCTTCCACTGCAGAAGATGTTGAAAGCGTCGCCGCCACTTCAGCTTCCTGCTCACGCATGTGCGCATTGTAAGCCTCTGGACCGGCCAGGTCGTTTCAACGATTTGGATCACCCACGTCCATGTCAGTAATATCCACAAAATTGATCCCCTTGGCCACGTAATTTTCGATTTTCTCATCTTCACGGACCCAAGTACCAGGGTCGAATTCGGACGTCTTGATAAGACGCCGAGCAGCGTCTGCAGTCACTGAGGTCTCAGCATGGCTGAATGGACTTGCGGCCGCGATGCCCAGGAGGCCGAGGACGCAATAAAAATGCATCATGTCGAATAGGGATTACACACGATGTGTCCTCAAACACAATGGCTCTCTTGATGAGTGGGGATAATCTCCAGGAGCGATCTCCCGGAGCCCACCCTGCCTTTAAAAAGACATCAGGCGCCTGTCCTCGTCCAGAGACGTCGCAGTCAACTGACGACCGTTCGCTCATATTGAGCAGTGTCAAACGATTGTAGATAAGAGAACAAGCTTGGTAACCTGTCGGCAGGGCTTGGCTGCGAGCCAAGACCTGCCGTTGACGGGGGCTCTTTCGAGATGAGGAAGGTCTAATTATGGGGAGACGTAAACCAATGTTACGCAGGCCCTACGTCTCCATGTCAAGCATTGCCGACGTCTTGCTCCAGCTTCCACAACGGTCCTAGCCTCAGCATCTGTATCTGTGGATTCCAGCCAACGATTGGATACTGCAAGTCCAAGTCACTCATGTTCACAATTACACAGCATGAATGCCTTCGTCTATTTTGTTCCGCCAGATTCAACGTCGAACTCGCTCGCACGTAAATGGTGTCATTTGTTGATGATCTAAATTGTCGAATTCTTGTCCATCATACGCGAGCAGCCGAGTCAAACGACGACTGCTCCAGCCCTCCAACTTGTAAAAATAAGAAAACCTGCGTGAAGAAACGAACGTTTTCCTTGCCCCAAGAATTCTTCGAGCGGGCCCAAAGAGAACTCTCTGCAAATGAATACGCGTCAGATAATACAAACCACTACTTGGAATTCGTTCACCCGCAAAGGACGCCAGGACCCCACGCCAACAACTCCTTGAAATGCTTGCAAAACATGTGAGTACACCCAGTTTACAACAACCCGAACTCCAAAATAGTACATGCCCCCCTTGAAAAATTCTTTTTTAAAGAACAAACACCCTGCCCATCTCTCCGGCCGCCGAGATTGCTGCAATTCTCAAGCCACATATGCTGGTTCAATCAAGATGCCCCAATTCCTTTCAGGGTGACGCAAGCTCTGCGCGGCCATGCAGATGACCGGACCCCGCAGACATTATGCTCCTCTGTGGTGATTCCAACTCTGCCGGTTGGAACCCAAAGCTCGATGGCGGTGACCAAAAAGAAGGTGTCATTGGGTTCGAGCGCAGCGGGTCGTTGGATTTCGGTGTGCTGGCCAGGCTCTGGTTGTTGTGGTATCCCCCGAACATTTCATACAGGTGCTTCTTCTCCTTCCCATCCGACTGCAACTCGAACGGACCTCTGACCATCTTCCCATTCACGCTTCGGGCCACGGACGCAATGCTGCCGTTGCCACTAGGGCTGAGGTCAAGATTTGGCGGTGGCGATCGAAATCTCCTGTCTTTTGGAGGTGGTGCAGGCGGTGGGATAGGCGTCTCGATCTGTGCCCTTATCCTCTGCTTCTTCCGTCGAAGGTAAAGAAACAGCCACGCCGAGACGATAATTATCAAAACTGCAGCTGCCGCTCCGATACCTATCCCGATGGCTTGTTTGGTGCTAACGCCCCTGTGCGTACTTGACCCTGAACCCGGCGTGCTAGAAGAATATGACCCTGACGAGGACGTAGGAGATGAAATCGATAATGTGGCCGAGTCCGATGCTGCTGATATCACAGAAGCCGAAGACGAGGTCTGCCATTGGTTGTCAGCAAGTGACCCGTGTCTGAGCGACCCCATATCTACCCAAATCTCAAGCACTCACCATGGCGGCGACATCGCTGCTGAAATCCCCTGACCTAAAGCGCACTGCTATACCATTTGCTCCTAGGCCTGCTCCTGCAGTCTCCGTCGTCGACTGTATCAGATCTGTGTGTCCATCCGAAATCGCTGTTATCCGTGCGAGGACCAAATCCAGATCGAATGTCGTGGTGCAACCTGAATTCGTTTGGGGGGCCTCGAGGTCATCTATAGCACCGGCGCATGTGTAGACAGCAGCCGTGGGGCAGCATGTGTAGGCCGTCTCAGTCGCCGTGCGCGAGACAATACCAGTACTGGAGCAAGCAGGCGTGTACCCGCTAGGACATAAACCTGGTGAATAGTACTGCGATGACGACGCATCGTAGCCACTCGGGTAGCACTCTGTCCTGCTGCCAAGCGGGCCTTGCTCGTAATAGTACGTATCCGCTTCCGGCCATATTTGATAGAGGCCTGTGGCTGTAGCACAACTCGATGGCGCTGTGAACGTTGTCGTCAAGGGGCCGGCGTTCGACATCATGGCGTTGCAACCAGACCTCTTCGCCGGGTCCTCAAAACGGCATTGTGTATCGAGAACCTTGAGGCTTTGTCACGCTGCGCAGTGATGGGGAGGAAGTAAGGGATTGACGTCCCTTGCAATTCGAGAAAGGTAAGTAAAGACGAGCAGGAAGGATGTGGCGTGGGAAGATGGTTACACCGCGTCACTACATATTGACAGCTGACGAGACCTTTCCGCCCCAACAGCCAAACCGCAAGCTGCGGATCAGGAGCGACCAAGCGAGCTCGAGTAGAATTGGCACCTAGCCTCAACCAATAATGACATTCGGTCGTTGTTGCGAGACGATCAGGCTGCATGTGCTAGAGCCTTGTTCTGTTGGTTCTCCGGTGCATTGAGCCGAATTGAAAGCCACCATGTTGGTAGCGTGATAACTTTTAGAGCGGAACCGGGGAGCTTCCATCGGGGCAACGGTAGGATCGAGTTATTGGATCATCATCGATCCCTCGTGGGGAAGCAAATGCTCGTGAGAGGCGCAGCAAGCCGTGGGTGCCAACGTGGCGGCGAGCTGGACATTCCTCCCCCAGAGCCTCCGGTATCCTTCAACGGAGAACAGTAATCAACGGTTTGCGAATGCTTGACTCCATAATCGGCCCATCAGACGAGGACAAACGGTGCAAGAGCCGCGGCAGGAACAAAGTGTAGGCGCGAGAGGCGCGCCAAAGGCACCACCAGCGTGTAAGCTTCCACCCTCGTGATGTCGAGGGAAAGGAGCACTCGAGGACCGATTTGAGCCGTCGCAAGCGACAGCGAGGGAATGCAATAGGGAATCGTGTTGGACTTGGCCTCATCTCCCACCACCAGACACAGCAGGTTGGCCCCTGGCAGCTGGATTCGTAGCTGGCCAATAGCGGAATTCGGCATGGGCGAGCAGGGCGCTTAACGTGGTGTGGTCCCCACCAGTGTGAATCCTTCTGCCCTCTTTCGGCCATGCTAGGCGCTTGTATTTCTCGTCCGTCTTAGGCAGATGCAGATTTCGCCTCTTCAGTGGCTATTAATACCCGGCGCACCGTTATGCCGGCCAAGCGCAACTCGTGGCTCAGGAACCGATCGTCGCCAGTCTAGATCTACGTCCTCACATCTGAGCCGACAGTAGTGGGTTTGAGGAAAAGGATCGCCACAGCGCCCGGCGTCTCCCGCGTCTATTATACCTTGATGTTGGCCGGGAGCTGTTCCGCCAGCCGCTTTGTGTACTGAGTATACCTGTACCTAGCGGGCGAGAAGCTTACGCCCATTGGTCAGGGCAGCGGGCTAGACGCGAATGGAAGCGTGCTCAGCTTTGCAGGCAGGCCGGTGCAAGCCGGCCGAAAGCTTGACAAGAAACAACAGTACGCGGAACAGACTGCAGCTTTGCCTTGGGCAGAAGAACGTCAGCTTGGCAATTTCATAAAGCAGGCAGCCCATGCAATTGAGAAGCCGAAACAAATTTCCCATGCTTCATCTCTAAAGTATACGTGGTCGAGTCTAGTGGACCACCGCACATCATGCCCTGTGGTGACTAGATAGCTTCTCCGTGTTTAATTCACTTCTGCAAGGGATACCTAGTTAGATGACAGCTAACCCCTTTGCAACTCATCAGGGCCACCTGTAGGGGTGACATCTCTCTTTCCGAACCGCACGCCAATGTCTCTTCGGAAGAATTTTCCAATGTTCTTCAAATTCTCATTGATAGTCGCCTTTTCACCCGGAGCTCCGGCCGTGGTAGGTGTCCCGATCCGGTCAGACGCGTCCCGAGCAGCGCTGAGCAATTTCTCGCCCAACGATGCTGCGTCGAAGCGGCCGCCCGGGCCTGCGGCACCGCTTAGGGCAGAGTTTCCGATGCTCCCGAGACCAGTGCTACCAAGTCCGGAGGCGTTCAGCAAAGGGCCCAAGAGGGGTGAGTTCTCTACCAGCTGCTTGTCCGTCCTCGCGCCGTCACGGTGAAGAGAGAACAGCTCCAGCAGGTGAGCCTGATCCTGCTTGCGGACGCCCTTGAGCTCGAGGATCTTCTTGAAGTTGGTATCTGATCGGTCCCCGACATGGATGAGATAGGCTTGGACAAGGCCCTCAGGTGGCGATGGCCGTACTTGTAGAGTCTTCAGTAGAGGGTCTATGCGTGTCATAACCTGGTTGACACGCTTGATATACGTGGCTGGTGGCTGGTACGAGTCGCGGGACGATGATGCATTGTGGTAACCCAGGAGCTTCTCAAAGTTCTTGGCAAGCGTATACTTGTCGAGAAGCATCTGCAAAAGTCAGCGCATTGCCTTTACGCTGTGAGGAATAAGGTGGACAGAACTGACCTGTTCAGCGCCACCTTCAGAGATGGGGCGGCATAGAACAATGTTGTTGACATAAGCTGTCGCCAATCGCTCGACGAGATTGTCACAGAAAGCTCTCGCATATTGTTGTTTGGCGACAATGGACAGAACCTCCTCGGTCTTCGCATTTACGTGCTGAAGCAGCTCTCCAACATACGAGCTGTGGTCTCCGACGCTCTCCATCTCCCTCCAGTTAGTGTTCTTCATCTCCCTCCACGCTCCCTCACAGCTGACCTCAACCTTGTGGACTAGGGCTTGAATAGCAGCACTGACGACACCGAGGAAGGTGTCCGCTTGCGAGGACAAGTCGATCTTCGCCATGAACTCAGGGTCAACCCGCTTCTTGATGTTGTCTTCAAGCTGCACGGTGTTTTGGTGCCAGAAATCTGCGGTGTTGAGGACCAACACGGCATCTTGAATGGGCGGGCCTTGGGGTCCTCCCCTTTGCAGAAACCCTAGTAGGACTTGCTGTGCATATTCCTCGAGATACTTGGCCAGTGTCTTGGTCAGATCGAACAGCCTTTCGCCGGTAGACAGCTTCGCACACTGCGACAATGTGATCTTGTAGGAATGGAAGAGCTCAATGGCGGAGGGTATGACGGCATTGGGGGAGAACTCCTCGTCTTCGTCTATCAGAGGCCCATTTTTGTACTTTGGTATCATATTCGCCAGAGCCTTGTCCTGCGACTCTACCCACAGGCTCAGATACGGCTCAAAGGCCACCGATATGGAGCCATTGAAATTATTTGTTCGGTCGTCGGATGAGCTCAGCGTGTCGATACTTGCACGGGGCAGCTCGTTTGAAAAGCGCTTCTCAAGGCCTTGTTCAAAGTCCATGGTCTCTTGCAGACAGCTCAAAAGCAGGTTGACGTCGATTTTTTGGCCGTCGACGCGTCGCATGCTCTTCTCCAAGATGCCCTTGAAATCGTCCCTGGTCCCGTCGCAAAACGACATGGCCAACATTTCGTTAACCCTCCAGTGCGGGGGGAATATGGCGGCATGCTCGTCCTCGTGTGTCTTCAGCATCCGCTTGAACCAGGCATACCGCCGGCCGATGTTGTCCAGGCTGCCCGCCTCGTCGTTGCCACGGAACACCTGGCGGTATTCCCTCAACTCAGTGTTTACGTACCAGGTGATCAATCTGCTCTTTGCGTTTTCTCCTAGGGCATCCATGACCATGCAGGCCTCGATGAGCGTACCTTTTCGCTGGGGTATCTCTGCCTTAGCAAAGGCGATCTCGAAGTCCTCGCACACCTGCTCCAACAGCTCCCGCTGCAGGTCTGCAACATTTCTGCTCAGCACGGCGATCTGCTCGATGCTCCGGTAGCTATTGAAGTGTTTCATAAGTTGGAGGACAGCCAGAAGGAGGCCGGCACACTCGCGGTACTGCCTGGTCCTGGCCAGACCGCGCAGCTGATCGTAGGCCGTGGTTAGCATCTGCAGGCGCTTGAGGGCTGTCATGCTGAGGGTGAGGTTGCGCTTGGTGCCATCGATTCGCTTGATCTCGGCGGTCATTGTGGTGATGTCACGTTCCGTCTGTAGAGCGCGGCTGCGTACGCCTTCTATTCGCTGGAACAGGCTGGCGAGCTCGGCCTGGGCGGACTGCATGCGCTCGAGGCTCGAGTCGGGACCCCAGGCCTGGGAGGCCTCGAGGGCGTTGATGGAGGAGGAAAGATCATCTCGGTGGGACTGCAAGGTGCTGGAGACGCGGTCGATCGAAGAGACGGCGGCGGAAGGCCGGGAGAAGAGGGTGTTGAGATGGTCTACTGGGTCGTAGTCCACTGCAATCAAGCGATGATTAGCTACACCTGGCCATACTTTGCTGGCATTCGCCTTGTACTGGTCAAATGTTGTTAACAGGAACAGGACGTAAAAGACTCACCAGAATCTAGAGAGGACGGGTCGAGTAAGTTGTTCTCGGTGAAGATATTCATGGTGGGTAGGGAGAGTGTTCAGGGTGAAGCAGCAGGTCCGGCGACGTTGCATGTGAGCCGACTGACACAAACAAGCTCCTGGAGCTCCGTAGCCAGCAGGGGGCAGGTAGGTCGGCATCGGCAGCGGCATCGGCAGCAGCCTCCGATTCCCACTCCCTTCCCTGCCGACACGGCCCCTATCTGCACCTGTGCTTTGGAGACACAGTAGTCTAGTCTACAGTGCTAGGAGGTGTTCTAATCTTGAGCGCCCATATCATGAGTGGCCCGCTCCAGTGTTGGCTTCGTCTTCATGGGCGTTGTCTGCTTCCCCCCTCGCCCTTCCTTTTTTTTTCTTCTATATTTTTTTTGAAAAGAAGAAAGTCAATAAACACAAAATAGTAAGAAGAAGAAGAAGAAGAAAAAGAAAAAGAAACGAAACCAGGGGCCTCAGCATACAAATTATTATTGAAGAGCGCTGTGCATTGTGCTGTGGGTGTTGATGTGACACTGCAGTGGCCTTCCTCGACACCCATGAGCTGGACTGCATGTGCATGCAATAAACAACAATGTTGCAACGCTTATTCTTCTCATTTTCAAATCTTCAATGGTACAACGGCACATGATCATGAGAAATTGAAGGATAATCCAAGGGGGTAAAGATGAACCGAAGTAGAATTGATGGTGAAATGAGAATTTAGGGTCGAGAAATCCTCCAGATATGTATGTAAGCTGGCAGCATATCCACAGAGAACACAACATCACTCACCCATTCACTCACTCCCTTTCAAGAAATCGAGTCTGACGAAGAGCTTCTCAACTTCGCTGTGCCCTACTCCCCCGGTCGTCTACGTATGGTTGTCTATCCTATGCCGAACTCTGTGGAATTCACAGCTCGAGGGTTCATTGGTATCTAGGTCTCTCCATCTTCATCTAATATGCCATCGCTCCAAGTCTAGGCCCAGGCCTGCCGTTCCATTCATTCAAAATCACAGGAGAGTTGTGCAATTTCACACAGTCCATACACCTGGACGTTCATGTCGAGTTGCAATGCGCCGAAAGCAGCAATAAGGACCAGCGACCTTGAATGCTTTGGTCCAATAGTGGACTTCAAGCCGTTGAGGACTAGGTCGCCAGCCACGCACGAGAACCATGATCAGCGAAGAACCTGGTTGGTATACGAAAATGATCCAGCCGTCCATATAGAGATTCAGCGAACGTATGAAATCGCAAGAAAAGGCGCCGAAACGGTAAGCTGTGGTCGCAGTGGGGACAGGAAAAGAGTTATCAAGAGGCAAGAAAGCCCTAGCCTCTACAGGAGGGCTCTCCTGTAGGGACACATGCAGGCTTCTGCAGGACAGAATTGCACCAGTCCCGAGAGATCTCTGAACCAAATAATGGACTGATTGAAAGAGCAGCAGACAGCAGCAGTGGAGAGAGCCAAGTAGAGTAGTGGGACAAATGTGAAAGTTGCGAAACCCCAAACAATAAAGCCAGTAAACGCATGGGACGTGAGCCGTTTCTCTTCGAGACTGGACTGAAGCACGGCCCTTGCATACCGCGTAATGAATTACCCCAGACCATTTAACGGTCAAATAGCTTGGCAGCCGGGCTCAGAGACTGGGACCATGCCTCAAGAACACCGAGGCCAACTAGACAACAATGATGCGCATAGATACCGATTAGGCAGTACCTCTTGCTGGGTTGGGGAATTCTGCCACTGTTAGACGACTCTGTGAACGGGTATCTGCACTAATGTTCATCCTCTGGGGAGCAGCGGCTGCGGCGGCGGCGGACGACTCAGACCAAAACGTCAGGCAACAGAACAAATGGACAGGCGGTGAGTTGTACTTCCCACATGGCCTTCATTGTATTAGTCTATCTTGGACATCGGATAGTTCGGCCGGATGGCGTTGTTCCCTGCACGTTCTCTGCCCGGATCGTGAAAGATTTCATGGATACCGGTACTGTGTTGGGGCTGATGGAAGAAACTTATTCGCCGATGATCGTCATTGTATAATGATCCCGTTCCCACCGATTTTCCTCTCCCAGGCCCGCAACTGGCAGAATTCGTCGTGACTCAAGTAGGTCATTCAGGACGTAGAAATACACACCCACGACCAGAACCAGGTACTTGCTTGACGCAGCCGATAGCTTAGGACAGCAGTCTCGAGTGTCAAGTACGGACGGCGAGGGACCGAGCTTTAGAAGCGACAACGGGCCTGGAGCGACTGCGTTATCTTGGTCTCAAAAGTTCCACCTTGAGGCCACCGGCCCCGATCAGCAGATGGAAATGACGATTATGACCTGTTGCCAAAGATTGAGACCGGAGAGGGTGGGTCAAGTGACCCCAGGTGACCGTGTGTCCTCGCACGATTCGGGCTCTCCAAGCAGACTGACTGCTTGTACACTGTGGCCAGTGAGACCCCCTTCGAAAGGCTGCACCCAGAGTACTCAAGGAGATGCCATACCTCTGATGTGGTGGAGAGCTGAGTGTATTACAACCTATACTACCTCCCTCGGTAAGGTCGCTCTAAATAACACTGGTGGACTGCTCCGGTTATATCAAGGGTTGACGGCCGGGGGCAGGGGAAGACAAGGAAATAAGCTGCCGCAAAAACCACAGAGAAGACGATACCTGCTAGTCAGGAAGACCTCAGGGCACCCAAAGTGAGGCAAAAAGCGAAGAAATATCAAGAGAGCAAGTGGAGGGGAGGAAGAAAAAGATTTGTCCTCAGGGCGGTATAGCACCTGGGTCATGTCGATGTCGATAGGTTCACATCTTGCTTACGTAATTGAGCCAGTCCAAGAAAAGGGAAGCTCAGGAATATCGGGAAATCGTAACGGACGCGTCGACAGATCCAAGGGAAGCCAAGTGCTCTTCCACCTCGGCCGTCCGGCGATTTTCCTCTTAAAATCATCCAAAGTTGATCAAGTCTCTAATAGGGGGTATCGCTCTATGACCTTGCAGATATACACAAAAAAGGACCATTCCAGGTTGCCTCGACAGGCCTATCCTTCGCCAATCCCTTATTCCACGCCTGCCCGCAAGCGTGGCCAACGCCTCAGTGCCTCCATGCGTCCACATGTCCCCATGGCCAAATCCTCCTCCACCAGGCCATGTCTTGGTCTTGATTTGAAGGCCTTTGTCCTCCAGCCCGGCCGACGGCCTCGCTCCAGCTGAGGCAACTGTCTTTGCCATCAGAGTCTACACTGCGCCATCACAGCCTGATTTTCATCGAGAGTGCAACTGGTTGAGGTGGGTTTGGAAAGCCGCATTCAACGCCTGCAAATGCTTCTCTGTAGTCAAGGTCAGCTTTGGCCATGCTGTCCAGTCTCGAACGTCAACTTGCCGGCAATCTTCCATCGTTTCGCGAACATTTCGAGGCAGCTGCGAAGCAACTGAACTTTGCTCGGCCATTCTGGGTCGTGCATGGCTGTGTCTCCCAATTTGATGAGGATCATCGCGGCTAGGAAGATGCTGTACGCCATCGGGGGTACCAATGGACCCAAGAACGACAAGCTGCCCGAAGAACTCATGAGCCTTGCACTGTGGCAAATCGACTCGATGACGGGGAGTGTGCTCTGGATCGCTGCTCCATCCCTAGGGTCGTATGTCGCCCCAGGACCTACGATGCCAAGATAGGGGTGATTGAGCTTGAGAATCGCGCTACCATCTCTTCAGCACAGCGCCCCTCAAGTTGCCGACAGAGACTCTTACGTATATGTGAGACTCAGAGCGGCAAAACGGCTGGAGTCCTTCCACGGTGTTGAGACTTGGGCATTGTCAGCAAATTGGTTTGCTCGAGACAATCTTGGTTTACCCAAGTCACTTACCGATGTGGCGAGCATGGTCCATCATAGCATTTGTAAGACTCTCGCGGGAAGTTCCCACCGCACTGCCTTGTCCCGATGTTCTCTGCAGTACTTGCATGAGCAAAGAAGTCGACTTGGCTTCGGGATAGACAATGGTGTCGATCTTATCATCTCCATCGTCCGCGAATCTGAACAATTCCCTCTGTGTGGTACCGCCATATTGCTGGTTTTGAGGTAGGGGAAGAAACGGGTCGAGGTGTTCCGGGAATGGGACCTGGAAGTCAAGCACCGGTACGTTGCGCGGAAACCCGAGCTCCTCGGCCTGTATACCACTTCTAGGCGTCAGTCTGGGACTGGGGCATTTTCAACACGCTCAACGAAGGACTCACCTCTCCAAAAACATCATAGACCACCAGATGATGGAATAGGCCTTCAGCACCCTGGGCCGGACGATCCACTGATCTTGTCTCCAGAAAGATTCGTTGAGCCAGCCAAATGCACGGCTGATCGTGATGCATGAGCCCAATGTCATGTATGCTTGCTGTGGCATGAAGTGGCAGAGTTCGTACAAGCACACAAGGAGGTTCGCCTGGAGAAGGGGTATAGACAGCGGCTCTTTGGCGGTGACGAGACCGCAGAGCGTCTTGATGGAATGATAAAGGCTGTTTTGCATCGACACTCCCGGAGTGTCCTCCGGCGCCCGGACAATCAGAAGCATTGACAGTGCTAGCAGTCCAGTTTCGGCGGATGGCTCTGTCCACATTTGCCCGAATCGCGGCTCGAACCCTGACCTCTCGACAATGGTGAACCATGTGTTGACTGTCCCGAAATAGTATCGCACAATGCTTTCAGCAGTCAACTGGTCTCCCATCATCTGCGTGACACTTCGAAACACGAAATGGTGTATGTCTTCTGTCGTTCCCAGCGACGCGAACAAGGTTGGGCCAATCGCGGGACCAAGCTGACTGCCGAGGAACGGGTTCAAGGCGAACGCCCCTTGGGCATTAAGACTCGCGAACGTCTCGAAGCTCGTCTGCGCGGAAGCCTCTGTCGGGCGGGAGACCGCTGCGTCGTCTTCGTGTTGACAGAATTCGAGAGAACTAATCCAGACCGATAAGTTTTAGTTCAGGCTTTGTTTCATCAGCTTCGTCACCTCGGTGGGCAACCTACTATGTGCATCTTCCGCAGGAAGGCAATTTCTTATCACATTTCTTTTTCTTTCGACGACAGTTCAAACATACCCTCGATGATTTTGCCCCGCCATCCGATGACGGGGATGGAGGGTCAGAGGCCGGTGGTTTGAGCGTGTTCGAATTCGATGCTTGCATTTTGGCGGTGGGCGACAGCGCTCGAAGAGACAGGCCAAATGACGAGGGTTCGAGGTTCGACGGCATTGCACACTGAAACGTCCAACGATGGCTGGTGGGTTCTATTTGATTATGGCGACCTCGACAAAGACATCAGCAGCTGATATAAGTAGTTCTCTATTTGGCCCACCCCTGTCATCCGCTTCTGCGAATGCCGTCACACGCGTGGATCATACCCAACGTCTCGACTTGCATGCTGATGCAGAACTTAAAGGGCAGCGCTGCTCAGCCCGCCGGGTTAAGTCAAACATCAGAAGTTAAGGGTGTCGGTTTCCCGTTTACACAAGCCTCGAATGCTCACAACACATTCCCGCAGTCTTCGATGCTCAAGAGGAGACTGGACATGTTGACGAATAGGAGAGCGGACTATTTTAGGTCTCTACGGACATGTCCTATGCTTGGGACAGGCGCCACAAGCCAGGAGGCTCCAAAATCTGATGCGTAAGTGCGCTAGATTGTTTTGCTGGCGCACCTCCCTGGCTGCTGTGGCAGGGCTGAGGACTTCCTTGCTAGCGCAACATCGTCATCTCACGGCTGCTGGTATCCTGCCCGGGGAGCCCTTCTTTTGGAAAAGTCCCAGATGCAGGGGATTTCTAAGCGCGTTTGTTTCGTGACCCAAGTGTGTGATTCGCCAAGGAGCGAGCGATATGTTGGGCATGTCATGGCTGCTCTTCACACCGGCATCACTTGGCCTGCCGAGTGTGGACGCTGATATCTACAGCATTTAGGCACTGCTAAGTCTGCGTCTTTGAGCAGAGTCTGCCATCCCTGGGGATGCAGCTGCTGTGACAGATCCCGCGGCTGCTGTTAATAGAGCATGAGTTAAGTCAATCCCTGCACGGCAGGGCATGCAATCAGAAGTCCAGCACACGTTGGGCCCAGGCACTCGGGTCACAAGGATCGCCGCGGTGCCGACTGTTGGGCTCAATCACTCATGGCCCTACAGGGCTCATTCAAGCGCAGGTGGCATTCAGTGGCCGCTTAGCCGCGAACAGCGCCACCAACGCGCTTCTCTGACTCCCGAAACGCCGGCTGAGCTGCTGTGCTCACTTTCTCAAGCGACACACGAGACCTGTTCTTTCGCCAGGTATCACAGCCACGCAAGACCACTATGGCCTTGGGTTACCTCAAAGTTATGCGTCGGAGGTGGGGACTGGGATGGAAATAAGCAGGTCATCACACGCCTGGGCATTATCGTCATCCAAACAGATCATTAAACTGCCCACGACCGAATCTCACGTCAGCTTCTTCATCAGATCAGCACCTCACAAGGTCTAGCCTCCCCAGGCTTCAACCTTTGGCACTCAGACACATCTTGCCTGCTGATTATTGAACACCCCACTCTGAGATAATGATGAGGCCAAGTCGACGTTGCGTCGGTGCTGTTGAGAGACTGTTGCGCCGGACCGGTGTCCACGCGCGACCTCTTCTCGTCTACTCGTCTCACTCCAGAATTCCCTTTCCCCGCAAATCTGTCCCCTTCACCGCCTAAAGCGCCACTTTCACTGATTCTCGCGAACCAGCCAGCCGGAAAAGCATAAGGCCGTGCCGATGGACTGCAGGTGGTGTGGAAGCTCAAGCTCAAGTTTGAGGCCCAGACGCCGAGCCCTACCAGGATGATGGATACATGGTGTATGGATGCACAGCACTTATGCCCCGACATGCAGCGAGCTGCTTGCCATAGTTGCCTTTGATCCAATGACACGCCGTCATCAAATATTGGGATTCCGTCTTGCAGCTTGCCTCAATGTGGCTGCGTTGCATCGTCTGTCGAGTGATAGAGACCCTCCACAAGGGAAGGCCGCACGATGTTAGGGTTTCACGACAGCTTCGGCATTTGGTTGCTTACTTGGAGTCTGCTCTGTGTTTCACCTTGACCTGCGTATTGCACACCTTGATGTCTAATTGGAGATTTCTCGGGTTGCGTATGCTTGTTAGACATTTGCTTACTGCAAATTCCAGAACTTCGACGGCATCAACGGCAATAAGGCGCGGTGAGTGATGTTATTCCCGTGGCCACGCGCCATCCTGTGGTTCAGGAGCGGTGTTTGACTCTATTCTTGTCAATGGACAGTGAAACGCAAGTGCTACCGCACTTCCCTCTTGCGCGCCCTTCACATACACATCCCTATTCCCGGAAATATGCTCAAAAGTTGTGACTCTAGTCTCTGACAGATCATTTCGGACATTGTTGTTTAGATGTATTCCATTGAGTGACTCGACTGTCTCGGATTGGTCTTGCCATTTTGCCCTTCCGCCAAAAGACCATCGTGGCATACGTCGCAAGCAAGGACATAGCGCGAGCATCAACCGTTGGACAACAGCTTCATACTTTGGCTATGAGGAACTTATCCCTGATTGATGTGGTTAGATTGCTCGATCAGCACCATTTGCCAAGGCCTGGCTCTCGACCGTATGCTGTCAGCGACATCACTCGAATTCCAAAAGAATAACCGATGAAGGTTGGATCTCGAACACTCCATTCTGAACCTTCTCGAGTACCACTTCCCCTTCCGGCATTCCCGAAAGCGTCTCAAAGCTTTGACCAGCCCAAGTGCTATTTGCGGCTTAGCATGTGATCGAAACGAGCCGTACGAATGATGGCGACAGTTACTTACAGGCCAGTACTTGCGGTTGTGGCCGGCGCCTTGAGCCGCTTGATCCAAGAAACCCTCTTTCCACCTTCCCCCTTCAAATTGATGCTGAAAGACGCTGCAGTACCGTTCGTCAGGTAGGTGTTACTGTTCAAAGCCACTATGCGCCGGAGATTGTTATCCTCCCAAACACCATAGGCTGCGAGGGTATCATTGCTTGCCGCGAGCTCGGCAACATATGAGGTGTTGCCTTTCCCGATGGCTTCGTTGACGATCAGTAGGGCATCTAGGCCTTGTTAACTAAAAATGATGCATGCTGAAGAGTGGGCCTTACAGCAGCCTACTTACGGTACAATGGCAGGATATGCGGAGCTGTGATATTTGTGTTGTCCCCGCTCAACTCCGATGAAGTGACGGGTTGGAGGGTGTTATAGGAGAAGCCGACTCCGTGATGCAGATGCACTCGTTTAATACCCATCGTTCCCGCATATAACAGGTAGTCGACCCCCCAGACGACACTTTCGGCGGTGTTGCTAAGGCCCGGGATCCCGTGACTGCGACGGTCCGATCAGCAAAACGGATAAAGAAGCAAAGCACAGCTTTGATCAGATGAAAATCGTTGGGATTCTGAAGACATACTTGGCAAAGGAGTTGGCCTCGGTAAGGCAATATCTCACGCCGAAAGCTTTCGCAGCCTTTATCTCGCTGGCCTTTGTTGTTAGGTTGCCGCGAATGAATTTCTTGTTCATTAGCTCCCCCGGTATGAACTTGAGCTTCGGGCTAAAGGCACCTGAGTAGAGGTGGGTGCCAAACTGTGCACTTATGGAACGCAAATCGGTCTGATCCAAAATACCTGCCATGATAGCCCCGTCAACACTCCACCCCGGGGCTACAAATCCGGTGAAAGCGCCCGGCGATAAATTAGGACCGGCCTCGCTGTCGTTGAAGCGGATTGCGCCTTGAACGACTTCGGCGTATTCTTGCCACGTCGAAGAGTAATTAACCAGATCCCATGACGAGTCAAGCGGACCCGGAATGCGAGTATTAGGGCCATAAAAGTCGGGCTCGTTGCCAATCTCGACATCCACGAGTTTGACATGCTTGGTCAGATTGGATCGTGCACCCTGGAATGTCTCGGCAAGGAGCTCTGCCTGTGCAGCGGTTTCAGACTTGTTAAATGACTTCAGATTCAACCCCCACATGAAAGAAGTCCCTGCTGGCAAGTTTCCGGACAGAGCATAGAAGTCGCGCCCGATGAAGATGGACTCTGCCTCGGGCTGGGGAACAGTTTCAGTCGGCTCGGGGAATGTCGCGTTCATGACTTGCACTGAAAGATCCAGAGTCGCCCTATCTTGAGAATTCGCTGAAGACCACGCCCAACATCCTGGTCAGTGCCCTGAGCATCGTGAGAAGGGGAGGGGGGACACAGACTGCAAGAGACAGTTCGCATGGTGTGAATGGATGTGTGAGTGCGTGCAATGCCCGAGAGGCCGCGTGATAGAAGACTCAACTCACCTCCGACCCTAAGGAACGGCATACTTTCTGTCCTCTCGCCCAAATTACGCAGAAGCTGATTCACATACTCATTAGGTTCTCCGATTTCTGGCCCCGCCCAGTCCGTCCAACGGTCCATTTCTATGCTGAGACTGGCAAGATGAGGCGAGAGAGGCTCTGCCCAGACGGGCATTTGGGTTGGCAGCTGTAGAGTAATCTCGAACGCATCTCCCCTCACGAGTGATGCTGGTGCCAGCAAGACTGACAAGGCAAGGAATAGTCCGGATAAGGGAGACATTATGTGGCGTCAAAGGTGCTTGACAAGGCACTGCACACAGTCTGCTAGTAGCGAACACAATAGCAGAGCTGAGACTATTCAATTCTACGTGACGTGAAGACGCGATCTTGTAGGCAACGTCACGCCGTCTTCTCATCTTCTGCCAACCCCACGCGCCTCACGGGCACTGCTGTTTGCGGGCATCTTCGTCATGGCCACTTCCCGGGACAAACAAATTGGGGGGCCAGGCTCACTCCATGTTCCGGAAATGCCGGGCAGGGTCTCTCAATCGACAGGACTCTGACTTCTCATGATCCCGTCCTCCGCCCTTCAAATTGCCATGTAGGATTGCCGAGCACACGGGCAGTGATCCAGAAGTTTATGGCGCAGATCCCCCGCGACCCAGCCCCACGGGGTTGCAGAGCTTGGCGTCTGGGGTACGCAGCAGATGAATGGTTGAAGGTTTTGGTCCCATGTCTAGATCCGGTGAACTACACGATATGTTACCTAGTCTATAGTAGCAACAGCAGCACACTGAGCGGCCCCACCTTCGCCAACCTTATCCTGGTATTCTGATGGATAAACATCGGGAAGGGCAAGCAATGACCGGCCGTGATTTGTCTCGCCTACGGATGGGGCTTCCAAATGACACGCAGGACTGGCCAGTCCCCGTACGATCTTCCAGGACACTCGATAGAGTAAGTACGAGCCAAATCCTTTGGTGTGTTCAAATATGCTTCTGCGGTGGGAACAACGACGACTTCTCTGAAGCAGGTGATCCTCCGAGAAGCTAAAGTACACCCACCCAGTTCAGTGTTCGCTTTCGGCAGCGCCCAATCTCAAGTCAAGGTGGAGGATGTACCCCCCCCCCCACTCACCCACCGGCCGGCTCAGGCGAGTTTACTTGTTGACTTGTCCAGCAACCTAGGGTGACATGCTTTGAATGGCCAAGGAGCTGGAAACGGCCTCCACCCCAAAGCAATCACTCCATTCAAACGCTTCGCCGCCACCCTCAAATTATCTGCTTGATCCTCGCCCACAGTACATGTGAACTTATCACATAGAGGAGTCCAGAAGTCGGGATGGGGACTGGATTGCCGGCTTCGAGTTGAAATGTGAGAACAAGTTTATCAATGGTGGACGTCGCTAAGCACTGTTTAGCCGCAGACCTCATCCCAGATGTAGCCACGCCCTGATCATGACGCCAGCCGGTTCTGCGCCGCAAATGGTGTCTGCTGCCATGGCTTACCCGCCTCCAAGAAATCGCTATCCTTACATGTGAAAAGTCTTGCTAGCGTGTAGCCGGAGGACAGATTGTGAATATGAAAGTGTATCAGTTGTAAGCAGAAAGAATTGGGCAAATTACCACGCTGATGCGAGGAATTATATTTCCTCGGCAGTCTTTGAAATCTGAGGTCAAATTTCTTATTTCTGCCAACTAGAGTATTGCCCGCCTCTGACCTCGCATAGTGTTCTTTTAAGGAAGCGTTGGAGCTTTGCCTGTCATCTTGTGCTCTGATGTTGGATCAGATGCCTTCTTAGAACGATCTAAAAAACACAGCGACCACCTCAGCCATCTTTCATCAGAGATAACACTTTGAGCCACCATGTGCTGTGTCATTCAGATGGTCAAGCTCTCCATTTCAGCACCGGCCGCACCACCATCCAAGTCCGGTGTTGGTGGTGGGAGGTTGGAATTCTTGGTCAAAATCCAGCAACTGGCATACATGTTCACACGATCAATACACACGCCCGGTGCCCTCTTGCCGTGACATTTTGCGGTGAATCCCTGGAGCTCAAACTCCTTGAGATACCACGGTGTCAGGCCAGAGCTCCTCAGCATGACACGGCCGCCCATCTTCAGGGCACGGTTGAGCTTGCGAATCTGGCTCGTCGCGGCATTTGAGTCTGGGTCAAACCAATCCATCGAGTCCATCACGACTGCAACGGTCAGCGTGCCGGGCGTGATACGCGCGATAACCTCATCGATCTCATCTGTGTGGATGCGAAGGCCATCAAACGCGCCAGGCCGGGACAAACGAGCGTGGGCTTGTGGTGCGAGGTACTCTGGATGGCACCTACGGCTGAATTGGCCAGCCAAACAGACGTGGTAGTAGGGGTTATCAGCTGCAATGTGAGTGTTCTCGACCATCGGGTCGAGTGTGTTTACCATGTAATTCCAGACAGCCTGGGAGCGGGTGTTCTGCGCCCCCTTGTCCTCGTGGCACAGACTGGCGTGGTCCGCTTCGATCATGGCGAGTTGGTTCTTGGGCACACCTAGGGCAGTCCACAAGAAGGCTTCCTGGCTGACTACAAGTCGATTGACGAGCGTAGAAAGCATGACGGGTCGAATTTTGCTGCGCCAAATTTCCCGCTGCTCGTTGAGAGTCTTTGCTGTCAGGATAGAGTCGACGGAGCGCTGGAGGCCAAAGATGCGAGCGATCCAACGCATCATGCGGATTGCATGCTTCGAGCCACCTGTGTCGTACAGCCCGCGGCCGCGCTTGTTGGTGAAGATGTGCGTGTTGCTCAGCCAGTACTGGAACGCGCGGCTAGACAGATGCGGAGAAAGCTTAGAAATTAAGAGCTGACGGAAGTTTGGGTGTTTGCCCTCGCCAAAGAGCTTCCAGAAGTCTTCGTACGGAAGGGCACTATACGAGGCGACCTTGAGCTCGAGGAGATGGCACTGGGTCGGGTTCAAGTCGACTGCGTGAACGCGGGCAGGACCCTGCATCACATACGACAGAATGTTGTCACCTGCGCTGCAGATTGCCAGGACGACATCTTCAGAACCAAGGTTGAGGATGCGAGCGTCGACACGAGAGTCTTCCCATGTGAAGGCATAGATATACTCATCGTTGAATTGGGTATGCTTCCTCAGCCTCTCGTCGTAGTAGATGCGCCAGTGATGATGCTGGTAAAAGAAAGCAGGCAGGGGCAGATTTGAGGACAAATTGGCGACTGCAGCATCGAATGCCTTGGAGCGGATTTCAGGGGCGGCCCTTTGGACCGCTCGAGTGAGGGCATTGGGGGCATTGGCTGGTAAGAGATAAGGTGATTCAGTCACGAGGGCGTCGACGTACTCGACAATCTCACTCGGCAGACTCGAGGAGGCAAATGGCTTCTTGTGGCAGCCCAGCCACACGTAGTAGGGGATGGCACCAAGCGTGTTGTTGCGAGCGTTGGCATTCAGCACCGTTCCAAATCGGTACTCGAGGTAGTCACGACGACTCGGTTCCAGACCGACCCTGTCGATATCGAACCAGGCACGCCAGAACGTGCGTCCAAAGAAGTTGACGTGGCGGTCGACGAGGCCACCAGTGTAATTCCGGAAATTGACATCCACCTGTGACTGGACGTAGAAGTCAACCACTCCAAGCAAGCCGTCCGGCGACAGGAGCGATGTCAGAGAGTCTATGACGGAGTAGTAATCGGGCTAATTCTGAATGTCAGCCACTTGAGTCCCGCCGCTGCAAGTTATGGGGCCGGGCCGTCCACGTACAATCATGGACAAGCTGTACGACATTGTGACCAGGTCAGCGCCGCCGTGCTCGGGACGTTTCTGGGAGAAGTAGCTGCTGGGAGTCTGGAGCGGAGCTCGAGCTCCCTGCACGTCGCCCTCGTAGTCGTCGAGATTGAATTTTCGCGCATCTTCGCAGACAACCTTGACATTATCCCAGCCAAGTCTCGCAAAGCGCTTGCGGGCGACCTCGCACAGCGAAGGAGAGTAGTCAACCAGATAGACTGCAGAGAAGAAGTGGGGCACGTCTACGAATGAGGCCATCGCCTCGATGTTCCAGCCAGTGCCACCACCCACCTGAATAAGATCAGTCACACAAGGCACAGATTTGCATCAGTAGGAGGCATGTCTCACATCAACCCAGACTCTCTTCGGCTTGGTCAGCGCATTCTTGTCGGCCTTGGCTTGGAGCTGCGCAGCCACGAGCGCCAGCATATCCTCGCGGCCCTTGAGGAGGGCCGACCTGGTGGTGTCATAGATGCCGGCTTGAGCCTTGTAGAAGGACTCCAGAGCATCCTGCTGAGTGCCCTTGCCATCACCCTCGTGAGGCTTGAGGAAACAGCCATACGCAAAGAGAAACAGGGACCTGACGAGGCCGGGGGTCTCGTTGGCCGCGGTGCTCTCTGAGTGCGTGCTTGCAAAGACCCTGGAGAGGCCTAGGGCAAAGCAAAAGACGCCGGCGATGCCAGCATAAACTATCTTGTTATCCAGCTCCGGGGGTAAGATGTTACCACCAAGAGAAGCCATGGTACTCTCTCATTGCAAGCTCGCGGGGCGAGGCTTTGGACTGGTTGAGCAGGAATGATGTGTTGAAAAGAGGACTATGGCTAGCCATCAAAAAAAGGAGAAAAGCGGGAGGAAGTGGTGGGTGGCTTTGGCAGAGCATAGGTAATAAATAATGAAACCTACCCGAGGAACCTACCTGCTGTGTTTCTGGTTGGCGCGATTAACCATGTCTGTTCACATTCATTTTCGTTGAACCATGGTCAACTCCGTCGTGAGTTGCAGTCCACTATAGCGTAGTACGCATGTCACGCATGCGTGTAGTCTACTGTGTAAAGAATATTCAATGGGGAGGAAGGAAGATGACAGGACCCTTGATCGCAGCACACCCCACTATCCAATCTGCAGACGGCTACTGTCACACTGCTCAGGGACGAGAACGATGTGGTGGCCCCACAGCCAATCAGCCTCGTGTGCTCGACACATGTGTTGAAGCCATTTGCCAGTCCGGGTTTATCGACACTCGAGCTCTCAGGCTGCGGTCCCGGGCTCGAGCGGCACGTTTAGCTATTCGTAGGCTCAGAGGGACGAGGCAGAATATCCACACTGACGCCGTTGCCTCGAACAGAAATGAAGACGTACATGCACGCATACCGCGATACGCAGGTGTGTGCGTGCCGCTGATCATCGCAGCCCAAGTCTCTCACGGGTACATGTAGTCTGGGTAGATTCATGCGGCCATCCTCAAGCCAGGGCAGGGCCTGTTCGGGCCATCCGTTGTGTACATACAAGATATATGTATGAGGAAACCTAAGATAGACGATTCGCAGGCCTAAGAGGCGAGGGTAAAAGTGTGGTTGAGGAGGAAAGTAAAGGAGAGAGGTGCGAGTAGCGTTGAGTAGAGAGCATTGACACACGCAATCGCTGTCCACCGCAGCCGGGCAGCTGGAAGATAGCGCGCTGTGAGTGTGATAGATAGTAGACAAGACAGCAGAAGTAGATGATGGATGATCGACGAGCGAGAATATGTGCACAGAAGAGTAGTTCGACTAGATAGTCTAGATAGCCTACTGCAAAACGTTAGATCATTTGGAGCCGCTCGGGGTGGACTCTCAGCAGATGTCAAGGTGCCCAATCAACGGCGCTTTCCCAGGCACATGGCGGGCTGGCTTCCTGTCCTGCCTTGTCCTGCCCTGCTGCACTTGGAACAAAGTTGCCCAATGTTGAAAGGATCAGCCTGTCTCCTCTCGTAGTCCATTCTATGTACGTGGACCACAATACATCTTGTCCTGTATTCTTCTCTGAGCTGACTCGGTTCTGGATCTTAGGCCTTGGCTATTGCTCTGCGCTGCCGCGATCACAATGCCATGATGCAGTGCAGCAGAATCAAATGTGGCGCATGTATGACTGTGACTGTGACTGTACTGTGGCTGAACACTGTTGTTGTACTGTATACCTGGATGCGTTAGGTGAGGTTGTATAACAGAAAGGTATAGTAGACTATCATTCAGCCTCACCCCCGATTCGCTTGCCTGCCGTCCATTCAGGTCGCTCCTGACCCTGTTGCGAGCATGGTGTCTGTCGCAACGCGCTGCTCGGCCCGGCTCAGGCCTGCTCTGGCGCGGCGCTCTTGGATCTCCTAGCTAGCCTTGCAGCCTCCATCGCCTCACATCGCCTCGCCTGATGGCCAGCCCCCAACCCATCGCACCCTGCTGTCCATCATCTATCCTCATCCCAACATCAACATGCCTCCCGCTTCCAGTCAGAAGGGCACCGGCAAGAAGGGCGCTGGTGCCATCGCCCGCCAGCGGAGCCGCAACACCACCCCCAGCTCTGTCCCACCGCCCGCCTCTCTGCCTCCCATCGAAACCAAGCAGACCGAGTACCTCGACCTCAACTATGACTCGTTTCGCAACCTCACCTACGAGGACATTGTCGACCAGAATGCAATCTCCTCTGGCATGCCCGAGTCCAAAAACCTCGATGGCATGATGACCCGCCTGCAGCGTCTGCAGGAGACCCTCGACCGACGTCACAACTTCTGCGACCGCGGCATGAGGCTGCTGGTGCCCCTCCTGCGCGCCAGGCTGGACGACGAGCGGTCCAGGGAGGAGGAGCGCCTGCGCAGAGAGGCTGCAGAGGACGACGAGCGCGCCAGGAAGGCCAACAAGGCCAACAAAGCAAACAAGAAGAAGAGGAAGGCCGCCGACTCACTCGCGCCCCATGACACCCACCACGGTCAGTTCCAGTCCACCTCCTTACCTGTCTTTGCCCCCACCTGTCCCTGTCTGCATTTCTTGCCGCCTTGGTATCGCATGCGCGAAGACCTGTGCCGTGATCTGTGTCGTGGTTTTTATTCTCCGTAGTTGCTTGTCTTCGTCAGTAGCACCCATGTGACCTGAATTGCGCTTGCCTGGCTGCTGTTGGGCTTCACCTTTTCTTCTCCCTCCCGTCCTATTCACTCTTGTTTCCCCGCCAGCCAGAACCACCACTGATATCCCCGCGCAGAACGATCATCTCCACTGCGCGATTCCAACAAACCCAGAAAACTGTCACGCGACAACGACTCCACCTCGTCTTCCCTGTCCCCCGTCGCTCCTGCTACCCCCGGAGGAGGCGCCATGGACGTCGACGACAAGGAAAAGGCCAAGAAGAAGGCCAAAGCCAAGGCCAAGAAGGAGCAAGAGTCGTCCGAGGATTCTGACTCCAGTTCTGACGACGAGGGCGCCCCGCCCCCCAAGGCAATACCGCAGAGCAACATGTTCGGAGAGGACCCTTCGACCTTCCCAGACCCCACCGTCTACGAGGTCACCAAGGTTGACTGGAAGAACATGGTAGACGAGGAAATCAAGGAGGCAACATCTGTCGCGACCTATCCCAAAAGCGACCTGGCCGATCAAATCGCCGGCGTTCCACCAGACAAGGACTACAGTGTCGCAAAGCCCACGAACCAAATATCTTTCTCCACCTTCTCAACCTACGTCGAGCCATACTTCCGGCCTTTCACCGAGGAAGACCTTGCCTTCTTGCGGGAGCGTGGCGACCGCGTGACCCCGTTCGTGATTCCCAAGCGAGGAAAGAAGCACTACACGCAGATTTGGGCAGAGGAGGACGACCACATGGCGATTGACCTACCCGAGAAGCCACAGCCAAACGCGCCGCGCGGGAGCATCGAGCATATGACGGATGATATTGCCGAGACCGACAAGCTGTCAGTCGGACCCTTGCTCTCACGCCTGATGCAGGCTATGAGGCCCGAGCGGCGAGCTGTCGCCAGCGAAGATGGCAAACTCATCAATGGCGTCAATGGCGAGGCCGGCAGCAGCATGGACCTGTCTATGAACGGCATCGACAGCTTTGACAGCGCGGCCCCTCCCGTGTTGCAGCCCAATGGCCAGCCATCTGAGCGAGAGCTCTCGCCCGCATCTCACATGCCCGAATCCAATACCGAGCACTGGAAAAAGGCCACGCACCCCAAGCTGGACTACAACCAGGTCGACGAGCGCATCAAGCAGGAGCTTCGACACATTGGCTTTCTGCCCGCGCCAGCGGATGACTCGGAGCAACCTCAACCCGAAGATGCGCGGGCTGATTACGACGGTGCCTACGACGACGAAGTCGCCGCACGGCTGCGTCTCCTTCAGAGTCGTCTCCGCGAGCAGATGCTCATCAACGGAGCCCGCAAGGCGAAGCTCTCGGATCTTGTCCGGGAGCGCATGGCTCACCAGGAGTACCAGACCATACTCGAGGATCTTGACAGCCAAGTACAGGCGGCATACCTTAAGCGCACGCGTACCATGGGCAAGACCAAGAAGAAGTCAAGACCGGGCGCCGCCGTCCAGGCAGCCTCAGGCGTGGCCAGGCCAGGCATTGGCGATCTTACCAAGACATTGATGGAGCGCCGGCGGAGGTGGATCGAGAGCATTGGCACTGTCTTTGACGGTGAAAACCTGGGCAAAGTGCCGCGGGCGAGCGAACCTGGTAGCTCAATCTTCAAACAGCCCGAGATAGTCGAGCTCATCAAGAAGGAGAACCAGAGGTGGGATGAGGATGACGAGTAGGCCTGACTTCACAGCGTCATCTGCTCCGTGGTCCGCCTGAGCCGCTTCCTCGCCCCATTGTAGCCTCGAAAGAGAGCGATGCATAAGATGATACCCCCTGTGAATGGAAGCTCTGTGGTGGTCTGGCAGCGACCCGAGCTATCCCATTATCTTTACTACGAATTGGCCGTCCGGATCTGGGCCTCCGAGAATGACGGTCCACGTCATTGTTGTGTCTGATTGTTGAATGGCGTTGGTGGAAATGGCGTGATGGTCCCCAGTGTTTGGAACTTCGGGTTGAAGATATCTCAAAAGGACGAAACATTCCTGTTACGAGATTGGCTCATGGCGTTGTAGGAACAGCATTCATTTCTAATCACGATCAAAGTGTATGGCCAGGATATCATTGCATCATTGAGCCAAGGGCTTCTCCGCCTTGGTTGACATCCGCTCACTAAAACGCGCCCATTCGACTGCAGTCTTGCAAGAACATAGTACTCTTCTATTCCTGGTTGCCAACACTTGAAGTCTCCAGTCGTCGGAAGCTTTGCGGGTAAGTGAAAGTGATCGTTTCCATCGGTCCGCTACGGATGCCACCAACATAGGGTGTCTGAATTGCTTTTATTGCTGTAGTCTGGAACCCGACGAGCCCACCCCGACCTCTGCTCTCGAAAGTACGAATGGAGCCACTTGATATACACTATGTTGGCATGTGCTGTAGCTTATGGTCCGCAGCAATCACCCGGGCTGTGACGCCATCTTTGTCTTTCAATACCAATCTCCATTGGTCAACATCGGCTCACCTGTTGCGTCTCAATAGAACTACCTCCTCTCCTGGTTCAATAGCCACTTCATGCTACCCAGTTCAAGTAACGCTCGCGGAGACCTCCATTCTGGTATGTCAGCAAGAACTTACAAATCACAGCGATTTGTGAGCTCTAAAACTCGGAAGTTCCACGAAGATCCCCAAAGGAACATCTTCAGCAGCTAATTGCTTACTTACAAGGCTTAGAGGGAGAAGTATTTAGAGAAAGCAATTATCGCCAAATATATAAATAAATAGAAATTATTATAAGGTTAGGGCTTTGGAGGATGTGGATCCGTGGTAGAACGATTGGCTTTACCAAGTATAACAGTTAATCTCCTCGCGTAAGTGAGGAGGAAGTGCCGCTCAAGTATTATAAATTCCTCAAGAGCGCTTTAGTTTTTGAGATTCGAATTTGGTTTCGTGCAGCCAGTTGCATCAGAATTGTCGGAAGGGCAATGCCAGCTGTTTTGGCGAAGTCATATGCAGTCAGGTCATTCTGTCTCACCTGACTGATGGTTGGGCGTGCAAAAAATTCATTGATCATCACCATACATAGGCATATCCCACGGATCTTCGTTTATAGAGTAACAGTCAAGTACTTTTGAAATTCGGCATCTGTGGAAAAAGCAATGTCGGCTCGACGACTGGTTGTGTTGGGACGAATCCTGGCAATGTAGAGTAAAGACAGACCCGCAGGCGGTCTAACATTGGCCTTGTCCATTGACAGCAGTATCAATAGACTTTCAACTTGATATGCCAGAGGTCTCAGGTGATCAGCTTCATAAGCTTCGAATTTAAAATATTACTTCTGATGAGGAAGGGTCTAGGTACTTTTCGTCGTGCAAAAGTCCTCCTTTGAGAAATGCAATAACATTGACGAAACACACTCTGGCCATGAATTGTACAGGCGCATGACTATATACAGGGTTTCTCTCATCCAGGCTCTTAAGCCGCGCAGTTCTGAACAACTTGGACTCCAGCGGCGATAGCAGCGTTGAGGGATGTCTGGGTGCTAGCCACGGCAGGGTCCGCCCTGAATGGGTTGCATTAGACATCTTTTCATTACAATCGGAAGAACAGGCATGTACTCACGCGTTGGCACCGACGATGGCGGCGTTCATAGCCTCGAAGCCAGCCTGGACTTGATCGCGACCAGCCGCGGGAGGTGCCTGGCCAGCTTTGATCGCTTGTCCGATCTGCTGGACCCCACCAGCAGACTGCTGCAAACCAGTTTGAACTGCTTGCTTCACCGTTGCATCCTGGATCTGTGCCGAAGATGTGTTGATTTCTTTCAGAGCGTTGACAACCCCTGCGCGGCCCTGGTTGCACGCATCTTGGTTTTGCCGGGGTGTGATGGCCACAGCAGAGGCGCTGGCCGCGAGGACGAAGGCAAGGAAGAGCTTAGTGAAGTACATGATGCTGAAGTGTGTTTGTGCTGAACTAAAAGCCGTGAGTTAAGATGACAGGTGTAGATTGAAGTACAAAAGTTGCGATGATTAGAATCCAATATCTGTTGCTGCAATTCACTGTAGTTCGGGCGAACTCGAGCTTGTCTTTATACGAAGTCGGATGCGAAAGCGCATCGTCAGATGCTTCTGACTGCTGCATTGTATGGAGGTGGCAGACTCGTAGCAGATACCAAGTAGAGAAGTAAAACGCGAGGCAATGTTACGGAAACGTCGATCAAAAGCTTGGCCTGGCCAGCGGGAACTTGAAGATCATTGAAACGGATCATCAAGAGGTGGGAATTGCCAAGCTCTATGTGTTGAAGAAACATCCGTCGAATGCGATTGGGAAAGGACGAGAGTTTCAGAGACTCGCCCAAGTCTCTTGTCAGACTCGCGCTGGGGGAAACGGGGCAGTGCTTCTCAGTGCTGTTACAAGACGGCTGCCAGTCCGCACGACAACAGGGAAGCCATCTCAAATCATCAGCCATCAGAAACAACACCAAATGACTAGTCATCGTGTGGGCGGTTGAGCGAAGACCAGCTAGCCAGCCTACATATCCCATACCCCTCTCTATAGCAAAAAGAGAAAAGGCGTGCTACGATGCGAAAGATGAAAAAAGACGAATCCGGGTCTCAAGCGAGTTGCAGTTCCAGGGGGACTTGACAAGTCGCATACTGACCAATCCGAGCAGGCTCCTTGGGGCTTGCAAAAAAAGATTTCTATATAAGCTCTGCGTCAGGTTGTGTTTCAATGAAGCCCACCAGCTACCTCGGCTCACACCGAGAACAAAGACACTTCTTTCGTAGTATAGTGGTTAGTATGCAAGCTTGTCATCGCCCATCCAGGAAGCAGCAACGCTTGAGACCCGGGTTCAATTCCCGGCGAGAGAGAAGAATTGCATCATTTTTTGGACTTTTTCTTTGTCTCTTCGAAGTTTCATGTCGGACTGTGTCCAAACTATTTTAATATGGGGCCTGCTTTTTGGTGAAGGTAGTCAAGACTTTGGTACTGCATAGCATTATGCAGTTACCTGGGTAATTATGGTCTAGGTTGAAATACTTATCGCCAGGTACCTACATCCCCGTGATTTTTGATACTATGGAAGACGGATCTGCTCGGCGTGTTTCCGAGATAGCAGGTATGGTTTGCTGTTGCGATCCGGCCAGACTCTTGCTATGTATACCTGACTCGGCCTGTCCTGCGAGCGGGGGAATTGACCCCACACCCACGTCATTGCCTGTTGTATAACACGCGATTGGCCACTCAGCGTCGAGACCAAAAAGGTGACGGTCGCTCTGCGTTGGGATCTTTTGTATTGACACGGTTCATGAATACGCCTGATACATCCACGTACATTGATAGCTTCGGGCTGCCCGGGCCTTGGCTAAATTCTTCCTCAGGCTTTACACCCAGAGGACCAACGATCGCTCAGTTGTCGCAGGTGCCCGAGTTGGTTGACCACGACGCTGCAACACCTGGGTGTCCGAAAGCTCTCAAGGCGTGCTGGGACAGTTCTGATCTGGGCAGGAAGCCAACTTCGGTGCAGGGAAACTCTGGGGGTCAACCTGATATCACATTGATGCATCAATGCGTGGCTTGCTCTATACAATCTTGCTGTGTCAGCCTTCCATGGGATACCCAACTAATCTACCGCCTCTAAAATGCGTAGTTTCCAAATCAAGAGTTAAGCGAAATAGCGATATAGGTGCATGTGCTCCTTCTACCTGCTAAGCATGATAGACAGTTCTTATACGTGGGCCTTGAGAATTAAATAATGAACTACAGGGTCTTTCTAGCTTACCGATTTTTTCAGTCCTATTCATGTTCAGTCCTATTCATGTGACGGAGGTTGTGAATCGTGAGAGGAGACAGGACATCGATTTCGGATCTGCTGACACCTCAAGATTACTGAATAATCTGGCGTTCCTGTTTTCCGTGACGAGCAGTATTTGAACGAGATACCACGGCTTGCGTGGTTATATTCCTTTCAGACTACTATGTGGATGTACTAGGGAAAGTAATTGGCAATCACCTGCTGTTAAATATTGTTGATTCGTATTGTGGTATGAATATATCCTAGCCTTGCCTACCAATTTCCGAGTGTCACAGACGGAATAAACCACTGCGTATTCCTCTGCGATATGAATTTACCAAAACATAAACAGCGCTGGTTGAAGGTATTTGGAAGACAACAAAACCAAGTATTACAGTAGACATTGCATAATTCTCCCCAACTCCTCGCGGTCGAAGCTGAGAGCCTGAGCCCATCGCTCAGAAGCATAGTAAAACGTGACAATCTACTTTCATGAACCGTTCAAAGGATACATGAGCTTACTTACTGACTAAATAACATCATGTTTGTACAACAAAGAACGATAGCAGACAATCTGTCGGCTGTATCAGACTTGCACAGCAATGACAGGGCAATATGATTATGAATCCTGGCGTCGCCTACAGCCTCGAGAACATGGGCTAACAGAGCAGGTCGGATGACACAGATGAGTTTATGGAGGGTAGCATCTAGGAAGACACACCGAAGAGCATCTGACTTTGGCTTGGCTCATGGCGACATAGGCTTGGGTCTTCTACTGAGCCGTTAGTCAAGTCCACATACGCGTGTGAAGTATCCAATGAGGCCTGAGCGAGCTGGTCTGACGCACATTGCTGTCGCCTCTATCTTAGATCCTAAGAAGGCTTTATCAGCACGAAGAATGGCAACTAACTGAGGCGCTATGTTCCATGGACACGGTATGAATAGAGGGGGCCGATTGTTGAGTACCCTAAAATGAATCTTCTGGAGCAGGATCGAGATACGTGCTAAGGAAACATAAAGTATATTACAAGAATCGTACGAGCACCCAAATCATCCCTTGTTGTCCAAACCTCGTCCTGGGACACCTCCCGCAACGGCCGCATCATTTTCAGCTGTGGTGTGCTGTTAGAGAAACATATAGACGCGATCGTCGTTCCGGCCTGTTGGAACGAGTCTCGGAAGCCTGTTTTCGTTCTGTCTGGGGGGAATGGAGCTCTTGACATCCAACATTGAATACCTTCAGTGTCACTCAGACATATCTTCTATTTTCACAAAAGGTCATCCTCGCTCACCGTCAAAGTACTCTAAGACCAGTAGTACTGGCCACAGCGAATCTGAAGGCAGCATCAAGCTCACTACACAAGGGACGCTTTCTGGTTTCGAACACTTCACCTGCACACAAGGAAATAGAAGACCTGTAGTGAGTATATGTATCCGACGAGAGCTAATGTTCAATGTTAACGCGATGAAGACAAAGCAGAAGGGAACACATATTGCGTCACAAGAACCAACAATTAGGCTTGCACGCAGACGATCTTTAAATTCGTGTTCTCTCTGAAGCAATTGTTTGGAAAGCACCTTTCTCTGTTTTCGGGCCAGGGCGCCGTCTAAACGTCCGACTACATGTGCTTCGCGGAAACCCAAGTATGCCAATATACGGAGATTGCAAGCTATCCACATGAGGGTGTATTTCCTCGCCGAAACTACATGGAACGTTTGAGGCATACACATTCACAGTAACAGGGGTGGCTGTGTGCGGTTGCCTGGTCTTACCCTTCTGAGGGCCGCATACCTGTGCTTGATTTTTGCGCCTTTGCGAAGTAGCAGGACTACGAGCATCGTGTAGACTCCGTTATAAAGCGTATCATCCTCAATGGCTGCGATGAAGACAGCGCGCGTCTAAATTGGGACGGTCATCGCACTCCCCTACACATGCCTTTTCGAAGTGCTTTGACTGCGAAGTCTGGTAATTACTTGGCCACTTCGTTCTTCCGGCGAGTCTTGGCGGAATTGGGTGCTGCCTCGGGGACTCGGACTTGCATCGGAATTGGTGCGGCGGACCGGCCGCCGGTCGAGGGTAGCTGGTGGAGGCCCGCGATGATGTTGAGGCTCTGTAGCTGGTGAAGCACGAAGATGTACTGGCCTGACCAATTTGGAGAGTCCTTGGGCTTGCGAAAGACGTATCTATCTACGTAATATGAGGTTTACGCTGCTGGTGATTGCGTTCATGCCAATGCGCAGTCGATTGCCATCTTGCCGCTACAGGATCGTTGTCCCGCCAAGGTATTGTATCTATGAATATATTTCTGGCAGACAACCAAAGGGTCATCGTGTCTGCTCGTAACCTCGCTCACATCTGTGACCAGCCTCATCCCTGGGTGCTCACCCATGAGTCGAGCTGGCCCAGAGTTGCTTGACGGGTCAAATCCCGCGTCTGGGCGTTGCCTCTCAGAGCATCAACAAACCCCGATTACGACGGACGCGGCTGCTCCACGCACTTCCACGATCTACTGTACGTTACCCCGACTTGAGAAGACACAAACGGTGGGCTTCCGTTGCAACCGGGCCGGGCGACCCGTACGAAGACCGTCACACAGCCTCGCCTACCTCCTCACGGCAGGCACGCGGCCACCCCACCATCCCCTTGATAGACTATCATGGTTCCCAGATGGGCTGTCCCGACGGCTTCAAACAATCAAAACACCCGCGTATCCCTGGCCGAAGTATAGTTCCAAAAAGAGACGGAGATCCGCGATCGTACCTTGGCAACACCAATCGTCCTGTCTCGGAAATTATTCAGACCAGTGCGTCAAGCAGGTTACCACAGCACCCAGACCGGCGGGTTTATTGCGTCAAGGTGGATCGCGCTATCGACCCCGAGGGAGATAGGCAGCCTGGGGAAATCACTTCCGGGAGGTCCGTGGTCCTCCATGCTGCCCACCTGTTCCTCCCAACACCAGCACCCTCCCTCTGGGTTCCGCTCGAACGAGATAGATGCTCTAGGAGACTTGCGCGGACGGCTAGCCGAGAGTAACTTGATCTTTCTGCCATGATCTCATCTCCAGGATACTGACTCGACCGCGGTGATCTTGTACTGCATATGACGCAACTGAGGTGGTCTCGCCCGCGACAAGCTGATGAGAAGCAGCCGCCGGGACTAGGAACCTGTTCCTCATGGTAGGCTGGCTCGGAGCCCCGCGGCCAGAAGCTGGTGACGTCGTCCTGTGGATGTAATAATTATGTCGATCAAGAGGGCCGAAAAGAGATGGGCATGGGGGTGAGTTCCGCTGCATGGAACCAAACTCATCCATCCCCTTTCGCTTTCTACAAGCTCTCGCAGATCGCGTTGAGATGGTCACGTTGCATTGTCTTGCGTAGGGCGTGATGATGAAGAGAGTTTTGATTTCCCGTAACAAAACACAGTACAGACATAGCAACTCCTCTAAGGTACCGCCCTGTTCATTTTTTTTCTTTTCCGCCCCGACCCAACGCCTAGGAAAGATAAATCGACTTTTCGTTTCGCTAGGCCACCTGCTGCTGCAAGGAATCTGAAACAAAAGACATCAGACACCTTTCGTCCCAAGATCATGGACGACCTGCTCTAATCCCCCACTTCGCTTACATACTTTTAGGGAGGCTCCTGTCATCATCGTAAAACAGAGAAATCGTGCAAATACAACGTAAAGCAGACAAACAAGGACAGAGATTTTTTGTCCAAAACACACAATCAAAGAAATACAAGGGGTCTATTGTCTTCGATCCGATCCGATCATTCTCCAACCTCAGAACACATATCCCGCTGACCAAGAATTACATACTGCTAAGCAACATGGGCTGTAAACGTCGTACTCGAGGACACGTTGGATCCAAGCGCCCGGCCGGTTCGGACAGCGAAGCCAGGTAACCAATTGTCAGAAATGTGACGGAGCGTCATGGCGCCATTGTGGCGGGGGAATCGAATGATTATAAGTCTGATTGGAGACAGCTCCAGAGACGGTCGAAAAACGCCAACAGACCAAGTCGTGAATAGTAGAATCTGCGGTCTAAGTCTCCGGGTATTTGGGGGTATAATGGAGAGAACAACCCTGAAAGTCTAGGTCGAAGCAACGCCTATCCAGATGCTGAAAATGCACTGCCTCTCCGGGATTCAAAGAAATCGATAAGACGAGGGTTGAGAGGAGTGGGTTTTGGTAAAGAGTCCAGAGATGAGGTCGACAACGGGAGACACACGAGTGCTTGTGGAATCAGGGCGTGCTCATCTCTGGAGAGCATGACCGGCTTCTTAGCCGGCCGCACGCCGTCCGTGAGGTGACTCCAAGCCAGGATGAACCTGCCGATAATGTCTCTGCAAGGTATCGAGTCGATTGAAGACCCGCTCCTTGTCGCAGACATCACAGCGAAATGTAGCGGTAGCGATGTGATGGATCGTTTCTTGATGACGCCGCAAGTGACCCGCTCTAGAAAAGTCCGCAGTGCAGGGTTCGCCAGTGGTGGGATCCGTCAAGGTGCATTTGTGACGAGACGAGGGGTTTGACTGATCCTGAAGCTCTAAAGATGCGACAGGCGCCTCGTCAGGTTCGTCCTGGCTGCTTTCCGACTCGTGGTCGGCCCCATCTCATTGAGGCTGCTCCTCCCCGATGTTGGGAAGGCCGTGGCCGAGGTTAGCGATGTTGGCAATGTTCATGGCCATCGGGTTGCCTGTACTAAGGGCGGCAAGTGTGGCCATGGCGTTCTGCTGTCTGGCCACCACATCAGGGTCGCAGGGAGGCGAGTGGGCTTTGTGCTATTGTACAGGTTAGACTTCTGCGGACAATCAAGATTGGGGTGGGATGGTCGTGCTCACATATTTCAATCCGTTCAAGTTCTTGTAGCGCTTCCCGCAAACGTCGCACTTGAATGGCTTCTCCTTCTCCATGCCTAACGTCCCGGGATAGGGTGCGCTGGTCTCCGGGTTGACGATCGAGAAAGTACCGTCGCCGTTCTCATGTAGTTGCTGCGTGGAGTGGCCATGAGTCTTGTGATACTTGAGGCCGTTCTGGTTCTTGTATGCCTTCTCGCATCCAATGACTGGGCACTTGAAGGGCTTGTGCTCTTCTTGAATGGCTAGGGGTGCCAGTTGCTGCAACAGGGTCGCCGGATCTGTCCCAGGGGGCAGCGTGCTGACATCAATGCCGAATTGCGCAAATTGCTGTTGCATGTTCTGCTGCTCTGGAGTCAACGAACCACCGCCGGGGCTGAAGAGCTGCTTGCCAGGGTCGGAGATGGTCCCGAAGTTCATGTTGTTTCCGTTCCCGTTCCCGAAGCCCATGCCAAATTGTGACGTGTTCAGCCCGCCGAGTCCAGTGTTAAAGTTCATGTTGCCCAGGTTCATCTTTGGCAGCCCAGACATGTCGTCGTCCATCAAGTCGGCCGTCGGAGTCTCCAGGTTCGACGTGTCTTGCTGAAACTGGCCACGATAGGGTTGCGTGCCCAGCGTTGGCGTGTTCACCGAGGACACTGTGGGGTTGTTCTGGAATCCAAAGCCTGCGGCTGCTGGAGTCGTCGGTGTAGACGTACGGAGCCCTTGTTGGCCAAAGCCGCCAAGGCCGGAACTGTTCAGGTGCAACTGTGGCCTCTGTTGTTGGCCAAACATCTGTCGTGTCTGCTGCATTGTGCTTTGGCTGTTGTCGACATCCATCATCTCATCCATTTCCATGTCGCCGACGGCATCCATCTCGTCGTTCATGGACATTTGGCTCTGGCTGGGCGTGCCTGGTGTGGACCTTTGCTGTTGCATCATGGAAGATATGCCACCCATGTTCAAGCCCGTGCCGGACATGCCACCAAACTGTCGATTTTGCTGGCCCATCTGTCCTGTCATCTGCATTCCCATCCCCGACAGTCCGTTTTGTCCGGAGGGCATGGACGTGTTGGACTGCATGGGGCGGCTGTTGGGCTGGCGCGAGCTGCCCTGTATGGGGAACAGCCCCTGCTTGTTCAGGCTTGCGCCGGGGGGACTGCTCATCTGCATGCTCGGATTTCCATGGTGGTTCTCCTCGTAGTGCTGTAGGAGGTCGTGCAAGGTGGGCCATGTCCGGTCGCAGCACCTGAAGTCTCTCATAAAGTTTTGTTCGAGCTTTGGAAGGTACGACGTCGACTGGAGCGAGGGCGATTGCCCGAAGGTGACGAACGGTGAAGTGCCCGTCAGGACCCTATCGTTGGCGCACAAGTCATGTTAGTCCCAAATTCGCGACCCAAGCCCTGGAAAATGGAGCCGTCGGGTGGATACTGAAGTCGGTCGGCGTCTCGCTAAATGAGACATTGCCATGTGCAAGCGGGACGGACAAAGAAATTTACAGTGCAGGAAGAAGGGAGGCAGATGGGCCGACTCACTCGTCGCGGATGAAGCTGCCGACGGAGATGCCTCCCCAGCTCATGCCGCCCATTAGGCTGCCGGCCATGAGGCTGCCAGCGAGAGACTCGCGCCGGGGCCGGCTGCCCTGGTCGCGGTTGGGGTTCTGGATGTTCATGGAGATGGGCTTCGCACCGACGAAGGAGTCCTGTCGACTGCGGCCCATGGCCGAGTCGAAAGGACCGGTTGTCATGGTGGCGGATTCAGCGGGGGTTGTCTTGGAGGGCACGGGAGCAACGAGGGGCTCGGCGGGCTCCAGGAAGTCGTCGAATTCGAAGTCGTGGAGGTCGATGTCGCCGTCGCTGTCGGCAACCCTCACGGCAGGCGCTGAGTCAACCAGGAGGCTGGCGGTCAGTTGGGAGCGGGATCGTGAGGCAGGCGACAAGGAGGCGAGGTCGCGACCGACGGAGCCGCTAGAAATACTAAACGGCTTGGAGGCGGGCGTGGACGGGGGTGGGTATGGGAATGCGCGACTCGAGAAAGGCGACTTCGGAGTAGCAGGCTGAGGGGAGGGCGAAGCAGAGGATAAACAATCTTGCTGATTGAAGCAGTTGGTGGCGGGCGAATGGGGTGCAGAGGCAGTGACGGAAGCAGAGGCGGTCGCGGCGGGAGAAGTCAAGCCAGCGGAGGTGGAGGTTGTGGTGGGAATAGTGGGAGGAGGAGTGGTAGTGGCAGCAGGGGCGGGAGGAAGTGCAGACGATGCACGATAACCAGAGAAATTGTTATCGCTGGGGGGCGGCGGCCCTGCAGTCCAGGTCGCGGTCGTAGTCGTAGGAGCAAGTGCGGGTGCGGGTGCGGGTGTAGGTGCAGCGAGTCCAGGAACTGGGCCTGCAGGGCGTGATGATGAGTCTGAGCCTGAGCCTGAGCATGAGCCCGAACCTAGACCTGGGCCCAACAGGGACTGGGATTGTGGGTGCGCAGCAGCAGCAGCACCACCAGCAGCAGCAGGAGCAGGAGCAGGGCATGCAGGGTTGGGCGATGCCCCGTCCAGGTTCAGCTTGGGCCCGGTCGGGTTCGATGTGATGCCTGTGCTGCGCCCTGGCGGGGCCTCGGCAGCGGCACTCGCGAGGTTGGCACGGGTGCCTGTGGTGCCTGTACCTGTACTTGTGCTCGCCCTTCCACTCATATTCCCAGTCGCAGTCGTATTGGCTTCGCTAGCGCTGCCGCTAAACAGCGTGCTCAACATCGCGAATCGGGTCGGGTGTGGGCCACAGCGATGTCCACGCCGACTATGTTTAAACGCGATGATGCGTCGAGGACGATGGCGATGGCGATGGCGACGATGCGGATCCGGCCACGACGGCGGTGGCGACAGGTGTGAGAATGGTCCTTGGGCTAAAAGAAAGACGGCGCTTTAGAGAGAACCCAAACAAACGGCTGCGACTTAAGTCCAAAAGTCGGTCTGAAAGGGTGGCACGCCGACGATGGTGCAGGTGGCCGACGATATCCAAAATAACCGCCCCGAGTCGACTCAGATGGTGGTCGAGGTGAGCAACACAGTTTGGCCGTCTGGCTTGTGCCCCTTGATTCAATATCGACTTTTGTTTTTTTTAGGCCTGAGTCTGGTAGCAAATCTGACAATTGGATGATGGGTGTGTAGACCGGACCAAACGAGACCAACCAAATTAGGGAGGGGTCATAGATCTATGAGTCGCCGCTATGGTCAGATTCAAGAGAGATGTGGTGATGCGATGAGCCCTAAATAAACAAATCCAAGAACAACGTGTGCACAAAGAGTGATAATATATGTGTATACGTATGTATGTGCGTGTATAAAAATGTGTATATGTGTGTTTATTTGTTCTGCGTGTTTTCGATCTCAGGGCCTGGCCTCTACGAGATGGGCTTGGTTGGACTGGTTTCGGTTCGTCTCTGGCCCTGGCACGAAACTGGAAGGCGAGAGAATTCCTGAAATGGTGACTGCACAGGCAGGTTGCTTCTTGAGAAGTAACAATTATAACAACAAAAATCAGGAGATCTTGAGGCAAGGTCAGGGCGGCTGGGGAGGAGGAGCATGTGGTCTAAGTACTATCTAGATATTCAGTTACGCGCTACCCTGCTTGCTGCGTCTGCTCGCCGCTCTCTCCAGACGAAACGATCTGGGGCAAGAAGCCAGGAGCCAGAAGCCAGGAGCTACCCAGGTGTCGGGTGGGCTGGCAAAGCAAGAAAGCGAGCAAAACAGAGCAGAGGAGAGCAGAGGAGTGCAGAGTAGAGGAGGCAGAACCGAGCTGGCGGGCAGAGCAGCCGCCTCAGAAACGGCCGATCTCTTCAGCTCGAGCATACAGACACTGTGACAGTCCACAGCTATGATCTCACGGCGCGAGACGACATCCTGGAAACTGTCTGACGAACTCACGGGATCCCAGGCCCAGGAACCGGACCCTGCCCGCGACTACTTTGCCGTGCTCGGCCGGGAATACACAATGCAGTAAGTAAGTGCAGTAGGCTTTCCACAGCCAAGCTGCGTGTGCGTACGTGCATATAGTAGCTAGGTACTGTGCACTTGCTACTCCGTACAGCCGCATGCATTTCTACGTGCTAATGTGTGTACAGTAAACATTACCTACCTAGTCCATGTGGACGACGAGTTGAGATCGCACGCCCATGGTTTGGGGGACCTGCCCGCGCACGAGTAATGCAGCCACACCGTCCAATCGAGGGGGGGTGGAGGGGCAAGGTTGGCGTGTCCAGCCAGAGCTTCGCCTGCCCTGGCACGCTGCCTTTGGTGATGACGGGATGCTGTCTTCATCATGTTGCGTTGACTGCCGCCTCGTGTGGACGGGCTGAAGATTGCAGATACCACCTTCTCTTTGACCGCGATGTGATACCTACCGAGGTATCTTCTTGTGTGTCTGTGCGTATGTATGCCCATAGGTGGTTTGAGTATATGCTAGCAGACAGACGTACACGCCCAAAGCGGAAAACAACCTCGAGACAAAGGGTGAGAGGTGTCAGCCAGCCTAGTCTGCCGGTCCTAGCAGCCCTAGCAGGCAAAGGGCAGGTGCAAGTGCGATTACATGTTCGAGTAGAGGTGCAAGTGCTAGTTGAAAGCGTCCTACTGCCCGGTACCAGCCCAGCCCGAGCCTCTTGCCGTCAGCTCCAAGGGAGATTCGGATATGACCGCCACTTGTTCGTCCTGCCATTAGTGGTCCAAACCACTCGCATCCAAGGTCCTCCCTGCTCGTCTGCCGTGTCGACAGCCAGCCTTGGAATCCCGCTCGATCGTTCTTACCTGTTCCGCTCTTCCTGCCCGTTCTGTAAACCGACAGCTAGACAACCTAACGGAGACATATCCATGGCAGGCATCGTGACGACGCACAAGCCAATCAGCCTCACCCAAGCTGCCAGGCCGTCCGCTGTACGGATATCCCCTTGTGGTCCTGTGTGGAACGCTCGAAGGGGACCTGGTTTCACCTGCTCGCGCTCAATACCAAGAGCACATAGCACACGGGGCGTGGGCATCCTTGGACGTGCATGAAATGAAGCACAACATCTGGAGCTCATGTCACTTCGCATCGCACAGTCAGACTGTCCAGCCGCCCAGGCAGCCTAAAATGGGGCCCACAGCTTGACGAAATAACCCCATCGAAACCCCGAGGTTCTAACACAACGATCTGCGAGTGCCAGCCGTCGGATGGCGACGTTGCAGCCAGTTCCGCACCCAAGTCAGGCAGTCTAGACGACAGGGACGACAGACTCTGAGCACCCACGTCTGCAATGATCGACGGCATGGTTCAGCTCATCCCAGTCGACGCCGTCATCGCTGCCCTGGCATCCGATCTGCCATCACACATTATCGTTGCAACCTGCACCCTCCCCCGGCCAACAATACTCGCTGCCCTGGTCATGGCCTCTTCCCCTTCTTCGAACTCAGTACAGAGTCATGTTAGAGTTCATAAACCGTACCTCTACTAGTGCCATTGCGACCTGAGGTGCTGGCTGCTTTCAGAACAAACGGCAGGACATTCGGATGCGCCTCCAGCCAAGCCTGCGCTGCTGTGACTTTATGCCAACTGAGGCGGTCAGTCAAAGTCTCGCGACTATTGGTCATAAACTGATGTAGAGCACAGCCGGCAAGGTCGGTACCGGGTACGTTTGCGCATCACTACAGTTGTGGAAATACCGCTCCACCCGCCTCTCCCCCCCCCCCCCCGGGATTTTTTTACAAGAAAAAACAACGACTATAGAAACAACTTCGACAAAGACTTTGGGGTGACGACGCTTCAGCACGAACCTCTGATTTTTTCGATAGCTGGTCAGATTATTCGGACCTGCTTTGCTGAAAGACGGACCGTTTTGCCACAGCCACCGACCGGCAGCGACGGCCGGGACGGCAAGGCTGCCTCTTGCCTCAGTCGGAAAGTTGTCCGAGTCATAAGATTGCCCCGAGCGTCCGCAGCCTTGGCCTTGGCCTCTCCGCCCACGCGTGGCCTGGAACAATGCTGAACACCCCAGTGCTTCCCCAGAGTCATCTTGCTCGCGGTAAGACCTTAATGGTCCCGCACGGTCTGGGTGGAACATCGGAATTCAAGAAGACGGCCGCTTACAAGTCAACCAAGAACTGACAGCCGCGGCTGGCGGTTCTACTAATACCCGCAAGTCACAATGAGCAGCCAAAGGCAAGTCCGCCGGCACGAGTAGCGAAAAGGCAATGCACTGCAGTGACCGGGGCAGGACTGGCATATCAAGCAAGCACCCTGACGCCGAGAATTCGTGCATTTGTTCTGCCGCTCTGTGAAAGCGTCGCAGTAGCCGCTGCGACAGTATTCTATTGCGGTGGTCCGCCCCCTTGTCAGGTCCTGTCTATCACAAGCCAGAACGGCCAGGAGTAATCTGGGTGGAACCCCAGCCATCGCCATACAGTAATAGCAAGCCGGTCCCCCTTTCCACCAACCAGCACGCCCGGCGGCCTAGCAGCTTGACACACAGCGGCGCTCTCTGAAGGAACCCTGGAGCAAATTTACCCAGTACTGTACGGCGGAAGCAGTGTGGGTTTGGACCCCTATTCTGGAAAAAACGTGGCCGTAGTGACGCTATTCGGCGAGTTCCCGGAGCTACCCCCCGAAGTTGGGACATTGCTTGGCTGTGTGCGCCGAGACTGTACGTAATGGGGCCACGGATGGCCGTTGTCTGGCGCCTGCCAGAGTTCCTAGCCTGCAGAAGTAGTAGTCCCAGCCGACGCAACCGAGTCACGATCCAGAATTCCGCGACCGCTTAGATTCATTTCCCGAAACGGTGTGCTGCGGGCAGGCGGTAGACGGTGGGACGTGCTCGTAGCAATGAGATCTGTTTTGTGCGGAACTACTCGATTCCCTGGTAGGCTACTGTGTAGAGCCCAGACTTAGTCGCTTGGATGCTTGGCCCTTGTGCCAAAGAAAGGCCCTTGCGTCCCTGGCCGTCTCATCGAAACTATCTTGATGAAGGAGGGGAGAAATGGAGAAATGGATGCATGCGCCGATCGCCAGATTTGAGGTGCAGCCTGCAGGGAGCGATCGAGAGTGAGGGAAAAAACAATTGGGTCGCCGTGCGTTGGGGGCGGTCCCAGAACGGAAAACCGACGGCTCTTCTATCGGTGAGAATTCCTCTTCACCACAGTACGCAGTCCTGGCAGTGAACGTTGCCCGTTGCCCGTGTGGAAACCCCTTGGAAGATGACACCCACCGACAACGACAGACCACAGCACTATGCCCTGGTGCCACGATTGCCTCGGCTTCTGCCGTTGTTACTGAATCCGCCGTGCGCTAAACCACAGTAAGTGCAGACTGTGGGCCATAGTCAGTGACGAGCACGCGAGTCCGATCTGCTTGAAAAGCCCTGCCGGGGCCGCATACCAATTTCAGTCAAGCTTGATCACCGACCATGCACATGTAACAGTACAAGACTCTGTACACACCTGTGTGTCTGGAATCCGTCTCGCGACTGCTTGACAGACCACGAGAAGCGAATCACACATTCATGGTCTAACTGTCTACAGCAGGTGGTGCATCTTGCAGCCCATGGGTCACCGCTGCCGGTGACTGACAACTGACAACTGACAACGTGCGCCAAGTCCGCGTCCGAGTCCTGCAAGGCCGATTAGGAAGCCTTCGAGAAGACGTCTAGAAAGCGGAACGAAAGTCAATTTCTCCACGACAAGCAAGGAGACCCAAGTAAAAAGAGGCCAAGGCGGTTCGCCGGCGGACGAGATGAGACAGGTTCACGCACGAGACGCGCAGTCACCCCCTGAGTGGCTGCATGCTGCGTACTGTGCATTCAACGGTTGGGAATAGTAAGCACAAGGACGATCGGAGCATCAGCTTCAGAGAGGAGCCTCGAAGCCTGACGAGGCCATCGAGCGTCGCCAGCGCCCTAAGTTTTACACGGCCTAGGCGGCTAGAGCGCCTAAGCCGCTGTCTGGAAAGGCGACAGTCTGCCAGCCTTGAGACTGTCGCCACACACTACCGGGGTGGCTTCGGTAGATCTCACCGCCGTCATCGTGCGGCGTTCTGGTGGAGGGTGCCCAGTGTCCACCGTCCCCACCGTCTTGCAAAGCACACACAGTCACAGTACACACACCTGCCGTACAATAATTACACCCCGGGATCACCTCACAAGGTGAGAGAATACACGTAACGGCGTTTGGACCCCGGGCCGGCGAACGTCTTCGCAGGGGCGGGCTGGGACGGGCGGCGACTCATGTGTGAGTGGGTGAGGCGCACTTCTCCGAGGAGAGGTCAACCGTTGATGGGGAGCTAAAGCGCTCTGGCAGCCGGCCCCCCTTTTAGACCGCCACGCACGGACACACCGGAACACTATGCCCGCCATCTCTTTGTATGTTAACGGAAGCTTCATAATCAGAGGAAGCCCTTCCACTAGGGAACCGACCCGTCTCTCTGCTACCTGCTTCCTCCCGATATCTTCTTCTGGTCAAGACGGGCTGGTATATAGCTACACCTTGTATCGGCACCTGTCGGTATTTGGTGGTATCGTGTTGCACATTGTCTGGGCAAGCGTTGGTAGACGAGACCAGCGGTGCTAGAGGCAGTCAATTCTCTCTTCTGAGTTCAAGGAGGATGGATGATGGTTCGAGACAGCGAGAGTCTCGTAAATTAGTTGTCCTGTTCGGTAAGCAGGTACGAGATGCGGACGACAGGCCCAAGCAAACACCGAAAAGTCGAATGTTTCGGCATCCTACGAAAATTCTCAGGAATGAGGACATTCAGCTTTCCGACTCGGCGCTCGCCATGTTCTGCCGCAGCGTGCTGCTGAGCCTCTAAGCTCGGGGCCTTTTTGGGCTTTGTCAGCGCCCCTGGCCTCCTGCTGCTGCTGCTGATGCTGCGCACAGCCGCGGGGCGGACGTAATTCGGGGTCTGGTCCGGCCTCTGCCAATGGGGCAAGCGACGGATTGGATCCCTGGCGGCCAACTGCAGCACCCGTTTACATCATCATTGAGGTCTCGGGAAAAACATGGCATGACAAAATTGCGCTGTCACCACCACGGTCAACCTAGACCTAGATCTTGGAAGATTTCAATTGTGCTGTGTTTGTGAACCCAGGGTTTATATATATTTTATATATACAGTCCGCCTAGTATCTCTTGTCTCCAAGCTTCGTCTCTTGCTCTGCCAACGCGCATCGCACCTCAGCATTACACATCTCGTCATACACTGATAGTGACCGGACCACCAAGATCAGACCATCTGCCGATATCCGTCATTACAAGCTTCCGCGCCACCTATCGAGCGTCGCACCGCGACAGGACCCCAAACATCGAACGATTCGTCTACCGTCAATCGTGTGCAATAACCCGTGGGCCTTTTTGCCAACGACCACAACCTACTGAGGGCAGACAAAAACCGCCAGTCCACCCCGGAGGAAGAACCCGCCCCACACTCGGGAACGCAGACACCGCAGGCCCCTCCTCGAACACCCACCAGACACAATGAAGGTTATCAGCAAAGAAGAGGAACAGGCCCACTACAATGAGGTCCTCAAGGGCGGCTTCATGGGCGGCTCCGTCGGCCTTGGCCTGGGCTTGGCCGGCGTCCTCGCTGCCTCGCGCCGCTATGCAGCCTTCCGCAGCCTGACGCTTCCCTTCCGGACCTTCCTGGTCTCGTCCGCCGCCACCTTTGGCGCCATCACCACCGCCGAGCGCTACTCCATCTCCTTCCAAAAGTCCAAAGACCCCATGAACTTCTACAAGGATGAGACCCAGCGCATGATCGAGTCCGCCAAGCAGTCCGGCGGCGACAAGCAGAAGCTCATGGACTGGGGCCGGGAGAACCGCTACTCCATCGTCTTCGCCTCCTGGATCGCCGCCATGGCCCTCGCCCTGACCATCGTGGGCCGCGACAAGTACCTGAGCACCGCCCAGAAGCTCGTCCAGGCCCGTGTCTACGCCCAGGGTCTCACGCTGGCCGTGTTGATCGCAACGGCCGCGTTCGAGACGAGTGACGCCAAGGCAGGCAAAGGCCGCTGGGAGACGATTATGGTTGTCGACCCCAACGACCCGAAGCACGAGCACCTGATCGAGAAGAAGATCCATAAGGAGGAGTACGAGGGTCAGGACCTCTGGAAGGGTAAGCTTTCATCCTATACTCTGCCCGTCTGACAGCGCGCGACTGTCCTGCTAACGAGATTCAATCCAGACATGGTTGCCGCAGAGGAGCGTCGCCTGCAGCAGAAGAAGGACCAAGGCGCCACCAGGGAGAAGCCTGCGCCCAAGGCTGCTGAGCCTGCGCCCTCGAGCGCCGCCAATTGAAAAATTCGAATAATTTGGCAGCGGAGAGTGCGCGCTACGGCGACAAAGCAACAAAAGGGGGGGGATGGAATATAAGCATCGTTTTCACACGACTGCAGAGCGACGGGCTGCAAAACGAGGCGTCTGGTGCATCGGTGGCGTCCTTTTCATTTCTGTACATTACCACAACAGCATGTATGGTGTTCAGGGACTGGGCACGGCTGGGGTGTTGGTCGAGGCCTGGCGTAGATGTGCCGCGGTTTTGGGTAGAAGACAAAATGGACATGAGACTGACCAAATCGGCCGGATCATATATAGACAGTACATTCCTAATCAGCCCTATGCCCAAAAGATCATTACTCCGCGCTGCCTTCCCCCAATCCGCCCGACCCCCATCTCCTTACTACCTTGGAACTTGCAGTACATCGTCCCCATGGCGCCTGAATATAAAGTGATAGATACATGCCGCAGCGCCGTTCTCCGGACAGCTGCAACCCAAAAGACAAAGTGAATGGGTATCATCATCGAGAAGGAAGGAAATCAAAGCCAGTAGCATCCTCCTCGACTCCGACTCGCATCACAGTGAACCCATCCGACTTTTGCTACGCCGCGCGTGCCCTTCCCCCCCCCCCGGGCCCCCGGGTCTTCCTGTCTACAGCTCGATTTGGAAGTGGCTGATTTGCGAGTAATACGCATGCACTGCCATCTCCAAGATCCACACGTCACCAAACACCTCGCCGCCGTCGAAGCCCCCGATTGTCAACAGCCGGGAGTCATGCAGCACGGTCCCGTGGTAGCCCCTCCCGCTGGGCGGCAGCCCGTAGACCTTGCGCTTGTCCCACGTCATCTGCACCAGGTTGAGCAGCAGGACGTCGTTGGAGTACTCGTTGCCGTCGTGACCGCCGATCACGAACAGGTAGGACCCTACGATGGTCGCGGTGTGCGAGAGCCGCCTAAACGTCCCGCTCACGGGCGCAGATTTCCACGCGTGGGTCTCGATGTCGTACACCCACACGTCGTTGAAGCACTCGCCGCCGTCGGAGCCGCCAAAGATGATCAGCTTGCCGTCGACGATGTTGGCGGTGTGGTAGCCACGGGCCTTGGGCTTGGACTCCTTGCCGGGGGTGATGCTCCCGCCGGGCGACCTGGTCTTGCTGCTGACCTCGTCGGTGGGGCTCGAGACCAGCTTCCAGCTCATCTTGGACAGATCGCTCACGTCCAGCCTCCAGATGTCGTTCAGTGCCCGCACGCCGTCCCCGCCGCCGAACACGTAGATGCCGTTCTTGTACAGACATGCCGTGTGCGCCCGTCTCTTAGAAGGGATCCGGTCTCCCAGAATGCGCGGCTTGGTCCACCTGAAGTTCACCGTGTCGAGCACGTACACTTCGTTGTAGTACGCAGGCCCGTCACCCCCGCCGAAGATGACCAGCTTCTTGCCCACGGCGGTGCAGGTCATGGCCCGCAGCGGGACGGGGATGTCGCCTGACACGTATGGTTGTGACCAATGGAAAGCGTCAGCATCGAGGACGTAGAGGTCGTTGAAGCAGGCGCGGCTGTCGCAGCCGCCGAAGACGTAGATGTTGCTGCCGATGATTGTTGTTGTGTGGGCCCTCAGGGCCGGGTGTGGGCGGCCTGAGACGGGGGCTCGTGACCAGTACATGCCGGAGCTCGGGGCCGGGGCGACGTGGGTGGAGGTTGTAGGGGAGGCGAGGGCTGGGAATGGCTTGTATGTGCCGCCGGCCGAGTGCTTCGGGGTGGATGTCGCTGAGGCGCGGTGGGTGGTGGATGACCGGGTGGTGCCGTTGGTGGTCGAGCGTGAGTCCGTCGAGGGGGCGGACGGTCCCGCCTTGCTTGCTATGGCTGACGTAGATCGTAGGGCTGGTGGGCGGGCCCCACCGGCGGATGCATCGTCTCTTGACTCTGGCCTGCCGTCCCCCCTCTGCTCGCCATTCTCCCTCGGTTTGTTCACGCTTGAGGATGAGGCTGCCGCGGCGTTCCTTATACTGACGGGGGGCGGGCCGCTGGAGGAGGCGTTCGGGGTCGAAGCAGAGGACACGGCTGCAGCAGACTGGGCGCGCTGCCTTATTGAGAGCTCGGACGTGGAGGGCTTGCGTCTGGACACCTGGCTCTTGGAGGAGAGGTGGCCTGGCGTATGGCTGCGCGGCACAGGAGGGGCACGGTCCGGGGCGGCGGTCGAGTCTTGATAGCTGTCGTACTTTGGGAGAGGGGTCGGCACATCTGCGCGCTCCGAGGAGGGAGACGGGGAGGGAGAGGGGCCTGGGGCGGCGGCGGAGATCTTCTGGGAGCGTACGATCTTTGATCTCAGGGGCGACGTCTGCTTGTCTTCTTTCGGTCTGGCTGGTTGATCAGCCATGTTTGGGGACGACCTCAGGCGATCATGTCACGGCCGAGAGCAGAAGGATGGCCAGGGCTGGAGGCTGGGGTTGGCAGGTCGGCAGGCGGGCGGAAGAGGAGGGCAGGCCAAAGGGGTGTCTTGGTCGCAGTGATTCTGGTCAATTGGCCGTGAGGGCGAGGGCGAGGGCGAGAAGGATGCCGTGGTTTCTGGATGTTGGTTTTGGGAGGGAGATGGGAGGAGAGAGAAAGGGCAGCGATCCGACATTCATGCACGCACGCATCTGCTCTAGTCTGCGTAGGTACCTAAGGTACTACCCAAGTCGGTGTGATGTACCCAGGTGCCAGGCACGCCAGGCAGGTTGGGTTGGGTTGGATTGGACGGAGGATGCGCAGCCCGCAGCCCTTGGGACTCGGCAGCAATCAGCACTCTAATTTGTGCCCAGCGGGCTGCAACCCGTGGACCTGCAGGTGGGAAGGCTTAGCGTGCCTGGATTGATTGCCCCTGACAGATGCGAGGGGAGGTCCCGCCTGTGCTCTCTCTGTCTGCCGACCTCTTGCGTGCGTACCTGTCTACAGTTGCGCATGTAGACTATATGCATACCTAGCTAGGTACGTACCTAGGTGTATAGTCTACGCGAATACCTAGGGCAGCTAGACACATGCATGCGTACATGTTCTAGGGACACACTCCCAGTCTGCCAGTAACAGACCCAAAGCCCAAGTAAACTACGTGGCAGACCAAGCATCCTAGAAAGGTAAAGCCTACCGTAGTCCATCCATGGGAACTGTGCGTGTTGGCAGACGGTAGACTGGCGGTGTTGTGTGATGCGATGCTTCGGAGCTGAAACCCCAAGGCCAAAGCTTGAGCTGACAGCAGCCAACCCTGCATTTGCTTCTGGGCCCAGGGCCCCGTTTCTGTGTCCTATCCACCGGGGGACCTCCCTACCTGCCCTACCTAGGTGCTTGGGTAGGCAAATACGATACGTGCACTTGTACCCCTACGGTCCGAGTTAGGCCAGGCCTCAACAGATCCACAACTCGGAGATACCTAGTGTGGTATCTGCCTAGGTAGCCTGGTCTCCCAGGTCCCGTATTCTGTGCTCCGTGCTGCGCAGCCAACCAACACCGTTGGAGGTCAGACCTCGGGCCCGAATCATTGGGATCCGGTCTGTCAAACTGCCCAGGCTGCCAGGCTGCCAGGCTGGAGCTGCACCTGCTTGTAGATCTTGGATTGACATCCTACCTAGGGCTATGGCCTGGCCCCGTCAGCTAACAGCTGCAGCACATCAAAGCCTTGTTTGCCGTGCAGTGATGCAGGTCTTGCCCCACAAAGCTGGCTGCAGGGTCCGTCTCTCCACAGTAACAGTAGTGCCAAAAGTCGCCCGTCATCGACGGCAGGCAAATACTGAAAACTTCATTGGTAAATAGACTACAAGCAGTACAGTAACCGACCCTCTTCTCTCCAAAAAATTACTCAAGCACCACAATCCGCACATTGCTTGCTCGTGAGGATTCTGAGAGAAACCCCCAGCTGTCAGAAACAGCCCTTGCCAGGGATTTGCCCCGTCCCTCCCCCTGGGGTCGTAGCCACCATGGACGCCAACGGCGAGGTCACCGAGGCTTTGAGGCTCAATGGTGACGAGGTTGGTAATGACAAGAAGCGACATCTCGAACGCCCAGACGAGGAGCCTGCTACTAAGAGGGCAAGGGCCGAGAATGGCAGCGTCGTTGCAGAGACCGAGGCTGAGCCACCCGAGACCAACGTCAAACCCTTGCCAAAGGGCACCGCGCCTGTCAAGCAAGAGTAGGCGAGCCTGACCCGCAGCTTTACGCAATGAGCAGGCTGGACTGACGTGCTCATAGATATGTGATCAAAGTGCAAAGCCGAGTCCTCGAGACAGAGGAAGTCGAGGTCAAGGCTGGTGATGATGACGACGCCGCTGAGGGCCAGGGCCTCGATGGCAGAGGCGAGGGCGGCAGAGCTAAGGGCAAGAAAAAGCAGCGTGGTCTCAACACTGAAAGACAATTCGGCTTCTCAAGCGATGCTCAAGAGCTGTGTCAGACGCGTGCCCATTCCAATGAGTTCTCACCAAAGGAGTGCAAGCACGGCGCGCGTTGCAATCGGCTCCACGATCTTCGCAAATATCTTGCAGATGGCAGGCGTTCGGACCTTCAAGTCTTTGGCGGCAAGTGCCCCATCTGGGAGAAGGCTGGTGAATGTCACATGGGTTGGAAATGTCTTTTTGTCAAGTCACATATGACGGAGACTACCCACGACGACGGCAGGAAGGAGCTGTGCCTTGTGAGGGACTCAAGCCGATTCCCGTCTGAGAGTGAGGCAGACAACGATGGTTTCGCCGACGGTTTTGCAGGCATCGTGAACAACGTCCCGGGAGCCAAGAAGATGGAGCTTTCTAGAAAGAAGAAGGACTTCTCCAAGTCCGATCAGGTCATCCAGTGGCAAGAGAAAGACATTAAACTGGCGAGGGGCATCTTCAACTCCAAAAGCGACGACGGCACACCGAAAACCCAAGAAGGAAAAACCCAAGAATATCGGGCGTCCTTTGTGGACCCGCCCTTCAAGCCATCCGAGAAGAGAAGAGTCTACTTTGGCCGCGAGACACCAGTCTTGGCACCGTTGACCACCCAGGGCAACCTGCCATTCCGTCGCCTTTGTGTCGAACTCGGGGCGGGAGCAACGTACTCAGAAATGGCTGTCGGCATGCACGTCCTCCAAGGCCAACGATCCGAATGGGCACTCCTCAAGGCTCACGAGAGCGAGACTACGCCGCCTCGGTTTGAGAACCCTAGTGCTGCGCCCCTTGGCTACGACAACACCCGTGACCTCAGGTTTGGCGCTCAAATTGCTGCCAACGCGCCTTGGATTGCTATCAAGACTACACAGGCGTTGTCTGAATACCTTCCTCACCTTCGTCTTATAGACCTGAACTGCGGCTGTCCAATTGACAAGGTCTACAAGGAAGGCGCCGGCTCCGCACTACTCGACATGCCGTCGAAGCTGGAGCGCATGGTGCGTGGCATGAATGCTGTGTCAGGAGAGGTGCCCATTACAACAAAGCTTCGGCTGGGTGTCAAGAGCGATAAGCCCACGGCGAAGAAGACGATCGAGCGGTTGGCGTTTGGAAGCACTGAGGCGAGCGATGTTCTCGGCGCCCCGGGGTGCGCCGCAATCACGCTCCACGGCCGGTCCCGCCAGCAGCGGTACCGTTCAGCCGCGGACTGGAGCTACATAGCAGAGTGCGGCGCCATGATCCAGTCCTACCGCGAAAAGAAGGCTGAGCTGACCGACACGGCGCGCGAGCCGGATCCGAGCACGTTGCCCAATGGTGGTCGAGTGTTCTTTCTTGGAAATGGAGACTGCTACTCGCATGTCGATTACTTCAATGATATTCAAAACGCATGTGTCGACACTGTAATGATAGCTCGCGGTGCCCTTATCAAGCCGTGGATATTCGAGGAGATCGACAAGGGCCAGTATCTCGACAAGTCAGCGACTGAGCGTCTTGGCTACGTCGAGAAGTTTGCCCGCTACGGCATCGAGGCATGGGGCTCCGACGAGCTTGGTGTGAGCACCACGAGGAAATTTCTCCTGGAGTACTTGAGTTTCACCCATCGGTATATTCCTGTCGGGATTTTGGAGCATCTCCCTCCCAAGATCAATGATCGCCCACCAGCTTATCGGGGACGCGACGATATGGAGACGTTACTTGCGAGTGACAACTATAAGGACTGGGTGAAGATTAGGTAAGTGCAAATTTCATCCCGGCAGGCCCCTGGCCCTCAGAGTAATGATAGCAGCTGACTTTGCTAGCGAAATGTTCCTCGGGCCTGTGCCTCAGGGCTTCAAATTCGAACCAAAGCACAAGTCCAATGCATACGAAGTTGAAGCAGAAGGCTAGATGTGTCAACTCTTCACTGAGTCGAAGCTATGGAAAGATGCTTGGTCCCCCTAAAGACCGAGGCAGCAACAGATGGACACGCGCATTCGCCGGGCTAAGAGGAAAGAAAAGCCGTGGGTTTCCCGGGCCACATTGGAATATCTCGGTTGAGATGTGCTCGTAAAAGATACTTGGCGTCATTGCCGAAATTGGACACGTGGAAATCATTGTGAGATGAAAACTCATTCGCCTCAGTGCTGTGTCTATCAAGAGGCAATTCTAAGTAGGGAACGTAGCATTGCCAGGCGTAAAGGGGGCGGTGACTTGCTTGCAACCTCTCACAAAGCTTAAAATTAAGTCTGTTGAAGGTCCTGCCCACCGCTTGAAACATCGGACTGCGACAATTCATTGTCCTGTTGGATTGTGAATATGACACGCCGGTGAATTGCTGATAGTGACGGCTTGCGAACAATGATGCGACCCCCTCCCCACCCCGAACGATATTGGCAATGTCTCCCAAGGCGTTTCGTTTCATACTCCAAAACCATGAAGGTTCTGCACGGGAAAGGCAGCATAGCAATTCGACGTCACCGGGAAATTGCCCTCCTTCAGTCGTTAGAGTCACGCTCTTCACGAAGCGGAACGCAATGTATACTAATAGGCGAGGTTTTGGAATGTGCGTGGATGCGGACGGGCTGTGGAAATGCCACATGGGAAGGTGACAACAAGTCGTTAATAAGCTATACCGTGATACATTTATATATGCCCTGGTTCTCAGTTGTGCGAAACACCCGAAACGCCTGTCCATTCACTTTCTCAGAGGTGAAGGTCATCTCGAAGGATCGCTGGTTCCACTACGCTGGTAAGGAAATTCACGCAGAGCCAACAGCATCTGCAACAAAGTGGCGCAGTGTTACCAACATGGTAGTACGTGTACCAACATGTCTACGACAGTCCACTCAGCTGAAAACGGGAAAGGAAAAAAATGGTGAAAACGCGGTGAGCGTGAATGGTCCTGGCTCAGCATATAATTTGGAGTGCGAGCCTCTGTTTGCGCTGATCCGGTCGAAACTTTGTCCATGAACCTGCGGTCGACTCGTCCGCAACTCACCAAAAAAAAAATGCGTTACAGCTCGCTTGTCTTGAGCCTCGTGCCACTGGCATTTGCTGATTGCGAAGGTCCAAGCAATTCGACAGTTCCTTCACAAGCGCCTGCCAATTTCACCTTTGACGAGCTATACTCTTTGACGACCAAGTTTCTTGATTCTTATATGTATCCGAACAATTCAATACAGGCCCTTTCGATCAACTCAACTCTCTTCAGTGAGGATGTTATCGGCCGCGTCGATGCGACGAGGGATTTCGTTGGCCGCGAGCTGAACACGGAGTATATCTTCGGCCTCTTTTCGGAGCTAGCTATCAACCCAGATGCATTCAGTCTTCTGGGCACGCCGATGAGCTACAAGATCACACATTTTGCCGCCAACCAGAACGTCGCAGTCAACTCAGCCGTGGTTCAATTCTACTCGTCCTTGGTAAACATAACCTACCCGGTTGAGATTCTCTTCTGGGCGACGTATAACTCTCTGGGTCAGATCTCCCAGTATGATGCAACCTTCAAATGGTTGCAGTGGAATTTCGACACCATCTCAGGCCTGCTCATGAACAAACTCAACATGACCTCGTCGGAGCAGTTCACCGCTTTCGCAACCTCGATGATGGCCAAGAGTATCTGCACAACGGCCATGAACAGTTGTAATGGCACCAACACGCAGTATGACAGCATGGACCAGTGCGTCAGTTTCCTGACTAACGACGTGCCATTCGGGAGCGCATATCAGCTAGGCTTCGATACCCTCCTTTGCAGAATGGCCCACCAGCCAATGGTCCCGATCAGGCCCTCGGTGCATTGTTCCCACATCGGGCCTTCTGGGGGTGACTATTGCAAGGACGAGAGGACCTATGGAGCCACTGTACAGGAGCCACTATTCACAAATCAGCCTTTTGTGCCCTATGGATATGCGGACTCTGATGCGAATGTGGCAGCACAATGAACGACCTTCTAATAACGGGTGCCAAAATTTGCATGGTCGAGATGTAAGAGCGAGATGGGCGATTACAACTTTTAGACTAAACAGTTTTGTAATCGCAATGCATGAATCTTATATCCAGCAATGATAGGATTTCTTTCCAGAGTTGTGGCTTCTAGGCACTGGTACAGCTTGATATGCATGTCGTGAATTGACGAGGATTCTAGCTGTGCCGTAAAGTTCAGTCCAGCCCTTTTGGCATCTCAACGAATGTGTCTCCCCCAATGTTGCACTGAAATTCGCCACCCACTGCTGTTCCTACTAATTCCATCTACCTCGCCTCTCAATTTCTCAATATCTGGGTGTACAGCAAGTAAGACCTCACGTGTAAATACCACTTCCACAAGACACGATCTCTCTCACTCTTCTCTATTCTCATCCTCACTCTCCTCTCCTTCTTCCTCCTCGTCGTCATCGCTGTCATAGCCTCTTCTCTTGATCATATATTCCTTAAAGCCACGACTCATCTTCACCACCTGCCGGATGTGTCGAGCCGCAATGCTTACCCTTTCCAAGCCTTCCTCTAAAGCCTCTGTCTCAGCTAAGGCTACAGCTGTCTGCAGCGCGTTGCGGATCTCGCGCCCATTCCAGCGAAGAACATTGACCTCGCCATCGACACGGTGGTCAAAGACAAGTTCCTTCGCGCCCGGGGTAATATACACCTTCCCGGAACTGTCACGCTCGAGCCTATCGAAATTGTTCGCCCAGATGCGGGCCCTGTCGACATCGCCCAGGCGCTTGTAGTGCAGTGCCACGTGGATTCGAGACGTGAAAGCCGGGTCAAAGCTTTCGACACGGTTGGTCGTGAGGAAGAGAACGCCGCGGTAATACTCCAGAGCACGCAGGAAGATGGACACCAGGCCGTTACGGCGCAGGTCGCGCGCGCGCCTCTCCTCAAGGTACACGTCCGCCTCGTCGAGGAGTACAAGGGCTCCGTAGCGCTCGCCGAGGGTCAAGAAATAATGAAGGTTCTGCTCGACACTCCAGCTGGACATGGAGGTAGAGATGTCACCACTTGTCAGGGATAGAAGTGGCCGTCGGGTGAGCTCGGCCACACACTCGGCCGTGCATGTTTTGCCCACGCCAGGACTGCCGTGAAGGAGGAAGATCCTACCTTCTCCCTTGTTGCGAACAAAGTCGTGGGGCCAAGGTGATACCTGACCGTCCAAGGAGGCGAACTTCCCAATAAGTGCCTTTACCGTTGACTTAACGCCCTCGTCGAGGACAAGATACTTGAATGCCTCGGTATCACACTTCACGTCACTGAGATGATCGATACTGACCTGGCCCCACTGTCGGTCAGACAGGACGAAAGCAGGAATCTTGGGGCTGCACACAAGAAAGTACAGGTCGTTCTTGGGCGGTGCGTCAGTCAGGGGGTTCAGGTCCTCAAAGTTGGCGAATGGTCCGGGGCAGTCATCTCGTTCTTTGCCGCATGCTTGGCACCCACAGTACGGCCCGAGCTGTGTAAGGGGTCTGAAGGGAGGGGGAGGTGGTAAGAGTCGGGTTGGCGACATAGGTTGACGCTGGGGCCCATTGCTCGGGCCCATGGAGAAGCGATCATAGCCTTCTGCATCGATAATAACTCGCCCAGTGTTCTAAATAGCGGCGAAGTCAGTGTGTTATTCTTGCATGTGCTCTCTTTCCCGGGTGAGGGGGGTGAGGATTTGAAAAACATGGAGAGGATATAGCTCACATAACCTGTCTTCTCACCATTTCTCATTACCACCTGTCCATCGTGCTCCTTGTAAGCTGGACGCTTCGCCAGTTCCCAGTATAGCTTGCCCATAGCGATCTGCCTTTCTGCCATTGGGAGACCCCCCTGCTTTCCGAGATCCTCTGGGAAGAAAGTAGCAGGAATGACCTCAAGACTGCAGATGGGCTGTTCGCCCGAGAACGACATGATATCGAACGACTTGGTGTAACGCCTCATCTTGCCTTCGCTGAAGTGGATGCCCCAGCACTCAACTTCATAGCGACGCAGTCCGCCATCCCTGGCGTAATTATGGACCACTCGGTCAATAATAAAAGGCACCCAGATATTGTGTAGCTCTTTGTAGACAACTTCACCAGGCTTGAATAGCAGCCATAGCCAGTCACAGGTCGCAACGGGCGTGCTACGTCGGTGCCGCACCTCCTCTTCGCGAATCCTGTCACCATATGACTTATCCAGGAAGTCCAGGAGCACGCCGATGTGCTTCGCAGTGGTTGCTGCGTACTCGTCATTGTGTGATGGAGGCTGAGCAATGCGATAGCGGGAGAGGGCATCCCTGTGGTGAGCAAGGGCGTAATAGGGGGCTTCGAACAAAATCGTCTCGCCCAGCAGATCGATACCAGGATACGATCCGATGACGGCGCGAAACGCATTGACTGGGTTTCCATTAGTGACTGGCTCCCTTCCTAGCACATTAGGAAGAACGACGATGTAACACAGAATGGGATCGAGATGATGTCCAATTGGGTTTCGCGGTTTTGAGATCGCTGTCATCTTTATGATACTCTCAAAACAAAGACAAAACACCTTGGGTGTGGGTTGCAAATGCGGAAACATCATTATGCAAGCGAATCACTTACTGAGATGCTTGGAGTGCACAACTATCTCCGTTCTTTTAACCTTCTTCATGTTCATGTTGACATCAAAGTCATCTTCATCGGGGGAAGAGAAATCGCTTCCAGAGTCGTAGTAGTCCCTGCGACGACTTCCAACGCGTTTGTTGACCCTCTCGGAAACAGTAGTGATGACCTCAATCACTGGCTTCTTGACTCCGGAGTCCTCATCCTCAGTTCTATTCATGGACACGTTGGAAAAGGGCTTGTTACTCTGGCGAGCTGAGGATGGTCAGAACGAAACGTCGAGCATCTCTTCGAAGGCGATCTGAACTTACACTCGACAATATTGCCCTTCCTCTTGTATTGAAGAACGTATCTAATATCGGCGACAGCTCCATTGCCGGTGTCGCCTTTCGTGTTGGAGCATGAGTTCACCTGAGCCGATTGCGTACCCGACAGCCTGTTGACACCAACGTCCTCGAAGCTTGCAATGGAGCTGGCTCCGTCATCGATCTAAATGGTGTTAGAGCTGCACCTTCATGAATGAGGATGGTGGAAACATGCATTGAGGTCCATAGTTCTAGACATGGTCGTCTGAGGTATCAAGGTCAAAAGGTTTTGAGATTGAGAATGGGCGATCTGAAAATCAGAGACTGAGAAAGAAGTAAGAACAGGAAGCGGAATTTTGCTTCGAATAAATGCTCGGGCTCTTCCAGTCGTTTTATGTTGCATGCCCTTCACTTCTGACGTCCAAGCCTCATTACTCAGAACGATTGCGATCCAGGAAGCCCACCGTGCATTGGCGGAAGTTCGCGTAGCTGCCTGATTGTGCCACATAAGTCGATGCAAGTCAGCAACAGCCGGCAGGACAAGGCGTAGAACAAGGCAGTCCTGCCAATGCCCATCTTGGCTCGGGTGCTGTCTCTAGCGACATCTTGAGGCTCGAAGCGGGGATCCAATGGCAATAGGGAGCGTTGCTGACTGCGTGCAGCTACATGAGCCTGTATCACGTATGAGCCAGCTGACTTGGAAAGGAGCGATCGCAGCCAATAGGTGACCAGGCGAGGAAAACCATGATTGCTGTGCCTCATGCAAGAGTTGGCTATTTGGCAAGAAGTTGTGCATCGGCGTTCGCGGCAGATGCCTTGTTTATGGCAAAGTCTCTGTGCAATGGTGTCGCTGAGGCGGCGATCGGAAGCGACGTACTCACAAAACAATCCTTTTAGACTCTTTTGAGGAAGCTCGTGGTGATGATACGGAACATCCCTGATTGCTAAATATCAGGAACAACAGTCAAGTTGCTTCAGAATTATTGGCTGGCCTCTGAAACTCCCACAACTTTTACTACCGGTGGCAATTAACACTCTTAGCTACCTGGACTTGAGCTTTGTCCAGCCGCTCGTCCCAGATGGCCTCGGCTTTTCCGGGCTCGAAGCTTCGTCCAGCGACACCTGTGCGAAATCGGCAACCGTGGAGTCGAGAGCAGTTCTAGTCGACATCACACTCTCAACGCCGAATAATCGTTGGCCTGATTCGCCCGCCTGCTTCCCTCTCCCTTGCACACCCTCCTCCATCGGCTCTTCCACCGCCCAGGCGTCATCGTTCAACATTTCCCAGTCTAGCCCATCGGCATCGCTCAGCATTTTCTTCTTGAGACGATCGGCAAGCTTCACGGGGTTGGGAAGCTTGAAACCTCGAGTGAACTCATTGCCTTCAGCACTTCCGAGAAACGTGTGAATAGTACCGTGAGAGTACCGCCCCATCATGGGCTTTGCGTTACCACCGAAATTATCTTTCACCGATTCTGAGGACTCCGGTATGCCACTTGTATCGGGGGATGGGGGCGGTTGGACAAGGCGAGCGGCAGGGTTATTGGTCAACTGATTACCGATGAGTAGATTGTAAAGATTGCGACCCATGTTGCAGACGTCTTCATACGACGTCTTGTCACCTATGGGCACTCCTTGTGTGCAGCAGGCCCAAGCAATGTCGTAAGCCAACAGCACGACACCTTCGATGAACAGAGAGTATGTTGAAGGGTCCTCTTTTGCCAGAGCCAGAAGTGGCCTGTCGATGTAGAGTGGCCTAGGTCGGGGAACATGCCTTTGGTTGGGGTCCCGAGGCTCAGATGGCGGCAATAACACGGTCCCTGGAAACGGTACCTCCCCGTGACGGTGGGAGGATGCCAGCGAGAATATCGTTGGTCTCGGGTAGTCACGATGAGGAAGTGTAACCTCAGCCGGCAAGCGTATTGCCAGGTAGTGAGAAGCCAACATGAGGATATGCGAGATGTGAGCTAGCGACGTTGAGATAGCCTCTGGCGATGCGGCTGGAACGAGTCAGTGTGTGTGCGTTGTGAGCTTACTGGCGCGTGAGACACCTACTAATCATGCCGGGCAGCTCTATCATTTCGATACCGGCCAGCTCGAACTTTACCGAGTTGCCCTTCTTGATCCGATGAAGCCCGTACAGCCTCGCAGCTTCCATGCAGAGGTAGCTCCTGGTGGCAGCCATGTTCTCAAAGCTACGATTCCATTTGTACTTCGTCATTTGGATTGCTCTTTCGGCCTCGTCCACATGCCTAGATCGCCGTGACTCGATGCCATTAGAAGCCTCTGCCAAGTCTGTTTTCCTCCTGGCGTTGTTCTTTTTGCGCTCTTCAATTTCTCGGCGCGCGGCTTCGACTTCGGTGCGTAGCTTGTCCGCCTGTGCAATGATCTGGCTCGTCCTATCCGCAGCTTGCGCCTCCTCGGACCTCAGCCTCCCAAGGTACACTGTTTTGCCAGCAGCGCCGTCGCTCGAAGGAGGATCCAGGCTTGTCAGAACAGAGCTGATTTCCCCACTTAGAGCCTCGTTCTCGATCAACGCAGTTGCATGGGCAATGCGACTGGCGTAGAGCTGATTCCTGGCGTCGACTGCGCACAGGAAGGGAAGCTTTTGCGGATGATGGAGGCGGTGACATATGTCGCAGTTCATCTTGCAAGCCAGGACGCAAATAAGCGTAGACTCTGGCTAAGCGACGTCTTTGCGATCTGTACTCCGATCTGGCGTTCGGCGCAAGTGGCCGAGGGCGGTCTATCGGCTCGGGGAATGCTCAGTTGTGGCTCGTTGGTATCATCTTGCCCCACATTTGAAGGCTTCTGGATTGCAGAGTTGCAGAGCGGTGACGTTGGGATGTTCTGGTGAACTTGCGATGTTGGCACTGAGACTGAGAACGAGAGTGAGAGTGAGAGTAAGAGTGAGGGCGACAGACTGCGTCGGCTGCAGATGAGGTCACAGGGACAATCAATGGGGCGACGCGACGGCCTTATCGGAGCTCTTATCGCGACTGCCTGCAATGCGTGTGCCTGTTCAGGGTGCCTACCAAGGTACCTTTGTACATGCCCACGCCCGTAACAGAGATGTTTAATCTGAGTCAAATCTGGGGTATGAAAGGCAGAGTACCTTTCCTACTGTGATCAAACGACCAGAGGAACCAGAGATCGTCAATTGTGGGACGTTCCCGCGACCCCACAGGAGATACCACTTGCTTGTTGTGGAACGACCCCATCTGATCTCGTTGATGCTGATCCCGATTCGATTCTTCGCGCCTACTCGATTTCATCTTTCCCACGCGTCACGCGTAAAGCAGCCTCATGTGAACAGTCGAACTCGGTAATTTATTCTCGGCTCGCGTCATCGGACAAGGGAGACCTTCAACCTGCGTAGACAAGCAGCCAACGGTCATACCGCCTCTCCATTACAGCTTCCGTGTAGATCCTCGCCTAACGGCGTGTGGTGGATTTGCTGGTGCTGTCGCTCGGAGCGAAGATGGACGACGCAGACGGATCAACGACGCCTCCGCTGCCACCATCAGAATCTTCTGAGGCATATTCACCACAAAAGCCTTCACAGTCACCACCTTTTAGTGCCCAGCTGGACCGTCAGCAGGAGGAGCAAGAGCCTGGCTCCGAACAGGGTGAGAATGGGGGCAAAGACGCCAGGAAGGACGCCTCCCCCCACCACAGCCGACTGCCACGACCAGCCAATTCCAGAACCCCGGAGCCGCGCATCGTCACCCTCTCAAACCCGCACACACACAGCAAGCACCGTTCTCAGGCGAATGGCCACGGCCATCTGGCCGGGCTCACGCATGCTGCCCACCTAGCTCCTGAGCGGTCTGCTACTCCAGACACTCCGGGAACTGTCGGGAGCATTGCGTCTTTCGACTGGGAGGATCTCGAGGCACGGTTCGAAGCCGCCTTAGCCGATGCAAATCAGCATGAACAAGCTTTGATGGCGGAGTTCGAGGCCCTCGTCAGAGTGCGCGATCAACCCCTTTCGGGACCTGTCGGCCAGGACGTGACTGACAAATCTCTAGTATTTCAATGTTTGGGCCTCCGCTGCGTCCGCTCATGACAATGAGCGCGCAACGAAACGGTGAGTGCAACTGATAGCGGTTGCGGCCGAGGAACTGGGCTGACACTTACCTCAGGTTGCAAACACGGACTCAATATGTCCAACTCAGAGAAGCAGACCTCGAGAAGAAGAAGATGTACTGTAAGTTCAGCAACCATACGGATGTTTACTCTCCGAGTCGAGCTGACCCGTGAATTCCAGACCAGCAAGTAATGCAAGCCTTCCAGAGCGCCATGCACCTCCTCAGTCAGTCTTGATATGCGCTTCTAGCACGCTCCATTCATAGTGGCGTTCGAGACGCTCGCATCGATGAGCCAGTGTTGCTTGATTTTGGGTTGGGATTTTGTTGTTCTGTGCTTTCTTCGCTAGCAAGTCAAGCTTCTTACACACTTCATTTGTACTTCGATTGACTAGATTGGTTTCACTTGGGATGTAAATAGCGGCATGTACTGGAGAAATCAGAGATACCCAATGAAATGCTCTTCATATCGTGACACTAGAATTGAGAGAACCCATTTGACTTGCTTGCACTCTCTCGTTCTGATGTCCAGATCTGTCGACTATGCTCCCTGCAGCAGGGCGGGCCCTGTACTGTACGGTAACGCATTGGCCCAACAGCAATAAAACGGTACGGAGGTACCTAACTACCTACCTAGGTACCTACCTACCTAGAGCTGGGTAGTCCAAGAACCTATGCGCGATCAAGCTCCCCTCCCAGCACCTCAAATTTCCAAGCCCTCCATGCCTCTGTCTTGTTCCCCACGTCCTGCCTCTGCGATGGTCGCAAGGCAACTGATTGTCCAAATCTGCCCTTAAAGCCTCGAAAACCAAGGCTCAGAATGAATTGGGCTTTTTCAATCTAACACGTCGCGCTAGAAACGGAAGCGTCGCTCTCATCAACAGCATTCTGCTCGCCTCTCCTACAAGAGGTCGCTCTCGCGCAATTTGCAATGCGGTCTCTGACAAGATGTCGCAACCAACGCAGCATCACCTTGGCCTGCCGTTTCCAATCCCTCATGTCACTGAGGTACGTACTGCTCACTACATATCTAAATGCGCACCCACTGATAGCGTCCGGGCTAGGCGGACCTGATCTCGTTCCACGACGCACATTTCGGCCGAGTCCCATCATTTGCCTTCACGACAGAGTTTCTCAGCCCAGACAAGGCGAATTTGCACCCGGGGATCCAGTATGACGAGGGCGATGATGAAGCATACTACGATGATGACGAGGATCAAGACGGGCTAGGCTACTATCCAGATGGTGTGAAGCGCACCCTAACCGACGAGCAAATTGCCATGTTTCGACATTCCGAGACCCAGGCCCTACAGAGAGAGCTAGAGAGAGCTTCAACGCGGCGGAACACATCGTCACCATCGCCTATGCCTGTACCTCTCGAAGTCCTCGAAGACGGTGGGAGCGAAGACGGCGAGCTAGATGACAACGTCTCCAAAAGTGGCGTCGCACCCACGAAAAAGAAAAGAAACAAGAAGAAGAAGAAAAGGGGAAGTGGCAATGGCAAGCGCCAGTACTCACCCGATCCCGAACGGCGCAAGAGGACCTGGGACGTCGTCGAGGATGGACTGGATGGCCTGGATTACGGGGAGTCCGGGCAGTCACAAGCCAATACGAGCCCGGCGAAACAACGGCGCAGAATTACGTATGAGGACGGCTGATGACTTATTGAAGATATGGGTCTTTACAGTAAAGGCTTCAGCAGGGCCAGTCCTGCGAGCATAGCTGCCAGCCTCAATGCGGCAAGAAACTCTGTGAGTCTCTCTTAGCCTTATTCTCATTGCACCTCCAACGTGATGAAACATTATCGTATCGTCATCCTTAGGCGGAAGTCCGGAGGGAGAGTGTCGGCCATACGCCTATCTGCTATGTCGGGCACTCTCGCGAAAGGAAAATGTCGAGCTATAATCTTCTCTCTGACAAACACCCATTCATGCTTCTGTCATCACTCCTTGAAACGCAAGGAATCATCCACTGACATCAGAGGATCTCAGCAGGGAGCAGGGGCATTTGAAGAGCTCAGCCAGAATTACTGGATGCACTTATCACGTAGGGTGATGGAGCTCCAGTGGAACGCTTCTGGCGGACGAGCTTGTCGTAAGCCAGAATGGCTCCTTTCGGTTTGAGCTGAATAAGTTTGAATCACAAGTGACCGCATCCCATTCAGTAGCTAATGCTCCGAAGACATCGAGGGCGCATTGTAGTTTCCGAGTGGAGGGTGTAGTTGCACGTGCTGCCACACTACCTACAATGGGCAACAGAGACCTCAACATGCTACTTTTTTTACATTGACGAGGCGGTCAGGCCCTGCTTGTAGAGGGATGAGACATTTCACTTCATCAGCTCCCATCAAGATCGTCACCCAAACTGAGACCATTTCTAAGTAAGCACAAGTATCGAAGATTGAGGGTTCCTGGCGTGCCGGCTTTGTATTCCGCTTTATGCAGGCCTCGGTGATGCCTTCGTCTCCCGCCACCAGCAGGTGAATTGGAATCGCATTCCGCGGTTCACTGGATCTGCCAATTCAGCTTGGTAGAGTGAACTCTCTAGTAGGTTTTGACTCAACATTACACAATATGTGGCAACAAGAAAAGGCCTGGGTCGTCCCTTCGTAACGAGGACTTCCGCCCTGTCTGTGTCCTTATGGCCTGTAAGGGCTGCCTCGCGGTAAGGACTCACACCTTAGGACCCCCCTCTGCTGGTAGTACCCACCCCGAACCCTGATATGCATGGCACTAGCTCAAAAGATAACGACATCCCACCCCGATTTGAATCGCGGTTCCAAACTGTTGTCCAGCCTCACAACTGTTGGTGGCCCCCCTCCCCTCGGACCACTGCAGCCTCATCGCCAACCTCCTTATCGCTGAGTGAACAGGTGCGTCTCGAAGCGCCACAGTCAAAATGGCGCGGGTTTACGCAGACGTCAACCAGAACATGCCTCGAGCATACTGGGACTATGACAGCGTCAACATCAGTATGTCCCGCCTGCCAACCGAGCTAGACTCGCCATGGCAGCTCGAGCTGTCGCGCAACTCCACCTGTGGCTTTGGCAACTGCTAACATATAGCCTCAACAGGCTGGGGTGTCTTGGAGAACTACGAGGTTGTCCGCAAGATTGGTCCGTGATCCCACCATATCATCCGGCGACGCGGTGTGACCAAAGGCAAACTGACTTTCGAGGCGCTTCGCTTAGGTCGCGGAAAATATAGCGAAGTTTTTGAGGGCATCAACGTGGTTAACTACCAGAAATGCGTCATCAAGGTCCTCAAGCCTGTCAAGAAGAAGAAGATCAAGCGTGAGATCAAGATCCTACAGAACCTGGCGGGAGGGCCCAACATCGTCGCACTGCTGGACGTCGTCCGCGATTCACAGGTGATTACAAGTCCGACTTCTCGAAACTCTCTCGGGGCCTTGAGCTTTCCTTGGGCAGATGCACCCGAGACAGCAGGAATTGAACTCTGTCACTGACATTGAGTGCCTATAGAGCAAGACACCTTCGCTCATCTTCGAGTTTGTCAATAATACCGACTTCCGAAGCCTATACCCCAAGTTCAACGATTTCGATGTTCGTTTCTACATCTCCGAGCTCCTCAAGGCGCTGGATTTCTGTCACAGCAAGGGCATCATGCACCGTGATGTGAAACCTCACAACGTTATGATCGATCACGAGAACAGAAAAGTAGGAATACCTAGTGCCAACCCCATCCGTCTCTCAACTCAACGATTACTGATGATTTGGCAGCTTCGCCTTATCGACTGGGGTCTGGCTGAGTTCTACCACCCTGGCACTGAGTACAATGTGCGCGTGGCTTCCCGCTACTTCAAAGGCCCAGAGCTCCTAGTCGATTTCCAGGAATACGACTACAGTCTGGACATGTGGAGTCTCGGGGCGATGTTTGCGTCGATGATCTTCCGCAAAGAACCATTTTTCCATGGCAACTCCAACAGCGACCAGCTGGTCAAGATTGCCAAGGTCCTGGGTACCGATGACTTATTCGACTACTTGGACAAGTACGAGATAGAGCTTGACGCCCAGTACGACGACATCCTTGGCCGCTTCCAGAAGAAGCCTTGGCACAGCTTCGTCAATGCCGATAATCAGCGGTTTGTCAGCAATGAGGCTATTGATTTCCTCGACAAACTATTGCGTTACGACCATCAGGTATGTCTCTTCGTCCTGTCACCGATTCCTTATAATGGCCCTAACAAATTGCATAGGAGAGATTGACCGCGAAAGAGGCCATGGCCCACCCATATTTTAACCCTATTCGTGACGAGGCAAATCTCCAGGCGTACCTAGCGGGTGCCCCTGGCGTTGTAAACTCTTGATCTCGCAGCAACTAGCCCACCAACATTGACAACGTACTAAGTCTGCTGGTCCGACTTCACCGACAAGATACCCCGGAACTCTGTCATCTCGTTCAGCATCGGTATGAAGGAGGGTGGGGAGGGCTCTGAATGCACTGCTTCTCCTGTGAGACCTGCAACACGTCAAGCCTGGTTGCATGTGCGCGCCGCGAATCTACGTACTACTACTTGCCTCGCAGTGCTTGGGAGCAAAGATCGAGAACCTTGTAGCCAACCACTTGCTCATTAGGCCTGCGCTGGAAACACTCCAAAGTCATGATAGCCACACCACAGCAGCTCAACACCAACAAACTTGGTTTCGCGTTTTGCGATGACCGACAAAAAGCACCCATCGAGCAGGAGGACGATGTGGCAGCATGTTGTCGATGGGCTGAAGGTTGGGGAATCCAACTACAACATGTCAGCCCTGGTGGGGACTCCCTTCCAGTCGCAATGACACAGGCGTTGGTGCTTTCTCATAGGGGAGTCGTGGAAACTTTGCATACCAGGTCGTTCGAGGGGTTTCCATAAATGCTGCGAGCACAGTTTTCATAGGCTTTACACTTTATGACGAATAATTTGAACGCGGCAGATGACAGCACCGCTCCACTGACTGCTTCTCCCACGAGATGACTTATGGCTACCACTGAAGCTCTCTTGCTTCCTAGTCACGGTCTCATTGATCCCCCGCATGGATATTTCTATCTCCGCCTACAGTGACGTGGGTTTTCATATGCTGATGCAGACAAAACAAAAGTCTCTCTCGCATCTGAAGCCATCCTCTCCGCACCTCCTCTTCGTGCCTCCTGGTGTCTGCACCACCGAGCCTACCGGACTCAGAGCTCGAGAACTTTCACGTCTAACCTTGACCACGCTCCTTGCGAGACTATGTGTGCTGCGGCGCTTCTTTTTCCTTTGCTGACTGTCCGAGCTTGGCGTGCTATGCTTGCTCATCTTGGTGGCTGAGGCTGGGCCGAAGAGCAGGTTACCGCCGCGCCTCTTCTTAGATGTACTAGATGCAGGTGATTGGTGGTGGTGCGGGCGCAGGGTGAGGATACGGTGGTGCCCAGATGGCGTGAAGTCGGCGAGATCGAAGGAGATCTCGTCTTCTTCGTCGTCGTCATCCGAAAGGAGCGAGATGAGTCCCGATGTAGAGGACGGGGTCTTCTCAGATCTTGGCTTAGATTTTGGCTGAGGTGTTGTTGGTGGTACTGGTATAGTCTGTGCTGTCTTCGGAGGCTTTGCTGATGTTCTTTCGACATTCGCCTCGACTGCAGTTGATGCAGCAGCTGAAGCCGACGCGTGCGCAGTTCCAGGGACGCCATGGACGTCGTCAACAGCATTTTCCCGAAATCGATGTTTTAGGGCACGAGTACCAGCCATACCTGTGACCTGTTCTTCGGCTTGCTTTACTCCTGCTTCACCTGGCCACTTGCCTCGGCTCTGCCGGTGTGAGGCAGATAAAGGGGGGGCTGTTGGGCCGGCAGAGTCCATATTTTCCGAGCTTTGTATGTGGCTCAGCTTGGAGACCTCCAAAGCATCCGCTGCTGAATCCCGTTCAACAATTGGCTTTGGTGACATACGCGCAAGTTGATCTCGGCTCTCCTGATCCCAAGCATCAAGCCCAACCTTTGTCTGCAGAGTCGGCGCAGCTTTTGACTTCGGGGCAACTTGCGAGACATCATGCGCAGCTATATCGGCGCGGAGTCTCGGTTCCGAGTTACGTTGATTGTTCTTCTTGCTTCTAGGCAATAAATCTTCATCGTCCGAGAATGCATAGCTTGGGTCTACAAAATTCCTCTCAAATCGCTCCTCGGCACGATGCGACGGCATATTCGCTTGTGACTGCTGCAGTGCTTGATCGTGGGTTCCAGCCGACGCGGGCGGCCGTTTCTGGTTTCTAACTGTCCTGGATGGCAGGTCCTCTTCGCCCGAGAAAGCAAAAGTCTCGTTAGTCTTTCTTCTTCCTAACGGCTCATCAACCGCTTTTAATCTTGTTGGCTCATCGTCGAGGAGGCTTCTGTCCGACTCCGTGGCGCAATTGTCATCTTGAGTGTCGGCTACCTTCTCTGCAACACCCGACGAGGTATGCAGCCCTCGGCCCGACACATCGGCACTTGAGAGGCCTGTGTCGACTGTCTGTACTTCGCTATCGTCCTGATCATCTCGAGCAAAGCAATCGCTTTGGCCAAGCTTCCTTGCCTTGATCTCGACGTATAAAACCTGTCCAGCCGGTTTAACAGGCTCATTTCCGGTGATATCCAAGAAAGAATCTTCATCCATGCCCGGAATACCTGACTCCCCTATTGTCTCAGCTGCTTGGTTCTCGGTATGTGTCTCCGGCTTTGTTATTTTGCGAATTTTGACAGCCTTTACTTGAGATTTATCCGCCGTAGCTTTACACCCTCGCCTTCTGTTGATCTCTGGGCTTGCTCCGTTCTCTTGCCTAGAGATAGCCTCACCCGCTTTTCTTGTTGCGTTTCCCTGGTCATCGCACGTCCGTTCAGTACACCTCCTGCCGTTTAACCCTGGATTCGATCGAATTGGCTTCAACTTGGTCTTGGTGGATGGCCCTGTGCCTGATGCGCCTTTTTCCAACTTCTCCGCTGAAGGTGACATGTCCGCAAGGTTGTCGATTACATCTTGGATCATTTCGTGCAAGCCAGAATCATTGTTAGGGCTGCTTCCGACGGCTGGGAATCTCGCCTTGATTAAGGGCGACTCTTTCTTCCTGGGATCATTGCCAGGGGCGCCGAGGACATCCTCTTCGTCACCGTCCTGGTTTCTAGGCTCCAGTAGTGACCTTCTAGACACCTTCTTCGTGGTCTGCCCCATGCCAAATATGTGCTTCTGTGCCTGCGCTCCAAATTGCTGGCCCAGAAACGCTGACCGAGGGAGTTCAGGAGCTTGCCACACAGGGTCCAGATCCTGGGTGTTCGCGGATTTCCAAGAGTCGAAGCGATTGTTTGGCGGCACGAGAAGCTCGTGGGCCGGGGGCCCTAAAGAGGAGAGACTCGTGGGCACTCTCATGCTAGCTGAGGGTCGGGCCCAATTTGGGTTTGAACCTGACATCACCCAATGATTGCTCTGCGTCACTGCGTCTGATGACCCAGTTCTGGAGCCCCCATTGCCTGTGCCAAGGATGAGACGCTCGTTCTCCGAGACATTGTCATCTTCATCTTCATCGCCATCAGTGTCTCCAAACTCCTGGACGCCTGTGATAGACTGCAGATGTCCATTATCCACGACGACCTCACCAGTCCTCAGGTCGATTTCATCACCAACCCCTGTGAAGTCCTTCTCATATTTGGCGAAGATGTCCTCAAATCTGGATTTGAGCTTGTTCGAAGCACGGAACCTGGCCTGTTCGAGCTGGTAGGCAGGGTCTCGCCTCTGGTTGAGCTCATTAGGCTCACAGTCGAGCTCGTCCTCGTCGTCGGTGCCAAGTGAGCCAAGTGCAATTCTTTGCCGTTTAGCTGGTCGCTCCATAGTGGTGCCCTGATGAGCGGCACGGGCATGTGACCTCGTGGTCGAAGCGATGCTGCGAGGACGAGGAGCTTAATTGAGAATGAGACGCGTCAAAACACGCTGCAGGGCTCCTTTGACGTGCCTGGAGTCTGGAGATGGGCCCCTGTCCCCTGGAGCCGTAGGGCTGAGTGGGGGGAGCTTCGGGCCCGGCCTCGGCACCCAGGCAGGCAAGTTACTTGGGCAGCTTGTCCTGGGCGACGTCAGTCTCCTGCGTCTTCCATGCATTACCTGCGCAAAGCCTACAAGTGCAGACAAGTTCTGATCGCCATCATCGCTGTGCTGCTTGCGCGCACGGGTCCTTCAGCATGTATTGCCAAAAATGTCGAACACCTCTCAAGCTGGACAGCTCCTTAGAGGACCTCAACCCAGCGGCATATGACTTGCTTGTCGGTAAGGATACCTCTCACCTTCTGCATCGCGAAACGCCTCAGCCAAGTCCTAATGCTCAGACTCCTGCAGCAGCTTCTTCCCAGCCTACAACGAAACGGCACCCACCCTCTCGGAATACGAATGCACAAGACCAGGCCAGAAAATCTCTGTACGACCGTATCTCTAAGGACGCCGGCCCAGCCACGTTCAGGAAACCTGCCGGCCCACTACGACCAGGCGAAGGACATCAACGAGACAACCCGGGCATGTCCTTCATATATCTGACAGAATCCCAAGTTGGGAATCCGAAGCGCTTACCTGGCCAGTCTGCTTCGCGGCGGGCGACCGGAGACATGTCGGCAGACGATGGCAGTTCGAAGTCGCGCGAGATGGAGCGCATCACCAAGCTGCATGAGATCCTTTCTGCGAGGTCGGACATAGACCACCCCGTCTGTGTGGAGTGTACTGAAATGCTTGTCGAGGGTCTACAGAAGAAACTCGATACCGCGAACCGTGAAAGGGAGGCATACGTGGCGTACCTAAAGGAAATGCAAGCAGAAGCGCCAACGGATGACGAGCTCAAAGCGACCGAGGATTCACTAAAGAGGACAAAGCAAGGCGAGGCGGAGGCTCTCGCACTTTTGAAGAATCTGGAACAGGAGAAGGCGCAACTGGATGAACATGTTCTACGACTGGAAGACGAATCACGACAGCTCGACGCCGACGAGGAGCAGTTTTGGCGAGATCGCAACGCATTTGCCATGAAATTGACAGACTTTCAAAATGAGCGCGACAGTACCAACTCAAAGTTTGATCACGACTCTCGCCTGCTCGAAAAGCTCCAGAGGTCGAACGTCTATAACGACACCTTCTGCATCAGTTTTGATGGCTACTTTGCGACCATTAATTCGCTCCGGCTCGGTCGTTTATCGAATAAGCCCGTCGACTGGCCCGAGATCAATGCGGCATGGGGCCATGCTCTCCTACTGCTAGTGACCGTCGCTGATAAGCTCGGCTACCAATTTGACGGCTACGAAGCTGTTCCCATGGGCTCAACTTCCAAGATCATCCGTTATGACCCAGTCTCCCCTTCTTCTAGTCGACTCGGCAGCCACAGAAATGCACCCCCGCCAGCACCCAAAAAGCATGTTCTAGAGCTGTACTCCTCTGGCGACATGCCCCTGGGACTCACATTCATGCATCGCAAGTTTGACAACGCCATGGTTGCCTTTCTAGAATTGGTGCGGCAGCTCGGCGCCTTCGTCGAGAAACAAAATGCAAATAACGCACTCAGCGACCAGACCTTGATGCTGCCATACAAGATCGAGGGCGACAAGATCGAGGACGTCAGTATCAAGCTTGGCTTGGCGCAGGATGATAGCTGGACCAGGGCTTGCAAATTGACGTTGACGTGTTGCAAGTTTCTGCTGGCCTGTACCAGCAACTTCAGTGCGGAGAGGAACACTACTGATCGGAATGGAAGGAGAAACAATGGCAACACGGCTTGAATGACGACGACTGCATATGCTTCCTGGTTTACTCGGAGTTGAGGACGGCCTTACGAAGTAAATTCTTTTGTTTTTAGGCACTGGCGTTGGCGGGGCGATAATACCAGGCGTCTTTGTGAATGCCACGCACTCTATGTATATGGTGCTATTACGATTAAAGATTTATGCCGCAGCTTGATGGCGATAGAGCGAGGGCCTGGATAGGTCCCGTGAGGTCAAACACATGCAAGTTGTCTTTTACCTCAAGTGAGAAACTGACTTATCATACGTGGAGAACAACCTATCCAGGTCGACTTTCTGGACGACCGTCCACGGCCGAAGACACATACATGAAAATGATTACCCGCATTGTAGTGTCATCCAGTTCGTTGCTTGCCATTATCTTGGTCCAAAACCTGGCAAGTCAAGAATCAAGATGAACTCCACGACTTCGAATTTCAGAATTACATCATTTTTGGAACGATCCATCATTCACTAGCTTAAATTACAACAAGCAGAAGGCGAAGCAAACAACTTTTGTCGAAAGAGTTGAGTGTTTTATTAGACGCCGCACTCGAGCAGCGATCTATAGGTAGGGGCCTCGCGTGGTAGAGGTCGAGACGGTGACTTTGTCACCCAGCGAGGCCCGTTGCAGCCTCAATCAAGAAGTCTGCCGTTTCTTCTGGGCGTGCCAACATCGGGCTGTGCCCACTGTCCACCTCCCTGACCTCAACACTGGCTCCGGCATCCCTGGCCATCTGGACCATCATCTTCTGCGCCTCCGCAGGCAACGCCTGGTCCTTTGTCGTCACGAGGAACCACGACGGGACATCCTTCCAGCCAGCATATGCATGCTCTCTTCCTTCATACAAGGACTTCATGCTATGCTTCGTCAACTTCGACACCCAGTACTGCTTCTCCTCGGTGGGAAGGTCATGATAAAACAGGTCCGCCGGATCTATGCCCTCTGAGAATACCACAAAGGCAGACTCCTCGTCCGGATGCCAGATCGGCGGCGGCTTGCCGTCGAAGGCATCGATGAAGGTCCCGTTGGTCACATTGAAGCCAGTTGCCATCAGGGCGAGACCGATAACTTTGCCGTGGGCGGTGTCTGGGCTGGGCGCTCTGACTGTCGGGACATCTCGGATGGCACTTTGGCCAACATGGCCACCGTAGGAGTGAACCACTACGATCACGTCGTGGCCCTGTCTGACTTCGGATAGAATCAAGTCCCGGACAACTGCAATGTCGTCGCCGAAAGTAGCAGCAGGGTCCCCGGTTGTAGAGGGGAGGGTGACCGCAATGGCCCTATGGCCTTTCTGTTCGAGCAAGGGAGTAACCTTACTCCAAGTACTGGCGGTGTGCCACGCCCCAGCGATGAGGATGAAGACGGCGTTGGAGCTCATATTGAGAGGTCAGAGGTGGAGGGGACAGGCAGATAGGTCAAGAGATGCAGGCATAGAAGCTCCCAGGCATAAGCTGCTCCTGGGGAGGATCCATGGACCGACTTAAATAAAGCTTCTCATGTACCGAGGAAGTTCAGATATTGACATTGGCACTGGTTCATTGACTACGGGCGAGGGAATGTTTGTTTCTCGACAGCTGAAGAGCAGTTCCGTGAGATCCCGTGGCCCATAATTGATATGTAATTTGTGATTCGTGGCTTGAACAGGCAAGGAAGATTTCGACCTGGCGATGCACAGCTTACTGAACAGCTCTATTAATACGTTTCCGGGTTCTCGAGTGATTCAGTACACGATGATATGCCAGGCCAGTCGGCTGACGAATTCGCCCGTGTGACACCTGACCCGGTCTTCCCCGAACTCGTGAAGCTTGGCTGAATGAAGGCGCACAGATAGCAGCGTGGCTGTTAAGCCCATGAATTCTGGAAACTCATAGTCTGCAGTGATGAGTGATAAGTCGGTGTCTGGTTGGTACTCTCTACACAAAAGTGCAGCGTTCGCGGTGACCACTCATTCTAGAGGGCAACTTTGCACTTGGAGTGTCCAACCAACCATCTAACGGTACATACAGTACGCTAGAACGGGATTGACACAACCACGACCGGACCTCGCTGATGTATAGGGACATCATCGATGTTTGTAGATGTGAGCTGGAATTGATTTTACACGTACCGTGCGTAGTAAGCCCGGGCTGATTCCTGCTGTTGCAGGGGGATGCTCGACCAAGGCCGGGGTTCAGGGGGCCAGTGACGATAATAGTAACCTCACATGGAAACTAAGTTGCACTGAGGTGCGACGTCAGCGACCACAGCATACCGGGGACTGATTCGTTGAAACTCAATTTCTCACACGGCCACGACCACCTGTTGAAACGTGAAACCCGCCTCACTGTGAGCATTCTGATCGCGCCATGCAAGGCAATCCTGTGCCGAAAGTTGCCGCCTTCTGGACGCCTTCTGGACGTGATCCTGCCCTCGCCAGTGCTCCGTCGAGATGGTTCGGATAGGCCACATCAAGCTGGAGAGGCGGCTTGCCTGGCTCCTCGCATCCATGACCGCTAGCATTCTCTGCTTCGTGGTCTATGCATATCACAGCGGCACATATCTTGACTGGCGCGGCAGCGCACGAGGAGGCTTGCAGCACCTGTCGCCCGGTGTCCAACCAGAAAGCGGCCCAGTGAGTCCGCCGAGCCCGAGCCAACCCAATCAAGCTGGGGCGCGCTATCCGGCCTGGGTAGAGACACCCAAGGTCTTCGACGTCGCCCTCATCTCAAATTATGTCTCGCCGCCCTTCTCACTGCCCGTGCCCCTTGTCTTGCATCCCCAGCTTGGACAGGCTGTCGACAGGTTCCTCTCGAGGCCTGTCCTCACTCATGAGCAGGCCAGCCTGCAGAACCAAGAGGCCTGCCCACTGGAGCAAGCCGGTGCTCAGGTCAACAAGGACCAGCTCGAGAACGACCGCAGCAAATGGCTGGCCGTCGACCCAGAAACGATTGACCAGATGCGCAGAGGCGCTCTGGAGTCTCTCGAGCAGCATACCGCCAACGAGGGGGAGGCTGCCCTCATCGGCCCGGGGGTTGGTCTTGATGGGAAGCCTGTCCGTCAGGGCTCGCGGGGTATTGTGTTTGCGGCAGGGAACCACAGGACTGTGGACAGGGCTATTGGCTGCATCAAGGAGATCCAGAGGCTGGGCTGGAAGCGTGGTGCTATAGAGGTGTTCCACTTCGAGGGCGAGCTGACTGATGAGAATCAGAGGAAGCAGCTGGAGGAACTGGGAGCCACTCCTCACACCGTATGTGTAACTCAAAGGCCTTCAGGGCAGTCTCTATTCTCGTTCACGATACTCACATTCAGGACAGGTCTCGACCAAGAAAACCCCCGGCCGTTGGAAAAACTTTGAGCTCAAGGCAGAGGCCATTCTTCGCAGCTCCTTCGACGAGGTGCTCTACCTAGATTCCGACAACTATCCATTGTCCGATGTAGGAGCTCTCTTCGACTCAGCCCTCTTCCGGGATCCCCGAGGGGGCAACGCCGTCTTCTGGCCAGATCTTAACCGCGACCACCCGGACAATGCCATCCACCGCCTGCTCGGCATCCCCTGCCACAACGCCTGGGAGCTTGATAGTGGGCAGATACTCATTTCGAAGTCCGGCAATGATGGCCTAAACCTTGCCGCCTTGTATCTGGCTCAGTACATGGCTGAAGAGGGCGACTTCTGGTTCAGTGGCGGCGACAAGGATACATTGTAAGCTGCGAATCTCAAAGCCGACACCACCCCTTCTCATCACGCGCTGGTAGATATTCACGCTAACATTGGCACAGCCGCTACGCCTTCCTAGCTCTTGGTATAACCTACACACCGGCCCCACGCTGGCTCTCCCTGCTGGGCAACCGCGATCCGAGGGACAATTTTTGCGGCGCTGCGATGCTGCAATACGGTCTTGATCCACCAAAGGCCGGGCACGCCGACCAGGCCGACCCGTTGCATCCAGAGCCGCTGTTCGTACACGCCAATCTACTCAAGCACATGAGTGGTATACGTCCGGGTAACGTCTTCACTCAATTCAGACGCCTCTTTCCGAGCCAGGACGACGTTCGCGTCGAGTACGCCCCTGCGACCGCCTTGCACAGTGTCAGTGGCGGCGGAAGCGCTGTCGCAGGCAGAGGCCTGTGCAGCGATATAACCGCATTCCGAGACGGGGCTGACGTCGAAACCGTGGATACCAAAACTTCCTTCGGAGGCATGATGAAGGACTTTGAGGAGCAATTCTTCAGTTATGGAGCTCTTCCCGGACTCTGGCGCTAGCCTCACACAGGCGCTCGGAGACAGGATGCTCTGCCAAGCGGAGCAGTGTGAGCGCTGCTGATCATCGGACCGCATTGATGGCGATGCAGAGGGGCGCATCGCGACGCTTGTCGTCTTGCGTATTCGAAGCGATTCGAGAATATGCGTACGCAGCTGGATGGAGTATCAGAACCCCTTACGGTCCATTGCCTCGATCTAGTCTTGCGGCTAGTGAGACAGTGTCGACGGCCGGTTCGACATGCCTCATCACGAGTTTCTAGCCAGAAAGGGATGTGACGCCTGGCCGCTCCCTTGGGCTACAGATCTCAGGCAGTGTCGGCCAACACCAAGGTATCTCGTGGCCTGGACCAAACAGGTGTTCAACCGTACACTTATTGATGGTCCAAGGTATGGCCATAGAAGAGGGACTCGGAGACCCGCAATTTTGGGTTTTGCCAGACCTCACAGTAGTGACCGCTGTCACTAAGGCCCTTGCTCTCCACGTGAGAAATCTTATCGGGAATCTGTATTTATTGAATGCAGAATGAGGGATCAATACATCTAGAGTGGCTAGCACTACATGTTGGAGTAAAATGACCGCGGGCTACGGGGATGGAAGATTTGAAGTCTGTTGTGGCTATGCTATAATCTCCTCCCCTTGAAGCCTGCGCGAGAACATTCGGCGCAAGCTAGCGAGACTTTGCAAGGGAATAAGCGGCTCAGGGCTTTCTTTGGACGTTTGTCTTGATGAAAGCTATCTCCTGTTGGGCAAGGATCAGTTGGAAATGTGAATATAAATTGTATATTGAATAGTCTCTTTATGCTGACAGATAACACATTTGGAAGGGGTTATCGAGTGCTTTGATCTAAGCCGCAGCACTGACCGGTCTGAGAGAGCCATGTTCACAAGAGATTTGAATTCTCCAGGCACATGCTCAACAGTCTCCCAGGAAATCTCATATATTCCAATAAAGATACTCCACTAATAGAGACGTTGTTGCATTCTCAAATCATATATTGGACTGCGAACTCCTAACTATCTGCCAATAGTCTGAGGCCCAATCGATGCCAGAAAGTCTCTCTAAACTCATCGCATTCCTTTAGATACACGCTAAAGATGTTGTTGGCAGGACATGAGCGGCATTTACAGGAGGCCTGATCGCTGTGGTCTCTAATAAAGGATTAATGCGCTTGATCTTATTACACCTTCTTCTACAAGTGTTTAGCCCTTTACCAGTAAGATTTCTCTCCTGGCAATAAGACAAATACACTCAAGAGATAGGGTGTCAATGAAGAACTTGGCGTAATCGAACACACATTCTATGACGAATGCGCCCGAAGTGTTGGTGAGAACGTCCACCACGCCCTTCAAGTCCGCTCAAAGTATTTCGTTAAAGCATGCTCGCTTATCACAAGTCACATCAGCAAATAATCACAGTACAATTCACTGTGGATACGAACGAACAAAAGGTTGCAGGGATGCGCAGCCGCGCAATCAAAAAGGACATTTATTGATACGGGTATCAGCCCTACCCAAAAAGAAGAAAGCCGACCAGCAGAGCAAACATCCCAACATCCAATGCAACAACAGAAACCACCGCGCACACAAAATTATGTTCAGAATCGGGAGCGGTAAGAGCGAGGACTGGAAGGAGGCGGTGGGGTAGGAGGCCGGGCCCGCAAGCCGGCAGGGTCCCGGAGCCGCTCCGCCAGCGAGAGAGTCTTGGCAGGAGCCGGAGGAGGTGTCGTGTGCTCCATAGGGGCGACTGAGGTGTTACCGGGGGTAGGTAGAGGTTCCGGGGCGGCGGCGGCGGCGGCGGCAGCGGCAGGAGGCGCAGGGCCGAAGAGAGGTTTCAGCGGTGGGAACGGCATGGAGACCGGTGCGGCGGAGACGGCAGCAAGGGCCTGGTTCGGAGCCGGAGCCGAAGCAGACAAAGGCGCAGACCAGTTGCCGACGTCTGGTAGAGATGTGATCTGAGGAGGTGCCTGGCCGGGAACCAGCAAGCCCCATTCCCACCTGCAGAGAAGTTCTTGTCAGCTGTCTTATCTTGATGTGGAATTGCAAGACACGGAGATGAAAAAGAAGCACGACGTACCAGTGCAGTCGCTTCGGAGGCACAAGCCACTCAGGGTACGAGGAAGCCATGTCCTGCCGAATTGTGCACGTGTAGATGGACTGGTGTAGAGGTGAGTGGTGCCGAAGGGTCCTCATGGACTCGAGAGCCGCATCGAAGTTCCGATACATTTGCTCGTAGTTTGGCAGATCGGACTTGTGTCGCACCTCGCGCTTCTTGGTCAGGACCTGGCTCAGCTGCGACTCCAGACTGTCATGTTCTCGATCCAGAGACCTCAGCAACTGCTTGTTTTGCTCAAGCTGTGCGGCGAAACCTGCGATAGAGCATTCGAGTCGATGGGTCTCGTAGTCTTGGGACCACAACCAGCGGATAACGGCGAAGGCAGATGGAGCTGCTGGAACGCAGTGTGGAGGGATAAACATCGAAAGTATGACTGGTCGGACTTGGGATTCATCAGTGAATGATAGACACGCTTGAAATTCGCTGAGGGGAGAGGAGTCGACTCACTTTCACGTCGGCAGGTACTATTTTCAGGCTGATGATCTTTTACCTTTCGCATGACTGTGGCATTGTCAGTACCTGGGTAATTACTCTTTTGTGCAGCATAGACGCGTCTGAAAGGTATTGGTAAATTCCAAGAGGTCTTGTTACATTATCCACTTTGTAAAAAAAAAAAATATAACGTTCTTGAGATTCTCATACAAACAGAAGACTTACTATACCTCTCAGCGCTGCAGATTTCCTGAAGCAGGACGTTGTTGGTTTCGTTTCGCATTTTGATGTCCTCCCCAACGTTGATCAGTCTTGCTCTCATAGTAAGCTCTTTGCGACTCATATCCTTGAAATTTCGCAGGAATTCATCCTGCAGGCGGCGGTCGATGTATCTTTTGATTGGGACATATTCGGCGACAGACTGAAGGAGGACGCAGAACGCGCACCAGGAGAGGAAGAGGATGATGGCACCGATACCGTAGATGATGGACGCGAATGTACAGTAGATGAGTGCATACGCGATGTCAATTATGGCGACGAGGGTGCCAATCAGGCGGCGGAGGAGCTCCATGGCCGGCTCAAACATGCTAGGCGATGGTGAAATATCTTATTGACAGGCGGAGGATGGAGATGGTCTCACAAGCTGGTAGGTCAATCAAGATACGGCCTGTGTCGCAGGCCGTCAGAACGATGAAGTAAAATTTGATGGCATAAATAGGCGGAACAACAGAAGCGGAACCGATGCTTCCACAACTAGGCAGATGAAGATAATTCCCCGTCTCAGTAGCAGCCAAAAGGCTAGGTATCAAAGGTTCTGCGAGGAAGCCTAAAAAGAACGTAGACTTGCTGTTGACCGATTGGAAGACTGAAGTAATAGAGACTGGCAATGGAGAAGACAGGAATCAGGCTCAATTATCACGGTGACAAGCGGCCTTCAATAGTTGAGACGTCCTGAGGGTGTTGATACTCGTCTACATCGCAGGAAGTCCTATCGTAAGAGCTCCCACAATTGTGACAACTAATTTAGACATCATTTACGTTGAAGCAGTGCAGTCAGAAAGTATTAATGGATTTGGAGAGAACGAGGCTTCCGTCGAAGTCCACTACGGTGCCAAATCCTATTCAAAACGTAAGGTCATGCAAGACAATACATATAATTCGTTCGGGTGGTATCTGATTACCCTGTTGCAATCGCGATGTTGGCAATGTGCCCATGCTGTGAGAATGCCGTAGACAATCCTCGTCCGCCCATTGTTCACTTTCTACCTCGTGCTAAGAGCCTTGCATGCAAGTCTGAGACGACACTCACCCATGTTTCAATTTCCTTCTCGGACTGACAATAGACACGCTTCCCTATTCGGCTCGACAAGAATTCTGCCATTTTGCCCGCATTGAACTGCTCACCGTAGACAATAGTTGCCTGGGCTGACACAATGAACTCAAGACCTTCGACACCGACCAAGCTTTGGATGCCCAAGCTCACTTCAACTTTGGTCTGCAGTGGTGCCAAAAGTAAGGATGAAGTGATGATGATTGCAGAATCTGAAGCGCGAGCTGCGGAAGTTGGAAACGCGAGGTTCAGCTGATAAACCTGTGTGGCCAACGCGTTTGCGCGGTCCCAAGCGCGGCTGACTTGACTAAGCATTGAGCTCACTTTGGTTTTGGACTGAGGCAGGCAACGAAGGTGATCGCGTATGCGCTGTAGGCAGAACTCCTTTTCAGGCGTCAAAGGCATAGACTTTCTCTCCCTCTTCGCTGCGATATACCAGAGGTCTATACTGGAGTTCTGCTGTCCTGACCTGAATGATGCGATGTCGAATACAAGCTCGATCTGGCGGCGGTAGGAGATTGACACGTTGGTCCCCACCACTCCTGTGATTGCCCAGCCGTGTTGCTTCTCGATCTGGTCGACCTTGGCTTTGAGAGCGCTGATCTCAGAGGAGCTCCAGCCTCGGCATTCCTCTCTGATCTTTTCGGCTTCCTTTATGTCTGCAATATACCGTTGCTTCTGTTCCGCAAGCTGTCCGACACTTTCCTCACTTGTTCGAAACTGTTCTCGGAGCCGTGCGATCTCCTTGTTCTTCGCCTCAATGTCATCTTCAACGGCAGCAAGGTCGGCACGGGCAGCCTCCAGTTCCTGAGGATCGCAGTCTTCCAGCTCGCTGGCAACGGCCTCGAGATTTTCACACTCCCGGGTGAGGTTGTCTAGCTGCTTCATCATTGCAGGTAAAACGGAAGATAGTAATTTCCTCTGCTTTTCAAGAAGCTGCTCGTCCGCAGTCATGCCTTCGGCAATCTTGACCAGGCCCTCCCTGAGACCATCTTGTAACTTCATTCGCCAGTCGTACCACATGGCTTTGCTTAATAGGCGAGCATTGGTTTTCACGTTCTTGAACTGGTTGTCCATCAGGTTCTTGAACTCTGGTGAAGCCGTGATATACTCGCGGAACAGAGGTGGGTTCTCCTGGAATGTCTCCGTCTCAATCTCGCGAACGATTTTTCGGCCTTCCGAGATGTACTTCTTCAATTCTCGACAAGAATGTTGGAAGAGCTCGAGCATCGGCACTGTGCAAGCTCCTGCGATAACACACTTTTCCAGAGAGAGGCTGTCTTTGTCTTCGGAGAGGCTATTCTTGCGCGCTGAAGGCAGAATGGTATGCCGCCGCTTTGTGGTTGTCAGCTCCATAAATCGAATGCTGGTCAAGTTGAGGAAGTCCTGCAAATGGATCCTATCCTCATCGTCATCTGGTGGTTGCAAATCGGCGAGATTTGCCAGTGGAGTAGCATGGAAGGTGAACGTGGCGGTGGGCTGGTCGTTGTCTATGTTCTTGAACCGCCCTTGCTCCTTGGGGGTCGTCGCTTTGAACGGGGATGTAGCTGTTGTGGGGGTGATTGTGTCATTCTCGGCATCGTCTGACACTCGACTAGATGGAAATATAGGTCGTGATCCAGTCGTCTCGGCTTTGGATGGTGGCTGTTGAAGTCTGATATTCTTCACGGGACTGCCCTGATGCCCTTTAAGCCTCTTGACGCCATCCTGCACCTCCGCGTCACTGTCATCTTCCAACTCAGAAGGACGCTTTCCCAAAAGACCCCTGGCACTACCGACGTGCAAGCTCTTGCGGCCTTTCAGGGGATTCTTCTTTGGAGATAAGCCCTGGATCATCTCTTTGAGACTAGAAGTGACATCATCCGCTTCCTTCTCCAGAATTCGTCGACCACTCTCGCGGTCTTGATCGTCGCGACGCTCCCTGTCGAGCTCCTCTTCCATGATTCTTGGATCCTCAAATGCCACGGCCTTGCGATGATGCGGAAGCTGTACAGGACTGAACGTGGCAGCAGAATCTCCGATCGAGCTCCGTCTGCCCAGGAGCTCAGTGACACGTGGTGATCCAATCCCACTTCTGTCCACGCCCACACCCGACAGCTTCGGTCGCTGCGGAGTCAAAACCACAAGAGGGGTTCTCGAACCAGTCGTAGAGTCTCGCTGGAATAGACTGCTTGACGGCCGAGCAGGCGATTTAGACAACGGTGTGAATTTTGCTTGGGGTGACTGATTCCTTGAGGGGAGACCTAGCCTCTTTGGTGACGGCGTGCGACTGTTGCTCCGTGCAGGGCTGCGTGACGATGCTGGTGATGCCGGTCCTTGCGAGCGTGTCTTCCGTTGGGACACAGGACTGGCGCTTTTTGCGGGTGACTTAGGTGTCGCAGGAAACAGGAGGCCATTGCTGCGTCGCAGCTTGTTGCCACTGAACGCGGCCAGGTTGGGCGAGTCCTCTGACACGGCTCGCACCGATGGCTGCTTTGGTGGAGATCCTATTGAAATGAGGTCAGGTGTCGTTGTTATTTCGGGTTGGTCGGCCTCTTGCTCCATGAGCTTCTTCGCAGCCGTCCTTTCTGCCGGAGACACAGGCTTGACGTTACCACCATCAACTGCGGTAAGTCCCATACTGGTGATGATATCACCATCAGTGCCTATGTCATCATCCTCGTTGCTGGTCGACAGGATGCGGCCAATTCCTCTGGTTACATCCATCGTTGTCTCCATCGGCTCGTCCCCATCAGCTGGATCTTTGATGGGCGAGGAGCTTAGTTGCAAAGACTGCCTCAGCTGTTTATTTTTAGCACCCAGCACACGCCCCATGACGGTCGTGAGCTCCATGGACATGTCCTCGTCGCTCGGGAGCTCTTGGTCGTCATCAGATAGCGGGGTTCGTTGTATGCCACCCACAGCCGTAGTGAACTCCATAGTTTGTTCATCCTGAGCCGACCCCTCATCGTACGTCCGAGGTTGTGGTTGCGGAAGAATGCCACCATATACGTTGGTAACATCCATGGACATATCCTCCTGGCCTGCTTGATCTGGTGATGATGGGATGGTTTCTTGGATGATTCCACCCACGGCGTTGGTCATGTCCATGTCCATTTCCATTTCCGTGCCCTCATCGACACTCAACTTCTCAGGACTTGACTTGAGAGGACTCGAGGGGGCTTCTTCATCGGACGGGGGCTCCTGGTAACTGGCAGCAGCCTCTCGCTGCTCTCTCGCTTTTCTTCCCCAGCCTTTAAAGCCCGAAATGACCTCCTCGTCCTCATCAGGCTCTCGCGATTGATTGACTGCCCGTCGGGCAGCCTCTCTCAGTGCACCATCCAGGCTCGAGGTCGTATTATCCGCATCATCTCCGTATCTTGTCGATGCCAGAGATGCGGATGTCATTTCCTCAGCTTCCATTGTCATCATTGTCCCGTCGTTGTCAGAGTCACTGTCCGATCCCGATGCCTCGGTCTGTACCTCTGCAACATCGTCGCCCTCGTCTGAATCAGAGTCGTAAACAGTAGACGCGATAGTGTTGTCATCCTGATCGTCAAAATCGTTCCCAGATGGCAGTCCCGAGCTTCTCCTTCGATTTCTTTGGTGAAGGTGTCGTTGGTCTTCTGGAGACTCCGACACGGTCTCTTCGATTTGCTCGGGTGGTGTGGATGGCGTGTCTGACGCATCCGGGTCGGGTTGCTCTGCTTGTTGTGCAGGCTCAGGGGCCGCGACAGCTGATGATGCTCTGCGCGTCGAGTCCGTGGATGTGGTGGATTCTTGCATGTACTCGACTTCATGAAAGGTGTGCAGAGTGGCCTCGGCGGCGAACGAGACTCGACGATTCGCAAGAGACTTCCGGCGCGCCTCTCTCCTGTCTTTGATTTCCTTCTCTAGAGCCGCCCTTTCGCGTTCTTCCCGTTCCCTTGCTGCAGCCTGTTGTTCCTCTTCCGTTCGCAGTGCAACTTTTGTACCTGATGAGCCGCTGTCGTCGCCACTGAGGAGGTTCGGTTGGTTCTCGGTACCTGATGCGCCTGGAGCATAAGAGTGCCTCGGTTTGTAGCCAGGTATCTCGGCGAGAGGCATAGTGGGCTTGAGGATGGACCGGGGCAACGGCCGAGGGGGGCCTGCCAGTGACTGTGACAGTGTCAGAAGCCGTTAATAACGTGGACGATATGTGAGGGTGCTACCACTCGACGGTTCCCAGAACCTGCCTTGAGAGCGTCTAAACCTCCGGGACCCATGCTCTTGCTGCGCGACTTGGACTTCTTCCTGTTGTCCGCCAGCGTGGTGCCGGCGCCCAGATCCACAGTCGCATTGTCTCTCTCCATGGCGCTGATCGATTTGCGCGTGGTACGGCGCGTGGCCGGCAGTGTAGTATCGCCAACCATGATTATGTTTTGCAAATGTACAAGCAAAAAAAAACGCGTCAGGAAAGCGAGAGCAAGATTATGTGGTCATAGCATCGCGGGTGCACTGGAATGGCGATTGTATTGTTGGTTGCTCGGTCGTCTGCTAGTTGGGGCCGATAACTAAGTAAACAAGACGATTACACAGTAGGCGCGTCCTGGGCGTGGATGGGAGATGGGGGGGGAGGGGTGGGCCAAAAGCGCGCTAGACGAGTTAGCGCTGGATTTGGAGTGCCGGGGGGGGGGTGGGTTGGTTGGTTGGGGGGGGGGGGACAGGTAAGGCGTGGTTCCTTGGGCGAAGGACCGGCCGAAGAAGCCGCTGGCCACACCGCCAGGTTTTTCCGTTCCGGCGCGAGCAAAGCACCGATTTTTGGCATTGCCGCCCAAAAAACAGCGCCCCACTCTGCAGGACTGACTTACCATCACTCTGCCAGCAGCTTGTCGGTCAATTTGTGAGTCTCTTGTCTTGCCCATCCAGTATTTTGCACATCTCGAGGTCTTGATGGACTTGTGACTGTTCGATATACGGTCAATCGAAAATTTCGGTCAACTAACCGCAGCCCTCTGTCGATAGAATCGCGACGTCGCCGAACCCACGCCCTTCGACAACAACTACTCGCGACCGGCAAAACCAACCGCAAACATGGCCACCGAACTGACCGTCCAGTCGGAGCGTGCTTTCCAGAAGCAGCCTCACATCTCTCTTGTCACCAAGAGCAAGACCAAGCGTCCCGGCAAGGGTGGCGTGAGTTGCCCCAAGAAACCTGGTGTCGAACAAGGCGATTACGAACGAGCACATCGAAAGCTGACGATGCAAAACAGCGCCGGTGGTACAAGGATGTCGGTCTGGGTTTCCGTACCCCCAAGACTGCCATTGAGGGCCAGTACATCGGTATGTGAAAGATTTAGCCGGTCATTCCTATCGTCAACGGTTTTATGGACAAGGGCTGTTGTGTGGGGCTAGTGGCAGACAAGTCCGCGTCGAGAAAAGAATTGGACGAAGAGCGAAACGTGTGGCAAGGAGCGCAAAGGTTCGAACCACTGCTGACCACGACTACCTCTCCCAGACAAGAAGTGCCCCTTCACCGGTCTCGTCTCCATCCGTGGCCGTATCCTGACCGGCACCGTCGTTTCCACCAAGATGCACCGTACCATCATCGTCCGCCGCGAGTACCTTCACTTCATCCCCAAGTACGCCCGTTACGAGAAGCGACACAAGAACCTCGCTGCCCACGTCTCCCCAGCCTTCCGTGTTGAGGAGGGTGACCAGGTTACCGTTGGACAGTGCCGACCTCTGAGCAAGACTGTAGGTCACCAAAATGAAATCCATGGTTGGAGGAAGAGTTCTAGGCTGACGCATGTCCCAATCCAGGTCCGATTCAACGTCCTCCGTGTGCTGCCCCGCACCGGCAAGGCTGTCAAGAAGTTCTCCAAGTTCTAAAAAGGGTCGAACGAGTGGGATCTCCTTTGGCATTTCTGGCGTCGCTTGTTTGATGGTTTTTACAAAGAAATGGACGGCGGATCAAGGGCGAACTGCGAAAGGACACGAGGATGCCTTTAGTGCAGTTTGGAATGAAAACGAATTCGGCATACCCACGCCTCCTGACGACGAACCGACACGCGAGGCTATGTGTGATATCGTCGACGAGCAGCGGAATCGAGATCTCCGTCAATGAAAAAAGATTTCAAGCACGAACGAAGTCTACTGCCATGTGAAGCGTCAGACAAAAGGAGCACTGTGCCATCACTAGACGAATGCGTCTAGGTTGAGCATTCGATGTTGAGAATTAGCGAGCATGGGCTCAGTCAGCGAGGGCTTCGTGAAGGGACAGTAATATCATGAATGTAGAGATGCAGGATTGAGGTGCCAGCTCCATGGTCTGCGAGCCGCGATTTCGGTCCAATTACTCTCCTAGGAGCCTCGTGCTGTCACTCTCGCCAGCCCTCGGGGAACCTCTCAAGCGCGAAATCTGAAGAACCATTGCCTCTGTTATCCGCAGCTCCATCCCAAGACAGCCATGACGTTGCTTTCGAGCCAGATCCCCTGTAAAGAAGAATTTCCGATGCCTTTTTACCTCGTATATAAATAGTTGCACGTGATTGGCTTAGTGGCCTTTCGATCAAACTCCATCCTTGTACACCTAAGAGTCTGTTGACTGGGGCTCGGTTTTTGCCGAACTCGCTGCCGACACTTTTCCCTCCCAAAGCAAGGTTCAGGCCATGCATCGCGCCCTTGCCTTGAAGCCTGAAGATTAACGAGCGAGATGGGCTGGCTCGACTCTCTTTGGGGGAGGAGAAGTGACGATCCCTTGCAAGACTTTGATCCCAAAGTCCGTGAGTTCCTGCGAAAGGAAGCGCCCGTCAAGTACGACAGCAGCAAGCCCAAGCAGGACGGACAAACTCAACAACCAGTAGTGGGCGATTCGGGTGCGGCGACCACATTCAGCGAGCAGACAGCAAAACGCGATACTGCGACGAATACAGTACCGAAAGAGTCGCTTTACCAGGACGGCCGCTATGCGCACCTGTGGAAAACCTACAAGCCTCTCGGCGAGGTTGAGAGCGAGACCAAGTCCGACCATGAAAAACTGCAGGATGTCCTAGATTCATTCAAGAGCCGGAAGGCAGCGATCGGTCAGGCAGCTCTTGAGAACTGTTCCGAGGAACAGCTCGACTGGAACAACTGCATGAAGAGCGGGTCACTGAAGGCGCGCATGGCCATGTGCAGGGACGAAGTGCGGAAGTTTGAGAGGTGCTATAATATGCAGTCGGTAAGTCACTTGCTATCGAAACGCTCCCCATTCTTGGCTAGGAAGCTGACGGTTCCCGCGACAGAGACTTCTCAAGGCCCTAGGCTACATCAATGCGATTGACCGCTCACCAGAGATGGACGAGAGGATACAAATGCATGCCGACAAGCTCTATCACCAGATGCTCGAGCAGGAGGCCGCCATCGAGAAGGCCAAGGCGGAAGGCCTGCCCGAACCCAGATTTGAGCCTTTTGTACCCAAGGTTGGCGAAGACCGCATCGCAAATATGAGCGACGAGGCGAAGAAGAGATACCAAGACGCACTGGCGAAGGTGGATGAAAAAGAACGGGAGGCCGAAGCGGCTGCTATTCAGGCCGAGCTGAGGTCAAAAGAGGCCATGGTGGGCAAAGTGAAGGAGCTGTGGAAAGAGCAGGAGGCGGAGAGGCAAGCACGGAAGGCGAGGGGCGAAGAAACGTTCAAGGACAAAGTGGCGGCGATACTTGGCACGCCTAACTCGACGTCAGATAAGAAGAACTGAGATGGCCCATATCGAATGTGAGGCCGAACTCGTGCCCGGGTAGGAAAAAGGGCATCATGGAGCTATATCACTATGAGGATGCTAATAGAAACGGGCTTCATAGGCATAACATGGGCGCCGGGTTGCATTCGCAGATCACGACAACCGATGGATCACACAGAGGGCACTCCGTTGGTCGGCGACTGGGACTGTGATATGCTGCGCTAGGATAAGCATTTATGATCTCTCCTCCCTGTGCTTTTTCATATAACATGAAGCGGTATTAGTGTGGTACTTCAAAAGCTAGAGGCCTAATTTAACCACCTGAGTTCCTCGCTCTGTGACTATCAATCATATCACCATACGGAAGCTCATGTCTCTTTTGAGGGACAGCTTCCAAACTGCCCGCCAGAGCCAAAAGAAACTAGCATCCTCATCTGAGTATCCTCACTCCCTCCAGCGAATGCTCCACCTACCCTTCGCAAATGAAGGTTCACAAACCTTGCCGTTCATGACAGCCTCACATTTCCTCCTCTCTTCACGTTCCCCAACAATGAGACCAAACACCACGGCGCGTCTCGCGGCACACCTGACCATCTCCCTTTGCCGTGCCTTCTTCTGGCCGTGCCTGCGCTTCTCAAGCATCTCATCCGTCTCATCTATCCTCTCTGCCCGGCCCTTCTCCCCACCTACACTGCCGTTGACTTCCGATGTAGACTGAGGTGGTCGTATGCGTGTTCCACTGCGAATAGACATGCGGGCTAGGACATCCCCGTCTATATAATGCTCTCCCTCCTCTCCTTGGTCTACAAGAGTCCCAGAATCTATAGCAATTTCTCGATTTCCTGGAGATGATGCTCCGACAAAGGCGCCCGTGGTAGTATCGGCATCACCTGCACCCTCGTGATTATCCTCAGAACCAGAGCCAGCAGTGCTGTCCCCGCCATCAGCTGCGCCAAAGACGAAATTCTCAACGTCGTCGCATGATATTAGCAGTCTTGAGTCGCCCTTGGCTCGCTTCCCACCGGACCCCTTCTTTGACTTGTGCGCCCGCCTGCTGCCCTCGTCGAGCAACGCTGGCTTTTCCTCGCCTTGTAGGAAACGCAAGAACACGGCCTCGATCTCGCGGTCAATCTTCCCCGGCTTTCGGCCTCGGCAGCTGGCTGAGCAGTACTTGACAGGGGTCTTGGTGTTTGCGTCGTCCTTTGCTGATGTCTGCGCGGTTCGCCGCGAATTGATTACTCGGCCGCATGAGTGACAGTAAGGAGTTGCTTCTCCACCCGGGAGCAAATAGAAGGGTGCTGGAACCGACTGATGCTTTGAAGGCCTTGACCAGCTATCCATCCAACTCATTGTGGCAAATCTGCGCCTGGGAGTTGAGCCGGAGCTGAAAAGGCACCAAGGAAGGAGATGATTGAGACGAGTACTTATAGGATAAGGAAATATCTCGAAGTTGATCCGCTTGCTAAAAGTTATGACAAGCCTCATCACTTTCAGACTCAGAACATGCAACTCAAGAATTGAAGTATGTACCAGTTCGATCAACCAGTATAGACTGATCAGGGAAGGGCCGGGGGCAGCTTGTACGGAATTGAAAGATGATATCATCATTCATACCCGCCAGCCATGCCGTCTTGAGCCTCGCCAAGCAGCCACCCCCCACGGAAGGGAAAGAAGTATCCAGATTACAACCTACCTAAGAAGGTCACTCCTTTAGGAGCACGCCTAAGAATTTTGACTCCTAATGTGTTACTGTTCAGACAAATTTGAAATGAGGATATGTGAACAGAAGAACACAGCGTGTCACCTCCCGGCCCCTCAAGGGAAATACTCACTCCAACGCCTCAAGCTGACAATACAGGAAGAACAATTGTATGTCATTCTGGGTTCACACGCAACCCCAGCAACAAAAGAGGACAAATTAGGCAGTTCAGTTGAATTGAATTAGTTATGGCCATTCTCCGTTTCCCCAGATTCGCTGTGGGTCTGATGCAATAATGGACGCTCCGATGTCCGGGCCGACTCGCATCATCCTCAACCGGGGAACGCCAGACATTCGGTCCATTCCTCCCGGAATGATTGTTTGAATGCTTCCATGCCCTGAGTTAGGAAGTCGACACTGCTCGATTACTGCAGTGCCATCATGGCGTCCGCAACCCCCCAGCTCCTCCCAATGGAAGAGGCAGACCTAGAGGAAGCCGTGCGAATCGAGATATGGGGGAACCCGGAGGACGACATGCAGAGAGTTCTCTTCGAGCGCGACCGCACTCCTCAGGCAGCCGCCAAACTGCTAGAACGGCGCCGAAGGACCTTTCTCCACGACAAGCACGCCACTTTCCTCAAAGTCGTCGACCCTGCCACCAATGGCATCATGGCCTGGGCGACGTGGCACTTCTGCCCTGCCCTGAGCGAAGAGGAAGTGGCCAAGGGGCCTGTCTCCTTTGAGTGGCCTCTCCCGCAATGGTACGATTCTCTGCATCATTTCCGTTACGAGGTGATGAAAGGCCGACCGCATTACCGTGAGTATTTCAAGACGCCGACACTTTACAGGTCCAGCTGACCTGGGAGGCGGGCAGTACTTGGCATGATCGTGACTTCGCCTGATTATCGACGCCGTGGAGCAGCTAGCTTGTTGATGCAATGGGGCATCGAGAAGGCTGACGAACGTGGCGTCGAGATATATCTCGAGTCTAGCTTAGCAGGGAGGCCGTTGTACGAGAAGTTCGGGCTGCGCACCCTCAAGGTCTTTGACTTTGACATGGCCCAGCTGGGCCACGTGGGCATAGATACACATACATGCATGCTGAGACCCAAAAGAGGACAGGGAAAATAGCGACCGTGTTGGGAACCTTGAATATGCTTTGCTTGGATAGCAGCGCAGTCTGCTTGTAAGATTTGGGCGGGTAATGGGCACTTTGCCAATAAATAAAGACACCCTACTGAGGACTACTCTATTGCAAGGCAGCCATTCCACACATAGCACAAGGCCTATTTGAACGCCCAGAAACCCACAACAGTCCGGGTTGTACTGAACTACATTGGACCGGCTTGAGACACGGCTCCCAACAGAAGGGTATCACATAACAACCTATAAACTGATCTCTCGACCGCGCCCGGTAGCGGGTGCCGAGTACTGTCATCATACCATCACTAAAGATCAGACTCTCGACACCTTGAAAAAACAAAGCTCAGCTGTGCATCAGCAATGCTTTACAGCGCAAAGCAAACCGGTAAGGATGCAGGCATCAGACAATTGTCAGGCTAATTGACAGCTTCACCATCAACCTGAATAAGCCCCAATGGACCAGTGTGTTTTTCGATAGCGATCATCTTTTGTGATATCGGTCACGTTATAGCGCGGCGGCAGTACGCTCCAGGAACGCATTGAAGCTCTTGATATACCTCAAGTTGCCTCCCGCAGGACCACCGCTGCAGGCCTGTTCTGTGACCCTGTCGATGAGCAACTCCAGATTCGCGAGTTCTGCCGTTTTCTGGTCTTTGGCTGAAAGATCAGGGGCGGCCCTGCCCTGCCCGATCGCAAGATCAACGTCGTGCATCGCCGCTGATAATTTGATATTGTGCTGCTTATCATATTAGCAAGACAACGCCCAAAGCAGTGGCACAAGAAGTGAGATACGACATACCAAAGCCTCCTTGCCGCCCTCTTCATGCTTCATCCTGACAGCATCCATTCGAAGGGCGACCTGCTCCCTTTCTGCTCTTATCTGCATGATTCTCTCCCGCAACTGCAGCCTGTTCTTTTGCGCTTCGCGAACGCGCTTCTTCAGCGCGTACAGTGCATCAAGAGCGATTGTGTGCTCCAAGAAACGAGTCCTCAACTCTTCTTGGAAGGCCTCTAAAGCTCTCAGTTTCACCCGCAGTTCCTTCTTCGTAGCGGCGTCCTGTGCATTATCAAAGTTGTCCTTGAGATTCTGCAGACTGGTACTGATGAGTTCCTCGCACATCTGGGCCAAGACATCCACGGCGTTAACACCGCCTCGGTTCGCGAACGGTATTTCTGTATTAAGGATGTCATCCGCTTCCGGATCGTCCTCATCAATGCGTCTAGGTTTCGTGAATCTTTGGATCTTCACCGATATTGGTTGCTGTGCGGCATCTCCGCTCTTTTTCCTGTGTGCTGACGTCTGCTTGCTTGGTTTCGCTCGCGGCATTTTCGGCTGCTTTTGCTTTGCTGGCGACCTCTTCTTCGGCTTCGGCGGCGGAACTGCGCGAGAGCGTTTCGCACTTGGTTCATCTATGACTTCCTCTGACATCAACTCGGGTGATGCGGCCTTATCCCTCCGTCGACGTTTCCGGCCGAGATGACGCGCAGCTTCTCTGTCATCAACCTCCTCTGCTTGAGTTTCCACAGCGTCATCAGCTGCGGTCTGATCTACAACGCTCTCCTCAACCTCTTCGATCTCAGATTCCGAGGGCTGGTGGTTCCTTCGCGCTTTCGAAGGGCTAATATCCTCAAAAGGTGCTAGCATGTCCGATGAGAGCGCGTTAACCCCATTATCGCTACTGCCAGACAACCGAGTGCTCCTCCGTAGGCTCGTCCGGGTCGATGGTGCCGAGGCTGTGGTTGGTGCAATACTCTTCCTTGACTTCCGCGTCAAGGGCGACGAGGATGGCATCAAGCCTTCGAGGGCATCATAGTCGTCGGCCCGTAGGGCCGACTGTAGCAGTGCGCTGGATGTCACGGCTGGAATGGCCCGTAGCCTCCTTCGTTGGCCGCTGCCGGGCTGGTCAGCCGGGCTTTCGCCCACCTCCTCAGCATGCTGTACTATTGAGAGGGGCGAAGAATGTGCTGGCAAGTTGCGCGCTGCTGACAGTGAAGGTGCAGACCTGCTGCCCGATGCGCGCGTGGCTGACGCACGACTTGGAGGAGTGGGTTTTGGGAGGACGTCGTGCTCATCCGCCAAGGCAGGAGCATTGGCCAGTTCGTGAGGGTTATGATTGGTAGGAGATTGAGAAAGTCGTGGTGACCGCCGAGTTGCGGAGCTCGAGCGCCGTGGTGGCTGGACTTGCGAATGTGATTGTGGCACTGGAGCGGCAGTGCCTTGAGCGTCTAGCCGCCGCCTCTTTGCTGACGTATTTGGGCTGATACGCTGGATTGGCGCTGGGGTTGGCGAGGGAACTGCTGGTTCTGACGAAGGAGCTGCCGGTTCTGAGGTTCCGGGCTCAGGTTCAGGTTCGGGCTCTGGCTCTGGCTGTGATTCGGCATCGGGTGCGATGATAGGGATCGCGAACAGATCACCGAAGTCTGCATTCTGAACTTGGTGGCGTCTGGGTCGGGATTAGTTGGTGTCTAGCTGCGGAGGTAGGATTGGGGGTCCGCCATCACTCACGCAGCACCGCGCATGCGCGATCGCATGCGTTCCTCTCGAGCTGCGTTTGCTCGTCAGATGTGCACATCCTAACATGGTGCCCATAGAACAGACTCACTCTGATCCATTATGCGCCAAACCTCATGATAAGGGAGCGCGGTCGAGTATTGACGGGTTCGCCATGTAGGTCGTAAGAGTGCCGAGCAGACGACGCGTGAATCACGCAACTATGTGTTGCGTGCCTTGTGTGGACTTGAAGTGTATTTGGATATGTGGTCGTGCCCGTTTTGGGGATACTGGAGTAACGCGCCGACCGCGTCGCAATTGATACAGGGCGGGGGATTGCGACTCAGGGTTTGACCCTGGTTCACCCCCACCATCTTGGGTGTCACCAGCAAAGAGAACCTGATCACCCATTGATTGACTATGAAAGGCTGATGGCCCCCACCTGCTGTGCTGTCACTACTACACATTCCCTGTTGCTGCTAGACTACATACCCAACCGCCACTGCTTTGTTCTCGCAGCAGCTGTGCGATACTCGATTTCCTTAAATGCCAAACCTCGACCAGGCATCTAGGTCGCCTTCTCGGCTTACTCCGAAAGCAACAGACCCAAGATAGTATCAAGACCAACATGCACACTGCAATTAGTGTTCGTCGGCGACTCAGCCGCGCGGCCATTGCTCAGGGATAGATCCTTTTAGACCCAGGGGCAAGCTTCATGGCAGTTGTTAGTTCGACGCACAGGCAGGAAGCCGCCGTGCCGTGCCTATAATACAGGCTCGCCGAGAAGCAAAAACTATTTATTGAACCCCTGGGGATCGGATGCTAGGAATGGCCCGGACGACGGGGCTTGGACGATGCCGACTCGCACACAATCACGGTGGTCATAGCAGAGTAGAGCCTGCTATTCCATTCATTGCCCTCGCACAGACAACACGGTCTTGAACTGTGTCTTAGTCTCGAATCTTGGTTCCCGTCACGGCTGTCAGATTAGGCCAAGCCAACAGCACAGATCAGCGGTGCGAAAGGAGGATGCGCCTCCGGGCAGCCGAGACTGTCTTGTCGAGGCCTTGCCGAATCGCCGTCGGAACATGGGAAGATTCCAAGGTTTCCATGTTCGTCGCCCTTCGCCGCACCGCACCGCAGTCGAGCTGACGCGGCCTTGGCGCTCGAAACAGGCCATTACCACCCACCTCCAAGTCTCCCATGCATCTCATGCCACCGTCCCCCCCCCAACTACAGAGGGGCCATGCAGGATCAATGATCCTTGCGGCAAGTGGGAGGTTCCCGACAGTGCGTCGTCATGACCACTCCAGCACTCGACACTGCCCCTGTCTTCAACGGTCACCAACGTCTAGTTCCGTGACGTCCAAACCAACCCAGTTCGCCCGAGGCTGGGTCAGGGTTTACTCGTGTGTCGCGTGCTCCTGATCTGCAATGCAACAGATGGAGGACATATGCCCACATCAACCATCTGCCATCCCGAACACCCCTCCCTTTGCCCCCTGGACGGTGATATTTATCTCCAGGACCGCCTGTCGACTGCATATGCGGCCGGAAAGCCCATCTTATATCCATTTATGGTCGCGTGCCCTCCTTCCATTCCGCATGTCTCCAACTGTGCTGTGCGTCTGAGGTCAAAAGATCTTTGTCAAGAGAGAGACATTCACGTCGCACCGTGACTGCTGCCGCTCCTTAGACACCAATCTTGCGGTCATTTATTCTGGTTTCTCCGAGAGTACTGTCGACATATTTGCCAATCTTCCCTGTCTCGCCTTGCTTGTCAGCTTTGGTTCTGAGGTCTCTCAACACAACACAACAGACCGTACGACCCGTGCCTGGTCTCTGTCAGCCCAGCGATCGGGCTCTACAGCTACGACCTCGCTCCTGTCATCTCTTTCATGCCTAGTCAGACCTGCTTCTCGGCGCTGCAATCCTGATCAGGAGCACACCGGCATCCTCCCACGATGCAGCTCAACAGGCTCCTGCCGCTGTCCACCCTCATTTTGGGGATATGCGCAGTCCCTACTGTGCGAGGGGACGCCGATTTCGCCCAGGTACGGACAAGGCTGCATAAAGACATGAGCGCAAGAGCCTACGACCCACCGGAGAAGTACTTCCACGAGTCTCTCTTCCACCCTCACTATGACGGGCGATTCGCCGAGAAGGCGCTCCCTTATCATGAGCAGAAGGCGGCCCTGAAGAATCTCCTCCAGACATACCTCGCCACCTTCTCGGACCTAGGTGTCGAAACGTGGCTGATGCATGGCTCGCTGCTTGGTTGGTGGTGGGGCAAGAAGATCCTGCCCTGGGACACAGACGCCGACGTCCAGGTTTCCGAGGCTGCCATCCACTACCTCGCTTCATACTACAACATGTCTGTCTTCCATTATAGGACACCGCGCATTCCCGAGGGCCGCGACTACATGCTTGAGATTAACCCCAACTATGTCAACCGAGAGCAGACGGATAAGCTCAATGTCATTGACGCACGATGGATCGACACGACCAGCGGCCTTTTTATCGACATTACTACGGTCAGGTACAACCTGACGCATCCAGAAGGCGAGGGAATTCTCTCCTGCAAAGACGGCCATGAATTCAGGGTAGGAACAGCCACTAGGCACCATGTCATGGATGGTAGGCTAACAGTCCTCCAGGATACCTTCCTCTACCCTCTACGCTCTACGACATTCGAGGGATCCCCAGCCAAGATCCCCTTCAAGTACAAGGAGATGCTCGAGGTCGAGTACGGTCCTCGTTCCCTTGTGAACACAGAGTTTGAGGCGTAAGTTTGCTCGATCTGCTTCAATTTGTGCCTTACTGACGCCTTGCAGTCATAAGTTCAACGATGAAAAGATGGAGTGGCTACCGAGCATGATCCAGGGAGAGCTATGATGGGGAGGGAGTGGACGTTTCGCACCCAGCAGACAAAGCGTCACCTAAGCAGTTTTTATTAACTCGCACGTGGTGCCGTTGGATTTGGCTGTCAACCCCAGCTGGGAACTTTGGCTTAGGTGCTTTCTTGCATAGATGAACGAGAGTTGAAAAACTCTCGAGAGGGCAAGTTACCCCGGAATAAAGGGCGAGAGAAGGTTTTGGTATTTGGCTTTCGTTGTCGGGGTGGAATCTGAAGTTTGCTGTACACTGCCGGGGTTTGGCTTTGTTAACGCCCAAGAGCATTTTGATACCCATCACGGACAGCTCGGCGTTGGTTTGGCGTTGATTACGGTACTCGCATACAATGAATGCATTGAGCAAATTGCATTTGAAGCTGTCTCTACGACTCATGTATTCTGAGTGTGAACATGGTCAAGTGCTGCTACTACATGATGAGTCGAAGAAACTCGTCCGATAATTATTCAGCTGCCTGGTGCTGTTTCTGGGCCGCCATAGTGGATAGCAGGCTGCTGACTAGAGTTGCCGTGGCCCGCCCAGCTAGCAAGGATCAGGCGCGTGGGTGACGTCCCCAGGCCCACAGCTGATACGCTATCCAGGAGCTCCACGTAAGTTGCCGACCCTCCTGATCGCCTGGCGGCACCTTCATACATACTTACAGCACGGGCAAACTATCCAGGAGCCTGGCCGACACACGCACGCAAGCCCCAGAGCTTTTCGACCCTCGGCCTCGAGACTTCAAGGGCGTCTTCTCCTCTGCAGAGAGCGCAAAGCTCGCAACTTATCAAAAGTGCCTTGTTGGCGGAACGTTACCCTCTGTGTTGTGCACTTTGAAACCTACTAGTCAAGGGACGCACTGGCACAGCTTCGCGACAGGTTGGTCCAAAGTTGAAGGCAGGGCCATATTGCCAGAACTGAGCTCCTCCACCCGGAGGCTATCTTTTGATTTTTCCCTACGCCTGAGAGGAACCCGACCAAAATGACGGCGTGGAATGTAAGAGGCACCTTGGGCAGGTTGGCTATAGAGTACCGAGGCTAAATGTTGCGCGTACAGCTCTTCCGCATCGCGGGAGACTTCTGTCACCTGGCGTCCAAATTCATCCTCATGACCTCGATACACCGCAATCGAAGTGCCGAAGGTATTGGAACCCTCATTAGCTGCCTATGCGCACGGCAGACGAATTCCTGGGGACATAGGGCTGACCAGCGACAATGAACAGGCGTCTCTTTCATCACCCAAGTGCTCTACTGCGTTGTCTTCCTCGCCCGCTACACCGATCTATTCGGCCGCGGCCAATATGTCTACAACATAATATTCAAGATCTTCTACATCCTGTCCTCATTCTACATCATCGGTCTCATGCAATGGGTCTTCCCCCGGACTCGAGAGAAGGAGCTGGCCTGGAAGCTGGGTGCAGCGTGCTTCTTCGGCGGTCTGCTCCTGTCGCCGTTTACCATGTTGATCTTCCAAGGAAAGGATGAATGGAGCATGTTCTACGTGAGTCAAAGCCCCCCTTATTCTCCCAAATCGATCGACCCATACTAACACGCTCGCCCCACGACACAGTGGCTTTGGAACCTCTCGTACATCCTCGAGTCCGTCTGCGTCCTCCCGCAGCTCCTCCTCCTCCGCCAGACCAGCGTTCCCACCGTCATCGACAGCTACTACCTACTCGCGCTGGGTCTGTACCGCGGTCTCTACGTCCTGAACTGGCTGGCGCGCGAGCTCGACATCCAGGACATCAAGCCCAAGCCCGTGCAGATCATCTTCGGCCTGATCCAGACGGCCCTGTACGTCGACTTCGCGTGGGTATATTACACCCGCCAGCGCGTCAAGCTCCGCAGCGGCGGCGTCGTCGACGCGGACGACATGCGCCGGAGCTGGCTGCTGCGGCGCATCTTCGGCAAGCACGTTGACACCCAGGGCGGGCGCGGCGGGGACGACGACGAGGAGAGCGCTCCCGCTCTCGGGAACGGGCGCGGCCCGAAGCGGTCCGCCTGGGGCCGTAGGGGCATCTCGGTCAGCGCGGACGACGGGGTCTTGGGCGGGGACGCAGAGGCGTTCAGCGAGGAGGAGCACGGCATCCTGGGCGCGGACGGCGAGTCGGTCGACCCTGATGCCAAGATGAAGGATCCCGACGAGCTTGCCCTGGCCCTGGATGATGACGATGACGAGGGGGGAGGCAGCTCCGGTAGCTCGAGGGTACCTGCTGATGTTAGGGGCGGTGATGAGTGGCGCGACTAGGCTGGAGATTTTTGTAGCTTGGATCAAGGAGCGACGAACGACACAATGGATCTGAGGTGAGAATGTCCTGCGCCTCTACTCTTGCATCGGCAGCTTCACGACTGGACGGGAACATCTTGATTGATGCTGCAATGATCACTACAGAACGTTGGGTCACCTTTCTGGATCATGTGGACTTGTATAGCACCGCGACTAGCTGGGAGTTCAGGTCTGCATCAAGAAATGAATTGTTCATTTTTCAAAAACCAACCTGTCTAGTAGAGTTGGTGAAAGGTGTCTGCCGGTACAGAGCGGAAGTCAAAATGAAGTAAAAGGAGACTCGTTGCAGACTGCTTTCTGAATTGGCAGCTACTGCTATACGAGTGTTGACCACTGTGAGATGGAAATCTTCCGATAGAACTACCTCGCGCGAGCTAGCAGCTCAAGTGTGATTTGGTTGAGAGCACTGAAAGACGTCGATGCCACAATTGACTCACGGAATAAGCTAGGAATTTCTGAAGAAAAGGCTATGTGACCAAGGTCTAGATATACAGAAGTGACCAAGTTTGAGGTATTGCAATTCAATCTCCTCACGAATGCTTATAACTCAGCAGGATCAACTCGTTTCCCGGCACTCGCTTCCTCTTTGTTAGATCGAGTTCGTGTTGAAATCTCCCAGAAAGCCCTCAGTAACGCCAGTCCGCTACCCTGGGTCTCGACGGTCCGGCCTCGACCGCGGTCGTTGAGATCTTCTGTAATCAAAGAGGAGGCCTTTCTCTTGCCGGCATTCGCTCCGTCATAGTGTCTGACGCCTTCACTATCTTCCTGCGGTGGTCTTGGTGTTGGTTGATGGGTGTTTGATGCGACATGATTGTCGGCTTTGTAAGGCTCGGGTAAGGGAATCTGAGGAACTTTTGGAGGAGTTACGCCTGTTGGCGTGCGTCTCCATACCGGATCGTCGGGCACACCATCATTCCTATAATCCACCGCGTTGGGATCTCGAATGTCATCCTGAGGCGGCATTTTATCCTTGAGGGCAAGGTAGCCTGCAGTCCACCACATACCAACTAAACCCGCGTCGTTCCTTGTTCTTATCATGGCACGAACATTGTGCCGAAGCCAAGGGGCATATGACCTGCACTGTTCTGAATGAGAGCGCAGCTGTTCACGGGTGTGTCCGTTATAGACGAGGAAGTCGTCCAGGGACAGTGACGATGTGCAGAATGCCGTGAGATGGTGAAAGAAGATGCCTTTGAAAGTTTGACTATCTTGGGAACAAGTCCCATCGCTGTCGCAGGCTTCTTCTATAATGCCAGCGCGGCCGAGGCCATGCCATGGCGGAAGTTTGCTGCCTTCCCATGGCTCGCCGTCAGTGTAGCTTCTGTCACTTAGACCGTGGTCGATTGGTGTCTGACGATGTAGATTCCATCCGGTCGCGTTAATGACATTCCTAATGAGGCGATGGCCATCATCGACGTATGAGTAGTTGCCCGTGATCTTCCACAGGTCGATCTGACCAGTCAGAATAACACCCTGATTGTAAGTATAGACCTGCTCATTGCGCACGTCACACTTCTTGTTGGTATTCGTGGGGTCATTCCACCCAGAAATGTGGAATCCGTCAACATATAAACCTTGGTCGTTCATCATGCCGGATTCCTCCAGCCATCGGTACCCATCTAGTGCGAATTGCAGAAAGGTAGGATCGTGTGGCCTGAAGATATCGTGCTCTCGGGGTCTAGAAAAATGCTCTCCGCTGCTGGTGTCCAGCCCGTTGAAAAAGGGGGAATCGTTCCAATCGCCCGGGAAGTACAGGTACATGGACGCCGAAGCTGATATGAAGAGCTCGTTGGTGATGGCGTTTTTGTACGGCTCCAGCCTCGGGTTCCAAGTCATACCTCCGCCGCAGAGATCCCAGTCCCAGCCAGCCTTGGCGAGATTCCAGAATACCCTCGCTCGATGTGAAAATGCGGGCGTCCATATATTACCGTGCCACTTTGCGAAGCCTGGGGTGTCCACGACGTCTTTGAAGTTGAGAGTAGTGTGCAGGTCGATGAATTGAATAGTCTCGAGCCAGCCGAGGACAACCCAAAGGATGTCATCGTACGCCTGATTCCTAATGGCGAAATGGTCCTGCCCGAAATAGAAGCTTAGAACCTGCGAGAAGAAAAGAGTGACGAGATTCTCCTTGTATCTGTCGCCAGCCTGTCCTGATATTGGGATAAGGTCAAGGGCGCGCGATATAGATTTGAGAGCGCCGGAGACGTGCGTGCCCATGACGGCGGCGGTCCAGTCGATTGCTTCCGGCCATGTTCCCAGCCATGGCGCGAAGTACTCCTCCTGCATCGTGCTCAGGACTTCCAACATTGGGTCGATAATGTCCATATATGCGGCGCCAAGCGAGGCCCGGCTCTCGAATCCGTCATGATCAACGTCCAGCGGGGCTTGGTAAGGTGCGGAAGTCTTCGCGGTGGCTCCGATACCCAAGGCGCCGAGCACCGCACCCTTCAGGACAACCCGTAGTCTCGTCATGGCGGTGCGCTGTCGATGTGTGGTCTATTCCCTGAAAGCAAAATCCGGAGTCTGGGTAACAGTGTCCGCTGGACCACTCTGATGCCCTCAGCTTATCGAGCCCCAGGTCGATTTGAGACAGTGTACAACCCAGTCTACGACAGACGAGATTAAAAGAAGAAACAATCAAGCCATGCAAAAGTCGTCCAGGGATGTATGACCTTTAAGTCTCAACGTGTTTGTAGTTCCATGTTTTGTAAAACAAAAAAGTGGAAGCTGTGGAAGCTCGTGTCGCAGGATGAGAACAAGTAGCAGGTGACGTGGTAACCTCGTTCGATCAAGACAGACAGGTGATAATGAGTGGATTAGTAGGCCGCTTATTCCAGGTGATGTGTATATGCAATCAGGGCCCGCGGGAAGTCATAAGAAAACAACACACCAAACATGAGAAGACAGCGGGTGAGAGTGATGATGAAGTCCCAAGGAACGATGAGGAGGTCATGCTTGCACGGCAGGGTCCTTGGCAGGCTTGCTGGTGCGGAGGAGGGGAGGGACAGCCCCTGGAGCGGTGGAACCTTGGAACCTTGGAACAAAGGCTTGGAAGCACCGACTCCCAGACTCGCAGACTCGCAGACTCCTGAGGCCGGACCGTGTGATCAGCGCACCTGCAGCTGCACGCTGCGCTACTGCACCTTCCGCCCACGGGTTCAGACCCAGTTGCGGAAGGGGCAGCCCGTCGCCCATCCGCCGTCCTACCGTCTTTGCCCGTGGATGACGCCAGGCCCTGTAAACCGGGCGGGACCCGCCTGTCTGGATCACTTGCGTGCCCAGGTGGGTACTGTACGCGGCTACCCCTACTGTGCTAGGGCTGGTTGGATGCAACCCCATACCCATAGTCTAAAGGGTTCAATGAGACGGCGTCCCACGTCCCTCGAAACGTCTACTGGGCAGCACAGACAACTGTCATAGGCAAGGCTGCACTTGTAACCAGGTGAGGCCTCGCCGCCTCGCGCAATGGTTGTCTTTTGCGAGCCAGTCTTGCGGTAGGACATCCTGTCTTGCCCTCGAGCAGCTTCGTAATCTCGTCATTCGCGACGGGCGCACACAGCCAGCCCCATCTCACCGCTGACCAATGTTCCGTTTGCTTGAACCCGTCGTGTGACGCCGCGAATATCAAGACGCTGGAGGATGAGCAGCATCGCTGTAAGTACTGTGATGCTCATTGCGAGCTAGGTATACTGAGTCGTTGTGAGAGATCTATGACTATTCCTTCGCGAAGAAGTCCATCTCTCTTTGCGTTCAATACACAACCATTGAGTAACATGACACGACGAGACCTCCCGGGATCACTGTGGGTTATCCCTAATTCAAAGGCGCAGACCATATTCTGTAATATGTCGTCTGGATAGATGAGGACACTAGGCAAGCCCATCGGTTCGAGATCACATCATTCTCTTTCCCACTCCACATAGAGTTTGTATAGAAAGAGTTGCAGTGGCTGCTCAGTCATCACATGCGTATGCCCACATGCCAATAGACCCTAGCTTGCTTCGGTCTTGATAAATATGGATTCGTAAACATCAACATAGAAGACCACCTCGGTAGTGTCATGCAAGGCACCAAGAAGGGATCATGCGTGCGCATTTTTGTGCTACTGGAACGCATGCTTCGAGCCGGCATGTTGCATGGTGGCTGCTGTAAGCCACCATGTACGTTGTAAATCATGCTCGCGCCTTGAGGGATCGACCAGTCTTTTTATTTTTAGGAGACAGCCCCGGCTGGTGGTATATGAACATCTGGGATCTGTAAAACAAAGTTGCGTTTGCTCTGCGCTTCCTAACGGAAAAAGTTGCAATCCAAGCCGGTGCTCAAGTTCCATTGCATGCCAGCAAAACAAAAGAGAATACAACATGGGGAATCGATAGTCGCCCCCAAGAAGGACAACCGAGCAGTCATTTCCTGCTGCTGTTGCTCAATAAACGCCGTACGGTTTGAGCCGAAGCCTCCCGGATATCACACAGCCATTTCCCAAAACCAGCTTGATTTTCTGAGCCGCCAAAACCCTACAGTCAACTCGTACATGGCCGTTACTCGCAAAAGCGGTTCTCGAACTCCTTGAACAGCTTTGGGCTGATCTCGTCACTGCTCAAGCCCTCGACCTCTATAAGCACTCCCTGACGGGCGTAATGTTCCAGCAACGGCTCGCTCGTCTCCTGGAACTTGCGAAATCGATTCCGGTACGTCTCCTCGTCATCATCGGCCCTCTTCACCAGCGGCTCGCCTGTGATGTCATCGCGCCCGGGCACCTTTGGCGCATTGAATGTAGTGTTGTACACTCGTCCCGAGGGCTCATGCACCCACCGCCCCGAGATACGCTCCAGTATCACGTCGAACGGGGTCTTGATGGACACTGCAAGGTTGACGGGGACCATTGCGTCGAGCTGATCGGCCTGCGCTGCCGTCCGTGGGAACCCATCCAACAGAAAAGAGGCCGATGGGTCTTCTGAGGGGCGGGCAGCGAAGCTCTTGGGTGGTGCGGACAAAAAGGCGGCCATCTCGTTCTCGTTGCTATATGCCTCGCCTTCGGCCCCGACTGCCGAGGAGTTCAGCGTCATGACCTGCGGCTGGCCGAGCCATCCTCGCTTGCTCAGCTCGTTGTTGATCAGGCGCAAGATGAGGCTGTCGGAGACGAGACCACCGGCCTTGAGGGTGCTCTCGACTTGTATGCCTACGACACGAGTCGCGTTAGCAGTGAGGCGTATCGTTGGGGTGAGGTGCCGATATCGGCGTGGGGAATACGAACCAAGCGCAGTCCTGTTCTTGACATTGTTTCGCAAAAGGTCACCAGAGCTGATGCATTGCAGCTGCGGAAAGCGGTGTAGGAGCCTTTCGGACTGGGTGCCTTTTCCAACGCCGGGTGCGCCGACCAGAATGACACGGGCCGCTCGCCTTAATCTCATGTTATGATATGAGTGCCTAGAGTGGGCGATGTGTGGGTGGGTAGGTGGGTGTGGATGTGCAGCGCAGTAGTGCTTGCCTTCTACTAGACTAGACCGGCCCCAGGAAGGCTGAGAAGCCTTGTTGCTGTGCGATACTCGAGGGGATACGATAGGATGCGATAGTAGGTTGGTTGACTTCAGGATGCGCGTTTCCCGAAACCCGTACGATGCGGGGGCAAGGACAGGCGATCCCAAGGGGACCAGGCAAGGAGACCACAGGACAAAATGGGGATACCTCAAGAAATATCCATGGCGTACGATGTTGCAGACGACACAATGTGGGAGGGCTGCTGGGAGAGGGAGAGGGAAGGGGGGAAACGTGGGCAAGGAGAGGGCAGTCGAGAATTATCAATCATCTGCTGATGAATTGCTAACTCCGGGGGGGTGATCTGCGTCACCTAAAGTCGACGGACAACCGAAGAGCGTCCGTCCATGGATCAAGAGAATAAAGTCGCGGGGAAAGCTCGACAGGCCCTGGGCCGCGGCGCCATTTGAGTTCGGTTTGCGAATCTTCGGTGATAATTACTTGTATTTCCTTATTTCCCTCATTATGTAAATTGTGTGGATGCCTGTTAGGCGGGTTCCTCGTTTTGGCTTCTGCGATAAGCCCAACCCCCGTGACACCCATCTCAGCAAAAGCCAAACCGATTTGTTGAGAAGCCATAGCGTCCCAGCTGGCGCCCAGCTGTTCTCAGGCAACACTTCTCGAGTGTCTAGCCTAGGTGCCTTTGTCCCTGCTGCCATCTGGCCTGAATCCTCTTGAGGTGGATGCAACTCGACACCGTTGACCCATTTGATTAGCAGCTCATCAAAAGACTCGCGAGTAAGGCATGATCACTGCACCGTTGACGTTGCTCCATTGATCCGGTCTGGGGCTGAAGCCCTTGGCTTGGCTTGGAGTTAACAGTCCATGGCTTAATGTCCTGGGATGTGCTGCCGCTGACGGCGCGGAGTTTGGACAGGTCTCGGACTGCTGGGTGCCAGGAACCGTTCACGCCGTTCTTGCCCATGCTACTGTGTCGATTTGCATGAACCAGCCAGTCTCTGAGGGTGTTGGTCGAGCAGTCATACTGTGCATAGTCTGGACACTTTCTGCCCTTTCTTGCCAGAAGATTTGGATCTCTAGCCCACAGGTACGCAGCCGTGCCACTCGTTCTAACCACGACCTCGACCTATACGTCGAGCAATCCCGAGCTGCAAGCCCTGCCGATGATATATATTCTGCTCGCATCGTACTCATCCTGCCAACACTCTTTATAACCTTTTTGGTTTGCCACGACACGTTGACCATAGTCTTGGACAAAGTCACAGTTGAAGTGAGTATGCCCAAATCCCCAGAAAACAACAGCCTCGCTCTTCCAACATGCCTCATGGCCCAGGTCCGAGCAAAACCCCGTTGAGACTGAACTGCTGGCATGCCTTGGGTTCACGGCTCTGTAGTCGATGGTCGGACTATGATGCGTGAAGATAACAATGCTTCTGTGGGGCTCTCTCTCTTTGATTTCACACACTTGCTGATTGAGCCACTCCACATCCCTTCTATGAGCAGTGATGTGGTCGGCCACTGTCCACCCGTGAATTTGTTTGAAATCGATTAGACGGTCGCCCACATCCGTGGCTTGTCGCGGGACGATGTTGGAGAACAGGGTACAGCCCAGAATCGTGAGGTCGTTGTTGAGGTCGAAGCGTGTCCTGTCGAGAAAGACAAACCTGCCTATGGTAGACCTCCCCCTGAGCTCTTCCATCTTGTCCGCGAACGCATGAATCCGAGTCTTTGCAGCTTCCCAACTTGTTCCAAGGGGCTCGTGATTACCAAGAAGAAACACGACGTTCCAGTACTTATTTAACAGCCTCTCAAAAAATGTGAAAAGTCCATCATCAATGACTCGGCCAATGTCGCCCAGCAAAGCTATGTTGGGTGCCGTCTGCTTGATGTCGAACTCGTAGGATGGGAGAGTCTCCAGGTGGAGGTCTGATACTACCTGGAAAGACGCAGGTGCCATGATGCATTTGCTGTTGAGGGCGAGAGAAATTTGCGTATTTGCTTGGTTCTACTTGACGATCTCAACCAACTGCTCGGGTGCGTTGGCAAGACGCCCTCTGACTGGGCTGTGCAGTGTACGGACAGCCTCGCCGCACGCAGACTGATCGAGTCACATTAGGCGAGCATAAGCCTCACATTTCAGAAGAGAAAATCAAACATGATGAATACCGTTTCAGTATGTGAAAAGATGGGCGCAACACGCTTGCAATCGATCAGCTCCTTCCTAGTTCTGGGAGTACTTGAATTCAAGTGGTGCAAGAAAGGTCCAGTGCTCCTAGGCAGTTGTCAATCCCACAACCAAAGTATGCATCCTCCCAAAAGTACATAGTCTATATAGGGCGCGAGAATTGACCTGTGTGCGACCAAAGAGGTATCGAACATTCACAGGCAGGGACATCTCCAGCGTGATGCAAACGGATTCATTACGGATATATACGTGGATTGGTAATGAGGGACTTGTTTCCCAAGGTAAGACATGTCCATTTCCTCAGTCCTGCAGAACAATATCGGTGGTCGGGACGCTTTAGGCTGACATGCTGACGGCCAGTTCCTATCCGTGTCTAGTGCACATAGGTACCTAGCTCATAAGCGCTCCGGTGCTTGGGTAGCAGCGATGGTTTGGTCGCCCCGAGGGTCTGGAAGGGACCGAAAAGCTTGGGCCGTCGGCAGATCCGGAATTCGTGACAAGTGGCGGGCCCGTTTCACATGTCACTCTGGAACCTCGCATGAGAAACAAAGCCAGCGCCAGCAAAAGAGACGTTCAGTTCTCGGGCCTGTTCTAGTGTGCATGCGATCTGGGATGCCACTCGGTGGTTCTGAGACTCTCTCCTGAGTCGACAGTCGATGTGCAGGCTCCAGAACTCGACTGACAAGCCATCTTGCCATCTGGCGTAGTTACATAATAACGCCGCTTTGGGGGAACATCCAGTGCCTGTACCTGACAACCGGCCCCACGTGAGGTCACTCAACAATCCAATGCCAGTTGCAGCTGGACCTGCACGCCAGCGTTGCGATTCTCTCCCCTTTTCCCTCTTACATGTCGCCTCCCGCCTACATGCATACCTGACTTTTTCCCACTCTCCCTTTTCGACATCTTGACCTCTCTTCCGTTTTAGAACACACCTTCTTTCCGTCCCTGTCAAAATCGCGCCCTCATCATGAGCGCATCTGCAAGTGTGGCTCGTAGAGCCGTTGTTGTAAACCCTTTCGCTGGCAGTGGTAAGTTTGGCCCTCATATCATATACATGTCCGGAGTCGAGATCAAGTATAGACGAAGGCTCACCAGTCCACTTCGCAGGTCGGGCAATATCAAGATCAACACTGCGAGCCAGCTCCATTCATCTTGGTCGCAATGCTCGAAACATTCAGCTACAGAATTCTGCCCTAGCGCTGCTCATCCCTATCCGCTCTGTCACCACCGATACCAACCGAGGCGGCCCCCCTTCTGGCCCGCCGCCTGGCTTCAATGCTGAGGAGGCTAAGAAACCTTTACCTAAGGAGACAGCATCTGCCGCTAAGACCGGGGTCCAAACAAAAGAGGCTGAGTCGAAGGCGGAAGACAAGAAGGCAGCAGCTGACGCTGACAAGAACGACGCTGAACTCGCCGAGCGGAAGGATGCCTTCGCTGCTTCCAAGAAGGATCCCAAAAAGGACAAGAAATTGACCATCGGGCAAAAGATAAAGAAAGAGGCCCAGCATTACTGGGACGGCACAAAGCTCTTGGCGACTGAAGTGAGGATCAGCACAAAGCTCGCGGTCAGGATGGCTGCAGGCTACGAGCTCACCCGGAGAGAACATCGCCAACTTCAGCGCACAGTTCAAGATCTGGGACGTCTCGTTCCGTTCTCAGCATTTGTCATCATACCATTCGCTGAACTGCTACTACCCGTCGCGCTGAAGCTCTTCCCGAACCTTCTTCCCAGTACATACGAGAACCAGAAATCCAAGGATCAGAAGGCTCAAACTCTGCGGGCGCTCCGGAGAGATGTTAGTGACTTCCTCCGACAGTCCATTAAAGAGACCGGGCTTCCCTTGTCTGTCGCGACCGCGCAGAAGGAAGAGTTTGCCAACTTCTTCCGAAAAGTCCGTGCCACGGGCGAGAAACCTACTGCGCAGGATGTTATCAAGGTCTGCAAAGCCTTCAAGGATGACCTTACTCTAGACAACCTGTCGCGGCCGCAGCTGGTGTCTATGTGCCGATACATGAATCTCAACACATTCGGCACAGACATGATGCTCCGTTACCAGATCCGACACCGCATGCGACAGATCAAGCGGGACGACCGTGCAATCAGCTACGAGGGAGTGCAGAGCCTGACGGTCGCTGAGCTGCAGGTGGCTTGTGCTAGCCGTGGTATCAAATCCCATGGCGTCTCACCCGCGCGACTGCGTGAGGACCTGCAGACCTGGCTTGACCTGCGGTTGAAGGAGGGAGTTCCCTCTACCCTTCTCGTTCTGAGCAACGCCTACATGTATGGCCAGACCGGTGACAACGCCGTTGCCAACCAGATCGACGCTCTTATTGGTGTGCTCTCGTCGATTCCCGAGGAGCTGTACCACGAGATTGAGCTCGAGGTCCACACCGCTGAGGGCGCGGCGACGAACAAGTTGCGCCTGGAGGTTCTCAGGGAGCAGCAGGAGCTGATTGATGACGAGAGCGAGCAGAACGAGTCAAACCAGGAGAGTGGCTTGGCGACGCCCAGGGATGTGGAGGACATCGACGAAAAGGAAGAGAGGCAAGAGAGACAGGCGGAGGCCAAGGAGACCGGGCTGGAGAAGCAGCAGGTCGGTGAGGCCATTGATGCAGAAGTTGATGCTAACCAGGCCGAGCAGGTGTCTGCCAAGAGCGCAGACAGCAAGAAGAATGAGTAAAAGCTGATGCTCGGCGTTGCGAACCAGCTGCATGCATGGGTACCAGGGCGAGGTAGGCTCATTTGTCAAAGGCGTCTAAGGAAAACAGGGAAATTATCAGTATATATTTCCGTCGCGTGAGAAGGGATAGCCCCCCCAGACCATCGCCAGAATGAGCCGGCGCAGAGGGGGAGTCGGGAATGATTTCAAATAAAGGGTAGAAGACATCTCGGCACTGGAAATTGATAGACACATTTGTACTTGATACCGAATTCCTCTTGTAAGGAAGACACAACTGTATTTCCGGCCCCCAAAGGCCTTTTAAATACCGACTCATCATAAAATAATCCCTTTTGTTTTGCAGGTGCATCGTACAGCTTCTCAGGACCACATAACACACATGGCGATGTTGCATACCTCATATAATTTCATGGCACTGTCTGGGTGCGACTCTCCACATTCGTGGAGGACATGAGACTGCTTTGAGAAAAAGCAACTACCAACGGCCATTTCATAGACTTAGAGGCCTTGAACTGCTTCAGAACGGTACACTGAGAGGCAGGATCAGGCCCATGCTGCGAATGAACGTATTGGTCACGGAGTATAGCTTATCCCATCGGACCGCACACTTTCTGTTGTTGATTGCCTGGCAGCAGCAATATTTCTCAATGCAATGCCTGCTTTGAAGGGCAACGATGACTTTCAGTTTCCTTCCAGCTTAAGCTCAGTTATTAAGAGAGAACAAGAGGCTTCCAAGCCTCAGCGCAATCGAGAGTACAAATCAAGACTAAAAATTACTTGTGTAGATGCATCCAGGATGCTGGAACAGAGCTTCAATAAGAAGCAAGCAGCAGGTGTGTGCAGGCCTGGGTAGTACCCTGGCGTGCCTGGCGGCCTGGCGGCCTAGTAGGCAGGTCGAGCCAAGACAAAGCCAAAGCCAAGAGCCGAGGGAGGGTGCAAGGGTGCAAGGGGAAGCTTCCTTTGCAAACCCCCACCAAGCAGGCGGAGCAGCTCCTACCCTCTCTGCCCAAGCATGTACGTCAATCGACCCAGCCCATTACCCGAGACAGCCTGGGATGACTTCAAGACGTTAGACAGCAGCACACACTGCCTTGCGATAACCAAGACAGAGCTTACCAAGAATCACCAGTGACCTCTTTCGGGAATCATTGGATTATTCAGTTCTTACCACCACTCGAAGCGCCTTGCAAAAGACCGAGTCGCACCAGTCTGACGGCTGTACGTCATCCGCAGCTCTGCCCATCATGGCAGTAATCGACCAGGACAACTTCTCCAACATCTCATGGCACAGCGACCAGAACATTCGTGTGGGTAGCTCTACCTCGGCAGAGCATGAAGGGCACGATGAAGAGGGCGCTGGCAGCAAATCACATCACGACGACAGCGCGAATCCCGCCGGACTACAGCATCTGGACCCCGGCAACGGCGGCGACGAGATACTCGAGTGCACTGTCACCGACCCTCACACCGAGAACGCAGGCACGAAAGATGCATACGTATCATACTTGATCACAACAAATGTAAGCACTCTCTATTTCTCCTTTACCTGTCCACATACCTTCGTCCGCTGCCAGGGAAACCGGCTGATCACTGCTCCTGTAGTCCACCTTCTCCTCCTTCCAGAAACCAACCTCACAAGTCCGCCGGCGCTTCACCGATTTTGTATTCCTCTACAAGACCCTCAGCAAGGACTACCCAGCATGCGCTGTTCCACCCATCCCCGACAAGCAGCGTATGGAATACGTTCGTGGAGATCGCTTCGGCACCGACTTCACCCAGCGCCGCGCATACTCTCTCCAGCGCTTCCTCTCACGATGCTCCCAGCACCCGATGCTCCGCCGCGCGTCCCTATTGCACACATTTCTGGAATCGCCCGACTGGAATGCCACCATGCAGAGCCGGACCAGCCGCGCCAACACCACGAGCTCGTCCGAGGCTGGCAGTGGGGGCGTCTTTGACAACTTTGCCGACACCTTCATCAACGTCTTCACCAAGGTGCACAAGCCAGATCGTCGCTTCATCGAGGTCAAGGAGAAGAGCGACAAGCTGGACGACGACCTGGGTCAAGTCGAAAAGCTCGTCGCCCGGGTGGCACGCCGCGAGAACGACCTCGAGATAGACCTGCGCGACCTGGCCGAGCAGTTCCAGAAGCTCATAAATCTCGAACCCGGCGTCGAGGCCGCGGTTCACGCATTCGCAGCGAGCGTCGAGGACACGGCGACGGGGCTCAAGAAGCTCAAGGACCACACGGACCAGGATTACCTGGGCAGCCTGCGCGACATGGTGGCGTTCTCCGCGGCTCTCAAGAATCTCTTGAAGGCCCGCGAGCAGAAGCAGCTCGACTATGAGCAGCTCACCGAGTATCTCAACAAGTCGACCGTCGACCGCGACAGTCTGGCGAGCGGGTACGGAGGCACTGGCGCCAGCGGCCCGGCGGGCTTCATCCGCAGCAAGATCGAGGACGTGCGCGGCGTGGACCACGAGCAGGCCCGGCGCGAGCGGCTCCGTAGGCTGGAGGTCCGCATCGACGAGCTCACGCGTGAGGCCGAGACGGCGAGGAAGATGTCCGAGATGTTCGACGAGGAGGTCGTCAAGGAGGTCGCCGACTTTGAGCGCATCAAGCGCGTCGAGTTCAAGGGCCAGCTCGGGAGGCTGGCGGACGCGCACGTCGGGTTCTACGGCGACGTTGTGGACGTGTGGCAGAGGTACGTCGATGAAATGGAGAGGGAGGGTGTCAGGCTCCCGGCTTAGAAGGACCGGGCCGCCGCCGTGAATTGCGGTACCCGATCGGCGAGCAGCGAGCGTGGACCAATCCCAGGATTGGATGGATGGATCGATGTGGAGGATCTGGTTGACACAGACACCGACTCGAGCAGTGATACCGGCAGCAGCGACTCTTATGTCAGTACGGCTGCTGGGGGCCCACTCTTTGGTATGGGCGTATCGGTGCCACCTGGCTTCTCCAGGATTCTGAATGAGGGCTGGCAAGGTCTGAGCGAGCGTTTTTCGAGGTGAAAAGCATGACTATCTCGAGTGTGGTCGCCATGGCTTGCTTTCTAATTGTTGTGGAAAGGAAGAGCTGGGATGGGAGTTGGGGCGTTAAAGCTTGATCAATCAATCCAACAGAAAGGGCAATATCTTTCGTCCTTAAAGAAGACCTTTTTATTATTAATGACATTACTGCCCTTTGACTGTCGCTATGGTCAAGTTCTGTGCGATGGAACTACAGGCCTAGCTATATGAGAGGAACAGCCTTTTATACTGGCTTTTGTACTCATTAAATTGGACCGGTAGCAGTATGCCTTTGTGCCGTATGGTGTGATGCTCTGAAATCACTCAGATAATATATGCTGGCACCCCCAAACGCCTTTATCCCAATTCCCGAACTGCAGTTTTGGAACCATTACAGGGCCTCGAGACTACAGTTTTATCATAAAATGAAGCCACTCACGGACGCCTCCCGCCTTGCAGCCTCTCTCTCTCGTCAGCTTCGTCGTCCTCGCTGTCGCTCCCCAACACATGTTGCTCCTCCTCATCGTCCCGCAGGGCCCGCTTTTCCCGACCAGCAGCGTCACTGCTGCGCTCACTGGGGCTATTTTCCTGATCTCGGTACACACCCTCTCCACCGAACTCGTCATCTTCCTCATCGCTGCCACCCGCAAAAGCATCGTATAGCTCGCCGCCGCGGGTCTTGCGCCCCTTTGCGCCCCGGGCGCTCTTTTCACCGGACGCGAGTCCTTCAGCCTCCTCTTCGTCGAGGAGCTCGAACTCGTAGTCATCGCGTGGGGAGTTGCGCATACGCTTGCGGCGGGCCATCCAGAGGTAGATACCTAGGCCACAGCAGAAGGCGAGAATGAGTGCCAGCGAGCCGTAGATCCAGGCTTGGGTGGCAGGAGACACGCCGAAGGTAGGCAGGAATCCCGGAAGCCAGGATGAGGCCTCCGCAGACGCAGAAGGAGAAGCAGAAGGGGAGGCTGAGCCATTGCTTGTGTCCGACTCGGCAGCGGTAGGCTTGGCATTGACGGGCCGGTCAGGGTGGTCTGAAGGTGTGGTAGTAGCGACATCGCCTGGGGCGGTTTGTCCGGGGGGAGGTGTGACAGTCGTTGGAGGAACGGTGGTGGTGGAAATTACGTCGTGATCATCGTCATCTTCCTCCGTGGGCATGGGGAGTGGCTTGGCAAGCTTGGGGTCGATGGACTCGCCCCAGATCTTGAGGTGGAAGTCGGTCCAAGTGCCGTTATGCTCATTTACCTTGGTATCCTTTACAATGACTGTCCATTTGCCGAGACCAGATTCACCCCTGCGAAGCAAGTTAGCGAGGACACAATTGCACAGCTCGACGACGGCATGACGTACCAGTGAACAACACTCATGAAAGTCCAGTCTTCGTAGCCCGCAGCTTCGTTATCCAACCGGCGGGGCACCGAGAGATGGCTGACAATCTTGTTGGGGCTGACCAGGTCAACAGACAGGTCACCTCGGCGCGTGTGGTCGATGTTCATCGTGACCGTTACGTGCTCAACACGCTCCAGATTGGCCTTCTTGAGCATGTCGGCTGTCACCTCGATATCGACGGCCAAGCCTTGGTCGCCTTGGGGAATTGCTTCCTTGACGTGCACCCAGGGAGAGTAAAACCACGCCTGCGGCTTGACATTCTTCCAGGTCTTGGCTAGCTCTACGAGACCGTAGGCATCAATCTTGCCGTAGCCGAAGGTGTGGCTGAACTTCTTGCCAATGGCAGTTGTCTCCCAGCTTCCGTCATCTTCGTTGATGGGAACGGCAGTGTTCATGGCGAGATACTGCATATCTCTCCACGATATGTCCGGGCGAATCTCGAGCACGAGTGCGAAAAGCCCAGCGGCCAAAGGTGCAGCAGCGGATGTGCCACCATGAGCAGCAGTGCAAGAGTTCTCGCCGACGTCAGTTGTATGCTGCGACTGGTCAGTAATGGTGGCGTGAGAGTGTGTTGCACCTGCAGTTGCTTGACTTACAATGCTGTCACCGCTGCCGCTAGAGTATGTCACTACCAGGTTGGCAGAGCAGGCTTCAGAGTAGTAGGGATGCTGTCCCTTGCGATCAATGGCACCGACCGTTATGCTGTAAATGCTGTTGGTGTACCCGTCGAAGTTGCAGTTGTCGTCGCTGGCCGCTCCGTTGCCACTTGCGAAGACGTAGATGTTCCCAAGCCCATTCCGACCTTCCTGAACGGCGTTGAGCATAGCGCGCCGAATCAGAATGCCAGGGGCGTCCATGGACCGCCCATCGTCAGGAGGGCCCCAGGAGCAGGAATATATGTCGTTGTGTGCAAAGTCGTAGTTCATCGCAATTGCTTCATCAGCGTCCGTAATCATCTTGGAGAGGATACGCAACCCAGCAATGCGAGAATCGTACGCGGCGCCGACACCACAGACATCATTCTTGACTGCGGACACTTCTCCACCACAGCGAGTCCCATGCTTGTCGTCAGACAGGCGGGGCTCAGGTAGGTCCGTCTTGTCGTTGAAGTCGTAGGAACCCTGGGCGTAGAAGTTGGCCTTCAAGTCGTTACTGTGCATGTCGAGACCGTCATCCACGATTGCCACGGTGGCGTTCTTGCCCGTGATTCCCTGTAGCCAAACGCCCGAGACGTTGACGTCGTGGCCTGCCTGGACAATGTTCATTAGATGCCACTGCTCGCTGAATATTGGGTCGCTAATGCCAAGTGTGGTGGCGACGGATTGCTGAGCGGCCAACAAGACAGGGTCGCTTGTGTCGCCGCTTGCGCGCTCCTCCAACACAGGCCCCAAGGGCTTTGGTATTATTCTCTTTTCCCAAGGAGCGCGCAACTTTTGTTTCTCGGAGAACAGCACGCCGTCAAGGGGATCCCGATCATTCAAAGTCCTCTTGCGCCGTCTCCTCGCCTTCAGTTCCAGGCTGACAACGTCGTCCTCAGCCTTGGTCCCCTTGAACACATAATGGTCCTTGAGCTGGCCGAACTGGCCATCATATGCGAGGCCTAATCTTGATGCGACCTCGTCGGGGCTGGCCTGGGGGTCGAGATGCAGGACATAATGGTCGTGAGAGTCGGAGTGGTAGCTGCTCGCTGCAGCGACGGCGACGAGGCCGAGGCCGACAACGGCGGTTATCTTCATTGTTGGATTCGGTGCCTTGTTCGGTGGCACATAAGGGTCGACACTTGGTGTTGGCTCCAACTGAAGGTCGCAGCAGAGTGAGCACTCGGGGATGGATGCAAGCCACCCGTGGTTGCTGGTGAGTGTCGAGTGGGATGCTGGCGTGGGAACGACGCCGGCAAAGGACCGAGGTAAAAGCAACCAGGGAGGCGGTGAACAAAGAAGGAAATCGTGAATAGAAGATCGAAACCAAGGAGTGCTAGGTGGGAAAGAATGGATCTGATTGAGTTGAGGGTGAAGTTGAGTCGGGTTGGGCTTAGGTGGCCACGGCAGGCGTTCCGTTAGGGGTCCTGTATGGTGGCCCGGGGCGGACTTGTTTCAAAGGGATGGAAGGATGGAGTTTCGAAATGCTGGTCCACGGTGTCCTCGCGGCCCGCCAAGCGTTAGACTCCCTGCCTCTTTGGGTCCTGAATAGCTGACTAACATCCCGGATCAGACATCTAGTGCTCACGGGGGTGTGTCTCTGTGAGTGTGTGTGTGCCTCGACCGTCTCTGCCTGGGCCACTGGACGCTGCAGCCGCATCGCTCTTGTTTCTTTCTAGCCGTCTTGATATTCAGATCCTCGTGTGTACATGATGTGGCGCAGAAGCATCTCTTCTCCGGACAATTCACCAGCTCATGCATACGTGCAACCGGGCTGTAGGTACCCAGGTAGTTGGATACATCTAACAAAGGCTCGGGCCTCCTGACGCTCGTCTCACCACGGACCACGGCCGGTGCGTGCCAGAGCCTAGCAGCAGAAGGGGAAAGACGGGATAACAAAAAAGTTATCTACTTTGTGCGAACGGAGAGACAAGTAGTCACTTCACCATGCTGGACTGCAAGTTGAGACATGACATACGAAGCATTCATCAAGAGGCATTGCCCTAAATTGAGTTTCGCCTAGAGAGATGACCTTGGTCACCAAGCCAGCTCTGCAAATGAGCATTTCCCGCCCGGTGTCCGCGTCTAGTGTCCCAATTCCTCGAGCCAGCAGTCTTAGCTCTCGGAAGTCACAGCATCGTTTGTCTTGAGGGGCAACAGCCGGCAAGGCTTCCAGAACATAGTCTAGAACGCGGGCCAAAACCTTCTGCTGGAAGCTCCCGGCACGCCAAGAAGCAACGGAAGCGGACGAAACCATTGCCACACGGGGATGGGAGTCAGATCGATATCAGGACTGCTTGATGGTCTCTACAATGTTCAAGACTCGATCAAGTAGAATCCATGCTTTATCAAAGAAATATTGAGAGACTACCGCATGTCAGCATGGGCGCCTCCCGATCATGGCTGAAGATGTGCTCACTTTTGGACAAACTGCTCCTCAATGAATGGACAAGACTACCCAGGAACAGCACGTAACTGGGCTGTCGTGGTTTTTGGCTACAGTCAACCCGCTACAACTGCATAGCGCTTGTAGAGGTCAGCGAAACATCCAGACAGCCTCGCCAGGTCGCCCGGAGGTGACGACTCTCGTCTTCTGTGCCCAAGTTTGCCTCAACATTGAGCTGGCTGGGGCTGCAGAAGACACCTCTTGGTTGATTGATGTTCCCTCTGGACCTCAATCAAGTACGCTGGCTCACGAGGGTTATCCGAAATGCCGCGCAAACTGAGAGCACACTGGTCCCCTGAGAAGCCACGAGTAGAAGTCTGTGCTTCACCTGCGAGAGACAATGTCTGAAGGCCCAGTCACAACGAGAGTGTATGTCAAGACCGCTTAAGTGTTCTCGAGAACAAAGTTGATGGGTCGAAAGCAAGGGCGTCGGCATATTCCCTCACTCCCTCACTTCGATGATCTCAGTCGCCATGGGTCTGCCATTGGGAATGTCACCGGGCAACTCCAGCCATTAGCCAGCATCCAGCGAAGACTCGCGCCATGATGGTCGGCACTCGATCGTGTGGATGCGTTTGCTGGGGTTGGGTACAGGAGGAACGCTTTGGCTCACGGGATATCAAGCCTGCGAAGCATCTTCGAGAGGAAGAAAGACGATCGCAGTGGCTGCATTTCACTAGATCTTAGCATGTATAAACAGGGGGAAGGGACGTCCGAGGCTCTGAGCACACGATGTGACAAGGACGGGCGGGTGGTGGCTGGTAATGCCAGAAGAGGTTTTCAGCGGCTTGGACTGTAATCTTAGTCTACGTACAGACGATGTCAACGGTAGCTGTAACGACTTGGATCTCAGCCCGAGTCAGCACCGGATGGATGGTACGGACTCCACATGGCCAAGTCGGGGGCCCTCGCGCAGAACCCTCACGATGCATTTACCAGCCACCGTTTACTGTCTCAGGCTCCTACGGAAGCAGATGCCGGGCCGCTTTTAGACCCAATTTGGTCTTTGTCTTTTTTTGTTGGCCTCTTGAGCAGAGTGGGAAGAGGCATGTGCCAGACGCCAAATGTCTCCAGAATCATGACTGCCATCGTATTGCTATCGTCCAAGCTCAACGGCGTAAATCAGCTCCCAAGACTGGCTGTGGTGACCAGACACACAAGCTGCTGGGGGAGATGCAAGCTGTGGCAGGGATCTTGATTGAGTTTCGGGGAGCTTCCTGGCAGAAACAAGTGTCGTCATGCACACGGTCCCCCATCAGCTTAAACTAAACACTTTTGTCTACCTGACCTGGGCAGCTGGACTGCACTGTGGTATCCATTCCTCTATCATCCTCAGCTCAGCTCCCAGCTCCCAGCTCCCAGCTCCCCGTTCAGCCCATCAGCCCGTCAGGCCACCCACTTGCTGTCTGTGAGGCCGTTGCACCAGAGGTGACCAGAGGTGAGTGACGATGGACGATGGGAGGACAAGTTGCAGTCACAGTCGCACCTGAATAGCCCTCCAGCCTGCAACCTTGCAGGGGACTCGAGATATTCCTTGCTTTCTGGCACGAGGCCAGACGGCCTCATTATCTATCTGTCTAGCTCCTTCCCGCAGTCTGCAGTCCGCAGTCCGCAGTCTGCCAAAGAGGCAGATACCAACGGCCCTGCAAACCCATCCTGGTTCCTCCTCCTTGTAAATGCACCACTGCCCTAGACCCTGCCCATGGCCTCGGACTTCCCTCTCTGATCTTGTCACCCTCATGGTCTTTGTCTCTTGTCAACCTCCCCCATTTCCCATAAAATTCTCCGTACCTTGCTTAGTACCTTGCTAGTACCTCGTATCCCGTATCCCACCACCGTGTTGATTATTTTCCTGTTGGGTAGCTTTAGTCTCGCCGTTTCTCAGACTCTTGGTCTCTCGGCCCTAAGCCATCCATCTCCATTTCTACTGCCATGCGACAGGCCGCGATCGAGGATCCCCGACCCGACCGCATCACCTGAAGACGCGGCCGTACGGACATGCGCGCCTAGAAGCACGTCACCCGCTCCCTCACTCGCTCGTTCCGCTGCAACCACTTGCCAGCTATCCTGCCAGCTATCCTGCATACAATTCTCACCACGGCGCTAATCGCAACGGATCCTCAGTACCGCATTGGCTGCTATGGCCAGCTGCATGAGCTGTCCGTGACTGGCACCTAGACAGACATAAGTTTCGGCTAGTTCGCCGGGTGCTACAATCATCCTTTTTTTCCCACTCCTTCTATTTACTTCTTCCGTCCAACGACTGGCCATGGCTAGGGCCCAATCAGGTCAGAAGACTGTAATGCCTGCGCCGTACTGGGGTGACCTTCCTGGTCCAAACGCCCCGGCCCGCTCTAGCACTCGCAGCTCCTCTGACGACTACGCCTCAAGACCATTGCAACCCGATGCCATGGATCTTGCCCCTGGTGTTGCGCCACAGTCCAGGTCCAACAGGGCTTCTGTCCAGACCACCAACACCAACGCCGACGCCCAGACAGACTCTACCTTGAGCCCCTACGCCTCCCCCATACGATCGAGCTTCCAAGGTTATGCTCTGGCTCCCAGGCCCCCTTCGCTCCCCTACGGACAGAGCCAATACCCTCCCGAAGTTTTGGAGAAGCGTCGCCGACGTGCGAGCAAGAATAGAGAAGAGGACCGCGAGTATTCTGACGCCCGTATATCAGCGCTTCCCGCTGCGCCAGATGTGCCCAGGGCTTCTGCTGCGAGCTACAGGCATCCTTACGGGAACGGCGGACTACCTTACACCTACACCAAGGCCGCCACCGAAGAGCCCGATCTCCCTTTGAGTCCAGGCGCCATGGACCCGGAATACCACCAGCCCACGATGGCTGACCGACCAAAGCACTCCGACACAATCGCAAGCTCGAGTTCGAATCGCCGAGTGAGCAGCGACAGCGCCGCAACTACAAGAAATGGCAGTACGAGGGACCCTGCCAATGGGCACCGGAAGTCATCTTTGGGGAACGAGATGGATCGGCGTTTGATGGCAAACGCCCGATCGCCTCTGCAGAAGCTTGAGGTGACGCTCGACAACATCACCAAGGAGGAGAAGCGAGCAAGGGTCGCGGCCGCCGAGCAGCGTGCGCGAACGCGAGCATCGCGGAACAGCAAAGACCTTGGACAGCAGCCTGCGGTCCGCTTCAAGGAGGGAGAGGCTGAGATTGAACCCGAAATTGCTCGACCTCAGGTCTTGCCTGATCCAGTTCCGGTCCAATCTGGCGTTGCGCCTCACAGCGCGGGCAAGGAAAGATCACAGCAGCATACATCGCAGGCGGGAAAGAGTTCGGCGCCAAAGACACCTGTCGCAAGATTCGCGCAAGATACTGGTATCCCGCAGAGAAATCTAAGCTTTCGTGAGCGAGCTGCCAGGGACGATATCAATATCCCAGGTAGCAGCGACCACAACGAGTCTCCCACAACCACGCCGACGAGCGGTTTCTCGCTAGCTCGGAGCGGGAGCAACAAATTGAAAAAAGAACCCCCCAGCGAGACTGGAAACCAGCGACGAGTTGAGGGCGAGAAAAAGTCAAGGCATGTTCCTCAACGGGGGACAACCCAACCTCTGAATGAGGGGCTGGGTTTGGCGGCTGCTCCCGTTGGGACGGGATCCACACCACCGAGTAAAACGGCCGGTAGGTCAATGCGCACCAAGGTCCCACCCCTGAACACGGCCGTAGAGCCCCGACAACCTTCCGGCCGAAATGGTATCGACCACCCGGACTCGCCATTCACCCCTGGTAAGGCTGCGAATAATCCCAGGCAGAGAAGGGACTCAACATCAATTACTTTTGCGGACGACCCACGTCAAAACGAGGCACCCAGAACCGCAGGCAATAGTGGGGCGATAGCTCGGACCGCTGCTGCTGGGGCCACAGTGGCAGCTGCCTCGAGAAGCCACCAGCATGATGGGCATGCCAGCGAGGATGATGACGCATCTGATTCTGAGCATCGGCTTGGCGAGTTCTTTCATCGCCGTGAATATAAGCCAGGCCATGGCATGTACAATCCGCCAAAGTTTCTAGGAGAGTGGAAGAAAGGAACGGTCGGCACCCTGTCTGGGACAATGCTCGATCTGGACGCTGAGAGTACCCCGAAAGTGGACCAGAGCCAAACATGGTGGGAGACACCTCCGTCACAGAGGCGAGGCAGTATTTCGACGCGACCACGAAAGGCGGAAGCGTTCGACGGAGAATACGATGAAACCAACGGTATGCACACTCCCAGAGATCTGACTGACTTCCAAGAAAGAAACACAAGTTCTCAAGAACTTTGTCGATCGTGGGTCGTTCACTACGACGAGGTGCCGCCTCATGCCCGCTTGTTCCTTGGTCATCAAGCGACGACCGACAAGCGCAAATCGAGACGTCAGAGCCGTCTGTACTCCATCGGACGGCCTCTGGGGGGCTCCAGCGACGATCTAGAGTCAAATTCACCTCCCACGCTGTGTTCCTCTTTACTGTGCTTTTCGTCTCCCCGCCCAAGTCGATTTTCGGACAAAACATCGCTGACCAGAGCGGCGCGGATGGTTATCCGTGTGCCCAACGTTATAGCCCCTACAAGATTCAAACCTCCTCTGTTTTTGAAATGCGGTCCACTACTAAGGTACTGTGGGATGCGCACCGAGCGTGTCTCAAGTCGATCAGCTCGCAGTGGGCCGGATGCTGAGAGAAACTTCTGGAGAGGAACCGTGATGATTGTCACCCAGGACCAAGACTCTTCCTACGACATTGCTCCCACTCTGAGACTGTTTGCACAACCAATCGAGCTGCTACCGCCTCCGCCGTCCGAAGTTCGTGGAGAAATTCCACCTGAATTCGTAGATCCAATTGCAGGACATCCTAAGTTGGGCCGCAAAGGGGAGACGCTGTATGTGCGACCAGTCGATCACCTCGATGAGTCCAAGGACCATTCCCTGGACGAGACTGATCGGGGTCTATTCGAGAAGACACGCAGTCCCCCTGACGTTTCCCCCGTTGATGGGTCGACTGATGCGCCAGGCTCCTTTGCAGCCCGCAGGAAGAGAACACCCGTGGACGGAGAGAAGGTGGGCAAGTACAAAGACGTACGCGGATACCGGCTACATGCAGAACGTGGCTACACATTCTGGCGCTTCAGCATCGAGGTCGAGCTACGCGACAAGGAGCAACGAATAGCCTATCGCATCAATCGCGGCCCTGCCACCGGCTTCTGGGTTCCAGCCAAGAACCAGTCCATGAACATCATGTTCCATAGCTGCAACGGCTTCTCCGTTTCCGTGAACCCAGATGAGCTCAGCGGGCCGGATCCTCTGTGGCGCGATGTTCTCAACAACCATCAGAGCCGCCCCTTTCACGTCATGCTTGGTGGTGGCGATCAGCTATACTGCGACGTTGTGATGAAAAATACAGATCTTTTCCAGGACTGGCTCATGATCCGCAACCCGCTACACAAGCACAATGCGCCATTTACCGCGGATATGCAGGACGAACTCGAACAATTCTACCTGGAGCGGTACTGCATGTGGTTCTCGCAGGGGCTATTTGGCCTGGCCAACTCGCAGATTCCCATGGTCAACATGTATGATGACCACGATATCATTGACGGTTTTGGCAGTTACCCACACCATTTTATGAGCTCACCTGTGTTCTCTGGTCTTGGTAACGTTGCATTCAAGTACTACATGCTTTTTCAGCATCAGAGCATCGTCGATGAGACCGAGGAGACGGAGCCGAGTTGGGCCATAGGTGTGAAGCCAGGTCCATATATACAGGAGCAGAGTCGCAGCTTGTTCCTGCAGCTGGGTTCCAAGATTGCGCTGTTGGCAGTGGACTGTCGAACTGAGAGGATGCGGGATCAGGTTGTTCGCGAGGAAACTTGGGATAAATTGATGGATCGCTGCTACAATGAGATCGTCAAGGGGAAGACAGAGCATTTGCTTGTTCTTCTGGGAGTCCCGATTGCTTACCCGCGGCTCGTGTGGCTCGAGAATATGTATACCGCACCGTTTTCTTCATGCCGTTGGACCTTTCAGCTGACCTCTTTTGTAGCTTGACCTCACGCCTGCTAGATCCTATCAAAGCTCTTGGCAAGACTGGCCTCTTCGGTAATGTGTTCAATAAGTTTGACGGCGGCGTCGAGGTATTGGACGACTTGGACGATCACTGGACAGCAAAGAACCACAAGGATGAGCGCAAGATAATCATAGAGGACTTACAGGATCTTGCGGCGGACAGATCAGTTCGCATCACAATCCTCGGGTATGCTCACGGATCCAGCACACCTTTTTGTTTGCAGAAATAAAGCTAATCTCTTTTGCTTCAGCGGCGATGTACACTTGGCTGCGATCGGACAATTCTATTCTAACCCAAAGCTTGAATTGGCCAAACACAAAGACTTCCGCTACATGCCCAATGTCATCTCTTCCGCGATTGTCAATACTCCTCCACCAGACCTGATGGCAGACGTCCTCAACAAGCGCAACAAGGTACACCATCTCGACAAGGACACCGATGAGGACATGATTCCCATGTTTGCTCACGGGGTTGAGGGCAAACCTAGAAACAACAAGAGACTCCTCCCTCATCGCAACTGGTGCTCGATTCGAGAGTACACCCCAGGAGATACTCCGCCGTCAACGCCGCCTGAATTTGCATACGAAGCAGAGTCGCCCGCCGACTCTCCGGTCCGCCGAGACACTGGGCTCTCTAATAAAGGAGTCAGCCGCCGACTTTCCAAGAAAAATCGTGGGCCTTCCCATCGTGCCGATGTAATCGACTCGCGGCCGCCCATTTCTGGATCAGGTGGGGGCGGAATTTTCAGGTCGTTATCTTCGCGTGGTCGTCGCTCCACGCCGGACGTGCCCGCTGGCGAGAAGCGCCCAGGCACGAAGAAGAGGACTCTGTCGCTGACGCGTGGCGACTTCGGTGGTATTTTCCGCCGTAGGAGCGAATCCCGCAATCGCTCACAGCCGGATGATGGCGGTATCAACGGGACTTGGGGCGAGAGCGACCCCGAAGTCGTCGGTCGTGATCGAAGCCAGGGCGACGAAGGGTACGACTTTGATTACGAGGACAACACTTATGACCAGCGAAATAGAGGCCATGGCTTTCTGGGCAGTATCGGCCTTAGGGGAGGCGGTGGCCCAGGGGGTGGAGGCTCTTACGACGAGTTCTCGGATGGTGACGACTCATACTTCACTACTCGAGCGCCTCAAAACACACAAGCCAGCCACCCTGGGGCCAACAAGGCGGCCCGGGTCTTAGGGACCGAGGCATTGAATTCTTCACGTCGTTATGGAAGTCAACACCAGCCTTATCAGCAGCAAAATGCAGAGCGGCCCTTCGGCGTGACTACCAAGATATCAGGGCCGAGCCAGGAAGACGATGAGCACTTCCGGCCGAAGCCTTTTCAACGCACGCCCACGGGCTTGTCTACCAAGCAGGCGCGCAAGAGGGCCAAGTCTTTCGACGTCAACATAGAGGGCGGCCTAGACATTTGCCTGAATGTAGAGGTCTCGGCCAAGGACCCCGCGGGTATCACAGTGCCGTATCGACTGCTGGTGCCCAGGCTCTGGTACGATGCGAGCGACGGTGATGAGGTGGAGATGCCGGAACGCGGCAGAGGAAAGAGCAGGGACAACCCACCCGGGCCGATCAAGCGTTTCTTTAGTCTAAGTCGCTCGAGAGGCACAAGCGTGAAGCGAGGTGGGAGTGCGCAGCCGGGCCGACGAAGGCAGGATGCCGATGATAGCCAGCATTTCGTGCGTGGGGCGAGTGGGCCTGGCCCGGCTCCGGGAACAGCGATATAACCGTAGTAGAAAGAGGCTGGGAAGACGATGGAAGACTTCAAACTCACAGAGGGCGGTAATGCGGCGCGCGACTTTGATGAGTACAAGATGTGGTGCAAGGTGGCCAGGCAGACGGGCCGCGGCCCTGATGACGATAACGACCTTTCGAAGAGCAAATGGCGGAAACTGTTACGACCAATCATGAGTATGAAGCATGGACTGTCATGGTATACCTTCTTACGGCCTTGATGGCTTCCACTCTTGGATTTTTGCATTCGAGCATAGCAAAGCAAGGCATAGCAAAGCAAAGCAAAGCAGGGCTGCATGGCCTTTTGGATTGTGCAATCCTTGATTTGGTTCCTCCTTTAGATAATTATGCAGACACTCCTAGAATACAAAGCATGCCGAAAGTGTTTCCAAGATGACAGCTTAGACCTCAAGTCTTCCTGAAGTTTGTGCGCATGCTGAAGCCATTGAGTCACAACCACATATTCTCGAATACTGCAGGTAGGGTGTGATCATCGCATTTCTAATTGGGCCCACGGGTATCGTCTTCTGTCGTAATTATGGCCCAAAGACGTTCTCCCACTTTTAGTAGACAGGTCCCAAGCGCGAGCCTCCACAATTGGTTCATGAAACCGTGATGACGTGGGAAAGCTCGTAGAACTAGAACGCTCGTAAGTCAGCCCCATGTCTTTCCATATATTGTCAAGAGAGGAAGAAGAGGAGGGTGGTGCCAGTGCAGACTTACCGGACTTTGTCCAGAGATATGCGCCGACATGTCTTGGTCCAAGCTGACTCCCGAGAGCCGGACGACACATCGGCTTCTTTTGTTTCCTTTTTTCTTTGGTATCATAATAGGTGCCGGCTGACGGGCAGCAAGTCAGCCCTGAGACGTGAAGGCACTCTGAGCTCCAGAAGCACATGATGTCAACCATATCCCAAAGTTCTTGCGACCCCAAGACCGGGCCTTTTTTTTTCTCACACGCGCCCCCAGCCGCCTACACCCAGCCGCCAGCGCCCCCCAGGCCAGGATCCGCCGGGTCGATGTGGGAGTCGCTCGAACGCCTCCTCTCCTAGACGTCGTCCTTGTCGTCCCTGGCGTCGCGGTCCCGCCCGGCCCCGGGGCTCCTGCTGCGGCTGCGGTTGCGGCGCCCGCCGCCGACGCGGCCGCCCGCGCCGCCGCGGTTGTTCTTGCCGCCGGCGTTGGGCGGGGGCCGCACGAAGGCGAAGTCGACCTGGATGGTCTGGTCGAGCAGCTTGGTCTGGTGGGCGCCGTCGATGGCGGCGCGCGCCTCGGCCAGCGTGGGGTACTCGATCAGTGCGTAGCCCTGTTGACGCGCGAGGTTTGGTTCACTGGTCAGCCAACTGTCTGCTTCGTCCAAAAACACGGGTGTGTGTGTGGGGGGGTGGTGCCCATACCTTGACGTAACCGCTGCGGCGGTCCAGGTTGAGGTGCAGGTTCTTGATCTCGCCGTACTCGCCAAAGGTGTCGTGGATGGTCTCCTCGTCGACCTCCTCGTGCAGGTTGGTCACGACGATGATCCAGCCCTCTATGGAGCGCACGGCGGTGGCCTTGCTGTGTGTCGCCATGTCGTCGACCTTGGCCTGCGCGGGCTGGGGCGAGCCGGGCTCGTCGACGTCCATCTCTACGTCGGCCATGATTGCTTGCCTGCCTTGGACTTTTTGCGGGTGAGGAGGTCTGATCAAGGTCAAGGGCAGGTCGAGGAGCTGGAGTGGCAATGATTGGGCTGACAGAAGGTGGGTAGGGAAGCGAAGAGAGTGGTGTTGTGTGAAGTCAATCGTAAGAAGGCTGAAGCTTGGGAGCTGCGGTGCACTAACAAATTCCTGGTCGCGCCTCCACTGTAGAGCATACCCCAGCCCGAAGTTGAGGTGGAGTGACACAGGCAGATAGAGTCTCCCCAGGCTCCGAGTCAGACAAACTTGGCCAATTATTACTTTGGTACAGTAGCTTTGTGTAAGGCTCTTCTCTGTCACGTTTGGCTTCATTCCATGCCACTTATAATGCCATTATTTCAGGCTTTGATTTTGACTCTCACCACGTGCAAAGAGTTGAACACGGAACGATCAACATTGTTTTCCTGCGTCTTTCCGAGCAGCAAGTGTGTTGATATCACGAACAATCAAGCGCAGGTATTTCCGAGCTACCTTTCAACAAGTTTTATATAAGCACATTCATCAAACATCGCTTTACCAAGCCAGGCTCAAAGAGTAGCTTCCTAAGTTTGCATGTCAATCTGAAGAGCCTTCCAACCCTATTCAGCAAGAAAGTGACTATGAGATCCAAGCTCCATGACTTGCCATTTATGTCACATGCACTGTACTTACTTGTCTAAACTCTCTCCTTAAAACTCAACCACAACGGTTCAAGAGTTATGGTAAAAGTATCCCTCATTCCTTGGTCAAACGCAGCGCCCGCATCTATTGCACTCGGTCCAGAAAATCCAAAGTCAAACCCCAGAGCTAGCCTCGCGAGGAAGCTTCGCATTTCCCACATCGCGAGATGCTTTCCTGCGCAAGCATACTGTCCCACCTGGAACGGGAAAAACGCGTCCATTTCCTTTGGACCGATTGTGTAGCTTTTCTCTCGTTTCTCAGACACAGAACCCTCGGTTGCCAGCTTGTCGTGATTCTCACTGACCCATCGGTCAGGGATGAAGGCCTCGGGGTCAGGGAAAATCTTTGGGTCGCGGTGTACCCAATATGGTGGCACATACACATCAACATCTCCTGGGATGAAGAGATCCTCGGTTTTTCCATTCTGGTTAGCAAGAGGGATGATCAGTCCCTCGGGAGGTGTGACTCGAGGATTTCCCGAAGGGACAGCGGGAATTAGACGCAGGGTCTCGTTGATGATTGCATCAAGCATTGGAACGTCAGAGAGGGACCTTGACAAGATGTTGTAGTCAAATGTCTCTGGTCCGTCTGGGAAGACTTCAGACAACTCCGACTGCAGACGAGTGTAGAAGCTAGGGTTGCGAGCCAGGTAGAACAATGCGTAGGTAAGAGTGTTTGAAGTAGTATCGCTGAAGCAAAAATGTGTTAGTACCGACCTAAAAGACCAATGTTGACCGATGAGGCAGCGGGATAAGACTCACGCTCCAGCTGCAGCAATGGTTCGTGCGTCTGCGTTTATCGCATTCCTTGTCTTGGGGGCGTATGGCGTCTTCTTCTTGAATTCCCGGAGGATCCAGGAAATGATGTCCGACGGTATCTCCTTGTCATCAGACTCACTCCTAATCTTCTCGTCCACCAGACTACTGCAGTAGTCCCGGAATGGCCTTACTGCTTGATCTGCGCCAGGTATGTTCGAAGCCGCATTCATCACCCACGGAACCGGTTTGACATACGCAACAAATCTCGACTGGTCCTTCATAGCTTTGACAGCCCAATGCTCTGCCCCGCCGTCCGATACCTGGCCGAAGTCCTTCCCGAATCCTACATTTCCCATCACGTCCCAGGCGAACAGTGAAATCCATCTGGTCATGTCGATGGTTCTGCCTTCTTTTTCTGGCGAACAGAGTCCATCCAAACAATGCCCAACAGTTCTTTGTATGGCTTCATCATACTTTGCGATGGATTTAGTCCTGAGAGCTGTGTCCCAGGGGCGTCGACGCCGGCGGTGGTCTTCAATATCTCGCGTCTCTATTACTCCAAGGTAGTCATCGCGCCAGTCCTCGATCTGATACAGAGTGGACTTGCGGCAAGCTGCAAGCGGTGCGATGGCTTCAGCACAGAATATCGTTAGCTCCCTAGGCCCAGTCCGAACCACGTCGCCGTACTTCTCCCGCATGATTCCTAGCTCCAAATGGTATTGCTTCTGCAAGGCAGATCTCCAGACGGCGTAGAACTTGGTGAGTCTAGCAGCCACCGGACCAGGAAACTTTCTCAGTCTGTGGAAAAGTCCTCTGTACACTAGCATCGAGGCGAAGAAGCCCAACATCAACCAAGCCGTCTGTGCAGACACCGTGAATACAGCATCATGAACCGTAACACCTGGCAGTCTGGTATTTATGTAAATGTAGATCACCTCAAGCACGGCGAATATACCTGCAAGCGGGAGAGCGAGCATATCAATCTCAAAATTCCGTGCGACTGTGTGCAAAGCGACACCTAGAGCGGCCGCCAGAAGCCGATTCACCTGCATTTTCGAAAGCGGTGCAGTCGATGCTCTGATGTGTTTCCGGCGGGGGAAAAAAGAGGATAAGAACAGTTGAGAGACTCACAGGAGAAGGAAAGGAGTGGGAAGAACGGAAGAGACGGCGACTGTAATTGTAATTGTAATGCGAAGATGGAGAGCGGCCGCTGGAGGGTAACGTCGAAGTGGACCCATGCATCAACAATTCCACCATTGGGGCACCTGTCGAACAATGCAGGTATAGTAGCATCCACCCACCTGCATATATACCCTCCTCACCTTGAAGAGGAGACGGGCGACTTATCCGACGTGGCTCGCTTAGCCACCACTCTCCTCTTTTCACATGCGTATTTGAGTTTCGTGTCAGCAATACATATCCTTCCTTGCATTTTCGACAACGAAGTCAAATTTGCCGTCCAGATCTGCGCCAGCTCACGTGAGAGAGGCCTATCAAGTCACCGGAACCAAATATGGACCTGTGTGGCGGATTCGAGCGAAATGTAAACAAGCGGTCCGTGGAAGCCCCTTCTCCATTCCGACCTGTCACCTGGAGACGGCAGACTTGGCGGCGACTACCTCCAGCTCCGGCGCTCCAATCGCGAACGTTTGCCGAAAAGCAATGGACCGAACGCAGGTGGAGTGCAGAAGCGATATGCAGATAGCCAAATGCTCTCATGCCACTCCAGGTCTTTCTGGTATCGCCTCATTGGTGGCTGGCACTAAGGTGGAGGCTTCAATCGTATCTCACGGCATCTAGGATATCATTTTCTCTCACCAAGTTCTTCGATCGCAGCGTATGCCTGAATGATGTTTACCCAACGATTGGAAGAGTTGATCATGTTGAACTACGTACCTGCGTATAGTGAGATAGTGAACGGACTTATGTCTCTCATCCCTGACACTCTTGAAATAAATCTGGAATCGTTGGACGATGAATAGCACTGAGACCGATGTTCGATGTCTACCAATGTATTCAGAGGCGAGATCAAGAGTCTAAAGGGTCGAGCCAGCAAGTGACTCTCATTATGGACTAATTCTGGCAATGTCTACGGGTGATCCGATATTCTCTACACAGTTCACAGAAAATGCGAGGCTCGACGACCGTCAGTCGTGTAGAACACTGCTTGTCGAAAGTGAAGTGCCTCTGAAGCATAACGTTGTTGATCTCAAGATCCAAGTTTTAAGATTTGGTAGGTGAGCTGCTTGACTTTGGGAGTATGGCACAGAACGCCGTCTTGGCCGTCAAGACCAAGTTGTCACTTCCGACATCGTGCCCTCTGGAGGACTCGGCATTAAGAGCAAGTGTTCAGACCTCATTTCTCAATTTGGTCAGGGAGATATCAAATCCAAATGTGGCCTGCCAGCGTTGAGTCAAGCGGCCCCAGAAACGGAGCCCTGCTCCTGCCTTTTGGCTGAGCTACTTTTCCCAAAGATAATCGAACACTAAACCATGTTAATGTTGATCATCCAGACAGTCTGGCTTGAGGGGCTGAATTTGGTGGCGCTTTCCACACTATCTTCCATGGACCACACGACGGCTTGGATTTCTTAATATTTGATGAACTGAGCACATCGAGCGTCTCCCGTAATATTATGTCAACTATTCCGTTAGAGAGTAATAACATGGGTGATTTCTCCGTGTACATCATTCCTATGTGAGTTCAATAGGCAATGGATGGTTATTTGCAGTGAAATAATCTGATAAGCTATAACATGAGACCACCTACTGATGAGATAACCAGTCGAACCAGTCGTGGGATTACCTGTCATAGGATAACTAGTTGCGAGTTTTAGGACATTCAGTTGTGGGATAACCAATCGTGGGACAATGTGTTGTTGTTCAATGTATCATTCAGTTCTTGCCGCCTATGCTATGCTGTCTAACCTAAAAATGATGCGACGCCATGCCTATGCAATGGGGTATTCCTATCCTGTAACGCCCTTGAAACCCGTGACAATCGTGACAAACGTGATAAACGTGACAATCGTGACAATCGTGATAACTGACAATAACAATAGTAGCCTCAGTAGCCTTCAATCAACGCCCCTAACCCTCATAATCAAACCTTTCCCTGTCTTCTCAGACCCTCAAGGAGGTCGTACTGGTGGTAAATAATCTTGCTCTTCTCGTGAATTTGAGCCTCCAATGCAACCTTCTCCTCGTGAAGCCGCTCCCAAGTGCGGCGGCTGTAGCCCTTGTGCATTCCCTTGGACTCTGTGACTTTCTCGTCAAACTTCTCTTGCAGTCTCGCCATCTCACTCTCTGTGGTGGAGATCAAGATCCGCATGTTTTCAACTGTATCAAATGCTGGCCGGATCGTGTGCTCCTCATTATCAGGGTCGCGACTGGAGGTGGGCGCGGTGGGCGCAGTGGGCGCAGTGGTAGGTGTGGTGCGCGCGGTGGTGGGTGCGGTGCGCGTAGTGCTTGGGCCGGCAGTGCGCTTGACCTGAACCGAGGCGGGTCTACGAGGGCGAACCTCGCTGCGCGTGCTGGAAACCGAATTGATGGTGGAATTCTCACGCGTGGAATCGCGCAGCTGACGACGGATGACGGTGTAGTTCTCCTGCAGAGTCTCGTAGGAGTCCTCGGCCTTGTCGCGCTCAGCCTTGATTTCTTTGTTCTTGCGTAAAAGGACCTGGGTGTCCTTGATGGCTTCGCCAAGCTTGCCACGGGTGGCTTCGAGCTCGGCTTCGAGGTTCTGGATTTGTTCCGACCGAGTCTGAGCCTGTTTGTTCTTGCTGCGGAGGACCTGGTTCTCCTTTGCAGTAATGCTGAGCTGACCACGAGTGGCCTCAAGCTCGGCCTTCAGTTTCTCAATCTGCTCCGAATGAGTATCGTTCTCTCTATTCTTGGTGCGAAGGACCTGGGTGTCCTTGATAGTGTCGCCGAGCTGGCCGCGAGTGGCCTCAAGCTCGGTCTGCAAATTCTTAATCTGGTCCGAATGAGACTTGCGGGTCTTGCGAAGAGCGTCGTTCTGCTGGTACATCTGGCCAACTTGCTGACGCAGACGCTCATTTTCGCCTTTGAGGTGCTTGACCTCATTCTCAATATTGGTGAAGTAGTGGGCCGCCTGCTCGACCTCGGACTTCATGGCTTGGTTCTGCTTGATGAGAACCTGGTTCTGCTCGTTGAGAACCTTCTTATGCTCGTGGGCGAGATGGCATTCCTTAATTAACTCATCACGCTCGGCGGTGAGGGCGTTGATGTGGACGAATTGCGAGTTGGCGAGAGTGTTAGCCTCGTCAAGGCGCTTCTGCATGCGCTTGAGCTCTGAAGAAAAGGTGTTAGCTCGTGTTGATGTGCCACAAGGGGTTGACTTACTCTCTGCCTGAGCGCGCTTGCGAATGTCATCGTCAGAATCAGAGCCAATAGCACTGTCCGACGAGCCCTTGCGACAGGTGCCTCGGACTTCCTGCAGCTGGAGTTCGAGCCTAGCCTTCTCCTGATGCGCCTTGTCCGCCTCACGCTCCATGGCCTCGTCATGCTCCTGCAGCTCGGCGATTTCCTTGCGGAGCTGGTCCATGGAGACGAAAATTCGGGTTTCCTCTTGGGAAATATGAACAGCCTTGACATCCTTGTGGCTGTTGAATGCCTGCTGGGGTGAAGTGTTGGTATCATAGTCCTTCACGAAGACTGGCTTGCCGTCCTGGTCAAGTAGGCTAAACTTGAGAATGCCAGAGACGAAGTCGGCCAAAATATTGCCGGGGACCGCGTAAAGCGACCAGTTGGTAAAAGCGTCGACATTGGCCTCCTCGATGGTGGCTGAGGCCACGGCGGGAGAGTCGACATCGGCTGTGCTGATATTAGTGGTAGGGTAGCTGGTAGTACCGACGCTAATTGCGCGGACATTAGGGGAGCCAGGTGCAGCAGACAGATCGATGGTCTGCAGGTCGATTGGAGGTAGGTCGGCGGTGTGCAAGTCGACGGCGGGCAGATCGATGGTGGGCAAGTCGATAGTAGGCAAATCAACCGTTGGCTCATTGGCAACGGATGAGTGAGCGCTATGAGAGCGGCTGGTGTAAGAGGGCGCGCTGGCCTGAGAGTGATCGCTAACGTCAGAGTGATCGCTGGCGTGAGAGAGGACGCTGGGAGAGCGGGTGGCCTGAGAGCGAGCGCTGCGAGAGCTGGCGCCAGGGGGTGTGGTGCGGGAGAATGGGGCGCCAATTGCATTCTTAATAGCAGGTGCGTCCATAATAGGGGAGTTGGTGGAAGGTCCATTAGTGGTAGATGCACGTGTAGTAGGTACACCTCCGTCGCAGGCGTCAGGGGTAGACCTGCGGACGACAGGCTTGACTGCAGGCTTGGATGAGGTGGAGGTCGAGAAGCCCCTAAGGAAGCGGCTCAGGCTGCTGTCGGAGGGCGAGGCGGTCTCGCAACGCGCCTGAAATGCGGCGCGGCCACGTGTCTTTGGCACGAAAGGCGGCGATGGCCCGAAGACTGGAGTGTGAGAGAAGTGCTTGGGGGTGCCAAAGTCGCAGCTGGAAGGCGCGTGTGAGGATGGCAGGAGGTCGGAGATGCCGGGGGTGGGGGCCATTGGGCGGTCGTAAGGGACGATGGGCGCGGTGGGGTCAAACCCGACATTAGCAGGTGAGATGTAGGACATGTTTGAGATGTCGGACCAGACGGAAGCGACGGTGACCTCCTTGGGAGGGCCAAAGGAAGCCGTGGTGTGGCCGATCGTGTCGTGAGAGCCCGCCGAGGTGGCAGGCTCAGTCGCGTCATAACGCGTCTCGCGTGCTGTACGCGTGTCTGGAGCCATTGTTTGGATGGCAGTCGTGACTGAGTAGTGTTTGGTGACGAGTGCGAGATGGATTGATCGATGAGATGATTGTTTGATGAAAGCTGGGTTGAACTGGACAAGCCAATTGATAGCAAGAACCGAATGCAAGTGAAAAGCGCAAGCGCGATGATGAGAAGTGAAGTTGGTGGATGGATCTGCGGACGTTGCATTCGTTGTGGGGAAGGGAAGGGGAGGGAAGGGAGTGAAGGGAGCGGGGGATGCCAAGACTTTGGTTTTGTGAGTGCAGGGCGACCCGCCAGATCAGCAGGGCCCCACAGGCCTCTGGAACCTTTCCCGAACTGCCGACTACGCTCGGGCCGTGTCTGCAGCACCTTACCCGAAATGCTCGGCAGACATGCCGACTGGCCAGGTGAGACTCGGGGTCCTGATGCTCATTTCTGGTATCCTGCAACGCACCCACGATGCTGTACTGTGCCAAAAATTTGGCATGTAGTCCCGATTTTTCTCCTTTCTGCTATACTTGCAACATATCCCACAGAGGCCGTCTGCCACTGCTTCTGCCATGTCTTGCAGCCCTCAGAAAGTACCGCACGGTCCCCGGCATCTTGAACGAAACATCCAATGACTGTCGTCGCCATCACGGTCTAGGCGATATACGGATGTGTTTTCCCATCGTGCAACTAACCAGACTACGCCGTGGATTTAATGGCTCGATTTCTTAAAAGCACGAGTGATACTTCGGCGATGTACCTCTGGGGAGAGGGCGAGCGTGAAGGTGTGAAGGGAGGTGGGAGATGGGAGATGGGAGATGAGAGCCTGAGGATGGCAGGTTGATTAGCACGGGGGCATCTTGGTATGACAGCAGCATTGGTAAGAGTAGTAGGAGGATCTGAATGTCAGAAAGACTCACCACTTCCCGATGTCAATCCCTTTCGTCCTCCGTAGGCAGTCGCAGAGGCGTAAGTGTAGGCCTCACCCACATCGTAGAGCACGTAAGGCACGATGAGAGTCGCGAATCCTATTGTCCTGATGGTATCTCCGCTCTCGAGGAGCTCGTATCCTGTCGCGGTTCCATGCTGATGACGCGCTCTTCAAGTCTGTTGATCCGTGGCGATGGAAATGAGCAATGGCCCGGAGCGCGTCGATGATCACTACGCGTATGCATGAGGTTGTTGAAATGAATGACTCTCTATCATGCGCCTGAATACTGTAACACTCAAGTCAAGTTTTGTATAGCTCCCAATAATCATCGACCATGGTTATAGAGACGACCATCAGGACCATGGTTCGACCAACGTCACTGCTGCTCAGAGCACAAGATGTATACCGGGCAACACGGCTGGTTAGAAGTGCTCCTGATATCCCCGGAGGTGCTTCATCGGATGTAACACGCTGTAAGACACTCGCATGCTCTAGCTTGGCAAGCGCGACATGGGAAGTGCCACGGGTGAGAAGCTCTAGCAGAGCAGTCGCCAACAGGCTGTGGTCAGCCCGCAAGCCTCTGCTGTCATCCTACGTGCTGGATCTCCGAGGAATATCTATACTTCTAACATCAGCTAAAGGACTACTCCATTTGTAGCCTCGAACGTTTCAAGCCGAGCACGCGCACGTCGTCGCTATGTCGGAGGCCCGCAGACTATCCTTTGCCCATCACACGCGAATCACCCACTCAATCACCTATGGTCAATGGATGCTTGCCGTCATTGCCGCCTGCGAAGCCCTGAGTTCCGAGTCTACAGAAGAACAACGCGTCTACATCGAGCAAGCCAAAGTTGGAGGAAGCAATGAAAGAGAGCTCACTAAGATCTCAAGACAGAACACCTAACCACCCAGGTCAAAGAGATCGAACATAGACGCGCAAAGATTCATTCTCCGACGCGTTGAATCCGGGAGAGTCTGCGCCGCATGACGTCGGACAGCACAGCACTCCACAGCTCAGCCCTGCCGTCCTAGGGTGAGACCCATGGGCGGCAGATCGGCAGTCTGGGGGTGGGTTCGGGATCGCAGCCACGACCAATTGTCGTCGATCGCGAACCCGAAGAATATGCCAGTTGCGGCTAGGCTAGTCATTGTGAGGTTACATTGCAGATGCTTGTGTCCGACTCCCGCCAGGCGGCTGGAATCCTCCGGGCCCAGATCCTTTCTAGAAGCTCTCGCATTCGCACCCGTTCAACACAGCCTCCGGTAGACTGCGGCGGAGGATGAACAAGCTTGCGGGCGATGTCGAGGTGGTCGGGAGGGAGCCTGAGCATTCAGTAGAAGGACAATGAGGGATATATAAGTATCAACATTTCGCCTCCGTTGTTTGCTGTGACTTCTCACCATCAACTCTCACAACAAGTTCAGAAGGCCGCCTTTCAATCATCTCACAGACATCACAACTTCTTCATCAGGCCCTCACAACTCACACTGTACCGACATCTTAAAACTCAAGTCCTTCAACACAGTCTCTCAACACATCTATCCACCTAATAATCAACCATCGACGTCCAAAATGCTCTTCATCGGCACCATCACGCGTATGATCGAGGGCGACAAATACAAAAACCAGCGCGCACCCGCAGCTTACCCTGCCGCTGTAGGCGTCCCTATGCCAATGCAAAACGTCTCTTGCAACTGCCACGGAGACCGCTTCTGCTCAGCGTGCTCACCTCAACACTACCACGCGGCTGGCGTGGTGCCGATGGTGGCCGCCGCGCCCGTCATGTCCCACCACGACGCTAGGCGGGAGTGGCGATACGAGCGGCGCGCCATGAGGGATTCTCGGCGGGCTGCGAGGCACGGCTACGGCTACGGCTACCCCGTCGCGGTGCCTGTCGCGAACAGCTATGGTGTTGGCAACAGCGCCTACGCCCGCGACTATTATGAGGCCGGCCCGTCGTCCTCGCGGGCTTCGCCGGAGCGGAGGCAGGATGAGTACTGGGAGGACGAGGGCTTTGCAACGCCGGCTGGCTTGACTGCGGGGCACATTGATAGGGAGCAGCGCGAGGCATCACCGCCAAAGTACGAGCCTGGCAATTGGCAGCCGCGCAGGACGTCCGTGGAGGTGTTGACAGAGGGCAAGAGGACCTACTAGAAGCCAGAGTGAATGACCGAGGTGTATAGAATTTCTTGTTCTGTTCTATGTATATACGGGATTTGGCCTCGGCGTTGGATGATTCGATTTGTCAATTTACGGGAGAGATATCACTTAGACAGCGAAAATCGTTCATGATTGCATTCAAGACAATCGGGCTTGTCAAGGTCCGCTTCAGAAGCTCTCTAAATCTTGCAATCGCGCATCGGCTCCATACGTTCCCCCCGATCTCATTCCCGGGGGCCTTTTTTCACCCATATGCATTGTGATGTATTGTACACGCTCATCTTGGATGGCCCACTTGCTCGACATGGTCATCGTTGCATCCCCACCATCGCCAAGCCGCACTATGACGAGCTCTGTTATAACACAGGACAAAGTGTTCATCGCTGCCCGGCAAGTCGTCGGCTTTGGACTTCTCCCAGGGCCTTCATTCCGCTCAAAACGGTGGTTGTGCCGAGGACAGCTACCGGGAGAAGGATATGGCCTAGCGACATGCCACGGTGGTAGAGGAAGTACACGAACTCGATCGCAAGGATAGATCCAAAGAAGGTCGCGTGGGACAGTGGAGCCGCACCAAGGGCCTTGGGGAGGCTGTTGAGGTTCGCGCCGAGGATTCCGAACCACTGTGAAATAACATGGGTCAGTAGCTGCGCCAGATTCACAATATGGGTTGTTGAAGAAGATGGAGAACGGGCAACTTACACCGACCAGAAGGGCGGGCAGTGTAGCGGCGATAACCAGCACAAAGAAAATCGAGAAGATCTTGTAAGGGTACTTGGTTTCTTCGCGGAAGATGTGGTGGATCTGCGGCTGTTTGCCGTAGCGCTGGATGGAGGGGATGACAGGCGAGGGTGCATTGGCATCCTGCTTGATGTCGACGTCGAAGACATCGGCAATGACACCTTGCGCGGAGCCAAAGGATCCGATGACAACGGTTGCGTGGACGGGCTCCGGGGACACGAGGAACTGAACGGGAATGTCTTTCTGAGTCTGTGCACGCAGGACCGGTTAGCTTCACAAGTCTAGAGCTCGCTTGGTGGTCGCATTGATAGAACGTACGATCTGAACCTTCGCCTTTCCGCTGTCCTTAACACTCAGGGGGAAAGGGGCCTCCAGTCCACTTTCGCCCTTCAATAGCAGGAAGGCTTGGTGAGGTCGCTTCGCCTTGCCGTTGTCCTTTGCCGTCAAGCTGATTGTGAGGGTATCTTGAGCGCCGAGGGTAATTGGGGTCTCGAGAGGGGATTTGGGTCCAAATCTGTGTGCCATCGTCAGCAATTGACTCAAGTTGAGCTCGCAGGAGGTCGCTGGCTGGGTTGAGCTCACTTCTCTTTGGTAGCCTCACCAGCAGCCTTCTTACTGCTGATGGAGACGCTGCCATCGTCAAAACTCCATGAAGACGCAGCCTGGACAGCACCAGCTGCCAGGAGGACAAGAGAAGATATTCCACTGAATCGCATGTTGCCTGGCTGGGTGTGGTGGTGGGAAATGGCCAGAAGATGATGTCTTGGCAAGGCTGGAGATGGAAGTTCCCAGAGGACACACACGTCGTAACAGCTCAAGGTCTCTGTGGCAGCTCCAGGAGCTTCTTACGTGGCGTAAAGTTCCAGCTTGGCGGCCGGCAACCAGCTCGCCAAGGGGGGGCCCTTCGCCCCGATTAACCACCCTGGTCAGGGTTCAACCCCGATATTGAGTTCCAGTGTCCGAGCCTGACAAGACTGAAACATCTGGGCTACAATTCACTGGTAATTCATCGATACTTAAATTCAATAATATGATTTACTTGGCCTACTATTCCGAATCTTCCCAGGGCTTTTGCACTATAGGCTGCATTCTGCAGGCTACGCACAACTGAGATCACAAACGCCCATGCCTCACCTCCAACACCTGCGCCGGTAAGTTTTCCTTTACGCTGACCGACTACACCTACGGAATCGTCGAGGACAATGTTTCCGCTCAATGAATATAAATTGCGGCATGAACAGGGTACCACGGCTCTGTACAGACGTATGAAGGCTGCAAATGCAGGCCTCCACTTGTTAGTTCCCATAGAGGGGGAAAATAAGCCAGAGTAGCACCAACAAGAGTATCGACTCGGACAAACAAACAGTGTGCGGCCGCTTCAACTAATTCAGTAGCTGCGGAAAGCTCTCCCTGGCGGCTATCTACCGGCCAAAGGCTTAAATTGTGAAGGATGAATCCGACATCATCCTAAGTATCGTGAACAGTGAGCGTGAATTCCCTTTAAATTGCATTGCATACACAAGAGAGTCCTAGATCTAGGACGCATGGCTCCCAAAATATGCACAGCCGAAATAAAAAGAAAAATAAAAACTAAAGGCAAGTCCACTGCGAAGGTAGAGAGCTGGTGAGAGATTTGCAACGCAGCGTCTAGGCCTGCAGATGAGAGTTGTCCAAGAAAGGTGGAGCGTAACAGGGTTCGATGTAAATTGATTGGCCAGACTTTGCAACGAAAGCTGTCTGCGAATGTGCACTGATAAGTCAGTGGCCACAATCTGTTCATCTCATGTCTGGAAATCTAGATGCCTTTCTCGAGGACGTCAAAATGATTTGAAGGCAACGTTAGAATTTGTAATCTCACGACAAATGGCAAGATACTCGATACAAAGCTGCCAACACCTCAGAGTCTTGTCCTCCATACTCAATTTCCCCATGTATAAAGATGGACTGCAACAAGTTGTTGATTTCGATCAGCTATATCTCCGCCGTCAGAAGCCAATGGACACATTCTATGACTAATGTGCTCAAAAAGTCCTAGGTCTACGTGATATCTAAACCGCCGTTGCCCACGCGTTGGTTTGACATCAATGGTATGGGCTCCAGTGCTGGGTTCTGAAGTAATTGAAGGTGAACATACTGTGTATCTGGATAGAATGGCCAGGGATAATCATCGTTGAACAAGGCAGCCAAGAAGCACAAGAGACAGAGCTCCCCTCCATACCTCGTGGACCAATTTCAATCGCACCATGCGCATGCTCAGCCACTGATTTTGGCCCATTCCACCCTCAAATCCTCCTTCAATGTTAATATAGGCCACCCAGTCCGCGCTTCACAATCACCAATCAGCGAAATGATGGCCTCGCGTTTCACTGGATCATGAGTACAAAGCCCAGCACCAAAGAGGCACTGAGCGGACAGGATCTGACACCCGGCATCTTCCAACTCCATAGCAATCCCACAAATCGTGTCCACCGCATCTGATAAGACCTGCTGAGTCTGCAAGTATCCCTGAAAGCCACCAACACCCGGAAGATGAAGATATATCAGTATCTTCGCGAAACTGTACACCTGCAATGCCACGGCGAATTGTGGGGGGTGGATCCAGATAGATTTGAAACCAGATTCCTGCAAATAGGTTGGAGGGCACGGAAGAGGCTTATAGGCTGGCCCGAGGAAGGATTTCCATCGTTCTAGGGCCGCTTTCAAGGAAGTCCCTGACTGAACTCTGGCCTCCATTGTCCACGTTTCGGACTCCGAATCGGCACAAAAGTTCACAGCCTGTGATAAGAGATACACAGCCATTTTGGCGAGCTCATTCTGTGTGAGCTCGGATATGTCCTTAGCCGGCCTCCAGAAGCTGAAACAGCGCCTCTTTTCACGAAAGGCCGCCCAAAGGTCTTGTTGCAGCCATGCCCACCACACAGACTGCCGCAGACCACCAGAGGCGCCATGGACGTCCTGTGAGCGCTGGATGCCAAATACCCCTTTCAAATGCCTTGTCCAATTACCTTTGCTGTCATCTAGCATCTCGTACGTCGAAGTAATGATCACTGTGGCTAAGAGCTCCTCAGAGCGGGTGTAAGACGTGTATTGCAGAGCTTCTCGGACGTAGTGAAGCGTCTCGTAGTAGTATTGAACCGGCAGACTAGCGTCAAAGGTTTCCGCTTGAACAGTAACAGTGGCAAGGCGTGATGTCAGTGCCAGAATAGCTTTCATAAGACCCAGGTTTCGGAGCTGTCACGGCACTTCAGTGACTGCATATTGACGAGATGAGGGCAGTAAATATGGGCCCATTTGTTCTCACTTACAGCTAATCTAGTAGCGTGTGTGGAAAAGTGTTTGTTTTGGTCGAAAAGGTCAAGTAGCGAGGCGGCTTTCTCCGTGAATGTCCGAAACAGGATTGCCTCTTCGGCTCGAAGAGAAATATCTTGGTCAAGCTGCCAAGCCTGCACCTCGCAAGCACTGTCGCGCACGCCACGAACAGGCTGTTCAAGCTCGGCACCAGGAAGGAGGTGGTTATTGGATTGTCCACGGCCTACTTCCAAGTCTGCATGGTGATAGTTAAGGCCAGGTCCCACCCCGATGAGAAGAGCAGGACTTGTCGTTGGACTGGGCGCTACGGAAAACCTGCTATCTGCTTGAGCAGCATCATTTTCCAAAAGATCAAGCCAGCGGGTTGATGCAAGGTCCGCTGTGAGCAGCTCGGAAACCACCGTGTCTGGGCTGAATGCATGCTGGGCCTGATGTTGTCTCTCATTTGATTGGTGAGGTAGTTCGGCTGCTTGAAACCCTGGCACTAGGGCATTGTTCCTGATCGGCCTTGCTCCTGATAGACTCGAGGAGATCTGGCATGATTGGTCTTCCGTGATGTTCACAAGCCGTGATGGTGGAGCCGGATCGGGAGCTCCAAGCCTCTCTCCCGAAGATGACGGAGCAGTCCTTGAGACTCCGAGCACTGTTGGTGCCTCACTGTCTCCCGGCTCGGCACCGGGATAGATGCAGACTCTCTCGGCAATGGAGCATTGGCCACACCCAGGGCGACGTTCGTCACACTTTTTGTGTCTCTTTCTACACGTTAGACTTGAACAACAGGCCCACAGACGTCAGCACGAGTTTTTAGACAAGGCGGCAGAACCTGCCCATATGCCTCGTCTCGAGGCCAGTTGAACATGCTTAGTGAATGCACAACCAAAGGACTCACCATCCGGTCTTGGTCCTCATACCCCGTGACCGAGATTTCCTAGTCTTCGTCTTGGGTTTCCCCGGTTTCTCCATGTTATAGATTGCGGGATCACCCGCTGTTGGTGGGCTCCAAGGTTTGCCTACCAGAACAGGATGAGGTTGAGGCTGTTTAAGCAAGGAGAGGCGCGACTCGAGGCTCTTTTCTCTCTAGACTCCGCATGGCTCGGACCACGCTATTCGCTACCTGCGGGTATATGCAGAGAAGTGGATTGATGCCAAAGAGGGGGGGAGCTGGGGAAGGGCTTCGGTAGTGTCCGCTCTGCGCATCATCCTGCCGACAATAGTGGAGACTGCGCGTGTCGGGGTCATACCTCCCCTCCCCGGATCGCAAATACTGGGCATATCATGTGCGTTAAAAGAGAGAGACCCGTTTTCGCATGACTAGATGATTTAGTATCAAGTGATAGTGTTCTAAGACTTATTAATAACCAGAAAGTGAAGTCCGCCCGCCCATAGGCCTCATTTTGATCCCACAACCCACATTGATCTTAGTTGCGGATTATCCTCAGGTATTGTTTATCGTTAGAAAACATGGAGTGGAAAAAGGAAAACAAGACGTACCAAATCCTGAAAGCTGCTGAAGAGGGAGGATACGGCGTGCTCGCAGCGATTGCGTAAGCTCCGCTCCAACACACAATTCCGCCGGCTCGTTTACAGCTAACACACTCAGGTACAACATCGAGAGTATTTTGGGCCTCATACGGGCTGCAGAGGCAAAGAGGTCACCACTCATCCTTCAAGTTTTCCCTTGGGCGATCACATACAGCGATGGGCTATTAGTCCACGCAGCTGCCCAGCGAGCCCGTCAGGCTTCAGTGCCGGTCTCCATTCATCTTGATCATGCACAGGATGAAGAATTGATCAAACACGCAGCGGCAAACTTGCCGTTTGACTCGATTATGGTGGACATGAGTCACTATGAGATGGATGAGAACTTGCGGAAAACGAGAGAACTAGTCGCCTTTTGCAATCAACACAAAATTACGACCGAAGCGGAGCCGGGCCGTATTGAGGGTGGCGAGGACGGTATTGCTGACACTGCAGAGTAAGTTGAACCAACGGTCAGGACTACGCATGGGGAGTAACTGTAAATTGTGTTGTGTATCACGGTCAACTTATTTCTCCACCTTCCTCCACCCTTTAACTGACTTCGAACCAACCTAGTCTCGAGGGAGCTTTGACGACTCCGGAACAAGTGGAAGATTTCATTGCCACTGGCATCGACTTCCTAGCACCTGCATTTGGTAATGTTCACGGCGATTACGGTCCTAGGGGTCCGGTGTTAGAGTACGACAGACTTGCCAAGATTCGGGAAACCATTGCTGGGAGAGTGCGCCTCGTCGTTCACGGGACGAACGATTGGAGCGAGGAGGTGACCAAAAAGTGCGTAGCTGGTGGATGTGTGAAGGTCAACGTTAACAAGCTGGTATTGCTGGACTATCAGAATTATCTGAAGGCAAATGCATCGTCCAAAAGTATCACGGTACTGATGGAGGAGGGGACCAAGGAGATTCAGACACTTACAGAGTGGGCCATGGATGTGTGTGGCAGTACTGGAAAAGCGTAGTCCTGGCGATCAAATCGAGAACTCTATTCCACCTACTCAAGTCTAGGTTCACATCCATTCGAGCACATAGCGCTCACTCTGCGTCATAACTTTGCACACTTATTGCTCTGTCCCATACTTCCCTAGATACATAATACCAGAGTTCTATCGAGGTATAGTATGACCCTGGAATAGCACTCCAAATACCAAAGTGAGCAAAACTTTTCTACCGAATACCCATCAGTGCCATCAAGCTGCAAGTAGTTCAAGGATGTGGTCCGATCCATGCTCTCGAGTCGCACCCTAGCATTGAACCTTCCGCCAACGATTTCTCAGAATGAAGTTAATGGTGACCAGTGTGGTATACATAGTCCTGTAATTATCCTAGACGTGATTTGGGCAGACATTAACGGTTCTATTGTGTATAGTTTGTGATCGGCGGCTTTCAGCGAGCCTCGAGACGCGGCCCTCGAGACGAGCAGGGAACCTGGGGCGAGTGGATTCTTGCAGGCGACAGCCGCGGCAGTCAGTTGACACCATTCCGGCTCTGTAGAATAACAGGTTGACTTAAATCGTCGACTTTATAATCAAATGGACTTTCCATATTATCTTTGATCTGGTAAACTTGTATCCAGTAAATCACCACCAAAGCGCATCACCGCCTGATCCTCACGAACTCGACTTGAAACATGTCGGCAAGAAAGAATGTTATCATTACCGGGGCCGGCGGAATGATCGGTCCCATGCTGGCCCAGCGTCTTCATAATGACGGATACAATCTTATTCTGACAGACATCGTTGAGCCTAAGCCCCCAAAAGGCGGCAGCCCAGAAACCGTCAAATGTTTGAAAGGGGACATTACCGATGCGGCCTTTGTGAAGACATTGCTTGATGCTGCACAGCCGCTGCATGCCATCTTCATTTTCCACGGTATCATGTCTGCAGGCTCTGAGGCAGATTTCGACCTTGTAAGTGGCAGATAGCAAGGATCTACTCACATTGAGACCAGCAGCCGTGCGAAGTACATGTACATGAACTGGGAAAGCAGGATGCCGATTTGTGGTTCTCGATCACCCTGTCACTTCACGATAGTCACTGACCCCAGGTGAATTAGTCAATGAGAGTCAATGTCGAGAGCGTCCGAAAATTGCTCCTTGCTGTTCGCAATCTGCCGCAAGCTCCAGTAAGAGTGGTATACTCGAGCTCACAGGCTGTGTACGGGCAACCTTTGCCAAAGGTGATCACAGACGATGTTACACCCACGCCCGAGGGAACGTACGGTGCACACAAGTACTCTACTGAGATCATCATCAACGACATGCACCGGAAAGGCTTCATCGACGCTTTTACAGTTCGATTCCCAACCGTGGTGGTCCGAGCCGGAGCGCCGAGCAATGCGGCCCCGTCTTTCCTCTCAGGTATGTTTCTGGACGAGCAGCCGTGAAGCACATGCTGATTACATCCGCAACCAGGCATGATCCGGGAGCCAATGAAAGGAGAAGAGTGTGTGATACCGCTCACAGACAGGTCATACAAGACATATGTGTGTTCTCCGAGCAGCACAATTGAGAACCTGGTGCGGGTGCTCAACTTGAAGAGTGATGCGCTGCCAAAACACCAGCGGCATATCATGTTCCCAGGCGTGGCAACCACCATCCAGGACCTCATGGATGCGTTGGCCAAGTATGGCGGCGAGGATAAGCTGAAGCTTCTCAAGGAAGAGACGAACCCTACCTTCGAGAGGATTCTGAGGAGTTGGCCGGAGGACTTCGACCCTAGCACGCCAGACAGACTCGGTCTGCTTAGGGATAAGAACGCAGAGGACTTGGTGAAGGAGTACATTGACTCCTTGAGCGCGCAATAGATTATCCTTCACAGGACCACGAATTAAATAATATACTGACTGCATCATCTGTTGGTGTGGAATCTACCGACTTAGGCGCCTGTCGCTTGTGCTTATGTCACTCGCAGAAGCATGTGAAAGGATGCGGATGTTGCAAGGGTTTCTGTGGGAATTTTAACAGCAAACATTTATAATCGAGGGTGATTCCTATAGAGAGACCAAAAGAATATTGTGAAGTGCGTACACAGGGTTGCTCTCAAGTCGGGGTCACTTATGGTGACTTGGAAGCCCACGGTACGGGCCAGGGCTCAAGTAACCCTGGCGCTGAAATCTCCAGGTGCTGTTTTTGGCGGCGCTGCAAGCCAACCCAGGTATCTACCACGAACAAGGCATTTGAGACCCGACAGCTCCTTGAACGTCACTGCTTGGTAAATTTGTACCCACCGTCTCTCAAGTATTCATTTGCGGTGTTCAAGCCAACTTGACGCGTTCACTGAAGTTGTTCTCTAGCTCTTGGCTACGGACACCTTGGCAACCCCTGCAGTCTCTTGGAGTTTGTTCGCCTTCAGGAGACGGCAATGGGCAACGGGTAAGATAATTGCGGACTCGTTGCTATCTCCTGGGACCCACGCTGATATGATGGATGTAGAAGGCAAAATGTCCTGGCCTCCACTTCCGGCCAAGCAGGGCTGGACGAGGAGGAGCGCCAGCTCCAGGACGGGGCTCGCTTGTCCAAGACGGACCACGACGGCACAGATTCTGCAACGGCGGGCAGCGCTGCTACAAAACGCGCCGCCGACAAGGAAATCGGAAGAGGTGTTATCAAACGATTCCGAACAGTCTCAACCACAAGCGGCCTGTCAGATGTCAGCATGGCCTTCCCGAACGGCGCTCTCCGCATCACTCGCACCCCTGGAAGGTCGAGGGCCAAGAATTGCATCAACCTGGCAGATGTGATACACAAAGACAGCCTCGTATCCGCCTGTATCTTTTCCTTTTTTATAGCCAACGAGGAGCTCTTTGAACACCTTCCCTTGTCACATACCTCGAATGCTGTGCCGGTAATGCACACCCTGGTCACTGGCCTCAAGCTTCAGGGCCGCGTGGACTGACTTCATACACAGATATATATCGGGCGAGACGCAAACATGGATCCTATGGTACCCGATGCATGTACACAGAGTGGTATAGCGTTCAGGGAGAAGATTTCGAAGAAACAGCTACAGGACATCCGCCCAAAGCTGGAGCAGTTGCATCGGCGAGCTTACGGGAACAGTTACCACGCCTTTTATGCCTGGTCATCGGGGTCCTCACACTCCAAAATTCTTACCCTGGTGTACCCAGAGTTCTTAAGGATCGCCATCACTTCCTGCAATATGATGGACATCGATACGGAGCTGGGCGACAACCATTTTTATATTCACGACTTGCCGAAACTCGCCTCTCGACAAGATCAGCTGTCCACATTTGAATCAGATCTACTTGCTCATCTGAAAGCTCTGGGGACACCGATAGAGTTCATCAACTCAATACAGGGGAAATACGACTACTCCACTGTCCAGGTCCATCTTGTCACGTCTGTTCCTGGCACATACTCAGGCGCCAAAGCCCAAGATTGCGGGTTGCTCCGTCTACGGGAAATAATCAAAAGTCTGGACCTGAACCTAGCGCAGAAAAAGCGCCAGGGAAAGTTGCAGCTTGAAGTATGCGCAGCCAGTCTTGGAAACCTATCTGCAAGATGGCTTGATGGGTTCTTTGACTGCGCGTTGGGGCGGAAATACGTCGAGATCACCCAAGACTGCGACGTGCCCAGTGATTTAAAATTATTTTACCCGACCGTTGAGGATGTCAGGTCAACAGACGAAGAGGCACAGCACGGCGCCAGCAACATTGGATGTCATATCCGCCCTTGGAAGGAATCACCAAAAGCCATCAAGGACATTTTCCATCACTACCACTCGAAGGACTCGGGCAAGCTCTTCCATCAGAAGCTTATCCTTGCGTACAACCATACATCGCCGACCTCGTTGCCTTACTACGTCTACATAGGTTCTGCGAATCTTTCGTCTTCTGCATGGGGAGCCCTGGAGAAGGACAAGAAGGAAAACAAGGCGACGTGCGATTTGAAGCTCATAAAAACCTCCAACTTTGAGTGTGGCGTAGTGGTACCGGGCGACTTAATTGAGAGCATTCTCGAGCCGGGAACAAAGAGCTGGCAAGACGGTATTGTGCCGTATGACCAAGCTGCAAGCAAATACGATATCGGCAAGGACAGGCCTTGGAACGATCCAAGGTGGGTTAAGGATTTCCGGGAGGACTGGAGTGGTCATTGAAGTTGCTCAGGTCGTGGGTGCATCAGACAGTCAAGCCGAAGTTTGCTGCGCTTTCCCAGGGTTTGACCCTAAGTGGGTGGTGGGAAGGAAAGATGGGCAGGGTGGCATGCTGGCATTCTTGACAGATTTCAACTGACACTGCTAGGCCAATTTGGCTTGTCTGAACGTGCAGATCGCAGATATGATCTCGCAATACACAAAGCAGGCATTTTGCAGGTTGCAATGGGAGACTTAATTGCAACAGGCTTTCCTACCTGCCATAGGGGGCCCAAGCTCAGTCGAGGTATGTCGTGCGTGTAAGTCTGTATTACCCCGGGTTTTGGCCTCGCTGTTGTTTACCTACAGACCATACAGCACCCATCGCGTGGAGAAGACTAACTCATGGCCTTTCAAGGACCGTAGTGGTGGCGCTATCTGTTCTGGCTGCAAACTTGCTCGCACCAGTGGTCGCGTACACGAGCCTCTCCGACGACAGCCTGCATCGAATACCGGCAGGAGGCGCCGACTTCGACATCCACAATGACGCCGGGCTGCTCGCGCCCATCCTGATCCCGCGCGTGCCTGACACCCCAGGCTCCGAGAAAGTCCAACAGCACTTCGCCGACTTCTTTGAGAACAACCTGCCGGGATGGGCTGTTGAATGGCACAACTCCACGTCCAAGACCCCGGCCACGGGGAACAAGCTCGTGTCCTTCCGTAACCTGATCGTACGCCGCGACCCCCCGTGGGCCGCCGTCGGCGACGTCGCGCGGCTGACCCTTGCAGCGCACTACGACAGCTTGTACAGACCTGAGGGTTTCATCGGAGCTACCGACAGCGCTGCGCCGTGCGCTATGCTGCTGCATGTCGCACGGAGCGTAGACGAGGCGCTGACGAAGAAGTGGGAGGCTATGCAATCTGCTGGAGACACGGATGGCCTCGAGGAAGAGAAGGGCTTGCAGATACTGCTGCTAGACGGGGAAGAGGCATGGGTGCAATGGACTGACACGGACAGCACCTACGGGTCGCGCGCGCTCGCCTCGCACTGGGACAGCGAAGTCCACCCGGCCATGTCGGCCTTTAAGCGTCCGATCGAATCGATCTCCCTGTTCGTCCTGCTTGATCTCCTTGGCGCAAGCGACCCACACGTGCCGTCCTACTTTCCAACGACGCATTGGGCATACCAAAACCTGGCTAAGATCGAGAACCGAATGCGCCAGCTGAAGCTGCTCGAGTCGAAGCCCAAGGGCCGCTTTCTGCCGGAACACGACAAGAAGCCGTGGCAGTTCCACCCTGGTTTTGTCCAAGACGACCATGTGCCGTTCATGGATCGAGGAGTCGACATCCTGCACCTAATCCCGACGCCTTTCCCGTCATCTTGGCACAAGATGGACGACGACGGCGAGCACCTTGACGGGCCTGCAGTGCAGGACTGGGCCAAGCTTATAACTGCCTTCGTAGCTGAGTGGATGGATCTTGAAGGCTTTATACCATTTTTAAAAGAAGAGAGCGTGGATGACAGGCTTCGTAAGACAGAGCTTTGATCGATTAGATGACCAGAGAGAAAAGATGCTCCGCACTATCAACTTCGTGCAAAATAGCTCCCAAGTCAAATTGGTGACGCTGTATTTCTTTCCCATCGCCTGCCAACGCGATCCGCCAACGCGATCCGTGATGCTTCACTCCGCGGTCGCCTCGCAATGCACGTCCATCACGTCATGTAGCTTATCTTGCCGAGGGATTGATGCCCTGCATGAGTGCGGAAACGATTTCCTGATCGGGAACAAGCTTGCTGCGCCGCGCAGAATGCACAATTATGTTGCTCGTGGGCAATGGCTTTCAGTATCAACAGGGGCACGGGCTTGCGTCTCGTATTCCCGCAGTCGCCGTGTAGCTTAATGCGGTGGCCGGCGTCGACTCCCCTTGTTTCTTGCTTACGCCTTGGGAACCCGGCAACGTGTCTATTTATGCGGTGGCCGGCGTCGATCCTTTTGTTTCTGCTCACTCTTTGGGAGCTCGGTGAACTTGTGTGAGAACCTTTTAGGGCGACCTCATCGAGGAGCCACGATGAAGCCTTCTTTTCTTGCGCGAGGCTATTCTTTGCCGTTTATATCAGCAGTCTGCAACATTCTATTCCTTCTTTTGGCACCATGGAGTCTTCAGACACTCTACCGATCACCTGTCAAGGTCCGACCAAGCTGGCAAAGCAGGGTGAAAATTGTAAATATTGTCCCACTGAATATATTCCGTATGCCAAGAGATACTGATGCTGTCACATAGGTTGCGCAAATACTCTTCAGTATTTTTCAGATCGTACTGTTGCTATCCGCAGTGGCATCTGCCCGCAATCGAGAGCTAGTGCCGACATCCCTAATTTACGTTGAGACGGCCTCAGGGCTTCTTGGGTCTCTAGCCCTACTCTGGCTTTCAAATTGGGCACACTGGCGGTCAATTAAGCCCTCAAACCTTGTCGTCGCATACCTGTTAGCCAAATTGGCTTGTTGTGTACTTTCGGCTACCGTCCCGCATGTTCCCCATGACAGGTCGTCGGAAACAATTCAAGGGTGCTTGATTGCAGTGCTCGTCTTGCTTGAACTCTGTAGCAAAAGAGCTCTACTGCTGGGCCCTTACCAAAATGAGCCACCAGAGGCCACGACGAGCTTTCTGGGGAGAGTTTTCTTCACGTGGATCAATCCGATCCTGTTCTCTGGATACAAAACGATTCTCCGTGGGGATGATCTCCCTTCACTCGACCAGAATATAGACTCGAAGAACCTGAGACAGTCCATTCTGCAAGCATGGGATCAGAGAGGTGCGTGTCTATTCCAGCTGGCCTGCCAGTTTCCCTGAAGACCTGCCCAGGTGGGATTGTTTTCTAAGCCGTCCTCATAGCAAAGCCAGAGGGTGCTACCACCCTGCCTCGGGTGCTCCTAGGTTGTCTTCTGAAACCCTTCTTGACCGCGATTGTCCCGAGGATATCTGTTGTAGTGTTTCGATTTGCACAACCCATCCTCATGAGTCGGGCAATCCGCTTTGTGACCCATGTCTCTGCTGCAAATGATGGGTCTGAAGGATATTGGCTTGTCGTTGGGGCAACCGCTGTATATATCGGATTGGCGGTAAGTGTGTTTCCGTCAACTATATGTTCCAAGGTTTCCCCAAGCTGACGGACCATGGACAGGTTTCGATTTCGGTCTACCAGCACAGCCTCAACCGCCTCGAGCTCATGATCAGAGGGACCATGACAAGCTTACTGCACAGTCGGGCTCTTGAAGTACGGAACAGTGAGTTCGAGGATGGCAAAGTGGCTACGTTGGTGAGCAACGATATCAGCAACCTTGAGAATTCCGCCAGGATGTTCCACGAGACCTGGGCTCAGTTCGCTGAAGTCGTGATTGGCACGTTCCTTTTGTCAAGACAGGTAGGCTGGCTTTGGCCATTGCCGCTGGTCATTATTTTCTGTAAGAGGTTCCCAGAGTCCTCACAAGTACAGGATTCACTAACTATGAATGCAGTTTGCTCCCGTGTCAGTCGCTACGTCGCCAGAAACCTGAAGCCAAAGCAAGGCAAATGGAATACAGCTACCCAGCAGCGGATCTCATTCACAAACTCCATGCTGGGGTCGATCAAGAACATCAAAATGCTTGGTATGCAACAAGCTGTAGTAAATCATATTCGGGACCTCAGAAAAGACGAGATGGGTGCTGCCAGGGAAGTTAGATTCCTCATGGTTCAGTACGGTGCCAGCGGTAAGCTCGACAGCTATTCAGACCGCGGACAACCTACTGACAGTCTTGCTTCCAGCGAACGCCCTGGGACTTTTCGCGCCTGTGATCACTCTCGTTCTGTACGCAGCCCTTGCAATGCTTCGCGGGGAAGCCTTGGACGCCGAGACTGCGTTCACCTCGGTTGCACTTCTCTTGATGATCACTCGTACGTCAAAGTTCCATGTTTTGCTTGAGGATCTCCCAGGTCTCTCAAGTCTACTCAGACGGCTCAGTGTCGTAGATTTCTGCAAGCTTTGCGAGCCTTGACTTGGCCTGGAGTTGGATATGTGCTGACACCGCTGCTGAACAGACCCTGCAAACATGATAATGACTTTCATTCCTCGAGCCGTCATCTCCTACTCAGGCTTTGAACGCATCCAATCATATCTCTTGGACAAAGGTGGTCGAGATCGGCCACTGGAACCGCCTAAATTGTCGTCGACTGAAATCACCACGACACCACTCACTCATGCTATCGAGTTGGCCGATGTTGCCATCCCTGGCACTGATGAGTCCAAGCCCATACTTAAAGACATCAGCTTCGGAGTTCGCCAAGGTTCTTTTGTGATCTGTACCGGACCAGTGGGCTCAGGCAAGACCACCCTCGCAAGAGCGATACTAGGAGAGGTCTCGCCCTCACAAGGAATCATAAAAGTGTCCCAGAAACGACTTGCCTACTGCTCGCAAACGCCCTGGTTGCCAAGCCAAGTGATCCGAGACGTCATCCGTGGGCCAACTGGACCATATGAGGCAGATGAAGCATGGTATCAGAGAGCAGTAGAAGCCTGTTGTCTCGACTCCGACTTCAAGACACTTCCGGATGGTGATCTGACCCCGGTGGGAAGCAAAGGCATGAACCTCTCTGGAGGGCAACGCCAGCGAATAGCTTTGGCCCGCGCGGTGTATTCGCGGTGCGAAATCATAATCCTGGATGACAGTGTCAGTGCTCTGGACGAGAAGACTCAGAGGCACGTCGTGGAAAACCTGCTAATGCCCGGGGGCATCCTACGCGAACAAGCAACAACAGTTCTCTGGATCACAACCACAACAAAGTTCTTCAACCTCGCGGATGAGATTATCGTCCTCGCAGGGGGCACTGTGAAAGAGAGGGGAACGTGGGCTCACCTTCGAGAGAGCGACCCCTTAGTCGACGAGATCATCCATCCACATGATGAGACGCTGGTGACTGTCGCCGAGGCTCAGACAATGAAGCAGGCCAACCTCGCTCGCAAAGAAATTGCGAACGACGGGTTGAAAGACCTTGCTCGAAAAAATGGCGACTTGTCCCTTTATAAGTATTATCTTGAATCTGCACGGTTGAGAAATATTGCAAGCTTGGTGATGGCTGCGGTGTTCTACTCCTGCTTCTATACCTCTTCTCAATACTGGATAAAACAGTGGACGGAATCTGGATTAGCGCACGCGATATTCTATATGGTAGGCTATGTGATCTTCCTGGTCATAGCATACGTCTCAACAGTCACCGGCATGTTCGTCACAAATCTTCGCATTGCTCCAAGCTCGGGCCTGGCCCTCCACAACCGTCTCCTCGTCGCCATCGTCTCGGCTCCTCTGCTATACTTCTCAGGGACCGATTCCGGGACGATTCTGAACCGATTCGGCCAGGACATACAACTGGTCGACAAGCAGTTGGCGACCGCGTTCCAATCGCTTGTTAACCAGATCTGCAAACTGCTCTTTCAGGCAATCGTGCTACTCTTGTCACAGCCCCTGATGGCACTCTCGCTTCCCTACAGCGCCATGGTAGTCTACATCGTGCAAAAGGTATACCTGCGCACCTCTCGCCAGCTCCGTCTTTTGGAGCTGGAAGCTCGCGCGGCCGTGTTCTCCAGCTTCCTCGAGACCGTGCAGGGCGCGCCCACCATCCGCGCGTTCAACTGGCAGGGCGAGTTCGCGGAGCAGAACATCGTCACCCTCGACGGCTCGCAGCGGCCGTTCTATCTCCTCCTCTGCCTGCAGCGGTGGCTCAACGTCGTGCTGAACCTGCTCATCGCCGCCATCGCCGTCGGCACGATCTGGCTGGGCGCCTTCTACCGGGACTCCACGACCGGGGGGCAGATCGGCATGGCGCTGAACGTGATCCTCGTTGCCAACACGACGCTCCTCTCGCTGGTCGAGGCGTGGACGGACCTCGAGATCTCGCTCGGCGCCGTGGCGAGGCTGAAGGAGGCCGAGACCGAGACGCCCCGGGAGGACCAGCCCGGCGAGTGCGACGTGCCGCCCAGCACGTGGCCAAGCACGGGTGAGATCGTCTTGAGCGGGGTGACTGCCGCATACAACCCCTCGGTGCTCGCGCTCAAGAGCCTGGACCTGAAGATCGAGGCCGGTCAGATGGTGGCGGTGTGTGGGCGGACGGGCAGCGGCAAGTCCTCCCTCCTCCTGACCCTGCTCAGGCTGCTCGACACTACCGAGGGGAGCATCAAAATCGACGGTGTTGAGCTCTCCTCGCTCCCGAGGTCGCTGGTCCGCGAGGCAGCGTTCGTCACCGTCGCACAGGAGGCTTTCTTCCTGCCGCAGGCGAGCCTGCGCTTCAACCTCGACCCGGAGCTGAAAGCCCCTCAGTCCGTCATCAGGGCGGCCCTCATACAGACGGGTCTATGGGATCTATTTGTCGGAGAACAGCCAGGAAACCACGAGGAGGCATTGCTGGGCGGGGAACAGGATGACGAGGGCGGGAGAAAGGTCCTCGACAAGCCCTTCTCATCCTTCCCTGCCCTCTCGGCGGGTCAGACACAGCTCTTTGCCCTTTCCCGGGCTCTCGTGCGCAGGTCTATCCTATCTGACCCTGCCACTTCCGCAGCGCATTACTCGGACTTGGACCGTGTGGGAAGCAAGCCGATTGTTCTGCTTGATGAGGTCACGTCTTCTCTCGATCCAGTAACTGAAGGCAAAATGTTGGATATCATCCGCAAGGAGTTTGTCGATCAGGGCCACACTGTTGTGATGGTGACGCATAAGTTGGATGCTGTGAGGGGCAGGATGAGGGAAGGCAGGGACGCAGTTGTGTGGATGGGACAAGGGCGGGTCGAACGAGTAGAGGTCACGGAAGGTCAAGTGGGTCAGCGTTGATAGAAGATTTCTGGTGAGGAGTTGTGCACTTCACCGTGATTCTCCTTGTTGAATTGGGTTCTGTTTCGGTATTCTGAAGTCAACTGGCCCTTTTGCGGCTGTGCCGTCCCGACGCCGATTCCCATGCAAGATAGTTATATAAACAGAGGCTGGCTCATAATCATAGTTCAGTCAGCCAGCCCGTCGATCTTTTCGAAGTTCCCTGGCGCTCTAGACCGCCAATGAAGTCTGAAGCAAGCGCTGTGAATCTGCCAAACAAGAAGAACCAACGTTGCTCTACTCTTCAACCAACCTTTGCAGGTTTCGTTCTTCGTAAATAGAGAACCGGAACCGCCTTTTCACCAATCATGCCAACTCTGACGCGGTCCTATTGCGCCTTCTTCCCATTCATGACGGTGCCATTCGCCACTTCACCTCTCCTCTCCGCCTGCTCTCTTCTCTTGGTCTCCGCGATCTTCTCAGGAGGCACCGTCAAAGCTCTGATGCCCAGGTAGTCGCAGATGGAGCCAGTCACTAGGAAAGCCCATCTGAAGTAGACGATCATTGCGAAGACAAAATAGCCGTATAGGTACGCTGTTTCTACCTCGGCTGTGACCGCAGGCAGTCCAAAGCGTGGCAAGTTACCCAAAATAGCGCCGCCCACCAGTGGGAACAGCATAACGGTCCAGTAGGGGAAAGGCTGGCGCGTCAGGTGCGCGAGGATCATCTTGGTTGTCATGCGACCGAAAACGAAGCTCATGGTCAGGCAAAACAGGACAAGGTGGTTCTCACGACGTAGCGTGGAAAAGGGGCTGTAAAGCCAAAATCCAATGGAGAACGTGTACACCGCCATTGGGGTCCACTCGAGGAAGACAGGTGCGATGGGCAGCTTCTGTCTGCGGCGCGCCTCAACCACGTGCTTGATGCATCCTGGCACATGGACGAACAATCCTCCTATAATTGTCAGTGCCCAGACGTCGCGCACGGCAAGATCGCCCAATTGGTCCTCGTAACCGAAGGTGTATTCTTTTCCCAGAACCTTGACAACGGGTGTTGTCCAAATCTGCGGGCCGTAGACTCCTGACAGGGCCATTATGGATGCCGCGATGAGCAGGCCCTCGGTCGGTCCGTTTATGAAACCCAGGTAGAGCGTGTGGCTGTGGTATGTCTCCCACGTGGAAAAGAACATAGGGATACAGGGACACAGCGCAGTGAAGACGCCCGTCTTGGAGGTGCCGAGGCCCATGGCGGCCGTCTCAAGGAGCGAGGCAAGGGTGCAGTTGAGGGAGTCGATGCCATGATCAAAAAGCTCGCCGAGACCGCTCGATGTTCCCGTCCTCCGTGCCTGTTTGCCATCTATGTTGTCCATGGTCTGGTACATGAAGAGGCCGAGTGCGAAGCTGAAGTATAACCACGATGGTCCCTTGTACGGCACACCGGTTAGCTGCGGCTCTCGTTCGTGCAATGCCTTTGGGCTGGGGCGCTTCAGGGGGCAGGCGAACGTACTGGGCCTATTAGATCTGGTACGAAGATGGCAAGGAGCCCAACATTGGCCAGGATGAAGAAGAAGCCGACGAGCGTGACCATGTTCGGCGCCATCCATACTGGGAGTAGACTTGCAGCCCAGTTCCACTACCGCCCAGAGATGTGTTAGCTGGCTGTGATTCGAAAAGTGCTCGAGCGGTCGGCGCGCAGGGGCTCGCGGCGAGGGCAGGGTTCGAGGCGAGGATTGGCACGTACGTATGGTCGAAGGATGTAATATGAGACCGGCGACTTGTCGACAGCCGAGTATTTATACGACTTGAGATGTACCAGGGCATCTTCTGAGACGCACTCGGCGGCGGCTTCTTCTGTTGGGCACGAGAATTGGTGTTAGCTCTCAGTGTACGCAAGAGGACTGGCCTCGTCACACCCGTCCTGAGACCTCTCCGGGCTCTCAGGGCCACGAAGCTGGCGAGCAGCCCAGGTGGCGGTGCGAGGTTCTACCATAGGGGTGGGCAGAAAAGGGGACACGAACTGCTGTTGGGAGCCATTGTACTGTTGTTGCTGCGGCTGCCCAGATTGATGCAGCAAAAGTGAAGAAGAGAGGCGAGGCGAGGCGGGGAAATGTGTTCGGTTTATGCCTCGAGCAGCAGCATGCTGGTTGTGGGGTGGGCGTGGCAGTGTCCCGAGGCCAGACCGGTCGAGTTGATGAAGAGATGGGGAGATTGAGAACCTTGGAAGAGCTTGTTCCTAGTTGCGTTTCGAGGCTCGGGAGATGGCAACCTGCCAAAGACCCAGATTCGACACTGGCAAAGGCGAGCACTGTCCTACTTGATTGGCCTGGCCAGCATTTCACCTATGACCCCTGCAGGCCCGTCCCACTCACATGCTCCCTACTGCTGGGTGTACGCCATCTTCTGTTAGAGATCGGCTCGCTCTACTCCGGTCCTCCCCTCCGGACAGGCTGAGCTCGGCCACGTCCTCGCCGATTATAGGCTCTACTGCAAGGAGCCTCTCCTTCTCGCCGCCTCTCAAAGACTACGAGCAAATTGGATACTGAGGGCTGAGGTGACGGGCTCAGTCGGCGACCTCTTTCAAGGAGACCATCTGCACCCTCAAAAAGGTCCCGCGGGGTCCTTTCCCACTGGCCGGGGTACCCCTAGCTTGCATTAGCCCACAGCCGAGCTTCTAGAAAAGTCCTCATATTTTCCCTTGGAGCTCCCGTTTCCCAGCCTATTTGGTCAAACGCTGAGAGGAATATGAAGCTCTTCACATACGACATAATATGAGCATATACGAGAATTTTGCCGACTTGTATGATGCGGCGGGCCAGGTGTTGAGTGTCGCCAAGCTGTTCTGTTTGGCAGATCCTCCCGCTGAGAGCTGCACGCAGCTGACACGTGAAAGTGTCAAAATCCTGCCGCTCACGTCGCCATTCCGAGACAAGACGGACGGGAGAGGAGGGTGAGGGGAAAAGCAGAAGCATGATGACGAACACCAAACTGATGCACCCAAACCTAATTCTCCCCAGCCTTACATTTGTAGTAGGCCAAGGCCGACCAGAACGTGGGGGATTTCGTCCTGTTGCTGTTGCCGCATCAAGCGCGAAGTCGACCTCCCAGAGGTATGTCGCACCAGGGCATTGAGCTCTATACAGACTGAACTCTATTTGGAGCAATGTTGGTATTCTACTGGTGTGTTTGCCTGCTCCAAAGTCATCGTAGCCACGGAAATGCTCGACTGCTTCTCTGCCCCTCAGCTCGGCATGTCAACCTTGCATCTGGTCACTTTTTTTTTTGGCTGAGGGGAATCAAGTGTAATGAATCATAGTCCTGAGCGTCACATTGTTGGCAAGCCTGCAGGTCTGACCTTGGTCACACGGATCGAATTTGAACTGTCGATTGGTTTCGCTACATCAATCTGTCCAAAACCGGAAAACCCCCTGCTTTTGAGCACAAAATCGCTTCTTGATGCTGATACTACCAAGTATGTGAGCCTCCCAAAGACAAGATTAATGAACGCCTTTCCATGAACCCCATGCTCCTGATGCAATGAATGTATGATTGACTGACGCCGCGCACATAATTTAGACATTAGTCGCTCCATTGTGTAGTGTAATTAAGTATGCATGTACGCAGAACGATTCCTCTTCGGGAAAACAGAACACCTGCCAAGGGATGCACCTCTGGGGGAAGAGGTTGTTGGGGGAGGCGCAGCTGCTAGGATGCGAGACAGTGGCTGCCGACAGCCGGACCTCCGGCAACACAAACATTGCTCCTCTCTACCCACTGAAGCCAATGGATCTGTCTCTTACAACAGGTACGCGAACCCCATGAAGAAGAGTCCCAATGTACCAGTCATGGCGTACAATCTAGCCATCTCGGACGAAGGAGGCTTCGCGACACCACTAGTGGACGACGACGACGATGACGAACCACTCGATCCAGCAGGGCCGGTGAAGACTGCGGTGGCATCTGCAGATGTCGCGCTGGCGGTTCCCGATGCTGTCGCTGTCGAGCTCGTGCTGTTGGCAGGGCTTGGGTCGGTGGCGCCGCAAGGGTGGTCCTGCCTGCATGCGCTCGCGCAGCTGCTGTCTTGGCCGCAAGCCGTGACACACTGGTTTCCCCATTCGGTGCAGACGAAGTATGGGAGAGTGAGGGAGTACTCGGACACATTGGGTTGAGTGTTGTCACCGCAGAGACATCCGTATGTGAGAGTTTCCTATGAAGAGAATTTATGTCAGTACTCTTGCTGGGGTGTACACAGCAACTGGAGACAGAAGCGTACCGGATCACAGGTGTTCACCTGTGCGCCTGTATCTGATTGATCGCGGCAGATGGACGGGCATGTGCTGATTTCAGACTGGCACCAGCTCTCTGATAGTATAATGTCAGTGGCCTGTGCTAAATGAGGAGAAGCTTGGACAGCTGAGACAGGTTTACTCACTCCTTATGCTCAGCGAAACACTACTGGGATCGATTTTGTAGTCGGCCTGAACGGTAGCAACGAACGCCGCTGCCACGGCCAGAAAAGCTGTCCTGAACGAAGGCATTGTGAAGAAAGAACTTGTGGGCAGTGTTGATATTGAATGAAACCGTAGTATGTCGAAGCGTGCCTTGAATATACTTTGGTCAGTCTTGCACGATGCTAGATGTGTCACGAGCAGAGAAATGTTGGGAGACGATGACAGAGTGGTGAAACTTCTCAAGCAATACCCCTCCTGTCTGAAAGAAGAAGACTCACCAGTTTTTAGAAGGAGCCAAGGCAATGCGAACGACTCAGGCACCGATGTAAACAGAAATGTGGTACAGGGAGTCAATGGTCCAAGCGAGGCGGACACAGGGCAGGCGGGATGTTATGCTTGACGGAACTTGGGGGAAACAGCGAGTGACAACCTCCACAGTTACAGACTGAGGAACGAAAATTTTCAAAGGAAGACAGAGTCGCGGTGAATGTAAGCTCTAGAGGAGGAAGCTCGATTCCTGGGGAAGCATCTTATGAAGAAAATCACACGAGAAATAAAGGAGGTATTAGAGCTAGGGCCCCTGTCCCTGCAGAGAAACAGAGCTGCTTTGGATATGGAGATGGTGGACCAACTTAGAGTTGAGCTCGACCTTGTTTGAGTTAGGCTGGGCTCGCATCCCCGGAGGTCTGGCGGCGATGGTAGGGATCTGGTCTTACAGCTGTGGGAGCAAATCCGAACTTTCGACCGCCAACCGAATCAATTGAGCTGTCTGATTGGCAGCCAAGACTCAGTCTTCTGCTGGCACCCTGCCACAGGACTGATAGTGAGCAGGGGTCCAAGGTATCACTCCGAGCGGTATTCCCAATATTTCCCAAGGGATCGTCTCCGTCGTGAACCATCCGGGAAGGCAGGTCGGGACTGCACACTAGACGAATTGTTGAATTGCCGCTATCTCTGGCCGTTTTGAATTGATCATTGCCCTCAACCCCAGACACACTGGACGGATCGAAGGACTCATCGGTGGGGACGGTGCCATCGCGATCCTTGGCCTGCAGAGAGGCGAGAGGATGGGCAGTGGAATGAGGGCGGTCGGCAAGGCAATCAATCCTCCCGTGCCGCTCGCAAGCTCATGAGCATCAGCTTGCACAGACCGACCTGCTCCTTTTCACACTCCATCCTCCATCCTGGTGCACAGAGCTTGCAAGCTTATCTCGAGCTGGCATCCATGCAATGTCCTTTTCGGTGGTTGGGGGGCCCAGAATAGAGTGCAGCGCCGCCCACCGCAACGGAGCTCATTTTTGGTGCTACCGCTACTCGAGTCTGGGATGGATGCAATCTCCTTCCCTCCCTTTTTCTCTTGGATTCCTCTGCATGGTCCTCGCTCGGCACGGGCTAGCCAGAGTCGACCAGTGTGCAGGTGAGTTTTGCCTCTGGTCTCACCCATTACGAGGCCGCCGCAGCTTTGTTGGCTTGGTAGTCAGATCTCAGAAGTGGCTGGAACTTCGTATTCAGCGAGTCACCTCGTCTGCTCGCACGAGGACCCTTGAGTTTCGGGCCCGCTGTGCCCGGCAGACTTGGGGAAGCAGGCAGCTTCCTGCATGTAAAGGTGGCAACCGGCTCCTCAGATCGGGCGGGCCGTGCATTAGACTCAAGCAGCTAGCATTCCCTGTGTCTCCAGGTCCTCCGTGGCTGCGTGGCCAGCGTTGCGAAACCAGGCGACTCCCAGTATTGTGGGTCCCAGCTGCTGCTCTGCATGCCCGCAGGACAGTCTTGCCGGCGCGGATGAACATAACGAAACATCCTGTCTGCCTGTCCATGACATACTCTATTACCCAACAGTTAGATGCCATCTCGCAGGCTGTCGCGGCAGTGCGGTTCTGGTTGCGGGCCGTCCATCCTAATGGGGCTGTTGGCTGGCTGGCTGGGGGTTTAACTTCCCCTCGCGCAAGCCCTCGGATGGCTACAGGAGAGTCTCCGAAGAGTGAGCCGCATTGCGGAGCACATGCATGTCTAGACCGACCCCACGGACGATGTCCTGCGAAGGGGCCAGAGGGGTTACATGCTATTGTCTCTGGTGGGGTTTCTTCAACACTTGCCCCCGTGTAGAGGGGGTCGCCGGATTGGTCGGCAACACGAAGGGCCCACGGAGCTGCGGATACGAACTTCTTTTCTGTCGGTTGTCGTGAGTCTCAGTTGACATATGTTGGCGAATATCCAAAGTGCCAGAAACGCCAGTCTTATCAGAAGCTGTCAGGACATTCCTCTGTCCGCTGACCTGTTGCCGTATGAGATTATGGCCTGGCCGTTGGCAAATGGAGCCCACTGTAATGGGGATCAGTGGGCACCCGGCCGTCCAGGTGGGCCAATGCTGGGGTGTGGCGATCGTTGCCCATCTTGCCACCGTTGCCACTGCGGTTGTCCCCAGTATCCATCTTCTGTCTGTCGACAAATGCCAAGTCTGCCTGTAAGGCTCAGTCTACAATACAGGCTGCTAGGCAACTTCAACCGGCTCATCACGGAGCTCAGGAATGTCGATAGTGTCATGGACGGGAATCGGATGTTGCTGTCGTGAAGATCTTAGTTTGGGCCGCTTCCAAGGGTCCCAGTCTGTACAGTATTGGACCCTCCATCCCTGCTAGACTGTCCCGAGCAATTGATAAGAACATCAGTACACTAGATACATAACCAGGCACTACTGCGCTGTCCGACGGTCTTCACCATCCTACCCAGACCATGCAGCCTTGTAGTCTACAATACTGCATATTATATCGATCAGCTATGTTACACTGCGTGATAAAATTCCAAGAGATGACTGAATTGTCTTCATTGGTTCAAACGGCATTCTGCCATACCAGAATCAAGATCCGCTCCTGTGCGGACCATATCCTGGACCGTGCAGATGTCGAGCAATTGCTGATCTAAGATGTTTTCATTTCCGGGAGACTTTTGACTTGTTGGAGCGGAACTGGCTCGTTGTTCTGCTCCCCATCCCAATATGCGCCTCCAACTAGAAGGCGACTGCCATTGCACACGCGGGCGTTAATTGTCACATAGTGTCGTAGCAGCAGGGCACGTCGGAGCCCTTCACGCCCTGGGAGCACAGGCATCGAAAGCATGGGGATTTCAGATCTACGATATGTATGGGGTGCTCCTGTCTTAAGTAAAACAGAATTCCCTTCTTCCACACTCGTAGCTGCCGATTGCCTTCGTACAATACTCGGGACGACCCGGTTGGCTCCAGACTCACCTACCGTAGTGGAAGTCATGCCTCCAGCTCGTTGTCACACTACATTGGCAACAGTAAATCCTTGCTTAATCATTCAAGATCATATTTGCGTAGCTCCAGAACGTGCACAATCCTGCCTTTGACTAGGTGCAATGGCATTTACCCCAGCTGCAGGCTACCTCGGTATGCGCTTAGAGGCATTTGCGAATCAAGCCATTTTCCTGCGGCTCATGAGGTGTGTTGACTTGCTCCATGCAAATGGAAAGATATTTATGACATCTATCTTCCAACTCATATGAAGTGCTTACAACAAATATTTAATTCGAATGCCGATGCTAGTGCGAAAGAAGCGGCTTCATACTCATAGATGGCAAGTCTCAAACAGCAACGCATTTTCATCAAGCACAACTCAAAAACCCTCAACTTACAAGCCCCACGTAGTCACAGCCCTGTTTCCCTACTTCGAATTTCACTACACTAGGTAAAGCAAAGGCAAGCCAAGCTGATAGAATTCACTATTGCATGCAAGATCATGCATGTTTGTCATTGAGCTGGTATAGAGCACTGATTAAAGGTTATCTTCCTGAGCCGGTTCTGTTTGAGAATTTGCTCTCTCACTACTTCAAGTAGTCGCTGTGTTCTCAGAGTATAAGATAATGTTGCCTAACTTGTCTTTAATCAAGAGCTTTGTAGTAATCACTGGCCTTCCACGATGCACATCACAGTCTTGGGGAACTGTGTAGTAGGGCAGAACAAGACGGAAATAACTAAGAGACATAGTCTAAATAATGAAGCTGAGTACGAGAAAAGCTGTGGAAATTTGATTGTTGGCTGTATAGCACCGATTTCCAAGGCCAAAGCCAACTTGTCACTCTCCGCTCTACAACACTTTTTCAGAATATTTGCAGCCATATGTGGCTTGCGTAAATTGAGTGCATGGCTGAGTTTCCTTGAGTATTCCATTGTCTTGAGGAAAAAGAACACTATGCACACTCTATGACTCATGAAAATCAGCCGAGATTCCTGTTTTCAAGGCCCGATTGAGGAATTACTGGAGAAACAATTTGCCTACATAGTCGGGTAGCTGACTGCTCCAGAGGTTTCGTGGGCTTTGGCTCTTGATGAAAAGCACTCTACATCAGGCTCGGTCTGAGTCACCCTTGAAATTCACCCTTTGGGTTTGTTCCAACCTGTCAGATTCAGGTGCTTTGTTGAAATTTGCGCATGGCCCTTCTATAACTAAAAGCTAAGCTCTCAAACTATGGTTACATAAATCCTAGATTAGCCTCAACCAGGTAACTTGAATGCCACGCAACAAAATTTACACATTCAGTATCGTTCACAGTACCAACCATCACGATATTCTTCATGATGTCGGTGTCATCGCCAATGTTCAAGATCACCCAAACGACAGTTTCGTCAATCAAGTCCATTCCATCATGCTCTGAGACCGCCAGCACAACTTTCTTCGCCCACGGATGCAACTGCCTCGGCAACTGGGGCGCAGGAATTGCCCTGGAGCTAAAGGAACTCTTCCCTAATGCCTTTGAGGCTGACAGACAGAGCTGTCGGGAAGTTCCAAGCAGAGCTAGTCTTCCTGGAACGTGTCTGCTCATATCCTATGAGACTCCATCGCCCCTCGCTTCCACCAACCCAGCCGCACCACAGGTCTCCATCGCGTGTCTGCGCACCAGCCTTGGGTTCGGCAGACCAAATCAGAAACTAGGTAATCCCGGGCTGGACAACAAGGAACGGGTGGTCATGCAGACACGATTGGCCTTGCGAGACTTCCGAGCGCAGTTGGAGCAGATGGGCGAGGAGCGGCAGAAGGAAATTGTGATCTGGTCCCCCAAGTTCAATTCAGGTGCATTCAAAGTGCCGTGGGAGGAGACCGAGAGCCTTGTCGAGGAGGTGTTTGCCGGTTGGGCTGGGAAGTGGTGTGTAATGCAGCCGCCGCCTGTCGCAGAGCTCAAGCAGTGGTACGGACGGCGAGGTGCCAAGAAGTAGAGACATCTTTACCAGGGCGACAAAAGGCTTTCGAGGAGCAGTTGTAAAGTCATGAGGGATTCTTAGCATTTGCGATAGTGCTGAATGCTATTTTGACACTAAAACGCCGTCATTAGAGCCTGGTATTTAGGTATTCTTGAACTTCCCAGAGCCACGGTACCATCATGACTGACATTGGTTCTAGATGACTAAAGGCAACCCATTGAAAAGTGTTCTATGTGGTGACTTATCAATTGGAACCATTAGTCGTTTTCTTCCGTTTCCCTTCCGTTTCCTTTTCTCTTTGTTTCCTTCCTTTCTTTTTTTAAAAGAAAAACACACACAGAGGTCAAAGGCTATCTCATACAATGGACCTGCTGCATGATCTTTTTAGACATGGTTTCTTTAGTTACAGTGACAGCAAGATCCTCCAATTGCTGTGACGAGAGCCTACAGGATGGCAGTGAGCTGCAGGTACACTACTGTCCTTGGCATGCGGCTGGCTTGATGACCTGGTCAAGTTACACAACCCTCATTACTTCCATTGCGTGAGGCACATATCGGTGCGTGCTTACGTCGCAAGACTGCAACGGCATGATACACTTGCAGTACGCGCTACGTACAGCAAACATATATTACAAACCCCATACCAACCAACCACCTAGGTAATGGAGGCTATAGGAGCGGCATCTGCCATCGCCGGTATCGTCTCTCTTAGTGGCGGCATTCTCGCCAAAGGCTACACCTTCTTGGCCAGTGTCCATCGCGCGCCGCAGGAGCTCAGAGAGCTGCTCTGTGAAGCGGCAGCTCTCAACTCTGTCCTGAACCAGCTCCAAACCCTACTTGAAGAGGATCATCATGGGTCTTTTCAGCAAGATACTAACGAGACACGCAAGTCCGGCCTCAAAGACATAGCAGATACTGGAGTGCTGCACGAGTGCACAGAGTCGTTGCTGTTGGTCGACAGGTCTGTCCAGCGATGCCAGCAGATCCGCGGGCAGGATCTGCGGAACTTGGGAAAGAGGGTCATGTGGCCATTTAAAGAGAAGGAGACTAAGGAAGCCCTTGCCAGGCTCAGCCGCATCAGGGGACACTTGACTGCTGCTTTGACAGTTGATATGGCGTAAGTGGACGAAAACAAGAATGACCTTGCTGTGGACTTGGCAGCAGATATACAGGCCCTAATTAGCAGACGTGAACAGAAGCACATTAAGCAGCATCCACAGGGCTGCTCGCGAGACAGCGATTAGCGTAACTGGTCTTGAAGAGTGGACGGCAGAGCGTGATCAGGTCGAACAGCACCGCGCTCTGATCGCTTGGTTGGATCCTCACTCAATAAATATGGAGGAGAATCTCAAAGAAGGTCTGAAGAACCGTCATCCGGGGACGGGACAATGGCTGTTCGAGACAGACTGCTATAAATCGTGGGCCGCCGGTCATTCTTCTGTGCTTTGGATACATGGCATCCGTAAGATTGAATTCAGACACACCTCGCAAGCTCATTGGAAAGCTAACAAGAAGTGGGAAGCTGGAAGCGGCAAAACTGTCCTTGCGTGGGTAGAGCAAAATTCCCTTTTAATCTTGCCAGTTCTAGCTGACAACTTAGTTCATCCGCTATCGAGAAACTTCTTGGTCACGGACTCGATCCTTCTATTGGCATGGTGTATTTCTATTTTGACCATCGCGACGCCAATAAACGAACTCTACAACATTTTCTGGCCTCAACTACACTGCAGCTACTCAGCCGAAAGCCAGCGCTAGAAAGCGAGGTCGTTGGTGAGTTCCAAAGACAATGCAATCAAGCAGAAAAGCCGAAGCCGATAAGCCTGGATGAGCAGCTGAGGTTGTTCATCACCATGACTCAGAGTTTTGATGTTGTTACCGTAGTGATTGACGCTTTGGATGAGTGCAAAGATATTGAAGAATTCACTCATCAGGGACTAGAGCACATAATCAGTGTAAAAGACGTCACAGTCCGCGTACTGACTACCGGCCGCAATAACTACTTGCTAGAGAGAACCATTGGCATGCTGGCGTCCTACCGCATTACCCTGGAGGATGAAGTCGTAAGCGATATCGAGGCATATGTCACAGATCAGGTTGAGTATCGGTCCAAGGCACGAAAGCTCAAGGTTCGATCCACGGAACTTAAGGACCAAATCGTGCATGAATTATCTCATCACTCACGGGGAATGTAAGCGACTGGGTGTTTCTGCTCTATGTGAAGTACATTCTTCATCTGATCGCTAATTATCCAAGGTTCATCTGGGTCACTTTCCAACTGGATCTGATCTCACGCCTCACCAGCGACAAGGCCATACGAGACGCGCTTCGCAAATTGCCAGGGGGACTAAACAACACGTATATCCAGCTTCTTGAGCAAATAAGAGACAGGAACGCGGAACAGGTAGGAACCATAGCGAAGGCTCTAAAGTGGATTGTGTCTAGTCTGGTTCCTCTTACTCTTGGGCAGCTGGTCGAGGCTATATCGATAGATCCGGAGGATACACATTTGGCAGTCGACAAGATGTTCAATGACGAAAAAGACCTCCTTGAAATGCTCGGAAGCTTAGTGGTTTTTGATCCAGTCAAAGAGGATCCGGTGGTCAGTTTGGCACACTTTACTTTATACGAATTTCTTGAATCCGACGAACTCAGAACGCACAAGTCGCTAGCATCCTTCTACGTTCCACCACAGGCCATTATGGACATCGGAATCACATGCGCTCAGTACCTGTCCTTCACCGACTTTGGAGAGCCGTGCCATTCAGTTCGCGAGCTCCGTGAGCGGGTGGCGTCTTACAAGCTACTCGAGTTTGCAGCGGACAACTTTCTGAGCCAGTTGCGGTCATATGGAGGCCGCGGCTCCGCCATCAAGAGCTGCCTCCCTTCGCTGAGATGGTTCGTCGAGCCATCTCGACACGGGCAGCAGAACTTCATCTCATGGCAACAAGTTTACCATGGTAGTGTTGTAGGCAAGTCGCCCGCGGACTCTTTAGTCCCCAATCCGATAACGTACATCATCGAGCATAACGTGCTTCATCTCCTGGACGTCTTCCTCCTTCACAGCAACGAGGAGTACCATCAGACCATTCTCCAATCGGGCTTCACCCCCCTGCACTTGGCAGTCATCACCGGCCGCGAAGACCGCTTGGCTGAAATCCTTCGCTCGAGTCCGGACCTGGAAGCGCTCGGCAATCGCGGGCAGACAGCGCTGCATTTGGCCGCAGAATACGGTCACGTAGGCATGATCAAGCTGCTGCTGGAGGCCGGCGCCTCACCTCACGCCCGTAGCGAGTCGGAGTCGACGCCGTTCTACCGTGCGGCCCGCAACGGCTCGATCGCGGCGCTGGAGCTGCTGGCCGACGCCGGCAGTGACCTGGACGCCATGACTTGGGATTGGTGGACGCCCGTCTTTGAGGCGATTGAGAACCACAACCTGCCCGCTGTGGAGTGGCTGGTCCAGAGGGGAGTGAACTTGAGGCAGAAGTTGCTCCACGGCCCGTCCGTGGTCGAGTTTGCGAGGAGTGCTGGTGACGAGGCCATTATTGAGATAGTTCAGAAGGGCCTGTTAGAACACCGCTTTTGAGAAATACGCTGGCTAACTTTCAAGGCTCATGTCCAGCGGAGGCGGCGATAATGGAACGAAGAGACGCTCCTTCGCAAATATGAGAAGAAAACGAGCGTTAAGCAGCCATTTAAAAGTACCATTCGCACCTGATCTGTCATTGTCCTCAACAGTGAGGTCAATTTACGTGTCATTCACTTAAACGAGCCTCTCATGTCCTGCGACCGTCATTTGCTGCTAAAACAAAGTCTAATGAATTGCCGTTGAGTGCGAGTACCTGATCTAGCCCCAACGTCTCTCGCGAGCATCTGTTCGGCCTATACGAGAATGCAACACCAGAATTTGTTGTACTGTGCTGGGACAAAGCAGTCAGTCCCCCTTCGGACTCATCAATCGCTCACGCCGAGGCCCAAGCCCACAGTTGCTGGGGTGGGCATCCACCATAGACACCATCAATTCATCAATTCCGACCTAACAGTACCTGGACCCCCTGCATTCCGGGGTTCGTTCATATGCACGTACTTTACTCGCACGGCAGTGCACGTACATTGGGACGTTGTACCCGGACCGCCCCACGGGAGCTTGGCTAGCCCAATTCGACCACTCCCACCCGCCTCGAAAACTTGACCTTTATTGTCAGTGTTGACGTTCCCCTTTCTCATCAGCAACAACCCAAGAGAACTCTCCCATCCTCTCATCCCCGGCTGAACTGCACGCGCCTACCAGAGGTCTGTCAGTGGCCTCACTCAATGGCTTCATGGCGTCGGCGACACATCCTCGCATCTCGACCGGCAGCTTGAACGGCCGAGTCAATGGAAATGGAACCACTAAGCGTGTAGCAGACGATGACGACAGTGTTGCGACGGAGCAGTTCCCAGCCTTCGACCCGGCCCACGACGGCAGCGAGGACGATCTCGCGACGAGCAATCACAACTACACCCACGAGCAACCCAACGCCATGACGAATGGGGACACCATGGACAGCAACAACAACAACGAAGTGGACGAGGGACAACTCGCCTCGCATCGTGTCGCCGACGACGATCACGACGACGCTGATCACCCGTCGACACCCTTGTCGACCGTTGAGCCCATTCCCGAACCCGAACACCAGAGTCACCATCACCATCAAGACGTGACTCCAGCTGCATCAACCTTGACCTCGCCTTCAGTAACATCACCGCCATACTGGGCGCACGGTCACACCATAAACGGCGACGGCGGCGCATCACGGCACGGCCACGGCAATCAATCCACGGAGAGCCTCGTGCCAGGCGCCATCACACTGCAGGATAACGAGGCGGATGACGACGAGACCAACCTGCAGCGCAACTCGGAGGAGACCCGGACATCATACGGCCGCGACAGGAACAGGGCGTGTTGGGCCAAGAGCGTCGAGGTGACGAACTACGTGATCGTGAATAGTAGCGCTACCAACATCGGGGCGTTCGTCGTCTGGAACATCAGAGTCCAGACATTGAGTGTGAGTAGCAGCATCATAACCACCCGGCGGTTCGCGATCCGGCCAAGGGTGTGCTAGAGACGAGAGGTCGGCGCTGTAGACTGACCACGTATGCTCTCTAGGGTCCGTTCATGAACATAAGGAAACGTTACTCGGAGTTCGATGACTTCCGACACCAGCTGATAAGCACCTTTCCCAACTTCGAGGCGGCAGTACCGACACTACCGCCCAAGAGCGTAATATCGAGGTTCAGACCCAAATTCCTCGAGAAAAGAAGAGCCGGGCTCCAGTACTTCTTGAAGTAAGCTTTGCCAGACTCCGTCAACCCCCCCTCCAAATAATGTCAAGGACGTTTTGCTGACATGTAACTCGCCTCATTAGCTGTATCCTGTTGAATCCGGAGTTCTCTGGGTCACCTGTGCTCAAAGACTTCTTGTTCGCTTGAACATAGCCTGCAAAGAGCACGAGACGGAGTTGGACCGGAGCGGAGCAGCGCATCTCCGTTTAGGTCGGAACCCTCGCTGTGGGCTTCTCATATACCCCCTTTTCGCGTACATATTTTCTCAAAAAGAGTGTAATGATAATGAATTACTGCTGTACAACTACTCGAGAGAATTCGAAACGTCAGACGCATGCATTGTGCTCAATGGGTCGCGGGGGTGGACGGACACGGCAAACATAATGTCTAGACTAGCAATTCAGTGTTACGATTATGTCCAGCTACAGTGGCTCTTCAGCCTCGTCTGAGACTCATATGGGGTATATAAATGTGTCCAGAGGCACGACCGCCCCTCTCTCAAGTCCGTGAAACGCCAGGCCGCCCTTCCAAGCGAGCCTCCAATATCTACCCTTCATCTCATCAGAAAATCATCACTTGGCATCGCTCGTCTTGCTCTCATCGGCACCCCCTAGCGCAGGGCTACCGCCGCCTTCTTTCGAATTGTCCTTCTCTTTTATCCCCCCCTGGGCCTCGCCCTTCTGGCTATCTGGCACCGTCGGAGTGAGCTTCAGCTTCTGCATCACCTTCACGGTAGCTTTGTTCTCCTCCCTTTGCTTCTCTTCCTCCTCCTGCTGCTTCTTCGCTTGTTTCTCGAGGAACTGCCTCTCCGTTTCCGCGCTCTGCGACTTGTCGCGCGCCTCCTCCTCGCGCTTCTGCACCTCCTCCGGGTGGATCACCTTGTCTTTCTTGTGCGCCGTCCTCTGAATGAGCTTCTTCCCCTTTTGCCGCGTCTTGGTGTACATCTCAAGCCCCACCAAGACGGCATACGACTTGGAGATCGAGACGTGCGACGTGTCCACGCCGTCCTCCTTGAGGTTGCGGACAAAGGCCCGGAAGTTGGACGCCGGCGGCCTGTAGTGGCCCGAGAGCGGGCTCAGGCTTGTCAGTCTCCCGTTTTTGATCTTGATGAGCCCCGCGGCCGAGATACGGGACCCTTGCACAAAGGACGAGTGCTGGAAGGCCCCGCTGTCCTTGATGCCCACGTACAGCCGGAAGCTCGTGTCGGCGACGAAGATCCACGTGTTCTTGCGGACAGATTTTCGCAGGAGCGTGTTGAAGATGGTGGAGGCGGAGATGTGTGTAACCTTCTTGACTCCCTTCGCGTCGGTTACGCCCGGCGACGCGTACTTTGCCGCGCGAGCAGCCTCGCGCTCGGATTCGGAAGCGTCGCTGATGCTGCTTGCTCTGGAGCTGGGGTCGCTGGGGAATAATCTTGGCTGATTTGGGTATGTGGTCTTTGGCTGGAAGGCAGGCGTCTCCGTATCTCCAATTGGGACGATGCCTTGAATGCTGTCCCTCCAGTCCTCCGTGGTGTTGATCCGCGCACCGTTCTTTGCCCAACACAGCCTACCCTCTGAATCGACATTCACAAGATAGTACTGGCGTTCTTCGCGCGAGAGATAGCGTACCTGTTCCCTCTCAAGTCTGTCGCGCGGGCATGTACTTAGTTCAAAGTGGCGCCCCTCCCCGTGATCAAGCCAGTAGAAAAAGTTCTCGTGAGTATCTGCCTTTTTCCACTCTTCGTGGTACTGCCTCAGGTTTGATCCATAGCGGTGCTTGAGATCAACCATTTCGAGGAAGTATTGCAATCCCATCATCATGGCGTCTTTGCGCCTCCTAGCTTTGGCTTCCTCTCGTTTCTGACGCGCCTCCCTCCTTTTCTCAGGGGTCGATGGTCCCGATCCCGATTCTGAGTCTGAATCACTCGAGCTACTAGATTCGTCGTCCATATCGCCGCCGGCTCTCCTCGCAATCGTTGCGATTTTGTGCCAGTTGTATCGAGCTGACTTCGACCTTTTCGCGGCATCCGCATTCCCATCCTCCTTGCCCTCACTTTCGTCATTCCCAGTAATCGTCGCGGTAGCGTCCTCTCTCGAACGTGGTGTTGTAACCGCTCTGAACTGTAGTTCCTTTATCGCATGCGTCCATCTCGTATCAGCGTTTAGGCCCAGGCCCTGCATCTCTCTACGGGTTTTATAGCCCCGGTATGTCCGCTGTATCATTGTGGCTGCCCGATGGCGCAAGATGTCGTCGCTGTCATGTCCCGTCCCTGCAGCCGTGGCGCTTGCAACGGCAGCGGCCAGGACACTGGTGTTGTGAGACGGCGAATTCTCCTTGTGCCGGCTGAAGAGACTACTGCGATGAGGTCTGGTCTTGACGTCCAGGCCCGGGCTGGCTTGAGGCGCCTCCATGGACCTGCGCTGTTCTTTTTCTCTGTCGCGTGATTTGCGCTTCTCTTCCTGCTCTCGAGTAAGCTGCACCTGTGAGATGCGCGACATCTCTTCGCTCGAAGGGGCCACGAGGGAGTCCATGTATTGTTTCTTGGACCGCACTGAAGTTGCCGAGTCTAGGGATGCATTGGATTGACTCTGGCCTTGGCTTTTTGGTCCCTCCATGGTAACGGGGAGTTTATAATCGTCGCAGGCTCCATTAGCGCCGGCTTGCGCGACCGAAGGGGTCTGCGGAGGTGTTGGTAGATTTGTAGGGGTGCCATACTTGTTTGGCGGGGCTGGCGATGACGTTGTATCTCGTGGAGTTGCATGTGCCACTCCCACATCGAAAGTTGACGGATCCATGGCTCGGATTCGGGGACGCTGTTCACCTAGGACTTCTAGGTTCCTTCTTCCAGTAGTCGCATCAACTGCACTGACAAGGAGGAGAAGGTGACGACTTGTTCAGGGTGAAATATTGAAAGCACGACGTTGAGGAGCGGGAAGAGCTGGAACGACAGTAAGAATAAGCATTATGACACGGGTGCATGAGAGCTCCTAGCGCTGGACGAGAACAACTCATCAGCGACGGCCGGTGATGAAATACATCTGATGTGCCTGAACCTTGAACTACAGACATCCTTCGGGCAAGGCGGGGCAGGACAGGACAGGGAAGAAACTACATGAACACGCAAACAACCCCAAGGGCTATTGGGCGCTGCGCATGACATCGGATCCGATAGCGTAGGGCTGTTTGCCGGGATCCGGGTTTGAATTTCCCATGTTGTTCAATGTCTTGATTTGTCCGCTCGCTTGAAACCCTCGTTGATCGAACGGGGCTTCGATAGACGGATCTGATGCGGGCGTGGAACCTGCTGTGAAGGACTGTGATTAATTGGGTGAGGATCAGACCCTTGGCCAGCTGATATAGAGCGCTGAGCCCCCGGCAATGACCGTGTTGACAGACTGACGGAGTAAGCAGACTGGGCAGAGAGGGGGAACGCCTGGCACAGCCGGCTTGATCTGCCTGCAAGGGGGAGGAAAATCGTGCAGGCGCAGCAGCAGATGTGAGATGCTGAAAAACATTGCAACCCTGAGTCTAGGATTTCCATGCTAGTGCAGGGCAAACTGAGATATTTATGTCGAGTCAATTCGTAGCGGATAAGAGACCGAAATGACAAGTCCCGGCTGGTTGCACGGCTGCACCGACCAGTGCCTATTTTCATCAAAGAGGAAAACCTTTTCTCCTCGCGTTGCCCCCCTGCCAGATGATGAAATGAACCTTTGGGGGGGGGGGGGTGGTTTGGTCTGGAGGACCTGCAGCTTTCATCATCCCAGGGTTAGGCGACAGATTCTGCCAAGAGTCATCTCTCACCCGCCGAACACCCGCCCCCAAAGCGATCATCTGTGAACGAGCGGCAGCATGAGACGGACAGGTAACGGCTAAGGAGAACATCGTCGGAGCCTCACGTGTGGATCCACCTCACAAGCGCTGCACTGGTCTCTGTCACTTGCTGCTGTGCCAGAATTCAAGAGAAGGGAACAAAGATGGATTAGGCAACGGTGGCATTGACATTGACATTGACACTAACACTAACAATGGCAAGCATCAATCCAAATGAAAGAATGCTTTCGGAATGGGGCGAGATTTCGTCAATGGATGGCTTAGGGGGAAGTCTAGTCAGTCAGTCGCCAGCACCCCCAGCGCGCGCCCTGTAGCTTGCAGCGCTCCGGGATCCAAGGCAGGCAGCCGCCAGGAGCAGGAGGCACTAATTGGGCAGCGCACAAGGGTGGTGGCATCCCCTAGCAAGCTGGCTGGCAGGGCGGGCTGGCAGCGGGCAGCAGCGGGCAGCAGCAGCTAAACACTTGGGGGCTTTGATTGAGGAGGCGAGAAGGTCTGACGCAGAGGAGAGCGCCCGGCCAAGCAAGCGGGCGCCCGCAAAATTTCCCACCAGACGTCGCAACTGTCAATGCATCAAACAGTCGGCCATCAGATCCTCAATTGACACGACCGGTTTCCATCATTCTGACCGGCCCAGCAGAACATGCGAGGAGCAAGTCGTCTGCAGAAGAATGGCAATGACTGCGACCAGCACTCGCTCTACTCGTAGAGCCGAGACTCTTGTCGCCCTCCCTCCACTTGCACACGCCCATCGCTCTCCAGCCACGGCCGCTGCCACGCGCCTGCACCAGCAGAACTCTAGCCGGCCCCTCAAGCGCCTGCACGACGCGACAAACCTGAGATACGACCTCAAATCCCCCAAGAAGCCCAAGATCACGGTCGAGATCCCTTCAAAGAGCCAGTATCAGGCCAGGTTGTTCCCCGAGAACGTCGACGCCAGGCAGCACCACCGCCCATCCTCGACCCACAAGCCCCCTAAACAGGACCATCGTCACCCTGCCAGCGCACCTCTTCCGCCGCCACCCGCTACTGCCCATACAGCAGCACCACCACCCGCCCCGGCACCCGCGACCGGCGATGCAGCCACCACGACCGGCCAGGACAGCTCCGCCGCCCCTACAAAACACAGAGAAAAGGTCGTCAATGGCATCAAGCATGAATTGGACAGGTTACAGCCCAGCTCCGCCGACATGGCTGCCAGCAACGGCCAAGGGCGCAAGCTTCGGTCACAGGAGGGCGTTCGCTTCAAGAGCGAGCTCTCGGCCTACTTTCCTGAGTATGACGAAGTCATCGGAAACGTGCCCAAGGAAGAACGTATGCTAAATCACCCTGCCCCCTGATTGATCCCATGCACACATCACGACGGTGCAGCTGACAGTATTCTCTTCCTTCTGCAGACATCCTGATGCTCGATACCCCTATAATCGTTGTCGACACATCTCCGTCATCAGCCTCCACCTCGGCGCCGCGCCACGAGCCCCACTCGACCCCCTCAACTTTCCCAATACGCAACTACGGCGACGACCTGTTCACAAATCTGCACGACTCACAAGCAATTGATCTGAGTTGGTTAGAGGGCCAGTATAAGGGCAAGACGTTGAGCGATCCGCTGCCCGACTCTTATTATGAGTCAATACATAGAAAGGAGTCTCGGAACGAGAAGATCACGAGGAATGCAGAGAGGGGGCGCTCCCAGCATGAAAAGGCCCAGGTCATCCGGCTGCTCGACGGCCTCAAAGGCCCTGATTGGCTCAAAACCATGGGCGTAAGCGGTATCACAGAGAGCAAGAAGAAACAGTTCGAGCCTGCTCGAGCACACTTTGTCCACAAGTGCGAAGTCGTCTTGGACAAATTCGCAAAATGGGCTGCCGAGGAGAAGAGGCTCAAACTCGAAAAGGAGCGCGCTGCGAAAGAGAGCCTCGCCTCGCAAGATACCGACTCGTCCAAGGCCGAGGACGACGAGGAAGAAGACGAGGAAGCGATTTCATCGGCAGACGAACTGGGAGATGACGAGGAAGGTGGTGAGGAGACGGACAAGAGCGACAGCGAGCCACCTGATATGAGCGACGTCGATGCATCGGCCAAGCAGCTGCACGAGGAGGCCATGGCGAGGTCCCGCCTGGCTGCAAAGTCCGCCGGACGACGTCCGCTCTCGGCCCAGCCACTGCCGCCTCCACCGCCAGCAGAGTTCACCTCGTTCTTCAAGAAGCCATACCAGCGAGACGCAGCGCTCAACAAATCTCGTCGACGCGGGAGGACGGTCTTGGCCTGGGGACAGGCTTTGCCTGAGCTTGAGGAGCAGGACTTCGTCCTGCCGGAAGAGTATCGAGACGAGGAAATGCTCAAGGCGCGGGAGCGACGACTGAGAATCCTCCGACGTGGATCAAGGCATCGTGGCTGAAGGTGGCTTCTGGACAGACCAGAATGCGGTCTGCATGTTGGAAGGCGGTAAGCCGGCGTTTTTGTAATCGGTGTTTCTAGTAGCTCATTGTCTGGAGCTCACTGGTGGGCGTCATGATAGCCCATTTGGGTTGTTGTACGGAGTATTTTCTAGTGAACAGGCGAATCGGTCACCGCAGTGTGCAGGGAATAGGAATAATACCAAGTCAAGATACCAGTGAGATGACATCGTGTATCCCGTGCTTTCCCGCGCAAGCAACATCTTCTCGCTGGGCCATGTCCGCTGGGTTGTAGTGACTGTGAAGTGATCTTGACCGCGGGCTGTTTGGCAAACGGAGAACGGATGGCAGGGACTCAGGAACGACCAAGCCATGTCCCAAGTCGGGTGGGCAAAGGCGTCTGAGATGACAGGAAGAGGGAAAAAGGAATGATGGGAAGAGAAGGCTGGATGGAGTATTTGAGGCGGAGGAAGAAGAAGCCAGACGACCCCTGGGTTCCACGGGGAAAGCTTCGAACAATTGTAGTGTGGGGGCCGGCACTTAACATCCACTCTGTGTGACAGCAAACTAGGTGAATCTGGTGAATGTGAATGACCCCTGTCCTAGACTCCATTCCCGACTTCTGCTGATCCACCTGTGTTCTGTGCTGCTGCAAGGTACCTGCCCACCTCCATTACACAAGAGCCAAGCTTCCCAGCTTGTCTTAGGTAAGAAGCACATGGACAACTACATGGACAACGGGACTGATTACAGTGCTCGATCGTCTGGATTCCATTCAACTCTTGTCCAGCATCGTTTCCAAGCCATCTAGATCTGATATCTGCACCTTGTTGGATCCTCTTTCTCGAAGGAACTCACTCCAACTTTGAACCCGCCTGCACCCATGTCTTTTCCTGTCTGTGGTAACTGGCTTGCCTGGTCCGTGCGGTCCCGGCGCTAGTCATTGAGCTAGTGGTTGCGCGCATCGAAGCCCATCGAGCTCCTAAACCAGACTATCTGGTTGCTGCCTTTTCTTTGCCCCTCCACCTTACAGTATTGCGGCAACTGTCAACTTCGCTGTCTGCAAAGATCCCACTGGCTCCCGAGAGCAGACATTCTCCTGAAAGACTTCCATCGTCGAATCGCAAGCTTGGGAACCACCTTCACCCGATATCAACTGATTGGCACCACCTGTGCGCGACCGCGATTCGGTACATGGCAACAATCAAAGGTGCTACGGCGCGCCGCGGTTGAGGCTTGGGGAGGCGAGCTTGGATGCTGGATTGCGCCACCGACGCAACTATTACTAGACGAACACGCAAGGGGAGAAAAACCATCGCTGAGGACACACCATGCCAGGCGTCATGGACAACACGATGGCCGTCGCTGCCGATGGCGCCACTGCGGGCGCCGACGAAGTTACCTACGAGCCGTACACCGTGGTCGAACAGCGCGTCCACTTGGATTTCAACTTCCAGGCGAAACAGATACAAGGCACTACCATGATCAAGATCTTCCACACTGGCGGCGACGAGCCCGAGTTTGTCAATATAGACGCGCGCCAGTGCGAAATCGACCTCGAGAATATCACGGTCAACTATCAGAAGGTGAAGGGCAGATACAGGGACCCATACGAGTTCATGGACACACCAAAAGGCTTTGACTGGAGTGTCCAACAACATCACCTCAGAACGAAGCGCATGAAGCGACTGCAGCCCAACATGCGGGGCGATCTGCCCATGACCGGAAGGGAGACCAAGGGATGCCAGCCTGCTAACGGGGCGCTGCGGGTCTGGTTGAAACCCGAGAAGATCGTGCTCAAGCCTGTACAGACGCCTGGGGTGTCTGGCCCTCAAGAGCCCATCGAGCCACACACTTTCAAGATCGAGATCCCCTTCCGCATCACACATGTTCGAGATGGATTCCACTTCGTTGGTGTCGACGAGGGCGATACTCAATACCCGCATGTCTACACGCGGCATTCCGTCGAGCCTGGATATGCCAGCTGTCTCTTTCCTTGCGTGGACGATCGGACCCGGGTGAGACAGTGGGAGATTTCACTCAAATTTCCACGCACTGTTGGAGACGCGCTTAAGCAGCCTTTGGCCTCACAAGTTGCAGGATTGCCGTCATCTTCTGGCACTCGTCCGGCTGCTTCCAGAACGCAACAGTCTCACCGCGAGTTTGAAACCACTGAGGAGGACAAGTTGCTGGACATGACCGCTATATGCTCTGGTACGCTCATCGGAGAACATGAAGAGAATGCTGGTGGTGAGAGCAAGAAGGTCATGAAATTCAATCCCAAAGATTGTGGTGCCCAGCACATTGGCTTTGCCATCGGCCCATTTGAGGATGTAGATCTCTACTCGACCTTCCGGAGCGAAGAGGACGAGGCGAAGCTCGGTGGAAACGCCGTCAAGGTCCATGGCTACTGCTTGCCTGGCCGGAGCGATGAGGTCCGGAACACTTGCCAACCGCTGGCTCATGCAAGCGACTTTTTTACCCTGACTTTCTCAAAGTACCCGTACGAGGAAAACAGCTACAAGATATGCTTTGTGGAGGAGATGGTAGAAAGTACCGTGCCGCTGCAAGCATTCTCGCTGTGCAGCACTCGGCTTCTGTACCCTCGTGATATCATCGATACGGAGATCGATGTCACGAGGAAGCTTGTCCACTCTCTTGCAACCCAGTACTTTGGTATTTTCATCAATCCAAACGAACGGACTGACACCTGGATCGTGCTTGGTATTGCGTATTTCATGACGGACCTTTACTTGAGGCAGCTCTGTGGTAACAACTACTACCGATACCAGATCAGAACCACAGCCGAGTATCTAACCGAAGTGGACCATGGTCGCCCGTCTCTGCACGAGTTGGGACGGTATTTACACCTGGGCGATTTTGAGATGGAATTCATGGCACTTAAGGCGCCTCTGGTGATCTTCATTCTTGACCGGCGACTACTCAAGTCATCAAATAGTGCTGGGGTGGTTCGAGTCCTTTCGCAACGCCTTCGCGAGGCCATGCAGGCTGCAGACCCTTTCGCCGCAAATTTTGTTGTCTCTTCAGAGCAGTTCAGGAGGGCTTGTGAGAAGAAAGGTCGCCTGCGGCTCGAAAGTTTTTGGGACCAGTGGGTCCTGAGTTCTGGATGTCCCAGACTCCACATATCGCAAAGGTTCAACAAGAAGAGGCTGGAAGTCGAACTGACTGTCGTCCAGAATCAAGTAGAGTGGGCCAAGGCAGAGCACCCATTAGAGAAGGACGATTTCTGGAGGGACGTGTTGGAAGAGCGGCAAGGTGTCCTTGCTGCCGAAGTACCTCTGACTTTCACCGGGCCCATGACTTTCCGAGTCCATGAGGCTGATGGCACACCCTATGAGCATTGTCTGGAGATGAAGCTGGATGCCGCAGCCACGAAAGGATCTCGGCTTGCAATGCCTTACAATACTAAATACAAGCGGATTAAGAGGGTTCGCCAGAAGAAGCGAGAAAAAGACCACACAAAAGCCCCGGGCGCTGGCAGAGGTGACGGAGATGGGCAAGATGAGGATGGAAACGACGACGACGAGAAAGGACACACACTCAACATGTTTGGAGACGTTCTGATGGGCGAGGAGGACATGGCGTCGTGGAAGCTTGTGGACTGGGACAGCGACCAGCAACAACAGATGGACCAGGAGTCTTATGAGTGGATCCGGGTCGACTGTGACTTTGAATGGATCTACTGCCTCGAAACGAACCTGAAGGTCTACATGACGGTCGCCCAGCTCCAGCAGGACAGAGATATTGCTGCACAGGTCGAGTCCATGCTGCAGCTCACGCGCAATACGCCAAGCAATATCCAAACCACTACGCTGCTGAGAACTCTTTACGACGATCGGTACTTTTACGGCATTCGCACCATGGCTGCGCAGGCTCTTACTGGCCACGCCGAAAAGGCGAACAATTTTCGGGGAATGCGCCACCTGATACGCGTTTTCAAGACGTTCTATTGCTATCCAGACTCAGCTAACCCGCGCCCGAATGATTTCACTGACAAGAAGAGTTATCACGTGCAGTCAGCCATTCCTGCGGCTATTGCAAGGATCCGTGGTGGGCAAGAATTCTGCCCGGAAGAGGCCCGAGAATTCATTCTTGATCAGCTGGTCTTCAACAACAACGATGAGAACACATATTCGGACCATTTCTACGTTGCAAAACTTCTTGAGGCACTCGCGACCAGCTTGGTGCGCGCCAAAGCCACAGAAGCCTCTGGCGACGAACAAGACCACCACAAGATGCAAGCATTTGCGGAGAGGGCTATTGCGCAGATTGAGCGATACCAACAAATGGACGAGGTATTCAGTTCATATCAGAACATCTGGACACGCACAGCACTTGATTGCAAGGTCAAATTGATGAAGTCAGGTGTCATGGCCGTTGATGGAATAGAGTTTATGCAGTACCTGACCCCAGAGACACTGGATCTTGTGCAGATCAAAGCATTCGAGTCACTGATTGAGCTTGGCCTGTTCTTGAAAGCTGGCCTCATGAAGTACCTCTTGACAAGCATGAGTCTCTCTTCGTCACCATTTGTGAGAGACCGGCTCTTCAAGGCGTTCACCCGTGGCCTGGCCTCTATCGCTTTCGGAGAGCTTGATGTCAGCGAGATTCGACCGGCTGATGCCAGTTCTGACCCAACCGGGGTAGCCAAGGTCTCACAACATGCTGCTCAGAACGATGGGATAGTCCTAGACGAGGAAGACCACGGCGGCCTAATCGTTGAGCAAAGCGATGCGGTGATCAAACAAAGGCAGACGGACGCGGCGCGGCGGGTCGACATCGCGGCTGCAATCAAGGCAATGAAGGAGGCATTGCAAGACAACAAGGATCTGCAAAGGCAGCTATGGAAGGCCGTTGACTCTCCGGTCCTCGGTCTCGCAGAAAAGCGAAACCTCTTAGAGCTATGTGCCACCTTGTTCCCCAAGGATGATGAGATGCTCGTTACGATGAAGTACCCGGTACGGTGGACAGCGGTCAGGGGTCATTATCACCGGGGCAAAGTAAGTGCCGTTTGTGTTACTCGTCCTCGATCGCCTGCTGACATGTATCAGTCGCTCGTCATGACCTTCAAGCAGACGTATAAGACATCGTTGAAGCGGAGGCGTGATGATGTGGTGGCTGAGGAAGCTAAGCAAGCGGCGACAGCAGCTGTGCCGTCTGCTGCTCGTCCTCTTCATGAACAAGAGAAGGAGCAGCAGCCCAAGAAGAAGCTGATCAAGCTATCCCATCCCGGACCCTCGAGGTCTGGCGCGCAGTCACCGGCGCCGCCGCCTGCTCCCGTTGCTCGGCAGCCATCCATTGCCCGGCAGCCATCCATTGCCGTTGCGGCCCCTGCACGGCCTCCTCCTGAGTTAGAGCGAGGTGACAGCATCTCGGTGCAGAACCGACCGACTGTGAAGCTTCCCTCCGCCCCTCAATCCGTTGCGGGCACACCCACGCCAGAGCCTTCCCGCCAAAATACCTCGAGCTCGAAAGTACACAAGATTTCTAAGAAACGCAAGTTGGCTGATACAGACGCAACGCCCGCACCCCGACGTTCCAAGATTGTGACCCTGAAGTACGGCCGGCTCACGGAACAGAAGAGGCAGCAGGTGGCGCGCATACCATCTTCTAAGGCCAAGACGATCCCACCCGCAGATTCTATTGTAGCCACGCCAGTTGCACGGTCCATTGCAGCGGCTGCTTCGCCATCAAGACAAGGCTCGTCACCAGCTAATGTCGACGTCTCCATGGTCTCGACCACGTCTACCCTTAGTGCGGGCTCCTCTTCAACCGCGCAGGCGTCCCAGCCTCAGCAGAAGACACCTTTACCAAACGGAAAGATGATTCGCAAGCCTTTGCCCACCGGGCCATCCGCTGGCTCCCCAACTTCCAGCATCGCCGCAAAGTCTTCAGGAACTCCTCGGCAGCCATCGCAACCACAACAGCCGGCGTCGGCGTCGCCCTCTCGTCCGGTCTCGCCAGTGGCTTCGCGCTCATCGACAGAGCCCGCACCGAAGCCGAAGAAGTTGGTCAAGCTTAAGCTCAAGTTGGGTGGGAACAGGATTCTGTCGGGGTCACCTGGCAACAAACCACCCCCGCCGCCACCTGCGGGCGAAAAAAACTAAGCCCAAACAGCCTCATCCAAACCCAAATAGCGATCTGCATCTATGTTGACGTCCTATTTGTCACCGTAGCCTTCCTCGTTGAGATCGCGAAAGGCTAACGGAGAGGTACATCTTCCTTCACGGTGACAGATCAGCAGGCAGGCAGCAGGCTACTGTTGGCGAGGAGGACAGATTTGAAGAAATCATGCGAGCCGTGTCTTATCCAGTTCCTATCTGACTAGGCTGTGTTCGACGACTCATAATTTTAGTTACGCTGTTAGCACTGACGCGATCCTCGTTCCTTCCGGCGGTCCTTTCCAAGGCTAAGACGGGGAACAATAATACTCTGAAAGGTTGACCTGTGTGTCACACTCGACCAGAAGTCCTCAGACACAAGCCGCGTGTGTCATCAACACTGTCACAACATGCCCAGACCTCGTCACATCTGAAGCGCTCGACCGTTCCTACCGCCGTCTCGCTCTGTATGGGACCATGTTGTGTGGGGGGGGGGGTGGTGGGGGATTCATTGAATGGGGGAAAACCTGTCGGGTTTGAGGCCTGATTGACCAAAGAAATGGTCTGAGTTGACTTGCACCTTTTGTTTGTGTTATGAGTAATTGTCTTTTTGACAGGGCACTGAGAAGGAAGCACGGCGTTTGGGTTCCTAGATGAAATTGCGGCCGGTGGGAAGGACAGGGTGGGAGAATCGCGGTCAATGGACACGGCTGAGAATTGATGATTTTTTTTTTTGATGATGGATTAGTTTGTAGGACCACTGAGCTTGAATGCCTCCTGAGTGACTATAATGTCTTCCTGTGACGCCGCACTTTTCATTCGTCAGACCCTCTTGTTGTCTTCCCTTCAGGTGCCTTTCTCTCGGATCTGCGTACCGTGTGATGTTGTCTGCCGGAGGGCGCGATCTTCCTAGGAGCTAGGTGAGACATGTATTCACAGACAACTGATATCGCCGTCGTTGACGACCCATAGGTCCCAGAAGAGCTCTGACTATTGCCGCTGCGAGGTAGAACCGGCCCAGGATCAGCTAGCTTCCTCTGCCTTTGTAGCAAACGTTGGGCGGCTCCATCATTGCCAAAGCTTGCCCTCAATGCCCAGCAGCTCTGTTGCGTGGGCCAGAGCGAATCCATGGGAGCATGTAACAGGGCAACATAATGATTGAGCAGAGCCTTCATTGTTTCGTGGGTACACGACAGCTTGTATTTGGAATCGCTGGCCAGGACTGGCAAGCCACTTGGTCTTAGGGTATCTCATCTGTGAAGAGACCGAACCAACGCTTTGATCCAGAATCGCTGCCTATCTCGTTGATGCTGGTGCCTACAGGGTGCCTAATAATCACGACCCATCATGGCATCTCATGCATCTCATGCGAGCCCAATCCGCTCAGCAATGCTGTATCCTGTAGCCAACCAAAGGCTCAATAATGCAGCGCCTTGACTCAGACCCGCACTTAACCACACAGGAGTAGGTGTCCGTGCCCACGAGCTCCTAACCAGGCACTGCTCCTTAGCAGCTACCCACAAGCAATCCCAAACGGACATCCGAACTATCCTCTCACAGGCGGATAGTAGCTAAGCGGCCTATGACGCGGGGGGAAACCAACGCACATGTCTCTGCGGGCGTATCTACCTAGCACAGCCCCATCCTCAGCGCCTGCCGCCCCTGGCCACCCCGATCCTCTCGTCGCGGCTCCTCGTGACCCTCGCACGAGCCCTGTCCGCCGCGTCGCGCTGGGCCTGCGCCACCGGCGTTGGCGTGACCGCCTCGGCAGCGGCCCTCCCCGACGGCGCGCGGCGGTGTGTCTGGGCGGCGGTGGCGCCACGGGCGAACCTGCCGGCGGGCTGCTGCTGTGAGGCGGCTGCTGCTGCTGCCGCTGCTTGTTGTTGCTGCTGCTGCTGCTGCTGCTGGGACGAGGCAGGCTCCGTGCTGACCGATCTCGTGGATCTCGTCATCCTGGACGGCGCTGGTGGCGGGGAGGGGAATATTGGCTGTTGCTGCCGCCGAGGATGCTGTAGATTGGGCACGGCACCGCCGGAGACGTCGTCGCTGGTGTTGATGTTGTTATCGGCATCGAGGTCCATCTGCTCCTCGTGCAGCCCTGCCTCTGCCATGGCCATGTCCTCGTCCTCGACGAAGCCCTCCTCCCCGACGTGGTCGCCGTCAGAAGCGTCCTCGTAGTCGTCGGAGTTCTCCTCGTTACGGTAGATCTCCTCGTCGCGCGGGCCGTCGATGTTTTCCTCGCGCGATACCCTGGCGTTCTGGCTGTATGTGCGGTTGGGGTAGTAGGAAGCCTCTTGCTCGGAGTAGTCCTCCTCGTCGCTGGAGGTTGTGATGCCCGTGATGTCCATGCCGCTCATGTTTCGGGCGAGCTGCTGGTGCCTCCTAGCCTGGGCGGCGGCGGTGGCATGTTGGAAGGCTTCGGCCTCGCGGCGGTCCTCGTAGGCCTTGACGTCCTCGGAGGTGAGGGTCAGGACGGTGGGCGGACGACGAAGCATGGTGGGAGGCTGATGTGGTGGCGGTGCGAGTGTGGGTATCAGGGCGGGGGTGGTATCCAATCAGGAGATTTATTAAGGAATATTAGTAGCGCGGTGCAGTTAGCCAGCGAGTGAAATGAACGAATGAATAACTAGCAATGCTCCTGAAGGAGTGTAGGATGTGGTGAGGGTTGAGATTTGTGCAATATGGGTTGCGTTTGTAGGTTGATGCCTGCCGTGTTGATGTGAGAGGTTCGCGGGAGACGCGACAGGCGCGTTGACCTTTTCGCCTAAGGTCTAGGTAGTATTGGATCTGGCGAGACCCTGGAAGTGCAGCAGGGTTTCAGTGGGTCTCGCGCCACGTGGTCGGCAAGGTAGCGGACGGGGCTGGCTGCTGGCCTGGCGAAGCACGGACTGCGGTAGGGCTGAAGCCTGCACAGCTCGACAGGAGTCATCCCAGCCAGCCCAGCTGCAGCGGTCGGGCCTGTCGGGGGGACAGTTGGGTTCTGGCGGCATGGCTCAGGCAGCTTGTGATCGTCCAGCGGCCGCTGCTTATACCCGAGTCGTCATGTCACGCCCACAACACAAGACGTGTGATGCAGACATTGGCTGGAGGCATGGCAGCCTGGGCTCTGCTCGTGTTCTGTTATGCTATTTATTATAAAGATGCTACTGTAGTGAGTGATACTGATATCAGCGGTCTAGGTAATAGTTATCATAAGGTGATCCCCTCCAAATGCTCCTAGCACAACACACAAGTCAAGTCGACACAAGCCGACACAAAACAACAAACACCATGCTATGCAAGCCGCTTCTTCTAAAGATTGTATCGAGCAGCCTTCGACTCCCCAAGCTCCATGGTGTGCAAATGAACGTGTGTCATAAAATCAGGAACGAAGCCATGGCATCGTCAGTCTCAACCCTTCATTTCTCGTCGTACTGACAGCCGCCTTAAGTCACTCATCTCGGTCTCCTTCAGTCGGTTCCATAAAACGCCGTCGCGTATACGTTCTCCGACTCCCACTTCAGAAAGTCGCCCAGGTCGTGTCCAAGGTTGTAACCCATGGGCACATACTCCTTGCTGCCGTCCACCCCCGTCGTCATGACAAGGTCTAGCATCGGGCTCTGCGGGAGACTGTCCACTCCCTCTCTCAGCCTGGCTCGTGCCCCTTCCAGCCCCTTAGGAGACGGCTTGGGGCTCCTGCGCTGGAGCGTGTTTGCCTTGTTCACGTCGATACCCGGCCCTTGGTATCTCTTGGGGTGGCCCTCCAGCGTCCACCTCTTGATCCCACACCCGTCGCCCGTATAGAACCGGGCCGCATCGAAGGGGCGCGTGTTCCAGAACCCCGAAGGATGCTCAGAAGTTATCGGGATCGGCATGCTCTGCACCTGCAGCATCTCTTGCACTTCCTCGCTCACCTCACCGCTCGACCGTGTCGAACCGGGGCACGAAGAGATGCTTCCGCTGACAATGTGGTTGATGCTGTGATTGCGCGAAGGGTCATGGAAGGATCGGCTGCCCGACCCAGGTGGGCTGATTGCCGACACTTGCGCTGGGGGGTTAGGCATGACTGGGCTCCTCGTCGGCACCTTCTCCTCTTCCGCTTTGACCAACGTCCCCAGTGCCCCGGTGGGAAGGCCGAAGCCCTCCAGCCAGTCGCACAGGTCATCGACCATCTCTTCTTGGGCATCGCGAGCGCCGAAGTCGTTGGGGTCGCTGAAGAAATCTCCTGCGCCCCCCAAGATGGCCATCTGGAACGCCGTCCAGTCGAGCGTCTCGTCGGGCGAAGACAGTAGCTTTGACTCGAGAGAGTTGATTGTACCGGCGTTGACGAGATCGGCCTTGGCGAGGCGAATTCGTCCGTGTTCAAAGGCTGGCATGGTTGCTGTAAACGGCGCTGACTTGAAGAACAAGTATTCATCATCCTCCTCGAAGCTTGGGCTGTCCAAAAAGCTCAGACGCGGGCTCGGTTGATCCATGTGCATCTCAGATGGCCTGCGCTCATTCTGGCCTTGGGGCGATGTGATGCGAACTTCAGGAATGGTAGGCAGGAGGGGAATGCGCGAACTCGAAGAGTTTCCGCGCTTGTGCGTGGGTCGCTGTGGCGAGTCCTTGAGTGGTGGGTCCGGGAATGAGTGGCTTTTGAAGAACGTGCTGGTGTCCTCTTCTGGAGATGGCGTGGAAGCAGAGAAGCGTGTAGCAGAAATGCTGGGCGATGGCTGTGGAGGAGTGGGAGGAGGCGTCGCCAGTGGCGTCTGCTCCTGTTTTGGCTGCCTTGTCGCAGTCGTGGGTGTCTTTGGTTCAGTCGTGTTCGACTTCCGAGTGGCGTCTTGTTCAAGGTCAAAGGTGGACGACTTTGGTGTGAGCACCTCTGCAACCGGCGACAGAACGCCCAGGTTCGCGCCAGAGTTTCCAATCCTTGACGGCAAGTCCTGCAGGTGGAATGGCTCGACAGGTGTGTTTACGCTGTTGCTGTCGGATACGGCTCCACCAACACTCCCAGCAGTGCTGCGCAACGACTCGTTGGAGTTGGACCTCCTCGTCTCCGCTTGAGCCTCAGCCTCAGCCTTCGCAATCCTGCTCTGTCTATACTGCTGGACTTGACCCGGCGTCACGACCTCATCAGCCTCGATCTTGTGAAACCCAAAACGTCCGCGTGAGCTGTTGAACAGCTTCTCAGTGACATTATCTGCTTTCAGGTTCCATCGAGAAAGCGAGCGGTACGAGTTTTGCTGCCGATGAGCGGTGCTGCTGCTTGCCGTGTTTGAGGATGACGGGCCGAACGTAGTTGCTTTGGCAGCAGGTGCTGGCGTGTCAGGCCAGGTTGATGTGGTCGGTGTTGGCACCGTTGCTGAACGAGGTGTCCTGGGTCTCGCAGGAGACTTTCGTTTGGCCTTCTTGATAGAGGTTGCATGGGTGGGTGAACGAAGGATATTATCAGACGTGGATACTGGAGATGATTTGTTCTTTCTTGGGAAAGAGGTTATGCTCCCTCGGCCGGGCGTCGGTGAGATGGGGGACGTCACGCCGGAGTCTTTTCGAGTGCGAGGCGTTGGGGCCTGGTAAGTGGTCGACGGCAGTGTCTGCAACATGGTGGTGTCAAGACTCTTCGTTTGTGTCTGCAACACCTGCGATGCTCGTTGCAGTTGCTGAACCTGTGCTTGCAGCTCTTTCGACTGAGGATGCGATTGGGAAGCGAGCCTCGCTTCTGCCAGAGCTGTGCTAACAGCCTTGAAGGCCTCATCGGTCTCCCAGATCAACTGCTGCACATTATCAGGCAGGTGATTGCAGTCCTCATAATCCTTGCTTTCAAGGAACCCATCGTAGTTATTGTCGTCTTCATGCGATGCCTTCGAGGGGGTTTGCACCGCCCTGGGAACCTCTTTACCTCCGACGCGCCTATCCCTGGCATCTTCCGTCAACAGGGGTGGGTTCAAGGTGTATGACTCGGCGCTGTTCACGTATCGGGGGTTTTGTTGTTGATGGCTGTGCATAGCTACTAGGTTCTTGTTGGTGGTGATGACGGCAGAGCTAGCAGGTGTCTTCGCGATGGTGGGTGTCTTAAAATTGGGCGCGTGGCTGTTGTTGGCCGTGGGTGTCGGTTGTTCAGAAGATAACCCTTCCTGATTGCCACGGGTCAACCCAGGACTCCGTGAGACGGTATCTGAAGGACTCAGGAATAGGCGACTCTCATGTGACAAGTTCTTTGTCACCGAAGTTGGTGTTGCCGCCGGACAAAGAGCACTGCTTGGACTTATCCACCCAGTCGTCATCGTTGGTGTTGAAAGGCGAGGCTTTGAGTGTGTACCCGCGGCAGGAGAGGCAGCCTTTGAGTCGGAATGATGTCGTTGATGTCGGTGAGGTCGTTGGCTGTTGTTGCCACCACCGCAAGAACCCAAAGAACTGTCCGAAGAGTTCGAGTGAGGTGTTCCGGGACTCATGAGACTCGATAGGGCCGACGCTGGCATAGGCGTTGAGATCCTCCTATTGGCGCTGGCGCTGTGCACCATAACACCATTGCTGTTGTGTCCGACAACAACAATGGGCTTGGGGACTCTCTTGTGAGTTTTCCGCTTCGGCGACGAGTTGCTGCTCATCCATGATGACCGACTTTTATGCGCATGACGGAGCTCCTTTTGCAATTGTTGTTGCTGATACTGCTCCAGTTCATATTGCATCCGGATCGTTTTGGCGCTGGAACACTCAAATGCATCCTCGTTGTCGCTATCTGAGTCGGGCCATGTCCGCCGTTGTGTTATGAGTTTGCGGATGCTGAATCCCGCACGAGACATTCTCGTTCTTCGCTCAGAGACACGCCCTCGCCCTTCTCTCCAAGGCTTGTCTTGATTACATGCGATGGTGTTGGGTTAGGATGGCGAGAAAAGAAGAGCAAAGAAGAGTGGGTGAGCGTGATATGAGAGCCTCCAGTCACATGGCAGACATATATGAAAAGGTGTGAGAGCGCAAGGGAAGTCGAGACCTAGCGCACACCTCAGAGACCCAGACAGGCGTGGACGCAACTTGTGATCGGACCCGAAGAGCGATATCGAAGCCTTGATTCACCGTGTGACGGATGTCGAGGAAAGTAAAAAAAACAGTTGATGATTCAAGGTGAGCCTCAAGGTTGAAAGGTGAGTGCGGAGGCGCCGGGGGGGTTGGATTGGGTAACAACTCGAGCAGGCAAGGACTCGAGAAGGAAGAGCAGCAGTGGGTGGGATCGACTGTCTTTTACCCTGGACCCAGGATCATCCCAACTTGGAGTCTTGGGGTTGCATCGGTCAACACAGGTGTGGTGCAGACAGCCTAGCCTACTTTTAAGCCCTGCACCTGCCGACCCGTTCCATGATGAAGACCTGCGTGTGCTGCATCAAGGAGCCTGGGAGTGTGCCATGGTAGGTGGGTATATGCAGCTCAGCAGCACTGGTGACCCACTTGCAGCGAGGCAGGGCTCCAGGCGAAGTACCAGGCGATAGGTGGACCGGTGAGTGAGCAGCTATTCCGAACCTTGACCAGGCTAACATGGAGTACTTTTGCAGTAGGCTTACACACGTCCACTGCCACATGAAGTGAGAACCTTCAGCAGTCCAGCTGCGAGAATAACGCAGGTGGAGGCTGGATGGTCCTGGCCCCCCCTCAAGGGGATCAGGGCAGGGGGTGGCCTTCCTCCCTGCGGTCGACTCCAGGACTCGTCCTGTCAGCTGCAATAGTCTAAGACGGGAAGCCGGGCAGGGATGTTCTCGACAGGGTCCGCCCTTGAGCGCCGTTTGCATGGTGGCTTGAACTAGGAGAGAGGCGATGCCTTGCTGCCGAAGATCGACCTTTGCGCCCCGCGTACCGTTCGATTATTTTTATCCCCAGTTGGCCCTGCACCTGCCGGCCCGCCTTTTAGACTCTCCGCGCGCCTCCGTCTCGAGCTTCAATCCTTACTCATGCGCTCTTTTGCAGGTCGGGTTCACAGACAGGGAGAAGGCATAGCTGATCGCTGCTCTAAGGGACCGTGGACCGAGAATGGAGATGCGTCAATTCTCAACAAACTGACGGGACTCGACAATTCCACTTCGCATGCCACGGCTGACTGTGCCGTCGTGATTGAGCGCGAGCAAGCACGCAGCCGAAATGAGAGCCCCCCCTCCAGTCTCCCTGTCAGTGGGTTGGTGACAGGCAGCCGTTTCTGTTCCGGCAACCGAGGTGCAGATGGATTGCCAGCCATGTTCCGTAGACCGTCGGCCTTTAAGGCTACAGACTCCTGATAAAGAGCTTGGCACCTCACAAAGGAACGTAGGATCCCATACAATGGTCGTCGTCCTTTGCGAAAGCTCTTCAGCAAGACGAGATCCAAGACATCGGCGAATGGTTTGCAAGTTGGCGCGGTCGCCAGGTCCCCTCTGTCTCCTCTTCACTCGTCGATCCACTTGCTCCACTTGACCCATTTCTGGGGGTTGCCAAGATTGGAAGCAAGTTGGGGTCCGGGAAGACTTGCCAGTGGTCATGCTAACAAAGCCAAGTAATGATAAGCGCGAGATAATGGTGTGAGCGCCGGGACGGGAAGAGGCAGGCGGGAACATGCTGTCCGTGGATGCCGATGGGTTCCCTGTGTTCGCGTGCCTGACTGGAGTGAGTCTTGACTGTATCTGTGCCTGCTCCGCCATCATGTTCTACAAGACGGATAGGTGCCTCTAGCGCTGTGATTTCAGCAGCCTACCGTCACAAGACTGGCGTTCGCAGCCACGGACGAATGCAGATGCAGCCTTGTAAGCGCTCCTTCACTTCTGAAGCGGGGATTCCTCGATCCCTCAAAGCTGCTGTGCTACCTGACGAACTGTGCCGCGACGTCATCGCATCTACATAGCAGCGCTTGCGTCCCACAGACCGAGTCTTGAGGGTGCAGTTGGACGAACCTGTCATGGTGACACAGATCCCATCCACGCCTCTTACATCAGCTCGTACATATGAGGCTCGGTGCATGTTTTGGCTTTGTCTTCTCGAACCGTGGGATGGTCGTAGAATGGAAACTCGGTACGGCATCCAGACGTGGCGATGGGGAGGGCCGTCGACACTCGTGCCCAGAGCCCACAGGCGAGCACAATCCAGCTTGCCGCTGCAGCATGGAGCACGGTCAACATCATTTTGGGGGCCGCCGGCCACTGTAGCGTTCGTTTTCTGGGCGTCTTATGTGCGCTGTGGCAAAGACAACCAGGGCGATTTGCTAGGACGGCAAGCCAGGCGTTGGCACGGGCAAGTCATCGGCCCCAACTGGTCTCAGCATGCCAGGCCGAGTCATCCAGGCCAAGATGGGAATGAAACGAGACGGGCGACAGGCTCGCCGGCCAGTCTCATGGTGACCGCATCTGAATCCGGCCTGGGCCTGGGCCCGAATAGAAATGCCGGATCTTGGCCTGGATCTGAGACTGGAAGAGCCTCTTGATGGTTGAAACAGCATGTGGTCAGTGTTTCTGGGGACAACCCACCGGGCCGCATTTTCAGGTCTCCTTCTCCAGTGCGATGATGTTTGTGCTGGGAGGTAGAATAAAGGTGATTGTGCAAGTCTTGGAACATCTCAGGCTTTGCACACCGCGCAAGAGAGGTAACGTGAGGTCAATTTCCGCAGTTGAGCCGATATGAGAAGGATTTCTGTTGGTTAGGATGTCCTGTTGGTTCGTACAGCAATCAGTCCAACAGCCAGGCCACTCTACACGCGAAGGCGGCGAGGCGAAGAGAGGATGGACTGACCAGATTCCAACCCATCCAGTCCCTTCCGGTCCAGCTCGTACTCCCATGCCAAGGTCTGCGAGATGAATTGATGATAACAGCAGTCAACATCAGTGGCATCTGGCCATTGCGAATTCCTTTTTAATCGCTAGACCATGGACTCGGCGGTGGATGGGCCAATTGATAGTCACTCCTCATCCCGTTTCCGGATTAGAGCCCCCGTCTGGTGGAGCCCGAGAGAGACTAACGACGGGCCCTTCCACCTTCCTCCCAAGCAAGCTCCAATGCTGGGCATTGAGCTGCAGCTATCCGACGATGAGAGAATGATGCAGCTGTGCAGGCACAGATGCAGGTGCTGGGCGCTGAATGCAGGTGCTAGGTGCAGGCCCAAATTTCCACCACCACCTCCTCCTCCTCCAGCAGCAGCAGCCTGCATGAGGACAGTGCTTCGCCGTCCCGTGCCGCGCTCCGTTGGCTATGTTGGTTCCGTTCCAGCCACTGACAGTCTGAATTTGTGCCTGCCAGTCTGACAGTCTGGACAATACGGTACAATCCATTGTTCATGCCTGATCTGATCTGATCATTTCCCGCCATTGACCGTTTTAGGCCAGATCGATCCTCCTCTGCAATTCAACTCCACCTCACCAACAATCAACGAGCCAACCAATCGACGAGGCCATTTTTAACCAACCGACCAGCTGATAAACCTTCGACGACCGGGGAGGTTCCGACACCGACCTCGAAACCAGACGGTCGCTGTCTGGGCAACCGGCCGTCAAGGCAAAAGGACCTCACCGGCATCAAGCACACACATGCGACAAGCGCGATGGATGCATTAGTCTGGTGGCCGGCCGCGGCTGTTTTGCTCCAATAAGCGCCAACTCCACGGCCAATCCACCATCCGCAGTCCACCTCCTCACCACCCATCAAAGGATTCTACAGAGGGAGGCTTGGCCACTCGCTAACCGCACCGTCGAACCTCGTCATCGCCACTGCCACTGCCAGGCGAGGCTGCCCAGTGGCCTGTCTCACTCGCCTTACTGTACACAAGGCCAAGCACGTTTCTCTGGACGCTTTCTGCCTCCCCCTCCTCCCAAGTCGTCAGCTTCTCCAGATCTTCCGGTCCGTCCGGGTCCCTCTCAACGGCCTCTGCTTCCCAGGCACGCACAACCACCTCCCGAAATAGCAGCATGAGAACTGTCAACTATAGTATCTGCAGATGCTATCCGGAACCATAATCAAGCTTGACGCATCAACACCCAAGCTTCAAAGTTTGGTCACGTACGTCACAACACCGCAAGATATGCCCTCGTCCTCGGGACGGCCAGCCCAATGACTGAGCTGCGTTCTGCACCCTACTCTGCTCCAACGGAACATACAGTTTTGGGTATCGATGACCAATAGAATCAAGTTCCTTCAAACGGAGATGGGAGAGCCGATCAACGGAGAGCACGCCCAGTGCCTGTCATCGGCAGCCCATGGGCCTGTTCCAACAGATCTTCCTTCCACAAGGGCCGCACGTACCAAATAGATTAATCGCCCGTGGATGGAAGATGGGTGATCCGACTGGTTGCAATTCGAAGCCTGGTGCTACACCTGGATAACCAACTCGTTGGCCCAGACAGTCTGTTCCTCAATTAGGTGGGCATGCTCCAGATACATTCCTGGTCTCGCCAGTGTAGAAACATGATGATTCTGCCCTCTCCAAAAGATATGGATGGTGATGCTCAACCAGGTGCGGTGTTCCTGCAGTCTCGCACATCTCCCAGCTGTAATGCCGAATGTTTTTCGGAACTCTTTCAGCACAAAGGTGAGGGACCATGTTCTTGGCAGATTCTCGGTACCATCGAGGACAGTCTCAGCACCAATATGCCATCTTGATTGTGTGTATGTGCCCCCAACCCCCAGTCTACGCCACCTCCAGGCCAGCTTCCGTGTGGTAGCCTTTGGTCTTCATTTAAATCTCACAGTGCTGCACGAATGCCCTCTCGAGGATTGCTGCGCCGCGCCGTAACCTTCACCAGCTCATCCCTCCTACCCGAAGTCTCCGAAGAGCCTCATGGAGAGATATGAGACCGCAGCCACAGTCAGTTTCATTGGTTCAAGCAGGCGCGGTTGGTTTCAGAGGCGACCAAGCGGCGCGACCTGGGCACACACAGCATCTTGTTTGACTTAACAGATCCGCCTCCTCCCGCTGCCGATCAAGGACGGCGCAGCTGTGTTCGAGATGGCGGTGGCCGCACGTAACCAGTGACACGAGAGAGTACACGTTTGAACCTCTAGACGACCTTTCCGGGTCATCCGGCTTCGTCTTGGGCTCGCCTGGATTTGCGGTGTGGGTTGCGGTCTCTCACGGTCTCTCGATCTTTTGTGACGGCATCAGTCTGAGCGATCTTGGTCAGATATCTGAGTAAGTGTCGCGTGCACGTGGAAGTGATCCACGCGGCCAGAACTTCGGTAGCGTGCGGCGCCAATAGATGATAAGTTTATCCCCACACCACAAGCAGACCAACAGCAATCTGGACGAGGCCTGTTCCTATTGGTCTGGAAATGGAAGTACCCGGCCTCGAGGATTGGAGGCGAAGCTCAGCAGGTAAGCTGACGGAAGTCCCAAAAGGGCCTCTATGTATGCCACTAGGTCTTGAGATTACAAGCGGCTCTTATGAAAATGAGTGAAGGAATGGGCCTCCTCTGTGGAGCTGGTCAGTGCCGTAAATTCGCAATCAAAAATAAAACAAAAACAGAACAGACCAGAACGCGCCTCACCTAGCTCTGGTGGCCTGTTTGAGACCGCGAATGCCATCATGACCTTGGACCGCTCTTCCGCGCAACCCATGCATCAAACCCGAACAATCTGTCAAAGGTAGAAGGACTTTTCGGGGACGGATTTCGTGTACCTAAGCCATCAACTCCGAAGCACACCCAATGCAGCGACACGCCAGGACACGAAAAGCGGTTGCCCCACAAGGCCAGAGGACTTACTCATCCATCGTGGGAGGAAGGGTGTTCTGAATCTGGCAATCGAGAAAAGCAACCCAGGCCGAAAAGAGACAGGCGACAGCTATTGTGCAGGACGCCCCAGAGGAGATGGGTGCATCGCCCCTCTGGGCCCTTTGGTGGTCCTGCATCCTACCCTGCCGCGCCGCCGGTGTGCCGCTTACGTCTTCCTGCACGAAGCTCAGGCTGAGCCTCAGCTGAGCCCACCTTCTCAGGTGCGCGATGTGCCTGTGCAGTTGTAAAACCCACTTTTAGAAGACCTGAACTGTTGGAGGGTATAGGTTGCGAGCGAGAACGACGTCTGTTTGTAGCCTTTCACACTAGGACAATGGGACGTACGCGATGCGATCACATTGCAGCAGAGGGCGATTAAGGGCTCGAGATGTATGTGCCATTGTGCTCATCAATTCTCCTTTTGCTCATGGATAATGCGACCTCAATTTGTAGCTGTGACGTCGTCCGCCTTGACCTTCCAATGAGCTCCGATGAACAAGATTTCGAAATCGTACAGATTCTCAAGCAGTGACTCTCAATCCTCGGCCTCCTCATCTCCTTCGTCTTCCTCATCGTCCTCCTCGTCCTCCTCGGAAGTAACGTATGGGACAAAAGTGAACATGAGGAAATTGGATCTGCTTCCCTCCACCTCCACCATGAACTGCATGCTGAGGACACCCTGCCCGTCGCCTCGAAGACTGACCTTGCTGGCAAGGCGCATCGCCTCAATGGCCGTCTTGATCATGTCGAACTTGAAACTCTGCACCCATTTGTCCCTTACGGTGAACGTCTCTAGCAGATCTCGTCCCTTAGCGAAGTCCACACTTGATCCGCCCAATGGTCCCGTGCAAGACAGCCGTAAGTACGGCTCCTGCTTCGACGTCGCGATGACGAGCCGGGTGGGATTGGAGTGCGCCATCTCGGTAAGTGCGTCCAGCAGCCATCGTGACTGCATGATGATCTTGAAGGCAATGTCGTCTCTGTCAAAAGGGATGTCCTCAGGTGCCTCGGGTAAGTAGGTGTTGAGGTTGCAGGTGGTGTTGACGCCAGTCTCTTCGAGATTGACGCTGAAAGAGCCTCCCTCCTCGGGGTACGACAGGACACAAGTGCCCGTCATTCCAAGGGTCTGGTTGCTAAAGGCATCTGGGCGGTAATTGCGGAGGTTGCTGCGGAAGGGGTCTGCGTCGGCCTTTGCCTGTCGCGCGGCGGCGTCGGAGGCGCCAAAGATCTGGAGTGTCTCGAGGAATGCGGCCAATGAGATCTGGAAGTTCGGGTAAATTGGTTCGCTTCCATCCTCTGCTTGAGGGATATTGAGAGAGAAGTTGGTGAAGAGGGATTTGTCCAAGCTTGCGACGCCTAGAGACCTACAGTCAACAGCCCGTCGTCGACAGCACACACATTGTTTGACTTACCTTGAGTGACTCGAGACTGATCAGCTGCAAACTTGATGAGTTCCTCCGTGATCTCCACATGGACTTTGTTTGTAAAGTTGATGCACTTGAGCATTTGCTGAATTGGCCTAGTAGAGCTGGCGAGCGCCCGGAAGAGAGGTGGAGCGGCCTGTGTAGGGCGTGGAGTGGCCATGATGATGACGAGGGCTGTGATGTTGAAGAGAAGGAGGTTTTGGGTGTGTGGATGCAATTATAGTCATACACAGCTATTTTGAACGCAGGATATCAAATCAAGGTTGGTTTCTTTTTGCTGGTCAATCTATGGTATAGACACGATGCTGCCCGCTACGGCCGCTCTTCACCTCGTCGTGCCTGGGTATCTCGAAAGAAAGGTTGGGGGGCCCTAAACGTAGACGCCGACCGCGCAGAACATGTAGACAGTTCCCACCCTGTGAAGCGTTGTCAGAAGGGAGTCACATCGCACAAGCGAAAATGAAAGACGGAGCAGGCAGACGTACGCGATGGCCAGAGAAGCCGGGATTCCGATGACGGGCACGTTTACTGCAGATCGGTCTGGAGGACGCATTCGTTAGCCTGGGGACAGCACGCATAATGGCGACAGAAAGAGCTGTTTGCTTACTCAAAGCGAAAATGCCGAAGGAGAAGAGACCTAGAAGGAGGAGGACGAAGGCGACGAGGAATTGAGTGCCCTTGCCGACGGTGGGAAGGAAAGGGTTTCCAGCGGCGGCTTGCCAGACGTCAACGAGCTTCGAATCCATGGATCTAGTTGGGCTGGTAAGTTGAGGAAAGTGGGACAGCTGGTGGCCTTGCGGTCGTCGGCTGGCTGGTTCGCTGCTCGGGGTGGTTGATGGTGTCTGGACTGGGCTCCTGTGTGCTTTGCGATATGGTGTTCAAAACAAGACGTGATCCGTGGTTATTTGTTGCGAAAACCCACAACTTGTTTGTTTTTCTGGCAGTAGGCAACAGACTCTGACTGTGAATCTGATTTATCTTTCTTTCTGGTTGTGCACACACAACAGACGAGATTGCATGGAGTTCTGGTTGCAGGACAACTTTCTGGACGACGCGAGTTCACGAACCACATCACCATCATCCAGCAATCGATAGGTGGCAGTTTGGCAAGCAATCAATTACCTGGCCTGCCTCTGGAGCTACCAGGGTAATGCACTATACCTGAAATCGCCTAGCGAGTCCCCCAACCGACCCAATCAATTCAACGCTTTGACCACATTCGGACGAGAAGATGTCTGGCGGAGGCTGGAACGGAGGTCGCTGGAGCCCCGATCTGGCTCAAGGCCCCAGTGGCTACAACGGCCCTGGCGAAACTCCACCGTTTCACGAGTGGCAGCATCTCACAGTTGATGAGCAAATCCAACGCGGAAAGGACTGGCGAGAACAGCACTCAACAAGCTTGCAGTCACCAGGCTCATTCCATACCCCGGCTCCGACGTCCAGCTCCGCCCCGGACCGATCGTCGTCTCCCCATGCTCTTGAACCGCGTGCTTCGCAGCCTGGCCCCATCACTGCAGCGCCCAAGCTCCCGAGCACGGCCTCTTACCACCCTGACACCCAACTAGGTGCGCAGCGTGAGCTGAGATTCGGCGGCCATCGTACACCTGGTCACTCCCCTTCCACCCACGAGGATAGTAACGGCCAGGCATTCAATCGACGAGCAGTTACAAATTGGCATCCTGGTGTCCCACAGGAAATTCTCACCCAATCCGTCTCGACCCGCGATCCTCGCCCCGACCCCGCTGCCCTTGCCGAACCCGACTCTTTCGCGGTTCCAGCTCCCGTCGCCGACAACCTCATCAACGTCCCAGAGCAGCGACAGGGCTTCTATCAACGCGAATCCTCCTTTGACGAGGACTTCAAGCGCTGGGAATCCGAGGTCATCTACGGCCAGCCCCCTGTGCCGACAAGCCACGTCCTCGTCCCTCGCGTGCCTGCCCCTGGTCGCTCAACCACGCCCTTCTACGTCTCCTCGCCTCCTGCGCCGATACGCAACAACTACCAGTCGATCGCGTCGCAGGCTTCAACCTCTCAACCGCTTTCATCGATTCCACTTCACGCTCTCGAGGGTCTTTCAATTCAGCATCAATCAGGAAGTGCCCCGGAGTTCGAACCGCAGCCATTCACAGCACATCCCGAAGCGAGCGCCGTCTATTCACCGCGTAGAGGATATCAAACATCCTCACTCGACGCTCCAAATCACCCCATCGCCGCATATTCACTCCCTGAGTCTGCAGAGACTGTCGTTGCGATAGAGTCGGAACCTGTCCATCCGGAGCCAGCGGGTGAGCCAGTCGGCTCGACAAAGGAAATCGGTGACCCATCGGACGATCCTGCAGTTCACCTTACTATACGTGACGTCGAAGCCCGCATTGGGGAGCTTGAATTCCAGCCCCTCGCAGCCCCGGTGAAAGAGCGCTCTCCGCCGCCTTCTAGCGACACTGAAGGTGTGAGCAGCAAGACAGCTAGGAATCGAGCCAAGAAGGCAAAGCAAAGGGAGAGGAATAAGTTGAAGAAAGCTGCTGCCGCAGAATTGGGAGGCGACACAGTTTCGGACGACACAGTCTCGGACACGATGAAGGAGGACGGGAAGAGGAAGGCCACCGAGGACCCTGCGTCTCCTGTTGCAGCTAAGCGCGTCAAGCACGATGACTCGGCCGAGCCCCCTGCGAAGCCAAAGATGGCTGTCATTCCCTTCCCTGAAAAGGTATTCGTTGAACCCGAATCAAGTTTGAGCCTGGTTGAATCGATACTGACTTTGCTCTCAGCCTGCCCAAGTCGAGGAGCGCAACGGTGATATCCAGTTTCGGGTAGTGAACAATGATGGTGACAAGGACAGTTTCATCATCATGACCGGCCTGAAATGTATTTTCCAGAAACAGTTGCCCAAGATGCCTAAGGACTACATCGCGCGTTTGGTCTATGACCGAACACATGTCTCCATCGCAATCGTCAAGAAGCCTCTGGAGGTAGTGGGCGGCATTACGTATCGTCCGTTCAACGATCGCAAGTTTGCCGAGATTGTCTTCTGTGCAATCTCGTCTGACCAACAGGTCAAAGGATACGGTGCCCATCTCATGGCGCATCTGAAGGACTACGTCAAGGCCACAAGCCCCGTCATGCATTTCCTGACATATGCAGACAACTATGCCATCGGATACTTCAAGAAACAGGGCTTTACTAAGGAGATCACCCTCGACAAGTCCGTTTGGATGGGCTACATCAAGGATTACGAGGGCGGTACCATCATGCAGTGCACAATGCTGGAGCGGGTGCGATATCTTGAGGTTGGACGCATGCTGCAGAAGCAGAAGGAATGCGTGCTGGCCAAGATCCGCGCCTACTCGAACTCACACGTCGTTCATCAACCACCTAAGCAGTGGAAGAATGGTCCATCACCCATCGACCCCATGAAGATAGAGGCCATCAAGAACTCGGGATGGTCACCGGAGATGGATGAGCTAGCTCGCCAGCCGCGTCACGGTCCCAACTACAATCAACTTTTGCACCTCCTCAATGACATGCAGAACCACCAGAGCGCCTGGCCGTTCCTCATGCCAGTCAACAAGGATGATGTCCACGACTACTACGACGTCATCAAGGAGCCCATGGATCTATCCACTATGGAGCAAAAGCTCGAGATGGACCAGTACACTACACCTGAGGATTTCACCAAGGACGCTACCCTGATCTTCAAGAACTGTCGCCAGTACAACAGCGAGGGCACACCCTACACTAAGAGCGCTAACAAACTCGAGAAGTTCATGTGGTCCAAGATCAAGGAGATTCCTGAATGGAGTCACCTCGCTGAGAACCAGGGCAAGTGAGAAGCTGCGGTCAGCCGGACGATACCTTTGTTTTTGGTATACTCATCGCTCCTCGATAAGCTTCGTCGTTCCCGCTCGGCCTCAAGAGGCATCGGCCTTTGGACTTGGCTATCTTCGACACGTCCACCTCGCTATGGCGTCTTAGCCGCTCTTCTTCTACTACTCTTCCCCTTTCTCCTTAAGCTGTCACTTTGGTATTTCGATGTTATGGCACCATGACGATTTAGCAAGGCGTTTGGCGCGTACAGGTCTGTGCCCACGACCGAGAAGATGATTTGTTTGTAACAGGTACACTGTATTATTGGGGGGTCATATTCTAGCCCAGGAAGAATCAGGGTATGCAGTTGACATGTATTTGTCGTCTGCTACATGCTTCGCATTGCTCACTACGGAGTGTTGCAACTGTTCCTGGGTGTCTGGCGTTGGTTGTGTTGAAGTGGAATTCTGGTGACTCTGGACAGATTTCATTTAGCATTGTCGTCACCTGGGTGTCTGTGGAGAAAAACTTCGTGGAAATTTGTCTTCTGTAGAAACATTGATCGTACGAGCTGGCTGGTGAGGAGCCTGGTCACCAGTGGCTGTTACAACGGGGGAAAAAATGTATACCTTCCAGACCATCCTGATATTGTGTCGACCCATATTCATTGATCGATATGCCAGTCTAATGTGGACATGTCTGGGTTCTTTGCCAACTTTGCCCGGAGGCCTGCGGCTAGCATTGGGTGTTCGAAAAGGGAACCAGTTTTCCTCTCATCTTGTGCTCTCACTCGATATACAGCGGATGCCAACAGGTCATCCCGGCGATCACCATGTGAGATGAATTCAAGGACCCATGCGAGATGCTGTTCTCGATGAGGAGGCCTTTGTAGGTGGCGTCTTCGACAACGAAGTAGCCTAACGTTGCCCATCAAGAAGCCTCGGTCGAGATGGCCGATGTGAGCCCAGCCTCGGAGCGGCCGAGTCCTGCTTTTCTTGCTGCATTATCTTAAAAATACGATATAATTGTTCAGGTGGCTATGGCTCATTACCCACTGCAGAACTGGCTCATTGTTATCGGCGAAGAGAACACTTTCATAAGGTTCAGTAGAGAGCACATCGCACAAGATTTGGTGCTCCATTTCTAGAAGATGTACATATTTGGCAATGGTTGAACCAGCCTCCTGCGAGGCCGATACAGAAGAAAATATATATTGGGGTATGGCTAGGTTTATAGTTCAACAAGACACAGTGTCACGTCTCTATTGATTTACAGCCCGGTGGTATCCGATCACAGAATATCAGTACAGTATGGACAATGTTGGCGGATACTTGCTGCGAGATGTTGACCACAGCTGTCCGCCTCCAACATTGCTTCCGAAGCACAGTGTTCTACATTGAACAGGAGTACTACGGCCCAATATGCAGCAGAACTATATTTAATTGGTTCACATTTTCTAGAGCAAATATATATTTATCTTATTCAGCCGTCTCTTACTTCCAATGACTGCACTGGCCTCCCTCAGCATGGCCGGTAGCGGTATTGCTTGCTCCGGTACGTGTCCTGGAAGTACCATCTTCCAGAATTTGAGCAGACAGGCGTAGAGGAGATATAAGTAAAATTCAGTATGTAATTTGATGTACAATTTCTGCTTGAATTTCGAGCGACCGTCATCGGATCCACAAACCGCTAGCTCAGGACTCGAGACATCGAGGCCGCTTTCAAGAGCCTGATATCAGTCTTTTTTCAGAAAGGATAGCTGCGCACGCATGGTGTGACTATGTCTATGGTTGAGCGCGGGCGCTGCGTGATACAATATCCCGGTACGGTTTTGACCTGCTACACTGAAAACTCTCGCTTCTTGATGTGTACTTGCAGGGGCGGCTTCCTCCACACGGCCCAGGCCTTGTGCTTCGAGTACGGCTGCGTCCACTCGTAAGATGACTGGTGCAGGCTCATATCGAACTCCCAGAGCAATCGTGCCATGATCAGGCGCATCTCGTTGTAAGCCAGGTGCTTACCGACACAGTTGCGAGGGCCATAGGAGAAGGGCTGGATCGCGTCCCGCTTGTCCGCGTAGAACGGAGACGACGGGTCCTGCGCGGCGCTCGGCAGCCATCTCTCGGGGGCAAAGGACTCCGGCTGCGCAAAGTTGGAAGCTGACAGGCCTGCAGAGGAATTGTGGACGCCGACTCGTGTCTTCATGAGCAGGGCCATCGTCATCAGCATAGATTTTGTAAGAATTTGGGGGGAAGAGGGGACGAATGCCGTTGTTGTCAGTGGACCACGGGCCAAGGTTAATCACTTACTCCAGGTGGAAGAAACACTCCATCAATGTAAATCGGCTCCATAGTCTGGGGGACAATTCTCTCGAGCGATGCTGGCACCGGGGGGTATAGCCTGAATGTCTCATTGAGTACGGCAAGCAAGTAAGGCAGGCGTGTGGTGGCATTAGTGAAGTTGATATCTGCTGCGGATTCGAAAGCCGCTCGGACTTCTTCCACAGCCTTTTTATGTGCGTGAGGCGTTGCTAGGAGGTAGTATGTGCAAGCCGTCATTAACGTGGCGGTGGTGTCGCTGCCGGCCACGAAAAGGGTGTTTGAGTTCGTGATAATCTCTTCCGTGGAATTGATAGCCTTCTCGTCTCTTCCCCGCAGGAGGCCTTGCATGAAATCCTTTCGAGCCATATCTGAGTCGTTTGCGAGCCGCTTTCCCACAGCCGTCCTCGTGTAGTTGAACTGGTCCAAGAAGCCCCTTTCCACATCACGCGCAATCACCGGCTTAAGGACTCGGGCCAACGGGCCAAGCAAGTCGTTGAGTATAAAGAGCTTCTTGCCTCTTTCGATAAACATGAGGACAGAATTCACCACATGATGCACCTCGTTGTTTTCGAGGCCGCCCAGGGACTCGCCGAACGTCAAGTCGGCAATGATGTCAAAAGAGGCAATGTGGAACCACCTGCCCATCTCCGCTGGCAGGCGGGACTCTGCCACGTCCGACAGCTTCCGCACCAGCATGTCGATGTAGCCGTGGACGATGGGCTCTTGTTCTGCCAGCGACCTTGGGGAGAAGGCGTGGGAGACCCCGCGCCGAATTCGGGCGTGGTTCGCATCGTCAGCAGTGAGTATGTTCAATTGAGGCTCGAGTTGCTGGTTAGCCGAGAATTTGGTAAATTGCCCGTACTTGTGGCCGTAGATGGTCTTCCAAGCCTCGCTCGTGGTAAATGACATGGCCCCCGCTTCATAGCGCACCACACTGCCATACTTTTGATGGAAACGGCGAATATCTTGGTCAATAGTGCCGAGCAGATTCTTTATTTTGGGTATAACTGGGAATATTATCCATGACTTGGGGCCCGGAACATGACGCAAAGGGCCAAAATACACTTGATATATGCCTTTGGCAAGGTAACAAAGTAGCCATAAGCTGGCGGCGAATATTGCGATCTGGGTGAGTGGTCCCACAAAGAAGACAAAGTCTAGAGCCATGACGGCGAAGAGTAGTGAGCTGCTATTAACGATTAGCAGCTCGTCTTAGACAATGATGTGTCTAATCTAGGAATGTCAACGACAGACAAAAGGAAATTATATGCCAATCTTCTGAGGACAATCTTGTCATTATATGTGAGACCTCGAAACCGTTCATAATAAATGGGTATGCGTGTGGTGTTTGCTCTTGAGATCACTGCGGAGAACATTCTCCAATCGGGGTCTATCTGTCGCCCGGGACCGCGGTCTTGGACGGTTTCAAAGAGTCATGTAACTGCATCATACCGCTTAATGACGATACTATGCAGTGGAATAGTGGAGGACATCACAAATCAATAAAGTCGGAGTCTATCTATTTTCCGTGACACGGACTTAAAGCGGCCGCATTATCGGCATTAAGAAGAAGTTCAGATCACTAAAGATATAGAATACAGCCCCGCTGCTCTCAATGTAATCGTACATATAGGTTGTATAGCTGGGCATGTGTTTAGTTAGAAGAAATTGAACACTTAACACGTCTGATATGACAAAGTGCTCTAACCACTCTAGAGACCGGCTGATTTCGACAGCAACTTGCGGGTGTCACCTCGCGTCCTTATGAAAATGAAGGTGTACCCTTGACCCTCCTAAGCAGGCACATATATGGTCACGTTAGAACCTGTATGCTGAACATGATACAAAGAACATGGGAGGTGCTATTATTTACTAAGCCATGGCGGTTACCATAAGATTTTCTCCTCGGAGCGGCTTGTTTGTCCAGCTACATTCATTGTATCGTAGAGGAAGAAGCAGAGATTTCATCCGCTTCTTGCACGTATAATATGAGGACGAGTAACGAGATATGGACTTGCATGCTTCGATAGCACCAAATGCGGTGGACATTGGAAATAGGCATTGGACTTTTTACGACCGCTCGTAAATACATTTCACTCAATTTCTGGATTATGCACTATCGCCGAATCGATATAGTGGCCGCATTAGGAATCAAGATTGAGTCGTGTAATGTATTCGCTTTTTTTTTGTTCTCATTTGCCCAGTCTTCTTTCGCTAAGCTACCTCGCTACAGCTACTCCTTACTTTCAGGATGTCCCTGGGAGAAGCCGTTCCTGCAGAAATCCCAATACATATATTTCCGATTCAGCTTCTCTGCCACGCTTTGTAGAAAGAAATGGATGATCGTGACCGACCACCCTGAATTGGCTGCTTCACGGACGGAGAGCTCTTATTGTTCGCGTCGATTGCGGCGAGAGGAACGTTGACAAAGATCAAGACATGCACTTCGCCCAAGAAAGGTGGATGCACGATAATCGACGTGTATGTGTTGCCTGACGTTTGATTCGATCTGCCTTCGTTGGGGCGGCGAATTGGGGTACGTGCTGCATTGCGCTGCCAAGGACTGCATATTTTAGGCTTTCCTCTTTGCCGATTGCGAAAACGCATAGACAGTTTGGTCCGTTAGTTGTGTTCATGACCAGATCGTATCTCCTGACCTGTCAGGGCTTTCTTCGCCTCAAAATGTTTCTTCCCATGGGAAGCGGTGTGCTGTTGGTCCAAAAGCCAACTAGCAACGCCAGAGCCTCTTGGACAGAGGTGAAGACCGATAGACTCGAGCCTCCGCAGCCATCCTCGGTGAGCCAGGTGGAAGAGTTTCAGCGTTGAAATTCGACTTATCCGCAATCCTACTCCTTATCGGTCGAGCTGAGAATTGGAAGGCGTCGCTGGCATCGAGTCTGATACATTTCCAGTTGATCGGCCTCGATTTCTTCTTCCTTACGCGAAGACGATGCTTGACGTCAAACGACCCAAGCACTTCAAAAGGGCTATGGCAAGCATAGTCCAACGACCGATTGTGACCCGAAAGCAGAGCAAGGGCCTCGACTGGAGGCAGACCAAGGCTAATGACTGCCTCGCTGCAATCGGAATCGAGTGAGTTGATTTCCCCCGAGCGTTCAATGAGCCCTCCTCTCAATTCCATCGTCTGCTCGCTGTGTAGACCAGAGGGGTCTGCGTTGAGCAGGAAGGGTATCGTGTATCTAGGTAAATGTATTGAGCTGCTTGGTCGAATGTGAGCAGGACGAGGAGGCATAATGACGGCGGCCGACGCATCTTCATCCTAAGCTTGGCCGCGTTGCGCGTGCGACGTGCCACCATCGTCGAGTCCTTGAAAGGCGCCGGGTATGCGGAGGCCTGAGTAGGAGCTGCGAGTTGCCGAGCCGCGGCTGCTGTGAGATACGGGTTGGAGAGGCGCAGACAGGAGGCTGAAGACGCTCGAGGCCGATGCTGTGGATGACGGAGAAGGGACTGCTGAGCGCCCTTGTAGGCGATTATCCTCAGCACGTAGGCCATCTCTGATCAAATCCCGCAGAAACTCGGGAATGTCATGCCAATTCCCAGCTCTTGCGGCATCAATGAAGCGTGGAGGAAAGAGGTCCTGAGGGGACACGTGGGTGATCCTTTCCCGCATGTGAGAAATCTCGCCGGTCTCTACTGCATTCTTGAACCACTGTTCCCAGGCCTCGTCCACAGGTAGGGACAGATCCCCCGCGTTTCTGGCCGCCACTCGCTCACGTAGTTGCTCATTCAATGCAATGCCAACGCTCTCCAATTCACCGTCGCTATCATCCTCGTCGACCTCGGCCATTGTGTCGTCCTCGGTGGTGTCTGGGCCATCCGCTGAATCCGAGGTGGTGATGCGGACTTCACGGTCGAGCCAGTGGGACATGCCGTCGGCTGCTGTGTCACGTATGGAGATGTTCTGCTCTCGCTCATATCGAACCTTGGCCCATCTCGTACCCTCCCATTTTGTCAAGCCGGCAATTTCGCTTGGGGTGAGGCGCAGGGCGTCGAAAGCTCGGAACATTCTCCGGTGCCACTGCCACCTGCTGAGTCGAGTTCGGTGAATGGGATGTGTGTAGTCGAGACCTGGGTACTTGGCTTCTGCGGTGTCGAGATGGCCATAGAAGGAGTGGACCTCCTGGCGGACCTCAAGGATCAGGTGTCGTTGAAGGAGGGCATGGAAGTTCTGGGGGTCCTGGGGCTTCGGTTTGGGGAACATCTGCTCGTAAACGAGCTGGTCGACCGGACGGCCCTTCATCTTGGCTAAAGGGTTGTGGAGAGCCGGAAAAATGCTGTGATCGCGTCGATTCCGTGGGGAGGGCGTGCTCTGCAGTTCTAGGAGTTTGTGAGGGCGTCACCAGTCGTGTTAGGCTGATACTGCGTGCTGGTAAACAGGATGGAAGCTGATGATGAGGAATGCAGCTTTTCAATAAGTGACTGTTTTCTGTTGTGTGTTGTGTCGTATCGTGGTGAATGGAATGGCAGCTTCGTAAGTCTGATCTGCTGGGGAATGATTCCTGGTAGGACGGGCTGGTGGTAGGTTGAAGAGAAGGAGGTCGAGTTGCGTGTGGCTGTCGGTTGGAGTGAATTCCCAAGGGCAGGAACCTTGAAAGGGAGGCAGTTAGGGGGGAAGGGGAGCCGGGAGAGCAGGGAGATGTAAATGTAAATGTAAGTAGGTAAGTAATCAACGAGGTTGTTGCAGGAGCGACAGGACGGAGGACGAAGGAGGCAGAGGCAGAGAGGCAGGGCGGGAGGTTTGCTTTTGACTGAACCAGGCCCTGCCTGACACCGACGGCCTGACTTACTACCTGACTGATGAAGGGGACGGACCGGGACGGGGCCCTTGACTGGCAGCTGGAGTTCGCATTTCGACAGGTGAGACTTGTGACTTGTCCGTGCTCTCCACCAGACACAAGACACCAAGGGACTCACTGGTCGACAGGAGATGACAGGTACCCAGGGATCAGAGCCCAGGGTTGCTCAGGTACTGCATAGCACATGCAATGCACGCCTGCATCCACTAAGATGATGTGTGCAGGGGTGGGTTGTGGTGTGTGGTGTGTGGAGGCCATGTGCCGCGCGGGCCTGGACTTTTACGGGCAGCACAGCCGGTACCCAAGTACCTGTCACTTGCAGCAGCAGCAGCAGCAGCAGCAGCAGCAGCAGCCCCAGCAGCCCTGCCCTACCGCCCCGAACTACTGTAGACTACAGTACCCAGCGTGCCCAGGTATCCTCCCACCTAGTTCCTCCAGCCTGCGCTACCTGGGTAGGTACCTGGGTACTTTGGGCGGACAGAAAAGACGGAGCATGTATCTCTCTGCACATTGGGGGTTGTCAGCATTGGCATATCTTCTTCTTTCTCTTCTTTCTCTCTCTTGATGCCCAGGATCTGTTCATCTGATGGTCTTATGGGCAGGGAGACAAATTACACAATAAGTATCTGGTTACCAAGAAGCAACGTTATAGTTATAGTTATAAGAACTGTGTACGTGGTACCGTGCAAGGTACAGTCGTACTGTTAACAACGCAAAAGTGGTGATCAGCCATGGCTGCGGTCACCCGGTTTCCAGCAATTCTGGGGCCGTCATTTGCAAGACGGAAATGATTCAAGAACTCGCTACCTCCGGCCGCGCGACCCAACACGAACCAGGCTAGCTATCTTCAAGCTCCCGTGTTGTCCGTCATGCCTGTCATGCTCATGCTCGACGCTTTCTGCCCTTTTCTTTCCTGTCCGGTCTTCTCCTGTCCCAGTCCGCGACAAGACAGACCACAGGGCCAGCCAGATAGCCCAGACGTGACCACGTCGTCTCTCCTTTGGACCACGCCCACCACTGTTTGAGCAAGGGTCAGACCGCCTGAACACTGCATTCCGGGACCGACATTTTCCCCCTTCCATGCGGGCAGTCATCCTTACAGCCGAACCAGGAATCTCGGAAACTCGTCCTCAAAAAAATCAATTAGAAAAGAAAGAAAAAACTTTCCGTGAAGCAAGAGCACTGAATCATGGCGAGACGTTGCCGACACCCCTTTAACTTTCCAAAAAGGGTGATGGTGGTGGATGATCTACATTGCTGCCGCCATCTGCCACATTTTACCCCATGACAGACACTGCTTTTTTGTCTTTGCCTGTGCTGCTTACTTCACTTTACTTGTTGCCTCTGGTCTAGATCCATTCCCAGCAGGCAGTAGACTCGCAGCAATCGCTGTGGGGTGCCAAGGTGGCAAGGTAAGGCGACCGGCATCCTCCACGACTGGCCATCGGCAGCCGAAATCTTTGACGCGGTCCGACGAGTTTGTTTCATTCCGGACTGGACGCATACCGTGTGGGGGGACATGTTTTCTCAACCTCTCCGTGCCAGTCAGTAATAACAAGGCTGCTCTCGGCGCCCTTACATGTCGATCCGGCCCCTTGTCATGTCATCTTCATCTCTTGTCACTGATATTCGCGCACACATCACGGGGCCATCAGCAAACAAACCCCCTCTCGACCCGTCACACCACGCTCGCCCGCCCGTGACAGACCAGCTCGGCCGACCACACCGCTGTACTCGATCCGCCAGTTGGACTTGGACTTGGACCTGGACGGGCACCACTGAACAACACAGCACCGCACGACACGACACTAAGCCGACACGAGGGTGGGGCCGTGGCCGCCGTCCCAGCGGCCCCCAACTGCGCCGAATGAGATTTCACCACGGCGTTCTTCAACCTCATCACAAACAAGGCCCGGCTCCCCCGGCGGCCCTTCGTCGCGGCCCATTAACTCACATTCCTCCGGCCCGCCCAGCTGGCCCTTCTCGCTCCTTGCAGGCCCTGTGTTGTCCTTCCCCCTCCCCCTCCTCTCCCTTCTCATCTCGCCTCTGTCGCTGATTCATCGCCCGTGGTCCAATCGCCGCCTGTTCCGGACCAAAAACCACACACTAACCAACCCAGCCAACCCTTGCTCCTCATGCCTGTATGCTCTGCTGACCCGCCCTGCCGGTGCTGTTGTCATCGGGACCGGCGCCTTCTCCCACCCTCGTCCCAGCTTCTATGAAGACAAGCCCGGGCCGCTTTGGAGAGGCCCGGCCAGCAGGAAAAAATCATTTCATTTCGCCGTCAAATTTACCCAATTGATGCCTGGGCCGTCGTAATTCCCCGCCATTCCAGGCCGCTTCCGCTGCCCTTCGACGTCGCCTCGCCTTGCTCTCTGATGAGATCAGACCAGATCAGCAGGCAGGACATTTAAGCCAAGTGCTCACCCGCCTTGATGTAGATGAATTCTAGTAATGTGTATTTTACATAATAGGCCTTCTATAGAAGCCTTCTTAGTGACTTTTGAACATTTATCAATTTTGAATTGATAAAATCGACACTAGTTGAAACTTACACTTCGGCTAGTCCACTGTGATGTAGGGTAACTTCTAGATCTCAGCCTCTTCAGATTTGAGCTCTATCAAAAACCTCAGTCTAAAAATTATTAATTTCAGGTACTCTTGCCTGCTTTGCCTGGCTCGACCCAGAAGCTGTCTTTTCTGCGCGCCAAGCTCTTTCTGGGACGGAGCAGGAGGAGCCATTCTGCTGAGATGAATAGGTTCAAAGATTGAAGCAACGTATATTGGCAGTTCTAGGGCGTGTGACTGTACAATCAAGTTGTATGTATCAGTATCAACGCCAGTGTGTGAAGATTGCCATAATTCCCCATGTCTGCGGCCCATTGACTTCTACGTGGAAGACTGGTGTCTGAGCTGCGTGCATGACCCAAGAGTCTTTTCCCTCGCATCTGATCGATTATTCTCGAGGCGGTGACAGTCGGCGCGCTGGTATCTTATCAAGTGGAAAGTCTGGATGGCCGCTGTCGAACCTGGCAGTGAGTCTTCTTGTGGCAGACTGCGAAACTTCGTGCTCTTTTCTAGTAGTCTAAGGATAGATATCTTGGCTCAACTTCATGTGAGTTAGCCTACATTCAGAGCATTATCTCTGGACTATATGTACTACAAAATCGTCTTTCCTTTCAGGCGACCGAGTATGGACTGGCATGGTGGGCGTTCAATGCTGTCGCGCCAATCTCTTGATTCAATGATTCAAGCCGATAGTACTACACAATGAAGAGACCTCAAGATGACTAGTTACATCTTCCCAGGTTGTAGCAAATGTATGACCGGGCTCGCCACTCAGCGGGACTTCTAGCTCACCTGGGTTCTAAGGCCGAGGAATCATCTTGCACGCAGTGATCTTGAGACCTTTCGCATGGGTCCATAGCATCGGCCGCAGGAGCTCGTCGAGTCTTGTAATAGCTTCCTTGAGTTGTTTTTGATGGCTCCCGAGGTCGCTTTGGCACAAGGGCTCTAGAGAGTAGGCCGAGTGGTTCTCCTTTGGCACTGAGGTAATATACTCAAGCTTTCCGTGCTCTAGTATCAGGAAGACAACCAGCAATTCTTCAAGCCCAGGAAGTTCATCCAAGTCCCCAAGAAAGCGGGGAAGATTGTCGGTGTGACGGACAGATGCTGCTATAGCCACTCGCCGGACCCTAATCGCGAACTCGAGGATCTCATTGCCTGGCTCGACGAGGTCTTCCACCTCCAGAAGCTTGCAAAACAAATGAATCTGAATGCGGTTGTCCAAGTAAATGATATCACGCTCGGGGCAATAGGGCCGGTCAGGAAAACTCAATACTGGTGCATTTTCCATGGGAGATATATCCTTCTCCCTGGCGAGCCATTGCAGCAGATGCGAGCGCATCTCGCCCGAATCAATCTGCAGGGTGGCAGGAACGGGTGTTTTGATCATGGCACCTTGGACTTCAGCCCAAGTCAGTTTACAAAACCTGCCGTCGAAATATCGCGTTGGGAATACGCAGACCCCAGGTGCATTGAAGTATTCTGCGAGGCGCATCTCGTAAATTTTGAGACGTATCTCAGCGGGCAGGGCACAGTGAGACGTCATGATCAGCTTCGGTGGCATGAATGCTGGACGGAATTGGAGACAGAAGAAGGGGCCAGAGACGCGTTCAACAATGACTGTTTTTGGGCGAAGATGAGTCTTCCGCGATTCTCAGTGGAAATAGTGTAATCGTCCAGGCTGCCAGGTCACCACGCGAGTGGAGGTCATATTGCTGTGGATGTTGGTCTCAGCTGCGCCGCATGGAACGTTAGACCTGCAGTGCAGTGGCGGCTATAAGTGGAACACCGTCGCCTCAGAGAAACTGCGCCAAACACTACAGCACTCGTATTGACTCTTACTAGCCCTTCAACCCCTAGTACTGGACATTCTATCACAATTGCCTTTGGAGCGAACCTCCTTGCGACCCCTTCAAGGGCGGGATTCAATAGCTGGATGAAGCTGACGCTCGAGGTAAAAACGTCAACAACTATATATACTCTGCCATTGTTAGTGCACGGACATTTAATGGGCGCGAGTATTCCCATCGGCTAATAGATTTGTTTAGGATGTTAGGGAAAGCAGGGCTTTGCAGGGGAGAATCGCCAACATACTGACTCCAGTGTATATTTAGGCAGTAGGGTTTCAAGCAAAGCAGCGCTCAACCTCATCCGCATCTCATCCTTTTCATCAATTACCTCGATTTTGGACCTCACGTGACAACGTGATGCCCTCAAAAGCCACGCGTCACCACGCGACGGGCAACAATGCCACCAAGTCCACTAGAGCAGCACCGTCTAGGAAGCGTCCGATAGCGGCAGACGAGACCTATCCAACGAGCAGGAAACGAGCCAAGGTCTCAGGCCAAGGAGTAGTGCCTGCTATTGGGCTCAACAGTGCGACCCTCGAAGACATCAATGCGATACCAAGGGAAGTCCTCACTGTCTACGTGTTTGGCACTGGGGAATCAGCCGGAGACCTTGGACTCGGCCCAGACAAGAAGGAAGCCGAGCGACCTACTATCATCACAAGGCTAGATGGTAGACAGACGACCACTGATGGCTACCGTGTAGTCCAGCTAGACTGTGGCGGGATGCACACCATAGCTCTGACAGAGGACGGCAGGATTGTCACCTGTATGTACAAGATTTCTCTTGCTAAGGCTCTATATTCCTGTCCTTGTGGAAAAATCTCACACACTATCACCTTGACTCCTGTGGCAGGTTATTAATGTGTGTTAGGGGGAGGCAATGACAACGGGGCCTTGGGCAGAGACACTAACTGGGACGGGGGCCTGCGTGATATAGACGCAAAGGAGGAGATGGATGATGGAGACCTGAACCCCCTGGAGTCAACGCCTACCTGCATCCCCGATACTTCCTTTCCGCCTGGCACAAAGTTCGCCACCGTGGCTGCTGGTGACAGTTGCAGTTTCGCGGTCACTACTACTGGCCTCGTATATGGATGGGGCACCTTCGTGGTAAGCTGCCGTGTAACATCTTCATTTCAGATTAGCTCTGGCCATAGTGCTAACAGCCGTCTCTGGCTCCAGGACGCTCAGGGCAAGAAGTGTTTCCTCTGTTCCAACTCGCAACGTATCGAGAAACAGGACAAGCCAGTGCTCATGCCCGGTTTGCGAAATATCAAGACCGTCGCCTGCGGAGCAAACCATGCACTGGCTTTAGACAGCTCAGGCCGCGTATGGTCCTGGGGTGTCAACGAATCGGCACAAGTTGGCCGTCGTGCACGCCCACAGAACCAATTCATGGACTCCTTCTACCCGGGGATCATCGATTTGAGCAGGCACGGCGTCCGGTATATTGCTGCTGGCGCGTCCCATTCATTTGCAGTGGACAATGAGGACAGAGTCTTTGCTTGGGGTGCAAATAATTTTGGTCAAGCTGGTGCGTCTCTTTCTGAGAATCTCTATTTCAGGCTTGAACTACTCTAGGCCATCTCATTAACATGAAAGTCCACAGGCTACGTGCGGAATGCCGGAACAGGCAACGCAGAACTGCCCTACCCGCTGCAGATCCGGCCCCTATCCAAGCAAGGCATTACAATTCTATCCGCAGCATCCCACCACTCCACCGCTGTTACGGCAGAGGGCCGCTTCCTCGTCTGGGGACGCCTCGACGGCGGCCATCTTGGCCTCAAGCTGGCACAAGAACAACTCGACGACCCAAAGCTAGTCCGCTGGGACGAGTACGGCAAGCCGCGCATCCTACTCCAGCCGCTGGCCGTTCCCGGCATCGGAGACGCGGCGCACGTGGCATGTTCGACCGGTCACACGGTCTTCGTGAACAGGGAAGGGCGAGCCTTCGCAGCGGGATATGGGTTTCAGTACCAGCTGGGCAACGGGACGAACGAGGATAGCGAGATAGCGACAGAGGTAAAGGCCAAGGTGTTGAAGGATGTCAGGCTGACTTGGTGTGGGGCGGGCGGGCAATTTAGTATGGTCGCAGCACCTGTCGCTGGGGGAAATATCTCTGGGAGCAACGGGAGTGCAGAATGATGATAAAGGCGCTGATGATAGATTGGCACCGACTCTATTGAATGAGACCACACTGCACCTGCCTGCCTATATATAATAACATTAGAGCAAGACCAGAGATGACCTTCCTGCTAAACCAGCGGCGCGACTATAAAGGATGCCCTTGGAAAAACAAAGAACTGTTTCAGAAGGATGGTGCCATCGCCAGTAGCACTGTCAAAAACTCCAAGTCTCGTTCAAGTCGTATTCGGAAGTCATGACGATTGTCAGCGAGGTATATGTCAATACTTCGCGATATCTCAGGAACAGCAGCTTTGAACAAAAACATAACGAGGACGTTCCTTGTTTCTTCTCTTTTCCTTTTTGTGCATACCGAAGACCCGATATAGCCATTTAACTGTGTATTATCGATTTGTAGATTAAATATCTACATAAGTACCGAAGGAGTATCATGACGTCCCAGGTTGTACAACCTATGTACGAACCCGGCAGCTGCCAAAATTCAACCCCCAGCTCCTCTCCCCAGCTTCCCATACACAACAATAACCATACACCCTTCTGAATGCTTCACCATTCTCTTTTGCCACATGCTATCGGACATTCCTCAGATGATTGCTCTTCATTTTGACAAGTTGCTATGAAGCAGTTGGTTCAAGGCCTTTAAACAACTTACGTTTGTGAGGAGCACTGCCTGGTTAATTCTATTCAAGCTGTCAAACATACTCATCACCGCTTTCTACCAGGGGAATTCCTCATCGCCACCATCTATAAAGACTATGAAGCCTAGTCAGGACACAACTCATGTTTGCGCCTACTGTCGCGAGGAAATTTCTTTCTCGCCGGACAGGATCTCATCAACGACAATAACATTGTCGTTCTCTCCGAGCGATACATATCGTGAAGATTCATACCCAGATCTTCAAAGGTTGAAGAGTTCCGCAGACGCCGGATGCAAACTATGTGGCCTTTTGAGACGTGTGGCCCTTTCGAAGCAAACAGCCAGAGTCTTCTGTGACCAAGGCTTGGATATATGTCTCCCCAGCAAATTGAGAATGCAGCTCCAATACACATTCTGGTCTGTGGGAGCTACTATGGATCGAATGGTTGATGGAAGACTAGCTACTCCACAGCCTTCTACCGAGAATCTCCCAGGAGGCCTACAGCTCGTCATCGTGCTGGCATCTGAATTTGGTCTTTGCGACAACGAATGGTATCCGCAAGCTGTACTAGACAAGCATTTTCACCTGTTTTCGAGTTTATCACAGGCTAAATGCTTGATCAATTTGCCCATAACTTGCGATCCCGGTTCGTTACGAACATCAGAAGCACTCACCGACTCCAATATCAATGTGCGGCTTGCTCCACCATTCAGACCGTCGGCGCTCGATCAGGAACCGATCAAATTCATTAAAGGTGCAATTCAACATTGTATAAGAAACTGCGACACCCATGGTTGCGATACATTTCTGCCATCTCGACTTATTGACGTCCGAAGTCATATAGCAAAGGTGGTGAACAGCACCGAGTTATCGGCAAGCGATAAGTCTGAGATGAGATATCTGACTCTCAGCTACTGCTGGGGCGACGGTTCGCAACTCAAGCTTGAAAGCTCATCAAAAGAGTGGTTACTATCTGGTTTTTCGCTGTTGGACATGACACCAGTCCAGAGGGATACTGTGAATTTGGCGAGAGCTCTAAGAATCCCTTACGTATGGATCGACGCCTTGTGCATTTTTCAAGATGATTTGCAGGACTGGAGACACGAATCCATGAGGATGGGCCAAATTTACAGCAATGCATACCTCAACGTCTGCGCAGTCTCGTCTGCAAGCTGTCACGAAGGTTTCCTGCAACGAGACGCCACCCGGGTGCATCTACCTATCCCAGATATTAGAAACGGGCAGCATCCGTTTTACGTTGTTCAACCCTTCTGGAGGACCACATTTGATGCAGCTTTAACATCCAAAATAGCGACAGCAATTACAGGCAGCCTGTGGTCTTGTCGTTCCTGGACATACCAGGAAATGATTCTTGCGAAGCGAAGTTTGTTATTCACCCAATCCGGCCTGTACTTCACTTGCAGCAACATGTGGTGCTCGGAATACCTCGGCTGGGTGAACTCTGTTACCAGAGTCTCAGACACAACAGGCACTCTAGCTTCGCGAAGCATCGTGAGGGATGACTTTGATACCCTTCCAAGTCAGGAGAACTGTCACTTGGCATGGGCTAAGGTCATAGCGGGGTACTCCTTGCGTGAGGCAACGTTCTCTTCTGACCTCTTACCGGCTTTATCTGGCTTGGCCCGGCTGTTTTCAAGGGCCGCTAGAAGCAACTACATTGCAGGAATGTGGGAGAGCGAACTATATCGTGAGCTGATGTGGCGGATCCAGCCGCCTTATGAACAGCCTTTCGCCGTCCCTTCGTCCTTGAATTCACTGGTGGATATTCTGAACAGCCGGTCTCCATTTGTTGCATCTTCATGGAGCTGGGTAGGCCGAAAACAGGCAATCACCCCCTGCAGTGAGTGGGAAGAATGTGGCTTGCCGGACTTTGGAGGTGGGAACGTTTCACGACCCCGATATACTCTCCTCAAGGCCACAGTAACTCCAGAGGCAGAAGATGAGTTCGGTAGGATCACAAACGCGGTGCTGTTTCTGGAGACACATGCCTTTCTCCTTGGCTTCGACTTTGAGAAAGACCCTGAGGATCCGATGCTGAGGTGGGGACGTTCCAAGGACAGTTTTTATAATCTACACATTGATGGAAGAGATGGTCCTCGACTTCGTCTCATGTTGGATTGGCTCCCTCCTGAAGTCGAATGGGATCCATCACACGAGAAGGAAGTCATGTCTGACCTGATGCTGGCTCTGATTGGGAGTTCGGTAGTGAGCGAAGCATATTCTGACCATCCTAGTGAAGTTGAGAGACATCAGAAGCAGGAAAATTTGGAAAGACCGTTCGGATTGGTCTTGTACTGCGATCCACGATCTGGCAGGTATCTTCGTGTTGGAGTGTTTGCTGTGGCTACAGCGGCATTGAATTTCGCTTACGAGTTGCCATACATGAAGTTTTTTGAGGGATGTGAACTGAAGACGTTCGAAATAGTTTGATATATTCAGTGGTAGAACAACCTATTACGGCAAATTGAGGCCCGGGTGGAAACATCAAGGCCAGAGCTTTTGCCATGTGACCACTTAACTTCCTGACCACAAATATCTTTTGCCTCACATTCTGAGGTAAACGCTCTGTGGCATTATGCTGTTTCTTCTTATGCAAATCGCGTCAATAGTCTGGCTTTGTGTCAGCTCAGCCTGCAAAAGACAGACTAGAAAGACTTACCACAGTGTACGATAGCCAGCAGAGACATCATTATCCTTTATTTTACCCCGGGAAAACAAGGTATACACCTAATGCTGGAGGCATGTCATGAGAGATCGCCGCGGGTTCTGTTGAGAAGAGACATGCGAGAAAGACCGGCTCATTTGTGGCAGGAAACTAGTAGATTAGCCAAACCAGCTACTGGGTTCTAAGTAGATACTATTAGTCTTGTACGTAGTCCAAGGAAGACGTGCGTCGAAACACAGAGGAGTAGTATTGCAGTGAAACGGATAAATAGTATAAACTTCATCATATCTATAGAAATTGACTCAAGCACACAAGGCTCTCAAGCGACTCTGCTTGTCGAGATACCAGGCCTACCGTGATAAAGGGGCACTCCATTCTCGCACATGGGCAATTTGCATGGAATACATGTAACCCGTCCAGATGACGTTAATTGAAAATACAAATTGCTGTAGGCATGAGCTGGCTTCAGAAACATGAAAGTTCTCTATGTAGTGGTAAGGAGAGGGTCATGATCACCCACGCTCAGCGAACGCATGCGCACCTAGGTATAAAGTTCCTACAAAAGGGGTCTCGAAAAGAAGAGAGTATCTTAATCACTCGTAGATCCCAACGCTACCCAGGCTCGCCCTTTTAAAAGGCGGAGATGCCAGAAAAACTCCAGATCATTATGTTCCCCCGAAATCCAATTATAACAGTGTGCCGTGAGAATCCTTGTCACATCCCCCATCGCCTGCGTCATCCATCTTCGTCATTATCGTCGTCGTTCGTAATGATAAGGACTCGTCATCCGCTTTATTGCTCTGCTTTGAGCTGCGTTTGTCCAGCTTTTGTCCAAGCACACTGTTCCTGTCCGTTCCGTGTATATCCAAGTCGGACTTCTTCAGAGCTTCCACTCGTCGACCTCATTCATCTTGAACCCATGCCGGCTCTGTAGGGTATCGTCGGCCGCTAACTCCCTTGATTTCCGGGCTCGGTGCCCTTTCCCTTTCCCTTTCTCGATCTCGGTCTCGGTCTCTGTCTCTGTCTCTGTCTCGGTCTCTGTCCCTATCTTCGTACCCACTCCCTCCCCTCCGCCTCCTATCCCTTTCAGCCCCGTACCTCTCCCGATCCCGCAGCTCAAAGGCATCATGTCTGTATCTGTCCACGTCAGCATGGCTGCTCGTCCTCCGCGTATTGTCCGGCCTGCGCAGATACCTCGCCTCTTTCTCCTTCCTGCTCCGCGGCTTGTCCCTTGGGTCGAGGTCATCCCAGTCTGGGGGCGCGTCCCTGCTGCGACGAGGCGGCCTGTCCCTGTCCCTTTCCCGTTCATACGCTTCCTTCTCTCGGTCTCGACGATTACGTTCCCGCTCATGAAGTCTCCTCCTTCGACGCCGGTCTCGTTCGTCCGAGTCAGACGCACTCTGGTCGTCATATGACCAGCTCCGGCTGACTTTGGAGGACCCAGGAAGGCTGTCCCTGGAAAGTCGGTCGATCCGGTCAATGGGGATCGTACCGCTTCCGCTGCTATTCGCGTTCCTTCGTGGTGGCTTCTCTGAGACTATCGGGAGCATGCCGGAGAATTTGTCGATTTTCTCCTTGGCCCAATCCTTGGCCCCTTCGAAAGGCGCCGACGTGCTCTTCTTTCTTCCGGTCGACACCGGCGAGTCCCGGCCATCGGGTCGTATCTTGACCCCACCGTCTGGCCTATCTGCCCTGAGGCTAGGGACCTGTACCGCGGGAGACCCACCGGGTGCAAGTGGTGGTATGCCGGGAGAGGGAGTGGCAGAGTCTGTAACATGCGCATATCGTGTTGCGACCTTTGGACCGCGAGGTGGGGGAGCGTGGTGTCCGGAACTCCGTCTCGACCGAGGACTCATGTCAGCTTCGGAGTCAGACTCGTCACTGCTGAAGCCTCGCCTAGGGTGGGAATGGCGTCTCGGCGGGGCAGATCTTCCCGGGTTCAGGTGTACAGATGAGAACTGCTCCTGGGGAGAGGGATAGTCCGAGAAGGAGCGCCGTCGTGCTCGCTCCTCGCGAGCTATGTCTTCGGCCGAGGAGCCGTTCCTCCTGACCCTCTCCATCCTGTCAGGGGACACGCGCAAGGGAGCGCCTCTCGGATATCGTGATGCATGACCTGGGCTGACGTGTGTGAAAAACGGAGGGCGGTGGTTGAAGTAGTCGGATGCCAGATTCGCCGGCCTGGGGCGGCCAGTTGGGCCTGCTGAGTCTGGGGCGGGGACGTGCGAGTATGCATCCTTCATGCGATCGGCTGCAGACGGAAATGTCGGCCTGGGCGAGGCCTTCGGTGTGGCTTCCTTGCGCAGCTTCTCGCCGCAGGCTGCATGCCACGCGGTGATGTCAGGATCCGGCGCGGTGGGGAAGGCAGTAGCAGGAATGTCCCTTGGGAAAGGCTCGCCCGTGTCGGGATTTTTCAGCCCCCAGTTCTTGACCGCGAACGCTATGTAGGGCACATGCTCATCGGGCTCGAGCAGGATCTGGATGGATTGCCAGCGAGCGAAACCCCTTGGGGTCAGGGCGGGTATGGTGGGAGCCTCATAGTCATTGTCGGTAGGCTGGAGAGTGTGCTGGCAGCCAAAGACCTGCCAGATGTAGGAGATGGACTCGCTTGGGGCATTCACGAAGAGTCCTGGGCGGGCAGAGGCGAGCCACAAGTCAGCAAATGCCGTGTGCGATACAGCTCAGCCTGTCGCCGCAGCGCGGCGCTGGCATGTTGTGGGTGTAAGAGAAGAGAAAACTTACGGTCATAGTCGCCTCCGACAGCCTTATAAAAGGCAGCAAGCTTGGACGGGCTTAGAGTTTGGTCTTGCTTGTCGCCGATATGGTCGATCTAGAATGGCGGACAAAGCCGAGCTGTTAGCCGCCGGACCCATACGGCGCGGGGCGATGGACTCGTCGGGTAGACCAAGAGTCAAAGCGGGCGCTGGTGCGGGCGCGGGCGCAGGGCACTCACAATGTGCTGCGCGATGGCGCGCAAGAGGGCGTCGAGAACCTTGGTTGGAGTCTTGTTGGCTTCGTAGAGATAACCGTAGTAGTCCTTCGCATCAACTGCTGGCTTTGGCATAGGCTTGGGCTCTGAGGCTGTGGCGGTGGCCATGGCGATGGCGATGGCGTCGCTCACATCAGCCTGGCCTGGCCTTGCGGGGTGCGAATGTTGTGGGTGCGAGTTGCGGGTGCAGGCACGGAGGGGTCAGTGTGCGGTGGATGCTAAGCTATATGTACGTATGGTCTGAGTGTATAATGTAATAATGTTATGTTTGTAAACACTGGGCCTCCACCTTCATTCAGCAGCGTCATCGGGCGGCCCAGGATCAGTGTGAAAATGCTGGAGGGGTTGGACGGCGGCAAGCTTGGGAGACATTAAACAAACAGTGGCAACATGGGACGAAAGAGGGCAGGGTATATTCGAGGTCGAGACGAGCAGGCAGCCTGGCAGGTTAGGTGGAGAGAGAGAGGAAGAGAAGAAAAGAGTAGACTCAGGTAGACAAGACAAGACAACTTGACTGAGCGACTGAGCGACAGTGACTGGACTGACTGACTGACTGATGAACCGACTGACCGACTGACCGACCACGGTCGACAAGACGCCGCTTCTAATCTTGGACATGCAGGTCAACAGTGCCTAAATTGCCTAGGCAAAGGCTTGGGTGTGCAAGCTGGTGCAGCAGGGTGCAGCAGGGTGCAGCTCGAGGTTGTTAGGTGGGCCGGCAGAAGCATCCATCCATCAGATAGCATCATCCACATGGGCGGGCAGAGAGCCGTTACCTGCCCACAGGGTGTGTAGCACCCCATCCTGCCCATCAGCTGCTGGTGGCTGGGGGGGATGTTGGGGGGCAGGGGGAACCACCCGTGCTCCACTTACAGGGCCAGCCAGCCAGGCTGGGAGCTGGGACATTCCGGGGAACTGGGGCCCATCCTGGGCATCCTGGGCAAATGCTGCGATCAAGGGCAACGATCATGATCCCATCTTTCCCATCCACCGCCATTCCTTTGCACCAGCAAGCCTGGCATCACGACGCCTCACTTTTTGAGAATGATGATCTGGCGACCACAGCTTCATTTTGCGAGGCGGCTAGTCCATGGCCAGAGAGCAGGGAGGTCCTCCCCAGAGCTGCATCTTTCTCGCGAACCGTCCATTCCATTCCGTTACTACCCAAAGCTAGCCGTCTTGCTTAGGCAGTAAGCGCCGCACACACGCATCATCTAGACTGTCTGCCTCACCAGGGCCCGACCAGCTCGTACAGGCCAAGCAGAGCTCCAGCCAGCGGCAACAGCGATCGCACGAGGTTCAGCCCCTTCCACCTGACCACCAGCTCCCTCACAGCCTCCGAGCTCAGGCTGCCCGCTCCGCCCGCCGCCGCGCCCAGCAGCGCCTGGTTGGTCGCGTCCATGAAATACACCGTGAACGGCACAATCGCCACCGTGAGCGCCGCCGCGCCCAGGTACTTGCCCCACTCACGGCTCTGCCTGCGGCGGTCGTACACCAGGTAGCCGTAGCCCAGCAGCGAGAGCGCTGCCGTCTGGGGGCCGAGCGCCTTGCCCCTGTTGTAAATACCCGCCCACTGCTGTGCGAGCAACTGAGTTGGCACCGGAGAGCTGGTGGAAAGCAGGCCCGGGATGGCAAGCACCGACAGCATCGCCTGGCCGCCTGTGTGTTGTTGGGCCCTGTCAGCTTATCCCGTTGTCCAACCGTGTCTGCACGAGGTCCGTTGAGGGGTCTTACCCGAGTTCCATGCAGAGCCGAGAATGCCTGCCGAAGCGGCGAGGATTGTGGTAGGTGGCAAGCCGGCCATTTTCAGTCCTATCTTGTCTTTGTCTTGTCCTGTCTCGTTTTGTCTTGATACTGGTTCGAATAAAGACGAAGGGGCTAGATCAATGTCCAGCAACCTCCTCTACTTATGTGTGAATTGATGATAATGAACAAAGCTCACGGACCGGACTCGGCACTCGATGGAATGACGAAGGATCAGATTACCCTGCTGGGCCGACCCGGCTTAGCTACATAGCAGCCTAGCTACATAAGTAGATCTACTGATCTACTGGTGTAGTCGGCGGTTCGCATGGCAGCCGGATGAACCACGGCCTGTCCAAAATGTCCGACGGGCACAAGCTCTACGTAGAACACAACAACACAGCAACACGGCACCCGAGGCCAATAAGCTGCAAATCCTGCTAGCCAGGCCGCAATGCACAAACTGTGGATTCTGCTCTCGAGAGGCAGTTTACTACTTACACATATGGATCCTCGCCCGCTGCGCCGGTGCTTGGCAAGATCCCCTCCCGGTGTTTGGGAAAGTACCTGTAAGCGACCAGATCAATCATTTTGTCGGGGTCACGGATGTCGACTTCCTTCAACGTCAGAAATTCCTCAAACCCGCACCTCTCCAATATCCTCTGGCTCGCACCGTTCGTTTTATCAATGACTGCTACGAGCTGTTCATCCACCATCTTGGCCCCGCTCAGGCTCTCCGCCGAGCTGGCCGTCACCTGCCGCACGACAAGCCCTTCCCGGGGTAGTTTCGTCCACATATCCAAGAACGCCGTCAAGAACTCCGTAGCTATTCCCTTGCCCCAGTGCTCCTTCCGGATCAAGTATCCTATTTCAGGCCAGCCAAGTTGGGGCCCGGCGGCGGCGTCGGCCGGCTGCTCAAAGTGATGCACGCCTCCCTGGCCTATCACTTCGCCCGTCTCCCTTAGGCAAATGGCACAGTTGAAAGTCTTGGTGTCGTTGGGCGGCAGGAAGAGTGCGAGCTTGTCTGCTGTTTCTGCCCTATCGGCGTCGACCCGCCCAGCCGTCGTCCATTGCATCACCTCCGGCTGCTGGCGGAGCGTGTACAAGGCATCGAGGTCGGAGGGAGTGAACGGCCGCAGTATAAGTCGTTGGGTGGTGACTTGTGCGCGAAATATACTTTGCGGCAGGGTAGGCAGGGTTGTGCGGACGGTGACCCATGCCTCTGGGTTAAAGGGCACGAGAGAGGGCGGCATGACTCTGGTGTTCACCGGCTGCTAAGGTGGCAGGCTTTGAAAAAGAAGAAAAAAAAAGGGTCAAAGGTTTGTGACTATTTCCCTATACGTGTTCTCATCGTTTTGGCAATTTATTCTATCACTCACCTGCATCGGCCTGCTGGATTGTGACTCACCGTGGCTTTTCTTTCATGGTGTAAGATATGCCACTGGGACAGAGGTAGTCTAACAGCCTCAGTCTCCCAAACTCAGCCAGGGTCCGGCCCTTTTTTTGCTAGCGTGGAAACAAGACCCGACAGCCTGGACGACATCATTCATTCACAAGACGGGTTAGGCGCTAATCTTCATACACCTCACTCGCCCTCATCTCGTCCTGCATGTTCAAATCCTCAGCACAAGAAGATGAGCGCATCCCCGGGAGTCCGTCAGCCCTCTGATGCCGGCAAAGAAGTCCACGCTCTGAGCTGTGTCAACTGTCGCCAGCGCAAAGTCAAGTGCTCCAAGACCTACCCCTGCCCCCACTGCCTCAGGGGCGGGTTGGAATGCATCTTCCCGTCACGCAAAAAGGACAGACGCCCACGCACAAATAAAAATCATGAGCTGCTGAACAGACTGGCCAAGCTCGAGGCCATTGTCGGCCAGGTCGATCCTGACTCTATCAGTCTGAATCCTAGCCATCCGCCTGTGGACGCGGCGCCGTCGAGCAGTACAGCCGAGGACGTCGACAAGGTGGTCGCTCAGCCCACGATAAGTCCAGCTCAGCGGGTGGCCGAGTCTGAGCTCAGGAACCCCCAGAAGAGATGCCCGACCGCCCAGCCTGTGTCGAAGGATGATCCCGCCGCCAAGTACGTGAGCGGGGAGTTCTGGGCCAACTTGTCGAGAGAAGTTGAGGGCATCAAGGCCACTCTGGAACAGCCTAGCGATGAAGACGATGACGACGACGGCGAAACCGATGGCCCTTCGCCCGAGTCCCAATATCAGGGGAGTTATAGCAGTCTCACCCACGGCATGAGCCCACCCGCGATCCTGGGCAATGCTTCTCTGGCGGAAGTATTACCACATCCTCCGCCCGCACGGATGAGGAGGTTATGTGACATTTACTTCCGTAGCGTCGATCCACTGATGAAAATTGTGCATAAACCGACAATCGAAAAGACCCTCAATTTATTCATGGTAAATCCAGCCGATCACCCGCTCAGTCGAACAACAGAGGCCCTCTTCTTCGCCATCTATTTCGCTGCTGTCACAAGTGTGCAGCCAGACAGCTGCATGCGACAACTAGGTGAGGAGCGAAGGCTGCTGGCTGTGCAGTATAAGCAAGCGGTTGAGCATGCCCTAGCGAGGGCGGATTATTTGAACAGCACATCGCTGGAGTCGCTCCAGGCCTTTATGATCTACTCTGTAAGTCGAAGCAGAGGATAAGATGCTCTGCGCAATCCGGGCGGAGTTGAGACTGATTTTCTGGAATAGACTTGTCTACGCAATTATGCAGAATCTCGCGCCTCGTGGATGCTGCTAGCTCTGGTTCACCGTCTTGCTCAAGCCATTGGTCTCCATCGTGACGGGGACGGGTCCATCTTCTCTCCATATGAAGCAGAGATGCGCCGTAGATTGTGGGCTCAGCTCATCGTTCTCGATGTCCGCGCTGCTCAGGATCGAGGCACGGAGGCAATGGTCCGGCAAGAAGAGACCAGCACGATTCCACCGACAAACATCAACGACGAGGACTTCGGCCCAGACACTACGGTCCCGCTGCCCCAGCTGGCAAAAGAGGGACCAACAGACATAACATTCAGTCTCTGCACTTACCATTGCTCCAAACTCTTCCTGTATATCCACGGGCCCAGGAGCCGCTTCTCCAAAGCCACCCATGAAACCACCACTCCCGGGTCGCAGGTGCAGCCTCAGGTCTCCGAGGAAGACATCATTCAGCGTATCAAGGCCCTAGAAGCCCAGTTTCTCACAGCCGCTGCCGATCAACCGGGACACCCGCAGTCGGCTTATGCGGCCACGGTCATACGTATCGCATCGCTGGTTTATTGGCTGAGCATCCAATATCCATTCCAAGTAAGACAACCTACCATTAAGCCGCGAGTAAGCCGCGAGCACATGCTCCAGACCGCCGTCGCCATCATGGAGCTGCAAACCCACGGGCCGTCCTCCGCCGCCATGAGCACGGAGGAGTACAGGGAGAGATTTCTCTGGTGGGGTGACGGCTACATTCCGTGGCACCCCTTGGCCGTCGCCCTGGCGGAGCTCTGCGTGCAGACGGAGGGGCCCCTGGTCGACAGGGCGTGGAAGACGATCGACCGCGTCATGCCGGCATGGAGCGACAAGGTCGCGGACACAAAGAAGGGTGCGCTGTGGCGGCCGATCCGGAAGCTGCTCAAGCAGGCAAGGCAGAGGAGGGCCGAGGCGCAGATGAGGAGGCTGGGCATCAGCGACCGCGGCCAGCAGAGCAAGCCGAGCCAGACACAACCGGCGAATCCACCGCAGACCCAGGCAAGAGACACGGCACAGCCGCAGCCCGTGGCAGGAGGCCCTTCTGTCTACGCGCCAACACCACCGAACGCCGCAACGCCGTCGCCCAGGCCCGCGGGAGCCACGCCGGGCAGGCCCCCTGCGAACCCTGCCACGGAATTGGGGCCGACGGGAATCCCGTTGGCGCAAGAGTTTGGGCCCGTGCCAGACGCTGCGGCGGTGCCACCTCCCTTTATTTTACAGAACGGCCATCAGCAGCAATGGACGATAGACTTCACGGACATGGCGGACGCGCCGCTGGACACGATGCTTGGTGGTGGTGGCGGTGGTGGTGGTGGCGACGACTTCGACATGATGGACTGGAGCTATTGGAACGATTTTGTGAACGATGCGAGTGTCAATGTGGAGGGTCAGACTCCTTCTAGCAGTGAGGGAAAGTAGGGGCCTTTTGACGCTCGGCTGTCAGGCTGGTGACAGTCATTTTGCCCCAATTGTACATTACTTGTATATTGAGAGGTTGGATAGCGGCGGTAAGATGATGACAGAGGCCAAATTACTGGAAGGGACTGTAAACGGAGGGCATCAGGTTATACGGTCAGGGATCTGGTATACACACAGGGGTGTAATTCAGCCTCCTCTCACAAATATCGAAATTAATGAGTTTACGAGCCCCAAGTGATGCGGGTACAATACCAAAGTCACAAACAATTCAGCAAGCCGACTTCCGTCTCACACATCTTGAGTGGAGAGGGCAATGGCGCCCATGGAGCGTACTTATTTCATTCTTTTGTGGATTTCATTCCATTCCTTTTGCTCATGACCATTTCAGAGCAAATGCTAATGACATGCCGTACCCCTATGAACACCGGGGAAACCCATTGGACTTTTTCGTTTCGTCCATTGTTGCCGTCACTACCAAGGCCATCCACTCGCTCTCCACAACCGACCTGAGAAAACCAGAACCCAACCACCAGTAAGCACCACTTTAGGCGAAAGTCGAGGGTCGCTTCGCGGAGAAGACCTTCTTGGTGGAAATCTTGGGGATACGGTGGGGCAGAGGGAAGCTCAGGTTCTTGGTCAGGAGCTGCTTGATGTAGGGGCGCTTGACGTCGTCGGACTTCTCAAGCTCAACAACGCGGAGGATCTAACCCAATCGTCAGCTGCTTATCCATAGGACATTCCTGGGTTTCAGTTTCGGGGCGCGATGTGCAGTATTGTACGTACGTGGATGGACCTGAAACGGGCACGGTGGCGGGCAGCCATGTCCTGGTAGAGAGCCTCAACGGCCTCGGTACGGGACATCTCACGGTACTCCTTGTACATGTTGTGAGTGCCGGAGCGAGAGTCGTAGCGGATCCAGATACCGAAGTTCTTGACCTTCAGGGGGTGCTTCTCGTGGATCTGTAATTCAAAAATCGCATGAGTCACTATTCCTTATTTAAACTTGCCTATTCTTTCTCCTCTCATGTCGCCTGGTATATTCTTCCCGTGGTCACAGTGATTGCACATACCACGTTGATGCTGACGATCTCACCGGTGGCCTTCTTGACCTTCTTGAGACCGCGCATGAAGTACCAGTATCGCGACTTGGCGACGACCTCGTTGGGGGCGAAGATCCGCATGCGGTACAGAGACGGGGTGGGGTTGGTCTCGGTAGGCAAATGCCTGCCGATGACCTGGTACTCCTGGAGACGACCTGGGCGCAATCATGTTAGCCAGCCAAACCAGCTAAGTCGATTTCGTGAAGGACGTGGAAGTAGGAGCGAGAGTCGAGTTCGAGAGTCGAGTTGAATTGTTGATGGCAGTGTTCGAAGGCCTGTCGTCGATCGGGATATTCGCGTTCGAGATCCAATCCACCATGCAGCGCTTTGCGCATCTTGCCAAAACTGACATCAACATCACACCGTCTCTTGTTGCGATTTGCCCGGAAGTGGTTGTCGATGTCGCCCACACAGTAGCGTCCGTCTGTGGCCGCTTTATGCTTTCCTAGCTTTTCACCAAAGGCATCGTTCGTTGTCGTCTGTCTCGGTCGGTGTCTCTCGATTTCGGCCTCGACTTCGCTCCCGATTTTCGCTCCCGATTTCACGCTGCAAAGGTACGGAGATGATGCTTACCCATCTGCGCGACTGATGTTAGTATTTTCAACCGGCAATTATGTCACTGGAGAATCTCACTTTGATTGATTGTACCGTCGTGGTGTCGCGGGTTAGTGGTTGACTGAGGGTTGAAAGTGGTTCCTAGCAAAGTCGAGAAATTTCATCAAGGCAATTCAGAGATTTGTGGTTTGGTGCCTCGGCCACTGATTGGTGCTGTTCGGACCCACTCTGTGGCCTGAGCGGCGAGGCAGAAATATCGCTGGCAGGGGGTGGGGATTTTCTGCCAGCTGCGGCAGCTGCAACCCAGCTGGCGCGGCAGCAGCAGCCTTGCCTGGGTACTGCATGGGTAGCTGGGGGCAGCTCAACTCACTTCAGGCCAGGGATCACTCAGCATTCATGCCGTGGGACAGACAAACAAGTGAACAACGTGTGGCGCAACAAAGGGTATCACCCTCAGCCATGACTTTGGCCCTTTCTTGAGGTAAACTCAACTCATTTCACTCGAGTTTTCGGTGCTGCACAGCAGCTGCCAGCCCAACCATGGACTTCATCTTCCAAGACTTCAGCACAGCGACGGCTGAAGGCAACGGCTACCAGCTGGCTCAGACCTTGTCACCAGAACTGCCCCCAGAAACCCTGAAGATCATTTGGAAGAGTACCAATCACAACGATGCGAGGGGTTATATACGGCGAAACCTCAAGAATGGATCATCGCCACTCAAGTTCTCGAACCAGGAGATCGATGCCTGGACTGACATCTATTTGTCCTACTGGACCGCCGTGGGCGCCATCCTTGCGGTTCAGGGCAACATCATTGCCCCTGGCAGGCCATCTTGGACCACTGTGTATCAGGCCTGGAAGGACATGACCCTGCTCATCAAACGCGGCTACCAAGAGTTCGGCTTCGAAGCCTGGACGATACCGTGCCTGTATGTTGCAGGGAAGTACTTGAGGGTGTTCGCCATCAAGGCAGACGATGAGCGGGGTGCGAATGCTGCAGATCCCGGAGCTGCAGTCTTGGATGACTTTGATCCGGAGATGGAGGCACATCAGACTTTGGAGGAATGCGCGCGCCATCTGAACGGGCTGTTCTCTCTTTGCTTGACAGACCGGTACGTGACTGACAATAGGCGTTTACTTGTTGATCTGCGCTAACTCAGATCAGGGCACCGCTGCAGGAGTCAAGGAAATGGGCGATCTACTTCATCATTAATCTCCTATTCAAGACGTACTTCAAGCTCAACAAGGCCAAGCTGTCCAGGACGATTCTAAAGAATCTCAGCGCATACCAGGGGAACATGCCCGATCTGGACCAGTTCCCAAAGTCCCAGCAAGTTACCTTCAAGTACTATGAGGGCGTTTTGTTTTTTCTCGAGGAGAACTATGTGGAGGTGAGATTGCCTTCAGCATCAACGAGACTCGTAGCTGACCATTGAGCAGGCCGAGAAGAGCCTGGCAGAGGCGTTATCTCTCTGCCACAAAGATGCACAGAGGAACAAGGAGTGAGTGAAGGCGAATGCTTCGTGGCAACACATAATAGACTAACTTGGCTTTAGGCTAATTCTGACCTATCTCATACCTTGCCACCTTCTCACCACACACACTCTCCCGACCCAGGCACTCCTGGAGCATTACCCACGGCTGCAGAAACTGTTTCTGCCCTTGGCCCAGTGCATAAAGAAGGGTGACCTGTACGCTTTCGACCAGGCACTGAAGGAGGGTGAGGATGAATTCGTCAAACGCCGAATCTACCTACCCCTTGAACGAGCTCATGACACCTGTCTCCGCAATCTGCTGCGGAAGGTCTTCATCGCAGGCGGAATGGCTCCAGACGTAGACCCGCCTATCCGCCGGACGCGCATCCCCATCGCCGAGTTCACAGCTGCCATCAGCTTGAGCAGCAAGCAGCAGGTTGACTCGGATGAAGTTGAGTGCCTGCTTGCCAACATGATCTACAAAGTGAGTCGATGCTTGTTAACCTGGACAATCACATGCCACGTCGCTTTTCAAGCTTATCATTTCCATTCTCCGCACCTGCACTCTGTCCATGTGTTCCATACCATCTTGCCGTTCACTCAACTGACACGGTTCTTCAATGCAGGTGTTCATGAAGGGATACATAGCCCGTCAGCAGCAGATCGTGGTGCTGAGCAAAAAGAACGATGCATTTCCGGGTACAGGAGTTTGAACGGAACATCCGCAGCCACGTATCTTTTGGCAAATCTACGGCCATCTCAACAGATCGGTCTGATGGTATACAACCGATGTGCTCCTTGCTGGCAACCTGTTGCGCCTCGGTGGGTTGCACAAGGCAGTATTGTCAGCACTGACGCAAGTGTGACTGACGCTTTGCCTAGCCTGTGCGGCCATGGCTGGTGTCACATCGTTTCCCAATCCTACAAAGTGGGCTTTGAGTTCTCACAGCTGTGCTTTGTCAAAACACTTGACGCCGAATGGACGGAGATGCTGTTCGGCAGGCCAAAGCCCACATTAAATAAAAGTTGATGCAGCCATCAATCAACAAGAAACTCAATTGAGTTCTCCCAGGGGGCAGTTTTACTTTGATGTTCCCCTTGAAAGACGCACCAGAGTTCACCATCTACGCGAATGATCCCTGACTGTCCGTGCGTGGGCATTCACACCACCGTGAACACGCGTGAACGGGAGCGAGGCGGAAAAGGGCAAGGGCTGCATGCAACCACTTAAACTCAGTCCTTATCGCGTGAGTCACTACGCGGCTCTTTTTGTAGGACAATACTGCGGCCGGTTCGAACATCTGATTCCCAACAGGACTTCCCCGTCGCCATCAGCAAGTCACGGCTGATAACATCCCGGCTCCTAACATGTTCTTCACTATTACTTGGCTTGGACTTCGCTGGTTTCAATTACCGAGGAACTGGGGTCTTGTTTCTTTGTTCACGGGTCCTCCTGGATTCTGCAGCGATTTGTGAATCAGTGGCGCGGGCGGTGGTGAGAAGCAGACTCAATTGTGGACTCTGGCTCTCCCGATCTTCCTTGACTTGCTGCGGGAAATCTACCAGAGCAACTATTCTGATAAAAGAGTGTCAGGAATTATACAGTAATGCTTTTAGTCTTGCTTCCAATCTGCCCTGTTGATTTGCCCCTCCCCCTGCTCTCAGAGCAAACCCGTTTTCCTAGCAGTAAAAGCCCTGCCGTTAGCCAACGGTCGCCGTTGCCATAATGATACCTAACGGCAGGACATGAAGGTCCGCATTTTGAAATCTAAAATAAGTCATCAAAGGACCGTCGCCCTTCATCGTCCAGTAGCCCTCGTGAAATTCTAATAATACATGTCGTCGTAAAAGATATCAAGGGAATCAATGAGAAACACCGAAGTCAAATGTCTGATGGCGCCAAACTCCTTGCACTCTCGCCTGTCTAGGGTCCTCGAGATGTCCGTGTCGTCTCGCTAAGCAGTCCGCAATAAGAAAGGAGAAAACAGGCGTCTTTGAAAGACTCGAGTGGGGACAATCAATTGGCAGAAGATACATTGAAGGAAAATAAAACATTGCTCATTAATTCCAGCCAATGACATTGATGCTGAGGGGTATTCTTTTTGAAGAGTTTTCCAGGAGTGAGATGGGTACGCAATCCAAGAAAGAAACAGATGACAAGAGAGATCAGAAAGGAGATGATGGAGAGAAAGAAGAAGAAAAAAAAGGAAACCACACGTGAATCATTCTAGATGAAGCGGTTGCTTCGAGGCGTGGTCTGCGCGCTGGAGGAAACATCGTCGACGTGGTTGCACAGCGCCACGAACAGGTCAAAGAAGAGCTGGCTCCCGCCGTTGTACATCTCGAGCTGCATGGTCCCGCTCCGCTTGAAGGTGGAGCGGCTGCGGATGATGAGGGCAAGGTAGTGAGCCCGCAGCTTGGAGTCAGAGTCTGGCGTATTGGCGTAGGCGTAGCGTGCCGACGACAGGATGGTGCTGCACTGGATGCCGGTCTGCAGCCCCTGCTTCCGCAGGGCGACGCGCTTCAGCTCCTCCAGGCCGTACTTGTCCGCGACGCAGTAGATGACCGTGTCTTTCAGCAATGGCCCGCTGGTGTCCTGATGGTAGATGGTCGACTCGATGGAGCTGCGACCGCCGCCGTCGGATCTCTGCTCAATCTCCCAGGAGTTTCGCCGCTTGTTGTGCACGAGGCGAGGGTAGTAGTCGCCTTTGTACATGTACTCGAGGACCGAGGAGAAGATCTCGGGTGACTCGTCAGGAAGAGCGATGCGCTTGGTTGAGGCCTCGATATACTGGCCTTTCAGGACGTTGGCGAAGTATGGCGAGTTGCAGAGGACATCCTCGTGCGCCGCGAAGATGCGTTGCTCGTGGCCGATTACGAGTGTGACGATGGGGCTGACAGCACTTTGGATGGGATTCATGTTAGAGTGGATGGCATTATGCAGGTTGGACTGAGAAAACACTGACCTTGATCCAACTGTTGGAGACGAGTCAGCAGTTGATGCAGTCGTGGCAGTGTTTGGTCGGCGACGCGGCTCATGGCGACGTTTCGAGACACCGGCCTCGCGGGTGAATGAAGAGCTTGATTTGCCATACTTTGAGCCCTTGGAAAAGCTTTGCTTGGTTGAGTTTGCCCGGGAGAACATGTTGGCCCTCCTCCCTGTCCGCTCTCATTGACCAGGGTTGTGATTCCCGAAAATAAATGGTGAAAATCTCAAATAATGCAAACGAACGATGGAGCCAATTCAAAAGAGTTGGGAATTGATGGAATAAAAGAGATGTGAAATTGGATGGATTGATGAATTGACGGAGCGATGGTGGATGATGGATGGAGAGAAAGAACCTACCTCAGGCAGCAAGGCAAACGGAAGGGAAAGGGAGGGAGATTTCTCGCACATGCGAGGAGAGGCGGGAGGCAGCCGTGGTTTTTATACTCTGGTTCGGGGCGACGCCCGCATCAGGCTTGATCAGCGCTGAGTGTCCCAGGTGCATCCGGGTTGGTGATCAGAGCGGCCAGTCGCGATAAGGCAGCCAGCCAGTCGCGTCCGGGAAAATGTCACTTTGGATCCCTGCGCGATAGAGACGCCTGCTCACGTGATTGGGTTTTGTGGGGCTGTGAAGGCAGGGCGGGCTGCTGGTTGGGCGGGCGCTCGGTCGGGCAAAGACTCATCGGTGCAAGTGTGAGACCTGAGATTAAATGAGCAGCAGGGTTCTGTAGGGGCCAGACAGGGTGAGAGGCAAGGGATGAGACTGGGACCTGACTCCCATTTCTTGGTTGGTGGTGGGTGTGACAGTGGTCACGTAAGCAGCCCCCGTATCCCTGCGGCTCAATCTGCACGAACACGGCCTGCTCCAACACGTAGGTTTCTTTGCACAAAAGGACAGAGAAACGGACTAACGAGACACTGACATCAGCTTAATTGCGAACCTGATCAAATTCTCGTGAGATAGCTTCGAGGGTCTTCTCTCATGATCATGGCTTGCAGCTTCACTTTCCCCAAGATGGTAGCTCAAGCGTCTATCAACACTTGGACACAAGCTGCAGTCTTCGTCTTCTCGGGAGAGAGCTCTAGCCATGCTCTGTTGCATAGACTCGTCTTGTGTCCTGCAATATCGATTTTATCCTTGACTGTGCTTCGGGCCCCATCTAGCGGACGTTCTTTAGATGGTTTGTAGTAGCAGCGAGATGGCACAATGAGTCTTCCGCCGGTCCCAGCACGCGGTGCGTCGAAAGTGACTAGCGTAGATGTGGTCAGCCATTCAGCGATACTTATGCCAAGACAGTCTCTGCGGAATCAATGACCTAGTCGTCCTGAACCATCTCCTGCAGAGTTGAAGGTGGCCATGAATGTCGAATTGAAGTCGTCGTAGATTCTCCACGGCTGCCAAGATCGTCCATGCCTAACAACGTATGGTCCTGGCGGATCCTCAACTTCACTGGCCACGAAATAGGTCTTCTCTGTTTTCCAGGCCAAGAGATATTCAGAAGCGTCGGGCTCGAAATTCAAGTCCTCCTTTTTGCTTCCATAGAAAAGCACATTACGGTAGAACTCGGGCTGGAATACATCGTCGCGATCGAGAACATTGGTGTGGAAGTCCTATAGAGTAGACTTGGAAATATTTTGTTCCGGGGCAGTGCGATACACAAGGGTCAACACTGGGCTACGGACATCGAGAGTGGTGGACTCAATGCCCAAATTCTAGCGTGCGTATAGCTTGTTAGCGGGTGGAAAGAACTTCACTGGTTAGTGATGTTCTTTTTGGTGAGTTGAAGGAAGAAGGAGCATGAGATGTACAGAAATTGAGTTGTGGAGACGCGAGAGAAAGTTTGGTGGTTTTGGCTGTGATGTTGAGACTTAAGTGAGTTGGCTCCGTCGCTGCCACGCGCCCTTCCTAGAGTCGCCGAGATACCTGTTCTTGGGACAATCACACGTATGCGCACTATGGAGGAGCAAGAATGTATGGAAGCAAGCAAGGCTTGTCAGAATTATCACCGTTTGCAAACAGTACACAAGTACTTGGATGGGAAGGGAGACCGTACTTTCTAAAAGCCCCGCCCAACCAACCAATCAGATCGTCTAACTCCCGAGATATTCCCTCATACTCTTGTTGTTCTCTGAGAAAAGTAAATAGATCGCTCTGAAAGAATCAAGGAGCTAGAGACTGTTGATCTTAATGGCTTGGCTTGCTTTTGACTCATCTAGCTGGTCTCTTTCAACAATGGACGGATATTCCTTCAAATTGATATTGATACAGCGTTGATCTTTCTACTCTGATTGATGTCGTCCAGCGAGATCTCTAATGTGCCAGGAACAGAAAGCTTTTGTAATTTAGGATTTGGAGTTACTCAGTCGAAATTGAGGTCTAGTAGGAACAGACTCCGATCAGATCAAAATGTATCATAATGAGCTGGCACAATAACCGGTATGCTTTGCAAGACAACTCGCAGATGTCTGTTACTGTTACAGCCAATGATGTACTCCAGTCGAGAAGGACTCCCACGAAACCTGCAGTCAACGCATGCACCCTGTTGCCGTAGCGACGCTGATCAGCATAACATCTTGGGTAGAAGAGATCTATTTCGTGAGGCACTTTGATAATCTAGCATGGCTTAAAAAGCCCTAATATGATTCACATCTCCTAACCCTTACTCAAGGTCAATAGCATGTGTTGACACCACTGACCGCCCATGCTATCCTGAAAGCTGCACCAAAGGACCACTAAGGCTCTTCGCAACAATGGAAAATACGCTTCGTGCTGTCTTGGACATTTGAAAAGTTCCCTTCTGTGGTACATCAGGCGGGTGCATATTCGATCTCTATACGCTCTCCCCGGACCTTGCTATTGAACCACTCGAGAATGTCGATTTCTTCACCCACGTTTGTTGCCCCATCAAGCACTCCGCTCTCGAGAATCGCAGCAGACGCTACATTCAGCTCCATCATAGCCAGATTGCGCGCTATACAGGCTCGGCTTCCAAGTGAGAATGGGATCAGGTCACGATTCATCCTCTCCAGCTGTTCGGGAGACGATTCGAGCCATCTCTCAGGCTTAAACTCGTATGGGTCCGTGAACACGGCGGGATTGTGGTGAATCGTGTGGATCTGCACCGAGACAATCGTTCCTGCCGGCAGGTAGTATGGACGCTGTGAGGGCTTCTGCTTCCCTGCTGCTGAAGGTTCGCCGGTGAATGAGAAGCCCGCTGTTGGTGTGAACACCCAGCCGCCTTCAGGAACCACTCTTGGGAGCCGGGTTGGATTTGCCATGCTCAGACGAAGTGTCTCTCTAAGACAGGCGCGCAGGCAAGGCAGCAAGGACGGGTCATAACCATCGTCGTTTTGCTTCGCCTGTAGGACCTCTGCCTTGACTTTTGCATATCTGTTATTGCGTCAGCCTCGACTCCTGGATCTTCAACACGTAATTCGTATACTCACATCTCTGGGTGTTTGGCTAGCTGCCAACAGAATGTGCTCAAGTTCATCCCACTGGAGTCTGCGTCGTCTGAGTTAGTTGTGACGCCTCGAAAATGAAGTACGACCGCTGCGTAGAACTCACCCGTCCCGGCGAACATCAGGTCTTTCAATTGCGCAGCTACCTCCTCCCTGCTTAACCCAGCCCTCAACATCCTCGCCTGGTACGTCTCGTCCCCGATGTCTGCTTCGTCTACCAGTCTTTCAACAAATTCTTGAACGCTGTTGAAACTGGCTTTTGTGTCCTCGGTCTCAAAGAAATAGGCCGCCCCCTGCTCAAGCGCCATGAAAGCCCAGGTCGGAAGGAAGAAGAACCTGCCCACGGCGACGAACGCGTTCACAAACTCGCTTGCGCTCAATTTGCCCTGGGCCTTCTCCTCGGCCTTCTCAACCTCACCAATGCCTCCGTAGTTGACCCCAAAGAGGTACGCTGTGACCGTGTCGACGGCAGCCCTCCTCGCCGCGTCGAGGACGTCCACCTTCCTGTCCCCGTCCTTGGCCGCATCTCTCTCGCGCTTCAGTCGGTCCACCAGGTCCTTCGCGACAGCATTGACCCTCTCCTCGCCCTTTCTCAGGCTAGCAGTCGCGAAAAGAGGCTGCACGCTCTTCGCCCGCGGCGCACGGTGAGATCTGTCCAAGGCTGAGAACAGGGAGGGGAAGCCGTCAATGTCGAAATTGCGGTAACAGGTGGCTTTAGGAAATCCGCCATTGGAGCTGTAGATGGGAGCGAGTGCAGCACCGTCGGCGATCAGGACTTCACCTGGGCCGATGCGCAGAATTGGCGTGTTGTAGCGGCGGAAGAGGGAGGTGAGATAGGTCGCTTCATCGCCGACGTACGAGCGCCACAGAAGGGGAATGTTGGTGAGCCTGAGGTGTAAAGGACCAGGCAGTTTGGACAAGGGGTGGAAGAAGAGGCGATATGTGGCAAGGAATGTAAAGGATAGAAAGATCAGAGTGACAGTGGTATAGAAGGGGCTGTCGTTATTGATAAGGGGTGTTGATGGCATGTAGAAGGATCTCAGCGCCATGATTAATATACAGGCACTTGTAGCTACTTGGTGACACCGTTTCGAGATGACAATCAGGATATTCGAAATAAAGACGTATTCGACAGAAGCAAAAGCTATCCTTTCGAGGGGAGGTCAGATAGGAATCGGGATAGCGCCGTGGGAGTCATCGATGACTCCGGAAGCTAAGCATTCGACAGTGGGGGTGCCGATCGGAGGAGCAGCTTCTGCCGGTCCGGATCAGAACATATTCAACGGCAAACTAAATCAATCTCACGCCTCCAAAACATTACCCGCCTTGAGATCTCATGGTACAAGTCACAATACCAGCGGTTCCATGGACTCTTATCAGCCATATCGCAAGACTCTACTGTCGTAGATTGGCAAGCGTCGCAGCATGCCTGATTATACCAACAGCCTCTGACATAGAGTCTAAAGCCGCAAAAACAGGGCGAATCTCGTAGTATGGCAATATATCCTCTAACTGTTCCATTCTGTGTTCCTGTGGGTTGATTGTCGTGGACGGCCTTTCCTTATTGATTCCACTGCGACTTGTCACAGTCAGTCCCCAAGGCAACAATAGCCCTACAAACGTAATGCGCACAATGTTCCAGGCAACGGCGGCTTATACCCCCTGTGCTCAATTGAATGCTCCTGAGCCACTCGTTGCCATTCGAACACGAGTCCTTGGGAGTTGAGAGTGACTGTCTTCCACGATAGGCTCCCAACCTGCCGCACTAGGCTAAGCATCTCTAGCAGCATTTGCCTGATATCTAACAGCGTTTTGTCGACTTCAGAATTCGTATGTACCATGGTGAATGGAGTCGTGAATTCGAGGGGCGAGGCTCTTTCGAGAAAGGCCAGAGATCCCCATACTGCGTGCTGCTCCCCGAAGATCTCTTCAAGACACCCGAACTCACGCAATTTCCCCCTTGCCGTCTCTCTCCTATCATTCCATGCCCTCCATACTCTTTCGTTATCTCGTTTGTGCAGGACAAGAACCGGCCCTGCCGCCTTCGTTTCGCGGGTGTGACAGGCACAGTCGCGGTCGTCGAGCTGACGGACAATGTGGCTGAGAGCAATGCGCGAGATGGTGTATGTGCTGTGGTCTGCGTTCCACTGTCTTGTGAGGTGTTTTGCGGCCAGTTTCTTCTTATGAATAACCTGAAATAATTGCCGGGTCTTCGTTCCGTCTGCTAGAAAAGTGTTGATGGCCTGACACGAAAGACAAGTACACTGAGGACTTAATTCCGCCCGGCGAAGGTTTCCTTTCCCTGGCTTGCGTCCCACTATACAGACCGTGTAGAGGACTAGTACACCTAGAAAAACGTCCCTCAGAATTGGATCTATTTCCCTCCAGTTCTGGTCGTCAGGTCTTCGATAAACTCTGAAGACGTCGGCGAAGAAGGGGAGCCACAGCAAGTGGAAGATATCGCCAGTGAAGCCAGGGCCCCCTGCACATAGTCTTCGGAGCGCGAATTCACGAAGGAACTCAACAGCTTCCTTGTACCATCCTAGCTGTACCATGTTCGCAAACATACCGCTAATCTCGTCCCGTTCCATCGGCCTGCGGCTAGGTGTTTCTGAGGCATTGTCGAAGGTGCCGCCTGCTATCTTGCCAGCCACATTGTACTTGGAGAATTCGGTGATGCGTATTATGTCGGAAAGACGCAAGAAAGGGAGCGCATGGTGACGGAAGCAATAATACCAAGATCGGATCACGCTTGGAGAGATATTGCGGTTGTCCAAATGCACGAACATGTGCAGGACGAGCCCAAGACAAAATTCACGATTGCGCACTTGAGACTCAATCATTGTATGTAACCTAGACTGAGATGTGAGTGTGCTCAAGAAGCGATGACGGGTCATGGAAGAACTGACTGCGTAGCTCTGTCAAACCCATGGTGGTACTCCACGCAAATCCGAATTACAGTCCCTGCCTCTTCAAAGCCCAGATCGCCTTCAGGGTAGCCCACAGCTGCCTCGATGTTGCTGAAATAGTCGTCGATCAAAATAGCAACAAAGCCGTTCGGGTTCTGGGCAACATCTTTGGGTGCTTCCAACACCCATAGCGCGTCTGGGAGTCGCTTGTTCAAGCGCAGCAGATCGAGCAAGCACCTGAATCCTTCTTTGAAACGGTGCATATTAAACCCAGTAAGAGACAAAGCTCTCTTGAGAAGTCTGAAAAGCTCGACCGAAGGCTCTGAAGAGATAGTGGCTCGATCGAAAAAATTGTCCTTATCATCGAGAAGTATACTACATACTAGTAACTTGTTGTCAACATTAGTGTCGACGTTAGACCGGCTCTCGTTGAACTCATCAATCGCAAGGTCAAGTATGTAGTTAGCATGCCTCTCAGCTGCAAGGTGTATAAGAAAACACACGATCTGGTTTTTGAGCCATTCATAGTTTTCATCATCGCGAATTTCTAGCCGCACGAGACTATCCACCAGAAGGTCTTTGCGGTACAGCACAAAAGCCTGGTGCGATAACTTTATTAGCAATGCCAACTTCCAATAATTGGAATGAAAGTGAGCCTACCACGTCACATTCACTATGAGACGAGCTGAGGACGTCAAGGCGGGGCATGTTGAAGTCGACGAGTCTAGGGCGACCCAGTAGATCCAGATACTGCAGAGTCTCTTGACCATGGCCGCCGAGGGTTCCGTCATATTTTATCATGAAGATCTCCAGGCGCTCGTCCTTCCAATCCGTCAATTCTCTCAAAACCCGCAAAACAGCCAGGCTTCGCTCATCCAACCTCCCCATGCTCACCAAAGGAGCGTCGAATTCAGGATGGCTGTCGGTTTCCCAGAGAATTGAACTACCCGATATTTCCTCAGCTTTCAACATAGAGTCCATTTCGGGACTGTTCTCCAGGGTCTGGCCGAGTTTGGCGGGATCCCGCCTCGCAGGGTAAATCAAGGCATCGGGCAGCCCATCCGTGACATTTGCCGACCAGCCCAACACGATCTGTTGCAGAATATCGTGGGATGAGCCGTCTTGGGCGGTTCCAATCTTGTCAAGCTCAGACGCGAAATTGGCCCTCAGGCCCTCGGCCGAGCTGATAGGTACCACAGAAACATCGTCGAAGGTCATGTTGCGACCAAACTTTGACCAACGCAGCCTGGGGCGGGTGAGAAGGCCTGATATGGTTGTAGTGCAAACGGCTGCGATCACGGCTCGGTTTCCGGGACCGCTGCAGCTGTACGCATGATAAAGAGTTTCCACGATCCCAAGCAACGTCCTGCGACGTTGATGAATTTTGTCAAACGAGTTCGGGCTGACCAATTCTGGAATAATGAATGAGAATAAGTTCTCAACTGGACGCGACGCGACACTCGGGTCGTTAAGCCTGGCAGTTGGTGAGCTGAGCTCTAGGGTTGGGGTTTTGGCTGAGGCTGCAACCTCCTGGCAACTTTCAATGACATATAAATGTATATTAATATATATCCTAGTACATGCTGTCTAAGAAGGTTGTAATGGAACATGTCTCTTTGATCTGTTTGTTTTGAGGTCGTTCGTTGACTTACATGGCTCTAGTCAGCCGACTAATGGTCCGAAAATGGTTTAACAATAATCCGTATAAGACTTTGAGATCACACCACGTAGAGGAGTCCTTGATTTTCGTTACGGACTGTCACTTCGCAGAGATAGACACAGAATTCGATTGTTCAAATGACGACCAGTGTAGGACTACTTATTATCAGCTGCTGCATCCTCTGAGTACCTCGTACGGATGACCTTCGCCGTATGCTTCATAATGAAATCGGCTACGTGAGCCCTCCCATTCATCGCGTCACTGTGGAAAACCCTAGGCACAACGACCGTCTCGACCGGCAGGTGCAATTCCATACACCGTTTCCGAAGCTCTTCCGGGTGACTCGGAGGCACCACTTCGTCCCTGCCGGCCTCAAGAATGAAGATGTCAGGTGGCTGGGCACCCTTTTTCAGCCGCTGCATAGCGATGGTGCCGAGATTCTTGTCGCTGTCCAGGAAATTTCGCAAGAAGGGGTGGAGGTATTGATATGGCAACCACCTCTCAGGATAGAGTGACGCGAGCATTGCCTTGACGGACAAGAACGGCGTCTCAAGGATCAAGGCTGTTGGCTCCAGGTGGGACGGAATCGCGCCAGACGCAGCGAGATTGGTGGCAAAGCCTGATCCAATGCTCTGACCCCAAATGAAAACTATCGGCTTCACGTCCTGACTGCCGTTCTGAGCCTTCTGATAAGTGTTCTCATGTAGCTGAGATATCCACTTCATGGCCGCAATAGCATCTAGGTTGATACCAATCTCGTTCGGGGTGCCCGCCGAAGTCCAATACCCACGATAACTCAAACCGACTTGGGTGAAGCGGGCTTTCCCACACCCGGGATAGCCATCTTTGAAACTTGTTTTGATTTTCCTCAGGATCCAAGAATGATCCGGCAAGCGAGGTGGCAAGGACGATGCGTTCCCTGGGCCAGTTAGTGGCTTTGCGCACGCAGTAGCAGAAGACGAGGGAGGAAGAAGCAACCTTGAAGGTAGAGGATGTAGATATGGTGAGAGACGCCCTGTTCGCATGACTGATCGACTTCTGAGGAGACACTGGCGACAGCCAAGGCAAGATCTGTCCCGCCGACCGACCGCATGTGGATTTCCTTCCAGTTGATGCCAAACAGCTTACTTTGCCAATCTGCGATCTTTTCGAACCGTGCGGTCGGGGGTAGGAAGGGGGCGTAAATTATCTTGTTTTGCAGAGATACCATGATGAAGCTCTTCCACATGTACAAAGCGAAGAGCAGGCCGGTAAATATTACGGGAGGTAAGAGGTAGCTCGGGATATGCATCTGCCTTCTGTGGCAGACCTCGAGGTTGAGGAGTCCATAGCTAATCCTGTTCCTGGGCCACCTTGATGTTGATGAGAGACGAAGGCTTGGTCGGGCTGTCGTCGCCAGCGAGAGGCGACTCAGCATACTGCTATTGATGCTTCATTTGAAAGTCTGGCGTCACTTAAGGTTATCACAGGAAGATGGGAGTGGCATCTGTGGACCAACAGATGATAGTCTTCTTGGCGATGTTTTTTTTGATGGGAGCTGCGAGGTGATCAGGGTTAGGAGGGCACGATGCGCAGGGGGGCTTCCGTGCAGACGAGACCAAAGTCGTGTTAGGCAAAGCACTTGTTTACATATACACACAGGTATTATTTAAAAAGATTTGAAACCTGGGATAATGAGAATCAGCAGGCCGTCACTGAAACCAAAGATCGTCGCTGTGGCGGTGGACGATGATTGTAGAACTGCATGAAGGACCTTTGCCCTTTGCGGTGGAAGGGCAAGGGTGCAGACGTTCGCGCAAGCAGAGAGACAACATGAGGCGCATGCGCCGAGGTATGTACGTGGCAGACAGCAAAACCTGTGTCTTGTCCGGAGGTTTCTGCTCGATTCGAACCTCAAGGCTGGAACAATGTCTGATATGTGAGTCTGCTGCAAGCATGAGCTGTCTTTCAGCATAGCGCGCTACGTAGCAGCGAAGGGGGTAGCACACAGCCCTCACTTGGCTTACCATACGGTGTGCCATAGGTCCGTACAGCCCTGTAGAGAGCTAAGTCGTGCTGTCACTTGCAGATTCGCGCTTGTCTCGCGGTCGTCGCCACCAAAGAGGCTTTCAGGGCGGACACAGCTAAGCGGATCGCCCAGGGGTTTGGAACTGCTGGGCCGCTACCCCGCTATGATCGACAGCCGGACCCACTACCGTCGCTGTCAGAATAAACATTAGAGGTGACATCGCTGACCAACCTGGAAGGCGATCGAGGCAAGCAACCCAAACTTCACTGTTCCTCAAACAGACTCATCACCGTCGCAGTACTTATTTTTACACCGTCGCACAACCGAATCTGAGCCTGCGAGCACCATACATTACGCGAGAGACGAACTGACCTTGGCGACCGTGTTATTGCATCCGAACTCGACGTGTGTTAGCACAGCCTGATCAGTAATGCCTGGCGAAACCAACGAAGACAGCGCCCAGCCTCCCCACGTCGAGCTGGTCGACGACAATCCCACAGAGCGGCACGACGGCGAGCAAAGCCCCGGAATCACCAATGGAAAGGGCTGGGATGGGAAGCTGCGCATTCCGGGTCGAGCAAGCTTAGCCAACCCAGAGGCTCTGTCGGATCCAGAGTACTCGGATGACGACAACGTCGTCCCAGGACAAGAGATAGAGGCGGACGAAGGTCGCTCACCCCTTGCCAGAATAATCTCCACGGTTGCACTCTTTCAATGAGCTTGTATCCCAGACAACTAACGTGCGAATGTGACAGATCTCTTCGACGATGAGGACCTCGACACCGATGAGCTGATATCCATAAACTCTCGCATCCAATCCATCCCCAACCTGCGACTCGATCGGTTCAAGAAAGTTGCACGCCTGTGTCTGAGGCAAAACGGTATCACGGAAGTTAATGGCCTCGAGTGCCTTGCTGAGACGCTGGTGGACCTGGATCTCTACGACAACCTGATCGGCCATATTCGCGGGCTCGAAACGCTGACCAAGCTGACCAACCTTGACCTGAGTTTCAACAAGATCAAGCACATTAAGCGCGTCAACCATCTGAAGGACCTGACCGACCTGTTCTTTGTGGCCAACAAAATCAGCACCATTGAGAACCTCGAAGGGCTAGATAAGCTGCGCATGCTCGAGCTGGCGTCCAACCGCATCCGAGAAATACAAAATTTGGACACGCTGAAGAACCTCGAGGAACTCTGGCTGGCCAAGAACAAAATCACCACGATCGGCGGGCTGAGCCAGCTACCCAAATTGAGACTGCTCAGCATCCAGTCGAACCGGATCCGCGATCTGTCGCCTCTCAAGGATGTCCCGACGCTCGAGGAGCTTTACATATCGCACAATGCTCTTGAGTCTCTGGAGGGCCTCGAGACTAATACGAAGCTGCGCATTCTGGAGATCTCAAACAATCAGATCACCAGTCTTCAGGGCCTGGGGCCACTGAAGGAGCTGGAGGAGGTCTGGGCGAGCTATAACAAGCTCAGCGATTTTGCCGATGTGGAGAGGGAGTTGAAGGACAAGGAGAATTTGGAGACGGTCTATTTCGAGGGCAATCCGCTGCAAACTCGAGCCGAGGCTCTGTACAGAAACAAGGTTCGGTTGGCGCTGCCCCAAATCAAACAGATTGACGCGAGTAAGCCTGAGCTCTCTCAAGCCTTTTCTTCCATTCCCCGCGCTGACTGACCACGATAGCCTTTGTGCGGGTATGAAACCATTGACTGGTTCGCTGAAAAGCAATTTGATATTGCAGAGGAAATGATGTGGCTGAGTCAGAGCTATTAGCCAAACCGTGGTGTTCTATGGATTTCCCTTCTGCGACGCAGTATAGGCAGCCCACCTCTCCGGGCACGATTCTATTTTGGAACGAGACATGCATTGAAAGGCGAACAAGGTAGAGGAACAGGATCAATCGACATTGCCATCCCAGCTGGCGAGACATGTGGAAATGGCTATGGGTAGAACGTCATGACAGACGGTTAAACTGCACTGGCCAGAGATAGAAACGAGATTAATCCACGCACGTTGACGTCCTTCCCAAAGTTCTAATTGAGACGCATTCTATATGACTAGGCTCACATTCGCAGTATCTACATGAAGAACCCCCTCGATCTAGCCGAAGATCCAAAGCTTCTCGGTTGGGAAGTACTAAAAGGTCAACAACATCAGCATGGAGTTCCTCCCAACTGTCACAAGTAGGCAGGCAAGGACTTACGTTTGTTGGCTGGTTGAACCTCAGGTTCTTGTCCAGAGCCGAGATGGCCTCGACCTCCTTGTCGTCAAGGTTGAACTCGACCGACGCGAGGTTCTCCTTCATACGCGTCTCAGAGCTGGACTTTGGGATGACAGCGACGCCGCGCTGCGTCGCCCAGCGCAGCAGGACCTGGGCGGGCGTCTTGCCGTGCTTCTCGGCGACCTTGGCCACGGTCTGCTCGGCCATCAGCGGGACCGCGTCCTTGGCCCGGGCCATGTCGAGCTCGATGAAGCCGGCGGGGCCGAAGCTGCTGTAGGCGGTGACGACGATGCCCTCGGCCTTGGCCGCCCGGAGCAGCAGCTCCTGCACCAGGTAGGGGTGGTGCTCGACCTGCAGCGTGGCGGGCCGGACCCTCGCGTGCCGCAGCAGGTCGTACAGCAGCTGCGCCTGGAAGTTGGACACGCCGATGCTCTTGGCCAGCCCCGCGTCCGCGAGGCCCTCCATCGCCTGCCACGTCTCCTGGATGGTGGCCTTGCTCGGCCGGATCTCCGTGCCGGCGTCGTCGACGAACCAGCCTGGTGGGTACCGCACTGATGGGTCGACGTACTCGAGGGCCACGGGGAAGTGGATCAGGTACAGGTCGAAGTAGTCAAGTCCCCTATTCTATCTTGTCAGCGAACTGTTACTCGTGACATATTCCAGCATGTTTCTGGAGCTGTCTGGGCTGCTCTACAAGTCGTCGCCCTTCAGACTTATACGAGGCCGAAAATCGCTACCGGAATTACGCTGATATGCACAACGCGGTGCAGGAAAAGGTTATGAGCGACTGACCAATCTGCGAGCTGCTTCTTGCAAATAGGTGCTACCCGGTCGCCATCGTGAAAAGAGTTCCATAGCTTGGAGACGATGAAGAGCTCCTCACGCTTGACGAGGCCATCCTTTATGGCGCGCGCCACGCCTTCTCCGCACTCCTTCTCGTTGCCGTAATCTGCAAGGCAAGCATAGTTGTCAGCGGAATTCTGTGGTGCCTCAAGTACCTTAAATGCAAGGTATCTCAGCTATAGACGTAGGTGTAGACGTATGAGGCTCTATAAGCCGTCGGGTGGAGACGCAGCGGTGTGGTGGGGCACCGTCGTTCATTCCCCTGGACCCTGGCTGAATGATGAGGGGGCGGGGTATTCTTTTCTGCTTCTTTGCGTGGCATTTTTGCCCTGTACAAGCCGCCACATATCGATACATGTCCTTTTCCTTTTTGTCCCACCGTGGCTAGAGTGAACTTACCGCAGGCGCCGTCGAACAGACGGTATCCGACCTTGATGGCATTGTAGACCGTGTCGGCTGCGGTCGCATTGTCGACTTTCCAGAGACCGAAGCCCACAAGGGGCATCTCATGGCCAGAGTTCAGCTTGACCGTAGGTGACACCATTTTGAAGAGCTTGTGGAATATTTCGTCGGTTCGATACAAGACAACCGTTCTGGGAGAGCCAAAGTCTATGCGAAATCAGTCAAACTGGAGAAAATAACAGCATAGAATCCGAGAGTGAGACGAGAGGGACCGGAGGGACGTCCATATCCTACTTATAGGAGATAGGACCACCCCCGTTGATCGTTGACATGTGGTCACCAGACCACAGAGCCGCAATAGCCAGGCCATATCATCTTATTTACCCGATGGTTCCACGAGATTCTTGCAGGAACGTGTGGGCATTCTAACAAGGCGATCCCAGCAGTCGACACAAACGGTTGACATGCCCAGGGACAAGCGCAATAGGCTGTGTTCTAGATTTACATGGCGGTATTTTACTTGTGCGCACGAACGCTCTTCAAGAGCGCTACTTCACGACGCTGGACGGTTGAAAGCATGGAATTTGCTTGAATCACTATATGGTATTCGGTATGGCTTCACTTTCTCCCGAGATCGATTAAGCTCCAACATCTAGCGAACCCCCACGTCCAGATGGTTGGGGGGTACCATCAAAAACGTCATGACGGATGAGAAGCGTTTAAGAGCAGGGACCGGTCATTCGACTATGGAGACAATGTTTTTCCAACAAGAGGAGCCGCCTCGTCCTCCTGACCACCGAGAGTTGACGATCTGAGAATCCGAAAGGGCCTTCTTCGGCGGGAAGGGATCCACCCACTGCAGAGGCTCCACTGTGCGTGCATTTACACGGGCGGGTGGGCCCCGAGGATTTAGCCTAATTCGACTTCACCCACAATCTTGCAGGTGCGGCTAAACCCAAACACCCAATATCTCTCCAGGCTCTCTCCCTCGACAACGCCGCCACGCGGAAAGTGCACGAATGGCGGGGCGGCCTCGTCCGGATCAGCATATCACCACTGCTGTAGTCGGGCCGGCCTGGGCCTGGCTTGGGTGCCTCTTGGACGCGGGCTCAGAGATTGCGATGCACGTGGGAGCATCGTGAGTGAGAAAAGTGTCAAGATACTGCGAGCCTAGACGATACGGCCGGGAGACGTGCCTCAACCCCAATCTCAATGGAAGAGTGCCCAGGTAGAGGCTTTCAGCTGGGAGAGATTCAGATGGATGACAGCCAATGTCCGGCCACGGCCACCGGAGCAAGGAGATTTTAAAGACGTACCCTTGAGGCAGGGCAACTGCAATTGGCACCGAAGCCAACGCCACAAGGGCGCGCAACGACGCTTTGATACGCATCCTGGTGGAGGTCACGGCTCACGACGATTCCGTTGATCCGGACGAGCGTCGAGGAAGAAAGATTGACTCGGGCACACCAAAGATTGAATGACCGCCAAGATGCAGACGTGCCGGTGGTGAGCGACCAGGCTGCTCACTGCTGACAAACGAAGGACTATGGTTGATATCGCCGCAGTGGATGCGAAAGAGGCGAAGAGATGAAGGAGGTGGAAGAGCAGGGAGAGTCGAGTGCGTGAGAGAGAAAAGAGAGTGGTTGAGGAACAGAGGGACGAAGATGGAAGAAAGAGAGACGAGTCGCCCTGAAGGGAATCCTCAATTGTTGAGGGAAGGAAAAGGGAAGGGAAGCAGATGGTGTTGTAAACGGAAGGAGCGTTGCTTCCAAGAAAGGAAGTCTCGTGAAAGTCAGGGCCGCGGCAGCGTCCGGTTGCTGCCCGTCGCTCCTTCTCTCTCTTCCCTACCTGGTCAACCATACGGGGGAAATCATCTCGGCAGGCTCGATCTCAAGGTCTACCAAGAAGCGTGACGTCGGCGAAAGCCATGCCACTCCGAGTTGAGGATCGGGGAGACTGCTGCTGCAGATGAAAGGGACACTGGAGGCTGGCGTGTTCTCAACAGCAGTCTAACGGTTCCAGCGTTACCTCTGTGCTCCTTCTCGTCAAAGGCACATTATCTCTGACGCGGTGAGACTTCGGATGCCACATTGCCAATGATATAGATAGTGTCCTGAGCCGCTTGATGATCTCGCTTCCAATGGGTGCCTGTCCTGTGGAAACCATAGTTGCAACGTGCATCTCTTTCGCCTTGCCACGCTGCTCCTTGCATTCATCTCGCAAGTCTTGGGTGGCATACGCCTGCCCATGGAGCCGGAAAATTGGTGCAATGAGACGGAGACAGCTTGCAAAGAAAATAGACCTCGTTCTGCAAGAGCTCCTTCGGAAGGTTTTTCCAAGGGGGTAGCAAACAATGTTCCACGAGCCCCCTTTCATCTGTCAATCGTGCATTCGAGTCCTTGTGCTTGCGTCACACTGTCTGACATATCAAGACTTCCTCTGGCAAAAAAAAACCCACTCTCGAGGACCATGTGAAGGAATGAGATGAGCGTACTGCCAAGAGCCCATGCTTGGTCATAACACTCGACGAGTCTGGGAAATTCGAGACCAAAGTCCTGACGGCATTTGTAGAATTTGTCTCGGATAATAAAAAAGACTCAACTCACGCCTGTACTTAGATGGGATCATCCGAGTACGGTGGTGGAGGCTCGTCGCGCTCTTCCTCTGCAACTTCTGTCCGTTCACTTGCCTCCGGCGGCCCAGCCCGTCCTTCTTCTGCCCTGGCCCCTTCTTCACTTGGCCGGCCCCTCGTCTTGTTCTCCAGTTTCGAGACCCACAGGCCACATCCTGCCGTGGTGGTCAACAGGAAGAAAAAGCTCAGCAGTGGCACCAGCTCCAATATCATGGCCATAGTCCCGAACCATACATAGTCCCAGGAGTATTTCTTCGCCTCCTCTTTCCTCTCTCTTCTGCTCAACCCTCGCAGCTTGAACCACCTGTGGTGACTCAATTTGCCTAGCCTTGTCCCCGTGATGATGATATAGGCCGGTGCACCAACAACCGGGATGAATGTGAGCGGCAGGCAGACGACAAGCTCGAAGATCTGGGTGAAGCTCCAAGGCGAATATTCAGCGCGGGAAGTTGGCTTTCCTAACATCTTGACGGAATTGGGGCCGTCGGGAAAAAGTAGGCGGTGCGGCGCGACGAGGTCAACAAGACCGTGATCAATTAAGGTAGCCTTAAAAGACAAGACGTTAGACCCAGTAGTGAAATATTGATAGAGGGCAAGACTCACATCGAAGACGTCCACCCGCGCCTCGTCGACAAAGAAGCCCTCAAATAACGCCTGGATGAGAACCAGCCCTTCTCCCAACGTCAGAACCATCGCGCTGAACCATGCGCCTCTACCTTGCCATATAGCTAGGAAGGCAACTTGTGGGAGGTAGGCAAATAGAAACAGAATCAAATAAACAGTCAGCGACACCAGAGACAATGGTAACAGACGACCAGCCCAGAGTGGCCAGAATTTGCCCTGCTTTGAAAAATACCAGATGCCCTGGAGGGGATATGCAGCTGATCGGAACGCACGCCAGATGTAATCGACGAACTGCGAATTCCGGATGCGGCCCGCAAGGCTTGCTCGAGGACGGTCGGGCGGCATGTTGGACCTTTCTTGTCAGGTGTGTTTGGAGTCTGTTATGGCGACGTCGAGTGTCAGTCGAAGTATCTTGCGAATTGCACGCGTGGTCGACGTTCCAAGGTTTTCCAGGATGACGTCCCACCTGTCAAGCAAGCTCTGGGGAAACGCGGCAGCTGACAGACCCTTGGCGCGTCCTCCAACCCCACCGACGGAAAGCTCCGAAGGTCACAGCGACACCACTGCCGGCCTGAATTTCCCAGATAATAATGCTGCCAGTCGGAATAGCAAGAAGAGGACCTTGCACGTTGTGTCTGTTCTCCTGCCATATGGCCCCGGCTTGAGTCGTTAGGGGCATTGGGGGAACATAATAAGGTTTTGTCGTGGGACAAAAACACAACGGACGTCTCTCCTGGCTTCAAATCCACTGCAGCACCTCGTCACATTGAGCATGCGAGTCTGGAACCCGCCAGCAGAGCGCAGTTCGCAAGCCCACATCAAACAGTTGGAGAGATGGTGATCCTGACAGACCGCCAGATTGCAGTATTGTTAACTTTTGCTTGCGTCGTAGTGGCCCAGCGCTTCGAAGTCCATCAAACATGCTCACCAAACCCACTGGTAGCGTCGAGGGCTGTGTGCGCAAGTGTTAGCCAGGCTGCGAGGATCTACGGTCCTCACAATCCGACGCGCCTCCAAAATCATGGAATGGGCCCCTCGATTGCCAAGAAGATTACTGCATCTATTCTAACCGAGCAGTCTCGAAGCCCCCCCTGGGTCATTTTGTCTACTACTGCCGAGGCTGCACTAAGCTTGAAGTCTTACTTCCACATTGTGCCCAACGAGCAGCCTCTGTCGGCGTCTGAGCCATATTGTGTTGCCGAATTGCCCGGAAAGGGACGAGGGTTGATCGCAAATAGGACCATCTATCAAGAAGAACGCATCATAGCTGGAGATGCTATCCTGGCGCTCCACATAGACGCACATCTGCAACTTCCACCTGACAAGCGAAGACCCTTAGACGACTTAGTTCTTGAAAATCTACCCTCGGAGGCCAGAGAGGAATTTCTATCGCAAGTTGGCAAGGATGTTACCACTGTCATCGACCGTAACAGCTTTAAGATACACACAGGACGAAACAATGACGCCGTCAGATACGTAGGCGCCTTTCCTCAGCAAGCTCTCATCAATCATGACTGCAGACCGAAGTCAGTGTCATCCCCCCCCTCTCGAAGAATTGTGAACCTGACGCTCGCCTAAGTTTAGTCTTGCGTACCACTCCCGCGATATGACGCACATAACAACCGCTATGCGCGACATCCATCCGGGAGAGCAGCTCAGCTTGAGCTACATTGACGTGACACTTCCCCTTCCCCACCGATAGGCTCGGCTCAACACACTTTGGGACTTCAGCTGTACCTGAAAGCAATGCCAATTATCCTCTGCCGAAGTTAAAGCATCTGACTCAAGACTGAAGCGTATCAAGGCACTGGAAGAAACCATGGACGACCCGGCTACGAGCTTTCCGGCCGGTGATCTGATGGTTTAAGCCGGCGCTGAGCTTGTGGCGCTTTACGAACAGGAACGACCAGACGTGTATATCGGTTACGCGTACAGGAGGGCCGCGCTCAATTATGCCCTATTTGCTGACCAGCACAATGCACAACGTGCTTTGAAAGGCTTTAGAGTGGCAAGGCAGCAGGGAGCAGAAGGATCTTGAGAACATGAGGTCCTTACTGACAGACCCAAAGGGGCATTGGAGTTGGGGAAGGCTGGCTGGAGGATCCAAAAGTGCGAGGGCTTGAGCAGGCTCAGTGAACTCGACCGAATTTCAAACACACTTTTTCGCGAAGGATTCCTACAGGTTGTCAGTGGTCGGCCGTGGCTGAACGACCGACAACCCGAAGAAATGGTGGTTGCGATACCAGGGAATGACTTTTTAATTTAGGATGCGGGTATTTGCTTCGACACGGAGGAATAAGGTAGTTGAGCGCCACCAGTTGACCTGTTGGGGCAGTGTAAGCGCCCTCCAAATAGACAAAAGTGACCACCATGTACAGTTGTGGCTGATTTGGCGCCTGTGAGGGCTCAGGCTGCCGCCGAGCCTTCTGCTGTGCTTGAGTTAGGAATGGAAAATTTGCTTGCAAGTATGCCAGCCTGTTCAGGTGAATCGGCCCCCACTATTCGCGAATGGTCTATTAAAGTGGTTGACCTTTTTCAGCTCTGCTTCGAGTTTGGGTGGTACATGAAGAGGCTAGGTCTTTGAGCTCTGCCTTCTCCTCATGCACACTTCCTGTTCTATGATTCAACAGGAGAGGGGGGGGGGGTGATATATCGCACAGTTCCCATGTGATAAACTTGCTCTGCTGTGCTTACCCAAAACCCCTCGCTCTTCGGAAAGAAGAGAGAGGGAAAAGTCTCGGGGGTTATCCGCAGTATGCTGTGCGACCACACCCACATTACGTTAGGCACTGGTTACAATTTTGCATTTCCCCTCACCCAGAGTGATCATTTCCTCCAGGCATCTCTTCACCTGTGGTATACTATACGCAAATCATGGCAAACCGCATCCCCTACTTCTTCTACGCACCGACGTGGGACTTCCCGCCAGGCGGCCCCATTAGATTGGGCAACGTGATAGCATCGGTCAAGACCCCCGAGCTGCCGCTGTATACGGCCCAGCTGCTTACCGAGGACAAGTTGTACTCGACTGAGAAGCGCGCAGTCGAGTTCTCGTACGAGAAGCTGCGCGACGGCAGGTTCTCCATTGTCACTAGGATCATGACCTTTCTTGGCATCGGATTCGACGTGAGCCCAAGCGGCAGCAAGGGGTAAGTACCGACAAAATTTCTGGGATCCATTTGTGCATCGTTTCTAAAAGATGTGTTATCAGTAATGTCGAGACACTGGCTTTCGACAGAATCGAGACCACACAATTTTCTCCGCGGGAGGATTTCGTTAAGAGATGTGTCGAGGCTGGGCCTGTGCGCCGCTTTCTGGAAAAGTCCCGCTACAGAAAACCTGTCTATATCATTACTGGGCTAAAGGTTGTCACAGGCGCTAAAGCCGAGACCATTAAGTCTGCATCCTTTGGTGGCAGTTTGGGGTTAGATATCGATGCTACTCTCTGGAGCGGAGGCGTAGTTCCCGTGAGCGGGGGCCCTTCAATTTCTGGGACCATATCACAGAAGCAAGGCACGCTGTGGGAGGGGAGCAGTGACTTTGTTCTGGCGTACAGGGTGCGGATGGTGAAGGTAAGCAAGAAGGGCAGAGTGGGCCGTAGTGAGGATTACAAGACGGGTGCCATGCTTGATGAACATGATTGTGCGGCGATGGAGCTGTCCACTCCATTGCCGCTTGAGATTGATATCTCGGCGGAGGATGTGAGTGTGAGTGAGGAAGATGACAGCTTTGCGATGGTAGAAACAATGGAAGACGAGCAGCTCATCGTATGTGCTATACCAAAATCTTTGGACAAACAATAGATAAATACCACAAACAGTCCGCAGAGTTGTGCCAAGGAAAGAAGCCGATTCCGTGTGACTAGCAGCGACTCAATCAATTATTTTCGACATTCATGGTGTTGAATCTTAAGGAAGAGGGACGGTAGGCCAATGGGTAGAACATGGGAAATGCAGGCCACAGCTTTCCTCAAACGCCATGCGTCCGCCTAATTATTCAAGATGTCCTCGATAGTACGATCTAAAAACGCCTTGTCTTTCCCAAAGAGGCTGTCAGTGTGCAAGCTCACATCCACAAAGTAGTAGCCGTCCCTCAGACCGCTGCCCTGGCCCTTTTGTGCGATCCGCTGCAGCAATGCCACCATGCGACTACGACTTTTGAGCATGTGTGCGCTATCCGGGAGGCTGAGACGCACATACAGAAGCAGAAACGCGGCGATACCCACCATGATGGGTGTCGCGTATGACGTGCCTGACTTGTCCATCGAATACATGGCATCCTCTCCTTCCTCCGACGTGGCGTGACGGTTGCCAATACAGAGATCTACCGGCCACGCAGAATTAACAGCCTCACCAACGGTTGCGAGGTTGACGTCCTGAGGCGAGGCCGTCGGGCTGAAGGGCGAGCGGTTGCCGCGCGCATCAGTCGAGTGAACACAGACGACGTTGGCCTCGCGTGCCGGGTACGCACGACCACGCTGCCCGCCGCTGTTCGATGCCGCCGCGAAGAGCAGCACATCGCGGTAGCAAGCGTATTTGATGGCAAGCTCCAGCTTGTCATAGCCGTCGATCGCCCGTGTCGGGAAACCGAATGACATAGTGATCAAGTCGACATTCCAATCATCCACGGCATGATATATGGCCTGACGCAAGTTAGTGGCTTGGATAGGGAATGAGCAGGGACTTATCAAAAGAAGCAGCACTTGGGTGACATACCCCGGCAATAACGCGAGGATTAGCTGGCTTCCGGTCGGCGATTTTCACGATGTAGATATCAGCGTTAGGTGCGTAGTCAAGTAGCAGACTGGTCACAAAGGTTCCGTGACCATCGAGGTCATGGACATTGCTGTCGAGTCTCTCATTCAGACAGTTGTATTTGGCCTTGATATTTTCGTTACAAGCTTGTATATCAGGATGACCGAGGTCGATGCCAGTATCAAGTACTGCAATTCTCACGCGCGGCGTTGATGGTGCAGGGTCCTCGGAGGCAGGGATGAACTTGTCGTACACGGCTTGGTAATTTTCTTTCCAACGAGAATAATTTACGCGCCTGTCAATCTGCGTTAATTGTTTTTGGCTCCAAACCAAATTAAAAGATTGAGTGCCCAGCTTACGCTTCCCGGGAGGGGCCGCCTTCAGCCGCTTCGTCATCAAAGAACCTTGCTAATTTGTATTCTACTTCGTCGGCTAGGTTTGAAAAAGACCTGTGAGAGGTTCCGGGCATCGCTGAGCTCTCGTTACTTCCCTTGATCCCGTTCAAACGATCGCGGGCCGGGGGCAATACAGATGACAGAGGATGATGTGAGAATGAGGTCGATCCAGACTCAGGCGCCGCCGGGCTTGATAGTTTGTCTAGTGGACCAAGAGTTCGTCCTCGCGAAACGGGATATTCCCAATGTTTCCGATAGTTCCGTTCTTGCGCCGGCTGGTGTGTAATCGCTGTATCCCAGTTGCAGAAATATTCTCGCGCATCTCGGTCCAGATTGTCAATGGATATGGACCTATAACCCCATGTAAGATTGATTTCCAATGGCCGGACGACCTCCTTGTACAATCTAGTCCTTAGGGTGTGGCTGTCAAGTCTTGTGCCCCCCGTGTCCTCCCAAGTCGGTCGATCCAGACACTTTTCCACGGCGGAGGCAAACAGATCTGGCATCTCATTTCGGCGGTCTTCCGATACTTTGCATGCATCCATATATCTTGAGAGGAATGACGCATCGCCTGCGGTCTTGACATTGTGTTGTCTTGCGATAGTGTCCAATGGCATCCCAAAGTAGACCTCCATCAGCATGATCGCTAGAGTGACAATAGTGGGGCATGGATGCTGCAGAATCTTGTCAGGATCGATATCATCGCAGTCAAATTCATCCTCCGCACCACATGGGTCCGAATGAGCCTGCTTGTCAAACTTTAAACCTGGCGCCTCCGTCTTAAAGAGGCGCGTTTGGAGAAAGGGTTCCAGTGGAATCTTGGAATCTTCTGTGCGGAAAAACAGAATGTCTGACGAGCTCCACGTCGGCTGCAGCCAGGGCGTATCTTGAAGGTGCAGGACGGCATAGCTTAAAAGTACCGCAAGGATACGCCAGGTCTTGTCGTTGAAAGCGCATCGGCCGTCCTGCAGGAACTCGTACAGCGAGACGGGGCTCTTGGTCAGGTCCACCAGGCGCTTGCTCAGCTCCGATGGAAGCCACAATAGCTTGCCCTTCGTGACCTTGAGCTCTACTGTCCTCAATTTTTTGGCTCTGATAATGGGCACGCATAGTTGATTGATTGCTTGTGGTGGGGAAGTTGTCCTGGGTTGTCTCGGCGGCGCCTGTTCGTCGATGGCGAATTTTATTGCCCTCTCCTTGGCTGTGTGAACGCGCACTTCTTGCCAGTCATGGGTGAGGGACAGAAACATGTCAAATTCGACCTTCCCCTCCGTATCATCGTCGGCGCCAGACTTGCGGTAGGTGCCCAGACATAGCCTTGCACCATAGTCGTGTTCAGGTATGCATCCGCATTTTTGGCAGGCTGTCATGGCTTTGAACATGGCTTGTGCGGAATTCCATACCGAAAAGGACGGCTCACTAATCTTCTGATGTGGAGTAGCGTCTTCTGAAGTTTCGAGAAATCGCTCCTCGGGATATCGGCGTCGCACGTCACTTTCCCAGGAAGCGAGGAAGTGGATAAGGGCTGCGCGCTTGTCATAGCAATCACCAAAGGCAAGGGTCGAGCCTGTGAATTGAGCTCTGATCATGCTGTCCCGGTCCCGGACCTCGCCCCAACCAACACGCAATTCACGCAGACCATCCTCGATGGATCCTTTCGAGACGAGGATCTCTCCCAGCCGCATTGTGATAGAGTCGGCTAGATCGCAGGCCAGGCTTCTTCCAGCCCCGGTGATACGGCTCAGGTGGCCACTGATAAGCAAGCAGTATGCCATCAGGTTGGCATAGAAAGTCAAGAGCTCGCCATTGTCCGCATGGGTCGTGTGAAACCTGGCTATGTCGAAAATGGTGTCGAAAGCCGCTTGAACCAGAGTTATGCCTGCCTTTTTATCGGATCGCGGCATCTTGTAGCTCGCAAACATGCGAAAAGCTTGCTTTGCGGAGAATTTGAAGGGAAGATCGCATAGAGCCGTTGTGGTCTCACACGTGGTGCCAGTGAGACGGCCTTCAGCCTGGCCTGTCACGCGCTCTCGCCTCATGCTGTGTTACCGGAAAACACCGGGACTGGCGACGACCCCGCAGCAGACTTCGACGCCTCTCTCGTACGGACGTAGTCTATATCGTACTGCTGTCGTATGGTATGCTCAAATGTCCTTTCTTCTTCAATACGTGTTGCCTGCTGCGAACGTCGGGGCTATGGCTACACTTGTGATAACACAGCAGAAGCCAACCACACTCGCAAGTAAGGCCGAGAGATGCATCGCTTCCTTTCGAAAATGTCTTCAAGAAGCAGCATCCGTCCATTCGAGTGAGCTTGCCATTGTCGAGGGCCAACTAGCAAAATTTTCTGTATGGACCGGAAGTATGCGAGTCTTCGGCTCCAGGCGACAGTCTCTCGACCATCGACTCCGCGAGGCACAAGAAGTCCGAGATACCTTTGATGCACTGTTCGAGGCAATAAATCATGGCATCGAGAGTTGTATGTGTATTTTTTTTCTCACCCAGCGGCATGTCTTGGCTATTGCTGACCATCTGACTGCTTCGTGACCATCCAAGGCACGTTAGTTCTGGCAGCTTCACATTCCGAGCAACCTGATGGCACCTTGACAGATGTGAATCAAGCCTTCCAGCACGCTATCCGCGGAATCGCAGACCAGATCAGCCTACTGCACAAGTTATCGAATACAATCCGCCGGGCGAGCAAGGAGTTGCAAAATGTCGAGGCAGCAAGCGCACCGCGCATCTGCGATGACGAAGGAAACGACGCCGAGGATTTTCTCCAGCAGGTATTCGCGCACTACATCCGGGATCGCTTCCCCGCGATTAGTGAAACAATTCAGCAACGGCTGGCTGGAGCCATGGTCCTGCGACGGAAGCGGATTCTGTACCGTCGATCGCGCTATGGAAGCAACCCGACCCATGTCCAGCCCCGTGCTCAGCCCATAACCCGGACGCAGAAAGCAGACGCATCTCGAGAGACTGTGTATCCTCAGTCTCAGGCCCATAGCGTGAACAAGTCATTGACGCGGAGCGCGACGACGCTTGTGGCTGAGAAGTTTTATAAGGCGTCAACTCCGTCATTGGTGTCGGTGTCCAGGACGGTCGCGTTGAGCAGCCACGAAGATCTTGTGTTCCCGCCTGCTCCGACGGAGGTCATCAAGACCAAACAAAAACAGATCGTAGAGGAGCGAAAAGAAGCGCCCGAAGATGTCAAACGCCCCGTCGAACATCAGGATCGTGATACCAACGCAGAAGACAAAACGCCATCCCGAGACTTTGAGGACGACATGGATGATGTAGGAGAGGTGCTATGTCCCTTTTGCGTTCACGCGCTTCCGGTGCGGGAGGTTGTTGATGAGTCGAAGTGGAAGTACGTAACTTCTTAGGCGGCCTACCTACGTAGTTCATGATTTATCATTTCCGCTGACATCTGATCTGATAGGCAGCATATGATAGGCGACCTTGATGCCTACGTGTGCCTGTTCGAGGGATGCAATTCTCCCGATGAATTATATAGTCATAGCAACCAGTGGCTCGAACACATGCGTGAGCATACTTTACGATGGCGATGTGCTTCCAAGATTCATCAGGAATCTATGTTTACCTCGAGAGAAGAATATATCGAGCACATCAAGGCTGTTCATCACTCTAAGCTAACGGATACGCAACTTGGCTTGCTAACTGATAAAAGTGCACGATATTTGGGAAAGCTCTTCGAGTCCTGTCCCCTTTGTGGACTTGAAGAGGCCCGCGGTAGTATGGGGGAACACATTACCGGTCATCTTAGGCGTCTTGCTATTCTATCTTTACCAGTATATGATGCTGGAGGATCCGAAGACCCTGTTAATGCTAGCGCTGTGGAATCAACAATCTGCAACCGTAGTACGGTTCAAGACTTCATGAATGCAGGATCAGTGTCAGACGAGATTTCCTTGGGCGCTCACTTGGACCCCGCCGCCGGCAGCTACGGTGAAACCAGCGATGTTGGATGGGGCGAGGAGGAACATCGACAGCAGAGCGCAGATGCTTTGCTAGGGAGTGACGAGACAGGAGGCCCCTCATCAGGCCCGGAATGCTACAATGACTCAGCACATGTGACTCAGGAAGAATTTACAAAAGTCTCACCATCGACAGAAGCCGCCACAAGGCCTCCTGACCGCGCCATCGGCCGCGATGGACCTCGCAGGAAGGGTCATTGCCGAGCTTATGGATGTCAGAGACATCTCATCTTCGCCTGGATTGACGATATCAAGGTTAAGTCACTTTATTGCCAGGAACATACTTGCCAAGGCCCCCGCAGTGCCCTGAATGGATTTTGTGCGAGGCAACGAGATCCCACAGCCAAGTTCTGTCTCGTGCACGGAGAGTGCAAGATCCAGGGCTGCAGCCGTCAGGCCCCGCGGGAAATCGACCGTGAAGAATTTCCGTGGACCTGTTACCAACGTGAGTTCCCTGTTAGGATTATCTACCGGCGTCGCCCCATTACTGCTCTAGGAGTGCTAATCTTTTGCAACCCCAAATTTTTAGACCGCGAAATGATCGCACAAGAAGAGCAGAGAAAAGCCGAAGCAAGACGGTATCAAGAGGATCGCATCGAAGCTGTGATCAGGGCCGAGATTGAAAGGAGGTTCCGAACACTTGCCGAGGAAGAGGAGAGGCGCCGTCGACTTCAAGAGCAGAGAAAGGCGGATGAGGAGAAAGCGAAGAAAGAGTTCGAAGCCAGAGTTGACGCGGAAACCGCAAAGCGTGAAGCAGCACGCGAAGCGCGCACAGCGTCGGGAAAGAGTCAACAAGATAGACAGAAGGCTCATGACAAGAAAGTTGCCCACGAAGCTGTGCTTGAAGAGCGACGCATTCAAGCTGAAATAGAAAAGGAACAAGCGGAACGAGAAAACAGAGAAAAGAAAACCCGGGAAGAACAAGAGAAACGTGAACAGCAGGTTAGGGAAGAGGTAAGGAAGGAGTTGAGGCATCTACAGCTGGAAAAGGAACGACAAGACCAGGAAGACCAGGAAAAGAAGGGCGCGGAAGCACATCAGAAGGCACTTGCAGACCAGCATGATGCAGAGGTAGCCAGGATAGCTGTTGAAAAAGAGAAGATCAGGGCACAGCGACTTCGGGAGCAGGAGCATAGGATACAAGCTGAGGTTGACCGACGGTGGAAGGAACGTTGCGAAATGGAGGATGAAGATCGCCGTCGATTCTATGGTGGTTATCGGCACGTACGACCTTGATAGAGACGACTGAGAGAGGATCGAATTTCGTGGTTGTCAATGGTTCTGATATCAAGCAAGGTGGAGGGGGAGGGCATGGCAAGAATGATTTGTTCCGGGATCCGTGGTCCTGACTTGGCATTACCAAGGAAACCCCAAAGTTTGTTCGTAACATCAGATAGTAAGTTTCCTTGGGCACAGGAGCGGTAGGTTTCTTTGATCTTGCGGGAAGTTACATAGACATGCTAAGACAAATCGTACCACTGTGCATGATTTTGCGTAATCTTGGTTCGTAGCCCGGCATCTCCTCAATTACATTGCAAAAGGCTGGTTGGCCTTCTCGAAGCCAGTCACCTATGTGCACGGCAGTTGCATTTTCCATAGACACCGCGGGGTCGCCGTCCAGTCGAATCTGGTTTTTGACCTGTCAGTCCTCTTTTCTTCCACATACTCCTCGGTCGAAGATTCTTAACTCCGAGAAGCAGAAGACAACCAATTTTAAGATCATTAGTATATAGCCGCCAAATTCAGCACCTAGTATTGTTGCCAATTATTCTGAATATCGCTCCTCTTATAATCCATACCCTTCAAGATATGGCAGCCACACTCACTGTTAGGGTCCCTCACCTTGGAGGCATCGAAGCAGGTTATGCAATCTCAGGATCCGGTACTAAAAGTGCTTTGGATCCATACAAACCCACATGTGTGCTGATCAATGCCTTGCACACCACTGTTGCATTTTGGCGCCCACAATTCGAGTGTGAAGAGCTTGCGAGCGTGACGAATCTCCTGGCTATTGAACCTCTCGGTCATGGAGCTACAGTATGCTCTACTGAGCATTTCACCTACTGGGATACCGCGATCATGGCTTTGCAGGTGATGGACAAGCTCGGTGTTGGGAAAGCCTTTGCTATGGGGACCAGCCAAGGTGGATTCATAATCGCGCGTATGGCTCTTTTGGCTCCAGATAGGGTGAGCTGCCAGGCATTTCAATATTTCCCGTCTCATCGTGAACCACACGAAATCTTGAGTGTAACCTCCATCACAGATTCAAGGTATTATACCCATCGGTACATCAATGGACTGCGAGTCAGAAGACACCCGAAGAAAAGGGTCTTGGGATGCTCATGCGGTCTGCTCTCCGTACTTGGATCGTTGGTCTAAACCGACTCCAGACTTTATCATTGATGAGGACTGGTGCAGGAACGTTCCAGCGCTGGCATTTGGTGAGGGCAGTACGCCGGAGCTTTTACAGTTTTGGTTTGATACTTGGAGAAAGCTATACAGCGGTGACGAAGGACGCAAAAAGGCCAGGATGGCGGTCTTGTGCCTGCTCGAAAGAGATGGACTTCTGTCAAAGCTATCAGATGTTAAATGCCCCGTTCATTGGTTACATGTGAGTCAGTCCCGCCCCAAATCTTAGCTCGCTGCTTTCGCAGACAAGTCCATTGTCGCTGACGATAACCGGATGATATTTTAGGGATCAGAAGATGTCATATGGCCAGACACGCTAGCCCATGAGCAGATCAAGCTCTTCACTGCTTCTCCATCAACCAAAGTCACAGTGTCGGTCGGGGGTAGCCATTTCTTGAGTATTACTCGCGCTGGTGAAGTCAATGCCGTTCTGATGGAGATGATCGACAATTACTCCTGATTTCTTAGTATTGGCCCGGGCTCAAACACGAAATTAACTTGTTTGGAAGATATATGCGGTTTATAAGTCACGACAATTACTTTCTTTAGGATGCCTCCGAATGCAATATCCTCAGGAGACCCTCACAGCATTCTTCGCACGTCAATAATACAATACACATGCCAATACGCATGCAAAGTGACTCTGTAGACTAGGTATTGAAGGAGGAATTAAATTAAGAAACCAGTCTTGACATATGATCGGGAAACCAACGTTGCTAGGTCAAATTGGGATTGCCGGAGCAAAATTTGTGCCAGTGCACAATGCGTAGCGCGATGACCACTCCCAAATCCGGAGAGATCGACTTATTGAATTCTTCCTAGACCCGTTATATGTTGCATCCAGCCATTACTAGTTTGCCCCGGACTGGGAAGCTAGGTAACTAGACACACTTTCTTGACCGGTATCTCACGAGCTTCCGAGCCTCATTTCGGTGCGCGCTCACTGGCAGCAACGAACAGTCCAGCATGCCTTAGACGTTGACCGATTGAACAAAGGGTAACAAATTGGACAGTCTATTCCCTGGCATCTCCTCCTGATTAAATTCTGCTTACAGACTGATCCAACATCTCAGAATCTCCTTACCTGTAAAATCATGGTCAAGATACGTGGCAAGAGCTGGACGTTCGCCGCTGTGGCCTTGCTCACGATTCTCTTCTATCACAATCTACTTAGAATTTATTATGTGAGCAAGATCAATGACCTCCGGAACAACATTCTTCGCCTTTCCAAGAAGCAAGCAATAGATGCTGGGTTTGCATACGTGTTTTACGCAACATCTGTCTCGTATGCCTGCTCTGCCCTTGTTAACATCCACCAACTGCAAGCTAGGAGCAGCACAGTTCCTATCCATGTGCTTGCCTCTGAGAAAGTACCACAAGTCTACATCGATGCTTTTGCTGCCGCCGGGGCAACAGTACATGTGGAAAAGACGCCAGAGTTACGGCTGCAGCTCGGCCACTATTATCAAGACTGTCTTTTAAAATTGGTTGTCTTCAAGATGCACAAACTGGACCACAGTCTGAACCGAGTGCTCCTCGTCGACAGCGATCAACTCATTCTAAGGCACTTCGACAATCTCTTTTCCGACATACCCCAAGTGGACCTCGCTGCGCCTCGGGCTTATTGGCTATCACCAGAGGAGGCGGTATTTTCAAGCGCATTCATGTTGATTAATTTGAGCGACCGGCTCTGGGACAAAGTGAACAACACATTACCGACTGATGAAGACTCTGTCCAAGCGGAACCAAAGTGGGATATGGACATTCTGAACGACGAATTGGGAAGTACGGCCATGATCCTTAATGGTGAATATGTGACTTTGAACAGTCATTGGGAGGCCTGGGACCTACCAAATTGGTATCATCCAGAAGACACACAACACGCCAGACATGATCATTCAATTCTTTCGCGCCCAAAAATGGCTAACAAGTTAGGGCTACCAATCGAAACGGGCTCTGGCCCACTGGACGACGATCAGGTGCCTCTGGCCTCTATGAAAGCTGAAATGGCGTTTTCGGAGGAAAGTGACATATACAAGCAACTTGTGGAACTTTACGATTATACCTCCATAATCCATTTCACCGCTCTCGGAAAGCCATGGATGTACTCCGCCCAGGACGTTACACAGCTGCGGGAAAGAGCCCATCCCGGACTCGCACATCAATTCGGTGTATGGAGAGACATTGCCGAGCAAATGTGCCCTGAAGGATATTTGGTTTCGCAGTAGAAGCGATCATAAATGGATCAGCTTAAGTAAATCTAGCATTGACTTGCAGATAAATCAGAAAACATTTGCATTACTGGCGTTGCTTGTGGCTGCAGTCAAAATAGAAACAGGCTCATGAGAACGTTTCTGATGTGTACATCAATATACATAGTATACGTAGGTAGAGAGTGGTTTCAGGATGACCCCAACATAGCAAAATTCTGATCAACGAGCGTAACGAGTATTTCGAAACATATCCAGTTATGAACAATCATTTCTTTCGGCCCAGAATCACCGTGGCGGGGAAAACGAGATGAAATGTATCACAGCCCTCAGCAACAGCGGCTTCTAACTCTCTCCATTCTTTGCTTTGCCAATCCTTATCACCGTAGTGAAAGTGCCAGGAGATCAACATCTCCTTTAGTTTCTCCATGGTGTAGTCCTTGATGCCCCAACCATCCGGGTCGTCACGCCACTCAAAGCTGTCGTACTCACTATCAACTCTGGACGTACCCTTAGTTTTAATCAGTTCCAAGACGCCGGCCTCCATCGGCCACTCGGTTTGCCCATCAGGCACATTGATGTATATTCTCTTTACGTCCTGCCATTTGTCCCTCTCTAAAGGCACGAAGTCCAGGCCCATCCCGAGCTGAGAAGTTTTTATGCGCGCGAAGAATGTCTCTATCTTTTCATCAATTAGCCGTCTGTAATGCATCTGGCGGAATGCTTTCCATGCCGTGTCAGCACGCTTGTTGTCGCGGATTTGAGAGCTCGAAACACTGTAGAAGACCGCTGCGAGGGTGCCACCCGGACGGAGACTCGCGTGGATGGTGGCGATCGCTTTATCAATATCTGTCCAGTGAAGGCACTCGCAAGCGATGACCATGTCGACAGAGTTCGGCTCAAGGAAGTAATCCTCAGCCATCTTCTGGTGAAATAAAAGTCTAGTGCCAGGATAATGATCCGCCCTCAACATCCCCCTCGCCGTGACTATATTGCTCTCTGAAGGGTCGGACAAAATCATCTGTCCAATGGGCTGATTACTAGCCTGTGAGGCGGAGAGAAGACTGGCCGCACTGATTCCGCAGCCCGTTCCAAGGTCATGTGCTGAGCTCAAAGAACCTTGATGATATTCAAGCCATTCATGCCACAAAGAGTTCGGGTATGCTGGACGATATTGGAGATACTGTTTCCAATCATCTGCCTGCAGAGAGAAAGGCAAAGGTTTGGTGGTCTCGGACATTATAGCCGACGTGGTACAAGCAGAATTTGTGAAATGACTAGAAATAAAATCTGTTTTCAATGTTCAAAGAGACTGTGCCTAGAAATGGTTATCGGTAGAGAACAGTGCTCATGCAAACGAAGTTTGTCTCCACGAACAGCCTGTCTAAGTAGGTCTCAAGGCAGCTTGTGGTGTCAAGTTCAACGACTTTCCGGTTTGAGGGAGGATTGACTTACACCAGTAGTTGTAGAGAGGTGGGAAAGGCATTGTGATATTTAATGTCCGGACCCCAGAAGTTCGTAAGCATACCATCCGAAGCAGCCTCTAAGCTGACACTATTCAAAGCACATCTTATCATGTCTTTTGTTAGCTAGTACCCGATGATTCGGTGCCGTGACATGGCGAGATGCGGAACTTTGCCGTTGACATGAGCGAACCACTTGGCGGCGTCCTCCAGCATGGAACTACAATGTGATTTGATAGAGTCCCCAATTGAGTGGAATAAACTTTTGGGGTGCAGCAAGCTAGAACGAATAGTGCATCAGATCACGATGCCTCCATGAATGCTTCTTTGACGGCGTATTATAATCAAGTCAGCACTACATATTCAAATACTACCTAGGTAATATCTGCGTAGCCACGTATACCGGTGGGGAAACCCGCCGGTCCCACGCGCTCGAAAAATCCTGAGAGTAAGAATTTGAAATGCTTGCTGCATAATTGAACACATACAAGCTGATCTCCTATATATATATATGTATATTTCCAAGAAAAAGAGAAAAAAAAGAAGAAAAAAAACTATTGCACCCACCTTACAGCGTTGCAGCACGACCGTCGTGCGAATCCTGAACGCGATGTAAGCTGGTCTAATGACCATAGTGCGGGAGGGGCTGCTACAAATCCAGCGTCCTCAGGATGCCGACCTCCCGAGTCAAAGTTCTACTGTTCTAAAAAAAAAAAAAATTTACTTTCTCATGGTATTTGCCTCATGATTCGAGAGGTGCAGCTGGTTTTTATCAACAGCAGCAGTGTCAATATGTTGACATCAAGTCTGACCTCTGGAGCACTGAAATCGCCTTTGCCTCGGCCTGACCTCCCCCGAGCGCATTACCAAAGCCAGGGTTCAGGTTCTGTAACTGATGTTGATCTCGCGGTTGCCCCAAGTGCCCAGCGTTTGTCGGGCTTTGTTTACCCCTGTGCGATGACACCCGTAGACCGCTTTTTTGCACGACCAGAGCAAGTGCTACGACCAGGTATACACGCCAGAAGCTAGGCTGGCAGGCGGCGCAGGCGACCCGGCCCGGGCAAGCTGCATTCACCCCTGCGCCGTACCTTGGGTCCCAGGGAATAGACATAGACCATAAAATCCTCACGTCACCTCACGGTTGCGCGTCTGCATGTTCTTACAAGCCATATTCCCAATTCCCATCATCGTTAGATGAGCGACGATGCGGTCGAGCCTCACCCATCTCGTGCCAATTCTGGCGCTGGCAGGTGCTCCCGCGGCACATGCTCTCACTGATGCGGATTTCTACGGCCAATCGCCCCCTGTTTACCCAGCCCGTAAGTCAAGACACTGTGCTGAACCTTGAGGTACCGGGCTGACTTTTCTTGATGCTTTGCACAGCCCATGCCAAAGGTCTCGGCAGCTGGGCTTCCGCGTTCGATGCCGCGGAGGTTCTGGTGGGCCAGATGACACTGGAGGAGAAGCTCAACATCACCAGCGGCTACACCAACCCCGCCAATACTTGCAGTGGTAACACTGGAAGCGTACCGAGGCTCGGATGGCCAGGCTTGTGCCTCCAGGATGCGGGTAACGGTGTGAGGGCTGCGGACCTCACGAACTCCTATCCCAGCGGCATACATGTCGGTGCCAGCTGGGACCGAAACCTGACGTATCGGCGAGGGCTCGAGATGGGCAAAGAGTTCCGTATCAAGGGAGTCAACATCGCGCTGGGGCCCGTCGCCGGCCCACTAGGACGGACTGCACTCGGAGGGCGCAACTGGGAGGGCTTTGCCGTCGACCCATACCTGTCAGGGGCGTTGAACGCGGAAACGATCAAGGGCATCCAAGAGGCTGGGGTCATGGCGAATCTGAAGCATCTCATAGCGAACGAGCAAGAGACCTGGCGTCGGCCTTACAACGACACTGAGGCTGCGTCATCCAATATTGATGACAAGACTCTACACGAGCTGTATCTTTGGCCTTTTATGGACGGAGTGCGTGCAGGAGCAGCGAGTGTGATGTGCTCGTACAACCGGGTCAATAACTCGTACGGCTGCCAGAACAGCAAGCTGATGAACGGCCTCCTGAAGACCGAGCTCGAGTTTCAGGGCTTTGTCGTCTCGGACTGGAACGCCAGGACCGGTGGGATAGCTGGGGCTCTCGCTGGGCTCGACATGATCATGCCTAATGGAACTAGTTGGGCTGGCAACTTGACCGAATCAGTTAAGAATGGCACTATTTCTGAGGATAGAGTTACCGACATGGCGAACAGGTGAGGAGATACCCCCCTCATTACATTTATACTGAGGCTGACCCCGACTCCAATCAGGATTCTTGCCGCCTGGTATTTGCTGGGTCAGAATGAGACAAGCTTTCCCACACCCGGGGTCGGTATCCAAAACCTAAGTCTGCCACACGATCTCATCGACGCACGCAGCCCCGACGCAGCCCCGACCCTTCTAGAGGGGGCCGCGGCGGGACATGTGCTTGTGAAGAATATCAACAAAGCACTACCACTTCAGCACCCAAAAATGCTGTCCGTTTTTGGCTACGACGCCCAGGCGCCGCCTACAAAAAACATTGACAAGCTATTCGAACTCGGATACGAGTCCCAGCCGGAAATGGGTGATGCCGTCCTGGGTTTTGAGGCACACTTTTCACAACGGGCTCCTGATGGTGTCATATTCGCAGGCGGCCGAAGCGGTTCGAATGGACCGTCGTATATCGATTCTGTAAATCTTCCTGAGCGTGTCTCTAATTTGGTATTAGGATTGTACTGACTAAGAAAATAGCCATTCGGCGCCTTGACTCAACGCGCCAGACAGAACGGGACGTACCTGAACTGGGATCTAAGCTCTGGCAATCCGCTTGTCAATCCCATGTCCGATGCATGTTTGGTCTTTATCAACGCAATGGCGACTGAGGGTTGGGATCGAGATGGCCTGCATGACGACTTCAGCGACGGATTAGTGTTGAATGTCGCATCCAAATGTGCCAACACTATCGTTGTCATCCACGCTGCTGGCATCCGGCTGGTCGACCAGTGGATTGAGCACCCGAACGTCACCGCTTCGATCATAGCGCATCTCCCTGGCCAGGACATCGGCGAGTCCCTTGTAAGCTTATTGTTTGGCGAGATATCGCCATCCGGCAAGCTTCCATATACCCTGGCCCGGAACGAGAGCGACTATGGAGACTTGTATGAGCCATGCAAGCCTGCTTCGAAAGACGACCACTTCCCGCAGTGTAATTACACGGAGGGAGTTTATATCGACTATCGCCATTTCGACGCGAAGAACATCGAGCCTCGTTTCGAGTTCGGATTCGGACTGAGCTATACCACGTTTGAGTATACAGGTGGTTCTGTTCAATCCGCCCCGCTATCGAGCAATCTGTCACAGCGCGTTATTGCAAGTGATTCGATCTGGGAAGTAGTGGCCGCCGTTTCAGCTAGGATTACCAACACCGGGACCGTGACCGCGGAGGAGATTGCGCAGCTCTACATCGGCATCCCAGGCGGGCCGGCGAAGCAGCTCCGAGGCTTTGAGAAGGTGAAGCTTGATCCTGCGGAGGAGGCCGAGATAACCTTCGAGCTGACGAGGCGGGACCTGAGTGTCTGGGACGTGGATTCGCAGAGCTGGGTGATGCAGCGTGGGCGCTACGACTTGTATGTAGGCTCGAGTAGCAGGGACATCCGCTGGAAGGGAGTGTACGAGATTTGACATTCGTTCTATTGCTCTTTTGCTAGACGGGTGTGTATTGAGGAACACGATCGAACTTCCAGTGCGTGCTTCCTGAAAGTGATATGAGCCTGAGTGGCTTCCTTGTGCTGTCGTACATTCCCAAGCGCATTGAGTCCTACGTAATCATTTTGACGGTTCCAACAGGTTTCTCGATTTGTTTGTTAGCCTTCATGATTCCTCGCTCGAGCGTGCCAGTAATCGGAGAAGAAAAAAACTCGTCCCCTGCGCAATTATCTGGAAGATCAGACAGTAGAGCCATTGTGCTAGAGAATTGTAGAATTTCGACAGGGCCGTTTGAGGTATCGTCAATGGGAAGACACAGTCACAATGTGCCCTCACATTCGGACAGCGCTAGGACCGAGGGTTGAAGGAGGAGCGGTACGTGGACGGTACTGCATTCATGGGCGGCGGAGCGGGGAGGAGACGAGGAAAGTCATACCTTGCATGGAACGAACACCGGATCGATCTCTGCCACCAGGGAGGGTGGCTTCTCTCGTTGGCTCTTGACGAACTTGTTCGGGAAATCTCCCGCGGCCCGCCCTGACAAATCGCCTGGTCATCCGGGCTGCAAAGCCCCCATTCGGCTCACCAATTCGGCCAGATGAAACCTTGATCATTGATGCCCAACAGCGAATACCCCCCACACGTCTTCCGCACGCCCTCGACGGAATTTTCCTCTGAGTGACCGAGTAAGTTTTCGTGGCAGGCACAGGTCAGGACGGAAGCAAGTGCCAACACAGCTCGATGTGGAATGCCGCTTAAGATCCCGATGCGGCATCCAAAAAAAAACTTAAACTCTAATTATTCGCGTCATCGCTGACTTGAATTTGGACAAGTAAGCTTATAAAGGAGTGACGTTGATAGTGGCATGTCGTCCGAACTTTCACCAGGCATACTTCTGCTGATGAGTCCTGATTGGCGGTGGTTTCACATGGCACTACGCGTTTGTGCAATATTCATGTTGCGTCTCCGGCATTGTTTTTGGGTTCGGCGAGATCCGACTTTGAAGCGCCAATAATCACAAAGTCTTGCCCAAATTCCGGAAATGCGTCTCCGAAGGAAGGCTACGTCCATGAGAGAAAAGCATAATTATTTCTGCGTGTCTCGCATTGAGAATAGTGAAGTCAACACTATGGATTGTCAACAGGTCCTTCGTGACACTCAGGGTCGTGAACAACAGTGACAATTCCCAGCCGCGTGATTTATCGTAGTGACGTGATTGAGCAGCAGAGACACGCTGTATCCTACTTAATTTAAGTGCCTCCGAAAGTTCACTCACATCACGTACATGTACATTGGTTCTCGGGTGTCGACTGACCCGTGGCCACTGAGGAGTGGACGCCTACGCCGCGACGATGCTCTGCCAAGCTTCCTAAATGCATATACATGCGTTCACCATGTCCGTAAATGGACGTTGTGTGCAGCGATACGACAATCGGCGGCCTGGCAGCTGAATCAAGAGCCGGTCGTACACGATTGGATGCTGGTAGGTGAGGGCTCTGGGCGCCGTCTTCCAAGTTTGAGGTACGAGCCGGCCAGCAGAGTGATTCAGGGGCTGGGACCACCTGGACACGTTTGACTGCTGTGCTGGGGTTCTGTGATAATGCAAGCCGCCGAACTCTGCAGACGGCGTGACTAGGCCAAAGTAATTACCATCCCCAGTCTCCTGTAGCCCCCATTACCCACGAAAGATTGTTTTCATAGAAGCCCAAACTTGATGGTGCTGAGGATACATCTTGGATGGAAGCTGGAAGACGACCAGTTTTGACATTGTGCGGAGGTGCCACGGGCACCTAGATCAAAGCTGCTTGATGAAGGGGTTAAGAAGGTATGAAGTCTGGGAAACATCATGCCTGAATTGAGTTGATGTTCATGGTGCTTCGGAAGGCACAGGAAATACCGCCATTTACATACAACATGTGTTTTCTGCATTATCCAAGCAATCACTGCCGGATAATCTGAGTCAGTGGGTGCCACTTGATAGGTGGTGATAGATTCAGTGAGGTACGGGAAGCCAGGCGAGGTCGGAAACGCGATGCGAGATGGACGAGTTCAGCAGCTTTCAGGGTCCCACCCACTGAGCAACCAATCATGTGAATGAGCCGCTATGGGGATTCTGATCTTGGAGGTGTGTCCGGTGTTATCATCATCGGCTGTGCATCGGGGTCTGAAGGATGACAAAGAAAACCCATACCAGATTCAGATCGTAACATCGAGGAGGATAGCCCATCGCCCCTCAGATCCGTGCAAGGTTGTGTATCATCTCTGGGCGCAGCCCGCATGTACTGACGAAACCATGACTGGGAAAACAGCCTTGCCGCTTTGATGATGCCTATGCCAAAAATCAAGTCGAAATGGTCACTTCTGGTACTTCACGTGTCGACTGTCTTTCCTTGCCAAATGGTTGCAGAATGCGCAGAGGAGGCAGAGATCGGTATATGGTGGCATTTTAGATTAAGGTGTGAGTTCCCAACCGTCTCTTGAGACGACGACTGTCAGGATGAAGAACTCTGGCCGGTTGCGGTGGTATTGTTATGCATTCTGCATGTATCTCACTCTCGGTTCTGCTAAGTTCGGTGGGAGAACTGGGTGGTCCCTGGTTTAGAGCTTGTCGATCTGTTGTGGGCACTGGTCACGGAAGCAGGGAAGCGTTGTTGTGTGGCCTGAATAAGTCGTCCAAGACAGTGGGAACACCCACATCGACCCATCAAACGGCGCATCCACAGGGGACTGCTCATCGAGCGCATCTGTCAGATGGTGTGGGGCCCTGTCAGTCAGCGGCATTGGAATCTTGATCCTGGGTGCAGCCTGTTTTCTCGGGGCGCGACAATCTGTTTCGACAATATATAGCCTTTGTTCTATTTCCGCGGCTCCCTTCTGAAAAATTGCCATCGAGATCGCTATTTCTTCCCTTTGCCCGTCGCATCATGTTTGCCCACGGAGAAGTTCCACTCAGATTCGAACCTCAAACTTAAAAGGACGCTTGGATTGACCTATCAGGTCCTCTGATTGATCCTCCAATCAGAAATTCCGGACACATCGCCGCCCCTTTCCTGCTGATCATTGGTTACCACGTCTACTGTCCTTCTTCCGGTATTATTACACTGGAGGTACGGAATACTTTGCTGTTATCTGGGGACAAGAGTGGTTTTTCTCCCTGCCTTGAGGAGAAGTCGGGTTTCGCCTGAAGATCAAAGACGACGCCAGTGATCCGGTCAATCGCTACTTTTGTCTTCTTGGTGCCTATATTGCAGTCTGTGATCCGGCGTCGCTGTCTATGCGCAGTCTATTGTCCAAAGCAAACAGCCCCACAGGCATCAACCTCTTTCAGGGCTGCTAGAAACCTAGGATCTGCACTAGAGACCAACCTTGGAGGTCCCTTGGAGCCCCGGAAAGCTTCTAGAATCGCACTATCAACCTCATAAAACGCCCAGAAAACTTCCCGGTACTACAGTACTTCCAAGACCGCCAGGCTGGCTAGGAGAACCCCTTGTGGGTGGATTCGCTGTTCGAACTAGTGGGGGCGCATTTTCTCCTTCAGCTACATCTAAACGGTACTTTCTCGGGTTTTGCATCGTTCAACATTCCTTTAGCAAAATCTGAATCTGTCGGCTTGGGGCTCTTGTTGAGACCATTTGGCTCAAGACAATGTAGTCCCTGCAGATCAGAGGGCGAGAGTGCTCGGAAAGGGAAGACACTCGCTAACATCCATCTGACAGCACGGAGTTGCTCCGATCCAGCCCTACGTTCTCCCCAGTATTATTTGCAGTCAGTCTTGCGTTGTCTGCATATTTCACGGGCGAGGGCCCTGGCTCACCCATTCATCACTCGCTGTCCTCGGCTTATGGCCTTGCGTGATTAGGTGCGTCTCTCGGTCAAGTGTGACGTACACTGTCCTACAATTCAGGCTTGCTGATCCCGACGCTCAGGACGCTTCGCCTGGGAAGCACTCCGGGGTCCATTGGCCACTCACATTCTTTCTAACTACACCATGCTGCAGGACATTTAGCATCTCATCGTTGTTTTGAATAACCCCAAGGTCGTCTCTGTCTCTCTACACAGTGTGGTGTGGTCCCGCTCATCGCGATAATCATTTTGCCACATTCGTTCGGTCCAACCCTCCCTCGCACCGGCATTCGAAAATCGACAGGCGACGATTATCAATCAAGAATAGACGCCCAACGATCAGCATCCCCCGAGACGGAACCCTTGTGAAGTCATCAAGCGAAACCTGCTTGTACAAAGCATGCTTGCCACTTGTTAGACAGCTTCGATATCGATTGCGACGACTCGCCCCGCCCTGCGCCCAAGCCACCCGCACCAATAACAGTCCTTAATACCCTTTCAACAAGGACACGAACTTCTCAGGATGCCTCCTGAGACACTCCAAACCTTACAAGATCTGGAGATCACGGGCCCGGCTGGGTCTGAACCAGATGAGACGCCGTATGGGCCCACCGAAAACGATGGACTCCCAGCCCAAATTGGACCTCTCGTTCCGCAGCCAGCTCCAGAGGCACACCCATTCACCCAGCCACTCGCAGCATACGACCAATTCTATCCGCCGACCTTAGGTTCTTTCGAATATAACAGCGCCAGCACAGTCCCGATCGACCCAAGACTCGTAGATGCTCAGCTTGGCCTTCCGGCAGCCTCTGGGCCTGGTGGCGGTTTCACCGGATTCCATAACAACCCGTGGGGACCCCAGTCGACAAGCTCCGTCCCCTTAGACAACCCCATCGTGTCTGCTGAATCTTTACCACAATACAATCCCACTGTGCCGCTCGTCCCTGGGATGAGCAGCTTTGAGCCCATGGTGAGGACTGCCTGGTCGTCGGATGGGAGCTTACCGCCAGCACCAAGGGCCACGACGTCGTCGAGCCTGAGTATGTGTGACGTGTCTACTCCAGCCAGCAGCCATAGTCCGGGCTCTCCGAGCAAGATCGGTGGCCGCATCGCAGAACCACCTCCTGCCAGCACAAAAGCCTCGCCGAAGAAGCTGGGTATGCCTTTCGAGCCGCGGGCGGAGCATTCTTCCAAAAAGAAGAGGAGGCAGTCATCCGGGCTTACTTCGACACAGACCAAGAGCGAGGGGGCAAGCCACCGAAACAACTCCGTGCCAAGTCTTTCTTCGAAGCATCCACTCGCTCCAGCCGGAATGCCCATAGGCACTATTACCAGCAATGACAAGAAAAAGCAGAATAGCCCTAGCAGCCAGCAGACGAAGGCGACCAGCAGCATACCCTCCCAGCCTCCTGCACCGAGCTCCTCGAAGCCTTCAGAACCAGACCCACGCGCGCGCAATCGAGCGGCAGCCAACAGGTGCCGCGCCAAGAATAAGGTCGCCGTGGCGGAATTGGAGGCCACGGAGAGGGCCATGAGCACCGAGCATCAGGAGCTTACACAGACGGCCAGGAGCCTTCGAGAGGAGGTTCTCACGCTCAAGAACCAGCTGCTCATGCACGGCAACTGCGACGACGACGTCATCCAGCGGTACCTGGCTAACTCGGCGCGAATGGTCGGCACCGGTGTTATTGGGCAGAGCCCAATGCTACCGGGGAGCATGTCAACAACGTACCCCGCTGGCAGCTTCCAGATGGGGCTCCCTAGTATGCCGTCTTCGTCTTCACATGCCTCGACTGCCGGAGCAGCACGCGCTTCTCAGAAGGACCGTGCAAGGAAACACTGAACGTGGTATAATTGAACGAGAGAGAAGCAATGCCAGACAGTGCAGATGCGTTTTTTGTTTTGAAATATTGGGATTCCACATGCAACATACACGAGGCGCCTAGGCGATAGCATCGATACCCCAAAACGCACTGGATGTGCATTGCGACACGACGTAGATGATTTGGCGGAACAAATTCGTTGGAGGAAGAATGGTGACATAGGGAATAGGTAGAGGGATGGTTCTGGTGTCAATGGGACATGGCTGGATCACTCGAGGCAGCTTCTGGCCGGGTTTGGATCCGAGGGTATGGACGGAGCATACTCACACCGGTAGGTCACTGAGGGAATCTCGAAGGCAATCTGTGGAGGAGAACTAGAACACTCGCAGCTAGTCCATACTAAACAGACCACTCGGCCCTTGGTATCTTGCTTTCAGTATAACTCGTGGCGTCTCGACCGTACCGTGACTTGGACTAGCCATCCTGGAAATGTCTAAGCTGGGAACGACAGTGTCAGCTATCAAGGCTACACACAGGTTATGATCCGACTCGGCCGATTCATTCGGGTTTGTTACATTGAATCGGCCGACATGAGGTCTAGGATGAGCCTAGATACAGTACTCAGGTACATACAGGGCGGGCGGGTTGTCACCTGAGTATTGATCGTCTGAGTATCAAGTTTTGTACGATGATCACTCACACGAGACGATCGATCGCAACTCTAGCAGACGGGCAGAGTAGCTAATAGAGTAGCTGAAAGATTGTAGGGGGAGAATCAATGGAAACTACGGGTTGGAGCCGAGCATTTCTTGTGCGTCTAGACACATGACGTCCTTCCCTGGAGCACACCCTTGAGGCCGATGATGTCAACATGAATGCCTATAGGGTGCCAGATCGCAGATCATGTCGCCACTGTCTAAGCTGAATTGCTACTGTAGCAAAATTATGTATTTCACTTGCTCAAGTTAGTATTTGATACCCACAGCTTCTTTGCAAGTATCTTTCAAGGACCTCTAATCCCAAACAATGAAGTCAACAACACCAGCACAACCCTAACCCGTACGCGCGCTCAAGTCCATCCCTGAGGAGGCTAACGTGGACGTCTGACTCTATCGTGCTTCTCACCAGCTCGACGACGTGGGCAGCAACCTCACAAACCAACGCTCTTGAATCACTTCGTCACCCAATACCGATTCTCAGAATGGGGTCCTTTGAGGACCTGCCGACAGAGACTCGGATCCTGGTCCTCGAGCACCTCAGCCGCATCGATCTGCGGAGCTTCCTCGTAGCACAGGCAAGACACCAGCGGACGCACCTTTCCTTCTCGTTCTCGATATTATAGAACGCCGACCAGAATAGATATGTGGTGACATGACACGACTCATGATATGTACTCGCGTGTATGTAATGCCGAATTTCGCGACAGGTCACTGACTGCCCCACGGAATAGACAACCTGCCGGACATTCCGGCTCCTCGCTCAGGAAATCCTGTCACACCCCCCAAGCCCGCCCTGGACCACGCGGATAGACGACCAAGGCCCAGGCTTCCCCTCGCCCGCTGCATTAATCCACCCTGTCCTGGCGCAAGACTTCGGGCCCCTCCTCAGCTCCACAACCTGCTTCACCGCGGCAGAGCGGAGGCGCATGCGGTGGTTCCTGTCGCTCAACGGGGACGTCACCCGGCCCTTCCGGCGCCTCCCCTGGGCGCCCGACTCAGCCTTGCGGGCTGTATACCTGCATCCCGGCGCGAGCTGGCGCGATATCAGCGTCACGTTCGCCGGTGGTCCGCCTATCACACACCTCGAGGTCATCAAGAGCTACTCATCCGAGGACTTTAACGAGGACGGCCGCGACCATGTCGAGCACCTCAATATCGATCTGTCAACGGCTGGGTTCCTGACTATGGGGCTCCTGTATGATCTTCTGCTCTGCGGCGGCAGTGTAGGAGACGAGAGCGCGGCCACATTTGGGCGCGAGACGGGTAGCTGGGAACTATTACTGGGCAGGAGGCTTCGCAGCTACGACCTGCTTGTTGAGTACGAGTGCTTCATCCCCGATGATGACGAACTTGTGGATTCTGGCTCCGAGGCTGCGCGATCGGCTATCTTGTATGTGCGAGGTGGTACTGTGGAGGTGGACGACCAGGACCGCCAGGTTTGCGGAGCCCGAGGATGACGATATTGAGTGGGAGCCTGAGATGCTTGGAGATGTGCCGAGGATCCGACTTGCAACTATTTTGTGAGAGGATACTGGCAAATACACAAGGGATTCTGTAGGCATCTCAATCTCAAACTTGCATTTCAGGTGGATTAGCTGGCCCTTGTTTTGTTCTATGTCAGTACGGAGGAAGCCATTTAGAAATGCTAGTGACAAGAATCAAATCCCTGGCTACTTTAATTGTGTAAATCTCCACGCGGAGATGGAGAGACTGACGCAGTCCGGACCTGATGAAAAACACTTGCTTGCCTACGCAGGTAGCTCTCTTTGAATCACATTAAAAGTGCTCCCGTCGGAAACCCCAGGTGGCAAATTGTAACGGATGCGCACTATTCTCACACGATTCATCTCTTGAACAGGGGAGGCTTGAAGCGACGAAAAGATAGCAGTCATCCAGGGAGAAGAGCATTTGACACAATAGTTATGCTTGAATACTTGCTTCTATTTCAAAGAGATTATTACATGTTCTATACTAGATGCTGAAGGAGACTAAAGAGTGAATATGACCGCTTGTCTCCGGTCTCAAGTTGACAAGATAATCCAGTTACGATCCAATCACAATGCAAACCATTCCACTCGCTATGCATGATTACTCCCAATTCCACTCAAGCAGCCTCCCGGGCTCGACTCAACGTTACAATTTGCCGTGACTCTCCCAAGTAGTGGGTTCGCACTCAGGTACAGGTCTGATCTGCTGTTTGGTGGTCACTTAAGCGGTGCATGAGAACCCACACTTCTCGGTGGGCTTCAGAGCAGGCTCGTTACGGCAGACAGCAATAGACTTGTCAGTGCCACCACCGAGGACGCAGCAGTTGGAAGCGCAGTTGGCGTCACTGGTGCACTGGCCGGTGACAAACTGCTTGCCAGCGACGCCAATGTTGCCAGGCCCAAGGCTGTCGTTCGTGGACTTAGGAGGGCAAGTACCACCAGAAGCGGCACCTGCGCTGCCGCTGGACGCGGTGCCAGAGCTTGCGGAGCCAGAGGCGGTGTTGGTCGCGCTGCCGCCACTCGCAGCACCGCCGGCCGAGGCCTGGGCGGCGCCCGCGCCGGAGTTCGCCTTGCCGTCACCGAAGCCGCATCCGAGCTTAGGGGCAGCGTTGCCAACTGCGGAGCCGGAGCATGTGCCGACCGTCTTGCCGGTGGCCTGGTCGACGACAGAGGCGCAGCAGACCTTGGTCAGGTCGGACTGCTGGGCACCGCAGTCGGTAGAGTCGGTACACTGGCCGGTGATGAACTGCTGGTTCTTGCCGTTGCCGTTGCCAGCGGCCAGGGTGGGATCTGGGATCTGGCTGGGCTGTGGCTGGAGGACTGGAGGCTTCTGCGCGGCCTGGCGCTGCTCATTCTTTGCAGAGCGCACCTTGGTGGAGCCGTACGAGTCTGGGCTCACGGCGAGGGCCTGCAGGGCGAAGAGGAGGGTGAACGCTGTTGCGGCTTTGAAGGCGACCATATTGACGACGGTTTGGGTGCTTGGGTGGAGATTATTTCAAGCAAAGATCTTGGCAAGGGCTAGCCTGTGTGACTTGGGGAAAACGAAACTGGAAACGAAGACTCTCAAGTTTGTTCAAGAATTAAGTATTGAAACGGATTTGCAGACTCCTGGTCGCAGATCCGGGTAAAGGTAGCAAGGAGAGTGGAAGACTGAGAGGTCTGTGCAACTGATGTGATGTGCTTGTGCTCGTGCAACAAAACCTCTTCAACACTTGAGAGGATGGATGAACAAGAGGTTATATACATATTTCTTGGCCCGTCCCATCTGGTCGACCTAGCTGGTAGATTGGACCAACCTGGAAATAGGACGAAGGCCGTGGCGAAGGCTGCCTCGACGACAAGCTGAAGATCCGGTCTGATGATTGAGGCTCCAACTGGACGAAGGCAGTGTTACTGGATGATCGAGCTGTCAAACAAGGTCAAGTGTGACGCTAGTCTTGTTTGAAATCGTCTGGCGTCGTCTGAGCCAAAATGAGTACTCCAGACGACAAAAATGGCAGACTTGGGCTGCTGCGGCTGGTGATGGAGACATCCGGAAGCCCGGAGAGGGGCGGATGGACAGCAGATCTCTGTGTCGTCCGCTTTGAGAGGCCAAGACAAGGCAGCATGCTGCGGAGTTGCCGCTGAGGAAGCATCGTGACCTAGATGCCGAGCAAATAAGAGCCGCCCAATTCTATGGGAGAAAGGCCCAAGACGACAACCATGTGGTTCAGTTTCCGGCCGTGTGCCAAGAAAGCCGCAGGTGAGGCCGCAGTGTTGAGCGGCCGTCGGTTGGAGTAGCACACTAACGCCCGGTGTGGCAAGCTGACAGCATCCTGGAGGTAGGGCGCAGACAAGGTCATCCTTCTGGTGTCACACCAACGAAGGCAGCTGGCACATGTTCGGATTCAGGAACCGTCGAGACGCCCAATCGGCTGCCGTAACGGCACTACGGAGAAGCCACTCTGAGCGGCCCGCGAGACGGTGCCCAGACATCTCGTCCGATGAGCCACAAAGTGTTAAGGTTTGATCTTCCCCCGGAATGTCTGTGTGTTCAACTGAACACCCCTGACTCCTGTTTCAATGTTTAGCTAACCACGCCTGTTTAGTCATTGACCTGCACGACGGTGTTTGAGGCATCTTTAACAAACGCATTCATTCACTGCAGCAATCCTGCAAGACATGGCTGGGGGAGTTTCGTGGGCTGCAGGAACAGAACTCAATATGGCCTTCGAAAATGGATGAGCGAAAAAATCCGAATGACCGAAGCAAATCAGCATGGCATTCTCGTTATTCATGCCCACACTATGTTATCATTCTTCCCTAGCCCGCAGCGCGCTCGAGTTTGAAGATACAAAGAACATCCTGCCGTTGCGCGATGTATTTGCCACAATTTGCTCTGCCGGGTCAGACTAAGCCGGAGCTGGCAAACATTGTTGCTCTCATTGCTTGTGCATAATGTGCAATTTCAGTGTGGTACTCCCAAGTTTCAAGAATTGCTCAGCCTCGACAAATCCAAACTTCGCAAGAACAGCTGCAGATCCTCAAGTTTTAAAACAATTCTAGTTAACTGCAGGTTTCTTTTCAGTCTAGTCCGTGCTGTAAATGCACTCCCCGAGACGACTGAGCTTTTCCATGGTGGCCTGACCTCATTGGAAATCAAGACTAAGCGTTTCTGCTTAGAGTCTTCTTCCATCGCTTGGTTTCTTCTGCAGTGATTGACCATGGACTGTCATCCGGGTCGTTGGGCAAATGTGAACAACACAGTATCTAACAATTCAAAGAGAGCTGCACACCAGGTTTGGTCCTAAACCTCCATTAATAACACGGGGCTGTTTTAGTTTGTTGCCTCATAATGCCGGCTTCGCAGGCCTGGATAATAACCTTTTGAGCCGTCTTTGGTAATTGTATATAAATCAGTATAACCGTCAAGAAATACGGCACGACTGCATTTCATAGCCTTTCAAAGTTACGTCAATGTAATTCATCATGACGAGCTTAAACCCGGGTGTCTCCGCTTCGCGGCCGCTGTGGCTGTGGCATAATTCAAAGGAAACAGGGGAAACAGGGGAAATATAAGATCACCCCCTATTGAATAACCTCCTATAAGATAACCTTTTATCAGACAACCTACTGGAGGATAATCTCCTTAAGGATAATCTGCTATAGGATGTTTTCCCATAGGAAAACCTGTGAGACAAGCCACAGGGGGGCTCCGCAATGACGTGTTGTCAGTTTTGAGAGTGTGGCGGTGTTGTTCCAATAGTGAATGTGAAAATTGCTATCACTGGAGGCAGCGGCATGATTGGGAGCCATGTAGCGCTTTACCTGTTGTCTGAGGGACAGCAGGTCTCGATTGCGGCTCGTCACCCTCCAGAATCTGTTTCAGCATCATGCGTTCTGCCCTTTCTCCGGGACAACTTCCTGAAAGGCGACTTCAGCAAGGACGCCTTGGTGGGGTTCGAAACCGTTCTTTTCACTTCTGGCGCGAATATTCGACACGTCTCGGTCACCATCAGCGCTGACGAATACCTCCCGCACGTCAATGGCGAGGTAGTTCCAAATTTTGCCAAGCTCGCCCGGTGTGTGGGTATTAGACACTCAATCCACGTCGGGAATGCCTATCCGCACATTCTGTCACATCTCGCTCAAAACAATGCGTATATCCGACCCAAGAAGCTCATGTCTGACGGCGTGTCAAAGCTCAGTGTGTCTTCCTTTCATGCTTGCAGCATCGATGCCTCATTCCTCGTTGGCTCCGTGCCCAGCATGAGTGTGCCCGTGTTCGAAGTCTTGGTCAAATATGCTGAGGCCGAATCTGAGGTCCTGGTCTTTGCACCATGCCTATGTCTGCGCGCTTCTTGTATCTATAGACTGCAACGACGTAAGAGGACTCCGTTAAATCAATTGAGTTGGAGCGACAACATTACCTGCTTAAGTCTAGCTAAAAACAAGCAGTGATCATCCGTTCTTTCTTAGACATACCTAGGTGCTTGCAGCACGAGTTGGGATATGGGAAGGTAACGCACTTGATGATCCGCCCTGCTCTGCTTGGCCCTCACTCGAGGGGCGCGCGTAAGCAGGCCGCTTCACCCTTAGCCGTCCAGCCACAGGCCAACAGAAAACCTGTCCCAGATCCTCTCCGTGGGACGCAGGGGACCATTCGCTTGATGAGATAAAGGTTTGTTCTACCAGTACATTAGCCCCGGAAGAGAGAGTGAAACCAATAATGCCACCATCATAGGAGGCACGGGATGGGGTTTGGGTCTTCACAGGCTCTTTCTGTTCTTTTACTGTGGTGCCCAGATCAGAGGCCTTTTGAAATAACCGAGGGAAATGGAAGATGAACAAATATCATTGGCGAGAGCACTTGCTCAGCTTGAGGCTCACATTAATTGATGCCCAATAGATGTCGCCTGCAAGGAAACAATTGCACTGTGCTGACCTTGTCTCAAAATTTTGACGCAATAACATGGTAATACAGAAGAAAAGCAGTATCCGAGAGCAGTGATACACAGCAGAGAGCAGATGACTCTTCCAATCGGTCTTGTAAACAGATGGAACAACAAAAGCACAAGAGCACGAATGCGTATAGTCATACATTATCCCATTAGCCCCTCAAGAGCAATCAAGCATTACCGAAAACACTTGCTATCCGCACGAAAATGATCTCAACCTCCAGACAGAATGAGATCACAAGACAAATGAAACCTCCGAAGACCCTGCCTCCTATGTCCAACCCTCAGAGCCCTTGACCTATGTCCAACCCTAAGAGTCCTTGGTCTACGGGTGCAGGGACCGGGGACGTATCTATGGGTGCACAAGGATCGGGGGCGTATATGACCTCAACGCCGGGGCACTCGAGCGTGATGAGCTTGTGAGCCGACTCAGCCTGCGCCCGATGCGAACTGAAACGCCACTCGATCTGGTGCATCAAGCCCTCGGGTTCCATTTTCGGTTCAAGGAACAACACCTCTTCCGTATGGAACTGGAACCTCGCATCGAAGGACTGATACAGACTCGGCTCGTTCACGATTGTTGCAGGGCCCTTGATGACGATGCAGCGCGAGGTTCCCCTCTTGTGACTATGCTCCCCCGTCTTGATGCGGTTTGGCACGGCGCGCGCCCTGCGGTTCCGCACGATAAGTCTTCCCTCGCCGGCAACTCTCAGCAGGTTCCGGGCTTCGGCGGGCTTGTAGAAGATGATCTTTGCGGCCGAGGTGTTGTGGCTTAGGAGGTGACCGGGGCCGGGCTTCGGAGGCGAGATGAAGCTTGCATACACCTTGCCTGGGCGATGCATAGCGATAGTCCCCAAGAGGTCCTTGTATGAGCAGTCGCGCGGCAGACCGGTGATCCACACTGCGCAATTCAACTCGTCGGGGATCTCTGCCGAGATATTCGCAGGGTTTGTAACCTCTCCTTGGTAGTTATGGGAGATACCGAGCGCATCTCGATAAGCCTTCTCTTCGTCGGTGAGTGGCTTATTGGCAGCGTCCGGAAAGAGTTTCGAGTTCATCGGACGGAATCCCCTCGATCGACCGCCGGTTCTCATAGGATCATCGAAACCGGGGTCGAAGCCCTCGATTGATCCAAAACCAGGCGGCGGTTGACTATGCAGCGCCTGTTGGGGCTGCTGTGGTGGCTGCTGCTGGAGTCGGAGCTGCTGAAAATTCTGTAACATTTCCTCCTCACGCCTAAGATAAGGCGCAAGTGCATTCACGTTGCTTTCGTCCGGAGTGCCAACGTGAATTTCGCGCTGAACTTGTTGGTAATCCTGTTTGTAGGAGGGCGACGCGGCTGCAGCCTCGCCAGAGCCGCGTCGCCAAGAGGTCAAGCTGGTTACGTATGATTGGCCGGGACGGGTTGACGCGAGGTTCCTCTCGTTGGCGACATCGACGCCAAGATTGTCAATACTGGTGACATGTTGGAACGCGAGAGAGGCAGGCCGAGTGGAAGATATAGGCTGAGGTGCGCGAACGGGCGTAGTTGGACCACCTATGGCACCGAATCTCAGGTTGGACGAGCGAGAATCGGTGGCAGCGAGGGTGAAGCTGTTGTTTCTGAGCGGCGATGGGTTGGTGTCCACTTGGCCGTTGTCACCTGGACCGTTCTCAATTGGGAAAGAGTTTGAGGACTGATTCTGGCTGGACGCGTTTGTCTTCTCGGGTGTATTGTTGTCTGCCATTCTGTATTACGTGATCTGGGGGGGACTAGGGGTTGATGAGAGGGTTGTAATCGTGTTTGTAGAGGATATGTTATAGAATTGACTGATTGGGGAGAAGGAAGTCAAGGTTTGTCAATTCTGGCCGAAATAGTGAATAGTATGTTTGTTGAAGGCGATGGTTGTCGAGTTGCGAGCAGGAGTCTGAGAAGTGAGGATGGAGTGGGAACACTGGGTGGTGTTGAACTTGAGGTTGAGGTCGTGGCAACAAAAGAGGCAGCACAGTTCAAGCGAGGGCAGCTCAAGGCAACATCAACTCTTATGGGCGGGGTCGAGGAAAACGGACGGACAGCCAGGTGATGGAAAACGAAGAGTGAGTGCATTCACTCGTTCGTTTCCTCAGTGACTGACGGCAGAGCTGGTGGAAAACGCCTGATCAATCAGGAGAACACTGCAATGTAAACGCGAATCCGCGCTAAGATTATAATATGGGACGAAGAGCTGCTGGAAGCAGATTCAATGTGACTCCCTCCGTGCTCAGATTCACTGCATGACCCTTCACTTGTGTCCAACTTAGCAAGCTGCCAATAAGAGCAGTGATAACTTGCAGGCCGTCGTGGTGAGGATGATACGGCAAGTATTCTTCTCCCCCTGGACAATCACCGCCTAAGAAGACCCTTAGCACCCCTTTGGCAAGTCTGAAGGGATACTCTAAGGATGATCTTCCTTCGCATCAAGCACACCCTCTCTGCTCTCCCCTTGTCTGACACATTGTGGAACTTAACAGCCATGTATTGAGTATATTGAGTTCACATATTCGGGTGTTTGCGACACAAAGGACAATTTCCAATCAAGACACAAGTAAACAAAGCATTCAAATGTCACGAGCTGTTACTCTATCAAGCCTGCCTTGTGTCAAGGGGAAGCCTAGCCCGGAATCATCTAGAAACCACAGTATATGGTGCAGATCTCTTGCTAATTAGAAGAACACCTAGTGCTAGATGAGTATGAAAACCTCCAAGAGACATGTCACACCAACCAACGACCTAACTAAACTAGATGATCTCCGTGGCCATCAGTCATATACATCCACTACCGTATCCATACTACCAGAAGCACAAAAGACAGCACAATATTCAATGAATGGGATCATTGCATTGAGATATATTAAGCTGACCCAAATTGCACCACAGATAATGCAAGACCCAAGCGAGTACCTGATCCAAGCCTCAACTCCCAACATGCTGTTTTATGCTACCTCAGCAGTCATAGAGACAAGCCTTCCCTAAGAATACCCATATGACTGCCGACTGATCGACAAGTCCTCACTGACCTGGCCGAGCCGAAAACACCAAAATCCCTAAAATCAAGACTCCTTCGCTCGATTAATACTTCCTCCGTCACAAGTCCCCAAACAAGCCACTGACAACATCCCCAAGCATCCTCAGCCCATAGAACTTGGCAACATTCCGATACACCCGCAGCCGAGCCACCAGATCCGCCCTCCGGACGCTCTCGCCCCAGCTCCCGGAGCACGTACAATGTTCCATGAAGTCATTGACCCGCAACGCGCCACACTTGAGACACTTGAGATCCTGTGTCGTCCAGGCCACCACCATGGCCTCGACGTCGGCTACAAGCCTCTCCTCGAGCTCGTTACGGTTGTACTCGGCCTCGCAGAAGGTGCACTTCCACAGCGTCGCGGCGCCAGGCTCCTCTGGGAGCAGGTCTTCCTCGCGGCAGAAGTCCAAATCCCGAGCCATCGTGCAGCTGTCGCAGCTGACCTGCGCGATCTTGAGGGACTCAGACGGGTTGACGAAGCCGCCCTCCTTGCTGAACTCGCGCACGTCGAAGAGCGCGAGCAGCTCCTTGCGCAGGAGCCGTGCCTCGAAGACGATGTTCTTATCCAGCGAGAGCACCTGCATCAGCATTTTGACGAGCTCCAGGACGGCGTTGCTCTGACTGTAGTTAAGGTGGCTGCCGGGAAGGCTGGGGAACGAATAGTCGGCCGCAAGCTCTGGATGGAGAAGTTCGCGCTTCTGAGTGCTTAGTAGGCCCTGGATATCGCGCTTTAAGGGCTTCTCGAAGGCCTTGCCAAGGATGATCTGGCCTTCGCCATCTTCGGCTAGGTTGCGATTATTCGGGAGCTGTGTCAGGCGCGGCGTGGCTGTGGGGTCAGATCCAAAGAGCGGCCGTTTTATGTTGTGCATGAGGGTGATGAACTCAATGACCCAGTCGGCGAAGGTGGGTTGCAGCCGGATAGGTAGGAACGTCGACATCTGCCAGTGCATGATCGTCTCCAGGTTCTGCGTAGCGGCCTCAACAACTGTCTGCGTCGCCTTGCCGCCGTAGTTGAACTCATCATACCACACAAGGTAGTCCCAGTATTCTTTGATTTCTAGGTCGATGAAGTGGAATAATGGTTTACCCTTGATGGACTTGAGAATGTACTGGCTGTACGCGTAGGCGTTGCCCACCTCGGCTTTGGTAGTCTGCAGTAGCAACCGATTCGCATTGGCGAAGATGACTTGAGACCCGACACGGCGGAAGTCGGCCATGAGTTGTTGGAACGCCTTGCGCGACATCATTTGGACGTAGTAATGGAGGGCACGGTCGTAGAGGAATGAGTCGGGGTTTTCAACCCAACGGACGAGATGCTGAACCATGATATCTGCCATATCGTTGCCCTTGCACGCCTCCGCCCACCAACCCTTTACCATCTCGCGAAGCACTTGGATGCTGGCGTTGGCGAACGCGTTGTCCGAGGACAGCACCTCTGTTCCGTCACCGGCTCCACCATCCGCAGCGGGGTTGAAAGATATCGAGTCGGCGCCCTCGAGCTCGTTGATAAGTGATGATGTCAGGATGGTATTGATGGCGAGGTTCTTGACTTCAAGGTCAATGCACACTGATGAATACGTCCCTGGCGTGTTGACGGACGGCATCTGCACCATTTCCAGGGGCCCAGCAACATCGTCCAGCTCGTAACCTGCGTGATCTGGGCGAGGCCCACCAGACCACCATAAAACGACATTGTTGTTCTGTAGCCGCCTTGCATATGCAACATCAATCAAGAAGCGTGGGTCTTCCCGCTCCAGATTGCAGAGAGGGATATCAGCGTACCTGGCCAGGGCGGTGAGGTGCAATATCCATGGACCAAGGCCGAGGTAGTGATGTATTAAGCGCCTGGCAACAACAGTTTGCCATCCAAGTGGAGGTAGCGAGCTATCATCGACGTTGTATTTGAGCGGCAGAACAGGCATCTCACCCAGGATCGAGATGTCGTGGACAAGGAGATTCGTCTGCGAAGACTGAACGACCATAACGAGTGGCTTGATCTCGTCCTTCTTCATTTTCTTGACCACGTCACCAATCTCGAGGAAAGCCTTTCGCCGCGTTGTCACTTGCGTGATCTTAAAGTTCAGCTTCTCTTGGTATGGGAAACATTCCTCCCAATTCGAGCCTTCTGCCTCACTCGCATGCCTGGCTCGCAGGTCGGAGTATATCTTGTTAGTATTGGGAAGATCTTGGCCACTTTCTTTGTTCTTGTGCTGTATCACCACATGAGCAGTCTCCCCAGTGCTAGAGAAGATGCCAAAAATCTGCCGTTCGCCGGAGCTGATGTGGGACAAGTAGATGTATGCCATTTTGGTGCCGCTCAGGTATGTTCTTGGCTTGAGTGGCCGCATCAAACTAGGCAATTCGAATCCTTGATCCAGACCCTGGCCAAGGACACCGGGTTTGCTCTCGTCGATGGTGCAGAGGTTACCCAACTGCAGAACGGCACGAGTGTTCAGGGGTACCTGCTTCTCGTACACACCCTCTACACTGGGGTGGTTGAATAACAGAGAGAACTTCTCTGCTTGGGCGAAGTAGATATCCTCGGGTACCGTCAACTTGAAAAGATGCGCCGAAGGGTGACCATTGGGAAGCGTGTGATTGACCTGTTCAACTTCACAGCCTTCAATGTCGATATCCGGAAGGTCCTTACCCTTCAGGTTCAGGAACACTTGGCGCGGCACCTTGATCTTGAGGGAATGGACCTTATTATCGATGAGCACACACGCTGTCACCAAACCAGGACTATCTGTCGGCTTAAGCTGTAGCAACTGCCATGTGTTGCGGAAGGTTACCTCGGCCTGATCGCGGAACGCCTGCTGGATGTTGTTCGTTGGTGCACGGCGTTCACCAAATAGATGGCGACGGCGTATTCTAGCTTGCTTCTGGATCTTCCACTTTTTCTTCTGATATTCCAAGAACGCAGCATAGTCTTCGGAAGGATTCGGCATCACCTTGGGTAGCGCAGCGAATGGGTCGAGGTTTTCCTCGGGCTCGGGCGACTTCCTCTTCTGTGCGGCTGGTGTCTTTTGCTGAGTTGCCGCCACGATTTCAGTGACTGGCTTTGGTTTCAGCAGCTGAGTGCCGAAGTCTTCTAGGTCAGCAAGATTGGTGACATCCTTGAGTGGTTCCCTGCTGAAGAGATCTGTGAGCTTCTTTTGCTTCATCCGATCATCTTTGATGTTGATCCTCTTTTGCAACCAGTCTGGATGAGGAACACGCGGTACTGGATTCCGAATTTTCTGCAGCGCGGCCGGAATGGTGATGAGCTTCTGAATCACTGAGCCGAGACGCTCCAGATAATAATCCCAATCAATCAGTGCTCTAGGGTCTGTATCGATGGGGGCCTCTTTGAACCACTTAGTCAAGAACAATCGTTTGACATCTGGTTCAGCAGAGAAAATCGCGACAGGAATGGCTCGCTCGGTGACGGGCGCATTTTTGGGCCGCGAGCAGATAATGAACTTGCAGTTCAATCCTTTATCTTTGACCATGCCTTCTCCCAAAAAGTCCGCAAGACGCTTGGCGGTGGTGATTGATGTGGACTTCTGCGCGCCGTACTCCTCCAGGGTTTTGGACATGCTACGGTTCTCTGAAATGAGATCCATCAGCTCCTCATCCGCCAGCGTTGTACCCTTGCTATGAAGAACGTCTAGCCAGCGGTTGGCAACCTTGGATACTGCAGCATAACACTCGGCGAGCGTGGTGCCCTCCAGGAAGAATTTAAAAATTTGCTGCTGAAAGATCTTGATGAGCTTCAGCTCTCCTCTTCTCTTCACCTCGAAACCTTTCAGTTCTGCGAGACTGCCGTCGTCGTTGAATACGGCATATCGCTTCTTCAAGTTCTTGTCCTCCTCTTTTGAGGTAGGTAAGACCATGGCCTTGTATGGGCCGTCGACTTCGAAGAAGATGGAGTTGTCGCTGTGCGTCTCATACTTGAACGTCTTGGAGTCGACGAGGGTCTGATATTGGTGATTCGTGAATTTGTCGTGGACAAGGTGGTTCAACATGACACAAGGGTACGAAATCGGTAGCTTCTTTCCGTTCTTCAACTTGAAGGCGAAGTTCTCGGGAAAGGTAGCGGGAAGCATGCACCAAATACCGTCGGTGTCTAGTTCAAGAGGACGACCAAGGCGCTCAACGAGACCTCGTGCCAATTGAATGATGGTAGCACCTGTCAGACAGGTAACACCAGCCATCTCCAGGGAGTACCACCTTGATCCTTTTCTCATGACGTAGCCATAGAAGGAATTCAGAATGACCTTGTGGGCCAACTGTAACGAGTCAAAGAGAATGATCATCTTCTTGGCAGCGTCAACCTCGGCTGCGGTCGCTCCTGAAGACTTGAGAGCCTCTGTCTTCCCCTTCCACTGCTTGGCCTTGCCCTTGTAGTCGTATCGACGGTCTCGAAAATCACGTACGGTATCGATGTAGAAAGGATTTTCGCGCTGGCAAATGATGGCTTCTCGGACTTTGGTGGTTGAGTCGTGTATCTTGTGGTAGACCTTCTGAGAGTATGTCTGCAGGCGCTTCCGAATGAGATCTGCTTGGTCACCGGGAGGCAGATCCTGGAATGTCCGCATGGGCGAGTTGGGATACTTCCCAGGAAATCGTTCGTTCTCCAAAGCATGCTTGATCATGTTGTACTCGTCTCGTTTTGCTGGCAAGTACTCTCCTCTCCAAGCCCAGGGTAACCTCCTGTCGCACGTCTTGCCAGGCCGGTTGAAATCGCAGGCAGCGCAGTCCGACTCGTCGATCATGGAGTCTGGTTGCAGTCGATTCGTGGTCATGATGTTGGGGTACATAGAAGCGACGTCCAGATGGTAAATTAAGGGCCGCTCGTTCCGATTTGGTGTCTCCTTCAGCTGCATCAACCGTGAAGCTATTTGCGCCTTGACTTCATCGTAGTTCTCGACATCCTCCATTTTCTTCTTCTCCTCGATCGTGATCACAAACTCCAAAGCATTGTCCAAATCCTTGAGGAGCTCGTCGATTGCACCCGTGTCCACGGCAAAGTTCACTGGTATGTCTGCCCTGAACACACCGGCCTCGATACTCTCGACATGGCCACCAACGTATGTCTCCGAATCGAGTAGATGGCCCTCCCAAAATGACTCTTTGGGCGACACATGCTTATTTGGAAGGATAATCTCGTGATTGTATGCCTGCACCATCAACAGCATCTCACACAGTGTTCCAGTGCCTTTTCGCTCGGTGTCGTCGGGACCCAAGGGAATGATGGTGCACAGCGAGAAGACGAAGGGATGGACGTATTTCATGTATAGGTAGTACGTCGCGACGGCATCTGAAACTGAGTACTCAGCGAGTGTTTGTGGCCGTTCGGCAGCGTAAGGCGTCATCAGTTCGGGATCGAGCTCATCGGGGTCGTATCCGAGCTTCGCTACCGTAACAGCCTTCAAACCACGGCTTCCTTGTGGCAGGTAGCTGTCTCGATTCACCCAGTGAAAGCAGTCCAAATGCGCACAGTAGTTGGACTTGTACTGGTCCTCGTTGTCCTTCTTCCAGCCAATCTCGTGGTACATGTCGATTCCGTTGAGGCTCGCCCGGGCGTCGACGTAGGGCCAATCGAAGAAATCACCGTTGTAGGTCGCAATCACCGTGGGTCGTGCCTCTTTGATGTGTGCAAAGAACCTTTCAAGGACGGCTCTCTCGTTTGGTTCATTGAAAATCATAAATGGACCGGGGTATTCTGGCTTTGGGGTATACTCAAAGTCTGCGATGTCTTCCGAGACTACCTCACGATTTGTGATGAGGAACCCCTGGCCATCTATCATGTACGAAATCATCATGATTTGGTCGACTGCAGCGTCGGGGAATTTCAGGGGTGCTTTGCACGTCTCGATATCGTAGGCCATCACAACAGGATCCGCCATGGCCAGATGTTCCTCGTTGCAAACCACTGTTGTGACGCCGTGCTTTGCCTCTACGAAATACCACTTTCCCACACGGATGCCTAAAACATTTTGTCAGAGGTGTTGCCACATGAAGGGCTAGGCCCAACATACCTTTGTCTATCATTACTCTAACGTGGTATGGAACGTCGTATTCTCTAATATCAACAAGGAAATCGCTGGCTTCAGTTATAGAGGTATTGAGTCGTTTCTCGTCAATTCGTGTATCGTCGTCAAACATGTCGAAATTGCCGTTGTTGGTCCTGCAACAGGTCAATCAAGTGCTTCTTATCAACCGGAGGGAGTCAATGATCAAGGGGTAGATACGCACGCAGCAACCTCGGCATATGTGTCCATCGCGTCCATGCCCTTTTTGTTCCTCTCCGCTATTGGCATGATATCCCTCCGTGCAGACAAGAGGTCTGTGACATTCGCAAACTTCAGCTCCAGGAACGTTCTCCGGTATCCAAGAAGGTGGTTTGGCATGTTGAGGTCCTCTTTTTCCACACGCCTCACGCTCTTCACGACACCGCCCCCTGGCACTCGTTTACACCACTCTTCGACCTCTGGCTCATGGCCCTTTCTTACTGCCACGAGGAAGTATGGCTCGTATTCAAGGGTCGCCTTGAATGTCGCGCCGTCCTCCTCGATGAAGTAGCAGTCCAGAGCTGCGCGGCCGCCGCCACCGGGTATGCGCGGGTCTTCGATCGATGTCGGCTGCACGTTCACTAGCCACCCTTCCCGTGGCCGGCCAGCCTCGTAGCGGGCGAAGCCCATGTTCTCGTCGATGGAGTTGGCAAGCCGCGTTCGCTCCCATTTCTCATCCGTGGAAGTGGCTTCTGCCCTGCCAGAGGCAGCTGTGAATGTTCGAGTTTTGGCACCATGGTAGGCTAATTTGCCCCCGCGCCCACCGCGGAAACCCTTCTGGGGGCGGCGCAGGGAGGTATTTGGCATGGTGGAGAGGATAGTCGAGAAGAAGTATGGGCACCATGCATATGGACGCCTTGAAGCGGGACAGTAGGGACGGGTTCAGTCGCAAAAATCCCAGGACTGGTGCGAATTTCGAGACTCGGTAGCAGGAACTAAGTCGCGTGGTCGAGAGAGAGGATGTTGCCCTGAAGGGTCTACGTGCCGTGAAGAGGTGGCCGTAGATATTGTTTCGTTTGCAGAAAGAAAAACGATCGAGAATAGGCAGAACGCCTCGTATTGGTACCAAGTTGGAATCAGAGAATGCTCATTGGTTTTGAGAACCGAATCAAAAACACCCCAAACAGCCCGTCAAAGTGGTTTTCGGCGGGTTCTGCTTTACGCGTCGGCCAACCGCGTCTTACACGCGCCCCCGCTGGCTGCAGCTCCCCCCTGATCCCAGTCGGCGCACTGCAGGGGCATGACATACTTCCCGAGCTACCCATGCAGGCGCACAGACCATTTCAGACCCTGTACCTAGGTAGATCGCAGAGAAGTCGATGATTCCATCAATATCGAATGGGATTTGCGCATACACACACCCACATCACAACACTTTAGGCGACAAGTCATAGCCCACGATGTCTGCCTCGCCTTCATCACCTAACGACTCGGCACCGAACCGGACGGCAGGTTCCGCCGACGACGAACAAGCCCGGAAGTCGCAAGCCGCTGCCATGGAGCGGTTCGCCGAGGTGTCACTGAAATCCGTTCCACTGCCAGAGGGTGTGGACCCAAACAAGCGCGCAACAGTTGGCGAGGCCTTCAAGACGATCAAAAGCGATGATCTTCTCAAAGTCCACCAGACGCCGTGCTCGAGGGACGGCTTCCTCACCGGAATTGGGTCAGGTGCTGCGGTTGGGTTCCTGCGGTACATCATCGGAGGTGAGGCGCTATATTATCTTGCGCGTCGCAAGGCTGACAGGGCTAACGTCACTGTAACTTGAAGCACCAGTACCGAAATCGGCCAATTGGGCGGTCGGCTCCGGCGTTGCTATGAGTATCCTGGCATACGAGTATTGCCAGTACCAAAGGCGGGTTGAACGGGCCAACATGAAGCGAGTCGTCGAGGTCGTCAGCAAGAAGCAGGCTGAGACGAGGAAACAAGAAGAGGAGAAGAAGCTACAAAACAACATGGAAAAGGTTACGCCTGCCAACAAGACGACTGGCAGGGCGTGGTACAAATTCTGGTAGAAGAACAAAAAGCATGTTCTTCGACAGCGGCCGACATGAAAACATGTTAAAAAAGGGTTTCTCGGCATCATCTTCCCTCCCCGGGGGCTGCTTGTCTGTCAACGGAAAACGGTTTTCCAGAGCTCATGTGGTCAGCCCGGATGGCTGAACCCTGGGCCTGTGAACTTACCTAGCCGCGAAGTGACACATCTTGCCGAGCCAGGGCTTTGGGAGGTTGAGAAGCAGCGAAGAGACGTCTGGGGGTGTTCTAGGCAAGTTTTCGCCAGAAAGCGAGAAAGGCCTATTACCTGCGTCGGCACGCCTGACGCACAAGCAAAACGGGATCCGTCACTGCTTACATGTGTGATGGCTTGACTCAAAGTCGTTGGCGCAGGTCTGCAAGAGGGGATCATGGGTTCACCGAAGCCATTGTGCCACATATCGGACTGCCCTGATCATTGCAATGCGGAACAAGCTTTTGGTATATGGCATACGGAACTCCAGAACATTGTTGAAGCGTTATGCCACAAGACAGGTCCAGCCAGAGTGTCTGGGCGCACCAGCGCTGGAATCTCGCATTTGGATGGCATTGGGTATATTGTGAAGCCATATCTTGATGCTGCGTCCGCTCGACCTTTGTATATGTACGCATTGAAAGCAATCACCCCTCCATAGCGATGTCCACCAAGTTTTCCCCCAACCTTGAAACTTTGCCGGAGATCGGCTCACCTGTTCAAGAGCAACGCTTTCCCTTTGTAACGCCCCGAATTTCCCTTCAGCAAAACGCCCAGACTGATGCCAAAGAAACTCCCGAAATGATGCTCGTCGGCCGTTGCCCTACTACCAGAGTATTCCCATAGCACTCATCAAATAGTGATCATTGTGGTCGATTCGCCCTCCGTGAAGCGAACCTTTCTGGCACTTTCTGTTCTTGCACTCTCCTTGCGCTGCAGTTTCGGGGCTCTCTCCGGGCTGCCGCGGCGTCTGGAACTCCGTCGTGCCCTGGCCTCCCTCTCTTCTCTTTTTTTGTACTCGGCAAGCTGCTGCTTCCTCTTCATGGTGCGAGCATAGGCGATGGCAGGGGTTGGCTTAAACCCGATGCCATTGATACCCACACCATCGTCGTCCTCGTCCTCGGGATCGTAAACAGTGATTTCGTCCTCGTGCCAGGTGAGTGCCGCCCGAACCGGGTCAATCACCTCATCAATTGGAATGCCAGGCTGGTCTGCGTTGGCAGGTTTGGTGGTGGTTGCGACAAGTGGCGGCGTACCTGCTCGCTTGCGACCTCTGGACTTTAGACTGTCGAGAGGGCGGTTGTTGACGGCGGAATGTTGCTTTGACGGCTTGCTCGGAGAGACCTTGGCAGGTCTAGCTGTGAGGGCTACAGTGTCGGCTGCAGGTCGGCTGAAGGCAGCGTCTGGTTTGAATAAGACACGGCTGTCACTTGGAATCGATTGGGAACATAGGCCAGCAGCTGTGTCCGACTCACTGCTTTGTGCAGCTGGGGTCTCTGGGATCTCGACTCTTTTCGCCGTCGGGTGGTGCTGGATTGGTGGCTGGACCTGGTGCTGTAGCTGGGGTGAGCCATCGGACGGTACTGCTGGTGGAGTGAGTTTTGATCTTTTGCGCATCTTTGACTCGTCTTCATCGACTACCATCCTGTCAGAATCCCCATCTGTGGTGTCGCGACCGGGGTCGGTATCGGTGTTGGTGTCGTGGACTCGGCCATCTGCCGCTGCAGCCCCGCCCCCACTATCGGCCAATGCCAAGCCCCGGAACCTGTGGGCGACTTTGGTCCGCGGACTGTCGCCGCCATCCGAGAGCAGGCCCTGAGACACCTCAAATGAGAAGTGGAGGTTTAGATGGGAAGGGGATTCATCGCTGGCGGCATCTGTACGCTTGCGCTTGGGCGTGGTGAAAGTAGCGTCGTCCATACCTGTGGTACAGGGCTCAATGGATCGATGGACTGCGCGGATCGTCGACTTCGAGACTGTTGGAGATGAACGGGCCAACCTTGGAGTATGAGGGGCCCGGAGCCCAGAAAGAGGGCGCGAGTGAGCGTGAGTGTGGGGAAGTGATGTAGCACCGTAGGGCGTCCTGTGCTCGAGGTCGTCACCTCACAAAGACCTCATGGTCCGTCTTGCGTGAGGAAGTTTGGTCGAGTCTCGATGCGGCTCGGGTGCTCAGAGAAGGGGACAGAATCGGACTGGGCAGGGTAGTCTTCGACAATGCAATTGAACCGAGGTGAGGCAGAGGCAGCAGCATGGGGCTGGACCATACGGAGGACGGATTGTTATCGAATCATCGGACGGGGGGAAGTCCCAAGTCCACGAGACGAGTCTGGACAGGAGCAGACAGACCTTGGGTGCGTACAGTACGCAGTCACAAGGCCCTTGTTAGACAACGTTAGCTTCTGTAGCCTCCGTCACTCATGCAGGCAGGCGTGCCCAGGTTCAGGTGCTGCAGGTGAGCCCCAGCCATTGACGCCACCGCACCTGCATCTCTATGTAGTAGGGCCGCTGGTTGGGGGGGGGGGTGAGCGTGGCTGCCTCGGGCGGCTTTTGGTTAGTAGATGCTCCAAGTCAGGGTCTGACCCTGGCCCTCACTTCGTTCTCGCCGCGGCCGTTTCCCTCCGCTCATCCCCATCGGGGCCGCCCATGAGCGCACGTCTCGTCTGAGCTGATCCTATCCCCTTGGAAACACTTCCATCACTTCGTAAGCAACTCCGATCAGATCTTTCTAGGTAAGGCTGACTTGTAGGCGGAAATTCTTTAAATTTGTCACCGCTCAACCACTTGCCCATGGTCCAATAAGCTATGCCTCGAAGATGGCGACAGCAAGGCTGCTCCCCCTCGCTCCACGGACAGATACTCATCATACCCAACACCTCCTACTCCTGGAGACTTCACATTCTCCAGAGGAATATCCCTCTGGTCCATCAGGTTCCTTGCACAGCCCTCGCAGTATTTCAGCTCTTCCTTCTTGGATGTGAAGAAGTAATCCACCCCTAGAACATAAATCTTCCAAACGGCCTGTAGCAGCACCAAATCCGCCACCAGCACCGACACAATTAGCGCGCCTGTCGACTTAAGCCTCGGCAACTGGCAGACATAGTTTGTCGCCAACACTGATCGTGTGATGCCGAGCTGAGAATCACCATCTTTCGATGCTGCATATGGCACCAGCGAGCGGCTTGAGCTCTGTAAGCCCCAACTCCACATCGTCCCGAGGGTCTCATTGACGTTCGTCATATTTGCTGTCAGGCTCTCGAGGAGGTCCGGGTGAGCAAGCATATTCGGCAGCGAGTCATCGTCTCTCCCAAGGTCGGCCAGGACTGTAAACCACATTGCTTTGCCCAACACGCTCACCGTCCCCCACGTGCTCGGCATCGGCTTCTGATTCGTGCTGCCTTGAGCGAGCTCCGAGATGGTGTTGCTGTCGCAGAACTTGTTCGTGTGCGAGATGCCGGTCGAATTCAACGGCATTAGCCAGCAGGCCGGAACGCGTAAAAAGTCCATGTCCGTGAGGTCGTCTTTGGTGGTTGGCTTTGAAGCAGCGTCATCCAGACGGTTCAGTGTCACGGCGGCCTTGTAGAAAGGTCTACCTTGGTCCACATTCTCAAGATAATACTTCCTAATCAAGTCTGCCCAGTACAATCTCATCACGGAATGCCCCCAATACAAACTCGCCTTGTTCGTCGCGTTGGTATCCAGAAAGATCGAACTCGACACACTCGGCGGCGGGATGGCATCGTACGTCGTGGCCAGTTCCAAGTATGTCTGCCCCTCGGGCCTTTCAATCAAGCAAACAGCGTTGGCCGTCAGTGTTGCACCGACCTGAGACACTGCAACTTGCCCTGCCGTTCGATCATTCGATTCAATGCCTATCTGGATCGAAGTGACATTGCAGTCCAGAAGAGGATTGTTGTCGTATATCAGCGAGCCCAGGCTGATCTGATTCCTGGACTTATCGTACCTCCATGCCGACACAAGTGTGTATGGCAATGCTGTATTGTTGGTATAAAGACCAGTCTGCAAGGGCATGGTTGTTGTCTCGCAGGATGCCCGAGTGCTAGCAAGCCAGCTTGGCCAATTCGCGTACCAATTCCCATCCGAAAGTGTCGTGTTAGGGTTGGTGGACGAAGTTGCGATCAGTTCGTAGCCAGAAGCCGCGACATTGAGGAAAGACACGAGTACTGTGATTACTATCCCGCCAGCAATGACCACGGGAGTGAACCACCGAAATGGGTAGGGACGTGTGATATTGTACGAGAAGAGAGACTCGTGCCGGGCCATCGTCAGCGAGCTTGTCACTTTGGTACGAATCTCTCCACTGCTATTTTCAGGATCGCGAGTTGCAGGCTGGGTTGTTGATATATACCACCGCACGTTCCACAAACCCCTGGAGCCACTGCAAATGCGTAGGACGAGCTGAAAGATGCTGAAAGATCTGCGCCCCACGGATTGGTCCAGGCCTGGATTTTCAGTGCTTATGATTAGTCCTCAGAGCCTTGACTTTCTTCCTTCGCGCGCTGCAAAAGCAATTGGCAGCATGTGCAGGTGGCCGAAGTGAGTCAGCTTACTATCTAGGTAGCAACCGCAATTGAGCAAGGGCTATGCTTCTCAAATAAGCTAGGTGCTCGGGTTCAGTGGTGAGACCTCAAGTGCTTGAATGCGACAGTCTAGGTCCGATGCCATCTCTTTGTATTCAGCAGATCTACATCTGCAAATGGTTTCATTCTCCTTGCGTTGGTACTGCTGCTTGTCTGGTGTATCGAGCATTGCCAAGCCTTTAACACTTTGCCTTCTTTCCGTTCAATCGATTCGGCACACATATCGCGTTGTCCTTCCAATAGCTTCCTCTTCCCACTTGCATATTCTCCGGTTGGTAACATCTCCTGAAGAGGATCTCTAGTGGTCTTCTTAGGAATGGACATTTCTCCCGATACTTTAGCTCCCCTCTGTCATGCGAATTGTGAACTATTGAAAGACTGAGCACAAGCTCAAAGCCATATCGGACTCTACCAAAATTGCCTGAACAGTCCATTGTGTATCATTCAAAAACGCCAAGAGATCCGGGCGCATTGTAGCATCGGAGTGTTTGTTCGATCCGGAAGGTCGCCGTGCCATGGGACTCCAAGAACCTTGCAGGCGGCCGGGACGCTACGCTAAGAGCTTGGACGAACCGAAGATTACCACACACCCAAGTGTGTACTCGGTCACGATGGCGCTTGATTCGCCCGGGATGCATGACACGATCGACGCTCCGCCAAAGACACAGTACTTTTATCCCGTGTCGTTGGCCAGCCTGAATGCTTAGCAATGGCGATCGCTCCACCGAATAGTCCAATCTCCATCTACAGAGCACGCGTACCTTAATTTTGACAGCACTCCCCCCCTACAGCTATAGCATTTCAGTTCTGGTCCTCTATTCAGTTTTCCGGCTGAAATCAGGGGAAAGAAAGTGGGGCAACATCTGACGGAATATTGATGACCTTGACCCGACTAGCAACTATTCATTTTGATTTTCTTTATCAGTAATACTTCTGGCAATTTCAAGCAGTGATAACAGAATAGAATGAGCACGGTCATAGTTCAAATTGTCTATGGTTCTTGCCCGGCTCATCCGGTTCGCAACCGGATGTACCTGCGCAAGCCGGTGGCTACAATTGGTCATTCCGCCGGGCAAGGCCTACGTATACACATTATATGCAGGGATCATAAGTCTATGTTTCTCCAACAAGGTCCTTGACAGCTGGTGTCTATTTCTGCTGGGTGGTCGTCTCAGAGGTCTGAAAGCGAAACAAAGCCGCACACGGCGAGTCAGACTGCACTACACCTGCAGCGGCGACTTCCTATTCTAGGATCAAGTCAGGACTTTTTTTTCAATCAAGGTGTTACGCGTCCGGACCAGCGTCCGTGGATGTGACTGTGAACCAGGACGGGAACCTGGGGATCTTGCACGTGGAGGCATAGCGGCATGGCAGTCGCATCTATTGGATCATAGAGGCCCTCTAGGCGCTGCAGACACGGAGCGAGCCAAGCTCATATGGGTCCTCACCAGGTCATAGGTTCATTCCGACCTACTTGGGTGTGTGATGCAGGATGGCTGGTTTCTTGAGCTGGACTATATATCCACATCATTGTCTCCCCGCAGGTTTCGCATTTCGTGCATGCAGATGAGCTCGCAGTCGTTCGCGATCCCATCTCTCTTACGAGGCTCATACTACCCTCGCTTGCAGCCTTCAGACCCTCTTTTCTACAGCAGCTCCTAGCCACACTGCTCACCGGGTTCACAATGAAGTTCTCAAGCATCGCATGTGCGGCCTGGCTGGTGCCGGCCACCCTCGCCTTCGGACCGGTTCCACTCTCCCCACGTCAGGATACGCTTCAGACCATCACAGACAGCTATCTTTTTGATATCTCGCTCAGCCAGTTTATCACCTACCGCAACGCGAAAAACCCGGCCACCCTAGACTGGACTTCCGATGGCTGCAGTGATTCGCCTGATAACCCCCTAGGCTTCAACTTCGAGCCTGCATGCTACCGTCACGATTTTGGTTACACGAACTATCGTGAACAGTCCCGCTTCACCAAGGCGGCAAAGGCCTCTATTGACACCAACTTCAAGGCCGAGTACGTTACCCAGATACACATTCATACTTGTTTTCTCCCATGACTAACATCCACCAGTCTCAAGTTCCAATGCGAGTCCGAGACGCTCGAGTCTGTTTGCGACGCTCTGGCAGACGTGTACTACACTGCTGTAAAGCTCTTCGGTGGACAGGATGCAACAAAGCGTGCAGAGGACGTGGACGCCGATGCACTGGCGGAGTACGAGGACGCGGTGGCCGTCTACAACCAGCTTGTCGCTGAGGCCAAGGCAAATGGTCAAATCCCATCGTGAAGTGGGTTGAGAGTACCCCGTTGGTTGACTACACGGCGAAAATTTTGTTTCAGGATTGCAGGCAGGGAGGCCAGTCCTTCTGTTCAGAATCTGCGGAGACTTTGTTCTCTCGAACAACTCCGGTGAGCGTCTCATGCTTGACATGGGCAGGATTCTGGAATCTTTCGGTCGCTCACTCTTGAGCACATCTATCTGCTCCAAGGTAGATTTTATTCTTTTGCACAATATTAAGTAATGTTTTGTACACTTATCCGCGCATATAACGGGTTCTGAGGTGTTCACAAAGTGGGTTGAGGTTTTGCATGTGCTCCTGTTAAGGCAAGCACCATTGCACGCACGTGCAAACGTGAAAACAATGGACGAGGCCACCGAAGATTTGCCGTCGACAGAAACGATAGTGTTGCAGTACCAAGAAACTTTAAAGTTCATCAGTCGAACTCCAAAATCACACCTAATCGGTTCAGTCGCGCCAACCACCTATGCATGCACAGTGTGCGCCGCGGGGTCCCGGCATCGGGGACGCAGGCGAGGCACGCGCTACATGCTTATCATGCCGTTTGTTCGAGTAGATACACCTACGTAGGCAGAACATATCTCTTCATGACTCGATCTGTTTCGCAAAGGACGAAAGGACCAGGCCTTCAAATTACCTCCATCTACATTCATATTCCGATACGATGTCTGCAAAACTTGCCGGCGAGAAGTAGTACGTGTACCTGGCGCATTCAAGTCTCCCCGAGCTCAGATTGCAAGTTGCCGAAGTGCTCAAACACATTTTAGCAGTACCGTGTCAAAGGAAGCGTTCCGGGATCTAGCTTCCTCCCTGGGCTTCCAGGTGCAAGCTCGAGATGAAGCAGACTACCTCGATCTCCTGCGGGCTGCCATCGCCGACGTAGAGACGGTCCAAGCGATGCCACCGTACCACCACCCTCTCATCCGAACGGCGAGCAGCGCAGGTGAACGGACCAGCATGCGCCCATCTTCGTCCGAGAATCCATTGAACGGATGGAGCCACAGGGTTCGTGCACTTCTTCTTTCCCCACAACCAGTCCCTCCACAGCCGGCGCAATTAGGCTTTCGGAGCCGAGCTGAGAGTCTTAGACCGTCATCAGACCTTCTGCGGAAGGGCTCTTATCCGGCAAGACGATAGCGATCAAGGACAATGTGTCCGTCGCGGGACTGCCCATGACGGGCGGCACACAGCCCTTCCATCTGTCCAAGGATATTCCATACCCGATTTCCAGCTTCGACGCCCCGGTCGTCACCCGTGTGCTCGAAGCTGGAGGGACGATCACGGGCACGTCGACATGCGAGAACTATTGCATGTCTGCGTTGAGCTTCAGCAGTGCCACTGGGCCTGTTGATAACCCCTGGCTGAAGGGCTATGAGTGCGGCGGTAGTAGCTCTGGGAGCGCAGCGCTGGTTGCGGTCAAATGTGTGGACAAGCAGAAGGAGAAGCAGAACGGAGGCATGGTTGTTGATGAAGACCTGGGAGAAGGTGTCGATCTCGCTATAGGAGGCGATCAAGGAGGCAGTATTCGCATGGTAGGCATCCTATCGCGCAGCTCCCTGCTTCATCGTTGTGCTGACGACAAATCCAGCCAGCAGCGTACAGTGGAATCTATGGTCTGAAGCCAACACATGGCTTAGTCCCTTATACGGGACTCGCAGCTTTGCATCCGATGATTGACCACTGTGGGCCGATGGCCGGTTCTGTGCGGGACACTGCGCTGCTACTCACGGTCTTGGCTGGCTGGGACGGCCTCGATCCGCGGATGACTCCTGAGACCCCTCTGCGGCAAAGTGTACCTGCCTACCACGAGTTACTCGACGAGGCCATCGAGTCGCTCAAAGCAGCCGGGAGCTGGACCGCGACGGCAGCCGCCAGCGGCTTGCGTATCGGCATTGTCAAAGAGGCCTGGTCTGCTCCTCAGCTCAGCGATGAAGTGGCCACCGTCGTCAAGCAGGCGGGCCAGCGCTTCGCTGCTCTCGGCGGAACAGTCGAGGAGGTAAGTGTGCCGATGCATACAATGGCGGCCTCGATATTCACGGCGGTGACACGGCCCGATATGGCAGACGTGTTCATCCACAACACGCCTCCAGATTGCCTGAGCTGGCCTATGGCGGATCTCGCACCTCCCAAGCCAGATGGGAAGTGGTACGACACCATGAATCGGTCGGCGCCCATGGTCGTGAACAAGCTCCTCAGTAGTACATTCATCACACGCAACAGCGACAACTTCCCGCCTGCCGCAAGGGGCAAGGCAGTCACGCATGTACACGAGCTGAGAGCTGCGTATGATGCGGTGCTAGCGGACTTTGACGTGCTCATTACTCCGTGCAACCCGACGGTTGGGATGAAACATCCCAGTCCTGATCTAAGCGTCGTACAGAAGTATGAGCTCGCGCTGGGCAACACGTGGAACACTTCTCCGTTCAATCTCACTGGTCATCCCGGTCTGGTCATCCCCGTAGGCTGGGGCAAGACCGAAGACGGACAGGGCAGACTGCCAATTGGGATGCAAATGATCGGAAGGCGGTGGAATGAGCAGATGCTATTCCTCGCCGCCGCGGCTTGGGAAGTCGGCGGGCTGGGGCTGGATAGCTAAGTGTTCACCGTCGGAAGAATCTCCTGTGTCTAACGCACACAACTTGTAAAGAGGCGGTCATTCTTTTTCTGATTACTTAAATATCTAAGAGTAATCTATCGAATTGCTAAATGTTCTTTACTTTTTAAGGTTCAGGAAATTATATCGGTCGCCAACTATTTATCATAGTGCTTCAAAAGGTTTTGGCTACTACTTTGTTAGCCTACGATTTCGGGTTTTTACCGAGTAATAACGGCTTAGCAATCTTGACTTAGACGAGAAACCATATTATTATGAAAGCAGGGCACCTCCCTTTAACATTTGCAAAGGCGAAGAGACCCTAAGTCCCCAACGATGAGATTCTCGTGGATGGATCGAATAGTAGCTGTGGTATACCCGAGGGATACCCCCCTATGAATTGATTAGCTTTTTGTCAGAATGCAGACGATAGGCTACAGATCTGCGGAATACGCTTTATGGTACTGCCTCCAAACTCGACGCGCCCCCCTAGTCCTCCATCTAGTGATCTGAACGATAGGTCCCGGTCGCGAGCTGCCATCTGCATACGTCTAATGTACGGCTGCTGGTCATTTTATCTCGGCCAGCTGAGAGGTGACCCGGCCTTCTCAATGTCTCCAATGGATGCCATCACTTGTCTCCCACCAATCCTATTGTCCGCCTGCAGATAAGAAGATTTGTGATGTCCTCGAAGACATGAAACAGTGGAAGGCGAACTCCGATGACTACGGCAAGGCGATGAAAGGTCAGGGTACGACGGCACGAGACGAAGTTTCAGTCCGATGTGACAGACAGCAACATGGCGTTCAACACGGTTCTTTTCATGGTATCGCATCCTGGCATCTTCAAGGTTGCGGCCTGGAAAATGGTGCGAGCTGCGATTTGATCTGTATTCGAAAGAGCCAGCTAGTATATTGCAATGCCTATAACACGATACAGCCGAATTATATAGCCACAATCGGCTTACCCAGCTCCCTCAGTCCATTGGGGCAGATGAATTTCAACTGTGAGCAAAAGGCCCATAGCCTGTGCCTGGACTGCTAAAGGTCCAACCAGGCACGTCATGGATTTCAGGTGAAAAGTGTGTATTGTACATAGGGGTGAAAACTCTCATTAATATGATATGTCGGAGGAGTCAGCAGCAAGGTCTGTTAGGCGTGGGATCCGCTCGGAGAGTACTGTAACTTTTAGCCCGAGAGTTAAATCGCTTTCCTAAAAGTCCCCAAGACTAAAAGGACCAATCGGTACACGAGTTCAACTTATTTGTAGGCTAGGCGTTGTCGGGGCTATGGGGCTGAACGCACGCAGGGCCCACTCACCCTGTACTGATGGTCCAATTCAGGCAACTTACCTAGTAGATCTTATTAGTTCAACTGCCGTGGGTACTTCTCCAGATCTTCTGACGACATTCGCAGCTTTGCCCTCTCTGCTTCTCTTGCTTAGGCAACCTACTTGTAATCCAACAATTCTTCACGGTCAACCTGATTCCATCTGCCGTAAGATGCGAGGGCTTGTCTCCTGAAGTCAGGCGTTGGACTCTGCTCTCAATATGCGTTCTCTTATTTTCTGCTATTTTGGGTCAATGGCGTGGGCCTGAAACTTTGCATCGATGGGTTTGACTCGTGGTCGGAATGGGAAATGGGAGTAGACAGTGCATCCGAAGGTTTCTAACCTTCGGGAAGTACTGTGCAAAAACTGTCTAACATTATATATATATTCTGTCGCCAAAACAATGTCCATCCAGGCCGTCAGGCCTATAAGCCGGAACATTTTCCAATTCCAGAACGCCATGGCTTCAACAGGCTCGAAAGTGGCTCGTATACTCCTCGCGGCCATCATCGCATTGCTCTGTCTTAACCTGCTCAAACCCTTCTTCCGGGATATGACTCTAGCCCACTTCGCACTACCAAGCTCAGCCGCCCCGCCAGATCTCGAATTCCAGATTCCCACCAAACTGCCAGGCCGGGTCGTCCCGGTGGGTGAGCGGCACCCCATTAGCCGCCACCTTGCTGAGTATACGCGCATCGGCAAGATGATTGACGGGTCCTTGGTGGCGGCATTCGGCTGCGAGGACGAGAATGAGGCTGACGTGCGTGCGATGTGTTGGTCGCGATCCGCAGATGTCGGCTTGACTTGGACCGACGGTAGCGAGGTAATAAGAGCCAGTAATCAGTAAGTTGTCTAGCTTCACAATACGATAAAACCCCGATCAAAGAGCTCCATTCGGCTCATACGTAAAAGTTATATATCCCGGCAGCAATACAGGCATTTTCTCGCCTGCGTCCCAGAAGGCAAGTGCTTCTGCGCACCACCTGATACAACCTGAGGGGCAATGAGTTCTGTGTTGATGTTTGGCGCCCGCGTACATTGGTGGAGATGGCTCCATAGTCCTGCACTGCCAAGGGAAGACTATCTATGGCCTAGACTGCTGACATAGGCTCGGCATAGAACGACCGATCTTGACAATGCCTCGATATTGCAACTACCCAGCGGCAGAATCTTGTACGCCTACCGCCACCACGACAGGCTAGGAAATGACCCCCACATCCCGCTCGTGGATGCCCAGTGGCAATACACGTATTTCCGACTGGAGGTGGCAGCTTCAGATGACGGCGGCAAGACCTGGAGCCACCTGAGCACGATCGAAGAGCAGGAAGAAGACGGGCTGTGGGAGCCCTTGTTCCGCTTGGCGGATGATGGATCGATACAGGTCTACTGTAAGAATGTCCTCATTCCTCCCACCCGGTGCCGTGCTAACATGAGATGTCGAAAAGACACTCATGAGACGTCGCCAAGCGAGCAGAACAACTTCATGAAATTCTCACGAAGCGAGGGCCGCACCTGGTCGAAACCAATCCAGGTATCAGGAGCCGGCGTCCGCTCGCGCGACGGCATGGTGGGCGTGACAAGCCTGGGAGGCGGCGAGCTGGTCGCCGTCTTCGAGGAGTCAGCCGAGGGCCCGCTCAGCATCTCCGCCGTCAAGTCCCACGACGACGGCAAGACGTGGCCGCCCTCCTCCCGGGTGAAGCTGCACCGGCCCCGGGTCGGGGTTCACCCTTGGCCCATCGCCTCAGCGCCGTCTGTCACCAACGTCGGGGGCACGCTGATCGTTGCGTTTCAGACGGACGAGGACCTACCACCGCCGGAGGCCAACAGCCGGCTTGGAATGATCTTGAAGATCATCACTAGTGTTGATGGAGGGAACACATGGGGAGAAGCCCAGAGTATCCCGGATTTCCCGCGCATCCTCTGGCCAATGATGGCGACTATCAACGATACTCACTTTCTGATGGTCTTCAACGTAGGCTATAGAAACGGCGGATTCGCGCAGATGTTTATGATCACAGAATGAACACCCACAGGACCGTATAATGCCCCAACCACTCCTGATTCCGACCTGCGGATTACACCTCTACCTGAGTAGTGGGCTCTTTGTTGCTATGCCCATCCCTTTCGACTGTCTAATTCGCCTCCGAGACGCTGATTTTAGAATATTCTTCCTTCTCGCGCATTGCTTTCACCTTGCCAGTATCCGCCACCTCCATATGCAATGGCTGTAGCGCGGTCCGGCCGGACTGCGTGGCGCTACAAGCCCGCCAGCCCGGCCCAAAGGCTAGGCCCCAGCAGCCGCTATCCATGCCATATCCAGCGCGAATTGCCGGCACCTACGGTGACCTACCTAGGTACATATGGAGTATTGAAGCTCAGCCATATGGCCAATATGCTCTGTTGCACTTCCGAACGCCTCCGCTATGAACTTTTGAGAGGGCAACACTGTGCTTGGGTAGCCTACAATCTGTACATGAATAGGGTGGGCAGTGCTTACATGCGTCCGCCGGGTTTTTCTTATTTATTTGTGTTTACCTTTCAAAATTCCGCTACCAAATACCACCGAAGAATTCGCATTTCCAAATTTGACGTAGCTGGAATTTGGAGCCAGCCGACGCTGGAAACATAAGACTAGAATATTGCATTGCCTTACCTCCATCTTCAGCAACGTCAACCTCGGCGGCATACTTCAGATGTCCTAGCACAATAAATCAGGGGCACCCCAGATCAGGCTTCGCTGAAGTGATGATTTACTGCGCTACTAGATGGGTTCCAAGGCCATAAGCCACTCATTCTGACACAGATTCAGGCATTTGTGAACTGATGGAAGGAGTGCGCGGCCTAGCAGGTCGCGTTCTTAGGCGCTGAGCCAATGACGAGCAAGAACTATGGGGAAAAAGAACCTCGTGCATCCCAAGCTATGTATGTCGGTATCTGGGCGTCAATTTTTGATACAACACGCATCGTCTCCTTAAGTATCAAAATGCAATGCGTGCTGTATCGAAAATTGACGCTCAGATGCCGATGAACATGAGTTGTGGTCACTATCCGTGCATCATGCCAACGTGCTGGACATGAATTGCCGTCGCTCCAAACCTTGGGTCTCCAGATGCCATTTTGGGGTCGATTCCTTCTTTAATGTTTTCAGAGTCCATATTTTCATTGTTGGCGACCTGAATTGAAAGATACAGATCAACCGTCAACTGCCGGATGACGACGTCAACGAGTGCGAGTTGGGGTCAGCCGGATCAGTCTATGATGAACGACTCCAATGCATACCTAATGCCTAGAACTCATTACACGGGTGGGAATTCAAGAAGAGAAGGGACAGATACTGAAGCCAGAATTGTACTCTGGATGCCCAAATATAATGTCGGTTGCGCAGTGGTCAGCACACAGTTCTCTAAGGATAAAGCCGATGGCGATCATTCTCTCGCTCAATTGCATCAGCTTGCCCAAGAAACCAGCTGATATAGCTTCGTAAGAGTGGAGACACCGGAGCAAATGTCCACTTGCCCGTCATATCAAAATGCCTTATATCCGTGGGTCCGGAGCTCTCGATCATTTCCAGGATCTGCCCCAAACATCCTTGTGACGTCAAGGCGAACACTTTTCCAAGTTGGCAGCATACAGCCAGGTTACTGGTCATAATCCTATGAACTATAAATCGTTTGCTTAAACATCATATGACCAACTCTCCGGTCCCAAGAACACCATCGCTTTGTTGAATTGCCAATCCTCGCCTTATTCCGATGTTCATTTGTCCGCATCTATATCTTTACGTGATCCCGTCGAAGCATTTCTCAAGTTTACCCTCAACTCGCCCGCTTTTCTCTTCATCGCATAGCAATATGACTACTCAAGGATCAGCAAAGCGAGAGAAAGGCATGGGAGACTTCGAGCCTGCCTTTAGCAAGCCTGGGCAAGGGAACACCGAATTCATAGCAAACCAGGATGGCAAAACCCAAACCGAGTCAGAAGTTCCGCTGCCAACCGCGCTTGAAAGTGAGCTTCGAAATCTTAAGGAGTCATTTACAGTCACAACCAGTATGCTCAAAGAAATTGTCAAGCAATTCGAGCATGAGCTTGCTGAAGGGCTGGAGAAGAACGCTCAAAATATCGTAAGTGGAGCACTACGTTCGTGCGTAACTCTACTGTTAACAAAACCCAGGCTATGTATCCGACTTGGGTACTAGGATACCCATCCGGCCGTGAAAAGGGGCAGTACCTCACCCTAGACCTCGGAGGAACTAACTTACGCGTGTGTTGGATTACGCTCAAAGGCCGTGACTACGAGACAGACATCGTACAAGACACCTACCGGGTACCAGAGCACATCAAGACAGGCTCTGCTGATGAGCTTTGGGATTTGATTGTGGACTCTCTGAAGGATTTCACTGGAAAACACAAATTGCAAGGCGCTGAAGACGAACCGTGAGTAATCGAGCGACAACACCAAGTGTGCTATTAACTGACATTTTGTTCAGACTGCCACTGGGTTTCACATTCTCATATCCAGTGCACCAAGATCACATCGACCGAGGAAGACTTGTGACTTGGACGAAAGGATTCAACATCAAGGGAGTCGAACAGGAAGACGTGGTATCCCAGCTCGGCGAGGCACTCTCAAGAAGGAAGCTGCCTATCAAGATCATCGCTTTGATCAACGATACGGTTGGCGCGATGATTGCCTCGGCATACAGCGACCCCGAAACCATTATTGGTGCAATATTTGGCACCGGGTGCAACGCAGCGTATATGGAGAATGTTGGCGCGATACCGAAGATCAGCAGTTCTGGGCTGGCACCGGAACTTCTTCTTGCTATCAACTGCGAGTATGGCGCTTTCGACAATTCCCACCGTGTCCTGCCAAGGACAAAGTACGACATCGAAATTGACAATGAGTCTGCCAAGCCCGGGGAGCAGGCCTTTGAGAAGATGAGTGCTGGCTTGTACCTAGGAGAGCTCTTTCGCCTGGTCATCCTGGACCTCTATGAGCGGGGCGTCTTATTCAAGGGACGAGATGTCCCGAAGTTAAAGGAGTCCTATTGTATGGATACGGGTTTCCTCTCCTGCCTGGAAAATGACCCTCTGGAAGACCGAGGGGCTCGCTACAGGGAAACTCTGGGCTTCGAGCCAACGCCAGGAGAGGTCGAGTTCTCACGAATGCTTGCAGAAGTTATTGCGGTGCGCGGTGCGCGGCTATGCGCTTGCGGCATTGCTGCTATTTGCACGAGGAAAGCGATTCAGACAGGTCATGTGGCAGCCGACGGCAGTGTTGCCAACAAGCATCCAAAGTTCAAGGCTAGATGGAGCAAAGCCTTGGGCGAAATTCTCGACTGGCCCGCGGACCGAAAAAGCGATCCAATCACGATGACAAGCGCAGAAGATGGTAGCGGAGTTGGCGCCGCGATCATCGCATCCATGACCATGGCCAATCCTCGGGCTGGGGGCTGGAAGTGAGTGCGAGATGGTCAGCAGCGCATTGGGAAATAATTATGGTAATCAGGGTCAAGTTCGGTCAGGTCGGGATGTTTAATCGTCATGAAATACAGATAGCATGGAGCGGGTAATGTCACTTTTTCATGCATGTCTATCGTAAGAAGTGATCGCTCGACAGATACACCTCTTACGACAGCGGAGGTATGCGACTGAATAATGTTTCAAACACATCTTGACCCGATCGAGATTATTCCTCCTTGCTCACCACACCACCGAGCCTATGAGTGAGGGATCTCAAGGGACACAAGTCAGACAACTGCGCATCGTAAATGGAGTATCTTGCGATTGTTCCCCACCAGAGGAACACAGACGCAACAATAATGTCTGCAAGTGTTACGCACGTGGGATCAGCTCGCGCAGCTCTCGCCCGTATTCGAAAAGATGAACAGGGTACTGGGATCTGCACGATGGCCCCCAACAGTTCGCGGGACATGTTCTCTCTTGGACGAGCTCCTATTCTCAGCGTTGCCCCTGACACATTATGTCCAAGCTTATCAGCTGTGTCCACAAAGTCCCTTAAAAAATTTGGTGGTGAGACTATTTCATCTCTAATTTTACCTCACCTCCGTCTTCTGGTGAGGCTGCCTTCATCGCAGAGGCTGAGAGGGCAAACATTTAGACGCCGAGATGGGTTTCGGATGGAGCAAACCGCGGGAGCCAGGATCGTTTCAAGTGGTGATCCCGCCGCATTGGTGGAAAGACGTTCGTTTGCCCCTTGCCAAGTCGCCGCGAGTCTTGGTATCTATTCAATCAGGAACATAAAGTGGACCCAGAAGCCAAATCGTCAGCCGGACTGTCAACCAAAAACTCAAAAGGACGATCTTGGCTTTCTCTTGGCCCGGGTCCCGTAACCTTCCTTTAATTTTGCAAGCATCGTGAGAACTGAGGTGGATTTGGACTACCAATATGTCGGGCCTAACAGGAAAAAACCACAGAAGATTTTGCAGACGATTATTATAAAGGTCATGATGGCCCCTCAATTATGATCTGCTGTTGATCATTCACACTTACTAGTAACGACCAGGGGTCTGTCATTGATTTTTCCGCTCTTTAACAAGTACAAACTTGCTTTATACTTATACATTCTCTCGACCGTCGAACGGTTTTAAGTCATTTGTTCATATTGCTTTTAGCAACAGACACACAAATTCTGCAGACTCTCTCCAAACTCCACGATGTATTCTTCGGCAAAGCTTGTTGCACTCGCAGCCGCCCTCCCAGCGGCTATGGCCTGCCTGGGCTATGATGGAGGCCTTCCCACGGCTTCTGGAAGCAAATCTCTCACTGCTCCTCAGTACATCAAAGCCGGCCAGACCTTCGACGCGGGTTGGGTTAAGTACGATCGTGGTTCGGGCGCTTGCAGTGGCCAAAGCGAAGGTGGAGAGAAGGACACAGTCTTCGTGCTCGAGGATGGTGCCACGCTTAAGAACGTCATCATCGGAAAAGATCAGGCCGAGGGTGTCTACTGCTTGGGATCTTGCACCCTGGAGTATGTGTGGTTCGAGGATGTCTGCGAGGACGCTATTTCCATCAAGGGTGATGGCACTGCCAACATCATCGGTGGTGGTGCTTATGGTGCCAGTGACAAGGTGATCCAGCACAATGGATGTGGTTCCGTCAACGTGAGTCTGCAATCATAACTGCTATTGACTTCAGAACATTCGATACTGACTGTCCCTTGGCAGATTATCAACTTCTACGCTGAGGACTACGGCAAGGTCTACCGTTCTTGCGGCAACTGCAAGAACAACTGTGGCCGGACAGTCCACATGGAGGGAACCACAGCCGTCAACGGTGGCGAGCTCATGGGCATTAACACCAACTACGGTGACAAGGTACGTCTTTTTCCTACCATATTTGAGAAGTGACGACAGGTCTAACATTGAGTTCAGGCCACCTACTCCAACAACTGCTACGACAGCGGCGTGACTCAATGCCAGGCATACACAGGATGCGACAAATCCGAGGGTGACTGCGAGGCCAGCAAGTCCGGCAAGTGCTAGACGATCATGGACATAATTCGGACCAGAGAGTGACCTTAGACTCTGGCCGGTGGTCTAAATGACATGGGTGGATTTCTCTTCACAGTAAATACGTCTTACCAATTCAAGTATATAACAATGGCATCTGAATTGTACGCGTTTGCGTCACTTCAACGAACCCTAGCCGGATCAACAAGCATGCGCAACCAGAACGATAAATCGAAAACGATTTGACTGGTCGAAATGGTATATTGGTGAGACCTCTCATGACTGTTGCTCTACCTTCCTTCGTGTCTTCACCATCTCAGCCATCTTCTTGCCCACTTCCGTGTCTAGAGCATTGAATCCAGCCTCAACACCTTGATTGTCACCCTCTTTCATCTCCTGACTCATCTTCCATTTTCCACCCATGTCGGTAATCTCAATCTCTATACCGATGATAGCCTTTCGCAACAGGTCGATATAGTTGGACGGTGCGTCTTCTACCTGCCAGGGCTTCTCATAACCCATGATCTGCGTTTCAGCGAGCTGAGATAGATCCGCAATCGCCTTGGACAGGAAGGTATTGGTTGACTCGGACTTGGTGTCGAAGTAGACGCTGAGCTTTCCGTAAACCTGTACGGCAGCGTAGTTCCAAGTTGGCACGACCTTTCCAGTCGCGGGCTTGGTGTCAACATAGAACTTGGGCGTTACATAGTGGTGCGCCGGTCCGTTGAAGAGCACCATGACATCCCTCTCGAGCTTTCGGGGGCTCATTGTGGATGCCGCGGAATCCTCCGCGGAACTCAGGTGCTGTATCAAGGACTTCGCCTGGGGATTCGCCCGTGCCATGTGGCCGCGCAAGACCCCTAATTCGGTCTCACTGCCTTCATCTTGGACGTCGAGGATCCAGGGGATGTGGCTGGACTGGAGGAATGGAAAATTGGGCGAGTCGATTGCGGTGGTAAAGATGCCCAAGGGATTGGCGCGGATGAAGGCGCGAAGTGTTGGGATGTGGTTCTCGGCATGGACGGCACGGAGATACATTGTGAGAGAGTATGTATGTTAAAACGCCGTCAGGTGCCCAATGGCGCTGTTAGTCGGGTAGCTCAATTGGTTGTGGTAGTCCTTAGATGATGCTACTGTTGGCCAAATCAAGAAACCTTTTCTACTTTTGTTATACGGATGCGTCGAGAGCCACTCGAGGTGCACAGGTTTGGAATGACTCGAATGAGCGATGAGCAATTGGCAATTCGATGTCTCCGCGGAGGAAGTCACATGTGCGCATTTGCGCAGGTGTCTGTGAGGCAAACAAATCTGCAGCAGCGACACCGGCAATAGAACGGGCTAATTAGATAGCGCCACCAATAGACTGGCTTCTAATCAATCTCTACAGTCAAAACTTACTTCTAAATCGGCTGCAGACCAGGACACGACCGGGTAGATACTTTTCATTACCTGTGCAAATATGTTGCTGCGATCCAAACTGTCCTATATTTCAGTCTGTGTGGCCAGTCGTCATCACATAGTCTACACTGTTGGTACAACACCGCCACAGTCTTAAAAATCGTAACACATCATTGTGGAGTCCCCTGTAGCTTATCTATTTCCCTGAATACAAGGTCATTCAACAGGGACTTTTTAACAGAAAGTTATTCCATTGAAAATAATTCCACAGAAGATCATTCTATACCACGTTATCTCATAAGAGGTTATCCTATAAAAGGTGGTCTTAGAAGATTATTCATACGCGAGGTTATGGCATAGAAGGTAAGAGTTAGGAGGTTCCTTCTCTATATTTCTTCCTTTACTCGATTGTATGCATTTTGCATAAATACTCTGGCTGTATAGCGGACACCTGAGCTTAAGCTGGGTGCTCCGGAGACGTTTTTTTCGAAATGATCAACAACTTTCCACGGTTTCGGTTCTCATTTGTTTGATGATTTGGATGCCAAGCCGAGCTTCGACTCCAGGCAAATCTGATCTCCTGACATTTTAAGTGGATTCGCGAAAGCATCTGAGGAAGACTCATCGCCGACGAAGTAAGCCGACGGAGCAAGCCGACCATAAAAGGTGATAACAAGAAGCTCGACAAGTTGATGTAAGTATTGTGTACATTGTGTGTCTCTCCTCAGTACGACGGTTATACCAGCAGCGAGTTACGCCACTCTGAGAGTTGCGATCAGTCTTTGGTGCCCACGTCATCTCACATGATTATCTACAAAATTTGAGATTTATCATGGGTCAAGAGGCACATCTCACCGGCTTACAAGCTTCATGAGGAAGCTTTGAGTGCACAAGACGAGTCCTACAGTGGTTGATCGGTCCAATCTTTTGGAGAGGGGGGGGGGGGTGATTCGGCACACTTGAGGCCAGTTTGCCTGACCTTTTCCACGTTTCGTGGTCAGCTTTCGTCTTGTCGACTAGGACATCATATTAGTATGAAGCCATGCCTTGCTGTATAAAGAAGGCCTTTCTTGATGTAGACATTATTCGTTTTACTGACAAGTCAAAATTGGATTTGCATCCCAGGAGATAGTGTTTTCAGATGATATACCTTTTGCTACCTGCCTGACGTAAAGAACTTGCCACGGACCCGTGATGGATTTTGCTTTTTGCATACTTCCGAACTGTCATAGCCACCACATTAGTCTCAGCCTGTAGATGATAATTAGAGTTTTCGAACAGTAAGCACATAAAGAATACTGCCTTCGCAGAACAGGAGCCTTTGCGGATCGGCTTAAGATTGCTGGATGATTTGCAACACAAGAGATGCTCTTGTTTTGCAACACGCGTAGAAAGCCGCTACATGCGCGTAGTTTTGAGGCGACAACCGAGAAAAAAGTTCCAAATTTCATATAAATGAATTAGTAAGAAGACCATCCCTTTCAGATTCGCACGGCTTCGGTCGATCCGCTGACGACCCGAACGGATCTCGAATGCCCATTGTATACTTGTCCAAATGCGAGAAGCTTAGGCATCTCTATGAGTAGGCCCAACGAGTGATGAACAATAATACTTTCATACGCCTGACCGACTTCTGTCATTTGTTGTTTTATGATCGATACTGAGAGCACGCGAGAGTGACTTGATATGAGAAGAGCCGCGCAATGTTGAGTATCTTTTTCACACGAAAACCGAGAATGAGAGTCCAAGACTTAATTGTACACAAGGAGGTGAGCCTCATTACTGTACGAGCTCAATTCATTGTGCAGGATGTTTGAGTTATGGTTTTTAGAGAAATGCGTTTTGCTGCAAGCGACACGGATACCAAGAATCCATTCGACGTCAGACTGAACAATGAACGGTCTGGAGAACTATATCCAAGTCTGCCCTGATCTGGCAAGCTTGGCCGCCCGCGAGTCATGATGTTCACCGCGAAGGAAAGAAGAAATGTATTCGACCCGATGACGTAACGAACTCGAGCTGCGGGCGGAATATCCGGTTCTTCCTGACTCACTACTGCAGTGTGGTGATACGGTGCTGTGCGCACTTGGGGGAAATTATTCACCTCTTCCATGTTTCAGTCGAACATTAGGGCTTATTCATCTCCCCAGATTATTCATCTTTTGCCAAGTCCTGTCCAACGTCCTGGGTATGTTGTTCCTGGCTAGTGGTCGGCTACTACGCTGTGGATCTAAGCCAATAGCGACTCAGCGATGATGGTATGGCTAGGTCGATGACGCTCTCTCTTCTACGCCCAGCCCATCGCACTTGTGGGCCTATAGCGCAAGCTTCCGATGTGATATGGCTGATCTCGGGCGGGCAGGCGGGCAGGCAGACAGGACAGGTTCCAGCCCGCCTGTGTGCTTGACATTTACCAGTCAAGCGAAATAACCGCGGGGAAACCAAACCCTGAAAATTGATGAGGAGGGATAGGTGCAGGTACATATGTAGATATCTTTTGAGCCGCCAGTTCGTGTAACCATGGGGCTGATGGACACATCAGGTGGCAGTCGCCGATTCAATTATGCAGTAGCAGGGATCGGCACTTACCGATGAGGATTAAGCAGAGGTCAACTGCATTGTGGCTCCGTCGATGTCACCATTGCGAACCCTTAGCCGCATGATGAGTGGGTCCAAGTGCCAAATGCCAAATGCTTCTCGAGAAAGGTTTCCTACTTGGGACTGACAAATCGGGACCGGTTCGTGGCATATATATTCCAAAACGTGTCCGCCTGTCGCACGGCTCCGCTTCGCGCTTTGCCGACGTTTCTTGATCCCAACCTCTGCAAAGGCAACTTACGAAGCCTATCAAACGAACTAAAGTCACAAAAGCACATTCTTTAAATCAACAATATGGCCCCATCAACGGTGAAGCAGTGGACGGTTACCGGTACCGACAAAGGCTTCGATGGCCTCGAGTTTGGCGACGCACCGGTACCCAAGGTCGGTGAGAACGACGTGCTGGTCAAGATTCAGGGAGCTTCGCTCAACTACCGTGACCTTATCATCCCCAAAGTAAGATATGATGACTCTGAAAACGCAGCTGCTCTTCCAGTGCGCTTCAAACAACAAGACTGACGACTTCCAACAGGGCCTCTATCCTTTCCCTCTCAACCCCCCCGTTGCAGCCTTGTCGGATGGTGCGGGTGAGGTCGTCGAAGTTGGCGGCAGCGTCACCCGATTCAAGCCCGGCGACAAGGTCGTAACACTTTTCAACCAGGGCCACCAGTTCGGTCCTGTCGATATCGCTGCCACTAAGACCGGCCTCGGCGGTGCCGTCAACGGCACACTGCGACAATACGGCGTCTTCAACGAGACAGGTCTGTCTCTCGCCCCCGAGAACCTGAACCCTCTCGAGACGGCGACCCTCACCTGCGCGGGTCTCACGGCATGGAATGCGCTGTACGGCCTGAAGCCCGTCATCCCCGGCAATTGGGTCCTGGTTCAAGGCACGGGCGGAGTCAGTATTTTCGCCCTACAGTTCGCCAAGGCTGCTGGAGCCAAGGTCATCGCCACTAGCTCTTCGGCCGCCAAGTGCGAGACACTGAAGAAGTTGGGCGCCGACCACGTTCTCAACTATAAGGAAGACCCGAATTGGGGCACCACTGCCAAGAAGCTGACACCAGGTGGTGCTGGTGTGGATCACATCATTGAAGTTGGTGGTGCCGGGACACTGGAGCAGAGTGTTGCGGCTATTAAGTTCGAGGGTGTTATCTCTATCATCGGCTTCCTAGGCGGTGTCAAGGCAAAGACGACCGCTATCGATGCATTGACCAATATCTGTACATTCCGGGGCGTCTACGTCGGAAGTCGACAGCAGCTGGAGGATATGGTTGCGTGCATCGAGGCTAACAATATCCACCCAGTTCTTGACGAAAAAGTGTTCAGCCTAGAGGAAGCGAAGGAAGCGTATCAGTATATGTGGGACCAGAAGCATTTTGGCAAGGTCGCGATCAAGGTGGAGTAGGATCTGGACGTGAAAGCTGCGTAAATATGTTGATAACCGTTGCTATTGAGTAACGAGCTGTACAGACCAAAACCATAATTAATTACTCGAGATAGCGTGTCAAGGACTGCGAATTTAGCTCTGGTTGGACGCGAGTTCCATGCTATAATAAGCGAGGCGAGCCGAACGAGGCTAAATCCGTTGCGAAGCAAGCGCCCCAGTACCAAAGCACTCAAGCCAGAAGAGGGCGTCCTGCTTGCATCGCAACAATTGATCAAAGTGAAGACATCGATTTCCTAGGCTAATCGGTAAGACTAGATTGCCTCGGTTGTCAGCAACATCTAACATTGAAAAGGGCCAGACGTCCCCTCTACATGTGTACAAGCTCTGCTTAAAGCGTTCCTGGCATGATTCAGGCGATCCCGGCCGCGCCGGTCGAGTGTTCCATATTTACTTTCCAGCCAAGATGAGCGGACAAAATAGACTTTAGGGGTCCATTAAGCTCACGAATCGCCACGTCTTGTGCTTATATATAAATCTGGTGATCCCCTTTTGTGACAGATTCGCATGCTTCGTTTACACTTCGAAACTCTGTCGCTCGCCCTCGGAACCCGACTTTTCCTGGGTACATTACCGCATGCAGGCCCGCAACAGTGCAAGCCTCTACATCTGATAATGGAAGATCCACTGTGAAGTGATTCGTCGACTTGTCAGTGTCAAAAAAGCAGAGACTTCAGGATGATTCAGCCACTGATTCCTCTCGGCGTGCAGATGCTGCAGTCCCACAAAATCCGACACTACGATCCACAAGTGCGTCCAGGTCGACGGTTGGAAATCTGCATGTCTAGACGATCTATCTAGAAATTTGGTCGACCTCGAAAGTCTTTTATAAAAGACGTGCTCTTCAAGCCGATATCACGCCCTCACTATCATGGTTGCCATTCTCGCCGTCGTTGTACCTATCTTAGGTTGCCTCCTCACCGGTGTCTTTGGTGTCCCACAGCCAATGAATGCGAAGGAATTCAAGGAACAAGGTGTCTGGGGCCCAACAGCAGTGTGGTATTGGCGTTGTTTGTCACCATTTATCGTCGAGGCTTCCTTGGATCTTGAAAACTGGAGGCCATCGAGCGTTTGCCTTGAGGGAACTTGTTGCTCAATACTTGCGAGTGGCCCGACGTGTACCAAGGATGCGTGCAAGCTCGTACCGAAAGAGCCCGGTAAGCCAAAAGGACAGGATCCATTGGCGCTGACAGGGGGGAGGAGTCCTGAAAGAGGGACATGAAAACTTGTAGAACAAAGAAGGTTTTAAGTGCTCAACCGCTGTTTCTACCAAGAGATGCATTTTGTTCCCGGGACCATGCAGTCACAAAGCAAGTTATTTCCGTTCATTCCAAAGGTACACTGAGCCACCAGTCATAGGAACTTGGCAAGCGCAGCAGTACTGTCCAACACTGATTCACCGAGTTCAGTGATTTTTCAACAAACTACAACAGTATTTAAGATGTGACCATCCACTGCTTGATTTGAAGAATGTCGCCCACATTGCACTTTGTCCCGAAATCCAGGAATCGATCAAGAGAGCACAACCAAATTCCGCATCTCGACTGCTACCCATCTCAATTATACTGCGATAATGAGTGGTGGAAAGACACCAAACAAGGGAGCTGCGATCAAGTCTCTATCAGCAACCAAGAAAGGGAACAAGTCTGCGAAACCGAAATTTGATTTCGGCGAGATAGATTCCGACTTTGACGACGCGTATTCAAGCCAAAAAGAAGGAGACGAGAACAAGGAACCCACGACCGATTCTCGGTGTCAGTCCGTAGATAGATACAAAGAGAAGCTTCATCCCGAGGGCCAAGACATCTGGCTACCCGCTTACAAGTACCCACCGGACTACCGCATGAGAGGATCAAGAAGCCCTACTCCGCGAGTTGATGGAGAGGACCCTGCAGCTGATGCACTTTTCGAGGGTGCGAGAGAGAGACAAGAGAGAAAAGTGTTAAGAGATGTGAATGCGCATGTGTCTGCGCTGTCCGCCAATCTTAAAAATGCTCTCGCTAAGACAAATTCGACACTAGAGCGCCTTGCAGCAAAGCGAACGGAGAGGAAAGAGGGTGAAGAAGACACCACCGATGCCCCATCTGAAAGCGCAGGAAGTCGCAAATAAAATGCCAGAAGGCTGGTGGGTGGACGAATGATTGCGCGCCCCATTGTGAAAACACCCGTGGATCGATAAGGAGAGCATATTTTCAAGCAAGCTTTAGCAGCATTTGCATATCTGGCTCCGGCTTAATTTCATGGCGTCTGAGCAAAAGTGACACCCTCGTAAAGAGACGAAACGACAACATCGGGTCGGGTCAAGGAGACCCCAGACAGGTCTGTGACCAAAGAGATGAAGGCAAACTTGTTCGAGTTCGGCTGCATCAGGAGACCAGAAAGTAGTTTTATTTCCCAATGAACTCACTGACCATCCAGTCTTCGTCGCTGCCGTCCTCTAGGTGCTAAGTGTCATGTAGAGCAAGACCTCCTTCGCGGTTAAGCCTTGGTTGGCGTTATGTCCGAACTTTATATTCGCCCTAACATTCTTAAATCACTGCCCAACATGCACTTTGGCCAAATGAGGATAGGAAGGACCGACCGTAGATAATGTCCTCATACACTTCCAGCAGATATGAGTCCTGCAACCGCCACATGCCATATAATTGCAGCTCTCCACCTTCTCATTTGCGGTCTTACATTTGAATCTCATCAAATTCCTGTCTGCATCAGAAATCTTGGAGCCTCGCACCTTGATTTCGGCTCATGAAGTGCCTGCATGACCATAAGAAGATGACAGGAGGTGCACATCACCAAAGCGTATCTGGACTTGCTACGAGTGCGCTGCGACGCGTGTCCCATCATGTGCCATGGCGTTCTGGGGAATGATCTCCACAGTCGAACCAAATTACAATAAGTCACGGAGATTCTTTGATGCAAAGACTTAGAGGTCTCATTCAACAAAGCAAACCGCAACCTGGTTCGTGCCGCTGAGACGGCTGTCACCGCCAGCCCCATCGAACGGGGACTGCTATGCCGCCTGGACTGGGTGTGCATAAACGGTTTCAAATCAGGAGGGGAACTCAGACCGTCTGGCAAATCAAGCGGTCCAAAGTCCTGAACGGTTCAAACCTGCTTAAGCCGTTTAAAGAAGCAATGGCTGGTAGAAGGCAGGAAAACATTTCAGCCAGGGGGTCTTCGGCACCAACTCTGCCCGAGAAAGAATCTAATTCTGAGCTGGAATTATATTTTGGAGATTCCTTTTCCTGGAGATCTTTTCGTCTAATGCCCTTCTGGAGTTCGCTTCTGGAATTCCTTCTCCTTCCCTTTCGTTCTCCTCTCCTAGTAGCAGAGTTGGTGATGTTCTGTGCTTTCTAGGAGCGACTTCCTCTTCGGCTTCAGTCTAGATATCCGTTTTTAGAGATCCAATATGAATAATGAATCATCCAAGTCAAGGCCGTGGTGCTGTTAGATAGCAAGGCTGCAGTGCTTGAGGGCAGCTTGTGTTGATAGGTTCATAAACCTTTCTTCCTAGAATTTCTATTCTTGGAATCGAGGCGCCCTCAAGCAATACATACATCGCACTATGCTAGGAGCATAGATTTCGTCGAGACACGAAAATATATTCTTAGCACTTTTAGCCCCTGGAATATCCAAAGATGCGAGGCTCATCCTCTTCATGTGGTGCTAACGCCTCTCCTGGTATGTCACCTGCGGGTTCTGTTTCGTCCATCTCCAACGGCCACTTCCAAAAAGGGCTCACCGGGTTAAACTTCAAAGTATGAGGCCTGAATTCCTGGTCACCGATATTGAGTCCTTTAGTAGCTTATGGAACAGTTAATCCTCTCAAGGCTTTTTCTTTCTTCTCTTTTGTATTTCCGAGCACTCGGACCGGGCCTGTCGCCGGGCGCGTGAAACCTGTCATGGGCCAGCAACTGTCGTCCTTCGGGAGGCTGACCACCTCATGTCTTGACATAGTGACCAGCTCTTTAGCTGAGAGCCGCTGTCAATGTGAAGAGGCTTACGAGTGCCCCCAATCGTGGCCAGGGTAAGACAACCAACCGAGAGCCGGCTGGCCGGCCGGCCATAGCTTAGCGTTGGATAAAAATGAACCCTTACCTAGTCCGAACTCGATGCGAGCTGTGTCCCTCCATGAGAATGTGCTTCGAGGCTCTCACACTGAAGAATATTGAAAGTTGCGAGTATAAAGAGACTGGCTGTTCGCCTTTTTTATGATTCAATCGAAAGCATTCATCCATCAGCGCAACCATAGCTTCACCCTTTAAACATACACAAGCAGCATCCAAACTATCAACTCAACAAAAACGCCAATCACAATGCGTGCCTCCACTTTCACGTTCCTCTTTGCCGGCCTGACGAGCACCATTTTCGCAACCGATGTGAATGAGTTCGACAACGCGGACTGGTAAGTACATATGTGGTTTTGCATATTATTCAATAATCCACCAACAGTGGCATCATCCCTCATTCTCCTTGAGAGTACTGACTTATATTTCCCAACCAGCTCTGGCGACGCCAAATTCCCCCATGACCTGGGCATTTTCTTCTCCGCCTCGTCCGCTAGCATCGACGATACCACGCAGTGCATCGACGTCAAGGGCGATGATGTATTCGCTTACGAGGGGGAGTTGGACAAGAACGACGACAACTGCATCGGTACGCTGCTTGGCACCTTGCCGGAGGCCAAGGTCAAGCCTGATGAGTTCATCTCAGGAAAGCGTGTTACTTGCGTCACTCTTGAGACGCCCAGGTAAAAGGCTCGGTTCGATAAGAGGCTACGCTGGAAGGGTTTGAAGTGAGAAAATGGGGTCCGCTCATGCGAGTGTAGTCTGGGACTCTGTTGAAGTTTTTGGTGGTAGCTTTGCCGGTTCCGAAGGTCTGGCATCTCGATTACTCGTACAGGGATTTTATCAATAGACTACAATTACGAAAGACCTGTTCGTGAAACCGACCTGATTTATCGAATTGCGATGCGATAATAAGGTATGGGTGAGAGCACATGATGAAACTCGAATCAAGTGGGGCGCTGCATCTCATGGTAGTTCGTAGCTGGTATACATGGACCCCCTTGCGTTCTGATTTATCTCAATTTTACTACAGAAAGGAACATTCTGGGCTTATATAGCTTGCAGAGATCAGAAAAGGGCAACGCCTACCTAGGTCAATGATGTCCCATACAAGGGTGTCCTATAAGAGATTATAATAAAAGAAGTAGGTTGTTATTCTGTAGAAGGTTACTCAGGTATCTTACAAGGGGCAGAAGGTCTTCTATAGGAATCACTTCACCTGAGTCTACATTATGGGAATGACTTCTATATACTGGCCAAGTCCACCATTACATTTGGGATACTAGTGAGCTGTAATTTGACCTTCACAGCTTTTGCATTTTTTGGGCAATGTGAGTATATATACTGCAAATGCAAACTTCCTAGCACATACGACCACAGGTATCAGAAAACTCGGGATCCCGTCCGCTCTCCCATAGATAAGCTGGTAACCGCTGGATTAGTAGTTGGGTCGGTGACGACCAGCGAATACCCGGTGTTGTATGTTTTTTTCCCTTTTATGGTTTTGGCTTTGAGAATCCTGGAGACTTGTTTCAGCAATGTTTTATCTTTGAAAATTTCATATTGGGTTCTGAGGAGTTGCTCGTATCCAACCATTTGTTACAGACCTTCCTTCAATCAGCGTTGTTGAAATAGGTTGGCGTGTCAGACCCGGTGATCAGGACACCCAGGGGCCAGCGAGAAAGATGCGAGTCAACATATCCGCCCGGGTTTGACAAGCTACCGGAATGAAACTCAATCACCATATAAAGGTAAAACAGGCACCATTCTTTCTGACGACCAGCCGTTGCGCTTGTGTGATGCCACACACGTACTGCCTCTTACAAAAAAGGATCACAGCCGCCCTACTGAATATGCACCTGCGCTTGAAATACTTAGTTACTATACAACAGATCCTGGGGCAAACGACCCTCACACATGTCGACGAATTGGTACACTGTTGCTCTACTTACACACGCGCGATGAAATCGACAAATACTTGGGCAGGGAAAAATGGAGACGGAGAGCAAGAGCCAAGTCCGCTTTTCGACGCATGAAGTCTTCAAGACCTGTAGACCCAATTCTGATCTATCCATCAGATTCGCACTCTCATGCCATAAATATGCCCGTCATTAACGAAGCCATTGTCTTAGGGTTTAGCACCTCCTCCAAGCCAAGCCAGTACATGAACTTCTCTCCCGCCTCCTCTTCCTCTCGGCGTACAGCGGCGTCTTATTCTTGCAGAATGTTCGCAGCTCCTTGCAAGCTATATCACCCTTGATCTTGAAACACTCACACATCACGTCCCCGCAGCTCATGATTATTCGACTAACGACGGTATTCCCATTGACGGCCGACACAAGGTCCAATTTTTGAGATGCAGCCGCCAAGCCACGGGCGATGTGGTGGATCAAGATTACATGGTAAGCCTTCGAAAGCTTGTACGTAAAGAGTTGGCTTCAAACTGGGAAGATTAAACTCAATGGGCCCCTAAGAGTCTCCCCTCAAGTCGAAGGTCAATATTCTTGCACTCCTAGGAGCACGAGCAAGAACACCGAGATGTGCATACTGGCCAGTCACAATCCACTGCAAAGTCGGTGATGATACAAAGTCACATGTGCAGAGAAACTTACTTCCATTGCAAAAAATGCTCTCTGTGAATGGCATAACACATATCTCTTATTCTCCATCTGCCAAATTTGTGCCATCTGTCAAATTTGGAACTCTTAGGCCGTCTTGTATTGTACCTCAGCCGCGGCATCGGTTGTCGTCTCTCCCTTGGGCTGCAGCAGCTCACAGGCCAAGACCCTGAATGCGAGCACTGGCCAATATCGTCCTTCCGAACGGCCAGATGTAATTCTCAGGTCATCCAGCTCGTGCACAAAGTCAAATGCTTTGCACCCTACATGACTCTGGGCTGCCTCATCCCATATTCCCCACTCTGAGTCGTAGCAAGCGACCTCAATAAATCGCCGATCCGTAGTATAAAACACAGCACGGTTTTCTCGGAAGTCCTCCCTCTCGCGTGAGCTCAGATGCTGCAAATTCCGCTTGAGCTTGTGATCGATAAACCATATTGAATGGACCCCAGTCATCTTGAGGGCGCTTTCAAATCGATCCATGTATTTTCCCCCCTGCGTCAACCACTTCGGGTCAAATTCGAGAGCGAAATTGTTGCTATTAGGTGGACACACACTGTAAGGACCTGTCTTTCCAGGGAAAAGTGGGTAGCAAGAGAATCTATTTTCCGTGGGATGGGCAAACTCGTCGTCACCACGGTCCCATGACAGACGCGAATCCGGGAGGGCCTGAAGGATGATAAGGTCTGTCTCCGGATATATCGTGAAAAATTGCCGCTCGCCGGAATTCCTCTGTAAATTCTCCGTCTTTTTGGCCGCCTCAGAGCCCCGGAAGCTCCAGAAGCTCCAGGGCATTTCGCGGGGGTGGTGCCGAAGGCTCTGGTAGCCAAACTTGTCCGGTCGGAATCTGAGCAGCATATGTCTTCGTGAGTCCCAACAAGCTGTCCAAAGACCTGAGTCCTCCATATATGTCGAAGGGTTCCCTTTGGCCCATGAAATCCTGCCATCTGGGCTAGACCGGGTGTCAGCGAGCCCGATGTGTTGAGGCCTGGCCTTGCTGACGAAGCGTATGGGCAGGGCCAGAGAGAAATTCACAATTCCAGCGTCTTCCCAATGATTTTGAAACGTGAAGAAATGGGCTCCGGGTCTTTTAGCTCGTATCGTCATTTGCCAGATAATGTCACGGAGTTCTTGCGGGAGATCGGAAAATCGTGCCATGTTTTATTACCTGCAGCTTGAAAAAAGTAAAACAAACTGTCGAGGGTCGAATGCGATGACTAGAGAAGTTTTGGAGTTGAGATGATGTATTGGTGGCCATCAAGGATAGTTTTGTTCGGTATTTGGAGTGTCGGAGGAGAACGTGCTCTCCGATGTCGTTAGGATGCTGGAGGTTCTGACTGTGGTGGGAGGGAACATCAATGTCACCAGTTCCATAACGCGGGTGGCATACCACATGGTAACGTCATCTTTCCCGTCCCAGGCATGAGCATTGAAGTAAAATGAGAACATTTCATTGAAACGAATAAAACCGTAGCATTCCGTCATGCTAAGTACTGGTGGTCTCACACTCTGGAAGTGTTCACACTATATCATCACGCTGACGCCATCTAGACTAAGAAGCCACTGATGGCGGCTGACTGAATAATTACTTCACTGCCTGCCAAATCATCCAACCGCGTGGAGGAAATTTTAATAGGTCATCTGGAATTCATTAGAGTAATTTGTCGATGCCAGTACACCGTGCCGGCCTCACTGAGTCCTCGGCTTGCACCAAATATATGCAGCTGAGCAAGGTAGATCTTCGGCCAAATCGCGTTCTATCGGCGCTTTCGATCGAAAAACTGCGTAAATGCAGTCCTAAGCTTGGGGAAAATCTACATTTCCGGAGCGCACATGGCTAAGCTTGTAGAATCCTTGAGTTTGATCAGATGCTTTAAAGACGGAAGGAACCAAGTTAAAAATTCACCTAGACCCTGCCTTACATATCCATTTACCCTATTTAAAATCTTTGATACTCTTCTTTATACATTGTCTGGAAGAAGCCCATCGTATTCTACTATGTGCTCTAACTTTGTCTCTTCAGTTGATCCTTCTGTTCACCTATTAGTATCGATGGGATTGATTATATAGTACCTAAGTAATTTCTCTATTTTTCCTAATAAGTAAGAAGTTTGTTTTGTTTATGATCGGTTTGTCGCACCATATCGTTCTGAATAGGCGTTGGCGTCTCGGCAAAGTGCTCGAATCGCTGCACCGATCTAAGTAAACAAGCCGCACCCATTCCAAGCGCAAGGTCTATGCCACATAACTCTCAGGCACTGCCTAGTTGCTTGCTCAAAATCCACTTGCAGCAGACCTAATCCTATACCACGAGCAGTTTTCATGAACAAGCCAGAAAGGCAGGAAACAGCCCCTGAAAAATCCAAGATAACTAAGCAAAAGCTCCGATATGTAGCGCATATCACGCGAGATATGAGTGGGCAGGCAGGTGTCAGATATCGAGTGCGTCCGTATAAACCTAGCATCAGTGGGCTGGGGCTTTCAAACCCATCATTTCCATGGTGCAAAGTTATAATATCAGGATCAACGGGCCATTGAATCAACGAGTCGACGTGGGGAAAGGTGGTAACACAACTAGGGCAACGGGCAGCGGGACTCAGCGACAAGCTGTGACAACGCAGCACCATCTAGAGCTAGGCGGAGGGGGCCGGAGAGGGAAAACTGCCTGATTTTGCCTACCCAGCCTTTAAATAGTCTTCTTTTCACTGCAACACTTTTCCCCGCTGGCCACCAATCACTACACCGGTCTTATTAAGCTTTTAGGTGTGGAAATTAACAACATTGATCCTACTGTCCGTTATTCAACCTTTATAGGGGTATTCTTAATTCGCGCTGCTAAGTTCTGGATCTTTCGTTGCCTGAACATCCGGCGTTCCATGCAAGGCATGTGCTATTATTGAGTCTGGGCTAGCCTGACGGCTTGGTCTGCAGACAGACGACGACAACCAAGCAAACTATAGACGCTTCTGATCAGCCGCGGCAACACTCGAAAAGTTTTCAATTGCCGACAGGTGTTCATGCCAGGAGGGATCTCTCGGATATGATGATATGTCAGGTACCGGTATTCAGGTCATGCAATGTGCTGAGTAAAGGGAACCACGGACTAGGAAAGGATGAAGTGAGACGTCAGAAATGCCACAAAGGACGAGGTGTGAATAAGCCGCTAACTTGAATAGATCATACGTATGTCTGGATTGGGGAAGAACGTTTTAATGTGTGTCCGCTTTGAGACAATATTGGTTGTGACCCTCTAATTACATGCAAGTTGTGTCGGCCACTAAGAAGTGCATCTGCCTTTTTTGAAATTATCACCTCCAGACAGCCTTTACCTCGTCAACGTCGTCCAACCTCGGCCAGGAGAACTTCGTTACTAGGAACATATCGGCTAACCACGTGGATGACTTAATACACTGAGCTTTACTTGCCTAGCTCAGTGATAAATCTGAAGGATCTTCTAACGTATCAATAACTAAATCACAAAGCAAAGTTTGCCTGCTATATGCTTAAATCTAAAGCTACCCAGGTAGACTTCGGACTGAATTGAGCGTTCGCACAATTCAACGCGTATCCCACGTTTGTACTGTCTGTATGACGTAGCAATTCCTGCGACTGGAAGTGGAACAGCCATGACTGCATAGACTATTGATATTCGGCACCAACCGCTTCCCGATACTTGAGGTTGAAGCGCCATTTCCACCTTGTGAGAAGTGAATGTGACTCAATCGTCGACACTAATCGGCACACTTCCAAGTCAGCACTTGAGGCACAGAAGGAAGAGATCTGCTGCGAGAATTGACTTGACGAGAAGGATACACGCCTGTGTGGCACAAAGTGTTGGTCAAAGCCTTGCCAAAAACGCAACTAACGTTACATTCGCGCAGCACATCGCATTGTCCGACTGGACAACATGCTTTCTAGAGCTATTCGCCCAAGATTGTCAGGTCATCACAATCATACTGTACTCGTAGTGTAGTGCAACCATCGCGAACAATTTCCACAATCTATCCTCTCTTGCTTATCCCCGACCAGAGTCTTGCCAATGTCGTGACTAACGTTTCACCGACATCATGAAGGCTGAGTGAGCACAATCAGCTTGAGGTGACAACGTCTCGACAAACTGCTGATGAAGAGCATGGCGAGAACATGTTGGATATCGGAGGGCGCGAGGCTGGGTGTTGGCGACGGTTTGCGTCCCTGGAAGAGAGGTCAACCACCGGAGAGACTGTTCAGAAAGCAAAGTATTTAAAGAGCCTTCCATAGACCCATCTCCAGTGATCTTGTTGAAGCTTCAAGACACTCTCAACACAAAAAGCAGACAGCATAGTATCTCCTCATTAAAACCCACTCCAATCATCATAATGTTCTCCAAGCTCAGCGTCCTCGGCCTCGTGGCCGCCATCCCCCTCTCTCTCGCCGCAGCCCTCCCGTCGAACCTTACCTACAGGGCCACCGAGTTCTTGCCCAAGAACGCAACTGGGGATTTCAGCGTCCAGGCCGCTCCGCAGTACTACTCGGGCCCGTGGCAGAACTTCCCGGCCATGAACACCTGGGTGTCTACCTTTGATGCGCTGTTCGAGGCCAACAAGAACTCCATCCGGTCTACCGGCAGCACCGCCGACGATGTCGGCAGGATCAACGTTGCCATTCGAGAGGCGGCCAAGATCGGCGTGGACGAGCGCGTCATCCTCAGCATCATCATGCAGGGTAAGTATAAGTCTATACCCGTTCCAGTGCCTTGATTTCTATTTTCGAGATGTCTGCCGTCACTCCGTACTCTGGAGCAGTAGCTAACACTGTTTAGAGAGCCACGGCTATGTTGGCGTTAGGACTACTCTGAGCCCTGAGGGCATTCCTACTGCTGGACTTATGCAGTGCTCTGGCTGCGCCGGCTTCCCTGGACGCACGGGTCTAAGCCAGGTAAATTGAGTCCCCTCATCACCTCGCCTTGTGAGGGAGGAAAAGTTGACAAGATGATTTTAGGATGAAATTACTTCCATGGTCGTCGGGGGCACCCAGCACTACAAAGCAAACCTCCAGAACTGGGGTGACAAGCTGAGCCCCGAGTCCATCTACCCTGCGCTCCGCGAGTACAACTCTGGCAGTGTCAACCCCAATGATCTCAGCGACGGCAGGGGGGCTACCGCCGCGTATGTCAGCGACATTTCTCAGCGTCTCCAGGGCTGGGTCGACTAAGCTGAGTTACCGAGCACGTTCCATTGTTGAGGGGTAGGCTGTCAAAGATTCCACCTATTGAACGAAATCTTAGATGGGTTGTGGGTTGGATGTGGTCATCTCACTTTGGTCATGATCCTCTTATTCCTTTTTTTTTGTGCTGAATCGATCGAGAAATTTTCTTTCTTTAGACTGCCTTGTTGAGATGGGGCGGGCCGAGTACGTGAGTATCGACCTCGCTTGCATAGATAGCTTCTCTTCCTTCTATCGTTCGAACCCAGATTAAAACAATGCCAATTCACTTGTCGCGACAAAACACATCCTCATATTTGGCAGCGTGCTGGTGAGCTATTAAATATGAGATAACAAATCAGCAAGTAATGCAGGAAATACATCGTCTAAGAAGTTTTCGGCAGGAGGTGGGAGGCGGCGCTGTAGAAACTTGACGAGACTAATTGGTGCACTATTTCATTCAATTAACCGAGAAAGATTTCCAATATTTATACTACCTAGGTACTGGCCCCCGACACTTATCTCATCGATGTCCCGGCTGGGCAATTCGGCACCGCCGCTCTTGCTCACCCTAGGTGAGTGATGCCCGCCATTAATTCGCCTCCATCTGAAAAACTCAGTAAAGGAAAATAATTTTCTCTCCAAGGCCCCCCCCCTTATCCTGCCTTCCCTATGTTCTCATATGTCAGAAGTCCCTCCCTTCCGACCCAATTCCTGTTTATATGCGCCTCGCCAGCCACTTTATAGAAGCCGGCTTGATCAGACTGCTGTATGACAAAAGGCGTATTTGCGCCGAAAATAATGCAACAAAGATCGCCGCGGCGGACAGTTCCAGGACCGAGGCCGAAATACCCTCGGCTTGTGATGAGAAAGCTCTTGTTGCGGCCCGCCGTCTTCACCTGCTCGTGGACGACATTTGCGTCGTCCGAACGTTATTCTCCAGGTATGATCCCAGCGGGGCAATGCCGCCATGGTCTATGTCTATGTGCTTCATTCGATCCATGTACTCTGTCTTTTTCCGTTTCCAATGCTTCCGCTACCCCCATGTTGGCGAACAGATTTTGGACTAGCGCTTGGATCATCAGACTCTTTAGATATGGCGAGAACCCACTATGTATTGACACGCCATTCCAGAGAGACGTACTATCTTGCATGAATCTTGACCTACGCTACTGCTTTGCGGAAACAAACTCAACCTTGTCGAGAACGACTGCTGGTACTTTGAGAGTCAATAATGAACGGCGTAGCATCTGATATCAAACCTGAGTATATTTTCGCACTGGAGAAGAAATCAATGTTACTGCTATGGAGGCATGTGTTCTATTGTGGGACCTAGGTCTCAAAGTCGCTAGCGATGCTATCTTCGTCGTGTTGCACGTTACTAAGAATGCTTAGATCAAGGTTTTTCTTGAGATACTCGTGAGCAAAATCTTGAGAGATTTGTAGGTACATCTTCTTGTAATCGGGCTGTATGATGGAAGAGTATGCCTGAGCTGGTGATTTCGTCAGGGCTAGGAAGGCAAAGATTCGATCCCGGGGGTCCGACAGCCCCAGTTCCCTCGCGTCGTGCAGCATCTCGAGGGTGCCGGTCATGCTCTCGAGGTATGCGTTGTTCAATGTGACGGCTGCCCGGCCACAGCGGACGGCAAAGGTCTGGTTGTGCAGTCTTGGAAGGAAGCTGCGTGTTGTATCGAAGAACTCGGAGACTATCCGGGTGCCGTGTGCCACAGCCACAGATCGGAACGTAGCACCTGTTCCCGGCCGATTTCGACGCTGCCTCAGAGTATAAGCGCGATTGTGGTCAGACCAGCTTCTTGGAAGACCCAATGGTGCTGGAAGCATGATAGTCGGTACAGCGTCGCTAGGGAACTCCATTTTGAATACAGCAAGAGGAGATCATGTTCAAGCGGCCATGGAAAGCATTCGGGACGCCAAGTAAAGTCATCTTGACGGAAGACATTGTGGCTCATAGTATTTACATCTGATCTTCGACACATCAAGTCAGAAAATGTATGCTGCGTGGTAGAAGGGAACTCCATACAAAATCGCCGCCGCGGCACTTGGCCACTAAAACACGTCGGACGCATGGGCCAGTTTCAGAGACCAACGGTAATTGACCAAGGCATGGCCACAAAATATTTTTAGGAATGGGAGTTCCAGGAGTGACAGTGGTGATGAAAGGGGAAACTCTGGGGCGCAGCGGCCACGTCGACCTAAGAAATTCTTGAAAATAGGATTAAAGCTCCTGGGTGTTGCTGCAATAGGTACGTACCTAGTCACGTACCCATTGGTCACATCACGGTCTACCGTACTATACCTTTGGAATTTGCTGAGCTTGTCATTTTTAGAAAGGGTGATTGCTGCTTTGAATCCTGTTCAAGATTCAATAGAAGCTGGGGCTGGGGCTCAGTGGAGCCTGCTGGGGGCAGAATGGCTCAATCCCTTGGGGCGAGTCCTGACTCCAATCTGGGGAAGGATTGAGACAATTGAAATTACGCCCGGGAACATCAGTGATGGCCGCCGCGAAATGCGGCTTCCCCAAACCGTAAATGCCTCATAGCATCAGCCTTTCCATTACTAAACGTTTACCAAATAAATCATCCATCGTAGGCCGTGTCACTTCGTGACACGACCTCTAGAGGCACGATGATGTCTGAGTTATTTCCCTCATAAGGTCAAGCCCCGGGTCTGATGTAGCACAGCTGAATTTCGGTTACGGATCAGGGACTTAGCCCTAGTGATGCTTCTTCTGCGTAACTGCTCAGAATAAGTCTCTCAATCACAAGTCAAATGAAAGTCAGCATTCGTAATGCGGAGTGCTGTTTCTGGAATAATGCTCCGCAGGTCACGACCTGCTGCCTGACATTGCACGGGCGCTGGTTTCAAGAACATGCTAAATGACATTTGCGCTTCCTTCCGGAGCTTGTTTGAGAGGAGCAAGCGGTGTGTACCTGTATCTGTGGTGCAGCTAAGGGCTGCCAGCACCAACCTCAGAATAAAACAAAACGGCGAGACCGTTGTTGCTCAAGACTCCTAATGTCTCGTCGATACTCCATGTCTGCCTCCCCTCGATCGAGTTCCTTGCTAGCTTCTTGGAGACGCTCGCAGCAGCGATAGCAGCCAGCAATTGCACCATGGTCATTTTACCTCGAGATGATGCACAAAATGCCTCGGCACCTGGGACGAAGATGGCTACGGCTCTCGCCTTAACTCTGGTGTTTTGTTTCATCCTGGTCTACTTGATTGCCAAATCAAGAGGTCCCGTCGGCCCAATATTGGGGGTCATTCGAGAGACAGGCACTCGGAGAAGCGCAGCAAGACTGAGGCACGAAGAACTCGACTCGTTCCCCATCCTCGAGTTCAAGGCAGGGCGACGAACGACCTCGAAGGGTCAAGACGCGCCCGCAACAGCTGGACAGCCAACGATGACAGCCTGCACCAAGAGCAAAATCCAGTCTCGGGTTACAATGAGACTGCCGGAATCAATGCAAGCTTTCTCCAAAATGTACTTCACGACGAAACACCGTTTTGGGCCCTCTCTGCAAGTCTGCTCGATCTGCACGGAAGACTTCGTAGACGGCGACGACATCAGGCGACTGCCTTGCGACCATATCTTCCACCCACGATGCATCGACCCATGGCTCAGTGAGTTCGCTGTTACATGTCCTCTGTGGCAGGTATCCCTTCTCATTCCCTTGGCATGAATGAATTACGACATGTCTCGACTAACAAGCAATGCCCACTACTCGATAGTCGCGTCGATGTCACCGTCGAGTCTGCCGCTCTTCATGTTTCCAAGCCGCAGGCTGTGTTAGCTCGGGTGCGACGCTATACAGGCAGTTTGTGATAATGTTATTGGCTCTCCTTGCAAGCAGGTATAATTCCTCATCGCAAAGTATGGAGGATAGAGAATTGACTCAGGATATCTAGGCACTCATCACTGATGGAGGACATACCATCATATCTCTCAGTGTATTTAGGATCCCGACCGCTTTCTTTATCGCATTTAGCTGGCAGGGAGTTAATCAAGGATCTAATCAGCGCTGACTTGCGGGGTCTTGTTTTTCGATCGTTCTTTTTCTCTCCCTCTGTTTTATTCTCCTCCGTCCTTATCTTTCGGCCCTTTCAGTCTATCCTCTAGCTCTTGGCTCTTCTGAGCTATGTGCCATGGCACTGACCTTTCAAGCAAGTGCTGGGAGTAGCTCATACGACGTGAAGACTGAATGTAACTTCTGCCCGTAGTCCAAGTACTGTCCGCTGTCCCGGTCAGCGCGTATGTCATCTAATGCCCAAATGTCTTCCAGCAGGTCTAGGATCTCTCCAGCTCTTTGCGGTGATGCGTGGACAGGATCCGACTTTACACCCGGCAAAGCAGCTCTGGCACTGCGGGATATGCAGTCCAGCACAACTTTCCTATGGGCGTCTGTCTCGGCTTCACAGCCCAAGACGAAGAGAGCGAAAGGTATGTTGCAGGTCGCAAGTGCCTCAATGCCCGTGCTAGAGTCATCGAGAGTATCCGTCAGAAGTTTCTGAGTGATGACAGAGGGTCCAGCAAGACGCTGGGCGGTTCGAAAGAAGTAGATCCAGATTGCTGCGATGAATATCTTTCTCTCGACGACTTCAGCTGCAATTCCCACCACCTTACCCGCTGGAGCGCAAAGGTTGACGGTCTCTTCCGTGGCACCGTCATAAGCCTCGCGAATTCTGCGGCCGAGATCATTGAGTGCATCGCGATACTCAGATGAATGGATGCCGAGTTGTTCAGGTAGCAAGACCACGTCGACAACCTCAGTGAGAAGTTGAACTTCAGGTGAGATATAGCACTGAAGCGCAGGAATTGACAACGACTTGGCGCAAAGAAATTCGTGCTCATGTCCTTTAAATCGTACGCGATATGAACGATCAACGGATCTTGGTTTCCGCCAGTGCCTCAAGGAGAAATTTGACATGAGGCTGTGATACTGAACGTATTTATACAGTAATTTCAGATCTTGAGTGAGATGAAGCTGATTTTTCTCCCAAACACTCGTGAGCAAGGTTTTGACGCCGCATACGAATAATGGCCACAAAGTCGTCGCATCTGTCAACAATGCCATCTCAACACGGGCGAGGAGAACGCCTGCAGCAACATGCTGCAGGATCTGGCCACTCGTAAAGTTGCCTGTCGCGGCACATTGTGCGAGAGCCTTCAATGTCGAAGCCTTGAATTCGACGCTGCGGCCGTCTTGTCGGTAGTGCAGAGAAGAGAGTGACAAGACGGAGAACAGAACTGCTTGAGACGAGACACTGTCATCTGTCAATGCCAATTTCATAAGCAAATCCCGAAAAGGCTCGACCGTGCCACCTAAATTTGGTAATGTTCTCGAGACGACGAGGTAGAAGTAGGAAAGATTCTGACTCCCGTCCTGAACGGAGGCAAGCGAGGAGGGAAGAAATGTCAATCTCGACGGCGTAGGCGCAAGGACCCTCGCAGTTATGAAGGCCGCTCCGAATGATAGCGCATCTAGCCTGGTCTCAAAGTGCCGTTTCTCTACGTTCAGAAAGTGGTGCTGAATCGGTTTCGTGCGGGTTGAGGCAGCTTGCTTCACATTGGGGATTATGAAGCGGCGCTTGTCGCTCTCGCTTGGCCAAAAGAGTTGGAAGCCCGCCGGTATGCATTTCCGTTTCGATTTGTCACAGTTGCCGCAAGGCACTGCTCGATCACATCGTATCTTTCGCGCTGTTGTTTACTAATTCAGCCGAGCTTGGATCTCTTATCAAAGTCGCTGGGCTCTTACTTACCCTTGCAAGTGCGACAGCTTCTCTCCTCGGTCGAAGTTGCCATGTCACCTTATTGGGTTTAGTCTGTAGTCCTGTCAACGATACACGACATTGCAGGAGCTGACATGGATGATGAATGGATGAGAGGCGAGGATACAAGACACCTGATATCTACACAATATGTGAGCTAGCGGTAGTTGGGGTTGTGATGGGATGACAAAGCGCCCACCCTGGAGCTCCAGTGCGGCCTTACCGTTTTTGGCAGCGAGGCAAGTATGAGCGAGCTGCCTCAATTTAGCTTCCAATGAGGATGAGAACCTGAGCTCAGGTCCAAGACGCTCTGTGCTTACCCAATCGAAGCGGTGGACCCGATCAGGGGTAGTGCCAGCACAGCTTAGCCCAGAGAAATCCGAAGACCGTCACATCGCAAAGCCTCAGCCGCACATCCTGCTTCTGAGCATCGCGTTGATCACAACTCTCGTACTGAAGCTTAGAAATACCGTCCGAGTTTGACAATGGGACAAGAAGATGTTGCACTATATAAAGGGCAACGTTGGCGCACAAAAATGGGAAGCCTCTGGAAACATAAACGATCATACCTAAGAAACAATTCAAACTCTTCCCCCCCCCCCCCCAAAAAAAAAGACCTACCGCCAGCCAACGATCACACGTGACGTTTCATTTCACACGAATATGCCTTCCTATGTTGTGACAGGTGCCTCTCATGGCCTCGGAGTAAGCCAGAGCATACCAAATCTGAATATTTGAGCCTATACATTGCTGATTATTCGTTGCAGTTCGCATTCATCAGGAAACTCTCGTCCGACCCGTCCAATGTGGTCTTTGCTCTCGTCCGGAATAAGCAAAAGGCTCAGGAAGCCATTAACAAGGAGTTTTCTGGCCGCCAGAACTTACATGTTCTTCACGGTGACCTTGGTGATTTTGAGTCTCTGAGACTTGCTGCCAAGGAGGTCGCGCGCCTCACAGGCGGTGGTCTTGATATTCTCATCGCAAATGCTTCTTACTCGATAGTCGGTTTTGATGCAATCTCAACCCAGTGAGCAAAAGATCCTATGGTCTATCATGGAAACATTGGAGCCAATCTCAACTAATGCGTTGCAGAGCAACCCAGGACCAGAATTTCGACCGGGACATGCTCGAATCTTTCCGTATTAACGTCATTGGTAACACTCACCTGATCGCCAATTTCCTACCTTTGATTGAACGTGGCACACTTAAGAAAGTGGTCGTGCTATCCTCTGGAATGGGTGATGTTCCTCTGGTCGTTGAATCAGAGATGAAGTGGCAGTCGCCGTATGCGATTTCCAAGGCAGCATTGAATATGGCGGTTGCGAAGTTCCATGCTCAGTATGCTGCAAAGGGTACACTAGTTATGGCGATTTCTCCAGGCGTGGTGGACACTGACAGTGTGCGAGAAAAGTCAGCACAAAGTACAGATCTGGCTGGTACAGCAACCGCAGAAATGAACGAGGGGGTTGAGGAGTTGTGGGCGGCAATGAAGAGGTACGCGCCTCATTTTTCTGGCCCGATTACACCAGATCAATCCGTGGCTATGGTTTTGGATGTTGTGGATAAGGCGACCATAAAGGATCATGGCGGCCGAATGATATCACACCTCGGTACTACGCGTTGGCTATAAAGGCCAGCAAGCCGAGTTCTTACATATTTCTTGAGTACTTGCAGAGATATACAAATATGAAATCAGCTGGTATTCTCAAAAATACTAGTATCAAGGGAATTCAGCTTTTCACCGACTGCGGCGGGGCGGAACATTATTTGTGGACATAATTCTAGATCTTTTGGCCCAGAATATAAGAGGCCAAGATTGGAACTACATAGTCGGGTAATGCCGAAGTGAAGTATCCCCAGTGTCTCAAGGCGAGTTTGATAATCGTTCACACCTTGGTCAGCGAAGTTCCGCCAACGCTTCAAAGACTACGACAGTTGGCATCCAGCAAACTCACGGCAGTTCAACCTTCAATGTATTTGTCATATTACGTACCTAGTCAGCAAAGGTCAAGAGCACGCCCAGGAGCATGTTTACACTTTTTCGCTCAGATCTGAGCGTTTTAACATGTCTTGCCCAGAATTGTGGATGCATTCAAACTCATCGCTAATCTATGACTGGATCTTAGTCTACCATGTAAATTACCATGGCACGCCTCACCACTTCTCATTCTTATCGCCGTACTTCAGCTCAGGCGAGCTCTTCTCCGGCACCCTTAAAAGGCCCTTGGCCTCCTTAGTCTGGTATTGAAGGCCTTTCAGCAGGGCATAGACAACCCTCAGCGTGGGCGTCGGCACGCCCAGCTCCTCAGCCTCGCGCAGCGGCTCGCCGACGATGTTCTCAAATTCAATGAAGTTTCCCTTCTCGATGTCCTGGCACATGCTCGGCTTGAAGAAGCTCTCGTACAGGTCTATCGTGATAATCTTCTCCACCTCCTTCAGTGACAGCTCGACCCCCTTGGCCGCGGCCGTCGCAACAATCTCCTGCATAAGCGGTCGGATCAGGTCGTCGACAACGTGTTCGCTGGCGCGCATGCGCGACACGTCCATGCGCAGGATCGTTGCTACCGTGTTGAAGCTGGCGTTGTATAGAAGCTTCCTCCATCGGCTGAACTTCACATCGTGGTCGTAGGTGCACTTGACGGTGGAGCAGGCACCGTAGATGTCCACAAATGCTTGAGCCGCTGATTGTGATACCTCACTCTTGATGTTTGGATTGTCGAACGGCCCGATGTACGATATGTCGTAGTTGTCGTGCTTTATGGTGCCCCGAGGGTTTTCCGAAGCGCCAATGACTGTTATGCCGGAGAGAACAGGATTGGATGGGAAGGCCTTGACGAAGGGACGTTCAATATTCAAGCCGTTTTGTAAGAGCACGATGTTGGTGTATCCGGGAGTGACCGCTGGAGCGATGAGTTCCGTCATAGCAGGAGGGATGTCAGCAACGTTTTTGGTGGTAATGACTACATAGTGGTACTGCAGGTCCTCCTCCATTGCATTGGGAATGGTGTTTCGGACTGTTGATTTATTTAGTTGGCGCTTCAGACAAATCTCGTGGAAGGCCAAGGTAATGACTCACTGGCTGTTGGCCGCCAGCCCTGGACCTCGCCATGCTCAATTGAGTTGATGTGGAAGCCCTGCTCCTTGACAACAGAGTAGTTAGATCGCAGGACCGCCGTGACACTGGCTCTGCCTCCCTTCTCAAGTGCATAGGCTGCCATTGTGCCGACACCACCTGAGCCTACGAGGAGGACATTTGCGTTGGAATCTGAAACCGAACCCATCCTGAGTAGTTTTGCTGAATTTGATTGGTTCCTTGAGAACGATTTCAAGGTGTTCATGGAGTCGAAGTTGTGGCAAGCAGCGTGAGAACGCAGTGCTCCCAAGAGAGGGAGCAATTTTATTCTGCCACAGCGCCATGATGCATGATTCGAGGTGAGCAATGATGCCATGATACGGTTCTCAATATGAGAAGCCAGTGGCCGTGACGATCCCCAATTGAAGCTTTCTAGACGGACGGTGAGCCTCTGACCGACTCCCTGAGTGACAGGGCCAGCCACGTCACGGCAAGAATGAAACCGGGCCTGACCCCGGACAGTTGTGCCTGACAATGAAGTTAATTTGACTGCGCCAACGTTTCTGCCCAAACGGAATCAAGGCACAAGGATCTAGGGAGCGATATGCAATGCCAGTCCGGTCGCGAGCTTTTTGGTCAGTGGATAGCGGTTGGAGAAAGGCCTCGGAGCTTGCGACCTCGGAACCAGGGGATGGAGTCATTGACGGCCAATCACATTCTCGTCACTGATAAGAGCTGTGTGACCCCCTTTTGTACTCAGGCCAGTAGCAAGCACAACTGCCTGTGGATAGTTTGGAATCGCCTCAGTACTACTAAAAGCACTTTTGAAGATTGTCTTGAGTTTTGCTTGCCAAACTCAACTCCCGCAGGCCGCCATTGTGGATTCTTCCAAAGCTTCCACAGACCAACATGCTTCCTTGTCGTCGTTAAAGGCCACTGCGTTCACCTTTGAGTCAACAGACACTGATATAACTTGCCAGTGCAGCCAAACAGATGGAAATCCTGTTGAGCTACTACACAACAGCTGGTTATAGATAAGACAGTCTCTTATCATATAGCCTCCCACAGTGGAATAAAACTCTTATTGATGGCCTCTTGTAGGATAACCTCCTGTGGGATCACAAGAGCCCCAATGAACGCAGGTTCGGCATAGCCCACATGCAGAAGCACCCGAGACACTTTGTGGGAATCACTTCAGAAACATGACATGGTCCCCGACTGGTGGGCTATTGCACATGACTTCGGGTATATTAATCAAAGGCTATGCTCGTGCTAGCCAGAGGCACAATTGATGTCTATGTGAGAGCCCGGGCAAAATTTCACTGTCCACGCCTTCCTGCTCATCCTCAACTCTATGGCGTAAGGTCTGGATGTCATCGAAATCTTGCACTCCCAGGTCGTGCTCCAAGTGGCTTTCAAAATTTACCCATGTCATACTCGCGAGCCTCCACAAGTCTGGTAATCTCCTTGGCCATAGCACCATCTGCTACTGCCACTTGTGCGGGAGTCAACAGCCCGCGGCCCACAAAGGCAACGTGGACCCTGCGGCTTGCCTCTTTAGCTCCCAAGCCAATTTCTCTGACCACCTGGAGAATGCTCATCAGTCTCTCAATGCCGTGGTCGCGTACCACCTGGGTCACCCAAGGATACATGCAGGCAAAGACGTCGAAACCGAGGTTCACACCTGCCACCATGACCTGCTCATCATCTCGAAAGGCTTCGTATTGAGGCTGTACGCCGCTGCGCATAGCGCTCATGTCAACCTCCAAGCGCTCCAATCCCTTGACCTTGTCGACAAGAAGGGCACAGACCGAAGGCATGTAGTGGATGCCCAATAGGGGCGTCAGACGCCATATTCGGATGTCTCTGACCAAATCGAGTCTGCCATTGGAGAAAAGAAAAGTTTGCAGCTCCCGGGTCGTATCGAAGGTGAACCTCTGGCCCCAAATGACAGGGGCGGCCTCGTTGTATATGGCTTGACAGGTTCGCATGAGAGCCGGGTTTCGGAGACTGTATTGTTTGATACGTCGCACGGTCGTAGGTGCGACACTGAACTGATATGCCTCATGAAGCTTCGGAAGAGGGTTTTTATCAGGGTGATGGTGGTCCATAGTGAAACCGTCGACCTTCTCTCCAACTCTCTGGACAACTTTCTTGCCGACGGACATCTTGTCTCCAATGTCTTCTGGGTGGCACAGACAGAGCTTGTAGATCATATTGCGAATCTCAGGGGGTATCGCCCTAGCCGACCATCAGTACACTACCACTCAATTTCAAAGTAGTCGAGGGCGATCAGGTATTGAAAACTTACAGGAGGAGACACTGCTGGGTAGCTTCGCGAGATTTGAAGGCTGGCTTCGGCGCATCCTGCTTCTGTGAATGGAATGTAATAATTAGTAGCACGTTCGTAAAGATACAACAACATAGGCATTAGTGGGCTGACCTTGTCCTTGAGGCTATGAGCCTTGCGGTCCATTGTGTCAATGTTCGCCCGAGGTGCTGTAGGTCCAGCGATGGTGTTCTCCGTGGTGGAGCTTGGCTGGCCGTCATTAATGTCTGCCATCGTTGACGGGTGCCAAATGGTAGAATCTTGGAAATTTGTTTCCCAAGTCACGTCAAGGTTGTGGCTACGCTGGTGTTAGTGAAGGCTATGCTGGTGTTGGTGAATGCTACGCTAGCGTTGGTGAAGGCGCGGGGCAGAAGCTCGGACGCCCGACGCCCGAAGCCCGGAGCCGCTCCGGAGCTCAGGAAGCCAGAAGACCTGGGAGTTCAGGAGAGCCCCAGCTGGAGTGAATTAATCCACGAAAGAGATAAACCAGTAAGTTAAGTACCGCTATCTGGTGTCTGTTGACAGAGGCGTGACCAGTCCTGAGCCCTTTGTCCTCAAGAAAGAGAAAGCAAAAGTCACGGTTGATCAGCAGCGTGGGGTCAGCAAGGTAGTCAATGAGGCTATGAGTACTATGTAAAAGAGACAGTTTGTGTAGTAGTTAGGATCATTTCTGTAAGGGTGTACACTTGTCAGGGAGCTTTGTATCAGCATCCTTGATGCCATAAAGCTTAGCATTGATGGGTACTGGTCACAGAAAGTAATCAGATATACCAGTACACAACAGAAGCAGTCCCAGACCTCTATTAACAAAGAATACATCTGACAAGAGACATCTAGTAGGTGAATTCATCGAACGTAGCCATGTCCGTGTACATTGGGCAGTGAGGCTCGTTCTGCTATGGCAAATGACACATTATATTAAGAGAATGGCTCTATATGCAAACATTCCTGATCTACCAGTTGTATCAATTGCGAAACGTAGTTCTACACTGTGGTATGTCTTCCCAAAGCTCAGCGCTTCCTGGCCTTCAGCTTCGCCAAGCTACCCTTGAGAGGGTTTTTGCCCCTGAATTTCAAGAAGGTCGCCAGGTATACCACCATGTAATTAAATGCGATAAATGCACACACAATACCGAAGTTTCGCCAGACGTGCGAGTAATAAACGCTGAATCCCTTCCCAAACTCGTCACCTGTTGCGTACTGACAATACTCACATAGGCCACTGCCATCCATCGCATCCTGGATGTACCCACCAGCCTGGCTGATGTACCCGGCCGCATAGTCCTGGCACGTCTGACCAGGGGGTGCAGAGAACCTTGCGAACTCGTTATCGCTGCACTGGACAGGCTGGTCGTGCAACGCAACGGCCAGGAACGCCTCAAGCAGGTAGTGGAAGGGTGTGAGCCAGTACATCCAGCTGCGCCAGAAGTAGGGCAGCTGGGCAGCGGGGACGACGACACCGCAGAAGCTGACGACGAAGAGGAAGAAGACGGGCACCAGCAAACTGGCGAGTAGCTCGTTGGGACTGAAGGAGGCGATGGCCTGGCCGAAGCCGACGTAGTACAGCTCGAACAGCAGCACGCACAGCAGCGTGAAGCCGGACGGGAAGCCCTGGTAGGAAGGCCGCCAACCCATGATGCCCCACCACCAGCAGTTGAAGTACACAGCGCCCGCGAACAGCGACCAGGGGATCTCGACGATGACGGCGCCGGTGGTCCATGCGAACCACGAGTAGATCTTTGCGTTGTTCTCGCGCGATTGGAAGATGTTCCTGGACGAGAGGAAAACAGGCTGGAGTTGTTGGATCAGAGGAGGGGAGATGGTCAGGGTCATGAAGATGGAGAACAGCCTGCTCTGCAGGTCGATAGTACTGTAGCCTAGCTTGTAGAAGGTGAAGCAGTTGAAGAGGCCAGTGAAGATGTGGAGAATGAGCTTGCCCATGATGTAGTTCGGTTTCCTCCAGTAGCTCACAAAGGCCCGCTTCACAACAGCAATGATTTGCGTCGTCAGAGGCATGGCGTACTCGCGGTCATCCTGGATGTTCTTCGAGTGCTCGACGTTACGGCGCTTCTCGTTAATCTCGTTTATCTCGCGGGTCTGTGCTTCGTGCTGCTTGGATGAAGCCCATGTGTCGCCCCAATCTTGGCCCTTGTAATCGGGGTTGCCTGCACCGATCACATCCAGCATCCATTCCGCTGGGTTTGCATCTGACGGACAATGTTGTCCACCGTTTGACTCGAAGTATTTGATTAGCGTTTGGCTGTCCTTACCCAGCTCGCCTGCGTACACAACGCGACCGCCGGACTTGAGCAGAATGAGCTCGTCAAAGTTTTCAAATAGAACGGCGGATGGCTGATGAATGGTGCAGAGAATAGCTTGGCCGGCATCAGCTAGCTTGCGCAAAAACCTGACAATGTTGAAAGCAGCGCCGGAGTCGAGGCCCGACGTAGGCTCATCGAGGAAGAGTAACAGCTCTGGCTTGGAGGCAAGCTCAACACCTATGGTGAGCCGTTTCCTTTGTTCGGGGTTGAGGCCTTCTCCGACTTGTCCAATCGTGGCGCCAGCAATATCTTGCATTTCCAGGAGATCGATAATCGTCTCGCAGTAAGCATACTTCTCCTCCTTTGAAACCTCTCGGGGCTGGCGAAGCAAAGCTGAGAATTGAAGCGCCTCTCGGACTGTTGCAGTTGGTTCGTGGATGTCCATCTGTTCAGCAAAACCTGTAGCGCGCTGGAATGACTTGGGCAGCTTTCTGCCATCGACGAGGAAGTCTCCAGTCACAACACCAAAAGCAATTCTACACCTGAGTCAGTACAGGAAGTTTCCTTCGTCAGTGCTGGTTGGAATAAGCCTTACCTTTGAGCCAAAGTGTTTAGCAATGTAGTCTTGCCCGCACCCGAAGCACCCATCAAAGCCGTGAGGCGCCTAGGCCGAACAACACCAGAGACTCCATTAAGCAGTTTTCTCTCACCACCTTGGAATGGAATCGTGTAGTTAACATCCTGGAACGTGAAAATTGTCTCGTTTTTGGCAACATTTTGCATGGCCTTCTTGTCCTTCTCTTCCCGCTCCTTGACCACATCGATCTCGGAACCAGAGCTCGGACTCCCTGTGGCAGCACCTGACTCTTCATCTAAGGCACCGCCTTTCCGACCCCCAGTCTCGATGGACTCCTTGACAGAATTAGGGACTTGGCCACGCTTGAAGACAGTGACAGCAGCTCCGCCGGCATTCGGCTTCATGATCTCCATGCCGAACATCGTGACCGCCAAGAAGAGGGCAAAGAAAGCCCAAATGATGCCGAAGTTGCGCCACAGGTGACTACGGGAGTATTGGAAGCTTTCTTGGATATAATCCGCACCAGATACGACGTCAGAGCCCGGCGTTGATCCTTGAAGCGTGCAAGACTGGTACTGCGACTGCACACCAGGGCCCTGTGGCACTAGATAAGGCGCAACGCATTCCATTTCCAGCCTGTAGAACTCGTTCGACATCAGAGCCTCGAAGCCATATTGAATCCAGTCAAGCCAGCGCAGCCAGCCGAACCAGACACGCATGGATGAGGGTGGGATCAAGTAGCCCGTGTACACGATCAGGATCTGGATGAAGACTCCAGTGACCTTTGTAGCGTCGTCGAGTGTCTTGAAGATTGCCGATATCGCGCGGAAGAAGGCGTAGGTAGCCATGGTGACCGTGAAGAGGATGAGCAGAGAGATGAAGAACTGGGATGCTGTAGCGGCGAGGCCAGACATCCAGTAGATGATGACATCGAAGATCAAAACCTGTGTCAGAACCAATGGAATGTCCACCACTGTCTGGGCAAGAGCATAAGCGGAAGGGCGGTAGAAAGAAAAGTTCTTGTGCTTGAGTAGGATGGGTTTGGACTCAAACGCAGCAGTCTGCTCCGCCAGAGCAAGTAGGGCGTTGAATAGAAGGATGAAGAAGAGAACACCGCCTCTTGTGAAGGCTCCCGCGGTGTTGCTTGGCTGCTGGAAGAAGAGCGAGCCCACAATGAGACCTTGGAAGACGATACCACCCCATTTCCCAAACAGCGAGGCCTTGTCTCCAAGCAAGACGAGGAATTGTCGCTTGGTGAGCGCGATGACCTGCTGGTAGAACGAGATGGTATAGTTCTTCTTCTTAGTCGCCTTGGACGAGTTTTGGCTGATTTGTCTCTGCTTTTCTGCAGTCTTCGACTCGAAATCGTCCATATCCGCGAGATTCTTTCTGTACGCCTCGCTCTTCTTGTATACGGCTGCAAAGTCCACAGCCGAGCGCGGGATACGATCCTCCCAGCCTGGACGGACGCTACGCTCGTGTGGATCAACAACGGAGGTCAGGAAGTCCGCCGTTGTCCAGCGGGCCGGGCAGTCGAAGCCCAAGTCCTGGAAGTACTTCTTTGCGTTATCTGCAGGGCCAAAGTACAGGCATTGGCCCTGGTCGATGAGCAGGACTTTGTCGACGAGGTTGTAAAGGCTTTCACCGGCCTGGTAAAGCGAGACCGCGGTCGATACTTCAGCCATGTTGGTCAAGGCTCGCAAAGCCTGTACATATTCTACAGCTGTTGCTGCGTCGAGTCCCTTTGACGAGTTGTCCCATCCTTGAACACTGGCGCGAGTGATGAGCGCCTCGGCAATACTGACACGCTTACGCTCGCCGCCAGAGACTCCACGAACGTGCTCGTTACCAACTTTCGTGTCCAATGTGTGTTCGATCCAGAGAAGCTTGGTGGCCACTCGAAGGAATTCGTTGACATAGTCTTTTCTGCTCTCACCCTCCAGTCGAGACTCCTTGCCGGGTGTTCGTGTCCGCAAGGCAAAGGTCAGTGTGCGTCGGACCGATAGTGTCGCATAGTGGAGATCGTCTTCGGGGTTGTAGATGATTTCGCCTCGAAAGTCCTTGGCCATTGTCTTCGCATCTGTCCCGCCATAAGTAACATCGCCGAGTACATCAACGTATCCAGCCCGCTGGTTGCAAAAGGTTTTGAGAAAAGTCGAGCAGCCTGAGCCAGGGCGGCCGAGCACGAGCAGCATCTCGCCTGGCCGCACACAACCGTCGAAATTGCTGAGAATTTCCCGCACAGGTGGCTTCCCCGTGGCAGCCTTGGGCCCTTTCGTGACCAAATTCTTCAGGAACCTCGGTAGGCCCATGAAGATGTCGCCAACGGTGGGCTGCAGGCTTGCACCCAGACCTGCACCCTTGACCGTAAGATTCCGGAAAATGACACCCGAGTGTCGTGTCTTTTCCTCCTCACTCTGCTCCTGCCGGGCCTTGCCGAACATTCGTGACATCAGCCGTTCGATTTCATGGTCCTCATCCTCCGTCTCAGCAGCTGAGGTACCTGTGCGACGCCGCGATAGCGCACGGAATAGGTCTTCTTCAGTCTGAACATTGCTCCTCCTCTGTAGCAAATTGGGTCGAGAGTCCGTGCCCGTCTTCAAGGGAGCAAAATGCGCATCGTCGTCTTCAGCAAGGTCAGAATCGGATGGGTTGGACATTTTCAGTGAGGCTTCTCGCTCTCGATCATCGATAGACCCGGAGGCCCCTGGCCTGGTCGGGGCCTGAGATTGCAGTAGAGTGTTGTCTGAGGACGACATGCTGGCGTCGCTAGGAGTCCTGTTCTCGTGCTCAGTCCTGCATGTAGAAGTGGCCTGCGGATTCCTTGCACTTTCTGCAACACCAGCCTGTGTTGTTCGAGATTCACCAGCAGTCAGAGGGAAATGACGTTGAGACGCATCGTTAGACATATCTTTATGTGGCGTCTCGGGAAAGCCACCTGGCACGTCTTTGGGCGTCGGGGTTTCATCCATTTGTGCTTACATACAGGCCCTCGCCCAAATGTTTTCTTTCTTTCTGCTAGAGTGGATCTACGACCGTGAGATTAAAAGAAAAATTGAAGATGAGCCATGTATACAGATAAAGAAATCTTCACGGGTCAATATTACAAGGACCCACTGTTGACGATGACGACGGAATTAGCCAAAGACATTTTGGTCGGATCCGGCCTTGTCAAGCGTGTTCTGACTGCAGCCTTCACTGCCCAGCCGCCTCGGACGGCGGAGGGTCTTTGGTCCATAGCGACTGGCATCGGGATTTACGGAAGTGCGAGATATGGACCCAAAGCCGATTCCCAGCTCGGACTGGGCGTGATTTGTCCGACATCTGGACCCATTCTACCGTGTACGACTATCTCACAGGCGCGGGACGGTCCCGGGGGGCACCCAGCCAGCCAGCGAATCCACAGAAAGCTGATAAAGACAGTTCAACAGCGGAGGTCACAAAGACGCGAGCGCCGCCGAAGGGGTGTGGGGCGAAACAGGCGGTGATGGGAGGCATTGACTCAGCTGCAAGACCAATGTTGCCAAGCAGGCCAGGCAGGTCGATCGAATGTCGAATCGGTAGTCTACTGCGTAGTACTGACTGACTACTCTGTATGTCTGACAGGTTTGCATCTGAAAATGCGAGCTGTTCAGATGGTTGACGTCACCTCAACAAGGGCGGCCATGCACACATGCAAACATCTGAACACGGGCCGTTCCACTCTAATCCTTCGTGTGCTTAGTCTACCTACTGTAGGAACTGTACTATGTATGTACGTGATTTATGTAGGTCCCCTCCCTGGATTGGGTGCCGGCCTGTCGGGACCTATGGAGCCACACTGTGTCAGCAACGGTGTTTCAATGGACCCCCAATCTGACAGAAGTCGGACGGCCGATGAACCGTACAGCACCTTCACCCGAACGATTATCGGATATAAGATACAGCTGTGCACGGTCTAATTCCGACATAGACCCTACATATTGCACCAAGATACAATACAGATGGCTATCCAATCGTGGGCAATCGCTTTTCTGGTCTTTTTGGCCCCTTTAAAAATATCATTCTTGGTAAAATCTTGGCATCGCTTGAGTTGACAATCTAGGTGCAGGCACCTCATACTCTGGACTCATTCACGCCTAGAAACAACGTATTGTCTTTCTAAGGAATCTTGTATTATTTTCCTTCGGGAATGCGATTCCTCCGAGAGCACGGAAAGCTCTCGGGAGGAGACTAGTCTCAACCTTTTTTTTTCTCAACGGCATCGAAAGGCAGGCACTCGAAAGAATCCAACGTCATCAGTCAGTATGGAGAGGCTCTCCACAGCAGATGGGGGATCTCTGACGTGAGAAACAACCACAACCACAGCTTCGCATGCGTCCAGCTGACGTGGCAGAAGAAGGCAAAGCCTCTTGTCCAATCCCACGGCAGTCTTTTCCCGGCTAGGCCAGTACTTCCGTTGCAACCGTCCGCGTGCTCGGATTTAGCAAGACATGAGTGAGTTGGACAGATCTCTTGAAGAGCTCATTCACGATGACAAGCTCAGCGCGGCCATGAAGTAGTCGCCATAATGATCAGGGACCCCGAAAATTAGCAGTGCCCTAATTGTGCCCTTCCTTCTGGACGATGCCGTCATGTGATATCAAGACATCTTGAAATGACAGTTTGTGCCTGCAATAGCGCCAACTTAGAGTTTGGGAAACTTCACAAGTCCCTGCCGACCCAGCCGACCATTGTATATAGAAGCAACAATATTGTCCCCTGCTGAATAATTGTATGCCGCGCCCGAGGGAGCGATTGCGTCGTCTTCCAGATTCACTTCCGAACGGGCCGGAGGATTAGGATGTAATCCAATAGTCAACACTGAAGGGAGCCTGCTACATGATACAGGTCGAAAGGGGCTGCCAAGCCTTGGGAAACATCCCGTTGTTTTCTCAGCAGCTGCAACCGGCAAATTGAATCATCGATATGTCCGTCCGCCATGCTGATGGGCCTAGGGCGACCCTTCAGACTTCACGCTCACGGCCCCCACCTCATCACCATCTGATACGAAAACCGAATCTTGGCCCTGTTCATATAGCACGCGAGTCTGACTTCTCCTTCGGGGACTCGGCCATGCAGTTCGGCCTGGTCCGTCACGCTGTGATTGTGGTGCGGCGGCCTCGGCCTCCGCCTCGAGTTGTCGAGCCCTCGACCGGCTCTGCCTCCCAGGCTGGAATCCGGGGTTCTCGTGTATTATCCGGCGGTGGGAATTTTCGCCAAATTTCCTCCTGAAATCCGCGTCCTCCCTGGCGATCAGCTCGCACGCGTTCGCGTGCTGCGCGATCAGCCCGGCCTGCCTCCTTGACATACCTTGCATCGCGCCACCCGCCTGTCAGCACCCATGTCTTGAGGGCGTTCTCCCCTTGCAGCTCCTCTATTACAGTTATATTGACTCCCGTGGGGCTGCTCGCTGCTCCTGGGTGGGCATCCCGCAGGTGGCATTGCAGAGAAGGTTGGTCGCGGCAGACCCTTCCACAGATGCTGCCTGTGGAGTCAAGCTTGACATCGCACACGCCCGTGTTGACTTTTGATACTGTTACCGGAGGAAAGGATGGACGGTGGTTCCCGCCGTTAGCATTCGCATTCGTTATCTGTTGCTGATGCCAGTATGGCACAGGCCCATGGTGGTAACCGAAAGAGGACGGGTTTGCAGCGCGCCAGGCGACCGCGTCGTTCTCGAAGTCGAGGCGTCCCAACATGGCACTGGCTTATTAATTGAGTTTGATTGTGTCATTAACTGAGCTGTAATGACTGTGTTGCGCCGCACAGTGAGGAAGTGTGGCTTGGATGGGCTAATATGGTCCAGAACACCAAGCTCACATTTTGGTGATGAATGTTGATCAGTAAGAATTTTTCTATTGAATATCGGACGATTGTTTTTTCAGACATGATGCGGTGCATATGCTGAGCATATGCTCTGAAATTGATGTTCAATGTTGAAGCAGGAGCAATTGCCTAGGTGTATGGCAGTTCTGAGGCCTATGGCCCGGCCCCAGATTCAATGTTGGAGCTTCGCTGCCCTACGGCCCAGGATTAGCTAGTTTTCCAGTTACTTTCTCCTCACAAAAAGCCAATGTATAGGAAATCAAAAGCAACCGCTGTTTCTCTCAGTATTCTTGCAGGCCTCAAGCCGTAACTCTATAGCTAATCATAACCCTGCCGTTACCCCTGTCCGGAAACACTGGTTTGATATTTGCATGCCGAAGACCTCGAGATCGTTGTGGTTGGACTCAGATATTAGGAGAGATCATATCACTCACATGCCTTGCTAAGACTCTCAGTCAGCCGACAAGTCCACGGGTTACATTCTGTAGTTCTGTAGTTGAAATGGTCAAACAAGTTTTGTAGCCCAAGACAAAAGACGGTCGTCAGACAAGGACGTCATGACCATTTCATCAGGGTTGGGGTGCCGAAACAGCTTGGACACGAGGTGCGGAGTGCTCATGCAGTAATACCACATACAAATTTGTCTCAGCAGCACCAGACCAGGGTGACTGCGTCAAAGAAATCCAACGGTAGTTGGCATGGTGACCCAGAGAAAAACAGTCGATGTCGACCTCCAAAAGCCCCACGTTCCTTGTCACGGGCGCATTGTCCGGTCTCGGCCGCGCCTTCTTCGAGCACTTTGCTGCAGGATCACGCGAGGGGCTGTCTCATGGTCACATCTCCGAGTTCAAAGTCATCGGCATCGATAGGGAGCCCTGGCCCGGTCAAGACGGGAAGCCCCAGCCTAGCCATGTCCACGGCCCCCGATCCGTCTACGTGCAGGTGGACGTCACCTCGCCACCAGACGAGCTCGATGCCTTCACGCGCAAGTGGATAGGCGAAGACACGCCGCTGTGCCTCGTCATCCACAGCGCAGGCGTGCGCGGCCTGGTCCCCGGGGTGAAGCTCACCAAGTCGGACGACGTAGCGGCGGCGGAGACGCTGGATGTCATGGACGCGGCGACGATGATGAAGACGTTCGAGATCAACGTCCTGGGCACGTTCAACATCATCACCGCCGTGCTGCCGAACCTCCGGCTGGCTGTGCAGCAGGGGCTCCACCCCCGTGTGGCAGTCATGTCGTCGCGTAATGGGAGTGTGGCCGCCAACAAAACTGGTGGCGCCTATGCGTACCGCGCGTCCAAGGCGGCTCTGAATGCCATGGTTAGAAGCATGAGCATTGATGTTCCAGAGGTCTGCTTCGGGCTGCTTCATCCCGGGAGGGTGGAGACGGGCCTGGTGAGCGTCAAGGAAGATGGGGCTATGACTTGTGAGGAGAGCTTGGAGGGCATGCTAGTTGTATTGGACCGTTTGGGAGAAGGTCACTTGAAGAGTGGCTGTTTCGTGGATCGCTTCGGCGTGGAAATCCCATGGTAGACGGCAGACCTGTGATCAACCGGTATTTCCGCAGTAGACATGACCTTCAAGACCACATGACACAGACTCTGTTCCCTTTTGCGACCTAATGAATGAAGAACGAAATAAGAATTAAATAGCACCCCACGTCAGGTACGGTCGTGGGGACCTCAGATATTAGCCAGGTACTCAAGGCGATGTTGGTCGCAGGAGGCCACAACTCTCGACTCTCAGACTGTCCTTGGGACCGCCGCGCATGGACAATGTCAATTGACCTTTTCGCCATTGAATCTTTTGTTGATGCTCAATGTGACGTCGGCGATGGTCTGGGCTATGCCTCCATTGTCAATGACTAGGATTGAACCTTCACGCATCAGCAGTGAGATCTACACTCAGGCAAGCCATGGCTACTCGTAGTCTAGAGCCTCCAACAGCATGTCGGCCAGCATGGGCTACGGCCGCCGCGGTGGAATGCCAGGTTGACGACCAGTATGCCTCTGAGGACGGCGCAGGTGGCGGTGGCGAGCCTGGGCTTCTCCATTATGAGGGATCACACTGGCCGTAAACTAGGAGTGACGGAAATGGATGTAGAGGGATGTGCTGCTTCAGGGCAGAACAATGCCATAATTTTGATATTGAGAGGTCCGCCTGGACAGTTGCTGGGTAGGTTTGAGAAGTACTCCCTAGACGGTGAGGTCCAGCGGAGTCTAGTGCAAAGCATTCAAAATTCTCGGCTTCGATCATGAAAAGCCGGTTCCATTAGACACAAAGCATGCTAGCACGCAATTTACAAATTCACTTCACTTGCTGTAGATATCGCGGATTGACTGTGTGTGATAAATGCATTGAACTCCTAAACATGCTGCTATCTTGAAATCAATGACTAGGTATCATATGGTATGCAAAATGCTTCCTCCTCCGGGGACCTGTTTGATCCCCTCCCAGCCAAATCCGTTCATCGTTTTCTATGATCAACGTGGTTTGCCTTATTTGCATGACAGGAGCCCTCGCGATCCTCTGCCATGTCTACTGCGTTCTCCATTCTTCACGCCCCGATTTCACCACGGACCTCCATGATGCCCAGGTCCACCGGGTCCTCCGGGTCCTCCGGGACCTCCGGGACCACCGTGTGGACCGCCGTGTGGACCGCCGCCAAACCCTGGGCCACCGGGTCCGTGGTGATGGTGGTGTGGTGGTGGCCCAGGAGGAGGTGGTGGGCCGTGATGGTAGTGTCTTGGCGGCGAGCAAGGTCGTGGAGGGCCATGATGATGATGTGGGCCGTGGCCGCCCGGCGGTGGTGGCGGCGGTGGAGGAGGGCCGCCAGGACCGTGGTGAGGCTTGTGGTGGTGGTGACCTAAACCGAAAACCATTGTGACGAAATAGTGAGGGTGTTTTGTTTGTGTGCTGTGGTGCTGGCTCTTTGGGTTGATAAATTAGACCTGAGGCTTGAGATCTGAGGTTGGAGGCTCGAAGACTTGAGAGATGGTAGAGTCTGGATGGTCAAGTATGAATGTTGATGTGTGATGCTGTCCAAGGCTTTTATCTTTGTCGTCAATGGAAACCCTTTTATTTATATCTGATCGACCATCTTGGGCCGGGCCGCCCGAGGAGACGGACAGGAAACTCCCAGTGGCGCATGACGAAGCCAATAACGAAATGACGGTAGGGTGTCACTCTGCTCCACAGCGGCATAGCCTCATCGGCAGGTGGGTAGGTGCAAGAAGATTAAGTTCTGGGGAACATCCTGGCAGGGCTGGATAGGCGAGGTCATGCCATTGGACGCAAGTCCTGTTCCTGCGTCCGGTCTTGGTTGCAGAGCCACGATGACGGGCCGTTGTACCCCCACAAACCGATTGAATGAGGCTGTGGCTGGGGCTTAAAGCCGACTTCACCTCGTACCGGCGACCCAGGGGCAGGGATGGTCTTTTGGTCTTCCGATTGTCGACCGAAGCCAACGCCCAGCAAAATATTTCCAAATTAACAGAAAATGTCACAAAGAGGCCCATTGGTGTGTCAAAGACATGATGGTATTTCTGTACCTATTAAGGGAACGTGGCAGATTCTTTTAGACTGCCTCCCCGACCAGACTTTGTTTTCAGAAACTATTTTCCCTCCAGAGAACCATTTCGTTCCAAGCAAACAGTGCATCAACCAAGACGACAGGCTGTTGGTTGCAATCTACCATATGCTGGTAGCGGGAGCCGCCCAGGAAGGCGCCTCCTCCGTAGCCTTGTCCCAATCCGCGCCGCCCTCAGTAGTCAGCATCGCGGCAGCCTGGTTCCATCCATCGCCATCAGCTCCGCCAGCGCCGTCCACAGAGTCCCAGCCACCAGTGGCAATGGGGTCACCAGGATTGTCAAAGCCGTTCTCAGCGGAGGGAGCAGAAACCTCGGCATCACGGGCACGCCTTCGCTCCTCGCGCTTGGACTCGATGAACTCTTTCTTCTTGTCGAACTGCTGGTGCAGATCTGCGTCAAGCTGGGGATAGTCAACACGCATCTGCTCGAGCCAAGAGATGTACTGGTCAGACTCCGGGCCATCAAGCTTGAAGGTCCACCAGGCTTCAAAGATCGAGATGGCGGCGATCTCTCGTAGGTCATCGGTGTACTCGGCGTAATTCTCCTCGCTGTAGATGCGCTCGACGAAGTCAAGGCTAATGACGTGCTTGCGGGCGTGTCCGGGCGCACGCTGTGGTCAGATGTTAGCCAATGCGAAGAGGCAAGACGTCACAGCAAAACATCTACCTTCTTTAAGCCGGTCTGAAGGGAAGCCTCCGGGATCTCCAGGTGGTTCGCTGCAGCGATGATCTGGAGAAGGACGTGAAGCTGGTGCGGGCGCTCGTAGTCGAGTCCATGCTCCTCAGGCTCGTTCTCGGGCTCTTCAATCTGGATACCCCGTCAATTCTCAGCGTGTTTACTTGCTATTTTGCATTTTGAAACCGTAAAGAGAAATACCAAAGGATGACTCGGAGCCAGGTACTTACATCGGGGAATTTGACATCATTTCCCTCCGCGATGCACAGGTTGATCCAGTCTAGAATCAGCTTGTAAACACCTAGGTGTGGTCCCCGGAGTACCAGCGAGGAAGGGTTTGCCTCGAGCTCCTTCTTCCAGACAGGACTGAAGGTCATGAGGGCGGAGCGGGAGAAGCCCTGGATGACAAGGGTGAGAGGCTCTTTGGGACCAGCTCGCTGCCAAATGGGAATGAGTTTGTCCTCGCCATTATCGTGTTTTTCGCGAAGCCTATCGTGGTTGCAGACGCGCTGGTCAGAGAGAAGTCTTTTGATGGAGAGTAGGAAAGGGTGCGGGTCATTGCCAAAGATGCGTTGGCTTGCAGTGGATAGACTTACTCCTCGAGGTCCTTTTGACGCAGACGTCTAGGCCTGCTGCCCTGATCGGCTTGCTGGTTGTCGTTGTCCATTATGAAGGACAAAGAAAGCTGCTGTGCCTGATCGACGGTGGCGCGGCGCGGTTGAAGTCAAGACTGATGGTCGACAGTCAGCTGGGACCACAGGCTGAAAATCGAGACGGATGTGCAAGACCGAAAAAGAAGGCACGCAGGTGGGGCGCTTGCAAAGGAAGCCAAAACTGCGGCGGCACGTCAGGGCAACTTTCCCAACTTCGAAACGGTGAGATCGAAATACGGATCAAGAAGGGAAACGGATTACAGTCCGGAGAAAGGGGACTCCCCTCGTCTTGAATTTGTGTAAACAAACGGCACCCCCACCTGGACACGACCTTGAAGAAAGGGGGCCAGGGAGCTGCTTCAGTGCAGCTTTTGGTCGAAAAAGACAGCCCTTACAGCCAGCCATGCCCAAATTTATCTAAACTTTAGATTCCTACTAGACTTTAAATTCTCGAGCAAATTTGTCTGTCAATGAGGCCAAATACTGCGCCCCTGCATCGTCGCCCTTCGTCTATGCTCTCCTTTTGGTCTCATGCAAGCAGCCGCTCGATGACTGCTGCTACTGCTGCCTTAGATTGCCGGTCATCCAAACTTTGGCCTCACGCCGACAAATGTCTCCATAGATTTTGCAAGGGTCCTGATCCAAAGCTTCAAAGTATTTGGCCTCCAAATCGCGCATAACCAAGCTGGAGATGGCAGAAGTTGATGCTGAAAAAGATATAAATACTTCTCTCGATGAGCCCCGCAAGTGTCCCGTCTCTCTGCGGCTCCCGCCTAAAGAGTTGTTGCCAGTCTAAAGGCTTTCACGAGAACTCATCAACAATTTTGACCAGAGCATTCAAGCACTTGCATTCTCGCTACACACGAGATTGCCTCAGATTGACATATCATCGAAAGATGTGCAAATGAGCGGATGAAGGATGTTGGGCAATTTTGACCCAGATTATTACGCCAGCCATTATCACAAGCCTCTCTCACAAGGTTTCTTTTACAATGATTTATCTATAAACATGCTGTAGATGTACATAGGGTATCTCAGGCATTTTCAGAACAAAACTCCTCAACACCAACTCCAAGCCTAAAGTGCCGCACAGCGCACGACTCTCGAGGCAAAACAAAACCAGACGTCCTAAACGAATGCAGCCGAAACAAAGCTGCCAACAGAATGATGCGTTATGTCAATAAAAGACGTGGCGGTAGTCCCGGTTGGTTCAGACGAAACCTGCCAAAACAACGCCTGCCAACAAGAGTGACGTGGTATGTCCTATGGAAATTACCTGGAAATTTTCGGTTTGGCTGTCCCAGGTGACAGCCTACATGGTGATGGTGGGCTTGGACTTGTCCCGTTCATACACCCCTCATAGAGAATATTCTCTCTCATAGCCAACATGGTTGTGTTGACTGCCCTTTTCGTACCCCACTCAATCACTCCTCGGAGGACCACGATTAGCGGCGCGGTAGCCGGGGAACTTCTGCACGGACTTCTTGCTGCCTGCTGTATCTGTGTTGCGCGAAGGGTGAGATCTTGGCGCCGGGCCTCTGCTGCCAGTAGGGAGAGGTCTGATGGCAGTCCCATCAGGGGAAGCTCTTGATGCCGCGGTGCCATGATACGGAGGTCTCGGGGTCGCAGTGCCGGTGGGCCTTGGGCCGCTGAAAGACACGTTGTGATTTGGATCGCGCTTTGCCGTGTGGCCAACGCGGGTCTCAGAGGTACTCGACCGCTGATTATCCGCGTAAGCACTGCCCTGGTAACCAGAAGACTCCATAATGGAAGAAGCCCGGTTGGAGGAGAGAGGCGTTCCGCTGGATATTCCAGAATTCGCTCTCTCGGGCCTCGCCGTGTGATCAACGCGGGCCTCGGAGGCGGCTGGGCGCTGTCTACCCGAGATATCACTGCCTTGGTTTCTAGCAGCCTCAGAAGAAGTAGTGAAGAGCCGACGGTTGGCGGGGTTGCGCTTCGCTGGATGACTATCGTCTGCCTCAGAGGGAGCTGGACGCTTTCTGCTTGCTGTTGCGCTGCCTGAAACTCCAGAACCCTCTGAACCTAAGGCCATCTGTCGGGAAGAAGAAGCCTCTCTGCCGGAAACGACATTGCCGTCGCGGTTGTCCCTCATGACATAATGAAGTCCAGCATTGGATGTAGTTGTACGCTCTACGTCTGGGGCTTCGAGCGCCCTTTGAGGAGCCGCCTGGCTGCTTGAAGAGACCTGGTTGGAAGAGGCTCGAAGCCTGAGGACGGGGGCTGTTTGCGTGCGGACTGGGCGATGGGGCGTGCTAGTCTCAAGAGCGGCGATCCTGCTGGCTGAAGGAGTCTCGTTGGTAGGAGCTGTCGCCCTGGCAGTAGATTCATTGTTCTTGTTAGCGGCAGTCTTGGACTTCGCAGTCTTGGAGTTTGCGGTCTTGGACTTCGCAGACTTAGACACAACGTTTGCAGGTGCCGCTGTAATGGTTTTCGGTTGACGGGTACTACCAGGGATTTTCCCACCGTAGCTGACGTCGCTCTCGGCCCTGCTCTCGACCGCGGAAACTCTGCGGCAAGCTCCCAGGATGCTGTCGATATGCTGATCGACCACTTCCACAGGCTGTGCGATAAACAGGCACAGTGTGCCAGGCTGCACTCGAACGTCGAAAGGACCAACTTGAAGCACCCTCTCCCTCAAGGTAGCGTTGCGCCTGGCAAACCTGTCTATAGCTCTATTCCCGACATTGGCCCGAATTAGGGCTACCTTGAGGATTACTTGTCGCGCCTCAATATTGAAAATAAATTCAATACGAGTCTTGTATTCGCCGGGTAGAGTTCCGATGTTCATGAAATCGTAGCTTGCTCCCTGGGCCAAGTTTTTGTCGGTTTGCAGCGTCGGGGCAAAAGATTCGAGATAAGGCAGGCAGACGACCCGGAACTCGGCATCATCACCTTCAGAATCAACAGTAGTTTGAATGGTGCCACGCTGTTGTGTTTAACACAATGTTAGCAAACAGCCAAGCCACAACATCGGGACGTAATGAAAGGGAGCTCGACCCACCTCCTTGCACCAGATGGTATCAGCAGACTCTCTCAAGCGAAGGTATTCATCAGCGCCTCCACGCCTCCTGACTCTGCCTTTCTGAAGGCCGAATGCGCACTTTTCTGCAAAGGACGCGACGGACTGTTGAGTGAGTGTTGCATATGCAGCACCCATCGCAATCCGCGAGGACCTTGGGGATACGACAGTTAGCACAGGCCCGTATGAAGGTTCCATACGACTGTTGAGATAGCTCTACAATTCGAGGTAGCAAAGAAGATAACTAACCCGTAAAGAAGTTGCATCGCATGCGCAAAAAGTGGCGCAGGCAAGCTTAGCTCCGTGCAAAGCGTCTCTATCCACTTGACGAACTCTGGGTGTAGCGATGATCCACCAGACACAATGATTGTGACCACGTAGTCTCTGCCCCTCCAGCCCTTGCTGATGCTTGCAAGTCGCTGTAACTGCTCCAAAATCATGATCTTGACGTACTTGAAGCCCGCTTGAAAGGCTTTGTCGCTCATTTCCATGGTGATTTCGAGAGGGATGACATCGCCTGTCTGTGGATGAGTTTGGAACACCCAATGGCAGTCTTCTGTCAGAATATCCGCAATATTCTTGTTGATTTCGCGTTTGAAGGCCTGTTTGAGCTCAAGAGGCATCTCGCCCAGCCATGGGAATTTCCGACAGTACTGGTCATCTAGCTGAATAAGCAAATGGTGAATCCACATCTCCATGCCACCTCCAGCACCTTGTTTGATTTCGTCAGTAATGCATTAGGAGTGTAAGCTATTGAGAACCAACCTTTAGGGTGCCCGATCTCATACATGACCCCCATCCCAAGCCCGGAATTGTTTCGGTGGAATGTTGTCAAAGCGCTATTCTAAACGCGTCATGATGTTAGTGTCAATCATCAAGGATGCAAATACTGACTGCTTCACTCACCGCATTGTGTCCACCGCAGTCGACCAAGCACTGAGCGTTGGTTTTGTCCATTATTGTACCAATGTTGGGCATGTCCCGATGGATAGACAAAACCTTGTTGCTGGAACACTGGTTGAAGATGTACTGCGCGAGGGCTGTCGCCTCGGTGTGAAAAATCACGTTGACATTGCGAGCATCCGCCTGGCTCACATCCTCAAAAATCTCCTCAAATACCTCCTTGACGAGTCGTTCATACAAGTCCTGGAAGTCGAGATCCCACTGGCTAGGAACCGTCATGGCGATTGTCTTGACTCGTATCTGTAAGTCGTCGGGCCCGCTCACGCGAAACACCTGCTTCGCACGTGTAAGCACAAAGCGCAGAAACTGTTTGAATGCCTCCTCAAGGCGGGATCTGAATAGCGCCTCGTCGAAGCCAGTCTTGTTTCTCTCACTCCACAGCCGAGAGAGAACTGGGTATTGTCCCTCCATCTCCTCGGTCGTGCCAAGGAGGACATAGGGCACGAACTTGACGGAAGAATCTTCACGTTTAGATCGAGAGGCATTGGCAATGTACTTCTGGGGGTCGTTGTCAAACGGGAAGAACTTGGATGAAAAGTGAGCCATGGTATTGAGATGGTTGGGTTTGTCAGAGTCGTTCTCGATGGGTCCAATCTGAATACCATCATCAGTTTGCCAGGCAAATACCAGACGAGTTTCTGTGCTGCCTATGTCGATGGCCAGGACACTGTGGGCACAATTTAGCCATGATGAAACTTCAAATGTGAGTAGACTGCTGGCCCACTTACGCTCCTGGGTCCTGCAAGCCCTTGGAGGCCATTGCAGTGATTTGGCAGTTTTCTTGTTGATAGCTGTCGGTTGGAAAGCTTTCAAAAGCGAGGCCGTTGTGCTGGACTTCAGTCTCGTTGTGTGACCTAGGCTGTTGTGTACCAGACGTCAATGAGTGGAGGTGGAAGAGTTGGTGGGGTGTTGCTAGGAAAGGTTTTGAGTGTAGATAGTGAGGAGAGCGTGCATCAAGGGTGTTGGAGGTAATCACAAACCTCGTGGTCAAAAATACACAAAGAGATGAGCAAGGCGCAGCGGAATTAACCTTGCGATTTGTTCTCGTGGAACGGCCACATAGACCTTGGAACGTCGTTCAGCGCTTGCAAGATTGGGGTGGGAAAAAACCTTGAAAACATCAATTGGGGGACCGACAGCCATAAGCTCCCAAGCTCCTTGCAAAACTTTCAATGTGATTTTTGTATTCACCAGAGCGCGTCGTTTGGGCTGGTACGTCTCTTAGCAGAACGCTCCCTCAGAGGTCAACACTACCTGAGTAAATAATTTTCAGCAAGCACCCAGGTATACTAGTGAGTGAATGCTGTACCTTAGTAGCCCCACAGCTTGGGAGCTTCTTAGGCCTATCCCTCATCAAGCTTCTCTGTGTGTGATTCTCACGTTTGCTTGCTGCGGCTGAGTAAAGTGAATGATTATGAGCATTCACCGGGTGGAACTGGAATCCACGGCAACGGTCGACTCTTCAGCACTCGCTCTACATCCACCGTTCAACCTCCCAACATCACCTCCCTTCCACAACCTCTTCTAATTTTCTTCCTAAGACACGCGCATTGATTTGAGCTGCTTTCACTCCTTCAATTGTTCTTGGCTACACAAATTAGCCTGACGGCCTTTGCGGAAGCCAGTTCTAGTTCTTGCGCAGTCACACCACAGCCATTGCGCTGAACTGTGCGCGCGTCAGCTCAGTGTTTGCTCAAGCCAGCAAGAATCCTTCTCCACAGAAAAAGAACTGTCTACTTAAGCAGCTCAAGATTTCGATACTTCACCTGACGTCCGGTCCACCCAGACTTTGTTCGACTTCCTTTGCGTGTCAAGCAATCTTCATAATCCTAGGCTCTTCCCCAAGTTCGACGCGTGCTCAAGGTGTCCCGAGGACAATCTGCCAAGGGTACCCAATTAGCCACGGGTGCGTCGAACAGTTTGCGCAAATACAGCTCCAGGTGCCTATTGTCACAGCTTTCCCCCTTCATCCTCCCAGACAAAACACAAACTCTACTCTCGTTAGTCGACAAACGCCTCTCCGCGGTCCTTACTACACATCGTCGCACAGATTCACGTTTCTACCTTGAAACAAATTGATCCCAGCAGCAAGATGGATCTAAAAGCGATGAGTATGGATGAGTACCGGACGCTCTATGAAGCGTCTGTGCAGCAGCATGGGCTGTCTCCGCCGGACTGGGACTTGTTTTGGGGCGGTCCAGGCTGGAATAGATGGCGCTCCCTCTTAGACACGGTGCTTATGGACAACGGCAAGAACACTCGTGAAGAGCGCGACAAGCTTGTCGAGATCACAAAGACAGAAATCATCCCGGTCCTCGATCGTTGCAAGAAAGCACAGCAATCAGAGCCAACTGAGCAGGTTGCAATTCTGCGCAAGTACCACACACCGGTCACGGGCGTGCTCGACACGCTGATCAAGGATTATGCCACATTGACGGAGAAATTGAGAAACCAATATCCATCGTTGGCGTTGGTCCTCGAGGAGTGGGACGAGCACCCTCCTCGTAACATGCAAGCTTTTTCTTACATGTCGTACCCGGGAGGACTCACAATCTCTTTTCACAATGGTCGGTGGGCCCATCTTCAAAATCATGGGATCCAGGACAAATCCCTCAATGCCGTGAACGAGTACTTGCTCGAGAAGATGACCCTCATGGAGAGGCAGAACCAAGCTTTGACTGGTGCTTTGGGAAAAAACGGTATCCAGCTACCAGACGAGTGTGCCGCCATCCAACGACGACTGGACGCCCTCGAGCGATTTAAGCAAGACGAGCTTGCTCCTGGCGATACGGGAAAACATGAATCCTCGCAGCTGCAATTCGAGCCCGCACAGCCGGAGAATTCAGATCTGAAGAGAACAGAGAACCGACGCGTGTCGCCAAATGTCGAGCTAACGTCGGTGCTTGAAGGCCCTGATGGTCCCACATTCACAACCGTCTGGGAGGATTTGGGAGAGGAGGTCTTCTTGAAGGAGAAGACGCCCCCTCGCGAAATGAATAAGAAGGAACTGTTGGATCTCATCACATCTTTGCGGAGGTTCGGATGCAGCAAGGCTTTCAGCAAGCCTGTCAGCAAGGAAGAGTCGCCCATTTATTACGATCTTGTGAAGGAGCCTCGTGACCTTGAAACAATTCGGGCTACCCTTCGCAGCCAAGAGCCACAGTATGAGCAGTATGGTGCTCGCGACTTCTTCCACGACATCAGACTCATGCTTGACAACTGGTCCTATTTCTATGGACAGGACCCAGACGAATTCAATGAGGCGGAGCTTTTCGAAGAGAAACTGGTCAAGAAGCTTGAGGAGTTAGGAGAGCTCGGTCAGACAGCCAAGGTGCGTGAGCAGTCAGCGTCAGGGCTGTGTAAATCATTCGTGGTCTTGCGAAACCACTGCATGCCTAGTTACTAACAGATACTGACAGGCTCACTTCGACTGTGCTCCTCGTGCGCAATTCAATGATATTGATTTGATAGCAGGGAACAACGATCCCGCCGAGCCACGCAGTGGCAAAGATGGCAATGATGAGCCATTTCCTGATGCTCATGGCCTAGCAGAGCAATACGGCGACGAAGACGGCTATAATAGCCAGGATTTCGGTGGCCACAGCCCACACGAGCAGTACACCGAGGAAGACGGCTATGCGAGCCCTTATTATGGCCCAGAAGAGCTATCTGCTGATGAGAGCGGCTGTGAAAACCCGTCTCATGCTGTCCATGACCAAGCCGAGGAGGACGGTGATTACGATGGCTATGACAACAAGTCTCCAGGTTACCCTGCTCCATCCCAGATCAATGAATCCGAGGCCGAAGCCACAGACGTGGATAATGAGGACGAAAATGTGGGCATGCACCAGCTAGAGTCACTTGCCAACCCTCATGCAGAGCAATCGGCCATCGACCTCACTGCGTCACCGCAGCGACAGCCCAGCCAGATTGGGACAGGATTCAGCAAGCGCGCTCGTGCTTCTGACGATGAGGAGTCTACTGCAGATGAGGAGGCTCCTCCCAGAAAGCGACAGAAGATGATGGACGAGTCTCCGTCCTCTCCGCCAGGACAGTCAGAGATCGAAGTGGCAATTGATCCCGTCCTGGCATTGCCTGGAGCGGCAACCCACGCGGCTGCATTCAGCAACCCTTCAGTAGCTACCGCAGAGTCTACAGAGAACAACGTGGAAAATGCAAGCACACCACACGCCTCGCCGCGTTATTACGACGTTACACCCTCGGCGACCAAGCGATCCCGAGACGACGATGATAGCGATCTTGAAGAGTGCGAGCGGCCATCGAAGAGGAAGCGGGCAACCTTAGCTCCGGTCCCAGATCACCAGACTCCAGCATCTCCTGTTGTCACTAGATCTGACAATGAGCCTCCTTCGACCCTTCAGCTACCTGAGACGTCCCGTCCGTCTACAGGCCCAGTTTCGGAGCCGGCAATGACTCTATCCGCAATTATAGCTGCAGCTGTCGGTGTCGACGGACTTAGAAGTCCATCTCCCCCAATCTTTCAGGGACTTTTTGACACTCCCCACTCACCACCGAGCCCCATCCCGGAGCCATTGACACCTGTAGCTGCAGCCGTTGGTGTCGAAGGACCTGGTAATGTATCTCCTCTGCACGTTGCGGATCCATCCAAGAGCCCCGAGGCAGCTGAGCCGGTGGACGGCCCCTCCAACACAGAGGGACCCCAGAGCAGCTCTCCCAATGCCGCGGCAGAGGATTCTGAGCCAGAGGTCAAGCCTGAGCCAGAGGTCAATCCTGAGCCAGAAGTCGAGCCAGAGCCAGAGGCCGAGCCCGAGCCAGCCGCTCACGCACTTGGCCACACCGAAAACGGCACCATCACTGCCTCGAAGCTGCAAAAGCGAGCAAAGTGGAAGAAGACGGCTTCTTCCAAGAAGCGGCAGCCGAATCGGCCGTGGGTGTTCGGCTACCAATTCGGCGACGAGTACGGACTGTACACCATGAGCTGCCCCAAGGCGGGTTGCGCGACGAGCTCCGAGGTCTTCAAGAACCACCCGCTCATGCAGAACCAGGCGGCAAACCACCTCCAGGAGTGCGGCCAGGACTTTGCTGATGACGATGATATGGTGCGCAAGTTTGCCACCCAAGGTATGTGATTCCATTGCCCTCTCCCTGCCCTCTGCTTAACTGTTTCCATATGCTGACCAGTCATCTTGCAACAGTGATCAGCGATGACAAGAAGGTCGTTTCTATCGAGTGGGCCCGGAACTGGAACAACGAACTCATGAACGAGTACGGCGACGAGGATCTCGCGCACGAGAACTCCTTCTAATTCGACAGCGACTCGGCCTGGCTAGCACCCGTCTTTCACCACCAAAACGAACGAACAACATTCCCCATTTTGAGAAACTGACAGTCCGGCGTGGTCTTCCCTGAGGAATGATCTCCGACTGTCGGTTCTCTCGAAATGGAGGACCAAGATTGCGGCAACACTCTGGACGATTTCCCCTGGGGATGATCTCCGTGTGTCCGCCGCAATCGGAAAGAATACAGGTGGTGAAGGACTCGACGCTCCAGGCTGATAGTCCGCCGACCAAAAGCAAGAGATATCAAGAATCCCGCAATGTTCATCGGTGGTGATGATTTTCGTACGCCGGCCATAATCGAAGCGAATACTTGTAAGCCAGGGATGGGGCATGGGTGTCACATTTCCTGATGGATGACCACATTTGACTGTCGAGCGAATCGCTACGACTAATTCGGAAAAGGAAAATAACAAAAGCCAGCACGCCGGATTCAGCTGAGATCTCCGACTGTCGACCAGAAAAAAAAGAGGACCAACAAAAGTCACAAAAACCCGCATCGTTTCTTCCAAACCGTGGAATTGAGCTCGATTCGCTTGGGACCCAAAAAAAAGGAAGAGAAATCAGTGTAAGAACAGGAGGGATTAGGACGTCTGAGAACGTCATAGATACAGATTGATTACCTTTGCTCATAGAGCTACGAATGATAGAGTACATGTAAACCTCAAGTGCCCAGAGCCCTCGAGCAAGTGACACGGTGAAGATAATGCTGATCGACTGCTGCACTGATCACATCGCGCTCATCTCCCTCACCAGCCCGGCGTTGACCCAGCCCCTGGCGAAATTTCTGCCGCTGAGCAGCAAAACGCAGATCCACCAAATTCTCCCAACGTAGCCATCGTACCACCTGTCAAGCGTACCGTCACCGCCAGCTGCTCGCTTCCGACGACTTAGCACCGCCCTCTTGACCACCTCCTCGACGACCACCGCGACGCCGTTCACGGCAAAGAACTTGGCCTCGCCCGTCGCCCGCGCCCACTCCCCGCCGAGCACGCCCCGCACCGCGAAGCTGTGGCAGAAAGCACTGCTCAAGAACCCGCCCAGCACCTTGCCCACGTCGGCAGGCTGGTCGGCCCTCTTGCCCGTCAGCTTCCTCTCGATCCACTCGCACGGCCAGATCCCGTACACCAAGAAGAACCGCGCGAACAGGCGGTGCCAGCCGTAGCTCCAGAACTGCCTGACAGACTTGATGTCCCAGATGCGGGTGGTGTACAGAGGCGGGAAATACGCCAGCGGGTGGGGGGCCAGGGGACTTAGCATGATCGCAAAGGCAGAGTGCGCGAAGCTGAAGGCTGTCATGAGGAACGCGCCCAGCGCCGTCGTAAGGAGGATCTGCACGGGAAACGGCAGGCGAGTATCAAACAAATCCTCGCGGTCTGCGCCAGTGCCAGTGCCCCACGCGGCGCTGTCGACGTCCTGCAGGCCGTAACGCAGATAGATGGTCCGGACGAGGAAGAAGCACAGCACCAGCACGGGACCTACGTGCGCGAAGATGCTGTGTAAGCGGCTGTGTACGGTGGGCAGCCAGGTCTTGCGGGTGTGGCGCACGTCGGCGGTCGACCAAGTGAAGCCAACTCCGCGCATGGAGAGCTCGAGCTCCAGGGCCCAGGAGGCGCGGTCGTGGAAGTTGTGCGGCCAGCCGTCTTCGGAAACGGCATGCTCGATCACAGGCTTCTGATTTGGGCCAGATGCGGCGCAGTGGAGGAGGTGATACGACTCGTCCAGCGAGGTAGGCAGGGCGTCCTTGACGTTATCTAAGAGATCAGTCGCGGAGAGGCCGAGGCCGTCTTGCTCTGTTGTTCTTGGATCCGCTCTAGGAGCGAGAGCGTCTTCTCCTGGTCCATCTCCGCTTGACGTCCCAGCTCGCGGCTTGATACGACCCTCGCTGGACTTCACATCGCGGAGGCCGTCCAGGATAGGCGTGCCAACTCGAGACTCATGCTTATATCTCACACGCCGAGGGATATGACCAAACAGGTATGGTGAGATAAAGAAGACGTCCAGCACACGCGCGCTGCCGTACAGACCGACCAAGCCGAGCTGGTACGTCAGGCCTATACTTTGGGGAACATGGTACGCAAGAGGGAGACGAAGGAAGAGCAGGCCCGCCAGGAGAGCGAAGCCGTTGCGAAGCAGCTTGACAGCTGTCGTGTCAACGGAATGCGGAGGGGAAGGTGGGAGGAAAAGCAATGCTATATAATATATCAACGGCGGACATATAGCGGCCTCGAGGGTCAGGGGTGTGGTTCCTGGGATGGGATGCAGCCCCGGTCTTGGCTCAGCCTTGATGAGCCTGTCGATCAGGTTAATGAGTTGCATTTGCATTACCTCGAGACTGCGAGCACTCTCTCTGGAGGAAGAAGATGAATAAATACAGATTGATACACAAGACGGGATATCAAAAGAAGTTCATTGATGGTATATCACAGTAGACCATTACCTATATGACCCCTGGACTATTCTGGTGATGTCAGGGACTCACGGGATCTAGATCCTTGGTGGATCTAGCATCCAATGCCGTAAGCGTGTGTGTGTAGGGTCATGACTTGCCGCCAAGCAGAGGCGTAGTGGCTGCTAAGAGAAGCCAGCAACTATCGATGTAGAGACACAATACCTGAGCAAGGAGACCTGCGACGGATGCCCGGCTCCGACGTGGAGTGTTCGTGCTCCGGAGGCATCGTTGTACGAGAAAATGACTCGGGGATAATCCTCGGGGAATTCATAACTGGGTGCTCACTGCCAGACTGCTCATGGTCGGTCAAAAGCAAGATAGACAGGCAGGCCCGCTGACGTCTGGGTATGGATCTCATCAAAGTGACTGATGCGTTGGCAGAATGTTCAAGGGGGAAAACTCTAGCATGGCATGTTGAGGTTTGGCTACCATTGAATCTTGGACAATATTGACGATGGGCGGTGGACGGTTGACAAGGTTGTAGGGGGTTTCATCATGATGCAATTCCCGAGGAATCATTCATCGAGCAGGGTCAAGGCTTGCAGAATGGACGGAACGCTCGTTTGTTTAGCGCAGACTGGCAGAGCAGAGCTGCAGAGCCGAGCCCAAAACGGCCAGAACGGGTGACGGGCCAGACGGGGGAACGGGAACGGGACTGCGACTGGCTGCCAGGGCTGCCAGGGCTGCATGGAGCTATGGCCACGAAACGCGAGCTTGGCGCCGTCCGTGGTGGCATCGCGTCTCCAAAACGGTTGCCCCGCAACAGATCGTCACAATGTTGACGGGGGCTCCAGTCAACCCAGTCAACCAAGGCCCAACTGGGCAGCTGGGGCAGAAAGTCGTGACGACCCACAGTATCCACCCAGACGCCAATCCACCTGGCACGTCCTTCGCGAAATCAGGCTGACACGAGAAGAGAGAGAGAGAGGCACCAAGGCACCACCACCACCACACACCACAGAGAAACACAGACACACACACACACACAGACACAGACACACACGCCATACCATACGGACCGAGCATACACACCCTAGTACACATGCAGAGTTGACATTCTCAGCTGCAACAACTTGCGCAGGCGACCAATCAGGCTGCTGCGTAATGCCTGCTGCAACGCCCTTTTCCTTTTTTTAGTCCTCCCATATCTGTAGCCCATCCCACCTTTGCTTCCCATTGTTTACAGCTGCTCCACCGTCCAATCCATCCCCGTGAACACTGCCCCCGGTTAAATGTTGCCTGCGTCCAAGACCAGGCCCTCGAGATCAACATGTGGTCCGGCTCTCCCCTCAAGTTCGAACACTCACACCAACCTCAGCCCCAGCAGCATCAACACCAGCAGCAACACAGCCAGGGCGGCCAGGACACAGAGTTCAACAACTTCCACATGCCACCGCAGGCCATGCCTTCGACACCAACACATCACCGTCGCGGCCAGAGCCTGAGCGCCATCCCCAATCTCCCTCGAACCCCAAACCACCACCAGCTGCGCCCGCCCGTCTTCCTCCACAGTCCCATGAGGGCCAATTCGAACGGGCTGATAGGCGTGGGAGATGTCTTTGCTCCCAACAACTTCGAGGACAACATGGGTGCGTTTCCGGACCTTGATGGACGCGGGTGATACAAGGCACACACTGCAAGTGTATTGAAGTCGCTAATGTTTATCCAGCCTACTACTCGCCCGTCATGTCTCCCGGCACAGCATTGGAGAGCCTCAACGAAGAGTTGACAAACTTCGACCTGGCCGGCTTCGGGGGCCCTCTGGGCTCGGTACCCGGCGGTTCCTTCTACGAGTCGTCTCCCATGCCTTCACCGGGCCAGACCACATTTCCCTTCAACAATAACCCGTTCAGCGGTGCTCCAGAGTCGTCCATGATCCCGTCGCGGACAGCCTCTCCGCTATGTACCAGCTTCAGTCCAGGGCCTGACCCGCACTCTGCCGATATGCAAAACTTCATCAGAACACCACAGCAGTCTCCCACGCGGCAGAGCTTCAGAGAATTTGTGTCGACTCCGGAGCCCTCCCCAACACATCACAGCAATCCCCTAAAGGACTCCCTCCTGCAGGCACGGCAACCGTCTCCCACCAGAGAAGCAGTCATGGAATCCCTCATCCGAACCCCAGATCCGTCGCCAACCCGTCACAGCTTCTCTCACGCAAGCCCGCACCCCCACGGCAATCTACTGCAGACCGCACCCGACCTCCGGCCCATGCGAACTCCAAGAGAATCTGGGAGTCCCAACCGAAGCCGCCAGTCTCCAAGTCCAAACCGGCGCATGCGCGCTCACCAGCGCACACAAAGCCTCCAGAGCATCAACAGCGTTGTAAGCCTTGCGGACGGGGACATGGAGCAGTACCGTGTCGAGTCCACCATCAAGCCCGAACAGATCTCGGAACTCATCGGCGAGACTGAGTCCCCGTCTGCCGGCCCCACCTCAGCACAGGATGCCAGCACCGGTGGTGACAAGGCTGCGCCTGGGTCCGATGCCAACAAGAAATACATCTGCAAATGGACCGAAACAGTCTCCAACAAGGACGGTTCAAGCGAGGAGAAGATCTGCGGGCAGTTCTTCGAGCGTAAGGAGAATTGCAAGGCGCATATTCAAACACATCTGGACGACAGGCAGTATAAATGTCCATATGGCTTCTGCGGCAAACTGTTTGTGCGTTCTCACGACCTGCGAAGACACCTGCGGACCCACGACGTGCACAAGAAATGGGTATGCCCCTGCGGCCGCGACTTCAGCCGCGCAGACGCTTTGCACCGACACCAAGGCAGAGGCAACTGTATTGGCGCGCCGCCAGGGACAAAACGCAAGGAGCCTGCCAAGCGAGGCAGGCCGCCGAAGAAGAAGGAGGGTGTGCCGGGGGCCTCAACGTCCTCAGACCCAAATGCCCCGCCAACGATAGTACCGCCAGGAGACCTCAGCCAGCCGCCTCAACCGCACCTCAGCGCAACCAACCCCATCCACAACGGACCGAGCTTCGCCCCAATGGGCGGCAGCAGAAACGACCCCGCCACTATCATGACCACCACGGAGGACGACCTCGGCATGGGCATGCGCCTGGACGGCTTGCCATCTATGGACCTCGTAGACATGGAGCACCTTGCGCCGCCAGACCTGGACCCAAGCCCCAGCCCCACGCGAGACGGGGATACTTGTCACTCAAGCGGCTTTGCGACCAGCAGCCTCGCCCCGAGCCCGCTAGGCGACGAGCTCAGCCCATCACCCGTGCCGCCCGACTGCGGTGACAGTATGCTGTGCGGGCCGCCCGGGGACGAGTGGCTCGAGGACCTGATCTTCATTAATGATAATTTCGTCGAGAATGGGTCGGTCTGACAGCAATGGTAATGGCTATGCTCATGCTTGGGCCCGCTGATGTCGAGCATCCTTCCATCCTGGTCTTTGGATGGTGAGAGGTACTAAATCAGCGGATGTCTTGCGGTCCGCGGGGCCAGATGGCCCCCTCTTTTGTGTACGATGTTGGATGGAATATCGAATTGAGCAGTATTTGCAGCGTCTCCTCTTCTTGTATTCCCTCTAGCTTCGCCTATACCTACCTTCCTTCTTTTTCCCATTTCTTTTTCATCTTTTTTCCTTTTACTACCCGTGGATGGATAGTGGTGCTCTCTTCTTTTGCTTACTTTCATCAGCAATAAAAGAGGCAGGGAATGGGGAATCTCAGCCGGGGAGGCGTTATTTGGGTATTAATAGACGCCACGTGCATGACGCGCCTTCGCTTAGGAAGGTGGCCGATTGATCGATGGTTTGGGTCTGGTCCGGTCTGGGTCTGGCTTTGGAAGGTTTTTTCCTTTTTCCTTTTTTTCATTTGTGTCGATTTCGATCGAATTTTCTCTCATCATCTATTACTTACTATGAGCGTGGCGGACATTGCATGTAAACGGGTTTGATCTGCTTGGTGCTTTTCTAGCTGTCTACGTAGTTGCGTATGGCTTGTGACCAGTCCGAATGTGGAAAATGGGGCCGTTTTGTTCAGATCAGAGGGTTAGACTCGCTCTCGTGCTGTATACGATCGTGAAATGTTGTGCAATGATCACGCGTCGTCAGAACTCATGATGTTTTGGATTTGGGATACATTGCCCAGACTGGCGATCCCGCTGGTTGCTCATCACACATCTCCTTTTCCATTCCTGTCTATGGACGCCGATATAGGTATCATAGTTTTGTACAGAACATGCAGCCCACAACCCACTTAACACGCCATTCCTCTACCGCCTAGGCATGCCACGGCCCCGGCCCCTGAGAGCCCTCTGCGCTGCTCCTGGGGGCAGGGCCTTACCCGGCGCCTGTGGCTGTTGGCTCTCCTCGTTGCGGATGGTCTCGTCGACGCCAAGGATCAGGCACGACGCCTCGGTGGCGGCCTGGATGGCGTTGATCTTGACGAGCGCGGGCTCCCACACGAAGCGCTCCATCATGTCGGCGACGCCCTCGTCGATAAAGTCAACGCCGGCCCAGGTGTTGCCCTTGCGGTGCTCGACGCGCAGCTTGTTGAGGATGTCAGTGGCGTCGAAGCCGGCGTTGTCGCACAGCTGGCGCGGCACGATCTCGAGCGCCTTGGCGAACGACTTGATGATGGCCTGCTGCTTGTGCGGGACGTTCTTGTCGGCGAAGCGGTGCAGGTAGGCCGACACCTCCATCTCGCACGCGCCGCCGCCGCCCACGATCGTCTTGTTGCGGATCGCCCGCTTGACGATCATGATGGCGTCGTGCAGCGACCGCTCCACCTCGGCGATGAACTGCTCCGCGCCGCCGCGCAGCACCAGCGTGCAGGTCTTGGCCTCGGGGCAGTCCTCGAAGAAGTTGAACCGCTCGCCGCCGATCTGTCGCTCGTCAAACGACCCACAGGTTCCCAGATGCTCGGCGCGGATGTCGGAGCACGTGCTCTGCACAGTGGCACCCGTGGCCTGGACGACGCGTTCCATGTCTGCCGAGGCCACACGGCCCGCGCAGAAGATGTCTCGGTCGGCGAAATACTGGGTGGCCAGGTCACCGATGGGCAGCTTGCTCAGAACAACCTTGGCGCCCGTCTTGTATATGGCCTCCAGCTTTTGGAAGATGATCTGCCACTCGGCGTCCACAATCGCCTGGTACTCGGAAACCTGCTCGACGCGCACCTCGGCGTTGTCCTTCTCGGCCTTGAGCTCGAGCTCCACGTTAAGGCAGACGATCTTGGGCTTCGTGAAGGACTTGGGTTGTTGCTCGAAGCCAGCGTAGGCGAATGTCTTCTTGAAAGCGACGCCGTTGATGAACAGCGAGTCGGTGAGCGAGCCACCGGGGATCTTTTTGACTCCTATTAGGTGCTCGTCGAGATCGTCTTGGTCGAGGGACAGGACAGCGTCAACAACCACTGTAAACACATGTTAGCATGCTGGTGACCCAGCTGATTCGCACAGCATCACAGGCTCGTTGCTCACTCTTTGTGAAAAACTCGGTATTCCGCTTGATCAGTTTGCTGGTCATGGCCGTTCCTGCCAACTTGGCGAGTGTGTCTCTGCGGTTGGCCTCGTCGGTGCTGACGGCGATCTCCTTGATCTTGTTGACGGCCATCTGGGATGCTCTCCTCAAACCCTTGACGATGGTCTGTGAACTGACGCCCTGCTCCACGTGCTCCTTGATCTCCTTGAGGATCTCCCCGGCCAGGACAACGACGGATGTGGTGCCGTCTCCGACCTCTGCATCTTGCGACCTCGCAATATCGACAAGGATCCTTGCGGCGGGATGGACAATATCCAGGAGCTTCATAACGGTTGCGCCATCGTTTGTGATTGTCTGCCGGCCGTTCTCGTCAACCATCAACAGGTCGCCGCCATAGGGTCCGAGTGTGGATTTTATCGTTGCTTGGACGGCCAGGCAGGCGTTGATGTTTGAGATAATCTGAGGCTTTCCCTGGGAGGAGTCGGTGCCTGTGAAAGACGGTCAGCAAAGGGTCAAGGCCGTGGCGGCGGTACAATATGCTGCGTGTCCAGCAGGAGGGAGCTCCCAGGGGTTGTTGGACAAGGAGGGGCAATTACCAACCTTCCTTGAGGACGATAATGGTGGGTGTCTGCCCGCCGAAAGACATGTTGGGCGTTGATATGCAGCAGATGTGAGGCGCTCGTGGAGGATAAGGTGCAAGGAGGAGCCCAGGGGTCTTGAGTCGCTTGTGATGAGGTTGCTTGAAGACTTGCTTGCTGGGGCGTGGACGCGTGGGGTCGATTGGAGCTTCGACTGTCGTCCGCCGCCAGAAAAATTGATGCAGCTGGCAGCTCAGGGTCACTGTGCCTAGGACGGCCGTGTACCCATGTACCTTTCCGTGTCGCTGCGGTACTGCTGTTCAGAAAACACCCGCTTATGTAAGTCCTGCAGTACGGCCCCACCCCTGGCATCCCCCAGCACATCTGCAGCCTTGGTCTTTGACAGAGTGGGTCGTCCAATACTGCACCCATCCACAAGCATCGTCGTGCTTGAAATTTTGCACGCCCACCTGCTATATCAATTCTTTTTTTTCGGCCCACCGCACAACATCCAAACATATTTGGCATAGAGGGTTCTATAGTGTAGCTGGTCATCACATCGGATTCTGATTCCCTCGTCAGTATCCTTCCGGGAACTTGGGTTCGAATCCCAATAGGACCTTGTCTTAAGGTTATCTCTTTTGTTCTCTGATTCGGAGATTTCTTTTTGATGCTAGCATGTCTTGCAACATGGCAGATGTCATATTCGACTATCGTGCATCAGTCTTCATTGACTTGATCATCAGACGGACGAAAGACGGCGTCTGGTTGCTATGACCAGGAATCGTTAAGGGAAACATGCCTGCCTGTGGCGGATGTTCCTGCTCGGCGCCTGAACAGATACGCGGCCGTGGTGGTAGGCATGATCTTTGACAATTTTACATAGTTGAACACATCTTGAGCGCTGGTAGTGGGTTTGGATAGGACGAGTGCGCATCAGCTGATAGATACATTGCAATGCGGCCTTGACCACTAGGTATCGTTCCTGATGCTAATACCGGGCCCTGAATCTGGCCAGTTGACAGCATGGATCTCAGATATAATTGAGGTGCTTCTGGACTACTGAAACTCTCGAATTACGTTTGTTCATGAATGACGAATAGATAGATATTTCTGACTAGGAATTCTTCACTAACAATGAAATATTTCCCACGTATAGACCTGCTTGCCAGCTGATGGCATGTTTGAGCCACTGCACAAAAGATAGAGTGGGTTGGACTGCCGGCTGCTCCGACATTGGGGCTGTATTTGTGCTCCGCGTGCCTCGGTTGCTTCCGCTGTGCCTTAACTCGGAAGGGAAATGTGTTTCCCACACGGTCCTCTGGGCGATCTCCATCATACTGGCTCGTTGCCATCACACTAATTTCGCCTTGCCGGATTTGGACAGTCGTGTCGCCATGTGCTTCATTGAGGGTGGTCAATGTTTTTCTGCTGGCCGTGACCAATGGATTCGTATTATAGCCATGGCCGAGAAACAACCGGGGTGGGCCGGCTTGTCCCAGGTTTCATCCCATGCCTTGATAATTCTGATGTAGCTGCCGGCAACTTCCCAGTTGATTGATTAACTACCTGCCAGGTACATGTAGGGGCCAGACTCTGCCGGTCGAGATTGAGTCGCGATAGTGCAGTATCGAGGTGAAATCTGATGTTATTTTGTCACACACGGTATTTCCACGCCAAGCGCGGTGTTATTTGACTTATTTGAACTTCCATGCTGCGTGTGACCTTGTCTCCCCCGACCCCCCCAGTCAGTGTCTGCCCCAGCTCGCAGGACCCAGTAACGCACCCCAGGGAACCGACCAGTCAAGCGAGACTCGTGCACGCACATGCTCCTGCAGACGCACACAGGACCAGTACCAGGAGCTGGCCCGTGCCCCGCGGAAACAAACAACAAAAAAGTCAGGATCCCGTAAACTCCCTCTCCCCTTTCGACCCCCGACATCAGTCCACATCAGTAATCCCAGCTGATATCATATTACTGGAGGGGCCTGTCACTTTGCAGTCAACCACAGCTCTGGGATTTCTATGCTCCATTTCAGGCCCTGCCGACCTCACAGCCCGCCTTGACGAACCAAAACACACACACGCAACAACCACTCTCAGCAGCGAGGCCTTTTTTCCCACCCACCCCAAACTCGCGCATTGTTTTCCTTGATTACCACGCGCGGCTAAATCTCGCTCTCGCCCACCCGCTTCGGCCGAGAAGTTTATGCAATGTCAGGCAATACCATGCGAGGTACGCCCAGTCGTGGGGCCGATCGTGGCCGAATTCCCACCTTCAACAACAGCCCAGCAGCTGGAGCTGGCCCTGGCGCTGGCTCTGGCATCCCCAGGCCTGTTCATGGAGGTGATCTCGGCCACAAAGAAAGCTTCGCTACTAATAGCGAGATAGGCGGGGCCAGCACGGTCAGCACCAGCAGACAGAAGCAGTCCAAGAGGGATGAGGTCAGTCACTTTGCATTGCTTTCGAAATTGTCGAGCTTGTCACGCCGGGCTCCCCCCAACAACCCCCCTGAAGCCACGGGAGTCAACACCGTACATCGCACTTCGAAGCCATGTCGCCTCCACGCCTCTCGAGCTTCACGAAACAACCTCCGCGAGCTGCTGAGGCGCTTCCCTCTTTCCAGGCCTGCCAAAAGAAGCCGCGAACATGTCTAGAGGTATGCCTACTGACTACTATGTCCAGGCGATCCGCCGGAAGCTGGAGAGCGACCTCTCCAAGAAGAAGCACCTCACCGGCCGTGCTAGGCACACCCGAAAGGCTCCTCCCGGAACCGTCCTCGCCCTGAAGCCCAGCCAGGCCCTCCAGATCAAGCCCCAGACAACCGTTGCCGAGGCTGCCCAGTTGATGGCCGCGAAGAGAGAGGACTGCGTGCTAGTCACCGACGACGATGATAGAATCGCGGGTATCTTTACGGCCAAGGACTTGGCCTTCCGGGTCGTGGGAGCCGGACACAAGGCAGTCAACGTGACCATCGCCGAGATCATGACCAAGAACCCGTTGTGCGCCCGAACCGACACCAGTGCCACCGATGCCCTCGACCTAATGGTGCGCAAGGGCTTCCGTCACTTGCCCGTAATGGACGAGAACCAGGACATCTCGGGTATTCTCGATATCACAAAGTGTTTCTACGATGCGATGGAGAAGCTGGAGAGGGCCTACTCTTCCTCGAGGAAGCTGTATGATGCGCTCGAGGGTGTCCAGTCAGAACTTGGATCCAGCCAACCCCAGCAGATCATTCAGTATGTCGAGGCCCTGCGATCCAAGATGTCGGGTCCCACCTTGGAGTCTGTCTTGAACGGCGAGCCCCCAGTCACAGTCAGCGTCAGGACTCCAGTCAGGGACGCCGCCCAGATGATGAAGGAGAACCACACCACTGCAGTCCTGGTTCAGGACAACGGCGCCATCACGGGCATTTTCACCAGCAAGGATGTCGTTCTCCGTGTCATCGCTCCTGGCTTGGACCCAGCCACTTGCAGTGTCGTCCGTGTTATGACCCCTCACCCTGACTTTGCTCCTATCGACATGAGCATCCAGGCAGCTCTCCGGAAGATGCACGGTACGTGGCACTCGCAAGAAGTGCTTGCTTATTGTGTGACATACTGATGATATTTATAGATGGTCATTACCTTAACCTCCCTGTCATGAACGATGGCGGTGAGATCGTTGGCATGGTCGATGTACTCAAGCTGACCTACGCGACTTTGGAGCAAATCAACGGCATGTCCACAACGGACAGCGAGGGCCCTGCATGGAACAAGTTCTGGCTGTCCCTCGACCACGAGACGGAATCCATGGTTTCTGGCGACGGCACCCACCACGATCGCAGCCACGTTGGCTCGCGCTCGCTGATGTCCCCCGATCTCAATAGGGAACGTATCTTGGACAGCGTCGCACCTGGCGACTCGGCCTCCCACGCTGGAGTCGACTCGCCCCCGCAGAGCGCCCTGGCACACTCCCCGGAGCTGCCACCCAGCGAGCTGCCGTTCCCCTTCAAATTTAAGACCCCAAGCGGCCGCACACATCGTCTTCAAGTGATTGCCTCGCAGGGCATGGATACTTTTGTTGTGAATGTCATCTCGAAGCTCGGTTCCGAGGTTGACTCTGTTGGTGGCGCACCCACGGTCGAGGACGGCAAGCTGTCCTCCACCGGGTTCGCGCTTAGCTATCTGGATGACGAGGGTGACTCGGTATCCATCACGACTGACCAGGACCTGCTGGAAGCGATCCTCCTCGCACGTCAGAGCCACCACGACAAGGTGGATCTTTTTGTCCATGATCCCGAGAAACCCCCTATTGCGGCCGTACCCACTCCCGCTCCAGAGCCCGTCATCCCCACGCCCCCGGCGTCTAGTGTTCTGCGGGAGCGCAGGAGGAGGAACTACGACGGCGAGGACGACAGCGAGGAGGATGAGAGCGAGGACGAGTCGCCACGGGGCGCGCGGGCCAGGAGACACCGCAGCAGGCACGCGCCTCCAGAGCAGGTGGTCCCTGGTGTTCCCAACGAATTGCTCCTCCCCGGTGCGATTGCAACGCTCGCGATTGTTATTGTGGCGACCTTCACTATTGGCCGCATGTCAAGCCGATAGACGCAGTAGATTTGGCATGACGAAGCGGTGGTTTCTAGAAACAAGACGATATCCCCTGAGCAGGCGTTGTTGAGTCGTGTTTACAGACGTGTTTATATCTAGTGAGACGGTGCACATGTTGTTTGTATGGAAACGTGCCCCCCACGAACATAGACTAATAGGCATCACCTGATCGTTGTATGATATTCCAATGCGATGCAAAAATGAGTTTCCTCGATGTATAGGTCCTCGAGCGTAGGGAGGTTGTCTAGGTGCTTCCAATTCTTCTACCGAACCATGAAACAACAAGTGTACTTGTTCATGACAGATGTACTAATTACAACGCAGCTTTTTCCAACTGTCTAGACGAGTAAAGCACATCGAAAAAATGCAGAAGGGGAACTGCTTGGGTACGTACCTGAGTGAAGGTGCAAGGTATTGGAGGACCCACCCCTAGCTTACTGTCCAATCGCGTGCCTGCCAGTGCGTGCCCTTCCCGCGGCAGGCCCAAAATTCTGGGTCGAGCAGGTGGGAAAAGATGCAGCTCATCACTTGGTGCAGGTTCATGCGTGAGCTTCATATCCAGTGAACCTCGCCAGTAACCATGATATTAAGGAATTCAGCTTTGCGGCACGGTATGTACATATTCAATTGCACACTCGCACTCCAAAACACACCAGCCACTGACTCTCGCCATCAACAACAGGCCGACTGGCTTTTGCCGCGCCAGTAAGGCGATCATGTCTACAGCAAGCAGCTCTCTCGACCGGCGACAAAAGACCGCCCCTGCGAACGACATTCGCTGAACCCCCTCCACCTCCTGCCTCAGAAGATATTCCTCATAACAGACCGGCAGCAAGAACTTCGCCGTCGTCGAGCCAGCCCGCCGCCGAAGCCTCAGAAGAACCCGAAACCGCCAACTCCCACACGGCACCAGGTCACAAGCCCCGAGCTGGCTATGGCCTCAAGCCGACCGTCGCCGTCGACCAGTCCATAGCCCGGAACCACCGCAAGTTTACTAAGGTACAGGACGCGATCGGCAACGTGGGCTCCGTGGTGCAAGAGCGGTTTGACCCGTCGTCACTGCTACGCGACCCGCCGCGGCCCGAGGACGTGACGCTGGAGCTGCTCATGTCGTCGCAGACGCACATGGGCCACCACACGAGCCTGTGGAACCCAGCGAACCAGCGGTACATCTACGGCGCGCGGGCGGGCATCCACATCATCAGCCTGGAGGAGACGGCGGCAGCGCTGCGGCGCGCGGCGCGCGTCGTCGAGGAGGTGGCGTACCTGGGCGGGCTGATGCTGTTCGTCGGCAACCGCAAGGGCCAGATGGAGGTGACGGCGCGCGCGGCCGAGCTGGCCGGCGCCTGCCACCTCTTCAGCCGCTGGGTGCCCGGCACCATCACCAACCGCGACCAGATCCTCGGCCGCGGCGGCATCCACGTCGTCGACGAGCAGGACCGCCCGCTCGCCGGCTTCGACAAACACCTCACCGAGCGGCGCCCGCTGCTGCCCGACCTCGTTGTCATGCTCAACCCCCTCGAGAACTACACCATGCTGCAGGAGTGCGCCCAGGAGAACATCCCCACCATCGGCCTGATCGACACGGACGCCGATCCGACGCAGGTCACGTATGTGATCCCCGGCAACGATGACAGGTACGTTCTACTTTCTTTTATGCCCTTCCGTCATGTTTTCAGGGGCCCTTGGATACCACTTACTAACGCCGCAATAGTCTTCGATCCGTGAGCGTTATCGCCGGCGTCCTGGGCCGAGCAGGCGAGCGCGGCCAGGAGCGGCGCAAGGCGGATGCCGCCAGGGGCGTCTGCACATGGAGGAACCCGCCCGACATCGAAAAGTGGATGAATGACGAGAAGAAGAACAGGGCCAGTGTGGCGGAGGCCGAGATCGAAGCGGCGAGAGCGGAGGCCCAGGGAAACAGCCGCAGTCGTTCGATTTACTAGGAGTAAATGGGTTTGTAGATGCATGTGGTTGTAGAAAATGTACGATGTCATGTGCATGCATACGTCAAGAAGAAAACCCGTCTTCTGTGGCGTTCTGTCTCGTCGCCGTCCATGTTGCCCTGGGTAAAACAAGAGGCGCCGTAGTGGTGTGCATATTGTGCGTGATTGTCGCCGAGGAGGTTCAAAAACCTGTCAATTGGGTTGTTCCTCTGTAAATATATGTCATGCTTCCCGCCTCTCGTACCTTTCTCGTCGTTCCAAAGCACTTCAAAGGCATATGGGAATTTCAGTTCCTTGAAATGAATACACATGTCATGTGAAAAAGAGGCGCTGCCCTCCTCACATGCTCAGGTGATGCACCCGTCCTACAAACCGACAGCTAGTTACGCATCACTGCGTTGGAGAGAGCTCTGCGAGTTGCCACATTCCAGTGGAATTACCAAAATATTCATACAATGGCTTGCAGCATTGGACAAAAGGTAATGACAACTGTGTGACTCGAACACACGCCTCTTTCGAGACTACGAAGATGTGAACACCTGAACGTAGCGCCTTAGACCACTCGGCCAAGTTGCCTTGAGATCTGGAAACATCATTAAATCCATGTTGCTAGATTTTGCGCGGGGTGGATCATTCGTGTCACGGGAAGCGACACCGGGACTGGGCCCGGCCTGGGTCAGCAGGGTTGTAGGAAGTTAACAGTTGAACACATCAACTTACCTAGGTCCCGACTATATTGGTCATATTAATCAGGCCATCCTTTTATTTCACATTCTTGATATTCATTTGGAGTTCATTTGCGATAATGGACGCTTTAAATATAATTCACAATGTCCAGCTACATATGATGTTCAATGAGCGCACAGAACATGTTGCTGATCCATTTAGGACACTATTATTACCGCCTTCCGGTTTCTTTGATGGACTGGTAGCTCATTACAGATCTCTATGTTTAAGATAGGATATGTTTCCGCTGCTATTTTCAAACGTGGACAACGTCGCAGCGAAGCAATGTCTCTGTAGATATCAGCTCCAGCATGTCAACACGTGGGGCTTCTTTTTCCTGTGGTCGAGTTTCATGGCTATTATCATAGAGATAATAAATGCCTTTGTGGACTAGATCATAGCCTCATGGCAAGCAACCCTCGGTCTCATATTCTCTGAACAAAGAATAATAATAGAAGCTCTCCTGGGTGTCAATTATTTAGCTTTGTTTCTTTTCTTCTTATGCCAACTGCTCAACACCCTCCGGGAATTCTATGTCAAATATATAATGGCGGATTGGCTTGCTGTTCGCTTCATCCAGCAAAAATCTTGATATCTGTGTCACCTTGAGATATTCATATCGGCTTGAGGTTCGAGGACCTGCCGAATGACTGCTCGAAGGCTTCCTGGAGCTCAACAGCGGCTCAGTCGATTATTGCTCGAAGACTTGGTCCATCTACCGAGCGCTTCTCGTCCGCGACGCAGCAGGACGAGTTGTGCCGAGACACCATGAGCAAACTCGGAGTCAGCCGAATCGGCCTGTCCGACGGCAACGACTGATCCAGAGCGGCCACCGCGATCGTTTTTATTCCGTACGAGGCGGCCGATAGTAATACCGTCCAGGCGTTGTCGAGGCGTCAGAACGACAAGGTTCCAGCTGCATATGGCAACTCGTCGAGCGCTTCTGGTGCTTAGCACTACGCGGTGGACCCCGACCTGAAACTTTACGACCTGGTCATTTATAACTATGGGAACGATTCCCCACCGTGGCTGTTTCTTGTGGCGGACCTAGTTTCGGGTGTTTCTATGCTTAAGAGTGGAAATACTGTATACTGGACCACCGGAGGCGTTGTTGACTTTTGTGCGCTGATGCCTATCATGGAAGCCAAATATAAAAGAATCGAATGATTTCGCAGAGTACGACGAAAAAGTTGGTGCGTACCTGGACTAAGTCAGCCCGCATTACTAGGAAGCTAAAATCCTGGGCTTCGTAGTAGATATGTGAAGAGTACCGCATTTTATGATTGTACATATCTTGTGTTCAGGAGCCTCCAGCGTCTGAAGTACATTGAATATGATGAGCGACGTTGACATGAGCAGTAATGCGCCTCATGTTTATGAATTACATTGTCGCCAACTATACAGGGGGTACTCACAACAAAACGCTCACCGAAAGGCGTCCTATCTTGTTTCAATTCTTTTTCAGGTACGTCTGATGCCAGCTGGATGTGATGGGTTCCAGTCAGGGTTTGTGGCATAGGTGGGAAATGTATGCAAGTTCTTCCTATGCTCGGTTCCAGTCCTGAAGTCGATGAATTGGGGCCCATGTATCTACCGATTCTTTCTTTTTAAATTGGTATCACCGCACTCTCACGTGCTAAGAGCGGAAATACCCTGGTTGTTGAAACTTGTACTCCTGATTGGTCTGGCGTGCCGCCAACTGTTGCACGAGCGTGGCGACGCCACATCAAATAGACATTGCCAATGTTTGCTACCCAGGGATTCCTCACTGCACATAGTTGGCTCAAAAGGCGCATCGCCTACCATGCACCAGGCCTCGTACTGTACGGGCCTCAAATGCAGTTTGACATATCTCCGTGGACAATGCTTTGCGGCTGTAAATCCAGCCTCAGGGCAGGGATGGGTATGGCTCCCGTCACGCGTCCAGCAGATTCGCTTCGCCTCAGGCCAGGACAAGAAGGGATGGTACGACTGGTACGCAAGGCTTGGTGTAAATCCAAGAGCATCGGTGAAGGACCTCAAGAAGGCCTATTATAACAAGGCTAAGGTGGAGCACCCAGATCGCGACAAGTCCCCAGGTGCGGCGGCTCGGTTTCGCAATGTGAGCAATACTTCTTGCTCATATTAGTGCTGTCGTTATCGCTGACTGATCCATTACCAAGCTACAACAAACTTACGAAAACCTGTGTGTCGAGTGGAAGAGGGCGGAGCACGATCAGCAAAGGCTGGCCAGGCAAAGGGCAGCAGCAGCTGCTAGAGCACAGATGACGGCTCGCCAGGCCTCGGTCGTAGACAACTTGCGAGCCAAATGGAAGGCCGAAGAGGACACTCGGAGGAAGGATGATGAAATGCGAACGAGGAACATCAGAACAACAGCTAAAGTAGGGCACCAACAGCCCAAAACAACCAAGTCGCATGGACCCAAAGCCGACGTACATGACTTTCAAACAGGACCATACGGTCCCAGAACCGCCAGAACCGATAAAATCAAAGAAAAGCCTCCAAAGCAAGAGCAACGGCAGGCAAGATCTAAGGAGACGGAGGAGGATCACTTGAGGAAACAGAAGCTTGCAGATGACCTGCTAGCAAAACAGAAGACCACTGCCGATGGGAAGAAGCGAAAAAATGATGCCGCCGCCCACAAGACCGATGAGAACAATTGTCTGCACGAGAGAGTCATAATAACTATGCGAGGTCTCCGAAAGGGAACTAAGCTGGTTGATCTCTTCGAGCCTCTCGTCACTTTGATGCCGGGCCCTGTCTTCAGCGCAAGATTCTTGTCGCACAGAATGGCTGCGATTGAATTCTGCACAGACGCCGCGGCGCGCAGGATTCTTGATGTGGCCAAAGAGCGCGGGCTATTGATCAAGGGCAAGCGTGTCACCGATGTTCAGCTCACCCGATCAATGAACAAGATACCAGCCACTGGTTCCATCTCGCGTGTCTTGAAATTGTCCAAGGTACGGCCCAAGGAGGAGCATTTCGCGAAAGGAATCCTCGAACACTTGAGCAAGCATGGTTTGCAAGTGGAACGGATTGTGTCCAGGCTGGAAATGCAGAACTCCACGATGGTGCGTCTTGCTTCATGGGCAGACGCCGAGAAGGCGAAACGGTTGCTTGGAAAACACTTGCCCGAAGCCGATATAACTTACGCCCCGGATCCCTGCGAAGCGATGAGCAGCATTGTATACAGAGCTGCCGGGTTCTTGCTGAGATTCAGAAGCCTAGCAGATACGGAACGAAAAAGGGAGGAAGTGGTAGAATCCATTGCAGTCATGCTTCTTATATTGATATTTCTTGCGGCATGTGCATTGGTAGTAGACTATGCGTTTTAGAAGACGAAAAATGATTCTCGAAGACACGACGAGAGACATCCTAGTACTTAGATTGACGTACAAAGCAGGGAAAGCTACCACGGAGGGAGTTGTGGGCCAAGCTGGAGTTTTCGACGAGCACCATCGCAGCCCTAGGCAGCCCTCAAGAATGGAGAAAATTCGAAGAAGAAGTCCGGAATATGGAGGAATCAAACGCCTATTGAATCATATTGACTCATAGATGGCATCTCGGCCCCGTAGATAAATACATCTACTCTCACCCCCACAGTGGCCTGAATTATAAAGTTAAATGACGGTCGTAATTTGGCAGGGAATTTTTAGCTTCGTGATATTGCTCCATAGCATTGCCATTGATGGATCAAGACACCCTTTCTCCGCTAATCTTATTGTAGCAGAAGTCTTTGAATATGTCCTCGAGACCTTGGTCAATATGAAGACTATCTGAGGCATCCCTAGTCTTTCAAAAACCGTTAGCAAGTCCAATTCTACAGTTTGCATCAATATTCCCGTGAATAATGAGAGTCACCCCCTTCCCGCCTCAGGCTCGTTCAAATTACCTTCGCAAACGAGTTACCAAATACATTTCGGGAGACCGTCTTGATTTCCACATCAACAGATTGGAGGACGAGTAAGTGAAAGTTCCGCCGCTCCTTGTTGCTGTCAATTTCTCTAAGCTTATTAACGTGCTCGCAATAGTCATGTAAGTAATAGACTCATTGCGAGTCGTAGAAAGAGAATTGAGTGTTTATAACTGCGATGATACATATTTTTAACACGAGTGTTTTTTGAGTCCTGCCTGGGAGGAAACGGGCTTTACAAAGATTCTAATTAGCCGATTCGATTAGCCAGGCTTGGGCCTATCTACAATCTGCATTGAGGCACTACTGGTGGGGGACAAGCCGGCTACGTATCGAATGTCTCGATGCGCAAATGCGCGCTGAGTTATGCACGACATCCGAGGCCAATGAGCAACAATGTGTGTTTTCCTTCAGGGTTCCTTTTGGCCACGGCACCCCACATGGGATTGCGAGTATATATAGCCCAATGCTGTCTTTTCGTTGGTTTTTGAGAGAGAAGGAATGTTGAAAGCAAAGGGCGCAAGACGACACTCAAGTCTGGATAGCCGGCACAACTGTAGGGGTTGCAGTCCGGGATCGGAAGTCGGAATTTTGGTGAGTGGCAGTTGGCAGTGGCAGTGGCAGTGGCAGTGTCAGTGGCCCGAGGCTCCCAGGCTCTCAGGTGCTCAGGTGCTCAGGTGCTCAGGTGCAGTAAAGGTCTCACTGCAGTTCAAATCCCACCCCGCGCGCACTTCTCTTCCTCCCGCACATCTCATCATCGCTCACACATGCACCCATCAAGAATAGTGCAACTCTGACCCCATTGGCTGCCGTCTTGTGTTGACAAGCACTCTGAACACAGACTCGCGCCACTCTGCCAACAATTCCATTGAGCCTATTCGGCTGCAAGAAAAAGGTACGGTGGCTGCGCTGCACTGCACCCCAAACAATCCCTCCCACCGACGCCGATGGTGGGCGGGGACGGGTCAGCTTCCCCAGAACTCTGGTCTCAGGGACCTGCTGCTGGCCAGAGAGGCATAGAAATTGTAAGCTGACATGCGAAAAGGCACTGCGCTGGATACTCACGGTCTTGTGTAACGCCGGGCAAGATGCCGGCCATGATGGATGACCCAGCATCTCCCACCATCTACCGCGTCGGTGGGGAGCCTCCATATCCGGACCCAAGTAACCCGTCGTTGCCGGCTAGTATCGTGCCTCGTCAAGTGACCCTTCGAGACAGGCAAACAGTAGCCACTATTGTCCCCTTTGTGTCTCGCCAACAAGTGCCCGTCTCGCTTCTCAGGTACCTGAGCGACCAGTTCGCCAAGGAGGTCAACAATGGAGACACATATCCCATGATCGACCCTATGCCATTTGAGAAGTTTGCATCCTACTGGTTCCAGAACTTTGGCGCTATCATGCTGCTGGGCAAGATCGAAAAGCCCGAGGATGTGGTTGACGACAAGGACTGGTCCAAGGAGTGCCTCGGCAGCTTCTACATCAAGCCCAACTACCCAGGGCGGAGCTCTCATGTCTGCAATGCTGGCTTCCTTGTGACGGATGCTGCGAGGAACCGTGGTGTTGGCCGGCTGATGGGCGAGGCTTACCTCGACTATGCACCAAAGCTGGGCTACACGTATTCAGTCTTCAACCTCGTCTACGAGACCAACGTGGCTTCCTGCAAGATCTGGGACGCACTCGGCTTCAAGCGCATCGGCAGGGTCAAGGGCTGCGGCAACCTAAAGAGCTATCCGGGGCGGCTCATCGACGCCATCATCTACGGACGAGACCTCTCGGTCGACGAAAACAGCGAGGAACTTGTGAGTGAAGAACGCTTCGACAAGATCAAGTTCTATCTCAAATACGGTAAATACCCAAACGGCGCTGACCGGGCCGAAAAAAGCAGACTTCGGAGCGCCGCGACACATTACAAGCTGCTTGATGACGACAAACTCATGCTCAAGGACAAAGAGGTCATCTCAGACCCCCAGAAGCAGTACGACATTGCCCGTCAGGTCCACTCGCAGCACCACGGCGGCATCAACAAGACCACCGCCACCATTGCTGAGAAGTATCACTGGTCTCGGATAAAAGAGACCGTCTCCGATGTAATTAGGGCGTGTGCCGAATGCAAGGACTCGTCAAAGCCAAATACAAGCTTGGTCTACGGCAATTCTGTCCATCAGAAGAAGCCGCCAACACCAACCCAGAAGCAAAGTGATGCCACTACTCCTCCGGCTGCTCCTGCGCCGGTTGCTACCGTCTCGTCTGCGCCTGTGATCCCCGCCATCGCAAATATTGTCTCGACGCCTGTGGCAGACAGGCCAGATAGAGCCGACACAGGCCACGCCCACGCCCACGCCCACCTGCCTAGCTTCTCCCCGGCCCCTTACCCGGTTCACCATGATGACATGTCCGTGAGTTATCCGGCACAGACTCTGCATACGCCCACAGACTCACCCGTACCGCAACACACTCCTCTCCCGCACAGTCAGCATCATCACCACAATGTGATGATGCGGCATCCGCATATCACAACGCTCCAGCAACATCACAGTCTGCCCCGGCACTCACCTGTCTCCTCCCATTCCGAGGGGCAGTCGCTGCCACTCCCCGTCGTGCACTCCCCGGCCTATCAACCCATAGATCCACAGATCATCAACCAGCCACCTCCAAGCCATCCATCCCCGTCCTCATATGCGCACCACCACCCCATACACGTCCATCACCATCACCATCACGACCCGTATCACCCGTACCACACAGACGTAGAAGCGAACAGCTTCCAAGACCTGCTTGCCGTTGGCCACCACAGCCACGTCGAGGGTGCTGAAGATGATGCGGTGGACCGTGACCTTGACATGATACTCATGGAGCAGGCAGATGATGACGGCGTGGATGGGGCAGGTGCCAGGATGGAGGTCGACGACCTCGATGTGGATGTCGGTGTCGGGGTTGGTGTCGAGTTGGCAGGCACCGGTGGGGAACATGATGATCTATCGAAGATGAGCGTCGGCCATGTTCTTGCGACCCCTGAGCCGGATGACCAAGTCGGAGTGGATGTAGATGGGGGCGATCCTGCGTCAGGGAATAAGGACAAAGAGGACGCTGGTGTCTTCGGCATTGGCTATCCAGCTGCTGGATAGTACCTAGGCCACAGGGTTGCGCAGGCGAGAATGCTCACTTGGCCCTGACTTCGAACTGACAGGCATCAGAAGACGATTCAGTCTGGCAAGTAATTGTCAGAGCGAGGCCATGATAGCCTCGCTGCTTCCCACCGCCGACTGCCACCCAATATGGCAGCAAAGATGAGAGGCATTCAGAAACATGGAAATAGAGATACCCAATAGAATACTCAAAAAAGCGAAAGTGAACTGAGTCAGATAACCACAACTTCTAGGGGATATGTGACGACACCAGATTCTTTTGCCTTACACTTAATCGACTCTTGTGTTGACCCCCCTCCCCTTCCCCCACTGAATTCTCAGGGTCTGGCCTTCAGCTCACAGGCATGTATAACCCCTGAAAGGGGCAGCAACACTTAAAGGGTGGCCCGAGCGCCCGCGGCCTGTCAGAACAGCTTGGCCAACGTCGCGCTGTGCCCCTCGACGCTCGACGCCCGAGCCCAAGTAAACCCATCTTCAACTCTCCGGGGCCGAGGCGACAACTGCCAAAGCCAACCTGCACAACCTCCCTGAGCTTCTCGAATCGCATGCAGTGGCACAGCACCGTGGCGGACTAGCTGTCCACCTTACTCGACTCCTGTTCGCCCTATAGCCCCGTCCGGTTCCTCGAAACGCTACTCCCGACCTCCCACAATCACACCGATTTAGCAGTGCTGTGCGGCCAGCGCACAAGCTCCTTACACGATGGCGGTGAACCGGATAAAGGGCGCGTTCGCGGTCCCTCGTAAGGGCGAGACCTTCGAGCTGCGTGCCGGGCTCGTCTCGCAGTATGCGTACGAGAGGAAGGAGGCCATCCAGAAGACCATCATGGCCATGACCTTGGGCAAGGATGTCTCTGCCCTGTTTCCCGATGTCCTCAAGAACATTGCCACGGGCGACCTGGACCAGAAGAAGCTTGTCTATCTATATCTGATGTGAGCCTTGAGACCTATTCCCGGGAGCTGTACCCCGTCGTTACAATGCAAATGTGCCTGGATTCTAATGCATCCGCCCTCGGAAAGGAACTACGCGAAATCACATCCGGACCTTTGCATTCTCGCTGTCAACACATTCGTACAAGACTCAGAAGACCCGAACCCACTTATAAGAGCCCTGGCCATACGAACAATGGGCTGCATTAGGGTGGACAAGATGGTGGACTACATGGAGGAGCCCCTGCGGAAAACCCTCCGAGACGAAAGTCCGTACGTGCGCAAGACGGCGGCCATCTGTGTCGCCAAGCTGTTCGACCTCAATCCGAGCATGTGCATCGAGAACGGCTTCCTCGAGATCCTGCAGGAATTGATTGGCGATCCGAACCCCATGGTGGTCGCAAACTCGGTCCAGGCGTTGTCTGAGATCAACGAGACCGCGCCCGAGACAAAGGCACTCGTCGTGACGCCGACAACCCTGAAGAAGCTGCTGATGGCCATTGCCGAGTGTACGGAGTGGGGACGAGTTACTATCCTGTCGACGCTGGCGGACTATCCACCCGCAGACGTTAAGGAGTCGGAGCACATTTGTGAAAGAGTGGCGCCGCAATTCCAGCATGTTAACCCCAGCGTGGTGTTAGCGGCTGTCAAGGTGGTGTTCATTCACATGAGAATCATCAGTCCGGAGCTGGTGCGGCAGTATCTTAAGAAGATGGCTCCTCCTCTAGGTATGCTCGTCCTAAACTTGGGGTGGACAGGTGTGTGAATGTTCTAACAATTTGTCTTTAGTGACCCTCGTTGCATCCGCTCCCGAAGTCCAATACGTCGCTTTGAGAAATATCGACCTCCTCCTGCAAGCCAAGCCCGACATTCTCAGCAAAGAGCTCAGGGTGTTCTTCTGCAAGTACAACGACCCTCCGTACGTCAAAATGCAGAAGCTTGAGATCATGGTACGGATATCGAACGACAAGAACTTCGACCACCTGCTTGCCGAGCTGAAGGAGTACGCCCTCGAAGTCGACATGGACTTTGTGCGCCGCGCGATCAAGGCCATTGGGCAGGTGGCCATCAAGATCGAGAGTGCAGCTGAAAAGTGCGTCAATGCTCTCCTGGACTTGATAGCAACCAAAGTCAACTACGTTGTGCAGGAGGTCATAGTGGTGATTAAGGATATTTTGCGGAAATACCCGGGCTATGAAGGAGTAATTCCTACTCTGTGCAACCATATTGATGAGCTGGACGAGCCGAACGCACGAGGATCGTTGATCTGGATCGTGGGAGAGTACGCGGAAAAGATCAACAATGCAGATGAGATATTGGCTGGGTTCACGGACGAGTTCATGGAAGAATTCACACAGGTAAGCAACGGAACCGGGATCCAGGCTCAGCAAAGATACTCACACAATTTCTACAGACACAACTGCAGATTCTCACAGCAGTGGTGAAACTGTTCCTCAAGAAACCAAGCAACAACCAAGGGCTTGTGCAAAAGGTGCTGCAACAAGCAACGGCGGATAACGATAACCCAGACATCAGAGACCGAGCCTACGTTTACTGGAGACTGCTGTCAGGGGACCTCGATGTTGCCAAGGTATGTCACAGCTCTTATGCATTTATATCAAGAAGTGCCACATAAGCTGACATTTTTTGTAGAACATTATCCTCTCTCAGAAACCCGCAATCTCCACAACGATCTCAAGTCTACCTACCGCCTTGTTAGAGCAACTCCTCGGCGAGCTGTCTACCCTCGCATCAGTCTACCACAAGCCGCCGGAGTCGTTTGTTGGCAAGGGCCGCTTCGGCGCCGACGAGATCCAACGCGCCGCCATCCAGGAACAGCGCCGCGAGGCCGCAGACAACCCCATCGCCGCCTCAGTCGCAGCAGCAGCCGCCAACGGCGGGGGCGCTTCATCACAAAACAACGTCGAGAACCTTCTGGACATCGACTTCGACGGCGCGGCGCCGGCCTCGCAGGAGCAGGCAAGCGCCGCGGCCACGCCAGACAGGGTCGCGAGCCCGGCGGTCGGCACACCTGGCGGTGGCGCGTCGGGCGGCATGGCGGACATGATGGGGCTGTTTGACGTGAGCTCACCAGCACCAAGCTCGTCGGCCGCGCCGCCGATGGGTGGTGCCATGGGCGACATGATGAACGGCTTCGCGGGCATGGACCTGACTGGGACCAGCGCACCGCCTCCGCCGGGACAGCAGCTGCACCCGCAAGGGACGGGCGGCCAGCCCGCACAGAGTGGCGGTGGGAGCGATGACCTGCTAGGACTGTTTTAAACGGAGAGGAGGGGCATCGGGGATCTTGGGGCTGGGGGGAGTTCTCAGCGGTCATTCGGGCAATGATGGTTGGTTGAAAAAGTGAAACGTATAGATCAGGGGCATGAATCCAGAGGCGTGAGTAATGGAACTGGAGTCACTTCGTTTATGAGGTCGCTTGATTGTGGTACTATTGCCCCCTTTACTCCTCTGTGTCAAGGAGGGAAGGCCGTCTGTGTTTCTCCCAGTGACAATGCTCCCGGCCTTGTAATGCGAGCACTACTCTCACATCTTGTGCGTCTGCTCTATCTCTTCACCAAAGCCTGATCTCCTTTAAAGAGCCAGGGCACCTGGGGTCCAAATCCGTGGATCCCTAACCCATCCCTGTCATAAGCACACATTGAAGAGTCTCAAACCTGAGCAATTATAGCATCTCTTCTGCTATTCGGCTTACAATTTACAGCATCTTTATTCTAGCATATATTGTAAATGTCGAGGTAGAGGGTGGCAGCATCATGGCGCGTCTTGGTCAGGATGAAGGGTAAAGGACTTGATGGCGCTCGGCTGCTGTTACTTTGTCCCGTGTAGCCGGCGATGCCTGGACAATGTGATTGCGCCTATGTTTCGATGTAGAATAAGTCAGGAATTAAGCAGGGATGGTGGCGCACTGGAAACGCCACGGTGCGGTCTATGGTTTGACGCTGGAAGCAATGGCATGTAAAAATGTCAATGCAATTGTTTTATGGGCTATTTTGCATATAGCACAGCTAGTCCTCGCCCTCGCCCTCGCTCTCTGAATCATGCACCATCCCATCCAAGGCCTCGACCTCTGCTCCCAGAAGCGGCGCTCTCTCGCCGACCTTCCTACTCAGGGACGAGCCGACACTTATGGCCAGAACACTCAGGCCGTGGACTACCGTGCTCCCGAGGACGACGAAGCATATGACAGGCCAGATGAGCTCCTTGGCTACGGTCTTGTCGTCGTAGGGCGGCCCAATTGGTGGTCGGGGATGGGGCAGCGGGTGCGAGGTGCCGGTCTCGAGGTGAGCCCTCGCCTCAATAGCCAAGAACAGCGCGCCGACGCCCATCGGCCCGATATGCCCACAGAACAGCGCCTCCTTGTACGTCTTGACGTCCGGGACGAGGCGCCCCGTTTGTAGGGCAAGCACGATAGGGAGCCGCCGGAGCAGCAGGACGAGCGCCAGGAACAGCATCAGACTGCCGACGCCGATGTGGCCGTCCAGCACATCTCCCGGCCGGGGCACGAACGAGGCCCAGGGGATCATCGCGCCGAAGTAGACGAACATGGACGAGTCGAGCACCAGGTCGACAACGCTCTTGAAGGAGGCCTCGCCTTGAACCTCCTCGCTCTTGCTCGAGAACCAGCCGTCGTGCGCGAAGCCGATGCCCGCGCCAAAGGCGACGAGGAAGTCGTCCAGCCCCAGAGTGCTCCCGATGCCGACGCACAGCACGGCCAGCAGGAAGTAGAAGGCGACGAGGCTGGGCCGGCTCGCGTAGCCCTTGCCCTCGGAGAAGCGCAGCAGGGCGTTAGCAACGCGGCCGAGGGCGTAGCCGATGGCGAGGCCCAGGGCGCACTGGTACAGGACGGTGACGAAGAACCAGCCGAGGACGGCGTCGCGGGCGGAGCGGGTCTCGAAGACGTACAGGCCGGCGTACAGGAAGGGGAAGCTGGCGCCGTCGTTGCAGGCGCTCTCGGCCGAGAGCAGGTTGCGGACGCGGCGCGGGACGCGGCTGCTGAAGCGCGAGCCGCCGAGCACGCTGGCGGCGAGCACGGGGTCGGTGGGCGACAGGCAGGCGCCGATGACGGCGGCGGTCGGCAGGCTGGTGCCGAAGACCAGGTAGGCGAGCAGGCTGGACGCGGCCCACGAGTAGGTCATGACGGGCCCCAGGAACCAGAGCACCGAGGCGCGGTGGCCGCCGCGCGAGAACCAGTGCGCCGGGAGCTCTATCCCGACGGCGAAGCACTGGACGCCCAGGATGACGCGGGTGAACTCCTGCGTGAAGACATCGTCTAAGCCCCAGTCACGGTGTGGGGACAGCACGTTGAGGAGGGAGGGCCCCAGGAGGATGCCGAAGAGCACGGCAAGAGGCGGCTCGGACAGGTGAAGGCGGTTCCGGATGAGCAGGGAGAACAGGGAGTAGGCGATCAGGAATATGGACAGGGTGAGGTAGGTGAGGTGAGGAGGAGTAGGTTCGAGTTGAGACCACATTGTTGAAATGTGTGTGTGTAAATGTGATGTTGTAGGGCTGTGGACTATGCGTGTAAGTGGGTATAGATGCGGCTCACCACCATGGTGAGAAGGTTGGCTTGGCTTCTTTTCTGTGAGGAACGAACGACAGGGATTTATTCATCATTCTTCCTGTGTTTCATACTTCATCAGAGTACCTGAGTAGACGTACAGTACGTACCCGACTAGGACGAGACATGACGTGTTGGGAGAATCTGGGGTAGCTGCGTGGCTCGAGGCTAGCCAATGTGCCGGCACAGCGATGATTCATTTCACCTAGACCTACCTAAAACAAGCCTTCCTGACTGGAAGACCAGGTTACCAAACAGGCTACTCTCGCTCCCTCCATTGGGCTGGTCGCTGGAGGTGCTGATGTACGATACGATGTTGATACGGATTTGATGCTTGTCACAAGCACCATTGAGAGGCGAGATTTCGTGACAGGGGGAAAGGGGCAGTCCACGGCTTAGTCATCACTTCGACCTCGAGATGGATTGCCCAACAGGATGCTGTTCATGATGAAGCCTCAATCTCGACCTCAACCTATCTTTTGCCTTGACAACTTCACATGTTGTAATGCAAAATCCGTCTGATCAAACGCATGCACATGCAATAGAACTGCGAACCTGCAATCCGGCCATGAGGCACACCCTCCTCAATAAATAGCTTCATACCCAGGCCTGCCATCATGGTATGTACCTACACCCTCCATCAGCAGGCATGATGCACATTCATCGACTGACACAACAGCCAGGCCAATTTCCCAAACCTGCGGAGGCTGTTCATAGAAGCCAGGAGTGACGACGAGGAGAGGGAGGTCTCGAGGAAAGCAGTCCGTTCATCCTGTGGCGTCCGCCAGCTTTTCCAGTTTGCTCTCATGATTGACACTCATCATGACGAACCGCGCTGACTCCCCACCAACCATCCAGTTCTACAACGCAGTGCTGTTCATGGGCTCCGTCGCCGTCTTCAGCCTGATAGCGCAGCGGATGAACGCGGGCAGATGAAGTGAAATGAGACAGAGAGGGGATTTTAGGGCTTGACGGTGTCAGAGTCACCTTGCACATACACAAACGCACACATGGTTCAAGACGTTGAGCTGCGCTGTGCCAGTCATTTCATTACAACATGGCCGTTGTAGTTGTACAAGCTTCAATCAAGAGAGAGATTGAAGCGGTGGCTGGCTAGTAGGTAAAAACAGAGAGGAAATCATCCCCCATCGGAAAACGTTAAGAGTCTTTGTGGACACGCCCCGCCCCCAAAGGCTGGACGACAGCGCCACCAAAAACTCCCTGATCAGCTCCAGTCCGCACGACCGATGCTCGCCCACACAGACAGACAACACAAGACACCTTTCAGTCGTCGTCACTGTCGTCGTCGCCCAAGAAAGCCAGCTCCGGCCTGACCTTCCTACTCCGCGAGCTGACCTTTGGCGCATCGCTGTCTTCCCCCTCCTCCCCGTCACCCTTGTCCTTGACCCCCTTATCAGCGTGCTTCTTATGCTCATCCTGTTCATTATCATCATCATCATCCCCACTATCCTCCCTCAAATTCTTCTTGGGCGCCGCAGACCTCCGGCCCCGCCGCCCTTCGACGCCCCAGAGGTCGTTCATCTGGTTGACCGCCTCCAGCTCGGCCGCCAGCTCGCGCTTCTCCTTGATCTCTCTTGCCCTGGCCTCGGAGAACCGTCCGTCCATGCCCACGTCTCGCAGCATTCCGCGCAGGTGCCGAATCTTGGCTTTGGCGTCGCTTCCGCAACCCTTCAGCTCGAACCCCCAGATCTTACGCACGCCACATTTGACCAGCTGCCCCTGCAGCTTCTTGATCTCGGCCTCGTCCGGGCTACCCTTCTCCGCCGCGGCACCCTTGGACAACGCAGTTGCCTTCTTGGCCGCTGGCTCCTTGGACTTGCGCTTCTTCTTTGCCGGCGGGTCGTCGTCGATCACCGAGGATAGCTCGCTGCTGTTGCCATCGTCATCCTCCACGGCCGCCTTGGTCTTCTTGGCGGGTGCTTCCTTCGACTTGCGCTTCTTCTTGGGAGGCGGAGGCTCGTCGTCAATCACCGAGGACAAGGGGCTACTATCGCCCTCGTCCTTGACGGCCACGGATGGCTTGGTTTCTTCCTCTTCGCTCTTGGGGGGCTCGGACAGGGGCGAGTCTTCCTTCTCGTCTGCCTCCTCTTTCACGGCCGTGGTCGAGACCTCTATTCCGTCGGCCACGATGGAGGATTTCTCATCTTCTTCGTCTGGCTCGGCAGCCTTTCGCTTGCGACCGCGCTGTGGTGCCTTGGCCTTCTTTTGTTGCCTCTTCTTGGGTTTGGCCTTCTCTTCCTCATATTTTTCGGATGCATCATCATCATTGTCTTCCTCTTCTTCTTCCTCGTCATCTTCTGGCGGTTCACTCAGCTCGGACTCTGATTCCGACTTGGCCTTTGGCGCGGCCTTCTTCTGTCTCTTCTTCGGGGCGGGCTTGGTCGCTTTGGGCTGTGCGCGCTTGGTGCCATTCTTCTGCGCCTTCTTTCCCTTGGGCTTCGGCGACGGCTCCTTATCCTCTACAGAAGGAGCCACCTGCGAAGACGCGGGCTCCCCGCTCTCCTCTTTTGCGACAAGCTCGTTCTGTGGGCACCGGGTTAGCTCCGGCGCAAAGCACACGCTTCAGGTTGGCAAGTAAAGATGGAATGGGTGACACACCACTTGGTTCTTGATGATCTCTTTCGACTTTGTCTTCCACTCGCCCTTGGCAAAGAACCCGTCCTCGAGGTCATGCTTCTTCTCGCATTTGGTCCGCACGGTATTGACGGAGAGGTCTTCACGGCTGGGGCCGGAAAAGAGCTCCTTGACCGTGGCAACTAGGGACGCCTCGAGGTCTTTGTCTTCCATGTTCTGTGTATGTTTTCTGTGATCAAGCCAACCAAAGTTCCTGGTATCCAATGTGCAAGGTAGTATCTGCCCTGCTCAAGGCTCAAGGCTGTCGGCGCGAAAGACGAGCTCCAATTGAGCTGGGACCAACTGAGCGCGCGGGAGCTCAGGGTGGTGAGGGAGTGCAGGGGAGACAAATGTCACAGGACTATGCCGTCATTGATCCAATTGAACATACAATCACCACCAAGAACAAGGGCAGAAAAGAATCAATTGATCATGTCGCGTCCTAGGTGTTGTGGGGTGTTTGGGTGACGCGCCGGGGCAGATCGACAGCCAAAGTGGGGCTTTGTTTCCTCTCCAGCTTGGGGACTGGGGAGCTCGGCATTAAATCAAGGCAATGTGGCCCGTGCTCATCGAAGCAGGGAGTGGGTTGGTGGCCCTACGTGCCTACATGGTGGGCTGGCGGCACGGTCGACTCCGTCCCTGGTTCCGTCAGAATGGGATGCATCCCAGACGGTACGAAGATACCTAGGTACTTAGTAGAACCAGTCCCGTCCACCGTTGCACACATGCTCCTCCGTATCTCCTTGATGCACCACCCACGACCACCCTACAGAGATATCCATAGATGGACGTACATAGAGTCACCAATTAGGTCATTTTCTTTCCAATCTTACACAGGACCAGAGCACATATGTTTAACAAAAAAAAATAGAAATCTGCCTCGGCGTTATCTCGATCCACGGTCGTGCCCATGGGTCCTAGTCCTTTCCAGCGTCTGCCTTCAGCGACACGATCCGATTCAGAACGATATGCTCGGCGGTACTGTCACTGTCAATTGCCTGAAATGTTGCTCGTTAGCCGACAGCCGGTAATGAAATCAACATTGGTGGAAGTTCCTTACAAAGTATCCTACTCGCATAGCCTGGAACCTGATGCTCTCGGGTGTGTCGAGTTCGATGGTCTGTCCCCTGCCAGCTTCTCTGGGCCATGGCCCTGACCGACGGATCTTCTCGAATCCAGCTTCGATCATGGCAGAGTGATATACTGTTTCACCGTGGGGATCTACATCTTGGAGAAAGCCCCCCGGCGCAGCGTTAGGGTCATCAGACTTGAAGAGACGACCGTGGACCCGGACTTCAACCTTTGCTGACCCTTCCGGAACCCATTGGATATATGCCTTGGGTCTGCCGGCAGCACTGTCCAGGACGGCTCGTATCTCACTCACCTGACCCGCGCCGTCTTTGGTAAAGGTCGTCACGGTGATGGGCGAGGGGAACTTCAGGAGCCCAACCGTCCTCCCCGGCGCAAGGCGGAAGAATTTGTCGTCAGCGACCTCCCTGAAATCCGACCTGTCAACGTACACGGTCCGCGTCAGCCGCAGTGCACGGCTCCCCATGCTCGGGTCCCTCGTCGAGAACGGAACCTCGATCTCCGTCGCCGCGAGCCCCTCGACCCCGTCAATGACCAGAGGGACGGGGTCTAGGACGAGCATCAGGCGCGGGACAGACGCCTCCAGGAACCGGCGGACCGACTGCTCGAAGCGTGCCGTCTGCGTGGTAGTCTTGGCCGTCGTCACGCCCAGCTCGTTGATGAAGGCCAGGATTGCCCCCGGGGGGACGCCCCTGCGGCGGAGGGCGACCAGAGTGTAGAGGCGTGGGTCGTCCCGGCCTCGGACGATTTTCTTTTCGACCAGCTCGTTAACCGCGCGTTTGCTCATCACCGTGTTGTCAATATTGAAACGGCCTGACGGTGCATATGTCAGTCACCCGTGAGACCTACAGCTTGTGCCACTTCACAAGGAAGGGGAAAAGAGGGGGGGGGGGGTTGACTTACCGAATTCGCGCTGTATTGGCTCGTAGACGCCCAGTGTGCGATTGAGCCACTCGTAGCTCTCCCTGGAGCGGAAGAACTCCGTCGTGCAGAGGCTGTGTGTGATCCCCTCGAAGCTGTCACACAGGCAGTGCGCAAAGTCATACGTCGGGTAGATCTTCCACCTGTCCTTTGTGCGGTGGTGATGTGCTTTGCAGGGAATCCTGTATGCAACAAGGTCCCACATCTGCGGGTTCGGATTCTCGATGTCCTGCTTCATGCGCAGAAATGCTTCCTGGTGCTTGTACACGCCATCTCTCATGTCGCGGAACTTTCGTAAGTTGTTGGCAGCATCTTGCTCGGCGTGCTCACAGCGATACCGAGGCCCTTCCTTGCCGTCTTTCCCTCCCCTCTGCTTCTTGGTCTCCGCCGGGTCGCAGTGGCAGACGTAAGCTTTGCCAAGCTGGATCAAGTTCTCTGCCATTTCGTATAGCCTCTGGAAATGGTCGCTGGTGTAGGTCACGGCTGATGGCTCAAAGCCTGCATAATTAAATTAGCACTTCAGTGTATTCTTCATCAGCATCGATGATGGCTCGAAAGGGGTGTCAGGCAAACCTAGCCATTTAATGATCTGCTCTATGGCAACGAAGTACTTCTCTTCCTCCTTTCCGGGATTCGTGTCATCAAATCTAGGCTCAATCAACACAAATCACTACACAACAGGTCGACTTTTTCCCACCTGAGAATCTGCCCAGACATCAAATGTCAGTCAATGGTATAAGGGAGCACCAGCACGGGAGGGATACAAACAGCCCTGCCATTATGAAAGCGGGCAAAGCCGAAGTTGACAGCAATCGCTTTCACGTGGCCAAGATGTAGGTAGCCATTGGGCTCCGGAGGGAACCTCGTGACCACCTCCCGACTCGCCCGCTCCTTGTACACATCCGCCAGCCAGCCCTGCCTGAACATCGCGTCTAGATCAAGAAGACCCGGCTCCTGAGCTGGCGCTGGACTGGGCTCGTGGTTTTGGTCTGCAGCGGTCTCTCTCGTGCGGGCTGCCGCCACTGCCTTTTTGGCCCGCTTCTGGGCTCTTTTCTTGAATTCGTTCTTCGAAATCATCTCCCCCGTCTCTTCGTCGAGCTGGAGCTTAGACGTGGCTTCCGTGGCTTGGTCGGCCATTGCGTCCAGTCTGGCTGTGATGCGTAATCTACAGATGCGTTGGGATTGGCTGGGCCAGCAAGCTTCAGTGTTGCTGGCTAGCAAAACACCGGCTGAGTAACTTGATATGTTTATATCTGTATGTAGTTACAGTATGTAGCGCCGGTGAGTCACCACGGTCAACCTGTTGGGTTGGAGGAGGGCTGCAGTCAGATGACATTAATCCTTGTATCTCATTTGACATCAGCCCTCGGGTTTGAGGGAACACTCCGCGACTTGCTTGGCGATTAGCGACTCTGCGACTGACTGCCTAATATAAGTCTCTTGATATCTTTCTTCTTGATAAATCATTTCTTAAGTGTCTTAATCCCCATGTAATGATTAGACCGAATGAACGGATTTGTATTCAGATGGTATTCCAGGTGATAAGAACATGTAACAATGATTTATAACACTAGAGCGCAGTTAGTCGCATACCCTGCGCTTGTGCATGCATGTTGGCTGCGTGCGCCCAATCTTAGGACGCAACCAACGGTTGTATTGTAGTGGATCGACATTAATGGATGGAAACGAAGGATTTCACCGCAACGCCCATGGGAAGTACCAGTACAGGTGGTGTTGTTTTGTTCCCAGCCGCCTTTGGGGCTGTGCGCGTCTTCGGAAGATGTTCGGTAGTAGGTACATTTCTGCAGCTCTGCGGCTCAGCACTGGTCGGCGGTCGCTACGACGATGATAGTTTCGTTGGTTGTTGGTTCTGGATCCGCTACCTGCCCGTATCGGCAAATATTGGTGAGCAAGTAAACTTGTACTCCCAGCTGAGATCGCACCGGAAGTGGATACTTGCACTGCACGATGTCCAGGAAAGGCTCCTGTACTATCAAAGTACATGCGCCCACGTACAAAAATAGAGCCAAGTTCTCTGTATGTGACTACACTCTTTAGGGAGACGTTTAACACAGGTGGACATGACATCTGACACTTGCACTCTGGAGTTGTGCGAGTGGTACCTACTGCCTAGTCAGGCGTTAAATCGGCGTGGTAATACAGGTGGGCCTTGGCCCGCCTGCCTAGGTGCCTGGGTGGAGGATGTGCGATTTTCAGATACGCCCTCTGTTCAAACCCCTATTGCTTGTCACCACAAGCCTGTGCGTTTGTTATCTGATTCTATCCATGTCCGGGTGGGTCAGCGCCGCCCTAGCATATGTGACAGTGTACCCCACGGTAAAGACCACCCACCTACATTTTCAACCTTAATGTTTTTGCACAAACTCATTAGCAAGCGGAAGCCGCACCAACTTTAGAAAACATCACATCATCGCCATGTCGGGCCAAGTCACCTCTTCGGACCTCAGTCCTGTCATCATAACAGGTGGTTGTGGGTTCGTTGGCTCTCATTTGGCTGAAGGCCTCCTCGCAGAGAATCCCAATTGCCAAATCCACATCATTGATTTAAACTCTGCGAGGAACCAAGTTCAGGGTGCTCATTACCACACTTGCGATATCACATCTTCTGTGGACGTAGAGTCCTTCTTTGTTGAGATCAAGCCCCAGACTGTCTTCCACGTCGCATCTCCAGACCCGTTGGTTCTGAACCCAGCTCGATTCCGCAGCGTAAATGTCGACGGTACAAGAAATCTGTTAGATGCGGCTAAAAAGACAAAATCTGTAAAGGCCTTTGTCTATACCTCATCGTCCTCGGTCATCCACGACAATATCAGCGAATTGATCGACGCCGACGAATTGTTACCAGTCCTTCGATACCCAATTCAGAAACGTGTATATACTTTGACTAAGGTCGAGGCCGAAGACGAAATCTTTGCAGCAAACCGTCAGAATGGAAACTCTTCTATGATGACAGTATCCATTCGTCCCGCTACTGTGTTTGGAGCGCGTGATTTTGGTTTCCTGGGCAAAGTCATTGCTCAAGCCCGAGCTGGAAAAGCGAATTTACAGATTGGGCCCGGAAAGAATTACTACGATGTTACCTATATCTCCAATCTCGTGGATGCTCATCTCCTCGCTGCGCATGCTCTGATCGACGCGTACGGAAAGGCTGCTCCGCCTTCTGAGAAGCGGATTGACGGCCAAGCCTTTATCATCACCAACGATGAGCCAGTCCTTTTTTGGGACTTTCAGCGGGCCGTTGCTGCAGCCATTGGCATGTCTGTTAAGCAGGAAGACATCAAAGTTGTTCCTTACTGGGTTGCTATGCTGGCAGCTACAGTGAGCGAGTGGAGCACTTGGATCTTTTCCTTTGGCAAGAAGCAGGCTCCTATTACCAGGGAAGCCGTCCACCTGAGTACCATTACACGAACCCTCAAGTGTGACAAGGCCAAGCGAATCCTCGGCTACAAGCCGAAGGTGGGTGTATACGAAGGGCTCGAGGAATCTAGCAAGTGGTTCGTTGAGGAAGCGAAGAGGACTGAAATGGCGAAGAAGATAGTCTGAGCACGGCGAGAATTCAGTTTTGATTCATAGCTATGCTCTTGAAATGCCATGAATATACGTTGCATCTTTTAAGTACAATACCGTTAACACTCCAGGGTCCTACGGAGTACTGGGATACGTCTCACCGTTCTCGTGCTCTGATCTCGAGATACTATGGTGTCGTACCGACTGAATTATTTCCTGTCAAGTGCTCGTGGATGATGGGCATGTCCGGCATTTCTCCGGCGAGACATCTTGGCTGTGTGTTGAATGTTTGCAGGACGGATAATATTGAGCTTATCTTCTCCAATCTGCTTATCACACCTATGCCGGTCTCTTAAACCTGCCTTTTTTGTTAATATATGACAGGTCACGGCAGTGTCCCACCCGTTATGACACCATACTTCGTTGTTGAGCATTTACAAGGTTACTACTTTCTCCATCATACCATTAACCTCCGAAGGGCGAAATTATCCACTTGCTGTAGCTTCTTCTTTCTAATCGTGAACTTCACAATGGTCCAGCGAATCTCACGAGGCGCCGGCCTCCAGTCTTTCGTTGAGGCCATTGAACGAGATGGATGTGTTGTGGTGCAAGACTTTACCGACCTCGCATCGATCGAAGCAGCGAACAGAGAAGTCCAGCCGTATCTCGACGCCTCACTCACTGAAGCGGGCAGTACGGTTGGTGCCTTGAACGGAGGGACTGCTACATGCACTAGACTGGTCGGCCGAAGCCAGACAGTCCGAGACAAGTTCTTCTCGGATCCCCTTTACCAGGTGCGCTCGGAAACTTGACTTGCTCTATGGCCATTCAAGTTGTCACTTACAAGCCTTCTTCAACAGAGCCTTGCCGATCACTTCATTGGCCTCGAAACCAAGATTTGGTATGGCGATGAGACCAAGGTTCAACGGTCTGATCCTCTTCTCTCTATCTCTATTACCATGTCCTCGCAACCTGGCTGTAAAGCACAAAAGCTTCACCGCGACGACAAAAACCACCATGCCAAGCATGTCAAGGCGACCAAGTATTCCAAAGGCCGTGACATGCTTCTGGGGCTGTTTGTTCCCGGATGTGACACATTCGAAGCAAATGGCGCAACTCGCATCATTCCCGGATCCCACCTCTGGGGCGATGAGCAGCCAGATTTCGGGCCGGACGGAATGAAAGGAGTCGAGAATGCCGAGCTGAAAGTCGGAGAGGCTTTTGTCATGCTAGGGAGTCTCTATCACGGCGCTGGGCAATATTCCCTGCCGAGTGGATGTCGCACAGTGCACATCATGTTTATGTGCAGTGGCGTTCATCGTCAGGAGGTAAACCCCTTACTACGTGCCTCAGACTAATAATGAAACGTAGAGCATGCTAACAACGCGTCTCAAGGAAATTCCGTTCCTCAGCTATCCAATTGAAGATGTCAAGACGTACTCGAAGCTTGTGCAGGATCGTTTGGGTTGGAAGCAGTCTGAACCTAATCTTGGCTGGGTCGATTTGAAGTCACCAGAATTCTTACTTCAACAGGGACCTCGGGAAACATGAAGACTTAGTAAATAGTCTACGTCCTATCTACGACGATGCCTTGAGCCTGGCTCTATGCGATGAACATATTGTGGTAATGCGAGTGCCTCCTGTTGAGCAAGTCCTACCATGTTCATCCGCGACCAAAGCATCACACCCGAAACAAGTCATGAACATGTCATAAGTCACGCCCCAGGGACAAATTTTAGGAAGTAATGTATGATGAATCTATGGCCCATGCCTAGCTAAGTGAGCCAAGCCAACAACAGCAAGCAGACTGAGCAAGCCTCGTAATATCCTCCACCCTGTGTGGAAAGTACAGACAGGTGGTAATGACGCCTCATTACTCTTAATTAACTCCCCCCTTCCGTCAATCCTTCCATTCCATGATGACAATTCCATCAAAATGCTGCCAAGTTCCAGAACGCCAGCCAGCAACCAGAGACCGATGCAGACAATTGTTCCCCAAATGCAAACAACCCCTCCAAAGTCCTGGGTAAATACAATTGCCATTCGCCTATCGAAGACCGAACGCCTGCCTGCCTGCCTCTAGTGTCGTATTCCTGTAGACTTTGCGCGTTTGTTTCTCTTGTCTTTGGTCGTTCTTATTACTACAACTCTGCAGTTGGCTTCAGTGTGGTGCTTGCGCAAGCCCGTGGTCCAACGGTGATATATCGTCGCTTCCGGTTGGTAGTCGTGGGTGTTGGATGCTCGACCAAATCCGAGCGTGCCTTGTTGTACTTCCTGGTGGACACCATCGAAACAACTTGTCCAAACCCTCACGTTTTACGGTTGCTTCGCGCGAATGACTTGCTGCAGCATGTCGACCGCCGTCCCTTCAGTATTCGCGTTTGCTCGATTCCTCAAGTCAAAGCGAGGTTCATGTTGAAGCCGTCCTAAGAGTTCATGATACCTGCGCCGAGCCCAGCGGAGAGTGAAGGCACAGAGGCGTTCGGGCCAACCAGCCCAGACAAAAGGCCGTAAGATCCAGCCGCGTTGCCGTTGGTGCCACTGTTCGACTTAGATGCCGCGAGCTGTTGAGCCTTCTGCTCACGCTCGGCCTTCTCGCGGTCCAACTGCTGCTTCTCGGCCTTGGTGATTCGAGGCTTGCGGGTTGTCGTGCCGCCGCGGGATCCGGGTCCTCCACCACGTCCTCTACCACCCTCACCTCGTCCTCTTCCGCCGCGGGAACCAGGGCCGCCACCACGTCCGCGACCTCGCTTAGCAGGCCCCTCACTGCGCAAGAAAAAATAAGTCAGTAAGCCCGAAGAGTAAGAGCCCAAGGGACAATAGCACTATGACATACCGCTCAGGAGCCTTCGGAAGCTCTTGCACCAATGGACCGCTGTACACAAAGAATCCGTCCTGGACAGCCGCAGCCTGTTCCTCCCACAAGAGTTCCGAATCATCAACAAAGTCATCGCCGCGGTCGTATTCGTCCTCGCGCCAGTTTCGCTTCTTGCGTTTCGGCTTCTCAGGCGCAGCAGCGTCAGCACCACTCGTCAGGCCGCCGTTATTACCCATTCCGCCCATCTCAATATTGCTGTTCTCGTCCTCGCTCGCATTGAATTCGGGGTCCTCTTCCTCCGCAGAGTCGCGGCCAGATTGCTGTCTTTCCAAAGCGGCAGAGGCGGCGGCAATGCGAGCCTTGCGGTCACGATTGGCTGCCTCACGTGGGTGCAGAGCGTCCCAGCCGTACTTGCTCTCGGCGAGGCGCATGAAGTTGACATACTTGTTGCCCTCGCCATTAAGCGGAATGTGCAAGATGATCGAAGGGGCCTCCTTTTCTTCGCCGGGAGCAACCTTTCCAAAGTCGAGGATAGACCGATCGTTCGAAGTACCGGGCAGTGGAGCAAGGTCTGGTAGCGCGTTCTTCAGGCTACCCATCTTGGGAGAAGAAGACGAAGAAGAGACAGGCTTCTTCTCTTTCCGAGTCTGAGCGACGACAGTCGCAACTTTCTTGGATGGAGCGGGCATGGTAGCAGAGGCTGACACCCCAGCGCTGGCCGGCGCGGTGGGCTTATATGGCTCGGCCTTGGGCGGTTCCTTTGGCGGTTGGGGCATCATTGGAGGTGGTCCAGGCTTTTTTATCTCAACCGTGGACGACTTGGGAGCAGGACCGGACATAGGCGGAGGGTCCTTGCGCACTTGGTTCGATGGCGAAGGCGGCAGAGACGAGGGGTCCTGGAAGCGGCCCTGCGTAGTGCTGTGGAAGGAGGAATGTGCTTGTGTAGGTGAGACGACCTTAGAATTAGATGGTGGCGGGGCATCGATCAAGCTTGAAATAGATGGAGATGCGCTGGCGCGGTTTGTCATTTGGGCAGGACCGCGAGGTGAGGCCAAGGAAGAAGTTCCGTAGGGGTCGCGGGTGACCATTGTCTCTCTGACAGGGTCATAGCTAGAAGACCGCACAGGATCAAAGGCCATGCGCACTGGGGCAGGCGGGGCGGGAAGGGGTGGGGGAGAGTCGCGGTTCAACAAGGACGACATGAAAGAGGGACCACCCTCGCGCTTTGGGATCTTTGCCGGGTTGGACTGCTGGTTGGGGGTGTTGTTGCTGCTGCTGCTGGGCGTGGCTGCAGCTGCTGGACGTGAATCCAGATCCATGCGCATCGGACTGGCCTCAGTTGCCTGCTGGTGCGGATTCGGCACCGAGCTGGCTGAGGCGGCAGAGGGCTGGCCAGCATCGGCAATCTCCTGCGTGGCAGCAATCTTGCGCTTTCGCTGGATGGGAGGGGCATTGGGATCTCTAGGCTTCCGAGGCTTTCGGACCTTTGCAGCTTCAGCGACTGGCGTGCCATCAGGGTTGACCTTTGGCTTGACGGTGCTGCCGGGCTTTCGACCGGGCTTCTTCCTTGGCAGACCGGCGGCGGTCAGTGGCACATCGGGCGGAGGGGGCGCAGGGGGTGCCACCACTCCAAACCGGGGCCCTGAAGCTGTGTCGACAACAATCTCGTCCATTTCGATGTTGGCCCTGCCCACGTTGAGGCGGGAGGGTGAGGAGGGGTTGCTGATGGAGCTGGCTGGGGGTGACGAGAGAGAGGTGGGTGAGGAGCTCATCGCACCGCGGCCTTGCAATGCCATAAGTGCCGTCCAAGTCTTAGGCAGCTGCCTTCAACTGGGGGACAGTCGCCGAAAGCCTCTCTGTGGTGAGTGGCAGTAAGAGAGTTGTGTCGATACCTTCAACAGGGAATATTGTAGATGGTGGGTTTTGTGGTCCACGGAAAAGGAAGGTCGGCGAGTGTTCTCAAAAACTAAGTACAGGGAAAGACAGACAGACACAAGTGCAGGGATGCTGTATGATGTATGCTGTATTCTGCCTGCTGTCTGCTGTCTGACAAGAGTAAAAGATAAAACCTTTGGTCGCAGGTCAATTCAATGGGCGGCAATCAATGTTTCTTTTGGGACAAGTTGACCACAATAGGAAACAAGGATCGTTGTGAGTACAGTCGCTAACAGCAATGGCGATATTCCAGGGTGCGGATGGCGGGGGTGAATTGTTAGGCGGTGACCGGGTGCAACGGGATTAGGCTGAGGAGAAGGTGTGTCGCGCGGTTGTCGGCTAGGCTTGGCTAGCGGGCGGTGGAGAAGGGGCAGTCTGAATAACCTCACAAAACACAGCCGCAGGATTATCGACACGTTTTGGGGCGGGTGCACGACTCTTGCAGCGGCGAAAAAAGTGGCAGACCGGGGTCAAGGGTGCAAATGGAGGGCGGAAAAGAAATGAGGGAATTGAGAGGATTCAAATGATGGTATTTTTGAAGAGTCAATCGGATGGCGCAGGGTCGTTTTGGATGGATTTGCGAGTTCAACACCAAAGGGCGGTGGTGAGGTGTTGTGTGTAGAAAGTGGGAGAGGATGAGGAAACTGGGAATGCGGGCGGCAGGAGGGTGTTGGTACGAGATTGGAGATGGTTACGTTTTGGTCGGGAACATCAAATTGGATTTTTGGGAGGGATCAAAAGGGCAGGGGAAAATCGGGGCCCTGGCCACCATCAGACAGAGTCGGGATAGAGGCAACGAACGAGAAAATGTTATTAAACGCGAGTTAAAGCCAAACCACACCAAGGCAGGGCAGGGCAGGGCAAGGCAAGGCGAGGGAAAGGAAAGGGAAGGCAAGGCAAGGCAAAGCAAGCCGGACCGGACCAGACCAGACCAAACCACCAGGGCAAACGAGACTAGAGAGGATGATGGGACAGAGACGGGGGGCCAGAGTAAGAGAGAGAGAGAGCGTGAGACTCCAGACCCCATGAGGGCGGGGGGTGGGAACAGTACAGAACAGGAACGAGAGAATGAGTGGGAATGGGGACGTCCAGCTGTTCGGAAGGACGGCCCAAGGGTAAGGGGGACGAGGATGAGGGCAACAGGAAGGCGAAGGCAAAACCACCAAGGCGAACGAACAAGAGAGGATGGATGGTCGGTCGGGATAGGGACTGATGGGTTGGGATGGGGTGGGATGGGATGGGATGGATCATCAGGGCTCTCTCTCACTTGTCTCTCTCTCTCTCTCTCTCTCTCACCTGTCCATCACAGTCACACCCAGAACCAACCCGAGGAAGGGCTGGCTGGGCGGGCATGAACGAACTAGCTGGACGGTGACGGTGGGATCAGGAAGAATGAATAAAACACCAGGCCCAGGACCGAGATGCGACAAGCGACAGCATCTCTGGGGAGTCTGATGAGGGAGATTGCAGATGCAGGACGCAAGACGCATACTGTTACCGCACGCAGAGATGCAGATGGCCGGCAGCGAGCTTGGACCACCACCACCATCATCACCACCAAGATGGCCATCATCACTAGCTCATCACCATCCATTCACCGTTTAGATAGAGACCTATTCGTCTGATGTGTGTGTGCGAACGCTTAGGCGGCGAGGAGGTTGCATTGCCAGCCGGCGACTGCCTCGAAGCACGGTCCAAGCAGATTCCAGATCCAGCCTCCGACAGGAAAGGGGACACGGGGGCTACCCTAGGTGCCTAAGTCGTGGACTGGGGGGCAGATGGGCTGCGTGGGCAGGAGAGCATGGCACATGATTGAGAAACTTTGACGGGAACGGGAGCGAACTAGGGGAGCTGTGCATTGCTGGCATGGCATTGCATGCTGGCTGTGGCTTGTTTGGAAAGGATGACAGGGGGGAGGGAGGAGTGAGTGACTGAGTGAGTGACTTGACTTTTGGGGGTGGGGTACCTCAAGTGTCCTGATCTGGAAGGGGGGTATCCACGCAAAATAGTGCAGGGCAGGGCCAGACCACACAGAGGAGGGAGGCACGACAGAGGTACAAGTGCCGAGGAGGGAAAGAGTAACAGGGCGGAATCGGGTGGGTTTTTGCTTGCCAGGTGGTAGCGGCTGGATCTGGGAGAAGGCCAGAGAGAAGTCGAGAATCGGAAAAAGAAAATCGAGGCGGCTGTGGCATCCCTGTCGGAGCGGACCCCTGGTCGTGTGCTTGTGTGCTGCGTGCCTGCCCTCGCCTGCCTTGCGGGTGCACCTGCACTTGCATTTGAAGTTGCAGTTGCACTTTGCGCTTGCATTTGGCGGCGGATACGTGGGTACCTAGGTACCTGGATACCTGGGTACACCTGGCCTTGTACCTCCACGGCCGGCCCAGCTGCCCAGCTCACCCCTGTCCGTGCCGTTCCACGCAGGTGGTTGAAGAAGTGGAGCTGTCCTACTGTCCTTGTCTTACTGTGGTACGTGGTACGGAGCACAACACACTGGTCGACGTCAAGCACACGCCAAGTCGCTGCAGGGGGTGGGGAAGGAGAACGGCGAATCCATTTTTTAATTTCTTGGGGGCCTTGCCGTCTCGGCCGGTACGCCCAGCTGGGACCTTGGAGGACTCGCCCGGCATGACCTTTTTTTGATTACATTTTGATACTGCGCACATCGGATCCCAAGCCCCTGACTGCGTGACTGAGTGACTGACTGAGGGATGGATCGCCTGTTAGGAGCCGATAAATAGATACGGGCCTAATCTTAACGGCTTCGGCTTGTCCAAGACTTGCACAGGCCACTTGTTCCCATCGTCACAGTGGAATCCCCCGCTGCAATGGGGTCGTTCGTGTGCGCCGAGCAGCATAATAAATGAATGCATAATAATGCCTTGTGCTTGTCCATGGCCAAGCATACCAAGACCCGTGGGGGCACAGGCACTGACTGTACGTACTGTACTGTACTGTACTGTACAGGCACATCAACATAATAACCAGCATATGGTCTACTGCTTTCAAGGGCCCCCGAGTCCATGGCCGACCGTAAAGCAAGCACCATCCTGTACGTATAGTAGGGGTAGCTGTGAGGGTGACACCGGCGTGGCATGATTCGTAGACACATTTAGTTCCACGCTGTGTGACACGACAGATTCGATTCTGCATCTCATCCTGCACCAACTTATAATTGATTGCATTCGACGGCTTGCATCAGACTGTCTCAATCACCAATGCATGATGCAATCAATTCTGGACAAGATCCCCGGTGCGGAAAATTCTCCGTCAGCTCCGGCATCTGCAGTCTCTTGAACGATTGTCATGTCGCCCAAACAATCGGGGGTGAGATACCAAACTGACCATCTGAAACCGAAACAAGGCAGGTAGGTCATCTTAGAGCAGAGCGGCCCTGGTGCTCGATTGTGACGAAATACCACGAAGATGCGACAGACCGACTTTGGGGTCTGAGCTCTGGTTTAAGATGCAACTGAGCTGGCTTAGTATGGCACCACCAATACGCTCAGACTCTGTATCCTAGGATGCATTGGTGGTGAGATGAGATGTGCCGCCTTAGAGTTCATCAGAGCTTATGTTTGCCCAAGTCCAAATGTGACGGTGGGACAATCTTGACCCGCCTGCCATTTTCTTCTCCAACATCATTCAGTGGTGATGAAGCTTCCTTTGTGCTTCAATTCTGCTCTCTGAATTTTCCTCTGACTCCAGACATCCACAGTATCGTGGTCGGGCGAAGCGATGCACCTTCGAGATACATTGCAGACTAGACGCACGGCAGAGTTGCAGGTTTCAGGCTATACTTATCCTCGGGTCGGATTGAAACGGCCGGACAGAGGCACAGTGGGTTCTGAGCTGCATGGCCGTTGGCAGGTGGCCGGTGGCCTGATGGTCCTCTGCGACGCAGCCGGACAAGGCAATAGTGCAGTTGGAGTTGATGGTACATTCACTGCATTCTCTCTCTCTTCTTTCCACCCAAGAGCTCCAAGTGCAGGGAAAAGGAGTGATCGACGCTAATGCAAGTGGCCTGTCCCGGCTGTCCCACTGACACGTTCAAGAGAAACCTTAAACCACCCAAACAAAGTTAGCCTCATGGAAGTGGCGGTGCCCAAAGTGGCTTGGCTTGACTTGCAGGGGGGGAGTTGGATGGGGGTTGACGAGCTCCAAAAAAAAAGCTGGAGCAAAGATCCGACGAGGCTATCTCTATCTTATCCATCTACGTACATGCATACCTACAAACTGCGTACGGCGGGCTGACGATTCCTTGCTGTGGTACAGGCCATTGCGTTACTTATTTTTTCCGTCCTCCTTCGCATTATCGGTCCTCTTCAATACAAGAGGACCATGGATTTCTCCCTCGACATCAAAGAGAAAGAAATCGGCGCCGTCAAGCCGCCCAGTTTCCCCCAACCTAAGTCCACAACCACCGGCTTTCCCGAGCACAAGAAACGGACAAGAGTGTCGGCTTTCAAGAAGCAACGCCAGGGCGCGGACTACAATGCCCCTGAACCTCAAAATGGCCCAACAACGAGCACACCGCCGTCTCCAAACGCACCGGCGCAAGCTCAACCCACCCGCCCCGGCTCGACGATGGAGAAGGCTGCGATAGATCGGGAGAACAAAGACCTTCTGGCGTCCATGACACCAGAGCAGATAGAAGAGGAGCGGCGAGATCTTTTGAGCCGTCTGGATCCCAGCATAGTCCAGATGTTCCTTAGAAGAGCCAACATCGACGATCCATCGAATGCGCCCTCAATCTTTGACGAGCCTCCAGGCGCAGAGCCCAGCACGGCCGAGCCTCCGAAACCTGAAGCCGCTCCTGCGATCGTGATAGACGACACCAGCGCTCCTGCACACCAAGAGAAGAAACCCAAGAAGACAGTACGGTTCGATGAAGACGCACCGCCACCAGAACCACCCGCCGACCTCTTCGATGCGGCGTCCAAACCCCCACCACCGTCCTCGTCCGCAGCCGCTGACGCCTTCGCCGCCAACACCACGCACTTCCCCCACCCCAAACCTCTACCCGATCTCGACCCGTCCGACCCAGACTTCCTGGAAACCCTTCACTCGAAATACTTCCCCAACCTCCCCGCCGACCCCTCAAAGCTGGCCTGGATGGCCCCGATCCCGACGCCCGGGTCCGTCGCGGATCAGGAGTCGCCGTACTACCCGGGCCAGTCGTCGCTGTCCATCGCCGCCCTGCGCTTCGACTTCAAGGGCCGCCTGCTGCCCCCGTCCAAGAGCAGGAAGATCCCCGTGACCAAGGGCCTCCACCACCACGGCCAGGCGCCCGAGGCCGCCGGGTACACGATCGGCGAGCTGGGGATCCTAGCGCGGAGCGCCGTCCCCGCCCAGCGGTGTGTTGCCTTTCAGACACTTGGCAGGATACTTTTCAGGCTAGGCCAGGGCGAATGGGGCGGTGCTGAGGGTGACGGCGGTCTTGCCAAGGGACTCTGGCGCACGGCGCAGGAGGCCAAGGTCATAGAGAGCCTGCTCGAGGCGGCGGAAGTGCCCGAGGGGCAGGGCCACAGGGGCAGTAGGTCTTATGCTATCGAGGCGCTTTGGTTGTTTGAGAAGGGTGGGTGGAAGGAGAAATTCCAGGGCAGGTGAGCAAGAGTGCCGGGGTTGGTAGATCGCGTATTGGAGTGTGGTAGATGGTAGGTAGATTCGGGCTCTCATTGCAAGAGGCCACAGCGGTTGGCGCCCCAGGCCAGACGGGTTGCTGCAAGTCTGTCGCGGACATTTCTAGGTTTGCCCATATAGCCAGTTTTGGCAATCGAGCGACGGTCAGGTTATGCTTCTGCCACCAAGGCGACGCCGGAAGGGGTCATATTCAACGTCGCTTGGGGGGGGGGGGGGGCTGGGAGTCCTCCAGCCGAATCTCGTCCTGACAAACGGGCATCGGAACCACATGTCACCCAGTACTTAAAAGAATTTGAATCAGCAAAAGCAAGGTTCTGTGGTGTAGCGGTTAGATCATTCTGTTTAAGCTTGGCCCAGGTGAGGAGGTCGTCGCAAGCCTTGCGCAGTCACTCCATTCAACTCCCGCCTGAGTCAACTGGGCAACAACATTTCAACGACAATTTCTGGGGAAAGGGATGATTTGCGTACAATTGTTGGCAATGCAGAACGTGGGTGCCTTGGGCAAGGTGCCTGCCTTTTTTGTTTCCCTCTTTTGTGTTGCTATTGCTCTATGAGTTGAATACCTACTCTGGTGAAATAGAAGGCATCACCTGTAGGCCTTTGTGCATCAACAGCAAGACCAACCCCGCTCCAATTTCATATCAGCAACCATTCTCTACGACTCGTTGTTTCTCTAGAATGTGCATTTCCCCCTCTTGTTCCTATATGCTTCTCAGGACGGGTCAAATTACGATTGCGCCGAAGCAAGCCACCATCCAGCCCTCTCAGTAGTGGTACAGACACAGCACGTCAAGCCACAGGGGACATGTCTTCGTCATGAGCCATCCGAGTCTCAGTGAAAATCTTTATGGATAACAGTAATGTGGAATAGAACGGACATTGTGGACTTGGGATGGTAACTGATGTCAAATAGCTGCTCGCACGCAGTCATAGTAGCCAAGAATCAGAGAAGGTTCACTACTTGAAGCTCTGGCTTCTCTTCAAATTTCACCTGTAAATAAAGGGTGCAACGCTGATGGATATCCCCAGGCCTTTCTGCTTGCACATCTTCATTGCTTCACCCGGTCCAGTGTACTGTACTACCGTTCTAAAACTCTCGTGATGTGAGTGAAACAGGGAGGCTCTCTGGACGACGAGCAGCTTCTGGTATAATCCTGGATGCCGCTCCCAAAGAGACAGAGGGCAAGGATGGTGGCTACCATTTTGCTGAGCAGAAACCTTCCCCGATGCCTCAAAACGTAACCTGAGTAGTCCTCGCACCAAGCCGCCCAGGCCACGCTCTCTCTCACGCTGCTGCGCAAGTCATCCGAGTAAGATTGTCTGCCGCACCGCCATCGGCCAAAGTTGAATACCGCTAGGACCACCCAGTCCCTTTAGGATATCGCCCCGGGAGGTGAGGGCAAGGGGGCGTTGGAGCGGTTACTAAGGGGAATAACAGACTGTCATGTCATTCCAGACCACTACAGCGCAGGCAGCACCAGGCGTATGTGAGGTTTTGGGGGGAGGTGAGGATCACGTTGGCTCTATGCTCATTTCGCACGAGGAGCTCGTGGGGCCAGAGCTTGATGTCAAAATTCTGTGGTGAAGCCATGAAGCTGCCGCGTGAAAGAACAATTCCAGCGAGGAGCGGTTGTTCGACCCCTAATCACTCGCGTCAACCGGCTCTGACAATATGCCCCCAGTGTAAATGCTCCTGAGGGTCACGGTCTCGAACGGGATGGGCAAAGACTGATGGGGCCCGAAGAGAGCGTTTATACATCCTCAAGAGAAAATAGCCTCGCAAGCGAGCGCGATCATTGCACGCACAGCCAGATCACTGATCATGGAAAACAGGACCGATGAGGGAAAAACAGCAGTAGGTATTTTGCTAATTCAAAAAAGGTCGCAACATCAATTCCATGTTGTCTCATCTATACCATGGGCAGCATACACATCAAGAAACGTGAGCCAAATCATCCATTCCACGAAGAAACAAAAAAAGAAAAAAACACAATCATTCTCGTGTCCTTGCCTCCTTCGCCTACCTTCCTCCCATCCCCCGGAATGTCCATCCCGTTTCTCCCGTAAAACAAAATAAAAACCAAAGTCGACTATCCTCAATGCCCGGCAAGTGTCATGACCCAGAGGCATCTCCTCCCGTTCCTTGACGTCCCTCGATTTTCACCACAAGACGGAGCTTCCACTTTTAAGTATTTCACTACGTCCAGAATAAAGACCAAAAACGAGAAACGGAACTGAATAACCATGGGACGGGGAAGATCGACAAGGACCGATCAACTCCAGTGTTTGCCGTCTGAAAAGCCGCTCGTTCAAAAGATAAGGACGCCTCTTTCCACCCCACTCCCCGTGTAGCGAAGCCAAAAAGCCGCCGGTCCAGCCGAAGCATAGCCAGCCACCATTAATGTGTCCTATAACAACAACAGAGCCGAATGGAACGCGCGACGGAAAGATGTGGATTTCAAAGCCTCCCAAATAAAGGCCACACCAGAAGAATTAGATATTGATAGAGGCAGTGCCTGAGTTGTGCCGTCCCGGGGGAGGGGGGCGGAGGTGGAAAATGACTTTGTCGGTGGTGGTATATAGTGGTGGAGGTGGAGGCGGACGGGCTGAAAGACGGTGTTGCATATAGGCGGTGGTATCAAGGAGTATAAAAGTGCACGCCGGCTCCAAAACGCCGACAGACCCTTAGCAGTACACGATGTAGTAGTATGTTGAGATGGCAAAATGATCGATCGTGAGATATGTGTTGTGAGGAAGTGAGCCACTGTGAGTGACCCAACCTCACTCTCTAGGATGCACACAACGCAGGATGGTGTGATGATCCGATATTTACCAACCCTTCTTCCGAGCAAATCGCTTGTTCAGAAGGGCAAGGACCTTTGGTACGTTGAACTGGACATACTCGAGGTCCAGCTCGTCTTGTCCGTCTTTCTGCATCTCCAGGAGATCGTCAAGCTTGAGATCGAGCTCCAAAAGGCCACGGTTTCGCCCTGTATGTGTGTCAGTAATAAAGTCACCAATAGTGGCGAATGACGTTGGATTCCAGAGCTGCTAAACTTGCCTTTGTAGTGCAGAGAAATAACGAATGTCCCCGGCAGAGGGCTTGTGAAGTTGAAGTAGATATTCGCCCTCCTATTATCCGGCACGTTGCTCTTCTGGATGACACCTTCCTTCTCCAATTGTTGATGTGTGAACTTGTAAGGGCCAAGGACCTGCTGCTTCTGTTGCTTCCGTCGCGTACCCTCGCTTTGGCTTCGCACATTGTGCAGATAGCTCTTGTACGTCTCCAGCTGTCCGACCAGATACGTGTTGTGATCACGAATCGTCTTGTAGACCTCGTCCAGCTTAGAAGTTTCCACAAGGACTGCATCCTTCAGAGAACCCAGATGCTGAAGTTCTTGCTCGACCTCATCTCGTAGCAGGCTGAACTGGTCGGACTTATCGATGACTCGCAGTTCCTGCAGTTGACTGAGCAGCTCCATGGCACGAATGCCCTTACGGACCATAACCGCGTCATTCCGAGATGTCGCTGCTGCGTCGGCGATGCGCTCGAGGCGAAGAGGTCTTCGCTGGACCGAATTGTTCGACGGAATTGAACGCATGATCTGGACGAACACATTCTTGGCCTCCATGAAGTAGATCTCCTCTTGAGTAATATCGAGGGCGGCGGTCAAGTCATCCATGGCCGACTCCCATCTGCTGAACAGTGGAAGATTGATGACCCGGTTCTCCTTCCTGGGCACCTGCGGCGGGGAAGGGCCAAGCTCGGACATGATAATGTGCAGATGTGAGTTCTCGTCCTTGCAGAGCTCCCCCCGATGCTTATCAATAAGACCGTGCATGGCATAGATTTCGTTCAATGTGATCGACAGTTCCAGGTCCTTCTTCGAGAGCGCCACGTAGTTGTCCATTTCAAGACTTTCGTAGAAGTCCTGCACATCGCAAAGATCAAGCATGAACTTATTGATTCGTTCCTTGTTCGACTGGATAAACGGCTGGAGCTTGGCCATATACGGCTCCTTCGCATAAGATGGCTTGTTCGCCAGGTTTTGCAGCATTTTTGCGATCAGCGTCAGGGTCCTCCTCGGCCGGTCCGCGGGTGTTCCATCGATCAACATGTACGACTTAGGAGTGACGATGGCGGGGTTGATGAAGCGCAGAAAGAAGAACCCTCCAATCAGTGTACAAATGACCTGGTCATTGGCGTCCGGGTACTTTCGCTTCGTGAGACTGCGAATTTGTTTACAAATCCATCGAATTCCGTACGGCGCTTCGTCCAGGCCGTCGATGATGGTCGTTAGGAAGCCATTCGCGATTTCGGTAAGCATAGTAAGTCGGGGTTCGATAATAGCTTGAACCTGAGCGTTCTCCGCAGCCTGTTCGGCAGTGATGCCCTTTGGCAGAGACGGCGGGAGGCTGCCCGTGTCCTGCTCGATTTGTTCGCACATGCGCTCGTAGACTTTGAGGGGGTTGATCTCGAGATCCAAATCGTGTAGCTCAATGAGGCCATTAATCCTGTGCGCAAGAACCGATCTCAGAAAGCTCTGACCCGGGCCTCTCCTCGTGTACGTCGTCATCATTCTTGATACTGGTGTGTTCGCGCGAAGCAATGACGAGTATTCCGGGGTGTTATCGAATTGGTATGTCAAAACAGACTGGGATCAAGAGTTAGCACAAGCACCCACTTCCATGTCATAGGGAAGCAAACCTGAAACATGGTCAGCAACAAGTGCTCTTCTCGGCTCTCATATTGGTTTCCGTAGATGGTGAACATGACGGTCTGCAGCAGTGAGTCGATTTCGGACATGGAAACAAGCCGGCAGAGGTGCGCGATGTGCCTGGGCTCTGACTGTAGAAGAAACATGAGATTGCCGTATCGCTGCGTCTTGTCGTCGTTAGGGAAGACTCCCTCCTGAATATCTGTTGCGTCTTCCAAGTGGCTGGCGACTTCGTTTTGCTCCTCCAAGGCCATGCGATTCTGGATCAGTAAGGCAATTCGAGAGTCGAGATACCGCACATCCTTTTCAAGCACGAAGTTCTTCTTGGACTGGGATGAGATTTTGGACTTGAGATCCCGGAGTATCTTTTGTGCTGCGAAGAGTCAGTATTGGAGCATTCAATCAGGGCTTCAGCCGGGGAGCGAACCTTTGGCAAGATCATCTTCAATTTCCAAGTCGGTCTCCTGTGCCGACATTGACATGTACAATGCCGACATGGAGTACCGTTTCGACTGGCGGGCTGACCGCGAGCCATCGTATGAAGACATGGTGTTCTGCCGGGAGAGGGCCTGGTAGGAGGATGAAGATGCGGTTGAGGCCCGGGAAGGAGTTTGCAGCATCACAGACATGCTCGCGATGGGGTTCGACGCCGTCTGGATAGGCCGATTTCAGGGGGCCGGGCGGGAAAGCTCCGAGACCTCTGGAATGTGTGTAGCAGGATGCTACAAGATGATGGAAAAGGCGTCTGCACTCGGCTCGCGGCGGAAATTGGACAATGTCTCGCAAGACAATAGGTCGAGTTTGTGTCGTCGAGGGTCGGCGGCTGGGCGGGGGGCGCGCTGCGTAGCCGCCCTGTGGGTGGGTGTTTGTGTTTCCAGCGCTGTTCGTGCGAACGTTGGCGCGCCTGCAATTGAAGACAGGAATCAGAACGGGGCTGAACCGATCGCAGGGTGTGACGGCTTTTGGTCGGGTCGTTGACGGGAAACCGAACTGGCAACCAAAAAAAAGTCGGCTCGAGGATGTTAGGTCCAAGGTTTGGCGGTCGAGGGAAGGGGCAACGGCAGTGAAAGCGGAACAAGATGCGTACTGTGGTTTGGGCGGTGGTTCTTGGGGGCTCAAAGGCGCATGCGTTCAATGATCAGCGCGCGCGATTGATTGTCGACCAGCGAGCGCCCTAACAAAGAGGAAAAGCGGGACGTTATCAGAACAGGAACAGGGCGTTGCCGATCTGGATACCACAGCGAGCAGGTTGGACGAATATCGTTTGTCGGCGTTTGGTTGCTCGATTAGGCGCAGTGGGGACGAAGGGTCAGGATTGGGTTTGCTGGTGATTAAGAGTGAACAGGCGTGGTGGCTTCGTGTGGCCTTGCCTTGGCCTGGTTTAATTCGCTTCGCTTCGCTTCGAGCGAGGTAGAGGAAGAGAGGGGAGGAGGCGGGTCAATTGCTTGCGCGATGGAAGTAGTAAATAGGTGGTGCATGTGGATGGAGGTTGGGAGGCAGGCCGCAGAGGATGGGCGAGGAAGGGCTGAAGAGTGATGTACAGAGTACGGGTGTGGGATGGGGGGATGGGGAGGGGGTCCGTCGATGATGGCGATGGAGAGAGGCTTATTGACGGTATTGACGGGAGGAGGGAAGAATTGGGAGGAGCAGCCAGGCACCAGACGGAGATGAGTGGACAAGCCCACTTTGACTTCCACTTCTGCTTTCCACTTTGGATCTTAGTCTGCTGGCAACACGCTGGCGCTGGGGAGACTGGGACTGGAAGTGGAAGTGGCATTTGGGGCTACGGCTACCGCTACCTAGGCACAGGCACAGGCACTTGCGCTTCGCCAGGCCCTGCCTGCCTTTACCTGCCTGCCTGCGTCTCCTTCTTTTCTGCTGTTCTGCTGCTGCTGCCCGCTGCCGACTTTGCGCTTGGGAGGGAAACTGCGACTCTGCAGCGCTGCAACGGGAAGGAGGGATTGGACGGTGGCGTGGCTGAGAAGGGCTAGCGTGTTGCAGGGCTCGTGTGCAAAATTGTGAGCTGTTTCAGAGTATTTGTGAAGGAGGGTGGAGGGTGTGAGGGGGAGAGGGGGGGTGAGTGGCCAACTGCGAGCACTTTGAGGCTATATTGTTCTGCGGCACACTATATTACTCTTCTGCTGGCCAGCACCCAGCACACAGCTGCACACGGTACCAGTATCTGCACAACTTATCTCCCATAGTCTACTATTGTATACGTAGTCTAGTGATGAACAGTTAGACCACCACCGGGTCTGTCGCCACCCTCGGGCAATACGGATACTACAAAGTGCCAGATCGTTCGATGGCTCCCCCCCTCTGCCTCATTCATGGCTGCTGAGTGCGGCATGATGCAGCATTGAGATACTCAACTCCGGGGCTCTCTGACTCTGCAACGCGTGTCTCTCTCGTGCTCAGCCTTCAATTTGGTTATACCTCATCAACTAAGACCATTCTTACTCAGGCTCACCCTTCCTCGAATTTTCATGCCCTAGACTCGACGTGGCAGATATTCACGTCGACAGACACAGACAGATAGACTAGACTAGACAGACAGAAAGACAGACCATGAAAAGAGCCAACCTACGGATACGGACAGAACCCACAATGGTGCAGCGCGGTGCATCAACGGGTGCCATGCCAATAATGCTAGCTGCAACGGCAAGGGGCAGGCAGGGCCATGGCAGGGCATGGCAAGGGCCACGGCACCCGAACCCAACCGCTTCAGAGTGCAGAGTGTGGGTCCCCCTCCCATCAAATGTTCCGTTTGGCGCTGGGCCGCTGCATCTGACCATCTCCAAGTTCGGACGAAGAGTCACTGCCAGCACAGAACAGCACTCCACGGTACATGCACCCTCGCCCTTTGGCCCTGACGATCGATCAAGACGCCCACCCCTCTTTTGACCCCCCTCCATATCACATCACATCACAGCATCAGCCTGAGATGGCTTCAGACGGGCGGATCGGGCTGGATGCTCACTCCAAGTCCTCAGCCCAAGACACTTACTGTGTATTCCCCGGCCAGATGGAACGAAAGCCACATCTGACTGTCTAGGTCGGCCCGCCTGTCGGCGCAGCCACGGCCACACACCATCCATCACAGTGGCACTTGGGCGCAGCCTGCGACAAGACTCCCAGTACTGAATCACCCATCGAAATGAGGATACTCCGTTCCACAGACCCGGAGACGTCCCGGCATCACAGTGGCCTCTGCGAAGAGGGGAAAAAAAGACACCAGTCTGTGTGCACGCATGTCTTGCCCCTGGAATTTGTTCTCTCCTTCGAGCCACCCTCTCGAAATTGCAGGCCACAGGACACGACGATACAATTCATACAAGGACCTCCTCCAACCGTGGTAGTTGGCATCTAGTCTCTCGGAAACTTCGGTTGGCCTACCTTGTGTCCTTGTGTCCTTGTGTTCTGGTGCCTTGGGACTCGGCCACCCTCTGGGCTGTCAAGACAGGCGTGTTTGAGGATGCTGCAGGGGAGCATCGAGGTGGTGAGTGGCCTGCGTCTCTGACTGGCTAAGGCGGGCCTGCTTGGCCCGCGACCAGGACCAGCCGCCTTGGAAAGCCGTTTGACTGAGAAAACTCTCCGAGAGGTTGACCACCCTGCAGCTGGAATTCGGTAAACTCTACTGCTCTGCTCCTCTGCATGCACCACCATCTAACTGCTCTATCTGCTCGTCTTCCGGAACCCACCGCCATGGCGCCAGCCCCTCAAAGAAACAAAGTTAAGTTTAAGAGGCTGGCCCAACTTTGGGCCTCATCTTGCGCTCTGGTCTTCGTTTTATATGTACACCTTGGTCCCTCAGCCCTCCAAGGTTCGTACTGTAGCTTTGCTGTGACGCTGATACTGTGCAGGGGCGCGCGCGCAGAACCTTCGACGCACAAACTGGCCTTCTAGATCTCCAAAGAATGGCCCCTGCGCCAGATTGCGTCGGCTTGGGTATCGTTGCATGCTGCTTGTCAACAATCTGTTTTTGTTGCTGCTTGCTTACATCGCCAGGTGACAATCACGGGACAATACAAGAATGGATCCAATTCTGCAAAACGCCAGTGCGCTTTGCGTCTCAACCTATGCCATCACGAGTGTTCGATCGCAGTCATCATGAAGGGTATCTTTCGACCTACTTCTCTTTCCAGCACTGGTAGTCCGGTCAACGACATGGGCGATGAAATTGAGCAGCTTTTTGTCCTCGACTACAGCCCGATGCACCGACGGGTGCCCGAGGCGCAGCTCATCAAGTATTCAGCCGAGAAGCAAGTGCGCCAGCTGCAGCTCATCAACCCCCGAACGCAATGGATCGAGGTTGACAATATGACTGTGGTGGTCTCCATTGACGGTGCCTGTCGCGACAACGGGAAGCCGACGGCTCGAGCGTCATGGGGCGTCTTTTTCGGGCCAGGCTCCCGATTCAACTCTAGTGGTCGGCTCAGCCCCTCTTGCCCACGGACGAGCTCTCGCGCCGAGATTGAGGCTCTATCGATAGCATCAGGGATATCAGCCGTGGCGATATGACCCTGCAGGAAATCAGGCTCCGCTCCGACTCGGAGTATTCTCTCCCAGGACATGTCCATGTGGATGGGTGAATGGATCGAGGACGACGGGTTGCGGCCGAATGGCTAACCGGTGGCTCACGTTGACAAACTCAGGGAGATCCATGAGGCTCTGGAGGAGTTGACCTATAGCGACGACGGCGGCCTACAATTTCAGTTCTGGCACGTGCCGAGAGAAAAAAAATCCTGAGGCGGATGGGCTGGCGAACAGCGCGCTGTACGGATGAAGGCTCGTGTACCGAGGCAGCATTCGTCTCGGCTCGGCTCCCTGAGAGGAAGACAGATTACTTGGCCACAATGGCGATTGGGAAAGCCCCCGGAAGCCTCGTTGGTGAGGATCGGGAATAACCTCACGCCAGTGGCAACGCATCGCGGCGAGTCCGTTGAATCCGAAGTTGATTGTGTGCTCGACAATAAACAGCCAGCATTCCGAGACAGACGCCATAGACGTCTGGACTGGTAAAATTATGTGAGATACTAACATAGCGAATCGTGGCGGCCGCCACATTCCCCCTGTGCAAATATGCTTGTTGCTGGGACCGCCCGGAAGCGAGCCCTTGTTAAAAATAGAGATCCGCTACACCCAAGGAAATCCAAGACGCAACCGCGCATGTTTTAGTCAGGGGTTGGGAGCCGTGCTGCCAGCTGCCTAGCTGCAAGGGGCAAGTGCCAGAAACGCTTGTGCTGCGCACGTGGACATCTTGGGCCGTCTTGCTTCTTTTATCTCACGACCCATCACTATCACCAACACCACCATCGTCACCATCATCTTGTGTCGGGTCTCTTAGGCTCGAGGCTATGGGAGGGCATGCGACGCTGCCTCGGCACACACGGACTATGAGCTGACGTCTCCCTATCAATAGTCCTTCCGGGTCTTCCATACCAAGCCTTCAAGCAACAAGCCCTCTGTATTCTGTCTGTCTGTCGACAGCACAAGAGTGCAGTGCGGTACGGTACGGTACGTCACCAGTGAGCCCCACAGGGATGACGGTCTGGGGAGCACAGACTCGAAACACAGATCTACCGATGCAGAACAAGTGACAGTATGTGAAGCACTGACACTGTCTCTCTTGTCATCCCATGAAGCGCGCCATACCGTCTGACTGTCTTTCTTCCACACACAAGACAGCGCCTCATCACCATTTCCCACCGAGTACCGTGTCCCATCGGTTTCCTCTTCAGGCTCTTCAGGACTTCGCTCTCATCACCATCTGGCACCTGCGCGAACTTGCTTTTCCTTCCTCGGACGCCCCACGACCTGGACAGAAGAGGATGGCCGCGTCCAATTTTAATTTACGCCCGTCAGCCGTCCCCACCGTCCCCACTCCAGATCCAAGTTTCAGGGTCTCTCAATCATTCATGACTGATGCTTGGCACGTTCCTCTCCTGCCGCCTCCAAGGCGATTGGTCGATCATTTTCGCAACGGCGATCAGGGGAGAGTGAGGGACGCAGGCGTGCAGGCCATGGTAGCATGGGGCAGGTCCAATATCGCACAGCGAATGCGAACCAAACCTAACTGCTCTTCCAACGAACCACATCTCATTACCATACCATGGTCGATCCGACAATTGGCTCCCCTCCCCTCCTTTACCCCCACTTTCTTGAATCTGATTTGTGACCGCACAGGGGCGTACTCGTTATAGTTTAGCAGGTTTGCAGGATTTTTAATTCTCCGGGCAATGGCCTATTCCCTGACGGGACGGATCACCGCCGCGTCTTGAGCCCGTCCACCGTCGCAGCGGAAGCGGGTGGATTCAGCAAGGTGTCCCGAATGATCGGCATCAACCCGTGGGGACCGCGGGGCTCCACACATCCCTCTCTCTTTTTCATGCGGTGATCGACCTGCACCGCCTCCCTCCCATGAATTCTACCAGCTTGCGGGGGTAAGGGTAGGGTTGGTCAAGGCCCCAACGCGACCCTTGAAAAGAAAACCAAGGTCCGACGACGTAGACTAGCAAAGTATGTTATATGCTCTTGCATTGGGGGCGGAGGATTGTTTTGCGACCGGGTCATGGCCGGCCCGCGGGATGGGGCCCTGGGCCGCGGCCGCGGGCGCCTGATGCGGCAGGATCGGGGCTTCCGAGGTTTTGCGGCGCCTTTGATGCGATGCGATGCGATGTGGTTCGATCGTTGCGATCGTTGCTGGGACACTCCTGTTCGGCCGCCGGCCTGCCGCATCGCATCGCATGGAACACGGACGTGGCCGTGGCTGTACTGTAGCAAAACGTCCGCGTGCCTGACCTAGGAGGCCTGCGTCTGACTTTTTTTTTTTTGCTCGAGGTGTCACGGCGGTCATGCCTGATATCCACCCTTGCGGCGTGGCATGTTCATGCGAGTGCTGCCGCGTCATCGGGAGGAGGCTCGACGGGACGATCGCCGGGCAGCGTCGTACCCGTCCGGCTCTGGGATCAGGTGCTGTGCGTGCGACCGGGGCCGCCGCTGCCCAAGTCTTGGGTCCGGGTTGTAGAGGCGGCTGTCCCTTTTCCTTTTATTGTGTACGCGTAGACGGGGCCGGGGTAGATAGAGTAGAAGACTGGGTACCTTATTACCGGTCTGTCTAGAATTTTTTTGACTTTACTGTGTGCCATGCTCTCGTCGGCCCTGTCAATTTCTATCGGAAGCGATGACATAACATTCTCATAGGCAGGGCTTGGGAGTAGAGTAGCTCAATGTTTGTGGAATAATGTTCGTCTGGGGCCATGGACACTAGATGATGATTTCGATGCCTCATTTGCATGCATTTTGTGCCCTGCTCAACGAGTGATGCGCTGAGGCAGGAATGAAAGCTACGAATTGAAAGATGCGATAGACGCCGCTCCTGGAGTATAGGCATAACCGCATATCTGGGTAGTCTGTTTGACTTGCCTGTCGACGGCGGTGCCCATGTCACTTTGCTCGACAGTCAAGAGATCCTGTCTGCCCTGCAACAATATGGCTTATTGCCTCTCGCCAGCCTGCCTCAGTCTTGTCGTTTGAGGCGCCTGTTGATGATGTCCACACCCAAGGCCACCTCAGCCAACGATTCAGCCTTGAAGGCAGCCTCCCAAACCTGGTCTCGGCGCTCGTTCTTTATCATGTGCTAGCATATGTCGAGTTAGCCACAGGTATACCAGGGAGAATAATTGCGAGCAAAAGTGGGCGGAAACGAAACAGGCAGATGGGCATCCTTAAAAAGACACGATGTCAAAAAGCTGCTTACCCTCATGGCATTGACAGCGCAGTTAGCAAGCCGGATCGTCCTCCTGCAGACCTGCATCTCCACCATGCAGTCGTACACCTCCTTCAACCACTGGTGGAACTTCTTCTTCTCCGGATCCACCCCGCGCATCGGGGAGGCCAGACGGCCGGTGAACTGCACAATCTCGAATCGAGGGCTCAGATTCATACTCAATTTGAAGCCCGGGGCGCCAACCGAGGCCGCGTGCTGCGCGAAGCATGTGACCTGGGTGCAGTCCAGATTGCCAGTAATGTTCCAGCTAAAGTGGTTGTTTGTCACTGCAGTAGGTGAACTAGTGTCAGCACTCCTGAAGATTGTGCAGCAGGTGGAGGGTATCTATTCACTTGACGAGACCGGGGCAGGTGGGGGGGCAGAACATACTGACAAGCGCGCCATACTCGTAGCGCAGCTGACGACAAGTCCGCAGAATGGGATGGACCCGGCAGTCCAGGCCCCTGGGCTCATCCAGAGAGCCCTTGCCCTTCACCTTGAACATCTGTCGTACGAGGACCATCTCATGGTACTGGATGAACCCATATTCGAAGGTGTTACGCGGCTTATCGACCTTGTCAGAGGATTCGATGGGCAGGACCTCCTTAAAGATCTTGTTGCGGATCTCGCCGGGCAGTCCCAAAAGACACAGCCCGGAGTACTCTTTCCAAGGACGGTCACGCCTCTTCTGGAACAGGGCCTAGATGGGCACACATTTCAAAGTCAGTCTTGACCATGGCGTGCTTTGGCGTTAGGTGATGGGACTCCTGCTCACTTACCGCTCCAAGATCAACTGCTTTCTTGAAGTCAGTCTCGTCCTCCTGCTCGTAGTTCTGAGCTATAGCTTCCATGAGGCCCTTCTCCTTCTTGATGGCTTTGGTGGCCTTCTTTGGCTTCTCAATGTGACCGCTGCTGGTGACATGCTTCTTGGGGCAGGCCCGAGCAGCCTTGCTTGCTGACCTGGTGACTGCCATGGCTGCTTCAGAATGGTTGACTGTCTGTCTCGATCATGGACTATCAGAAAATGGCCTTCAGGCCTTCGTGAGTACTTTTGAAAAAGGAAGCGAGGAAGAATGTGGGTGTGGACTTGAATCGGAGAGGCGAGGCGATTGAAGGAAAAGAAGGAAGGAAGGCCCTGCAGGTTTGGAAGGCAAAAGGGGTTGAGGCAGAAACAGCCTAGGTAACGATGCTAGGTGGAAATCAGGGTTGACTCTATCGATAAGCCGTTGTGTTTGGCATCTACGAAGAGGGAGGAGTATGAAGTGACCGTGTTCGTTTGGATATTGCTTAACTGGGCTTTCACTGGGGGACACACTCACGAGGCTGATCCAGTTGTGTATGGTGAGTATGAAAGGATGGAATGGCCACGTGCAATCCAGTTTGAATGAGCAGAGAAGACATAAGCGGAATGATTTCGATTTGGACTTCATAAAGCTGTAGAGAGTCATCAAATTCTCCTTGAACACGGCTTATCCTGACTTCACCTGGTGGATGCAGTAGAGGCAAGTTGGGGGCTCGTTCGACGTCTGGCACTGTCAAGTTGCATTCAGAAGTATACATGGGATTATGGCAGCCATCCGCTATGTTGTTGCTAGAGAAATTTCTTTGTCTGGTCACGATCGTGGTCAGGTCACAACGAAGAGGAACTGGCTTGATAATCCTTAGATTTTGAAAAAGTTATAAATGATAACACTTGAGGTACCACGCTACAATAAGATCCATGTTAATTTCTGAGGTGGTCGTCAGAAATCAGGCAATATGATTGCAAGCAGAGCATGAGTCTCTTCTATAATCGTGCTGGCTTCCATTTAAGCAAGGTCAGACCATCTAGCTTAGCCACCAAACAGTGTTGAACATGGTCAACAACAAACACAATGAAAGCTATTCGATAATGTTGTTCTGCAGTTCTGCAGCACCAAATCAGGAGACCCCTCTGCATTCCCTGTCCTCTGCTGAAGTGCTGTAATCCTCGAGCGCAGAATCCTGGAAACTTTTGCAGTATGGGAATTGTTTAAAGCTTGTATAATACTCAGATGCCATATCGGCTTGGACCGCAATATATCGCTCGATACGAGGTTGTGAAATATACTTGCTGGCTAGGTGTGACGTGACATGATGAGCTTTGTGCAGCACAGATGCCTCAGCCCTTGTCACGAGCAGCCAGACTCAAATGGCTGTGATACGAATGGCATACAGAATGCTGTTTGAGTGCCTAAAACAGAGTTCTGTCTCCATTCGGGGTAGTATGCCTTCAATCGCGCAAAGAGGCTGCTTTCACACACGAAACTACTCTTAAATTCGGGGGGGGGGGGGGGAAACACGTAAGACATGCGGATTGTGATCGGTGACTGAGGGGTATGAGTGAAAGCTGTCATGGGTAAACAACAACAGTAACAAGCACGAGGTGTAACTCTGGAGAAAAGCTCTTGCCCTCGGTTAGAGTCTGAGGCAGCCTCTATAATTGATCGAGCATGGAATCCGGCAAGCTGAATAGAACTTCGGGTTCATTTCTTTGAGAAATAGAGGGAAACCATAATATCTGGATATTCATGGATTAAGAAGTTTTCATATCCACACTTTGGTTGGTAAGCACGTTCTATTGCAACCTTGTAGTCTACACAACGTAGCACTTACACAAGGCTGAGATAACATCTTTGCCCTTCGCAATCCAGCATCAACTTACAAATAGCAACCTGTTGGACTTTATTGAGAGGAGTATGCTTGATCAATTCGGATATTTAGTGAGCTGTACGAGACGACCTCTAGGCATTGAATTGAAGAGTGGCTGACAAGCCGCCTTGTAGTGACGCCGGTCACATAAGGTTACCTTCGTGTACTTTGCGGCTGATGCATGGCAAGTATGCTTATCCATAAATGCTCTTTGATAAGCACGAGAGGTCTGGAAATGGACAGCTGCCAATCGACTGGTTCATCCCATGGAGATCAGCCAGCGGCGACCCCAGCCGTAGATCAAATCTACCACATCCGGGGAATTTCTCCCACCCCAGGCCCCGATGCCTGGCATCAGCATCAAAAGCCTCTCGGCTCACGAACTTGAATGGGGTGTTTCTCAAAAGCTCCCAGGCTGGCCAGCATTCAAGAGCAGGGCGGGGGTGCTTGATCCCCTGGTCTCAACAGGCCTGGACGTTTCATCTGACATCGGAGAGAGACCCATACCTCCCCCGCAGGAAACAGGGTGACGCCCGATGTAGACCTGTCAGGAGCATGCACGAGGAGTAGCCGAGTCAGATCATAGATGGTAGAAAACCTTGAGCTCTCAGACTGTGGAGGTTAATTGTGTGACCTGGTCTGTGTAAGCTGCATATTGTGGGCGGAGGAGGTGGAGTCCTGCACCTCAGCGTCGTCTCGTCCATCAGCAACTTTGGCCAGTTGGCCACACAGCGGTAGGCATCACGACGAAAGAAGACCATCAAAGCAATCACGTATTAAGCCACAGATTTAAGTACGCACTGCAGGGGTGGGCGGCTCTTCCCGTCGACGACATTTGGGTAGGGGACCCTGCAGCCACGACTCGAGACTCGAAACCGAAGCTGTGGACTGGCACCCAAGCTCACGTTTCAGAAACAATCCGCATCATGCCACAACTCCCGCCCTCTGTCGCAAAACCCCAGCACATTGCACGATGGGCAGCTCGCCACTCACCCGGTTGGTAAAGCTGTCAACGAATGCAATCACACCTACTGGGTTTGTTTCGTTCCCCTGACAGTCTGCTGTTAGAGAATCCGCAGGCTAAGAGCTCGCCCCCGGTCAACACCATCGCCACCTGGGGATGACAAGGTTAGGATAGATAATATTTATGTCCAGGAGGCAGAAGCACACTGCAGAGCTTCATCCAAATAATTCTTTCGCACATCAAAATCTTGCAACACGGCACTCTGTCGTCGCACCGCCCCTGTTTTCCCCGAACGATACCTATCTTGAGATAGCCGTTCCTCTTCAGAACATCGGACTGTCCTGTGATAGGATATATTTCGAACCGGATGAGCATCCCCGCCTCGCCACCTTTGACAGTCTGAAGCACGACTCGTCAGGCCAAGGGAAGCTCTACGCCGACTCATTGTAGAAAACCAACCTACCAACCTACCAACCAACAGGTCGAGTCTCTCGAGTCAAGACCCAGAAGCAAGCACGTCCACAGACGTATCCGAAGATAACCGGACAATCACTCGCTGGCCAACCCAGCATTGTCACCAGAAGAAGACAGGTTCACAACACACACACACACACACCCACATAATGTCCTCACCAGACCACCCTCCGAGCCCGCCAAACTCAAGAGGCACAATCCCGAAACCCAGCCCCGGCGGACCCAGCTCGACGGCAAACCAGCTGATGGACCACCTGCAGAAGCAGCTGAAGGAGGAGCAGGACACGATGTCTGTATCGGGTCACTCGACACACTCGACAACGAGCAGCAGCGGGCGGCGGCGGCGGCGGCGCAACAAGAATGCCCTGGCCAAGGCGGCCAACGGCAGTTCCGCCGTCCACGCACACTCCCTGCTCGGGCTGGACGGCGGCTCGTCCGGGCTGGGGCCGATGATACCCAAGCCCGCTGGGAACGCGGGTGATGGCAAGACGCCCAAGCTCAAGATCGACCTGAATTTGGATGTGAACCTGGAGCTGAAGGCGCAGCTGAAGGGGGACTTGTGTCTAAGCCTAGTGTAAGTTACTTTCCCCTTTCCCCATCACTTCAGCTCCCAAGATCCCGTCTGTTCGTCTTGATGAGAAGACACTGGTGGTGTGTGTATGAAGCGCATGTGGCTGACTGGCTTGGCCAATGAAGAAATCAATGAAGAAATAACTGAGAGTAAAACCCCCAAACAGAGTCGAGGACAAATACTCGGACAGGGCAAGCCCTGAGATGAAGATGCCCAGGGAGGGCGAGCACGTCGTCACGGAGCTGTTCTACATGCGCGTCGGCCGGCTGCGCTTCAAGCGCACGTGGGTCGACGAGCGGGCGTTCATGCGCGGCCAGTTCTTCCTCACGGCGTTATCAGCGGTGTTCTTGCTCCTGACCGGGTTCCTGCTGGGGCTGTCTGCCTCGGAGTACATGCATGGCGTTTCGTACGGCGGGCAGCACACGTCCGGCCTGGTGGTGTCGTCGTCGTGGGTGGGCGATATTGATATCTGTGATTGTAATATAGACACGGCGTTGGGGGCAGTCGGGAACACGACAGTACTACGTTGATATTGATTGGATCTGTGTTGGCTTGGAAACGCCCACAGTTGAATGATATTCTTTCTCTTCGGAGTCAAGCCTATCCGCGGCAAAGTTCAGCGCATAGCATCGGTGACCAGAGGCCGGCAGCGAAGCCGGCGACCGGCAGAATGAGTGGACCAGTGTGGATCCTCCTCAGTTCCGCACCGGAAGGCCCTTGAAGGGTGACTCCGACCAGATCTGGCCGGCAGACCACCGCAGACAGTTGCACAGAGTGTCTCACTCTCTCGTTCGGACCGGGCTCCCAAGGAGGAAATTCAGTCCGCCAAGGACTCGCCGCCGCGGCCGAAAGCGCGAAGAGCCGAGGGAGGGGATCGGCAGCCAAGGTCATGGTGTCTTTGACTTGGCACGCTTGTCTGGGCTTGTCATTGTTCACAGTCCCATGTCCACCATCCCCGGACTTGACTGGCCCGAATCGGTGGAAGCTCCATGCAGGTGCACATGCATTCGCAATGTCGTTCCCCACCGATTGAGTTTTTGATCTTGCTTGCCGGTGTCCGCTCTGTTGCGTCTGGGAGTGTGTCTGATTTGACAACATGCCCTCATCCTCGACAATGATAATCATGTCGAGCCTCGCTTACTTTGTCACACGTAAGCGAACCGAAGGAGGCTCGACTCGGCTTAAGCCGTAAGACAAGGCTCCCTAAGAAGCGATTCCAAACCGGGCTCTGGGTCCATGGTGCCACACCGGTTCCTTTTGCCAACGATGCCCTAAAATGGCGCGAAAAGTGAGAGGATTCGCCGGCCGTTGGACCTGACAGACAATTACAGGGCGATAGCCATGTCATCACTGCCGGGGCCGATGCCGGTCGCCGTTGTTTGAAGCTATAGCTCGCAGTCGCGAGGCTGCGTATATGCTCCCCCTCCCCCCCTGCAGTGTGACCGAGTAGAGGATAACCTCATGCGGTGGTAGGCATGTGCTACTGGCATCGGCGCGAGCCTCTTGCGGGGTATTCCCAGATCGAACACCTCTCGGATGCCCTCCTCGCACACCTCACAACCCACGGCAACCCACGCTAAGGCCTGGGCTTGTCGTCTCGCCACGAGAACAGGGGCGTGCCGCATGGCGGAATGCGGGATGCCCACGAAGGGGGGCACGAGGACCCGCAGCGATCAGCATTCGCCCGCAGCTAACCACTGCCCATTCCTGCCAACCAGCAGCCCAGAAAAAAAGAAAAGCATGGTGAAGAAGGGCGGCGGTTGTAAATGGAGCCGTACCCGTTGCGGCAGCGGGCAGAGCAGCGGTCACAGCAGCTTCGATTCCGCGTTGGCTATCTCCGGGCTCCACTCCCCTTTCCACTTGCCGTCTGCCGTCCATGCGCGTTTGCGCTTGCTGGCCAGAGAGGGAGAGGCCGAGGAAAAATTATGACAAAAGATGAAAGGTGTTGCATACGTCCTTCCTTCCATCCCATTCCGGTCGCTGTTGGGGAGCTGTTTCTGTCACATTGCCATGCCTCTAACATAGCCCAGAGGTGAAGGCTCTGTTGACTCTGACCTGTATTTGGACATCATCACCCACATCATCATTCACTATCTCCTGCAGCACTCCCTATTCACATGAGGATCCAGTTGCACCATCGGCTGCTACTACACTTGACCGGCTCTGTTCGTTAGGCCAGTTGGCGTGGATCTATAATAGATATCCTAATTCACACCATTATACCTCGAGTTTTGATTCCTATCAGCTCTAGGATAACAACAATCTCACTCCCTTCCCTCCATCTTTAACCCTTTTCAGCATCTGGACTGTGTGGTTGCAGCCGACCGAGTTCATCGTCCAGACCGGAATCTACAGAAGTGCCACCAAGATGGAGGCTCGTGACTTCGCAACGAAGAAGACGCCAGAGCAGGATGAAAAAGGCTATTCTGCCCAGGATCTCGACCACACCGAGAACTCGTCGACCGTGGACGAGAAGGACTCACTGGAGATCGGCCAAGCCCCAGAAATAAGGACACCAACGTCCCGCCGGTCCCGGTCCCGGAGCCGCGCCGCGAGCAGACGCTCCCGCTCCCGTGCGTCAAGACTAGCAGCAACAGCCCCCGACGACAGGTCGTCCCTCTACACCAACAACACCGATCCTCTCTCGCCCCTTGAGAACGCCTTGTCCCGCCCGGACCACGACGCAGAATACCAGGACCACGTGTCTCGTATCCGGACCGGAGCCACCAACACCACCGCCACCAGCGCCTGGTCACGCCCGCCAGATTTCGAGGTCACATTCGACGCGGACGGCCGCGACCCGGCGAACCCGCGAGAGTGGTCGCGGTGGTACCAGGGATGGGTGATATTAGCGGTCAGCTACTCGACGTGGGTGGTGGTGCTGTACTCGACGTCGTACACGGCGACGCTCCCGGGGCTCAAGACCGAGTTCCACCAGCCGGACAACACCGTCGTCACGCTGGGCGTCACTACGTATCTGCTTGGGTTAGCGACGGGCAGCCTGGTGGTGGCACCCATGAGCGAGCTGTTTGGCCGCCGGCCCGTCTACCTGGTGTGCATGCTCGCGTCGGCGCTGCTGGTCCTCCCGTGCGCCCTGGCCACGTCGCTGGTCGAGATCATCGTCGTGCGCTTCTTTGGCGCCGTATTTGGCTCCGTCATGATCTGCAACGGCGCCGGCACCATCGCCGATATCTCGACGGAGGAGAACCGCGCCCGCTTCATGAGCTGGTGGAGCATCGCCCCTCTGAACGGGCCGGTCACCGGGCCCCTGATCGGTGGCTATGTTGCGCAGTATCTCGGGTGGCGATGGGACAACTGGATCGTTTTTATTCTGACTGGTGCCGCTGTCCTGATCATGGCCACTGTTCGCGAGACGTACGTGCCGCAGATCCTGAAGCAGAAGGCCGCGCGGCGGAGGAAGGAGGAGGATGATGAGCGGTACTGGTGCCAGTACGACTCTAGGAAGTCGACGGCGGAGCTGATGAAGGTCAACCTGAGCCGGCCGTTCGTGCTTAGTTTCACGGAGCCGATCTTGTGGTTCTTCAACATCTGGTATGTGTTTCCCAACGTGCCATGTGCCTGTATACCTTCTTTTTGCGTGAACTTTGCTAAAACATGCGACAGGATAAGTATCATATACGGAATCCTGTACCTGGTGAGCTTTGTCCTATGCAAAATTCTGTCGTCGCATTATGCAAAAACTAATTATACCCTTACAGTGTTTCGTGGCATATCCCATCGTGTTCCAGCAAATACGCGGCTGGGGCCCCGGGCAGACAGGCCTGTCCTTCATAGGGATCGGGATCGGCACATTGATTGCGATATTCCTCGAGCCGCTCTGGCGGAAGATCATCAACTCGCACGCCAAGGACCCGGAGACCGGCCGCGTCGCCCCTGAAGCTAGTGCCAGCATCATGTGCATCGGTGCGGTTCTGACCCCTATCGGCCAGCTGGTGTTCTCCTGGACCTGCGTCCCGACGACCATCCATTGGGCTATCCCCATCGCTTTTGGCATCCCATTCGGCTGTGGAGTGAGTTACTGCCCACCTAGAGCTTCCTAGTCTCACAATGAATAATAGTATCGCGTGCTAATCAACACTCTAGAATACTCTCTGTTTCATCTATGGCTCAAACTACCTCGCCGGGGCCTACGGCTATTTCGCTGCGTCAGCTCTCGCCGGCAATGCCGTGATGCGGTCCATCTTCGGCGCGACCCTCCCCTTGGCCGGCGCGAAGATGTACGAGGCAATGACGCCGCGTATGGCCGGCACGTTTCTGGGGCTGCTGGAGCTCATCCTCATTCCAATCCCCTGGATATTCTACAGGCGTGGTGAGAGGATCCGCGCCCGGAGTCCCGTCATCAGACAGATGCGCGAAGAGCAGGCTAAGAACGACAGGAAGCGTGCCAGGCTGGAGTCTAAGCAACAGAGGCAGGCCGCGGCTGTTGCTCGGGGCCCGGATGTGGGCAATGGCGTGGAGACAGGAGCAGCTCCAGCACTGAAGGCTGCGCACGGGGAGACAATGGCGGTGGCTGTGGATGCGGATGTTGAGAAAGGGGTGTGAGAATTGCTCATGTGCCTCGACAGAGCCTTGGAACCTAATGGGAGGGAGAAACCACTCTTCAAGTGTCCCTTTGATTGTTTCCTCAGTCCCCCGGTACGGCATTGAAGCATCGGCATAGCGTGGAGATTGTTAGAGAAGCATTCGTGCCCGGTAGGGCAAAAGGCATAACATGAACTTAGCATGGCATAGCGAATACCAATACACATTGCATGATACCTGGTCATTTCGGGCGATAAGATATCGACGGTCAGCAAGTCCGAGAACTTAGTTCTGCAGGTCACACAAGCAAGTCTCACACATAAATTTCTGTCTCTGAGCTTCAAGCGCCATGGTTGTGGGATGCATGTGGAATTTGGACGACTCTTCTCATATTCATCTTCTTTCATCTCCTGTCTTGAAACCATTCTATAATACTATATGTCCCAAGCAAATCTCTTCAACCTCAAAAGCCCCGCCCAGCTGTGGCTAGAAATACCAAGCCCGGATGGCGAGGCCTCCTACGGTACCGCACCGCACGACTTGGGTATTTCTTTGATTCGTGGGCAGCCTTCAAATCATTCGTTACCGATGCAATCTGCAGTGGTGTGCTCGGAGCTTCCTGCATGTTCGTGGTAAGCCACTCAGGTGCTCAGTGGTGGTAGAGCAACTGGGAGCTACATATCACCACCACACAATTGGATTGCAAACATGCCCCCAACACCATTTAACTGCTTAAGGAGCTTCCCCTCCTCCCCTTCAGCGCCGTTTAACTGGATCAAGAGTGATAGTGGCGTTGAGGCATGCCACGTCGATCGAAGGCTCAGTCAGCTGCTGACACTGACACCGCACCATTGGGTTGCGTAGCCTTTTCAAAAGTCCCGGTTGGAAATTTTATGCAGATGCAGCTGCAGGTGCATCAAATCTGCCCAAAATTACGCCTCGGGCAAGCTTGCAGGTGGGCGCAGCAAAGAGAGCGACACTAGATTGTCTGGCTGCCAAAGTATAACCGCGGGATTTAATGATCAAATTGACCTGACCGACTAGATAGCCCGATTTCCTCTTCTTTTGTTTGATTGATGTTTGCGAAACCCTGTCCGGTGTACGATCCTTCACGAGTGACACTCCCCCATCATGGAACCGATTTCAGCGATTGGACTCATAGCCAGCGCCCTGAGCGTGGCAGAGATTGCGGCAGTGGTTGGTAGGGGCTGTCGGCACTTGCAAACCGAGTTCAATGGTGCTCTTGAGCACGTAGACAATATCTCCCAGCAAACCAGCAACATCGACCTGGCGATCCGAGAAATATGCTCAATCGTTGATCAGCGACCTCAGACATTTCCCTCCACATTCGAGGGACACCTCGATGATTCAATATCTGCGATCCACAACATTGTCAAGCAAATACAAGATCATGTACATTCGGTCAAGACAGAGGCCGAAACGTCTCAGAGCCGGGCAAAGTTGAGGCATCTGCGCAAATCAAACCAGATCACGGAATGGAGGACCACTTTGGGGGTGCAGATACAAGCATTGATGCTGTTGCTCCAAGTAGCTCAACTGTAGGTCCAAAATCCAAAGCCGTCACTGATGTGAGGATCTTGAGCTGAGCCATGGTTGAAAAGACACTCGAATGATGAGAGGAAAACAGTCCTGGAGAATGCCTCTAGCAAAAAATTGTTTGAGAAAGCCTCGTCCATGTCGGCCAAGCTAACCAAGTCTTGTCGTGAGCTCGACCGCAAGGAGGAGTTCACAAAATTTCCTTTCGATCCTATCTTGTTGGAGTCGAAAGTTTACCGTCGTGTATGCGAATCTTCTTGGATCCGAGAAGTGAGCACTTCACTTCAAGACGGCAACGAGTCCAACAGCGACGGCCCTGACTCAGCCATGTCCGTCTCTTCCAACAGCGCAATTGCTAGCGAAGGAGACTGTGCAAGCTCATCCGCAAGTTTTGATCTCCCTGGCAATGAACCGCGCATACCAGAGTGTCCCAACTCTACGGACTTCAGTCCGGATCCTCCAACGCTCGAGTTATCGGCGACCAACTCGTCCGAACAGACTGGAGAGTCATCAAGAACAAACCCGACAAGATCGACGATGGCTACCACAGTATCAGTCTTTGACGAGTTACCGAACACTGGGATAGACACCGAGAAGGATGACGAGGACCATCATTTGGACAAATCTTCCATGATCTCGGTAGTCGTCGAGGGGGTTGGAACGGAATCCATCCGACTTGTTATTGATGAAGCATCGGATCACTACGAAAAGATCCAAGAAGCAATTCTTCGTATCAGAGATCGTGTGCTCCTGGCTGGAGGTATCGAACCCGGAACGTACTGCGGAGTCTGCGTCAGTAAAACCATCGAAACAAGTGGCCAGTCTGACGTGCATCGGTTCCCACTCACCCCAGAATTCCTGGCATACGCAACGAACAAGGTGGTGGACGGCTTCTATGAAGGTTTTGGCATCCTGGTTCGATTTTCGTCACCCAATCACTCAGGGCAAACGGAGCTAGGATGTTCTTGCAGGGCGACATCGAGGCCAGCAACCAAGTCGGTCGTGAAAGGCGAAACAGCGAAGGTGTTCCAAATAGCATTGGACACTAGCCAAGAGCCACGTCACTTTGATCTCCATTCCCGTGCAATTCTGCCTTTCATAGATAGCTCAGAACCTGGGCATCAAGTGAAGGGTGGCTATAGCGATGTTTGGAGAGTCAACATTCACCCTGATTGTCATGACCAGTTTGCCGGTTGGGACAACAAGCAGTCCTTCGCCGTCAAACGCCTTCACAGCCATTCGAGAACCAAATTCAGCAAGGAAATCGAGATTCTGAAAGCTTTCGCCCGTGCGGGGCACCCGCATCTCATCAGGCTCCTCACGACTTACACTTGGCGTGGCCATGACCACCTTCTCTTTCCTTGGGCTGAAGGAAACCTGCAAGACTTCTGGAGATACTGCCCAGATCCAGCTGCCATTAAAGAACCTAAAGCTGGATTGGATCTCACACGCAGGACATTAGAGCAATGCCTTGGACTTGCTGACGCCCTGAAACATCTTCATCTCCTTCTCAAACTGCAGAACAGAATTGAAGTGGAGGATACATGTGACACGATTAATTATGGGCGACATGGGGACATCAAACCACAGAATATTCTATGGTTCCATCACAAAGACGATAACGAAGACAAGAGTATCCTGAAGATTGCTGATTTTGGACTCGCTAAGTTCCACAGTTCAAGCGTCGACCAAAACGGCCGCGAGACAAGGGGTGGCACGGAGACATATGCAGCACCAGAGCTTAAGCACCACCCCCCGGAGCATCGTCTGTCTTCGGCGTACGACATCTGGTCTCTGGGGTGTGTGCTGATGGAGTTCGCATGCTGGATAACCGGCGGGAGGGACCGCCTGGGCGACTTCAAGGAATCAAGGTACGCAACACTCCCGGAATTACCTCACATTGTTTATAGAAAGGACAGAAAAAACAAGGAATGCACACTAATAAGTTTCAGGTACAAATACACACGCCACGGGACTTTCTTCGAAGTAAAGGGCGATGAGATTGTCGTGAGCCCGGCTGTGTCAAGACAATTCGAGACTTTGCGTCACAGCATATCAGGCCTGGATCCACATCTGTCGAAGGGATTGGGTCGATTCTTTGACATCATCGTGTCGTGCTTGAGAATCGACGAAAGGAAGAGACCATCCGCGGCAACAGTGGCTTCCAAGATGCGGGCCGTGTGTGCGATCTTGTGTGCGGATCAGGACTCACATGATTCCCGTACTACTTGTGGTGTCTGTGAGAACTGCGGGTGCTGCTGGAACTGTTGCGACTGTGGCAACTACCACCATAGTTGCGACTGTAGCAATTGCCACCATAGTCGCGACTGGGGCAAGTACCATTATAGTTACAACTGTGGCGATTGCCATCATAGTTGTAACTGTGGCAACTACCACCACAATTGC